TCCTCCGAACCCTGTTCCCGCTCTTCCTCCTACCGAACGATGCTGCACGACCGGAAACCCTGTCTTGCTCGTGTTCGAAAGGAATGGGCGTGGTGTCGATGATGCTGGTGATGAGGAAGAGGATAGATGCCATTCCCGAGTGGGACGATGCCTAGAGAAGAGACAGGTCAGGACTTCGGTGCGATAAACCGTGAATATAGGTAACCGAGTCATAATTTGCCTCGTGAGTGTCGACAGAAGCGACGCTGCTGCCATGAGCGGATCTAAAATAAACAACGTACCGAGCACTACTCGAGTCAAGAGCAAGTTGTTGTGCTGCCTCCCCATGAACCGCCTCTCCCCGAGTCTCATTCTCCTTCTCAAATCCTCCATCGTATCGTCCGATATCCAGCTCCCCCGGAGCCGGAGTCTTGGGTGGCGAAGGCGTGGGCACCGCAACTTCAGCCACGGTTGCAGCTTTCTTCACCCCCGACGTCGCTGTCGGCTTCTTGATCCCTGACTTAGACATTCCACTAGCAGCGGTGGTAGTAGCGCCGCTGCCAGTGGCCGTCTTCAACGAGGAAGTCGACCCCACGGGCTTGAGAGTAGGCTTCAGAGAAGTGGTGGACTGGGTCTTCTGGAGAGATGAGTTTGAGTTCTGGGCAGGAGCGGCGAACTTGTTGAGGAGCTTGGCCACGTTCGTCTGACTGGGTTGCTTGACATGTCCGGGTCGTGTCGATGTGGCTGGTTTCTGCCCTTGGGGTTGTTGTTGTGGCGTATTGCCTTTCGATGAGATCTCGAGGGCAGCTATTTGCCGAGTGACAGAGCCGATGGTGGCCATGATGGTGAGGGGACAGAGATGAGGAGCGCTGTCGTCGAACAGTTGAGGTCACCGTCAGTCGAACCAACCCGTGCCACCGTTCAGACTCCGACGAGCATCGTCCACGTGACCGCGAAATTCCTGCTTTCGACAGCTCGGCTTTAGGCTCTGTTACAACTTACAACCCTTGTCCTATTGCTTCGAAGATAATCGTTCTCGCTGGATGCTCGGCTTTCTTCTAACGATCTTCTTCACGTCAGGTGATAACGGTTGTTCAGAGCCTAGCTTTCTTCCATACCCTACTAAGAGCCACAAGAGAGCCAGGACTTGCGTGTGTGTGCTATTTATCTACAGGTTATTTCCTCAAATCAAAAATCAATCGTATGTGTGATGGTCTCTGACAAGGTCCAACGCACAAGATGCAAAGCCAGGGAGAGCGAGATGGATGATGCAAGTCAAGTACGATAGAGATACAAGCAAAACTGAGCAAAGCAGATGCGACGACAATAGAACTGAGAGGATAGACAGCGATAAGCAAAGTTGAGAGCAAGCGGCCTATCGAGGGAGTATATACATGAGAGCAATAAATACAGGAGGGAATAACACCAATACAAGATAGTAAGATGAATAATAATCGTACAGTGATGAACAGCAGAAAATGCAAGCGAGGGATAGCAGTGGCACAAAAGCGAGAGCAACAAAGCAATTGGAGAGCATAATCGATAGCAGAAACGAAAGCGAGATAGGAAGCACTGATAGAGAAATAAAAAGAGAACAAGACAAAAACGAAACTGTACCGCAGACACACAGCGCCAGTACTGTCCCAGCAGCGTCCCTGACCTACTTATTCCAATGGACGAAATGGCCCGCCGCCGCCGCCTCCGCTCTATTCGCAACGCCCCACTCATCCAACATCTTCTTCGTGATCTTTTTGCAGGCCTTCTTGTAGTGTCTTCTGGCAGCGTCCTTACGCGACACCTCTAACTTGCAAAACTCGCAAGTAAACTTCCGAGTGTTCTTCATTTTGCATGAGGACTCTTCATGACGCCGCCGGTCGGATGCCCGTACGATGAGTTGTGCACAGTAGTGACAACGCCGGCTGTCATCCGTGCACTTCTTTTCTTTCTTGCATTCTTTGTCGAGGTTGGCCTTCTTTGGTTTCGTAGAGCGCGAGGTCATTGTGGGAGACGATGAAGGGTTCGACGTGAGGGAGGTCCGGGACGATGATGCGACTGAAGATAGAGGATCGTGGGCTCGAGAACGAGAGGAGATGGAGCGGGGCGTGGAAGATGTTGGAGAAGGTAGTGGAGAGAAAGGTGATAACCGTGATGAGCCTGAAGAGGTGTGCGGTGGACGAGACGCAACCGATGGATCGGGAGCTCGAGGATTGATACGCCGCTTCTTCTTCGGCGGACGAGCCGAGTGTAGCGCCTGAAGCGTCATAGACGGACGAAAATCTCCGCTATCGTCCTGGTCCTCCTCAATCCCCTCGCTCTCTCCAGCGCACGTCTCATCCAGATAACCGCTCGGACGTTCATCGTGCTCATCTTCGAGCACATCGTGAGACCTCTTATTGCCGCCGCCGGAGTGGGACTCGTCTAAGGACGGCGGATTTGGGACACCAGCTCCTGAAAGGTCCAGTTCGTCCCAGAAAGGACCAGGGTTCAAAGGATCGAAAGAACCATGCTGATATGTGGTGAATCGATCAGTGTTGATGGTATCGTCGACGGTGATAGAACTGGATATGACGGGAGACCCAGCGACACGCTGAACTGGGGCCTCGAAGTTGGAACGGGGGGAGCACGGAGACGACAGAGGAGATTCCAGTATAGAAAAGGCTGGAAGCGGCGACAACGACAACACCGGCAGATCGGCGAGCGAATCATCGTTGAAGGTGGACAGGTCGGCCGTGGAGGGATGCGAGTGGTCACTGCCATCATTGTGGTATCTGCTGGTGACAGGGTTGCTGTCGTCGTCGAGGATGGAATGAGGATCGAAGTTTGCGCAGACTTGGGCCCTCACATCATCTTCAACGACGGCACCAACTCCATCAATAGGTGGAACACCATCTGTGATGGGTACGGGGATAGTAGAGTCGACGATAGTCCAGGTAGTCGGCACCGGAGCCGAGGCCGGGTATTGGGTGGCGGTGGCGGTGTTCCATCCGAGGAGAGAAGGGTCGATCGATACTGAATGTCCCTGGGCTGATGAAGCGCAGGCGGTGTCGGGTGCCCAAGGAAAGGTCGAAGTCTGTTGTGATGATTGGGCGGGAGGGGAGGGAGGGAAGAGTTGCTCTGACGGGGCGAGCTCGAAGAAGCCAGAGCGCTACATGTAAGCATGGCAGTCAGTCATGATGTCGAGAACATAGTCGACGATACTTACAGAGATGACGTCTGGCGAGTCGCGAGAGGGAACGCTAGTTAAAGGCGCCGGGGCTGATGCAGTGCGGACAGTGCCAGAGGGGGAAGAGGAGGGGGGTGTCGTTTGAGATGATGGGGTATTGAAGGTGGATGAAGAAGAAAAGTCCCCCAGGGCGGAGAACCCAAGGAACCCCACGGATGGGTCCTGTCCACGAGTCGCTAATCAGGGGTAATATCTCAGAGGATAGCCGGGAGAGCTTACGAAGACGGAGGGTTCTCGGTACGAGTCGAGTGACTGCGAAGGGGGAGCAGCAGAAAGGACAGGATCCGGAGATGTGTATCTCTCTGAAAACTGGAGCGAATAGTTGAGAGGTCCGAGGAAAAATGGAGGACTGTTGTTATTGTCGTTGTTGTTGTTGGTGGTGGTGTGATTGAAGACAGTTTCACGTGGTCCAGACGAAAGGTCAAATAAGTCGTTGGGGGTCAGTGTGTACGCCATGGTGTGAGACAGTACGCGGCCGGAAATTGATGACTGTGAGTCTCGGGGAGGGCGATGGACGTATACTGGGTAGAACAACAAGAACAACAAGGATACTAGCCAAGGATGCATGATACATGATGCTTTATACATTTCACCCTGTCTAAAGGCTTCTCACACTCCTAATGCGTTTCGCTGCCTTGCCTTCCCCGCCTGTACTGTCGACATCGTAGAGAACAGCGTTCAAGACTGACGTGTTCGACGAGAACGGCAACTTTTTTAAAAAAGGTAACTTTGCGTGGGTACGATGAGAGCGCCTCGAGGCATGCAAATAAGACGTGCAGGACGAGAATGGACTGTGGCCAGCATTTTTATCAAATTGGCGGAGTTGGGAAGGTCCGACTAGCAGAGATCCAGGTGTTAATATGGCAAGAACGAGAGGAAAAGGTAAGTTGCGCGTGGGATCGCTGCAAGTTTCGCGCCCGGGAAGCGCGAGGAAAGCAGGTACCGAATTAGAAATAGAAGCTTTCGATGGAGTGTGTAGAATGCAGACGGGATGAGAGTGATTGGCGAGGGCGTTTATGTTCATACCTCGCGCGATTGGTGATGCACACGTTGAGTGCTCGATATTGATATTCTCCTGGGCTGCGTGAATCTCTTGTACTGAGCATCCTAATCCAAGAGAAAAGCCAGAATAAATGTTAAGGCAGTTATTAACAGCGTAAGGTGGGCGTTTGAGGCGCCGCACGCCGAGAACTCGTAGTTCCAAGGTAGAAAGGCCCTGGCACAGGATCGTCCGAGGCTGTGGGCGGCAGATGCTCTTATCCGCGGCCAGTCTAGATAACTCTACTGCAGTACTCATCGAGAAGGCCTCAAATCCGGCCACAAAAGGTTTGGCTGACTGATAACAGCATCTGATGTCCAAATGAATCTTTTAATTTGACCGCAGTTTGGACTCGCAGGAGACAGCGAAATGATGGAAAGCCAAACGCTTGCATACCCGTAGAGCGCCTCAAGGTCCTAGAGCTCTTCAGGTGACGCGGCCTCAGCGTGTTAAAACGAAAACATAGTACCTTGTCTGCCTTCTCATCCGAGTCAGACTCGAAGCAGGCTATTGGGGTTGCCAAGCCATTTTCGTATCGTAACGTCTCCACCAAATCTCGCGGGGAGATACGAAGTTGAAATGCTGCAAACATGCTCTATTGACGTACTGTTTGTACTGACACTGCTTCAATGGTTCGGTTTGAGCAGGAGGAAACGAACCGATGGATATTTTGGAACACAGACCAGGGCGCGTAAACCAAGAATGCAGTGATATTGTGCCCTATTTCACGCGCAGACGTGGATGTGTGGTGAAGGATTGTTCAAGAGGCGCACCTTAAGAAAAGGGTACGAAGAGGTGGAAGCCGTGAGTCCTCCATGAGACGCTCACTTTTTCCAATGTCCACGGCATCGAACGCGGCCATGGCTCGCGATGGCAATGCGGTAGCGCGAGTTCCAAGGCGCTGCATTTTTTCTTTGTGGCCTTTCTTGAGTTTTCGGTCGCACGAAAATATAGGCAGGAAGGGCACGGAACTTCCGCCATGCCAATGCAAGGACATCCACAGGGATCAAGTCCAGATTTTGGTCAAACTCCGTTTATCTTGGTGCCTAACGCGAAATGGTGGCTCCATTGTCGAGATAGTGGCACAGAGAAACGATGCTGCCAGACAAGAAGAGTCGTAAAGGCCAAGATGGTGCACAGCGCTGGCAAGAAGTACACAGGAGGCCTGCCGCCACCGAGCTCAGACTGGTTTGCGGTTGACGGTGAGCCCGGTCCGCCTCGGGTTGACCCGAAAACCTCCGGGTACCATAGCCAAACTCCGAGTCTTCATCCGCTCAGCGATTTCTGTGGCTCGAAAAGACCTTGGTCCGAACGATGCTTACAGGCTATCTACCTTCTTATCACCATCACTCATGTGATAATATAAGCCTTTCTCCCAGTCTCAGTGGTTCCCAAATACTCAGTGTCCCTCCGAAAACATGTCCAAAACCCGTGTATGATTATAATTGAAACAATCGTGTACAACAAGCAAAATCGCAGTAAAATCCCGCTCGGAACCTAATCCCAATGCCCTATCCCCGGTATCACCATCCTTCGTAAATATAGATACAATGTTTGATGCCATACTTCGCGCGCGAACCTAAGAATCCCAAAACTCAACCAGCCCATCCAAGCACCTAACGCTTAGCACCAGACCCCAAAAGCGTCATTGGCACGTCCTTCAATCCCTCGGTAACCAAACTGGCTCGTTCGCATCGAGCCTCATTGGAGCCTTACCCGCCCTCACCTTCGTCCTACTCATCTCTGCCGCATGCCGAATAACGGTCATCTTTCTCGTTCTGGTCTCTTCCTCTGGTCTCAACCCGCTAAGCCTCGTCGATTCTCCAATGCTAGGAGTGCCAGGACCACTTCCACTGGCGCCGACACTGAGTCCACTGAGTCCTATACTGGAGAAGGTAGCCTTGAAGCTCGGGCGTCTGACATTGCTGCCTTCACCGCCTTTGAAACTCGGCCTCCTCAAGGTGGCGACGCTCGCTCCCAGACCTCCGTTATCATCCACTTCGGAAGCTACTTGTCGACTAGTATGCGCACCAGCGCCTCTCCTATCGGAATCATGGTCCTCAATGTCGTCGATAGGTATGGCCTCCTCGATCTCCACGCTCAACAGCTGGATCTCGGGGTCCAAGGGGTCGGAATGCGGAGGGAGAGAGGGCGTTGAATCGCCGAAGGCGGTCTTGGGGCTGAGCAATCCGAGTGTGCGAATCCAGTGGAGAACCGCACCAAGTGAGACATGGACTTCCCATGAGCCACCTTCCTGCGGGCGTTAAAAGCAGTCCGTTACGCCACATCGAACGGCATAGGATTCGAGCAAATGTAAGATGGGGATCGCACAATGAAGGGAAGCAGCGATGATTGAGCAAGCTAGACCTAGAGAGATCAAGATATTTTACGAACCGTGATAGTCTTACACAACGCCACAGATATGCCATACGCCAAGAAATATCCCGCAGCGTGATCTAGAGCTTGCATTGGTAACTCGCGATACGGCGGCAAATTAGAGGTATCGAACTGTGGGTTAGATTCCTGGAGATATTGCGCGTAGGCGGTGGCTTCCGCGACATTCATCCCGCCCATTGTCTGCAAAAGGGAATCGAACTAGGGTGTCCCGCGCCAGATCGAACCACGGCAATAAGGATCAAAAGCTTCATCGTTAACGCCGTTTAAATCTGATAAAAGAAGAAGAAACGGAGACCTACCCCCTTCATGTCGCCCAATGCGCCACCCCTCTGATGAGCCGTCAAACTTGCATAAACAACTCCCGGCCTCATCTTCGCCACATCTTCAGGCCCAAACCCTTTCTTCGCTAGGCCGCCGGGCCTGTACGCCTGTAGGAAAACGTCACAGTCTTTGACGAGGTTGCGGAGTTTATCTGAGTCGGTAAGAGATGGTTGGGACTCGGAGGCGGCAGCTGCAGAGGAGCGAGCACCACCTATGGACTGATGAGTAGTGGCGGGAACGGTCGTGGGTTTCGAGGTACACGGAGAGGTAGTGGTAATTGGTCTTGAGGTGGAACTTGGAGTCGAAATTGGGGTCGATGACGGCTGGGGGGTTGGCTGTTCCTTCGAAGAGGGTGTAGGAGACGTCACTGGTGTCGGCTTCATTGTGGAGGTTGTAGGAACTGATGTCATCGTCGAACCACGACTTAGGGGCGGACTGCGATTTGAAGGCGGAGTCGGAGTTGTTGCAGAGGGATGAGAAGCGCGCGAACTCAAAGGGGGTCGGTATGTGGATGAGACGCCAGGAGCCGGAGTGGGGTGCGTAGACGGATGGGTAGATTGAGAGGCAGCAGGTGACATTGGCGGGGATGAAATGGGAGATTGTTGAGTATTGGGTTTAGTACTAAATGGGATAGCGGGAGGAGGCGACTGAGAAGTCATTGGATTTTGGGAGGTGGCTGTGGAGGGAGGATTGGGTAATGGTCGGGAGGCGGCGAGAGTAAGGTCAAGTTGAGTAGTGCGTTTGCCGCGAGATGTTTCGACATCTAGGGCAGGAAGGGCAGGAAGGTTGGGGGAGGTGACGAGTAGCACATCGGCACCATGAGCTATATCGTTTCAAATTCATACCACGCCGGCATGACAATCAAACACTGCAACGGTCAGCTTGCCTTCCTCGGAGAAGCGGAAAAAGAAAGACGACAGACCAGCCAATGTTCTCCCACAAATCGGACCCGCCAAAACTCTCGTTAAATCCAAAACTCTGATGTCTTCCAGCGCCCCCTCCACTGCCCGCGTGGCATACTTCGAAACATCCCTTTTCGGTGCGTCCCCTATCTTCCTAATGTCTATCGGCCCGTCATTCACAGCCTGCCTGGCGTGAGGGAGCGCATCGCTCTCTGCGAACGGACGAAGAGCGACAACTGGTAGATTCTGTGCCATGGCTATCTCTTCGAACGAAAGGGCTGTGTGTAAAGAGAGCGCTTTCTCAATTGTTGCTCGCGTGGCGGTGGCAGGAGTGAGGCCGAGAAGGCGGAGGATGTCCTGTTTGTGACTGCAAAGAAATTGATGAAATTGTAGGAGAGAATCAGCCGAAGAAGGCCTTTGAAATGGGGGACGGATACTGACTGTGGGAAGTTCATGTGAAGTCGAACATGACCCTCCTTTGCACGGTACATGCCCGTTAGCTCGTCACGAAGGCCTTCTGTGTATGTACTACCGTCGATAGTGTAGTACTTTTCGCTGTCTGGGATATTGCCGGGCGATCATAATTGGGATGGATGAACTAAGAGAAAGCTAGACGAGAGGAAACTGTAAGGACTCACTGAACTCGATGATAGCATGCCTAGCGTTAACCTTGACCTCCTGCCTTTCCCCCGTCCTCAGTTTGTGAAAATAGGCTGCCCCGAGCGCTGAGATTCCAATCGAAGTCTGCATTATATCGATAGTCAACGAGATGCAGTCATGTCCTCAAATATCTGTAGCAGAGGCTTCAGTGGTAAACGCACCTGTGCTGCCGTTCCGAGCTTGAAATTTGACTTCACAGCTGGATCCGGACAATTGTCCAACTTCAACGAGCGTAGCTCATCTGGAGGAAGGCCACACTCTGTCCAAAGACTGAGGGCAGGAGCGAGAATTATTTGTTCCACAAGCCTGTCCATCATCTGAATACGCGGATGGTGAACAACTCTACTCGAGGACAGCTATACACCTTGCCTTACCTTGTGTTCGATGGGGATGGAAAACGTAGACTGTCGGTAAAGGTTTCCTCGCCTCGCTACCCGTGTGGTTGTGAAGTGGAAAGAGAGGGTTCGGAGGTTGGGGCGTGAAGCGACTCGTGCTTTATGTTTCGTCGGAGACGCCGAACGGGCGGCTACTAAAGCAAAAAGCTCATGGATACAGTCTGAGAATGGAATTTATGAGTGACAGCCTATGAGAGGTGAGCGGAGTACCTGTACACGCAGGGACCACCTTCTTCCAGCAGAATTGATGGAGATATAGGCATGTTCACGGTCTTCTTTTGTACCAGATCCGAGCCTCCGAGTCCGTCTAGGCCAAGCGTCAGGGCCACACCTTCCGTCGTCTCCGTCGGACGGTGGGGTAAGCTGATTGGTGTCTCGGCGAACGGAGCTGGGAACGGAGTAAAAGGGAGTAAAAGCCGCATCCGAGGGAGCCGGGGTTAAAACGGAGACTTTGTTATCTAAAAAAATTTCAAAAAGATCGGGTTGGACTGTCTTGCAGTGTCTTGCCCTGGCACAAAGCGATCAGAAGAGCCGGCGGCAGACATGGATATCCAAGAATCTGTATCTTACGTAAGTAACGGGAACGAGAAACGGAGCAAATCGTCCCGGCCCAGGAACCGCTGGCATCGATCGTCTCTAAGACGGCGAGCCTCGAGGCGACGGAGCATGCAAAAGCGCAAAACAAAATCTCGGAGGTGCTGCGTATAGCGCCGCACTATTAACCCAAGCTCTCCAACTAATCAGTCGTACGACTTACCATCACCCATATGCTTCGGTTCCCTTGTTCTCCTTCGTCTCGCACAATTTAGGAAGGATTGTCGAGCCCTCGAAATCTGTCGAAACCCTTAGAAGACAATCCATGAACACGTTGCGCGAGAAGTTTCTCCAAGTGTATGTCCTCATGCGCACCATTCTCTGTCTAGCAAAATCCGCTTGCCTAGAACAGGAACCAGCGGAAAGCTCGTGCTTTCGAACTGACAGGCAAAACACATCTAACTTGACGGTTTCCTTTTGTGGTAAATCCGCCGGTTCGAGCTACTGCTTATCCCGATCATAGACACCGTAGATAGTGCCGGTAGTTCGCCAGTGTCGCTAGCTTCGGACCAGTGGGTGCTTTGGCGTGCTCAACCACATCCAGTCGTCTTCCCTCATCAGCTAATGGCATAATGATCACATGGTGGAGCGACAAGCAAGTGACAAGACTCGGAATCGAAGGGTCGCTGTTTGACAATGCCTTGGCAAAATGACATCGGAGCCAGCAGCCACAACTGAGGTAGATGTAAGGGCTCACCGTCATCGACAGGAGTATAAGGAGCGTGAGTGTACGCTGGTGCTCGCGCATAAATTTGATACATCCCACACCACTACGACTGTCACCCTAAAGTCTAGCATGGGCGAGTGACACAAGAAGTCTTCGGAGAGGAGTTCGTACGGCAACGATGGAAGTGTGCGTCATGATGATGGCAACATTTCCGCTATCAGACCAGATTCGCCGTAAACGCCACATCGGCGGGTCGTTCTTTCTACTACCCTCGTTATGCGCGTTGACTTTCAATTACCACCTTCAAGAACCCAAGAACACACACACAAGCATGATTCGATTAGACAAGCACAAAAGAGGAAATGCAAAGTGTAGAACCCCGCTAACAACCTTTGAGGTTCATAACCATTCATGGAATCGAAGGAAAGGGCTACTCCCGTTACTCATACAACGAAAGAGATAAAAATGGGAGACCACAAATACACCACCACCCCGCCATACATATACATCCACAGTAGGGTTTTCCAACTAGTAATACTGCGATTGATGAAATGAACGTTTGTAAATGTCAAAGTTGTCTTGTGTCGAACGAGCTCTGGCGAGCGACATGCCTATCAAAGACGACCCATCAGCGCATGAACTCGGGGAGGAACGAAGTTTAACGGCAGACCAAATTCAGACGTACCTCTTCAAGCCGTCACGGTAAACGCCGACCAGCTGCCAGCACCACTAAGGGTGATCTTCGACGTGAACTGACGGTCGACAGTCGCGGAAATACCGATCCCGTCGCTCAAGCCAAGCGACAGGGCCGAAATGGTGAGCGTGCTGTCCGAGTTGAGACTCTGCTGTCCCGCCAAGGCGTTTATGTTGCTGTAATCGACCTCAGCACCGCTGGAGCTGAACGGTCCAGGCGGTCCAGTGAAGGACGGCGAGGCAGTGAGGGAAGAGGTGAAGTAGTAGACGGTGGGGATGGCCTGCTGGTTCAGAGTGCTGGTGTATGCGAATACGCCAACGAAGGCACTGTAGTCCGCGAGGGACAAGACGGAGCCGGTGATGGAGTTGGTCGGAACAGTGGTCTGAGGTGTGATCTTCAGCCAGGTTCCCTTCCCGGAGACGGCGGTCATGACCTTCACGGGAGATCCCTGGATCGTAGCAGAGATGGTGGGCCCGGTACCGAGGGCGAGGATGATGCTGGCCTTGTTGACGTTGCCGGAGATGTCGATGTCGGTTCCTGTGAGGGCATTGAGGCTGGCGTAGGTGAGAGTCGCGGTGGCGTTGTTGGTGAAGAAATCAGTGAGGGTGGCAGAGGAGTCGTCGGGCTTGATGGTCGCGAAGAGAAGGTAGACGTTGGACCCGCTGGCGAATACGGCCGCGAGAGTGCCACCGCTGGCGACGGTCCTGAGGGAGCCGGTCATGGTGCTGCCAGACATCTGCGGGAGAAGAGAGCGAAGGGGCTGGTTTGAGGACGCAGATGTGATAGCGAAGAAGGTCAACGGTCTGCTCACGATATTGTATGAAGGGTTTGATAGGTTGAGGCGGATTGAGCTGTGGTTTGAGAGGAATGGATAGCTCGGTAGATAGCAAAGTAGTTTGTTACTTGGCTTGCTGGAGGGATATGCCCCCTCATACAGTCCTTATATATGTGGTCAGGACGCCTTGGAGGCTCAAGAAATCACCTTTTCGCAATAAAGATGACTCAGAGGACGGCAAACTTGTCGTGTAAACGAAGTCTGCTAACTCCGGTCAGTACCTCACGAAGACCAACAGAATCAGGTACGTTGAAAGACATACTTTTGCGAGTGTCTATGCCGATCTTGCACAGGGGCCAGGGCAGAATGTATTGAACATTGGGCGCGTTCTACACCCCGGTGATCGCGAGCGATCCTACACATAGCTTCAGTAGAGGGTATAGGACGAAAACACACAAAAGCTGCGGGAAGCTGAACGACCCTATTGTCATTTCGCCGTCTAATGACAGATGCATGTTCACAGACCCAAGCACTGAGCGATGAATTCTCAAAAACGACGGATTCCGGTGGAATCACGATGAGTCCCCCTTGACCTTAAGATGGCAAGGACAAAAGGCTAGACAATTCACTTTTGGCCATAGCAATTAAGCCAGGGAACAAGTGACGAGAGAATTTTAGCGGTTGGACAATCAGCGCTCAGAGGCCACAAAAGGCTACTGGTCATATTGTCGTCGGGGATGACTATGCATTGCATTGGCCGACATTCGTAAGGCCTAGGCTGGCAGATGCATGTTCCCAAGGTCAAGTCCCTACCGGAGAACGTTCGTAAACGTGAAAGGGTGCGCAGGTCCCAAGATAAAATGACCAAGCAGCCACAGAGCCACTGACCGTGTGAGTGATGCCGTTCTGAGGCGACAACTCTGGTTTAACAATCGTGGAGGGCAAGTATAGGGACTTCCATGATTTTTGATTTACGCCATGTATTGATGTAAGCGTCTGACGAGTCAAGTCGGTCGAATCATCGCGGGCGCCAACGTCAGCTGGAAGGGAAGCTTGAAGTCTGAACTAGAGGTATAAACACCGCGCATCATGGGGCTCAGACGGACAACTGAGCCAGCTCAACGCGTAAGATAGAATGCTGAACGTGTAAATTAAACACTGAGGCGCTTTCAACGGACTGAAAGAGACTCACCCGAGTCGCGGTACCGGCCCTTTTCGCATAGCACATAATATAATTACCGTCTGATCTCCTCGGACACCATCCGTCATTTCTTCGCACCAAAAAGGGTACCGGTGTTTAGAGGATGGAGGTACTAGCATATCAGCACCGGCGGCGAACAAAAAGTACCTGTGAAGCACCGAAGGTCTGAATTCAACCAACGATCCAGGAGGAAAAAGGGATAGGGGCCTGGAACTTAGTCATAACAAGATGAGCGGGGTTAGTCGAACGCTGACGGGCGAGATGGTACTCAGTCTGGACGGGTTTAGTTCAATCTTGAGTTGTATCGTCACCACTGCTCATATCATTACTAACGTGAAAGACGACATCCCCATTGTCCAACTTCGCGAACATCAGACTCAGCCACAAGAATTAAAATGGAGGATTAGAAAAAATAATTTTCATTCCCGCGTCTACGAGAGGAGGAAAAGCCGAGGTGGTATGTACTCCAACCGAGCCCGTGGTCCATTTTCTAAACACGCCACACCAGCCTGTTTCCAATCGACCATATGAGTAAAAGAGTCTCGACAGCAGCTATGAATGGACACTTCTTACCACAACACCCCGTCTAGTAGATCAGCGAAGACATGTCGGCACGAATACGGTTATAGTCGAGCAGACCCTCGATCGAACCAATAGCAGCCATGGAGAACTATAATGATCCAATTCCAGTCAGTAAGAAGGTACAAAGACGGTATGGAGGGAAACAGTTTGGACTCACGTCCTTATCCCAAAGGTACTTCTGCGCCACACGCTTGATCTCATCCGGAGTAACAGCATCGACCGCCTGCTCGATCTGCTGAGGCGTCATCCTCCGTCCCGAAGTGACCAACTGCCTCCCAATATCCTCCGCAATGGCCGTCGTTCCATCCAGGCTCAAAAGCAAGCTCGCCTTCAACTGGCTCTTCGCCCTCTCGACCTCCACGCTCGTCGGGGCGATGCTCATTCTTGTCCACTCCTTGAGCGTGAAGTGCATGACATCGTCCAAATTGTGCAAGTTCTCCGAGACGAGGTAGATACCCCAGAGACCGGTGTCGGAGTAGGATGTTGAGAAAGACATGTACGAGTTGGCGAGGTTGTTCTGTGAGATGATGTGCGAGAGGCGCGAGGAGAGGAGCGAGGCGCTGCCAAGAGCACGGTCCCAGTTGCCGAAGATGGATTGCATGACGAGCATGGGGTAGTAGTCGGGTGAGGACCAGCCAACACCCTCGACAGCGATGGCAATGTTCGCGGTTGGGATGTCGTCATCACGGACACGAACTTCAGAACCGATGAACTTCGTCTTGGGGTGCGCGAGGCGGCCGAGAGGAATGGGGTTGGAGGAGACGGGGAGGGTGGAGAAGGATTTTTCGGCGGCTTTGACGAGCTCGTTGTGGTCGACACCACCAGCACCGACGAGGACCATGCGGTCGGCGGTGTAGTTGGTCTTGATGTAATTGGAGAGGTCGTCCTTCGTGATGGAGAGGATGTTCTTCTTGGGTCCGAGGATGGTGCGGCCAAGAGGTTGACCTACAGAGCAGGCGAAATGCTTAGTTGTTATGTTATTCTCTTCGGTCAAGGAGGATTCGACGTACCTTGGAAAGCAACCGAGTGCAAGTGGTCGAAAACGACCTCCTCATGCTGCTTGTCCACCTCCTGCTGCTCCCTCAGGATGACATCACGCTCCCTCTCTATCGCACTGTTCTCCAGCTTCGAGTTCTGCAAAATGTCGGAGATGATGTCAACCGCCTGAGGAACGTCCTTGCGGAAGCTCTTGGCATAGTAGACCGTCTGTTCGCGCGAAGTATACGCGTTCAGGTGCGCGCCGAGGTTCTCGACTTCGAGCTCGAGGGCGTGTTGTGAACGACGGCCGGTACCCTTGAAAGCCATATGCTCAAGGAAGTGAGCGGTACCGTTCGTCGCGTCCGTCTCCGCACGCGAGCCGGCGTCAATCCAGACACCAACGGTGGCGGTCTGCGCATGTGAGTGCGACTCTGTAGCGACAGTCAGACCATTCTTGAGGGTAGTGATCTGCGTCTCTGGGCTCGTCGACACTGACGACGAGGCAGTCGCGAAAGACCGGAGAAGGGGGGCCTATTTTGTGTGCAAAATTACCGGTGAATTTCCCAAAAATTCGACGACATTCAGACATAAAGAAATATACTGACTGGGTGGCGCGAAGCCCGTAGAGAGCGGCCGAGAGAAGAGGCGAGGGCGGCTCGAGAAACCATCGAGGAGGAGAGGAAACAGTGCGCTTGTCCAGTCAGGCTCGAGCTGTTCGACCACCCGCCGACAATTCCCGGCTTCCGCGCAAATGCGACGCCCGCCACGTGCCGCCCTGATTTCTCCCCCAAACTCCTTCCCCATACGGTCCCCCGTCCAATCCGCGTTCTCCGTTTACGAACCCACCAAGAAGCAGTAACAGCCTTTCTAGGATGCAGCTCAAAAAATCACGCTTTAGAGGCTAAGTCGAATAATAAATATCCCGAACCGTGAAACGCTCTTGGAGCGTGAAGTGGGCTGCGAGTCAAGTAACCATACCAATTATATTGTGTGCCAACATACTGCGATGCGTACCACACAAACTGTTCAGTTACCTCCTACCTAGTTATTGAATTCTGTATTCGAGCCTCCGTCTACATTACGTTCACGTCTCCTTAGAGTCGCCCCCAAGAGTCAACACTCCACCTCCCGAGAACCGAGTCTGACACCTGGACCTCCACGCCACGGTGCATTCGCTTTACCCTCTCCGCCATCCCATCCGGCATTATGCATCGCGTCAACGTCACCTGCGAGAGCGGTGATCGCAGTCCCTTTCGGTACTCCAACATGCCCACCAATTTTCCGTCCATTGCGGGATCGTCTTCCGTGAAATCCACATTATAGAGTTCCAGATGGGTAAGCCTAGTAAAGTAGAGATAACGTGGAGCACGGGTCGGACCTGTCTCAGGGTCGTCGAAGTCTATCTCGGGGAAAAAGGGGGAATGAAGATGTTGAACGGCCTCAAAAGAGGACGTGCGTAGGTATCTGACATTATACAATTGTCGCAGAGTGCGCCAGATATCCCAGTCCAGGATATCCTCCGATGCGAACTCAGCAACAGCCACCGTGTCGATCTTGTCGACGATGGGCACAGAGCTAGAAAAAGCTAGTTCCATGATAAGCGGGGCGTCTGGCATATTTCCTCCTTCAACGTCTGGATCGCGAACTATTTCGACGCTCAGACACTCTTCGAGTGTTGAACCATCAAGGCCAGAGTAATGACGGGGACTGTCAATGGAATGAGTCGCCGATGTAGCATGACGCGCAAGCGAGAACGTAGTGTTACTATCCCCGTGGAACGGGTCCAGGAAAAGGGAGCTGTATGGGTCTGCACGACGGTTCATATGCGTAGACAATGCCGAAAACACGTTCGAAATGTCTTTGTTGCATGCTTCCTTTCCGTATAAGTCTATGGAAATTTCGATGACAACGTCGGGTGACGATCCAATGGCGTGTAGGACATGTGTACAAACATGAACCGTGTCCCAGATGTACAGCTTTGTGAGGTACGGGAGGTCAAACCGACGATGAAGTGAATGTGTGGTGTAACTGGCGCTGCTCGATGGAAGGCACTCGGTAAGGGACAAGAATTCGAGTCGGAGATTACGATTGAGCATGTCGTAGAAACCATCGTAGGACGGTAGGCGACTGTTGCTCCCGCCGGTAATGGCGAGCTCTGTGAGCTCGCTGAACAAGGATGAAGTCCAATTATGACCAACACTCTCCAGTCGCAACGTACGAAGACAAGAGGGACGATTTCCAAGAAAATTCTCGGGAAGACATAGGTCGATGATGTCGAGATCAAGTTCCTGAAGGACAGGCGCGGGTTTGTTGAAGGTGTCCATCACCGGAAAGTGGATCCGTTGAGGTATACCACCAAATATATGTATGACTTTGATGCGACCTAGATGGCGATCTATAGTGTCGAGAACAGCACGATAGACACTTTGGGGATTTTCCCATGTGGGCAGTGACCATCCAGATGCGGAGTGAAAGCGAATTGTCAACGGGGCACTTTTCGATCGGGAAATCATCTCTGCTGCCCACCGTGGACCTAGGTCCCACGTTGGCGTGACCCAGAGCGAGGCTGCGTCGAGAGCAATTGCCCTCCATCGGTGGCAGACATGCGTTATAACGATCCAGCCGCACTGGACTTGCATTCTTGGATGTTTGGCAAGAAGTTTGGGGACATAATCTTCGGCCAATATTAGGAAGCACCGAGTAAGAAGCTCGACAGGTAGCTTGTCGATTGGCGGTGGCATGATTGGCGTGGTTGTTAGAGACAAGGGAGTGGCGTTCAAGAGACTGTTGAAGCAAGGTACCGTACATGCACGGAATAGGTACACCCAAATTTGAGTGAGCATATATATGGAACAGAGAGGTTATAGCTTACTATTTATCGTCGGGCGCAGAGGACATGCGTACTCATGGGTTTTGAGCCTGTCACGGTGCTGTCGCACTGGCAGCTGTATGAGCGTCTAGGCTTATACGAACCTACTTATTTGGTGAGTCGCGTAACCGTGACTCGGGGGTGTCTTCAGGTTAGGCTTACTCCTAGTAATCTGTTCGTGTAGGAAAGTGAACTCGGACCTGCCATCTCCAATTAGACAATCGCGCGGAGTTCGAAAACCGGCAGTGTCCGAAGACACAAATGAGTCAACAAACGTCCTCGAACTGTGACTCGCCACGCGTTGTTCAACCCACTGCCAGTTGTGTAGTGGTGAGTACTAGTGCAGAATCTCTGTACTTTCACTTATTTTTTCCATTATAGTAGCTAATTGGTGCGTGTTAGAAGAGAGGTTTCCATCCACGCATCCAAAATCTCAAGTCCGCACCAAGTCCGCACTCCAGTACTGAGGATCGGAGCCTATCGGAACACGCTAATAGAGAGTGAGCCCAGTAGTTTCCATGAGTTTTCATAATTGTGCTCATACGTTCTCGATGTATCTGGTCCATCCCTTTATCAAGCCATCGAGTCCATGTTGCCTCAATATGCTGCCGCAGCAGCCTCTCCATCAACTACGCCCTCACCAATCCACAAATTACCCGTCGAGATTCTTACTCGATGCTTCATGGAATTGGCTAAAGATAACCCTCCTCACGTCACCAAAAATTTACTCCATCCAGACGGTATTCGAATCGAAGTCCACTACGGTTGGTTAATCGCGACATATGTCTGCCATCGTTGGAGGTCCGTCGCTCTCAATGCGGCTTCACTTTGGGCTACTCCGACATGGGTTCTTGGCGCACGGTGGTCCGAAGAGATGCTCGCGCGATCGAAAACCGCTCCGCTGACCATTCGTTGCGATGTTTCCGAGTGTCCACCTGCGTGGAAAAGCCGTGAACGTCTCAATCTCGCTGTTGTCGATGCCATTGCAGATCATCTTCATCGCCTAAAAGCCATAGATATTTCTGGGATTTTACCTGATGGACTCAGCTTTCCAGTGATGCAATCGTTGACCAAGCCGGCGCCTTTGCTTCAGGAGCTGGATTTCGAGCAATACTGGAGCGACGAAGGCTTGATACTTCCCAAAGATTTTCTCGGGAACAGCTCCTCCTGCATTCAAAGTTTGCGATTGGGGGATGTCGCAAGCGATTGGACTTCGCCTCTGTTCAGGGAACTCACAGAGGTCGCCATTACAGCCAGGTTCGACGGCCGATTGAACTCCTGCGACGGTCTCTACGAAATGCTCGAGCGTAATGCCCGACTCGAATCATTGACCCTGGGAGAATACCTCCCTCTGAGCGACAATCATGATTCCTCCACACGTCGGCTTCGTCCTCGGATTGCTCTTCCATGTCTGAAAAGGCTGACTGTCGCCGAACATGCCTACGGTTGTGCTCAGATCTTGAACGTCATCGAGTTATTCGCCGACGCCGTCATAAACATATCGTTGTCCCTATTCGAATCGCACACTCACGAGGAAGATATTTCGACTATGTTTTCAGCATTGTCCGCACATATACACCCTTCTTCTCATCGCACTCTTTTCCTGGAACCCACCGAAGACGTTCTTGGAGGCACGATGCTCACGCTCGAGCGTCATACCACAGAGTTTTCCCCGACCAACCTTAACCACCTCGCCAGTAACGAGGCCAGAGATTGGGTATCCATCCACATACATCCCGGCTACGATGGTATCCCCGACGAGGATTCAGATATAACGGACGTACCGAATGCGACGCGCATCATGAAAGCGGCCCTTGACTACATGCCGATCATCGACGATGTCGACATTCTGGTTGTAGCTCCATTCGAGTCGGAGAAAGTGCCGGATATGTGGTGTGGTCTCCAGCCCTTACGCAACGTCAAATACCTACGCACATCATCCCGTGAAATCATACGACATCTTCACCTCACGTTCTTCCTCCCCATGTCAGATGACAACGACACCGAGGATTCTATGGAGCCGGATCGTGATCCAGGCTATCTCTACCCTGGCCTCAAGCTCCTAGAATTCTACAAGGTAGACTTCACGAAAGACTACCCAGTAGTCGAGGAATCGTTGATCGCAATGCTGAGGGGGCGCAGAATGTTGGGGTCACCTTTAAAGTGGCTTCTCTTTACGCGATGCCGGATGCCGGATGGTATGGTGGGAAGGCTGAAGGCAGCAGAGGATGGGCTAGAGGTACTGTCGCCAATGTCTGATAATTGATGGGTATCCTCCAGAGAGCTCGGCGGAATATGAATCGTGTGTCCGTTTGTTGCGTGGTGTGGTCCATGCGCGAAATTTGAAGGGTTCGAAACCGGTTGGACCACGAATGGCTACTCATTGGGACATACTTCAGGACGAAGGTTATGGTAGGAAGTCCGCAGAATGATGAGAAAGTTCAGTGCATGAACGCTGAATTGGGGGTGGCGGAATGCCTAGAACGACAACTCGACAATCTATTTCCTACACATCACATCACGGTGACTGAACATAAGCAACAATATTATCCAATAAGACAGTTCAGAGGTATAAGATATAAGTTCGGAGGTATAGAATGTAACAGGGTACCGTACAAAAAAATGAATACACAGGAGGCAGAATAGCGAAGGGATACGAAAACAAACAACAAGGAGATATCGAAAGCGTTAAGAATGAAGTCATGAAATAATCGTCGAAGAGAGGTGAATACTGAACACGAGCAAGTAGAAAGAAAGAAAGAAATCCAAGCGCCAGACAGGGACAGAAAGCTAGCACATCATCACCTTACGTCCCCACCTCCCCAGCGACGATACCATCACACTCAGATCCTCCGGCATGACCCCAGACGCCGTTAGGGGTGTCGAGACCCCGTTACCCCCGCCAAACCGAGATGCCAAAAGTGTAGCCGCCTCGAGATCAGCCTCATCCATGGTCGCCACGGAGCGCTCACTGTCACTCCCTCCTTGGCCCGTCAACGAGCCTTCCTTACTCGTGTCACTGAATGAGCCCGGGGCCTCTGGGAGCATTGGCGAGGTTGAAGGAGGAGTGGAGGTGGAGGTGGAGATGGAGGTAGAAGACGAAGCTGAAGGTCCATCGGGGAGCACTGGAGGGTCAAGGAGGGGTGGATCCTCGCTCTCGACGCTCCGTTGGCGTTTGAGGATGACTGGGGCTCGAGCCTTCGTCGACCCACCCTGCGCCCCCTTACGAGCCTTCGTCGCCTGAGCTTTCCTCCTCGGGGTTGACTTGGGAGCTTTCAGTCGCATCCTGAGGAGCTTCCGCCCCTCTAGCTGTTTCCTGTTCCCAAACCATGTGTGAATCTTGCGTGCTTGGCCTCTTCTGAAAACGATAAATGGATGGCCCATCAGCTCCATGAACTATATTCGAGTCGGACGGGACACATGCAGAAATGTAGTAGAGTATAGAAAACAACTACTCACCTCCCCACTTGTATGGCCAACTTCGCGCAATCCTCGAGGGTAGGTGTCTCGCTGACGTTCCGAAAGTGCGCCATGAGGACCATGCCGTCGGGCTTGTCAGGGTAGATGTGGTCTTTGCGACCGTCATAGTCCGCATCGCCGGGCTTGGGCTTGGGTTCCTTTGCCTTCGACGATCTCGACTTTCTCCCAGTGGGTTGGCTTTGAGTCTCGACTTCGGGCAAAGAGGAGGAGGAGGAAGAGGGTATCGGGGTGTCAGATGGTGGCAAGGACTGGAGGGCCACGATAGCACCGGACTTCGCCTTAGAATTGCTCGGAGGCTTTGTCTTTGGGTAAGGCTGAGATGAGGAGGCAGCCGCGAGTCGAGATGAGGTGCGGGTCGGGGTAGCGGTAGATTTGGACTTGGTTGCGCGAGGCATGATGCGGCTGTGTTGGAGATAAAATGTGAAGGGTATGGGAGACAAGCAATATATATAGGCAGCGAGGTATGGGATAAGGATGGGAACAGGACAGCGGGGTTGTGGGCGTGGATGTGGGATGCGAATGCGCGCTAAAGGGCGGACGAGGGAGGGTTTCTAACGGGAATGCAGCTCGAGCAGACAGCCTTTATATACCTCTGGCATGCCTTGCCTGACACTCCTTCCTTATATAGACGTATAAGGGCGTGCGGAGAAGTCGGATGGCAAAGAGAAGCTGCATTGCCATCATCCTTTGTCCTCCGCCTGTGCTGCCACCGAATTTTATTAGCTATGGCCTTCAAGGGGGCGTGGCTGGCAACCAGCATTGACGTTTGCCATCCGGTGACGTCCCTGGTCATTGTTCAGGGTCGTGGCCGGTAACCAGCGAGCGAACAAAGATCGACCCTAAGCGAGTGGCACCGAGCACCGGAGCACAGCCGCCCCAATCTAGCGATTATCTAGCATTGTCGACGGATCTCCCTAGAGAAGATGTACAACTAGTTAACGTCAACGAGGCTCGAAAGGCATCGATAGCATAGTATCAGAGAACGGTAAACGATGTCTCACCGGGTTTGAAATAGGAAACTGGATCCCGTGGGATTTCTCAATCTGGACGAAGCGTAACGAAACGGAAAGGCCGCCAGCTGATTGGTATTTCTCGCATCCGACCACAGTAAGATATCGTCGAGCTGCGAGCTGGGGTCGGTTCGCGGCTCGCGGTTAGAATCGAGCCACGCTACTAAGACCATATTATCTCTGTTCTATCGTTGACCTCGGGCATCCGCTGGACGCCTACAGGTGGCCAAAGCCATCGGTAAGCGGTCAATGTCGATTCGCGCAATGTCGAGGATGTACAGAGTGTTAGGGGGACCTCTGCCCATAGCCACTTTAGGAGCTGTGAGCGGGAAAGGAAGGTGTGTCAGCGAGCATTGTTGGGGTGCGATCACCCGCATAGACAAAGACAACGACAAAAATCATGGGGTAAAGGAGTTGAATTGCATAAGATCAGACGACTATGGATACACTGTGGGTGGACATGGATGGACGAAGGTGACAGATGAGGTTCAAGATGGACGATATGGGCTGCATATGATGTGAAGAACATTACCAAGAACATGGCGTAGATGCAAGTGACAAGACACGTGGAAAACATAGCTGCTAATACAAAACACAGAGGACGGGTGCGAGTTTATGAAGATAGGTGGAAGCGTAAAAGGGCGCTGACGACCGGAGAGAAAACGGGAATGTGACGAAACGGAGAGCTTTCACGGATGATGTTTAGAGCATGTCGAATATGGAGGGTCCTTGAGGATGATGAGTGGAGATTGCTGGCGGAGCATAGATGTTCGAGAGTATACATTGACGTGAGATGGGTGTGCACTGGGTGAGTGCATGGAATGGGCATTCGGAAGACGTCTTGATTATGAGGCCTGGCTAGATTGTTCAGCGCCATTCATGTTCCTCACCGTCCTCGACTTCTGAGTCCTCGTGCCATTCATCAGAGCCATCTGTGAATTCGCAGCTTCCACATCAGTATGACAAGGCCCAAGGGAACGAGACCACACATGAAGGCCGAACGGAGGGAAAACAAGTAAGAAATCTCTTACCACCTTCGTTAGACGACCATTCGTCAGTGTCCGCATCAGGATAGTCGTTTCTGTAGTACCCTTCATCTACACCGACAGACGCCAGTGAAATAAGACAAATGTGGATCATATGACTGGAGAGAGCGGGTGCATACCGTTCGAGTCCTCGTCCGCTTCGTCTTCAGGCTCAGATTCCGCATCAGACTCGTCGGGATCACCGAACGAGGCCGGTAGACCCGTCCTGAGCGATGGAAAAGATATAAGACGATCAATACGAGGCAGAAAGCTATAAACGCGAAGAGTGAAGAGAGGGAGGAGAGGGACAACGTACAGTGTTCCGACATTGCCCACGTTGGCATAATCCTGCAAAGTACCCGGACGATGAAAGAATACATCCCACACATAATCCGGATCCGGGTCTTGGTCTTCCAGGCGTGCCGTCAATGCTTTTGTGGGTGATGGGACACGGGAGGAGGGTAGTGGGGCCTTTTTCTTTTTGCGCTCGGTAGCGGTAACCTTGTCCGATGTGAGAGGCGCCGACACTGGGGTGATGTCATTCACTGGTACAGTATACAGAGAACGTTGCATTAGATGATTGAGGAATGATATAGAAGATGTGGCGTACGTTGGAGATAGTCCTGCAGTAAATCGTTGAACACTTCGAAGTCCGGATCTACTGGGGTGGGCAAAACAACAGTAGATGGTGCGAGAACGGCATCGTAGACTTTGACGTTGGATTTCGCTCTTTCGAGTTCCTTCGCGGAAAGCACTTTGGGCCTACACCATGGCCACATCAGGTCCATCCTCTTTCGTGTCGTACCATTAGGATAGAAGATCGAACGGAGTTGCTTACGGTGCTATTGGCCTGCGTGATGAAGAAACTGAAGCTGGCTCCTGCGGTTGAGCAACGATAGTGTACTGTGGCTGAGGTGTTTCCGTGACTCGTTTACGTTTGGGAAGGGGAGCTATGGGTTTGTCTGGCGCATCGACTGGTTGGCGAGCTAGCGCATCGATACGCTCCTGTAGAGACAAATATTGAAGCAGTTATTGTTAGTGCCGAAAAAGGATTTCAGAAGATGTTCCAACGCACCTGGAGATCCTTCTGCGTACTATCGTCCCAGGAAGCCTCCTCGACCGTCGACGCAAACTGGAAGACATTCACTCCAGGACGCAACTTTTTCTTTCGTGACGGTTCAGACAGATCCGAACCAAACACTGAAATTTCAGGGCGTATGAGCTTCTTGAATGGACTATAAGGTATGAGACACGCACGAAGAGCATCGAGGGGCGCGTCTGTGCGTTTCCGCTTGATTCGCACGAATGTGTATGGTTGTTGTGGAGTTTCTGGAGGAGTCTCCGTCATGATGGTCTTGAATATCAGTAATGCGCAGGGGAGAACGACACTGACGAAGACGCAGATGAGATTTGCAAGACGACGTTCAAGTTCAAGACGTATCGCACACCGGTCATCGACGGACCGGTGCTCAATATGAAGGTCCTCGCCGGACAAAATTATTCGCCTGAGAACAGTGGTTTCCGGACCGATTTTTCATCAAATCGGGACGTTCTCGCACTTTTGACAGAAACCGAACCATCATTTCCATATTCAACTCGTTCTTGATGCCAAAACTGGTTTTCATTGTCAGAACTCATTCTCGTTTTCAAAACTCATTTATACTACTAAAACTCCCGGTTTGAAAGGCCATACAGGGATGGAGAGTGCCCGACTTGACATGTTGAATGTCCTATCTTCAACACCAAGGTCTGTCTGTGGGAGACTAGTGCCCGATGGGGCCACCAGTGTCCCATATTGGGCATCAAAGGTGCCGGTTGCCGGGGCCACATCTTGTACTGTAGCCACTGTGGCGCATGTACTGCCCGTGTATGCCCTTAAAACGTAAGGCACTCCACTGAATATCAGTTCGACATGCCAATTGATGAAAAGAGAGCGTGAAAGACTTTAGGACCCCGCAGACATACCCTCACCAGTCGGGGAAAGAATTGCCCGCTATAGGCCTATAGGCGGACTTTTCGGACTCCAGAGGTGCGGCACTTCAGGTGTACTTCAGGTGGCGAAGGTGTCTATACCCAACAGGAGAGCCTGTTGCAGCCGTGGAGACGCATCAACTAATCAAGACGAGAGTTTCAGGTTACTCAATGCTGGAGGCAGGATATTGGCCACCGGGACATTATTATTTTTCTTTTCTTTTGCGTCTTATGGCTGGTGTGAGGGTCCCTTTCGGAGATGCAACTGCCCATTTTGCATCTCACCGCGCACTGATTGGCCGGCGAGACGATTCCCAACGAATTCTGAGGTCGAGAACGAGTTTGAAAACGAGTTTGAGTTCCGAATCGAATTTTGTGTGGGAAAATACTCGCCAATGAGGTAGGTCTACCAAATAGGGTGAGTATCGGGTGCCAAAATGGCATCTCGCACGCGAGATATTTTGTCCGCCTGGGACCTTGAAAGCTCAACCGCCGCTACTTTAAACTCCGCCCTTCTCCGCCTGAAGTAACCCCCATGTTTCGACAGATTGAGTTTATTCGGGTTTTCTGGCGACGCTTGACGCCATCTGGGTCGTTCCTTGCGCATATCTGCTTCCCATCTGTCTTTTTCAGTCGTTTGGCAGGATGTTGTCTTGAAACTTGAGCTTGAACGTCGACATGTTGACGGAACTCTACCGTGTCTTTCCTCAGGAAGCTTGCAGTAATAATCATGTCTATTGCTCAGCAAGTTAGTCAGACCAGTCTCGGTCACCAGATAGAACCTCAGCGCTCAGCGGCGGCCGAATACCTGAAAGCACTCGTCAGTATACGCGTATGCATGCACCTGCTCCTTTGAGCAACCTTTGAGAGCAGCAGGTACATTGAAACATCGATCCTCAGTCAGCAATCTCACACCTATCTTATACGCTAACTTCAAATACATATCGACGTCACGAGAAGTTCCAAGGCGTCACCCGTCGAGTACTTATAAGCGTTGCCCATTGACATGTCCAGAAGACTCTCACTCCTATCCCGCCATCTCTCACAGACCCCCTCACCCCCTCGCTCGATCTCTTCTCGTCGCACTTTTTCGTCAACGCTTCCAAACAATATGCCGGCCTCATTAAAACTTTTCAGTGCGACTACGCCTAATGGTAGGAAAGTCCATGTCTACCTGGAGGAATTGAAGGCAGCGTATGGGAACATCGACTATGATGTAGAGAAGATCAATATCTCCACGAACGTGCAGAAAGAGTGCGTCTTGACCCCGTACTGCACGACGGGTCTTTGCTGACTATACGTGGTATCGCTCAAAAGGCCATGGTTCATCAAGATGAACCCCAATGGCCGGTACGTCTACTCCCTCTTCTCCAAGCAGTCCGGTGTGCTCATAAACGTTTGATGTGCCATCTACAGTATTCCAACTCTCATCGACCTTTCTAGAGGACCCCGCGACGGCCTCGACGGGTTCCCAGTCTTCGAGAGCGCTGCCATCCTTCTTTACCTCGCTCAGACTAAGGATGTAGAGAAAAAGTTCTGGTTCGACCCGAGCGACGTCGAGAACTACAGCGAGCTGCTGCAGTGGATCTTCTTTGCTGTGAGTTTTACTGTCCACTCTCATGTCTAGTTCTCGTGTTGTAGTTCATAGGAGAGTACTAATCCAAATCTATTATTTTTCGACGTAGCACGGTGGTGTCGGCCCCATGCAAGGCCAAGCCAACCATTTCATCAAGTTCGCGCCAGAGGACGTTCCCTACGGAAAGAAGCGTAAGTCTACACACTCTTTTGATAGCAGTCCCGACTCACGTGCACCTGTGCTTACCTCGCTCTCATGGCAGGTTACCTCGAAGAGACCAAGCGCCTCTACGGTGTTCTCGAGATTCGGTTGAAGGACCGTGACTGGCTTGTTGGGCCCGGCAGGGGCAAGTACTCTCTCGCTGATATCAACGTTTACCCATGGTGCGTCTTTTTTTTCACGGTCTATGTTATTACTACCAACGACGCTGAGAACCGTGCTGTATCTCGATAGGGTCGCTGCATACCCCTTCATCTTGGACAGCGTCGATGAGTGGCCCGCCCTCAAGGTTAGTACCTATCGTCTGATACTGTTTCTGTTCGCTGACTGGGAACAATACGTGCACAGGCATGGCTTGCTCGCAACGCCGCTCGCCCTGCCGTCGAGGCAGGCTTCAAGGTCGCCACTGCATGATCTGCCCACTCGCAGACGCCTTCCGGCCATTATGCGTTTTATAAATAGGGATATATCAGGCGAGGAAATCTGCTTGTCTGGATGTCTACATACCTCGGGAACTCAAAGAGTGCGAAATGCAAAAAGCAGAAGCTGTATGACCAGAAATCCAATCGGACACTTTTTGCTGTTGTTTGCGGTCAGCTGGAATTCGAGACACCGAGGACTCCGTGGTTCTTCGTCCCTCCAGGAAGTCCTGATGCATGAATGCTCAAACAACGACTCCAACATCACTTATCGCGCTGGGTTCGTGAGGTCGATAAAGTGGTCTTTGTGGCCCGTATAGCCTTGGCTTGATGATCCATCAGCGTATAGCGAATCGGCCTCTACTCAGCCTATGCTACAACCCGACTCTCTTCTTCGATCCAGGTTAGGGTGCACAATAATACATTGCGCCAAACCTCCCTTCCCCTCGTGCGAGCGTGAGGGTCTTAGTGAGGGTGTCTATATGTCTGGAAGTTTCACCCCATTGCCAGCTATAGCGTATGGCGGATTGACCTCTTACTATTCAATCCAAGCTAAAAATCACCCTCTCCTCAACCTTATTTCTTCATACTCCATACAGGTGCAACGACTGTTCGCGCGGCTTACAATGTGAAAGGCACGGAAAGCCTCACTAGCGAAGCAAATATCACTCACCCCATACCTCTGCCAGGTCTCTCCCTCGATCTTTATTCCAAGGCGATTGAGTCCAGCTCAAATATAAGCGCCAGACCGTATACATGCACATAGCTCGATGCCACAGCGCCGTCTGTGTCTATACTGGCAAGGGTTTTCAGCGCAGTCACGACAGACTCCGACCTGCTCAATCCTCAAGGTGAGAAGTGGCGATATTTTGGCGAAGTGGGTACCTCCGGTCCGTACCATGCGAGCTGTGAGCGCCAATGGCATATTCTTGCGCCCAGTTTCTCTTCCATCAGAAGCGGAAAACTGTGTACAAAATAATCGTAGAACCCACGATACTGGTCTAGAGACATGGACTCGAAAGAAAGAGAACATCAAGTTGAGTAGCCGGACTTGTCCTCCGATGTTGATTCATAACCCCCAAAAGGGCATCCCGCCGGTGAATCCTCCAACGCTGATCATGAAGGGAAGCAACAAAACGGGCAGCGGTGAACTGCCAAGTCACAGCGCTGTGGCCCAATCAAGTTGACCGCGAGCCCACCGCCCAATGAAACGACATGAAACAATATGTAATCGGGCGCCACGCAGAGGCCACCATGTCGGCCGACAAGGAATCGACGGCATGTCTTCCTTCCGCTCTCGCCTCCAACGCCGAATTCCGAACAAAAAATAACATGTCCCTGTGTACTGCCTGCCCCCAGAAGACGTACGGGGGTTATATATATCGCTCGTATGACTCGCTAGGATTTCTCCCTACCTTGTTTCTCTCGTACCTGCCATTGTGGGACGTTCAACGAATACGGTGACGCTGTCGGCGCACACTCCATCGTTCCCAGACCCCCCTTCACGATTTCACGATTCACGACTGACGAGCGACTCGAATGCCAGTCACTGACACTGCTACCAGTACTGCTGCTGCTACCACTACCACACCAAGACCCTTAGATGTCCTGAGTGCGACCTCTCATTTGATCCCCATGAACATGCCGAAACCCGGGAGTGCTGAAGCTACCAGTAGCCGTCTCTCTCCTCCTCAGACTTCCTGGACCTATAGCGGTGACGTCGACTTGAATGCTGGGGCTGTAGACGGAGGTGTTGTTTCAGTCGATGTCAAGAGTGAACCTAGTAGTGGCCAGAGCCGTGCTCTGCCTTGTAATGAAGAGGTGCATGATGTGAAGGTCGATATAGAGCACACTGTCGTACATGATGACCCGAGAAAGTGGTCTTCAGGGAGGAAGGTACGTGCGGTATCCTCCTTCTGTGAAGAGTGCTTATCCTTGTCCTTTTTCATAGACAATGACCCTCTTCATCATCGCAAGCGCGGCGATGATAGCAGGTCTCTCTTCCAACATTTACAACCGTACGCTTCCCGTTTTCCATTCATCATCCATCAACCGCCTCGTACACACGAGAACGGGATGTGCTGAGCACACATTGGCGTCTGGTTCGGTTACTACCTAGCCGCCATAAACCAGATCGAATCACAGCTTCATGCATCTAGTGGTCAAGTCAGCCTCAGTCTCGCTATGTTCATTATCATCCAAGGAGGGATGCCTCTCGTATGGAGTATCGTGAGCGAGATTAAGGGGAGAAAGGTATGTACATACTTGTTCAGGGTGAACTGAAGGTTTGTGGATGGCGACTTGCATGCTTACTGTCGCAACTCTACGCCACACTGTGGTACACACAGATCGTCTACGTCGTCTCAATAGCGATAGCTGTCGTCGGCTGTATCGTCGCCGCATTGGCCAAAACCATCGATGTTCTCATAGGCATGCGTTGCCTTCAAGCTCTAGGGTATCTCATACATCTCCATATCCTATACACATCATTCTCACTCGACCTCATTCTTACCAGAACCTCAGCTGTAATGTCCATCGGAGCCGCCACCCTCGCCGACATCTACGAGCCGGCCCAACGCGGCACAATGATGGGTATCTACTACGCCGCGCCCCTTCTCGGCCCTGCCCTCGGTCCCATAATCGGCGGTCTCCTCACACAATTCCTCTCCTGGCGCGCAACCTTCTGGTTCCTCGTCATCTTCATGTCATGCATCTTGGTCGGGTTTGTCGTCGCGTTCAAGGATACGTTCAGGAGGGAGAGGAGTGTGACGTATCAGAGTGTGTTGAGGAGGGTTATGAGGGAGAGGGAGAGAGAGGCGAGAGAGGCGAGGCAAAAGGCGAGCAAGAGGAGTAGTATGACGGTTGTTGCTGGAGAGAGGGAGAAGGTGGAAGAGGGTGCGATTGACGGCAAATTCGGAGGACAGAAGCCAGTTGAGGGACAACTGAACATGCAGACCATGCCCGACCTGGACCTCGAAAAAGCCGATAATTTTTCCACAGCACCTACCACCACTGATGCTAATCTGGGCGGTGCTGAAAAACCAGCGATTGGAGAGATCAAGCTCTCAATCAAGGACGTCAATCCTCTTCCCCCCCTCTGGTTCACACTTCGTCGTATCAATAATCTCGCTATTCTCTTTTCCTCCGGTAGGTCTTGTCTTGTACTGATATCGGCATGCACTAATGCGATCCGTATGCTCTCGTCCGAGGCAGGTCTGATTTTCGGGTTCAGTTATTGCATCGCATACACCTGTGCAATTACTCTCGAAGATCAATACGGATATGACGCTCTAAAAACTGGCCTCGTCCTCCTCTCGTTCGGATGTGGTATGCTCTTCTCGCCATTCCCCAGAACGCCGCCCGCATTACCCCTAGATTGAACCTACTCTTATGGGACCAATAGGTAGTATAGCTGGCTCCGTCCTTGGCGGTCGCTGGTCTGACCGCGTCCTCCGAAAGCTCAAGGCCGAACGCGGAGGTCAGATCCCCCCTGAGGTTAGTTGCTGCACCCAGCGCCACTACCATCCCTTCTCCAGCATCCAATGCCACCATATAACGACCTTCTTCCTTCCCTCCCACCCGTTCCATTATGTGAATCTACTGACCCCTTCTTGTTGCGTACAGATCCGACTCGAAAGCACAAAACCAGCGATGCTCTTCCTCCCACTTGTCGTCATCGCCTATGGCTGGCTTGCCGAAAACAACATCCACGTCGCCTCGCTCTGCGTCATGCTTTTCTTCGCAGGGTTCTTCTCCATGTAGGTCCTCCGTCCCCCTTTCAGCTTACCCCTCGACTCCTCACCTGTTCAATTGTTTTGCTTACTTCCGTGCCACACGCCACAGCTGGATGTACTCGAGCACACTCTCGTACATCGTCGACGCTAACGTCGGTCGCTCTGCCTCTGCAGTCGCCACGAACAGCACATTCCGTGGTGCATTCGCGTTCTTATTCTCTGAGGTTGCAGTTCCGCTCAGGGTACGCTTCTGCATTCTCCCCCTTCCCCCTTCTCCCTTGTCCTCCTTGCCTCCCTTGTCTCCTTGATATAAACATGCCTTCTGGACCACACACATTTCTATTTTTTCAACAGAACTCAATCGGCGATGGTGGCCTCTACTCCCTCTGGACAGGCCTGCTCATCCTCTGCGAGCTCCTCATCCTGCTCGTGCTCTATAAAGGCGGCTCGTGGCGCGAACGAGCTATCGCGAGGGAGGAGAGGACGGCTGCCAGGCCATAGATTTGAAAAGGGCGCGATTATGAGGCGCCGCGGTCAGGGGTAGGAGATATTTACTAGTTGTGCTGTGTATTTACTGAGATAGACCGAGGCGCACACCCCCGCCTCGCTACATACTTATTCGCTGTTCTGCTCTTAGACGGCAGAGGCCCTTTCGTTTTTCTCTTTCCGTTCATGGGATGGAATTGTGCTGTATCTATCGGGAGGTGGAACCCTTATTTGTATCGGTACTTATATGATTGCATCTTCCGTTCTTCATCTCGACTCCCGTGAAGTGTCCCAGATATGGGCCGTCCGTTCACCTGTGATTCAGACAAGTTGTTCTGTCACGAAACCGGTCAAACATCGTATGCATGAAACAGGGAAAACGCATGCTCGTTTTCGTGTTCAAGAGCTAAAATAATTCTGTGGCCGCATGGTCCTCTTTGCGCTGACAGACCGGAGGCATAGTTGAGTCCTGCTATGGTACCTGGACCCGTTTCTCAACGAGTTTCTAGGGAACAGAGCACAAGAAATCATATTCGGATTTGTCTCTGCGCAAAAAAAAGAAAACAGGAACCAGGGCTGTTATTATCTTGATTGTTGCTGTGACAGGGCCACCGCCACCTCCTTTCCTTCCACATATCCAATCAGTTCACGTCCGCCCCCTCTCCTGTCACGTCAAATCTACTAATCCCACCAAGTCCACCCAAACCCTTCACTTTCTTCCCCGCCCCTTGGCCTCCCAAGCGCTCACTCAAACTCCTCCTAACCACCTCGTCTATCTCCGCCTCGCTAGGTAACGAAGCGAGCTCGTCCCAGAGGGTGATTATGGTGTGGAGGTGGGAGTAAGTGAGTAGGAGACGTTGGTGGTGCGCTTTTTGTTGCTGTTGTTGGGAGTCGGTCGACCGGTGTATGGATTTCGAATTCAAACTGGTGGGAGGACGAGCGTGGGAGGAGGTACGATGTGAAGGGGAGGGCGCGGGCGAGGCTAAACGAGATGCTGATTTGGACGCGGTTGGGGGATGTGGTGAGGAGTGGGAAGAAGGAGGGTAAGATATCGTGAATGAATCGACGTGTTTGTTGAACTGGATCCAAGTGGATTGGATGGCGAAAAAGGGGTGGAGAGGACAGTTGAGCGGTGGGAAGGAGGTGTAATATGGGGGATTGTATGTCTTTGTTTTCGTCTTCGGGTTCGGCTTCGTAGTCGATTTGGAAGAAGGGTGTTCAGAACGCGTGATGGACGTGTTCGTGAGTGCGAAGGGGATGAAGTCGTAGGCATAACGGCCGAAGGTCGCACAGATCTAGTCGAACGGTGTGGATAAGCGTGCCAGCGAAGAAATTGAGAAGGGGCGTGAGACAGCTTGGTTGGGAAGGAATTGAAGAAAGGGGACAGACCTCGGACATGGGAGGTCTGACCTGCTTGGCTCTCCATTTCAGCAACGCAGCGATGATCTTACCGAGTCGACTGACGCAAGGAACGAAAGTCCAACGACCTGCTTCGAAGCGTTCGGCCCAGTCTGAGCGGACTGTGTTAGACGGACGGGAGTCAGTACATCGTCATTTTGTATAGGTTTTGAAGGGAAATGAAGAATGGAAAGCGTGCATACGGTAGAACGTGTTCCAGTTGTTGTGTATGTCAAAGTCTTCGCCCCATAGCCTCCTGAACTTGTCCTCCTGTTCGCGACTGAGTAAATCGGGGTCCAACAAGTATGTAGACCGAAGGGACTCTGGAGTTATGGACTCATTCGTGATCAGACAATGAACCTTGTCCGAAATGGATGGCATGGAGGGATTCAGTGGCTAGAACCGGTCAGGAAAAGGAAGGGCATGACGGAGAGCAAGATGCTCGACGAGAGGGTATAGATATAGTCGCCCTGTTTGCGCCGTGCCTATGGATGTTGCCTGTTGCCATTCAGGAGACGATATGGAGGTACCTGGTGAGTGTGGATGGAAGTAAAACTGGGAAGAAGACGGCGATTCGGCGATGAGGCACAGCGAAAGAATGCGCTGTGGCGCTCTGCTGTGGCACCAACTCTCTCTCTCTTCCTGCGACATCGACGAGCGCTCTCGGGCTCAGCAAGAACATTCCAGCTTGTACTTATCTCGGTTTTCATCCACTGTGAGCTGCGTAAAGTCTCGTGACCGGCACAAGTGACAAGGCGCACAACTTGGACCGAACTTCAACGTTTCAACGTTCGTCAAACGAGGAAAACGTCGAAGAAAATCGTCTCTTTTTTCTCTACACAAGGACAAGGCCTGGATGTTGTCTGGAACTTGGATGCTTGCTCGACGCGATGGATGCATCTGAACTTGATCTGAACTTGGACAAAGATGTTACTGTCGATTGGGTGGCCGACGCTTCTATTGCATCGCTTCCGAGCAGATCGGTATTCTTGTCTCGATCGAGCCTCACGGAGTCCCAAACAGGATACTGGGGCTTGTTTGGTGGCGCCCTTGGATCCCAACAACTCCTTACAATGGATGTTCGCCTTCCGTCCAGTGCTGGCATTGCGTTCTCCCGTTTTGGACAAAGAACAACTCTGCGTTCGGAGTACCTTGTTCTGCATAATATTTTTATTAATTGTTATACACCCTCAGTCTTTCCAATCCTTTGCTCCCCGGACTGTACCAAACAGCTTCACTCACATTATCACATCTGGACCGCTATCCCCGGCGGTGCCGCCAAAGCTCTTGGCTGGGCCACAACGGAGAGGATCATCGACGTTGCTCCGCTCGACTGAATAGCGGGCGCGCTTCGATGGCGCCCCTTCGTTTGGCCATCGTTTGACTTCAACAGAACCAAACAACGTCCCGCCAGCTCCTCGCTGCCTATATAAACCTGCCCGCCCTCGTACCCTCCCTTTCCCCCAGTCCAGTGTTCTCCCTCCACTGTTCGTCCACCTTCCCCCCTTCCCGTCACCCGAGTCCAACTTCACACTTGCTATCCGCACACCACTATCCTTTATCTAACTCAACAATGGCCATCCAATCCCGCTTCGCTCTTCTCCTCACCCTCTGCCTCTTCGCCACCTCTGGTCTCGCCGCCCCAGTCCCAGGTGCGCCCGCCGTTAACCCGGATACCAACGAGCTCGTCGGACAAAACACGATATCCGCACTCGGTAAACCTGTAAACGTCCCCCGCGCCGGTCTTTCAGCCGCCAGCCTTCCTTTCCTAGTCAACCCCGACACGCTTCCTGTCGCGCCCGCCCACGGTGCTGGCTCGTATGTGGTTCACAATCTGCCTCTTGTTTTATTGACCACGCTCTAACTCGACCTCATCTTGCTGTAGGAAACGTGACCCTCGGTACACTAATGACCTGCACGCCAGCTCTCCCGCCAAGGTCGTGCAAGTCGAATCCGACCACCAGGGTCAGAAGGCTCCGGTCTCTTCCCGCGCCGCCACCACCATCCCCCAACACGTCGACGGTGCTAAGCTCAGCCGCAGACATGACGATACCACCACCTCCTTCAGTGCTCCCCTCAACGCCGTTAAGGGCTCCAGCCATGGATACTCTGAGTTAGTACTTCGTCCTCTTCCTCTCTTGTCGTCAGCGTACTCATCCATCTCTTCTCCAGAAAACGTGATGCTGTTCCTCAGTCTGACTCAGGGAAGAGTGACGAGACCATGCAGGCCACCGCACCCGGCAACGTCGCTGTCCAAGACCACAAGTACCAGGAGCGTAGTGACAATGCCGCCCCCGCCGTCGATGCTGTCAAACTTGGCACGAGGAAGAACGACGAGACGACGGAGGTCGCCGCTCCTATGAAAGCTGTTGACTTCCAGGATCACAAGTATGCCGATTCACCTACGGGTGGTCCCCTCTCTGGGCTCCTTGGTGGTCTCACTGGCGGCTCCTCGTCCGGCACCTCGTCTTCCCCACTCGCTCTTCTGCGCGCCGGCAAGATGCAATCTCGCAAGCACGACCAGAAGAACGAACTCGACACGCTCCTCGGTGGAGAGCTCGATGACCACTCGTACTCTGACGATAGGTACGCTATCCGTCTTGACTGCTGTCATCGGTTAATTCTAACTGCATATCCCGCGTAATAGGAAACGCGAGGATGACTCTAAGGGTTCCGAGCTTAAGGTTGGTCAGGTTCAAGCTCGTAAGCACGACGAGACTATGCACCTTGGGACGCCCCTTGGCGGCGCCCTCGACTACCACCCGTACTCGGACAACAGGTTCGTTACTCTCATTCTTCTTATCGACGTTTCTGGCGTGCTGATGTGTCTCGAATTTTCAGGAAGCGTTCGAATGACCAGACGGTTCACGAGGACGCCCCTCTCGGTGGAGGTGTTGGCTACCACCGCTACGGTGACAAGTCAGTCCCTCCCTCTCTTAATGATCGTCTATCTTGATACTGATCGCGTGCCACAATACTTCAGGCGCCAATATTCCTCCGATGGCCCGAGCCCGAGTATGGTTCCCTTCGATGAGAGTACCTTCACCCACTCCGCTAGGAGCGCGACGGAGACGGGTATGTAAGCGGGTAGTGGCGGCCGGACGTTCTGTTCGTGTATTATAGTCCTCCTTGTTGGTGACGAAAACGGCCTCGTATATGGGCGTAAGTAGATTCGGGCTTTTTCCACTGTACGTTGTTGAGTTTTGGATGGATGTTGTTGTAAGAGTGTAACTTCATACGTGTTGTTTCGTTCGTTTGATTCGGGATTCTCGCTTCTCTCGGGGTGGCTTTTGTTGTTTTAGTACATACTATCTTATTCGATTCAGAATACATTCACTATTCCTGGGCTCGTTCTCCAGTCTGTCAGCCTGAAGCGCCGTCCAAACGATGAGCAAGGAATTGACATAAGAAAGGCTCAAACGTTTTCGTATGCCGGGTATAAGGACATCAAAATTGTTCATTACAGTTACAGTAAATTGTACACACCGTCGAGCTATTCTACGCAAGACAATAGTAGGAACGCACTCTCCGACATCGTTCCTTCCCATCGACTGGAAAGGAGGAGGATGGTGAACGACCAGAGATCAATAGCTGGCCGCGAGTCGTTTCATGATGTATTCCAGTGCCTGGAAATCCGGAGGGTTCGTGGGGAGGGTAGGGGAGAGGGTGAGGGCGTCAGCGTGCGTTAATGGGACGGGATGAGTGGAGAGGGGGTGGAGAGGACATGTATGGAATGGATGAGATGGAATGCGATGTGCTATTCGACCCGTTGACGGAGTAAAGGAGCGAAGAGAAAGAATCGGAAGGAGTGGTGACGGATACGAAGGGGGGAGGGGAAGGAAAGGAGGGGAGGAGTGGAGGAGTGGAGGAGAGGATGCTCACCGAGATGGGCTCGTATTTCTTCGAGGAGGGGTCGGCTGGATCGTACGTGCCAGGAAGACATTCGACAACTTTGTTGAAGTCCTGTACATGTCGTTTCATTATTTCGTCAGATGAAATGTAAAACCATGAGGATTCGGGAATGCTGGCGGCTTACCGTGGAGCAGAACTGGTGATGTGGAGGTAGAGCCAGAGTCATCGACCGCATGGGTTGGTTAGAAGTCAAGTCAGCAAAGCGATGTATGGGACGAAGAAGAGAGAGGAGATGGATGGCAGCGCACATAAGGAATCGAGTATCGTTCGGGGGTCATCCCGTCTTTCGTCGTGAGCCCGGGTGGCGCCCTCACACGGTGGACCGTGCTCCGGATGATATCGTTTGACCCTATTGAAGTTTGACCGAGAAAGCGTCAGTGAGGTCTCTCTGGATATAGCCGTGTTTAAGTATGGGTGGAAGGGACGCCGGTAAAGATGAGCGTTGTTCGCGCGAGGAAATGGGCCACACGCTACATGACATAACGCCACAACAACAAGAGCGGGGGTAAGTAGTCGTGTTGTCCGAACTGTACTCACATCGCATCATAAAGTCTCCCGCGTTCACGATGAGCGAGTCTTTTACTGGAGGGACAGGCTACACGACACAATCAACAATTTAAATACAAACAAGACCAAAACCCCGGACTTGGGCATAGTGGCAGTAAAGGCTCAGCACACTCACATTGAACACCCCAGGATGATTCGGATCCTCGATCTCCAGCCCACCGACATCATCCTGCAGCAAAAGCGTGATGCTGCCAAAGTCGGAATGCGCGCCTATGCGGGCGATCTTGTCGTTTTCGAGGGATGCGATGGGAACACTGGAACAGGCAAACATCCACAACAAAGATCAGCATGCGGGATGGTTGAGCAGGGAAGCAGAGAGATGGATAAGGGATGATGTTGATGCAGTCAATCGAAGGAGGCATGAAGTAAGTGAAAAGGGAAGGGATCTTACCTGGGGTAATGCAACAACCGCAACTGATTGTCCGGCGTCTGGTGGAACTGCTCGAAGAAGTTCTCTGGCAGATGTAACCCGAGCGCCAACGCCGATAAAATGGTAAACTTGGTCTCGTTACATGTCTGTCTCAAATAAAGGCATCAATATTGATGTGACTGGCCCATTGTCAAAAGAAACGAAATACCTACCCAAAAGAAGTCCAAACACGCCTCCTTGAACCCATCCAACACCCCCTCCGGCAACCAGATGTTGGGCATCAGTTCGTCCTCCTCCCTCCCAACCTCGAAGCTTTCCTTGACGTCTGGGGCCTTAGCGCGGTTCGCGGCGATGTCTTTCTCGTCGTAGAGGTGTTGGGAGACCTTTTCACGGCCAGCGGCGCTAAAGCCTAGGGTATTGAATCAGATGGATGACCAGACGTTTAGACGTGATGCATTATAGGAAGGATGGCGAAGGAACAAATCACGACGAACGTACCGCGGTGGTGTGTCCCGTTGGGAGGATGAGGTGCGAGCAGTTTAGTTTCCTCTGGCAGAGCGAAGAATTTCTTCGTCTATAATAACAATCACGCTATAGGCTTGGGCCACAATAGTCGAACTTGAATCCGAGACGTACTCACCCAATCGAACATACCTGTGGTGCACGTTACTCTCAGCATGAGAAAGCACGTCCATCACGCAGGACAAACCGAGCCGAGCTGACTCACTCTTGCTTTTCTCTTTGTCCAAGCTATGATTCACAAGATACACAAACCCCACCTCCTTGAAGGAAGTCAACATTGCGTCTGCGACCCCTTGCTTGTCGCTGCCGTCAAGAAATGGCCCAAAGTCAACAATAGCAACGTCTGCGTGTGAGCCGAGTGTGATAGGTGTATTGGACATGATTTCCTCGCGGTAGGTAAGTAAGAAATATTGTGATTGCTGGAGGCCAAGCACGGAATACTGGTTGACGTTCTAAGGAAAGTGGATGACAACTAACGTAACCCTACGCCCCTATTTATGAGGCATCATGAGCGTCTAATTGGGCGTGGTAAAGTTTGGCTATGTTGTAGAGTTCGATAACAGGCATTCGCTTCATCGCAGAACTTCGGGGATTGATGCATGATGGTGCGCATGAGACGAAATGTCGTTTGGAGGAGGACGTGGCCCGTGGGCCCGGGCCACAGACCAAATTACAAGCAAACTCCGCCCGCAAACGGCCGAGCGAACTTTCTCTCCGGACGGTGGCGACTTGATCAAATCTATCGTCCTCAAAGCTTGAGTTATGTATGCTCCATGCTTCACTCCATGGACATCTCTGGCGGCATTCGGCTGCGCTGGTATACTGATGGATTGCTGTCTTGTCAGTTTTCAGCCCCAAATCTCTATGTATCGAACGTGTTCAAGTTACATCGTGACGGACGTCTTCCCTACTAGCTCGCTTTGGCTTGTCCTCGTCCCTACCTAAGCGTCGTATGGTACTCGATGATAGTGGTTACTTGCTGGAAGAAGTCTTCTCACGCACCTCGTTCTTGCATCAATATTCCGTACAGTTGTTTGCCCGACCACTTCTTTTGGGGTCGTTCACAAGCACTCCGCACATCATGGTGTGCGGATAGATCTTAGGGCTTCTCATCACCCGCCCTAAGCGTCCTAAACCGATAACATACCCCAGGTACTTATAGCAGCTTTCCTCTCGGTTATGACTCCTACTAACTATGATATTCTTCTTTCCATATAGATCATGAGCGTGATCATCATGCTTCGATCCCTCTTGCCTACAGCCCAAGATACCCAAGCGGTGAAACTTGGGCCAAGGGCTGATCTGATGGCACTTAGCGGTATTGTGTACTAGAGCTGTGGGTAGACTGTCTTCCATGATCCGCGGAGTCCTTTGAGATCAGGAGAGTAGTGATTGTTTGCTCCTCACATGCAACTAACTGGCAACAATCGCGTGCAACCTCAGACCGTCGTTGCTCTTTGCACCCGGGCATATGCTCCTCATAATCGCCTTCCGGCGATACCTTATGGTGATGATGTAGGTTATTCTCCACTTTTATCGAAGTGTCCAGTCCTCCATCTAGCATTCAGAGGATCGGCGCCTCTCCGATCTTTCCATTGTATGTACGACGTACGTCTTCTCATCCTCTATCTCCTCGTGATCACAAAATCATTGAAGGCAGTGCTAACGAAGCAGGCTACTCCATTCGTTTCCTATATTTGGGCGTATTGTGGGCGTTGTTATCGCTGTTCCCCCGTGTACTGCAGCGGGCTGAACTCTGTATCATGATAGGACATGTAGAGCGGTCGCTTCCCATTCGCCCCATAAGACGTTACCCTTACACGTCCAATGAGATTGCGTCTCCTGTCGTTGCAGAATACATCCTAGATAGAAGACGTATGCCACGAATCTCTCGAGGGAATTCTGGGAGCGCGAAGCTAGCTCGTTTGGGGCATGGTGGTTATGTACATAGCGTGGTTCGGGGTCTCCTTGGTTATATACCTGTGGCAGCGTCCGCACGGCATCACCTTCCCCCACATTCTCGTCCCTGTACGAGACCCTCGTCCAAGCCATGGTCTCCCAGTTTCCGCTCAATCTTTCGGGGATAGTGTCCGTGTGGTTTGAGGTTCGTATTCTGTCTAAGTGTTTGCTTCATGAATGACCTAAAGTCCCACCTTTAGACGCTGTTGTACGGTGAGTTCGACACTGACACTGCCTATGATCCTTATTTGGCGCTTATGCCCATCATTTTGCGTTTTACAGGGATGTATTGCAGCCTGTTCTTTGAGGCTTGCTATGTCATCCTGAAGAAGCGGAGGATCCATAGTGTTCCCAACAAAGTATACCGTCTAAACACTCATTTGGTGGAATTAGTTCTTAATGGAATAAATTGCACCATCATAGGTTTTTTTTGGGTCAACCTTGGCCATGTTTGCTATCGCAACAGCACACATTGGTTAGATTTTGACCTGGTCCTTGCCATGCCATCGTCAACTAATATTAATCCCCACGAATTGCGTCAGCTATCAACCTGTACCGTCTTCTGCGTGGATATGTTTGGCTAGCAGACGATCCAGGACCTGCAGCTTACTTTGGTGACCTTACGCGGTGGGACAATATCGCACATGATGCTCTCAACGCGATCATGACTTGGATCGGAGACTCATTGGTGGTCAGTACTTTCCCCACCTTCATCGAGACCTTCATTTCGATTGCTGATTTGGTGTGCCTCTGTCGAACTCAGATTTACCGGTGCTACCTGGTTTGGGATCAAAAGATTTACATTGTGATTTTGCCCATTATCCTCCTCATAATCAGCATCAGTCAGTCTGCATCTACTTCTCGTTGCTAGTGCGTGCCATGAAGTGACCTTGACTCTTTGTTTATGTCATTGCATTTCACGAACGATCTACAGTTGCCAACAGCGTCGCCCTGCATACTTTCGCCCACCTCGAACTCGGAACTATATTCTCCGCATCCCTCGTCCATTGGATGTCCACCATCTACGCCATCGCCTTCGTTCAAAACACGATGACTACTGGCCTGCTCGCATGGCGCATCTGGCGTGCAAACCGTGCTTCCCAGCAGCTCACGTACGTTGTTCTCGTGCTCTCGTACAGCTGCCCACTGGGTTCTGTGATACTTATGCAGAGTGGACACTGAAATTTCCATTACATTTCATCATGGGTAGGACTAATGGAAAACGACAAGCCACACTCGTACCCGTCATACGGATTGTCGTCGAGTCTGCCATGGTTTATGATATGGAGGTCCTCGTCCTTATCGTGCTCTACGCGCTGGGCCACAACGGCCAATACGTCGCGCAGGAAGCGATCGTCCCGACCGTTGGTCAGTCAGAGACTCTTCTACATTCACCATGGCTGTCACACTCACACTGATCCTCGCTCTAACCAACTCTCTTGGCTGCGAATGATAACTCCGCTGTGTTTTAGGCATAGTCTTCACTCTCATCACGGTCCGCGTGGCAATGCGGTCCTCGCCTCAACTCGCAACTACCCTTCGTCCATCCGGTATCGATGGCGTGGGAGATGGGACTTTGAAGTTTGCGTCCTCCAACACTAATTCATTCTCGCAGGATGGGCTTGTCAGTACTCATGGTGATATGGAGAAGGGGCAGGTGTCCCGTCTTGAGACTGACAGCACAGGAAGCTCTTTCGTGCCTGCTGTGGCCACGTTCGATGTTGAAGAGGTCAATAGCACCGATGATTAGATAGATGTTGTGTTCTTCGGTAGTGCGTGAATGGGATTGTCATTCTTTGTTCATGGATCGGATCAGGTCCAAGTTGTTATGTTGGTTGCGTTATGGCCTTTGATGATATCCTTCGCGGAGGTACGAGCGTTATGTATGGGCTGTACGATAAATTTGATTGAAGCCTTGGTGAAGTCCTAGTGGATTCAAGTCCAACGGTAAGTTTGCCTGGGACAGGGAGATGGACGAAGTATTACGAAGTGTTCGCACATGCACAGAAGTCGCGAGGGATCGAGAGAGACTCTGGACACATGGCAAGTACATATAAGAGGAGAGCAAGGTCGCCTTAATTTATATCCCAAGAGAAAACATAACACGCAGTCTCGCCCAGCGTGAAGACCCCCACTGTCCTTTCTATCCCATTATGTGCACGGTCGAACCAATTTCCCTACTCGTAAACGTAACAAAGATACCCTCCGGTCGTATTCATGACATCGAAAATCGTCACTTCGTCGAACAACCCATCTGCGGGGATCGTAGAGTTGATCGAGAGGTATGGCGCAGCTCCTGTCGGGTTGGCGGTATAGTCCTCAATGGTGTCGATGGCTTGGACGGATCCGCCGAAGTATTGCCAGAAGTTGGCGGATACATTGGCGTTTTGCCAGTCGTACCATACCTTGTCGACCATCTAAAAGAGTATAGTATACATAAAGCAGGAAGAAGGGATGGTGGGGGTTGAGATGGATCCAAGACGAGGATATCAAGGTGAGAGACGTACGGCGTGATGCATCCAAAACATGGGCTCGTTGGCGGAAAATGTGGGGCTGCCATCGGTGCAATTGACCGCGTCAGCAGGGCAGTACCCTGCAAGATCACTGTAATAGTAATAGGGCGTTGAGCGTCGGCAGATCACGGGCGATACCAATATTAGAGCGCTGCCATATCAAGGATAACCGTAAACCTACCCTCCAAGGATGAAGTGGACCATGCCGTGAGCGCCCTACGACAAGGTACCAATACAAAAATCAATGATGTGTGTAAAAGCGGCTGTGCAGCGTCTGAACAAAAAGAGAGATTACGCACCATGAAACCCTCCATATATGCCTGCATGCCCTCATAATCACCCACGAACCCATTCACCATCTTGCTCACCTCCGCAGGCGTGAACGAAGCATTCGCATCCGCATATGGATCTGAGATGAAGGCAGATCCGACATCGCCAACAAGGGGCTGAAGGGTGAAGTTTCTTCGCAGGGTGTGGTAGGCGGGATATGAAAGTTTGAAGCTCGAGAACGCTCCATCTTGAACTTCGAAATCCTTCGAACTATCGCCCCAGCCACCAAGACCACTGACAGGGTCCGAGTCTTGAAACATCGAGGAGTCGTATACATCTGCAGAATCTGATGCCGCGTAAGGAGAAAGTCATATGAGTGATATAGTGAGTTGAGGAGCCAAGAGAATGGATAAACAGGCACCTGCGCTCCAGTTCCAGTAAGGAGAAACACCGGTGTAGCCGCATTTACTCTTGAGGGACTGCTCGTAGACAGCGACATACCAACTACATGGTCAAGAGATGTCAGCAAAGCATACCGTATGGTTATCTTAATGCACGTTGCTTGCCGATGAAACGGATAGAAGAGACCGGTGAAGTGTATACGAGTGTTGAGATCTGTAGACCGACATCGTTGACATCAATAGAAGACCCTACACTCGGATTGTCAACTTTCAACGCTCACCCATGTGCATATACACGAAATCTATGGAGGAAATGATAAATTGTCGCGTTAGTATAGCTTGATGAACATCACGTAGACATGCACGAACCGTCGTAGTAAGATCCCGACGTGTTCACAGGAACGATATTGGATATAGATGGATCGACGCTCGGCGTTAGAGCATCATCGTGCGGCAAGTTGGAGAGGCAGTTGACCGCTGCTATCCATGCAGTCTTCTCTTCCGTGCTGAATGTCCTCCACTCCCTTCTGATAGACGGAGTCTCGCATGCAGCTGCTTGCGCAGACGATGCAAAGAGGGTCGTAGCAGCAGCAGCAGCAAGGAGGATAACAGAAGCCCCTGTCAAGAACATGGTGTAACAAAGCTAGAGAGTATTTATGGGACACAGGGAACCTGAAGAAAGGGAAGGGGAAAGGGAGCAGGACTGCAATCCTATATGCCCCCGACCTACCTGAAGTCTTTTATACTCGTTTTGTGGACAGGTACGTCAGTTCAAGGAACAGCTGCTCGCGTTCATCTCCTTCTGGTGCATCCCATGCTAATGTCTTCAGAACACCTCAAGATCGTAGGACGTGGGGATGTCGGAAGATGCTGAGGGTATGAATCCGCGGTCATTCGGTGCCGTGACGCAGTAAGAGATCGGATGACCCACACACGATGCACTCGGCATCAAAACCTGAAGAAGCAGATAAAAAAGAGGAGGGTCATAATGGAAAGATTGAATCCGTGAAGTTTTATGTTACGCGTCCAATTGAATGGTTTGGATTCTCGTATGCAGGAAGATGAGTTGCGGTCGTCACTACGAACGCGCGTAAGTACTCCCCACGACCATCGGAGGCCAGACAGGCTTCGCATAAAGATGGAAGTGTGTATGTAGTAGTACCATGACCAGTTGTTTACTCCAGACAGTGCACAATTGATGCACGAGTAGATGTCGGCATGCAGAATAGCTATACATAGCCTGCACTTGCACATAAGGAGTACGATCCTTTTGATGCTGGTGAATGAAGGCGCTTGTAAAGTTGAAATCATCTCAGATGATAGCTAGACCAACATGCGCAACCAGAGACCTGCGGCTTCGGCAAGACCCTCCAACTGCCGCAGAACGGACAGAGAAGACATGAGATGCAGAGCAAGAGAAGCAGGCCGTGCGAAGAATGCGTCAATGGGCAAAGGTCATTGAGTCCCCAAAGGATGAAGTAGAAGACGAGGGCAACACGGACAAGGGATTGGCATCAATAGGCTCCGTGGAAGACCGTTTACCGACAACAACGATGCGGCGACATGAATGCCGGTATGCCCCGGTCATTCGCACGAAGCCACTTTGGCAAGCGGAAGGAAGGAAGGAAGGAATGATGGCAAATGCTAGGGCCTCTACGCATCGGCGTCAATGCGATCTGTGCGACACGGAAACAGACAGTATGCCGATGCAACGCATGTGGGCAGTGTACGGTATAGCTGAAGGTCTGGACCAGTGCCAAGGCGTTTGCCCGCACGCCGCTTGGACATGGAAGATTTGTAGACCACTTAGTGCCTAATACTGGTCTATGTGTCGAGCACTCGAGCACTAGTTACATAGATAGGAGGCTATAATAGCCGTCATTCTTCACCATAATTTCTCTCGGCCCATTCGCCACCCGGGTGCACCGAGCAACTTATGGGTTTCGAGGACGTACGCGACGCGAAGCGGGATCAGAGGTTGAAGACGATTGGGCACTGACGACGTTTGGACTACTCCAATGAGCTTCAATGTGGTTCACCGGCACGAAAGTTCAGGTTTTCGTTACTGCAAACATCGCGAGACTCAGAGGCCCGTTAGGCCACACCATCTCTTCTTCCCGGTCTAGTATCTCTCTTCCTATGCATATAATATCAGAAATGATGCTTGCATCCACAAAAAGTGTGAACTTATCTTCCCGATGAACCTTCCATGAATCTATATAGTTGAAGGAAAGAGGGTAGAGCGACGCGCTGCGGGCCTGCGGGGAAGGTAGCCTCGGAACGTTCTATGAGATTCTTGACTCTGAATGCGCTGTCTGTGCCAAAGCGTAGCCTTACGCGACAGTGAAAGAAGTAAGAATTATGTATTCAGCTTTGTTGTTCTATTGGATGTAGCCTGCCCTCAAATCGGTTTGGTAGTGATCATTAAAGGAAAGCAGAGATTCGCCTTTTTGACTCCGAACCCTGTGGACATAGAACGACTCCTCCCACGCCTTTCAGGTGAACAGGTGGCGACCTGTGGCGACGGCCGAATCGCAGTGGCGCTATCGAAGGCTTGAGATATTTTTGTCTACGCTCCATAAAACGGGTTTCAGTTAACGCGTACTTGACCAGCAAATTACCTCGTCCCAAACGTAACAGTCGAATATAATATTTTATATCTTGGTATCGGTCCCGCAGTTATGCTACAGTATGACCGACGCACGGACTTCTCGCCAAGTTCGTTCCGATGGACATCCCGCGGAGATCACTGAGACATATTTTCTGAAGAGTCAGCCGGACACTTCTGACGAACACCGCGAGAGCAATGAGAAGAGTGACGAGCAGTCAGATTGGGAGAGCTATGGAGGCGACATCCTCATTGGCAGAGGATGCTGGTCACAAACATCCGAATATCGGAAGCCAACACACGATGATGTGCAGGATAGCCCGGCTCACTCTATGACCGGCGCCTGACTGAAGCTTGAGGGCCAAAATATCGAACTCACCAGGTATGTACACCTACTCCAGCACCCTTGTATACACTCCCATTCAGAACTTTCCGTCTTCAGAACCTTGCTTCGTCGCCCTGCGGGACCTCCTTCCAATGGTCAAGATACCCAAGAATGCCAATACCCCGAAACAGATTGCTACGACAGCCAGAGTTAGGCCTGCTCCGAGGAAGCCTGCGCCAACTGGGGAGATCTTGTTGTGGTGCACAGTCGCAAGTGCAGCTTGCGATGCAAGCGCAAGCGCGCCACAGCCTCTGTCAACCGAATTCGAACAGACAGAGCACCACTCGGCGGTGGTATTGACTCCAGTGGGCTATATGATGAGGAGACGTAAGTCGAGTGTTCATGGTCCACATCGTGAGTGTCATAAACCATGTATGGTCAGAGAGTGACGCAAACATACCGCCAGATTATCCACGAAGGTGGAAAGGGGGAGGTCACCTTCAGTTCCGAATATATTGTAGGTAACAAAGTCATCCTGAGATGTCCCGTTCTTAAAGTTGAAGCGGACGACCTTTTCGCCAGACGATCCTTGACGGACTTCCAAGGCCAATGCAGCCGCGTAGTCGACTACAGAGTTGATTTGTTGTTGAGAAAGGGACTGTGTTCTAACATGACAAGCGAAAGAACCACCTACCGATAGCAGCGAGAGAAGAGTTGGCCTCAGCAGCTCCCGTCATATTGAACAGTGATAGGAACGGTTTGTAGGACATTGCCTGTACTGCAAACGCCAATCCGTCTGAGGAGTTCCCCATCCGCTGCATATAACTGAGAGTAGACGGAATCACGGTACGCCCGGCGACTACATGTATCACGTTAGTGGGCCATCAAAAGAAATAACAAAGAAGAATGGCACGTACCGTTGCCGATTCCATTGATAGAAGGGTCAGAGAAACTGTTGTACTGGTGCCAATTGGCCAACGCACGGGTTTGTGCGAGGTAGGTCGGAGGAAGGGAGTTTAAGAAGGTAGCGTTATGAATTGAGTTGACATTCATGAAGTCGAAGATCTGAATAAGCTAGGTTAACCTGTATAAAATCGGGATATCACTCCGGCGCTCACATTCCACTAAGGGATATACGGTATGAGTTCAGCGACGACGTTACGAAGGGAAACTGACGTACTCACCATATTTTGCAAGTTAACTGGCCTGCCGTCGAGGTAAGGAGCCAGGTCAGACAGGAATGTCGCACTTTCGTTGGCTTTCGCTTTGAACTCGGTCGAGTTATAGAAGTTGTTTACGTATGTGGTAAAGGTCTATAAGGGCTGGGCTCGATTGATTGTTGGAACGCTATAGAGGAGACAGACGCACCGAGCAAGATGTGAAGCCTTGGAACTCGATATTGGTGCTCGAGTCGAGAGTATCAACTGTTAACGTCAAAATAATACGGACCCTCTCAGTATACGTGAGTTTAGAAGTTCGAGTGCCACTTGATCACTCACTGGGCACGTACTATTGACAGATCATATCAGATTCGCCTCATACAGGAAGAAAAAGTAGATCGGACCTGATAACCATTCAAAGGACCTTCAACAGTAGTTCCATTTGCCAAAGTCGTGTTGTAAAACGACGAATTGGGGAAAAGGCCCTGAGTAAGAGCATTCGCAGAATCGACGATAACTTCTCCTTCATCCCCTGCATCTGCGCGGATGACGAACTGCGAAGCATTGAACAGCGCGGTGGATGACATGGACTGAATACGCGAGCTGGAAGAATCATTGAGGTAGATAGACCGGAGCAATGTTCCAAGCTGAACCTCTTGGACCTGTCATGGATAACATAGACTTAGTGAATTGCCTCCTGCTTAGAGAGCATGTCTGGTGTCCTTACGCTCCCAACAGCAGTAATGGTAGTCTCAGACGCATCGTAAGTAGACGGATCCTGATAGAACCCCTCGCGGTCCCCATGACGGATTATGACGACCACGCCAAGAACGGTGCTATTTGTATCGGTTGACATCTTGAAGGAAAGAAGGAATCGGATACTTGTTCAATGACTCGGATCCTTTTCTGCAGACATAGATGTTTTGTTCAATTTTATAAACAAACAGATATAGGCGCTACCCACCAAGAGTCGCACTGGCACTCGGACTTGGGAATTGGCAGAAGGGAGTCAGTTGTCCCCTATCCAGAATGACTGTTTATATACCACCTCAAGCGCAAGGTACACGGAGGGCCGGCGGCAAGAAGGCTGCTGCCACAATAGTTCTTTGCCAATAGTCGGAAAGGACAGCGTGTTCGGATGTAGGGAAACGGTGCAGCGTGGCCCTACTCCCATAGATGGCGCATCACGCCGACGATAGATTATCAGCTGGTAGACGTCGAGCGTTCTCGAGAACCGTCCGTGTAAGTAATCGTCGCCGTGTACCTCATTTTATCGGGATGATCTTCTTGTGCGTTGTACTCTGAGCATAAGAAAATACCAGGCCTATATCGCGCCGACAGGGACAGTACGTATTGTTACTATGGCTCGAAAAATCAGATGAATCAACTTGACAAAGCACAGAAAAGCAAGAATAGCTTAATTCCGCATCTCTTTATCCGTTCCGGTTCGTCCAGTTCTTTTCCCCTACGAGGCCATGATCCTTGAGCCTCACTTATTGGTCGAGAATCCTATATAGAGGTTCCACAACCGTTTGGCCATGGCAGACAGAGCTTCGAACATGAATGGCGTGCTCTGAAGAAGATATGTTTTACTCAGGGTGTGGCTGTTGTGCGAGAGCTGGGCTATTCGAAGACGCGCTGTCCTCGTGCTACAGCGATATTCTAGGAAACTTACAAACACGTTAGCCTTTTATTTAATCGCGGTCACACTCGGCGACATGGAACATGTATGTGCACGTTATACGGGATTGGTGTACCTGCGCGCTCTTTACCTCGATATCGAAATGCTATCGCGACGTACCAGTCGAACGTATCTGTCATATGCGATGTTGCATGCAAAGGCTGACCTCTTGTGAGAGTTTTGGAATGCCGAAGCATTAGTTGTAAAGCGTAGGCAACTTTGATGCTCACAGATGCTCACCTTTGCGTGCATCTCTTCAATCTCGTGTTCGTCTTCTTCCCGCATGAGAGCTTGGATTTCGCAAGCCCCGGCCACAAAAGAGACAGGCCCTAACATCAAACGGCCCTTCGCTATGTAATGCATCGGGGAGTGTTTTGGGGAGAACACGGAGTCAGGCAGTCTCCGGGGTCAGAAAAGGTCCAAGAGCCTGCGATTTCTCTTATTCGCATGTCACGCCCGTGTCTCGCGAAAATACTAAACTGGTTGAGAGGCTCCCCTCTGTTTTTGCGCCTTTCGTCTTTCGCATCACATCTTATCACTCACTCGTCCCTACCCCCGTGGTCCATTATCCATCTCTTGCCTAGCACCTACAGATGAACGTAGTTCTGCCTGAATCGGACTCGGTCGTTGAAATCGGAGTGTCCGTGCCCTCCCGATACGTTTGTCTGGTCGATCGTGTTGTGTCGTCGGCTGTGGTGTTTGTCCCTCTCGCTGGTGCTACTTGTCTGTCCATCCTATCTGCATGTCTGTCCATGTCTGTCTGTGCCTCTCGTCTCATGCATGTGTCGCTTCAAGTATCCGTCGTTGAATGTCCCAAGTCCTGGTCTGCTTTCTCCGCTCTGTTTTCTCGTTTTGATTGATTGTTCGTATGTCTGCTCAGCGCCTCTTGCTCCGGAATTCGTAGGGTGTATGTATACAGGAGTTGTCTTTGTGCCGTGCCCAATATCTGTAGATGTCGATGCTGAGGGTTCTCCAAAAGTGGGCCTGTACACTGTACTTACTTACGATCTTTGTACACGTACCCGTTCAGATGCTGACCGTATATTTATTCCATGCAATTTGCCAACATTTCTGCCAGGCTCTCGCTATGTGTTTTCACCGTGAATATCGTACTGTCGGACATGCGTTGCTTTCGCCATTGAATGAGTCCTCTGTTCGTTGTACGACGCCACGACGCCACAACTGATGATGTGGCGTGTATGTTTGTACCTCCGGAGTTTTCCGGACTGATAAATGGCTGCACATACCTTTTCTTTGCTAAGGCTGAGAAGCTCACTAGATTTCGTTAGAATTGGAGAAGGGCCACCGCATGCTCCTATAGAGGGCACTAAAAGTTATCAATGCAAGTACTGGGACGGTGTACTGGGTGGCGCCACACGTTGATCATGAAGTGGCGTTTCCACCGGAGGTTTCCGGTAACCGAACAAACGTCGACCTCCCTAAACGTTTGTTGTTCTGTTCCTCAGGCTCGAACTCACAGACAATGACGAAAGTCGACCACAGGTCTCCAGGACTGCCGATATAACCTGCTTCCGCCGCGATGTTCCTGACCACTCTCCTATCCAATATCTCTAGGAACTTCACACACATCCATATCACTGAAAGGAGTGGAGTGGAGTGGAGTGTTCTCGACGAGCGAGAAAAAAGAATATACCGATGGAAGAAAGTCGAAGTACCTATGATAAAGACGGGCCCGCCAAAGATGATAGCCAGGGCCAAGGACAAGAGGATGAGAGGCATGAGAGGGGACGCAGATGAGGCAAGAAAACGAAGAGAAAAGTGGAGTGCGAGATGTAGATCGAGCTGAAACTGTAGAGAAGAGAAAAAATGAAAACAAAAAAAAGAGGCTGGAAAAGAAGAGAAGCCCATATGGACACCGGTATCAAGAAAGGTGTTATGTACAAGAAAGACGAAACAACTAAACAAGAAGGATATCGACGAGTAGAGGACGAGAGAGGCAGCTGAGAAACGAGGAACTGATGTGGTGTATTAAATACTGTACTGGATTGGAAGCGAGAGAAGGAGACGAAAACGATAGCATCGTGCGAGAGTCCGACTGGGATTTACAGATATGCTTACATCAACGAATGGGAAAAGAAAACATGTATGGAGAAACGTGAAAGCCTGACAGAACGATACCTCAGGCGGACGCTGGCTCTGGTGGCGGGGCAGCAGGTGCAGGAGCTGCCTCTGCTGGTGATTCCGTGGATGAAGTGGTCTCCACACCCTGATAGAAAGCAGTGAGACATAGAGCGAATTGAAAAGAAAAAAGCTGCCACACCTGAGACCGACAAGCCGGACAATTGTTCCTCCCCGTCTCCAACCACTTATCCACACAATCCTTATGGAACGTATGCCTACACGACATCAACCTCAGCTCCTCCTCCGGCGCATAATCCTCCAGACAAATCAAGCACTAAACGACATCACGCCACGAACAAGTAGCATAAAGGTCAGTACATCTTTCCAAACATCCCGAAGGCACAATCCACTCACCCGATCCACACAATTATTCGCGACCCTCCCCTCGCTCTCCAACCTCTCCAAATCACTCGCCCTAATAATCTCCAACCCACTCCTCTCAATATCCTCCCTCGTCGCCGTCGGCGGCTTCACCTGCCCCAACAACTCCGCCAGCTCCCACAACGCCTCGAAACTGTCCAGCGGCGCCGTGCCCGTCACGAGATGATGATTCGGCGGATAATACCCTCCAATGACATAGATGAAGAACGTCGTCGAGCCCACCCCGTCCGCCGCCGTTCGACCCGTTCGCGAGGTCCCGACGCCATTTGAAGCGGCGGAAGCGGGATCGTTGGTACGACGAGCGGGGCGGAGATTACGGAGGGCGTTGGAGGCGCGGTTACGCCAGCGACGGTTTGAAGCGGACGAACCTGCGATGGCACCCGCGCCTGGCGTTCCTGGTCTTGTCCCGGGCTCGTCGTAGTATGAACCTTCACCTTCATCGCTGCCACCGAGCCCTGGACCGTCATTCACATCACCTTCCACATCGTTCGGAGGCATCTCATCTCCCATATCTTCGGGCGGTGGTGGACCGGGGAAACCAGGCGTGGGCAGATCTCGTCCGTTACTGTTCACCGACTGCAGCGAGACTAGAATGACGGGAACGACGATAGAGGGTTCACCAGCGTTCGTGTCTGATGCCGATGGTGTGGCGGTGGTGGCGGAAGGTACAGGTTCAGATAATGGTACTTGTAGTGGTGACAGTGGGGTCGGGCCCGTAGGAATTCCAGCAGCTGTGGCCATCGGTATTGGCACAGCGCCATTCGGACCAGGTTGCTGTCCAGGAGGAATAGTCATAGGCGGGAACCTATACATTCTCCACCAATTGATCCCACCATTCGGTCTGCGTTCTGATCCGGAAACAGTACGAGAGGCAGCAGGATTGACCGGAGCTGCATGTCCTGCGAAGGGCGCTGGCGTAGCTCCTACGAAAGGCGGCGGTACAGCACCAGTGCCAGTCGTCGGTGTGGTCCCAGCAGACGTAGATGCCACAGAAGGCCCAGCTCCCGACGCAGAACCCAACCCCGACGCAGACGTATCCACCTCTGGAGCATCTGCACCCTCACCCTCACCCTCACTCTCTTCAGAGCTCGCCCCCGAAATACTCTCCAACGGAGGGATCGAACCCGCCCTCGAAGCTGGTCTCGAGCAAACAGGCGTAGGCGTATCCTCGCTCAGGACTGTCTGCGCGGGTGTATCCTCGCTCGGAACCGTCTGCGCGGGCATATCCTCCGGCCAAGTCCCAGGAACAGTCAAACTGCCAGGCCGTCCAGAAGACGAAGACTGACCCTCCTCAACAGGATCAACAGGGGAGGAAGAGACTTGAGCTTGAACCGACGACGGTGCGTCCTCGGGAGCATCAGCATCGTTCACCGTCGCCACATCAGCGTCTGCAGGCCCAGTAACAGGAGCGGTGACAGGCTCGCCAACACTCGCATTCGCACCCTCCTCCGCCCCCAGCGTCCTCTCATCTCCCAACGTCCTCCTCAGATCAACCTGCAAATCCCACAAAAACCTCTCAAAGCTATCCCCCATCGGCGGCTCCCTATTCGCGTCCCTCATCGCGCTCAGATTCACCTCGATCGACTGCATCCCATGGTCCTGCTCTCCACCTCCACCGCCAAACCCACCGAGCCCACCGAGACCATGGTGATGATGATGATGATGGCGGCGGTACGGTTCGAGGGGCGGGTGATCTGGGATAGGATGCTCCCCTGCCAAAGCACCTTCGCCACCCGCGCCAGTCCCAGCACCTGTCGTTGATGATGCCGTACCTGGAGGAGGAGGGCCCCTGAGTCCCATCCCGAGGTTCAGAGCCCTCTCCATCTCCGCCATTAACTGCGACCTCGCGTCTCTCGGCCTCTCCGCGCCCAACCCAGCGCCGAAGCTCCCGAATCCACTCCCACCAGCACCTGCGCCACCAGCACCAGCACTTCCACCAGCACCACTAGCACTAGCACCAGCCCCGGTCCCTAAGCTCCCAAACCCACTTCCGCCCGCACCAGAACTAGCACCCGCACCCACGTTCGACGAAGAAGCCCGATCGCTCAATCCCAATCTATTCCTGATATTTCCCCACGTATTCCTCAAACTCCCAGCCCCGCTGCCTCCAAGTCCCGCAGTCGGAGTAGGCGAAGTCGGACGACTCGTCGGCGATATCTCCGCCGCTCCTTGTCCTTGCTCCTGACCCTCTTCGCTGTTTCGCAGTGGGTTACTCATGAACGGCGCGGGAGGGTTGTAAGGTGTGAAGGCAGATGTAGAGTTGGGGCTGGGAGTGTTAGGTGAGATGGGTGAGATGGGCGAGATAGGGGCTGTGGACGAGGACGTGGAGGGTTGGTGGGCATGGCCATGACCATTACCATGACGTTGATGTGGGTGTGGGAGGCCCATTGAGCCTGGGAGTGCGAGTCCGGAGTGGAAGAGAGGGTCGGAGGAGCCGGTGACGAGGGAGGCGGCAGTGGCCGCTGTGGCGAGGCTGAACAGACCAAAACCAAAACCAGAATATATCCATCAGACAAGATCGACAATTAAACGTATGCACGTACCCAATGAGTGTCCCGAGAACATCGATACTAGTAGGCGACAAGGCGGCCGGTCTTGGTGGTTCGTTCGACGTTACTTGTGCTGGCGCAGGAGCGGCAGCAGCAGTCGGCGAACTCTCGGGCTCCTCGCTCGTCGCGCTCGACTCGTTCAGATGGGACGACGCATTCCTTCTCGAAGACGAATCGGCCGTGTCCGGACGATCAAGCACAGAAGTCGACGATCCGTTCACATTCGCATGACCACTCCCAGAGGCAGCGAACGACGAAGGCCTGGAACGCATAGGACGTGGCATCAATGATCCCAGCCTGGTGCGGGACCTGTTGTTCAGTCCTCCGGCAGGGATAGATGAGGAGCGGGAGGGAACAGATGAGGAACGTCTGTGGTGAGCGGAATCGGCGGTGAGGTTGGTATTGGTGGTGCTGTCGCTGGTGTCGGTGGGGTGGGTGTTGATAGGTGTGGGTGCGACATCGGTGGTGTGTACGACGCCTTGGACGACGACGAGGGTGCCCGCGGGAGGGAAAGCGCGGGGTGGCTGTGGCTGTGGCTGCTGTTGTGGTTGAGGTTCTTGAGCGTCTGCTGTCGGAGTCGCAATAGGAGCGGGATTCGAAGCTGTAGTGTCAGATGGCGCGGTAATTGAAGCAGCAGCTGTTTCGGGCTGAGGAGTCGAGGGTTGAGGGTTCAAAGGCGGCGGTACAGGGGCTTCGACGGGTGCAGGGCTCGTGGCGCTCTGCGTGCTAGTCGATGGCGCCGGCGCAGCGACGACAGAGTCCGGTATAACAGACGGCGAAGAGACCTCGCCCGTCGCTATTGGCGTTGGTATTGCGGTAGGATCGACAGCCTGAGCGCGTTCCTTGCCCTTATCAGCGGCCACAACAGGCGCGCCCGCCACGATATTATCCTCCGTCCCTCCGTTCATACGCACGTCCTGTTCGTCCCCTTCGTTCGCCTTCGTTCCCCGTCGAGACATACGCCACCTTTTCCTCAACGACCGAGCGCTCCCAGAGACGCTCGACGGCGCACTATCCAGCCTCGGGCGCGATCCCGAGCTCGACAACCCCGAGGCCGACGCTGACGCTGACGGCGTCTTCCCGAACCTACTACCATTCCCGCCCGTGAACGCACTGAGCACACTCTTCCGCCTCGTTCGTTTCGCTTCGGCATGGGTTACGGGAGGCTCATCTTGTGATTGGGATTGGGATGGCGAATCGGGAAGTGGGTTGGCGATGTTGGGGCCGGTGGCGGGGCGTGATGACGACGAGCCCGCGACCGGCGTTTGGGGAGACGACGACGGCGATGATGATGATGATGATGTGGGGACAGTCGTCTCGCCTGTGGGTCGCTGCTCTTGTTCATGGGCACCACGCTGCCTAGACGTATTCTGACCCATTCTGAAGCCTGAGAACGGAGTGAAGTGAAGAGTTGTGCGTCGAGGCTAAGGATCCCTCTAGTCGTGAAACACGGAAGCGGAGTTTAGTGCGGACCCGCGCAGAGACCAGTCGAGTGCTTTTGGCTTGAACGAAAGAAACAAATGGAGTATTCGGGGGATTGGCGTACTACTACCTTGACTGGCTGGCTGTGGGTGGGATAGGGCAGCAGAGGCTGAGAGGACAAAGTAAGCTGGTCGGGTCGCAGTGACCGTCCGAGTACAAGCGTGTCGGCGCCACAGCAGCTTATGTCACTCCCCCAGGGCCTCTCCCGGTCCGAAAGCTTATTCGACTCTCACAACCACGCTGAACGGCGAAGAACGATGGTGAATGTTAACGAGGCCGTGCCACCTAAGAATTGTCGTGTTCGGGCACCAATAGTCGTTGTACTCGATTCCGCAAGAACAGTCAAGTCAGTGTGGCGCACAGCCATCCAGTTCATTTCGCATCACACAGAGTTGCATGCTACTTCATCTTACATTGATATGGACGACTGCCACGATGCAAGTAGAGCAGACCAGTACAAAGGACATGCTGGACATGAAGGTGTGCTTCGTGTCCAACGGTCCATTTAGCGCCGTTTACTTCAAAGAGGGAGTACCCAAAAGCCGCAAGGTCATGCTACAGCCGTAATTCCAGCCTCCTTGAGTTTGGCTACCAGCTCATCCACGTTCGCCACCTGTGATGCCATAGAGTCAGTCCTCTGACGAACCGATACGAAGAGATTTGCTTGAAACTGACCTTGCCGCCACCAACACGTTTCGGTGGTTCGGAGACCTTGAGCGTCTCCAACATGGGTGTCAGATCGACACCGAGGTCCGACGGTGTGAGTTTCTCGATTGGTTTCTTCTTGGCCTTCATGATGTTAGGCAGGGAAGCGTAGCGGGGCTCTGGAGCAGACCGAAGGTCAGTAACATCCTTCAGCATAAAAACATACCACCAGACATACCATTTAACCTGACATGAGTGTGGCGTGAGCACCAATATGAGTATAGGAAAACATCGACAGTAAAAGAAACGTACCGCAAATCCGTAGTAACAACCACCGGCAACCGACACCTCAACTTCTCCGCCCCCCCATCAATCTCCGTCGTAACCCTCGCCACCCCCTCCTCCACATCCACCTCCACCTTACTCGCATACGTCGCCTGCGCCACCCCGTCCCCATCCCCCCACAGCGCCGCCAACATCTGCCCCGTCTGTCCCAAATCATCATCAATCGCCTGTTTTCCCATAATAACCATATCCACCTTCCTCCCCTGCTCCTTCTCCCTATCCAACACCGCCTTTAACGTCCGTGCGATTCCGAGCGGTTCGGGCGCAGGAGCGGAGTCGGGAAGCTCGATGTGTAGACCGGAGTCGGCGCCCATGGCGAGGGCGGTGCGCAGGGTTTCGGAGGATTTGGGGGGACCGATGGTTACTACTTTTATGGATTTGATGTGGTCTTTGAGACGTTCGCGTAGGCGGACGGCTTCTTCGACAGCTGGAGTCGGTGGCATGTGTTATTCTCATTGGATGCAGCGATGTCTCAATGGCTGCTACGACGTACCAATCTCGTCAAACGGGTTCTGTGTGGACGTGGACAGAGAGAAAGTAAATCATGAGGTTGTTTCGTGGGTATATAGAAGACGGAGGGGCAGACCATGGAGTGTTTGACATTAAGGTCAATGCCCGTCTGCTGTGGGTTTACACGGATTTTGACCGCATAGTCCACACATCTAGTAAACAAAACCCCAAAATCATGAGCATAGTGCTCGTATCAAGTGGATAGACTCCTACCGCTTCACAGGAACGAGAATATTCAGCAACCGAGCAGCGGTAGGCCTCATCGTCGCGGTCGACCTCAAAGTCAAGCCTGAAGTGGTTCAAAACGTTGAGCAAGCGCCCAAGCTCAAGCATTGCAAAGACGAACAGGCGCCCAATGTTCGGAAGGAGCCGGCCCGGCGGCTTCGACGTCATGCACCCCTCTAAAGCAACGTTGATGTTTTGTAGCTGATGACCACCGTCACCGCATGCAACGAAACTGTATGGCTTCGAGCTCGATAACTATAACCCATCAACGTTCGAGAGTTGATTGCATAGCCCGTGGTATATTTAAAGTCTCATCATCCATCATGATGCTCGAAAGTGTTCGAGTTGCTCTTCTCTATCACCTCACCTTGGCAGTGACATTCAGTACCAGTGCTGGTTCTGGCCGTGATGTTTCCCTTAAAGTTCTCCAGCATCCTCTTCTTACTCGGAGGGTTTCAACATCTGAATCCCTACGCTCCTAGCCATGGACAAGGTGTCCTAGCTCAATCAACGAACCTAACGTCTTTCGTTAACCTTTTCATCGGGACTGCGTCGGGTGCGAATGGGGGTAGTGGGGGGAACGCGTTCCCTGGTGAGTTCGTTCTTTCTGCTTTCTATGTCTTTGAAGCAGGAACTCACTGTGTCGATGACGTTGGTGATGATGATTGGAAGGTGCTGCCGTTCCGCATGCTATGGTCAAGGTGAGCATCGTTCTCCATGCAAAGCAAAACGGGGAGCATGGAGAGCAGTAGCCTCATTCATATGTACGAGTAGGTCGGCATCGACGTAGACGAGACGCGTGAGGTTTGATTTTCTGAGACTTGGCATGGGTGCTGACTCTCATCAACTATTTATTTACTCGTCCAGCCCGTCAAGCAGGCTATATCCATGATAACTCCTCCGTAACCGGTATGAACCTCCTTCCTTCCAAGTTCACCGTCCTCGAACCCTTGATCATGAACCTCGCTTATAGGAATATCCCTCATGCACGACGAAGGAACTGGAGGTGAGCACATATATCTACTACTCGATATCAATCAGGACAAGGCAGCGCCTGGTGCGCATGGTAGAATGGACGAACGTTCGTGCTCTGCACACGGCTCCCAGAGAAAGATACCATATTATTGTACCTGGACTCACCTGAAGTCGTTGCATGTGCAACGAGTCGTCTGGATGAGAATGCTATTTTCGTTCCGGTGTGGACATGCGAGCTTGGGTCACGGTACAGGTACACACTACGAGTGAGTGGTAGGAAGGCCTACCTAATGCCGTGATGGTGCCTCTACTGAGAGCAGAAGTAATTGTCACGTTCTTAGCCTTGTTGGCAGGTGGTCCACATTTCGGCCTAGGTCCGAGTTGCACTTGTCCTTAGCCCTCAGGCCTCGAGTTCTCTGCTACACTCGCTACCCTACCGTCGTGGATGTTTCGCTCTTTGACCTTCCCCAGCGGCTCTCACTTTATTGCCCGAATCCGCAAATTGATTTCTGATTACAACTGCAGGAAACACCGAAGGCGGATACGGTTTCTTCCCGCTCTTTCCTCTTGCGGATTGTTCTTTCACGTCCTGCCCAGTCGGTCTCTCCGCAAGAGAAGCTCTCAGAGCTGCAAATACTGACGGTACGTCGTCAAGATCCTCCCAAACTAATCTTCTCCGAATTCAGTCCCATTTCGAACTTCCTATCATTTTCCTTTGTCGTCATGTTGTATTGTGGCCCTACGACGCTACAGCGGCGGAACCGGGATACTTTACCACCCAGTTCGTCAACGGGATCAAACTCGAAACGACCTCCACACGTCGAGCGGGTCTCATTCGATTCACCTACCCAGAGAATAGTACCACGAACCAAGTTGTGGTCGATTTGACGAATGATTTGCAGAGATCGTTTGAGGGTGGGGAGATTAACGTGGATGCTGATACGGCGAGGATCACGCTCACAGGGACATTCTTGCAGGTCTGTTTTTTCTTCTCTCGTTGTCTCTCCTATCTACGAATATATCATATTGAAATTATGGATTTTGTGTTGTACTATAGAGTTATGGGGTGGAGAACTATACCGTCCATGCGTGCTACGACTTCCTTCCCCCGACCACCATCTCCTCTCAACCCCTCCTCCAATTCGCAACCTATCAATCCACAACGACCAACTCTTCCGCCATCACCATCACCCCAAACACCACTTTGCTCTCCTTCCCACTCGTTTCCTCACCCTACACCCTACAAGCAGGAGCCCTCCTCTCTTTCGACACCTCCAACACCTCCACCACGAACTCAGTGCTTGCTAGGTTCGGTGTCTCGTTCATCAGCACAGATCAAGCATGTTCGAACGCGGAAGAAGAGATTCAGGATTGGGACTGGGATGAGGTGCAGAGTGCGAGTAGGGAGAAGTGGGAGGATGTGCTCGAGAGGGTTGTTGTAGATACGGACAAGGAGAACGCGACGGTGGTTGAGTTGCTGTATTCTTCGGTCAGTTCTAATTCATCAGTCATATTTTGTCGCAGAAGATCGTCGTGGTGGCTGATGGGGTATGTTAACGTGGATGTGTTGGCGGGCGGACAGTTGTATCGTGCTTCGCTTGTTCCCGCCAACTTGTCCGGCGAGAACCCGTACTGGGACTCTCCGTACCCTTTCTATGATGCCCTCTTCTGGTACGTTCTGTCCTATTCCTCTCAGATGCTGTGGGTCTCTGATTAAATTCGATAGCTCCTGGGATACGTTCCGTACCGTCCACCCTCTGCTATCGCTCACCTCTCCCATCGAATGGGCCGAGATCGTGAACGCTTACATTGATGGATGGAGGAACAGTGGTATGCCCATCGTCCTCTTCTCTCCATCTTGGCATTGTTATTGACCGAGGTGATTTCGTCCCATTCAGGATACATCCCCGAATGTCGCGATAACACCAAGAAGTATGTCTGCCCCTCCCTTTCTTCCTCCTCCACCCTTTCCATTCCCTTCAGCACATACTGATGATTGTACTTTCTCGTGAATTCAGAGGATACGTCCAAGGAGGCAGCGACGGCATGCCCATCCTGGGCGACTTCGCCGTCAAATATGGAGCATTTGGTACACAGCTGGGTGTCCCCACAGACGACTTGTACCAAGCATTAGTAGACACGGCAGAGAATACGCCAGATGACTGGTATGAAGGTCGGTCCATCATTTTTTTAATATAATCTTCTGTTGGGCGAAATTTGTGACCAATGTGGCGGTGGCGACTACGTAGTTGGACGCCAAAACACGGCCTGGAAAGAATTCGGCTACATCCCTACGAACTGGACTGATCCCTCTGGTGCGACCGGGCTGCCCACGCGTGAGGCGTCGAGGACCGAAGAAGTGAGCTTCTTTCTTTCTTCTCTCAGTTCCGGGACTCACGCGCCAGGAATTGATAGTATTCACTCAATGACTTTGCCGTCCGCCAAGCCGCCCTCGCACTAGGCAAGGATCCGTCCGATGTCGCGGTGTATGGGAATCGATCATTGGGTTTCGCGAATGTGTGGGATCCGAACGTGACGAGTGATGGCTTTACGGGCTTCGCGCAGAGGAGGTTCGCGGTGTGTGTCGAATCTTTTTCTGTCTGGTTGGTTCCGTAGAAAGAGTATATTGACTCACTCGGGTGCACGATTTCTCAGAATGGGACATTCGCGTTCAGCGATCCTGTGGCGTGTTCGCCCGTTGACACGGTTGGGCATTCGTGTGCAAGGGGAACGGATAACGATGTTGGGTTCTACGAATGTAAGCACTACCATATACAATGCAGTGCAACGATTAACCTTCGAGGGCTGTTAGCATCATCATGGGAGATGTCCTTCTTTGCGCCACACTCTATGGCTACGATTATTGAGCTCATGGGCGGCAACGACACGTTCATCAGTAGATTGTATGTTCTGTCATGCGCATTCGGCATTCACAGCGTACTGATGACTATTCTATATTTCTACAGGGACCACTATTTCGACGGGGGGTATTTCGAAGCTGGAAACGAGCCCGGCTTTCAAACGCCATGGCTATACCACTATGCCAACCGTCCAGACCTGAGTGCATTGAGGGTCCGAGAGGTGGTGTTTGACAACTTCAACACTGGTATTGGTGGTGTGAGTACTCTTCACTGTTGTATAAGCCTTTTCAGTGTGGTTCTGTTCGGAAACGCTGCTGTGGCTCGACCGGAACCTTGCACGCTTCATGTCTTTCACTGACTTACGCTTTTCTCTACATGGCTATCGATATTGATATCCTCTCACAGATTCCCGGTAACGATGATAGCGGTGCAATGAGTGCGCTTTTAACCTTCCACATCCTTGGCCTCTACCCTGTCCCCTCCTCCCGTCAAGTTCTCATTGGTTCACCCCTGGTTTCCTCCTACACTCTCTCCAACAACTTCTTCGGCACCACCACCACCGTCACCGTCAAAAACTTTGACCCTTCGAGTATTGTGGCCGCTCCATCTGAGGGAGGCAATGTGTATGTTCAGAGCGTGAAGGTGAACGGTACAGAGACGGGGAGTTTATGTTGGATTGAGTGGGGAGATTTAGTTGGCGGTGGTGAAGTGGTGATTGCGGTGGGGAGTGAGGTGCCCGAAAGTGGATGTGACAGTGGATTGGGAGCGGGAGCCGTGCCGGATTCATTGGCGACTGGTGGTTTCAGCTCATAGGTGTTCCTATCAACCCGACGCGCAAATGAGCTCGAGAGAAAGGTGCTTCGTCTGGATTAATTATAAACGTTTCGCACCACCGCAGACGGCCTGATTTCGTCTTCTCTGGCAATGACAATGCCATCCACTGATCTCATTTACCCAAGGCACTAGACTGAAGCAGGCCTAACTTCAACCTCTCCGTCACTTAATGCTTCGTGCAGCCAGAAAGGAATTTACTGGCGGATTTCCTTCAAACGCACCGTGACTAGGAGCGACATTCATCTTGTACTGTTCAATCCTCTCCCCCCCTCTCCAGCCTTCAAGTATCTTGTCCATTGCTTGAAGCTTGATGGGTACTAGTTCTGCCGTGAAGTATGTTAAGTAAGTATACTGATCGACTTCGAAAACGCAGGTTGAACGCACATCAGTATGCCTTCACTGGCACACGGGTCTTACGAGGCCGCTTCCGAGTCTACTCTCGTCTAGTTATGATCGACAGTAGCGGAAAGGTACGCTATGAACAATGTATTAGTTCTAACCCATGATACGTAGCGGAATTAATCAGGACCGGCTGGTCCCTACACCTCACAGATGTGTTTATGAACCGTTGTATCCCCGCCGCCTCCTTCCACGTTCTGCTCAGTTGGCCCTACCTGGAACCATCGAAGATTGATCACTGATGGGACTCCATCTGGGGAAACGTCGAGTGCATATGCACAGTATTTCCTGATCTCAATGATGCAGATCGATGTGCACCGCGATGTGTGCGCTGTTGGCTCGCTGTCTGCACGAGTAGCCGTCTTCGGCAGGCCGGGGTTTGTGCACATCCAGGGCGGGCGAAAGGCTGGTGCATCTCTCATGACGGCGATGTCTTTCCGCTGGCCTAGGTGCTGAGGCCCGGAGGGTCTCCCTATAAGACATGATCCAGGTTGGTTCACTGTTCATACCGCTGGCTCCCCCTGCTTTGTGCGTTGTATCCTCCACAATACTCGACATTATGATGTTCTCGTCCAAGCTCGCTCTCGTCGCCCTGGGCACCGCAGTGGCTAGTGTACAAGCTCAAAGGTGCGTCCATATATTCATTCCTATCTTATGAACGCCTTGTTCTGATCTGCTGACGGGCCGCCCGAATCTCTAGGTCGACATGTACACACTTCTCTGGGACAACCACTGAGTTCGTGACAGGATACTATCCGGGTTCAACGACGACTCTTACCGAGGCGGGAGGTAAGAGTACCTTTACAAACTCCAATTGTTCCTCGACACTAACTGTCATGGGCTTTCGCCTCTGTCTCTCCACAGTGACGACTTACACGCCGACCGTTTGGCTTGCACACACCACGACTTCTGCTGCAGCCGCCGCCTTAACAGACGCACCAGTCGAAGCTCGCAACTTTGCCGATGCTACGACAAGCTGTCTCATCACCACAGTGGATACGGTGGGAGTGGCGAATTATAGTTCGACCGTGACGGTGACCGCTTGGGCGACGACGGTGACGGCCGCTGCTGTTACGAGTACGCTTCCGGCCTGAGGCTGCGGTAGAGCGATTCGTAGGCCCAGTCAAAACCTGGTACCTCGCGAGGGTGTCGTGTTTATGAACAAACTACATGCGTCGAGCTCGATACAATGCTTAGTCCGTGCTTCTTAATATGGATGCTTGGTGTAGCTGTTCATCCCTTAACCCAAACAGTCTCAAGTAAGAGATGTGATACGTTGTCAACCACTGGCATGATCGATTATATTCTTCGGGGCGCCGAGCGAAAACGTGACTATCAAAACAAGAGCCAATGCGCGCATGCAGATTGCAACACCTTGACCACAGTGATGCGTACCAGTAGGATATTCGAGAATAAGCTGCCCCGAAAGCGTCAGCCAGTACAAGCAAATACGAAGACTCTCGCAGCGAACTTGTGGTAATCCACTGTTCAGATAAGCGAAGGAAGATATGGTCCCCTAGCCAAAGAGAACCATTCAGATTCGCGTGAAGGATACGGGGCCCATTGAGAGAGTGAATGACGACTTACTTCGTCCAATAAGTCTGGATGTTGGGGTCGGCTTCTCGCATTCTCGACTTGAGATCGTGTGTGGCTTTGCACCCGATCAACGTGAGGCGTCGCAGTGGAGATCCCCTCAGTCTGCACACTCTCACTATATCTATCAACAACTGCTCGTATCTTTTCCTTGGAACGGCCTCTTTGCCCCTCTCACTCCCCTCCCTAGTTGGGCCCATCGTCAACAAGTCAACGCCTTGGATATAGAGGTGAACGAGGCTGGACAATGAATGAGACGTTGTTCCTTCGTCGGCCTGCTCGCATATGACATTACGATGAAGAAGAGCGATGACGTCGCAAGTAAAGGCTTTGAGGTATCTGACATTGTGGAACTGTTTAAGATCAAACAAGATGCCTGAGGCTGCGTCTGATCTTGAATGTACGGCAAGCATCTCGACATTCTTCACGGTAGCAATGGTGTCTACGAGGAGTTGCGGGATTCGCGCGATGTCGAAGCCAGTCCTAAGGTCTTCAGGAAAGATAGATACAGATATCTTTCCAGGGTCGCGATCCTGAGGCAGGTTTATTCGTAGTTCGTTGGCCAGCCAGTCGGGATCATGTGAGAGATAGAAGTTGACACGGTCAAAATCGGTAATGAGGCTGGAACTTCGTTGTCGAATGTTGAACGCGAAGGACCGGAAAGGTCCTTCGTGACGCTCCCCATGCGAGGATAGTGCGGCAAAAAGAGCGAAACAATCCCCATCGTCGTTACGTGGTAGGTCAACTTGGAGAGTAAGCATGACACCAGGCTGAAGTTCAAGGGTGTCCAGCACTTGAGCACAACTACGAGCGTCGCCGTGCAGATCGAGGTCGGTTAAAGAGGGGAGTTGAATAGCGTATCGCGTGCGTTTGGTGGCATGTCGGGAAGGGAGACACCTATGAAGACACAACTTCTCGAGGTGCTGATTACGATTAAGAATGGCGAATAGTTCATCGTACGAAGGTAGAGGATATACGTGACTGGCGAAGACCGTGATGGTAAGAATCGACAGGTTGACGAAGGGTGACGCGGCCCAATTGTAGCCGACATTATCTAGACACAGTCGTCGAACGTTGCTTGGCTGACCTCCAAGGAAGGAGTCGGGGAAAGACGGAAGCGACTGGAGGCCCTTCATTGACAAAGTCAGATCCTCGAGAAGTGGAGAGGGCTTAGTCATGACATCTGTCAATGGAAATCTGGTGTCTCTGTCCATTGACAACATGTTGAACGAAAGACTTTTGATCCTGTGAAGGTTTTGCTCTACAGTGCCAATGACAGCGGTGGATAATGTTTTGTAGTCCTTCCAGGAATACGGGACATGGTCTAGGTTGTGATGGATAGTCAACGGTGCGGACTTGGAGCGCCGCAACATCTCCTCGAGCCAGCGCGGACCAAGCATGAATGTCAGAGTTGACCATAGCGAAGACATGTTCAGGGCGATGTCCCTCCATCGACGACAGATATGAGTGATAGTCAAAAATCCCATGTGTGGCCGCGCAGAGCCAGGAGGTTCCCGTACTTCGCTGAGAGTTTGAGGATCCCTGATGTAAAGGCACACCGTGGGAGGGTCTTCTTCTGCCAGAATCGCAAAACATCGTGCGATGAGCTCCGGGGGTATCGTAAATATTGGTGTGGAGGACGACTCCGAGATCGATGATGCCATGTTATGTAAGAGATGCTCTATAACAGCAAAAGGGGGCCGACGGTACACAATACTGTTGGAAAACAAGGCGAGCTGTATGAGAGCTGCCACAATATTAGTCATCAAAATCATCGTGAAGGACTAACGATGTGGGTGCTTGAACTAAATTCGGTGAATTGAACGCGCCAGAAATCGTAAGTTTAGTGTATGTAGGCCCTGAGCGGTGTACTTTAAATTGTTTGAGATGCTTGCGAATGACGCTACTTGGTGTCGTCGTACGAGCAACGTCCACGTATCACAGCCTAAAGCTTTGAAGATAAGTATGGTCTCTTCGAATACAGCTGAGGGTAGAAACGATATGCACTCGAAGCAAAATTTCGTCAGGCAATAGTTCGCGGTAGAAACGACTGAGGAGGCGTGGCTGAGGGCGATAATCGAGGCGTGGGATCGATGCCCCGGGGAAAGCCGGGTCATTGAACAGCGATTACGCCACTGTGGCCTGCGTTTCCCAACAAAACCTAAGCACCGCATGTAATGACATCCAGACGTTGCTGCTAAAAATGCACTTAGAAAAGATTTACATGACTGGAACGGGCAGCCGATGCTACTCAAGGACGGACAAACATGCTCCGATGGCGGTGGCAGAAAAGAGTACAACATGGTCACTCATCATATACAATTGCTGGCTAGGTCGTGTAATGCTAATGAGCATCTGTCATTTTAATCAGCTCTCGTGCTCGTTGCCCTCTGGGTGACATTGAGCATTGGAATGGTAGCGGGCAGCTGTCACGCTAATTATTAGTAAGGTACTCTCTGACAAGGGCAAGGACCGTTGTGACTTACTTCACCAGACCAGAGTCTCCTGTGAAAACGTCTTCCACGGGAATGTCATTCCCATCCTCATCTTTGGCACGGCCAACAGTGAGCGTCGCGAGAACGGATACTACCAGAATCCAGATTGTCGTGTCGGCAAAATGGCGGCCGACGCAGACTCTGAAAAAGCACATAGCAATAAGCTCATCATCAGGGATGAATGGGAGCGGTTAATCCACGTACCTTCTACCAAATCCAAATGCAGACGCTAGTTCAGGATCGTTCTTGAACTCACCGCTCGCAGTTAGGAAGCGCTCTGGACGAAACGTTTCTGGATCTGGGTAGTGCTCAGGATTATGCAGGATGGCCCTGTCGAAGTCTCGTCAATTAGTACAGTTCTCAAAAGATCAAGAGTCGGAGAACATACCAGGAATTCGCAAAGACATGGGAGCCTACAGGAGAGTGAGACAACGTGTTTCTGACAAATGAGATGAAGAGTACCTTTCGGAATGAAGTAACCTTCGTACACGTCGTCTTCGGTAGTGGCATGTGGAATTCCTGTAGTGAAGGCAGATGAGGAGTGCTTGACCGATAGAAGCACACATATACACGCACCCAATGTGGCAACGGGACGCCATCGTAACATCTCTTTCGAAAACGCCTCACAAAACGGTAGTCGTGGTCGATCCTCGTAAGAAGGCAGTCTCTCCTGGCCGATGACAGAGTCGATCTCGTCCTGAGCCTTCTGCTGCATCTCTGGGTGCAGTACGAGCGCCAAGAAGAGCGACGAGAATAACGCGACATACTAGGTTCCAGTATGAGTAATATTGGCTGAGAGAGAGAATCAGGTCGCGCACTGAATCCACGGCGGCTGGAAGTCGACGTTTAAATCAGAACTGTAGAGGAGGAGACGTTCATCCATGAACAAACCTGAGTACAAAGTAGCGGCCACGTTCTTAATCTGGGTTTCTTCTTCCTTGGTAGGTTCGTTCCTGCATGACATCAAACCATCACGACTGAGTGACGGCCGAGCAGTTCCGTTTTTCTACGGGATGGTGAGGATGCGTCGGTGAGCAATGAGAATTCAGGCTGTACTCACGATGCTAGTCTTGACAAAGTTGAATGGGTCATTCACCATCTTGTGCGAAACGGAAGCCGTCTCTTCAGCAAAGGTTTTCCATCCCATTCCGGGCCATCGAGCGGGGAGATGTTTCACTGCACTGATGCATATCAACGACAGAACTAAACTCAAACAACGAAAAAAGGCAGGTGCAGAAAAGGGCTTACATATGGGCATAATATTAACAGGTGAGGTGGGTCTCAGCCCGACCAATCCTCTCTTGATGACTTCTTCCGCCAAATCTACATAGCGGTCGCTGACATCGGACTCGCCCAGTTCATAGCCGTAAGCGACGGACATGATGATCGCCGTCGAGAAACTGTATTTGTGTTACTTCATCGTGACGGGTCTATGAGGTATAAATTCTTACTGTCTGATGTGGCGTACATATGCCTCAGGGTCTTTCACGAGGTTCCGCAGAAATTGGTGTGTCCTCGAGGTCTGCATGGGAAAGTAGGCAGTTGTAGCCCGTGGGCGAAGACTCTGCTCAGCCACCTTACGTTCAGCCTTGTAAATATGGCTATAGGCCTTGAAGCCTACGCTCCAGGACGTGATGCCCATCCTGACCAACGACCAGTCGGAAATCAGCATAAAGTTATCGGGAGGCTACGAGGATAATGCAACTCACAAGTCCATATGTGGGATCGGAGGACGAGAGGAATAGATGGAGCCCCGCTTTTCCAGAAGATCTCTGGCAATACGGGAGGAGTTGATGATGATAACGGTTTGGCCGAGCATATTTACACATATCAGGTCGCCTGGGGGATGATGAAGTGTGAAAAGGAAGTCGGGGTAGTTGGGGCAAAATGACTGACCATAGCGGCTCCCCCACTCCACAAATCTTTTCCAAGCGTACTCTTTGGGAAAATCAAGGATATTCCCGATGATAGGCAAGCCCTTGGGACCTGGGGGGAGAGGCAGGCCTTTTGACGCTCGTCTCCGTCGCAGGTAGAGACTGGAGCGCCAGAAAATCAAAGCAGATACGATGAGAAGAAGCGAAGGCAACATCGTTCAGTGGCTTGGGGAGAAAGACAGGGGAAGACGAAGAAAAGCAAGTGGTGAGCACATGGTGGAAGAGAGTTATATAGACGCTTCTCAGGAGGTATTGCACATCACTCAAAACCGGAGGAGCCGTTCTAATGGATGCCGCTCTTGTACATAGCCGACAGAGTTTTGTCTCAAGAAGAAGCGATTCCACGAAGATCAATGAGATGAGGGGACGAGGCTAATTTTGTCATCGGAAATCTGATATATCCACCCTTCCGTAGGAACAATACCCAGGTGGCGTTTCAAAATCAGCATGACAACAGGTTCTTGTAGGACCTAAGACATTTTGAAAGCTTCACGGACTAACAAAAGAGAGCTAAAAATATGACTCACAATAACAAGCAAAATCTACCTCAAACGCAAGGTACACCCGTTGAAACAGCTTTCAGGGAGGTCCATAACTATTGGCGTACCACCGGAAAAGAAGGATGGACGGCTGTATCGAAGTGTCATGATCTCCTATATGTTCGAAGGCTCCAGGTCCCCGTCTGTCCAGGTCTGTCGTTCGCAGACAAATTTCGTCACGTACCTGTACTAACGTAATTGTGTGTACTCCTAAATGAAGCGAAGGTGGATCAGATATTACTTACGGCCTCACTGCCGCGGTAGATGCGGTAGCCAGAAGGTCCAGGACGACTTTGCTCGCTACACTGGGTGAGAACTACATTCGCTCAACCGAAAGAAGTTAGTTCCTTTGCCTCGTGCTACAACGCCTGCATGTCTGTTTGCCCTGTTTCCGTCCGAAAGTCCTTGCTATACTGCAAGCGTTAGTATACCGTCCCTTTGTATTACGGAGTCGTCATCGAGAGCTGTATATCAACACCCAGGACATGACAACCAGATTCCCTTGGCCTGTATACTGCGTATTCCGGGAAGGCATGCCGCTGCAGTCCAGTCGATATACGGCCGCACACGGCTAGGTGATCGTGGAAACGCCGCTGCTGGTAGGAATTCCGTTTCGAAAACCATTGCTCCTCAGCGCCGAGCGGAGCGGCGCAACGTGGTGGAACGAGAGAGGCGAAACAATAGGAAGAAACAATAGCGTAGCTCACGCGAAGACCGCCGACGGGTTCTGTATGGGAAGATATTTAGGTTGTCGGAAGAGGAGTGAGAGCGGGAGGGAATCGAGGTGAAACCGGTGGCGTTCGACTTCTCACGGCCAACTTTAGCGTTTTCTGTGTGATATCATTCCTCTTCTCCTCATTCTCTTTGCAATCTTGAGTCGGAATGAACTTCATACAGAAACATTATGTGAATAATGACCTATCCCTTCAAACACGAGACACCTTCCGATCAGCCATCACAGACACGGAAAACAAACACAATGGACGGACTAGAAATGGCATCTCGAAGGGAATCATCCCTTTCGTGTATTGCGAGCTATAACGGTACCAACATAACTAAATATATATTGATGATGGTAAGAGTGGATGACGTGCTGTCAAGGAGAACATGCAGAAGAGAAGAAAACAACAGCTTGCAAAGAAAGCCAACATTGGAAAGAGAAAGCTGACACTGAGAACAACAACGATTAAACAGACTGACATTGGCGTGAATGCACGTCAAAGGACCAGGTGAAACGTAACAGTAGAAGAACAACAGGAAAGAGTATGGAGCGATGCATGCAGGTGCAACAAACATCAAGCAAGAAAGCTAGAGGTGGAAGAAACAGATGGGATGAACGCATTGTATGCTCATGAAGGCAGGTAACCGCATTGGACTGACTGAGGGACACAGCAGAGGTAATGAGAAGGATGGAGGGATACGTGCAGAGTCATGATGGAACATGGATATTGGTACGAATGACGACGCGAATGGCAGAGGTCAGGAGATGAAAAGAAAGGGGAGCTCGAGGGGGAAGGTAGAGGATGCAACGTAGGGCAGGAAAAGACAGAGTATATGGCGTGTATGAGGCTTAATATGGTACATATGCTATGGGTAAAGGTGAAACGAATACTTTATGGATACATGATGCGTGTGCGGTTGGCGCAGACTCTGACATCAAGGTGAGAGACCGACAAGTAGAAGCCGAGAGTGTCCGATGTGAAGGACAGGAGGGAGAAACAAAAGCAGTGTGAGCATCCTTGGTGATAGGATGAAAGTTTGGAGATACGAGCAAGATGTTGGCCTCAAAGGGAGTGTAAGAAGAGAAATGTGGGTGATGCGTGAATGAGCCATGCACTAGGGGCGGTGGGGAATAAAAATTTAGGCGAGGGGGATAATATGAGGAAGGAAGTGGTGGGGAGTTCATACAAGACAACAAGAGCAACTGAGGCAACAGTGGGATATATATCGTAACATTTGGTAAGGTGTAATTGGGGAGAGAAAGGTTTATCAATAAAATAACGTACGTGGCAATACAATGTCCATCGCCATAGAGAATGATTTTCATGTACCATCGAGCGACACGTCCTTGACGGAACCAACGTCGACCTCAGATGGAGTGGCTGATGGAGGGTGGCGCGGCAACCAGCCACCAATCTCCCACCGACCCATCTGGTATTCGTCTCGTTCTCGCTGCTCAGTGTTAGTCACTCCACGAAGGATCATGCTGAGCCGCTTGAAGTCGATAGGTTTGAGGATCCAACCGTCGACACCGATCTTCGCTAGCTCAACGCGCTGTCTTTCCAACAACGATGCGGAGACAGCGAAGATAGGTATCCGCCCGTTAAGAGCGTGTGACACTCGTTCCTTGTCGAGGTCGAGGGACATCTCGAGCAAGCGGATAGCTTCCGTTGCTTGGAATCCGTTCAATATTGGCATCCTGCATACCAGAGAGTTATCAGCTCCATCCAAGAGATAGAGAGAGGATGTTGAACATACTGGACATCCATCAAGATGATATCAAAGTTCTGATCAGACTTGACCATATCGACACCTTCTTGGCCGTTCTTGGTGTTGACCACAATATGACCATCAAGCGTCAGCCGCTTCGCGAGGATCATGCGATTGATGTCATTATCCTAGGAACAGCACTCGTCAGTACTCGCCACACCGGAGAATAACACAACCAAAGAAGCCCCGCACCTCGACGATCAACACCCTCAGACTTCCGGACCTGGAAGACTCTCCAACAGCAGTGGCCTTCGAGACGCCGTCCACTTGCTTCGTTGTCTTGGGCAATGGCAACGATGATGGCTCCTTCACGTACATAGACGACCTCGGCACAGACTCCCTCTTCATCATCTTTTCTTCCATCTCGAACTCATCCACCTTCACGGGCCGTACGGGCATACCAGAATCCCGCACCGCGAACGTCCCTGGTACCGATGGCGGCATCTCCGACGACGACGACGACGTTCCAAGCCGATTCGTCCCCGGACCTCCTCCACCCAGACTGCTCGCAAGCGCGTCCACGAGACTGTCCACCTCGCGACTGCTCCCAGATCCGCGACTGCTTGCCCGCTCCCGCGACACACCAGACAACGGTGAGGGTGCCGAAAAAGAGCGCTCACCAGGGTTCGTCGATAACGGGAAGGGGAGGAGGAAAGAGAACCGACTGCCTTCGTCGACCTTAGAGTCTACGCGGAGCTGGCCACCGAGTTGCTCGACGACCCTAGCAACCACCGCAAGACCAAGCCCTGTGGCGCAGGACAGAAAGAAAGTCAGTCCAGATCGTGCTAAGAATAACTCTACGGACGTACCGAGACCAGGCGTGTTACCTGTCTTTGGCAAAGCCGAATCAACCTGTTCAAACTCGCGGAAAATACTCTCCAGCTTGTTCGCCGCTATGCCACAGCCTGTATCCTGTACGACAATTTCGACGGCAATAGAATCCGCATTCCGAAGACCTATGGGCTCTTCAAATGCGCGGCAGGTGATCGTGATCCCGCCTTTCTCAGTGTATTTCACTACATTAAACACGAACAGAAAAGACCTTTAGATGCCGAAAAGAGAAACGAAGTGCAGTGAGTGAGAAACGTACGCGCGTTAGCCGTCAAATTCGCGACCACTGTCCGAATCTTGCTCGAGTCGCCGATGACCATCCGCGGGCTATTCTCACAGTCGATCCTGAACTCAAGGCCCCGACGTACGGCTTCCGACTTGTAAAGGTTTGTTGCCTCCTCAATGATGAACGGTAAATCGAAAGGCTCGCTGAAGAGCATTTCGTGTCCGCTCTCTAGTCGTGTTAGATCCTATGTAATAAAGACAGCCGAGTAAATACGGATCGTTTCCGGGCACAGTGCAGACTACTCACCAAAAGGTCGTTGATCGTGAACAACAATGACTAGATCCGACAAAGCAACGTTCAACAAAGCTCCGGAAAGGACAGGCATGCGTAGACGAAATCAGGAAACCAGACTGACCTTCGACGCCGCATGGGACTGGCTGAGATTCTCTCTAGTTTCGGAGTCCAGAGATCCGCTGAGAGCAAGTTCAAGGCAACTACACAAACGTTTCACAAGTGATCAGAATACATGCACAGCGGGAACTTCCGACGATTGAGACAAACTCACTTGATAATATGATTCAAAGGAGTTCGGACTGCGAAAGAAAGAAGCGTTAACGAGTATCATCAACCGCTACTTAACAAACGATATATTTTACCTTCATGACCCGCATTTGACAGCAATATATTTGTCAACTTCGTCGTCTGCAGCGCCGTCTCTTTCTGCCGCCAGACCTCGATGAACTACGCAAGATGCAAACCAAGTCCAAATAAGCAACCGTCAACCCCAACAGCGGAGCTTCCACGAGAAAAGGTAAAGAGGGACAAGACGAACCTTTCCATAAACCAACGCCAAAACGCCCGCCGTCTCCAACTGCTCATCCGTCCAATTCCTACACCTCCCCGCAACCTTCTCACTCCATACCTTAAAACTCTTCCTCGGCTCCAAACTCACGCTATCCGGCCCCGCCCCCTCCTTAAACGGCTTCCCCGCCCAATGCACATGTCTTGGCTGTCCCTTCCTCAAAAACGCAATAAAATCGTTCCCTCCGGGACTGAGCGGCACATGCAGCAGGCCCGCTATGACTTCGAGGCCGGCGGAGAGCTGCAGGTCCGGAAAGTCCTTGGTGACAGCTTGGGAGACCTGGATCATCGTGAATTGTTTGACGCGCAGGTATTCGGCCATGAGGAGGACTTCTTGGCCGTGTTGGTTGGGCCCGAGGATCTTGGCGCCTTCGCCGATGACGAGGACGCCAAAGTCGGCGTCGAAGAGGCCGAGGAGGTCGTCAGCATTCGAGACGATGTATCCAGTTGGATGTTGGTCTGATGTGAGTGTATTGAACTGTGTCATGCAAAAGGGTAGTTCAGAACTGTTATGACTGAGCAGTTGTATTTGAAAGGATGATACGCACCAATTTCCGAGTATGCAACCGCTGCGCATAGCTCAACCGCTCAATATTCCTCGATATCGAATCACTTAGCAATCTCAACATCTGACGAACAGGGAACGACACTCGAATCCCATGGTTTCCATACGAATGGCACGCAACGAGGCCCCAGAGTGTGCCGAAGGCCATTATCGACTACATTGGCCCAATGCCGATAGAGAGTGCCAATGTCGACAGAGAAAAGGGTAAGCAACACGAAACTACGGATATACGACTGTTCGACGTACCACAGACATCGACGACCTCACCCCCATATTCCCCAGATCTGGGGCGGCGAACACGACGGCATAGCATATGAGTGATAGGGGGACGACGGCGGCATGGACGCTCACATTTCAGGTGGATCGGGCTCATCGCGCGGAGATAGCAGTGCGTCATGTTCTTTCAAGCCAACACCGACGATGTGCCAAACAAACAAACAACCAATCAATCAATCAAACGATAAAAGTGAGCTTAGGTGCCACACGAGATCGAGCGAGGAAAGTTCTCACCAGGGGTGTTTCGAGGTCCTCTCTGCTCTTCACGACTAATCGAGCTGTGACCTGCTCGCGGTCATACAACAGACGCATCTTGTCTAGTGTTAACAAATGACGGGTGGTTGATTAGCACACAATAGAACGATGAGTGAAGCTCGCCACACTCACTAATACAATACAACTCTCGCGCCTGTCCGTGCAGAATAAAGATAAAAATGATCAGCTCAGAAGACGACAACACAAACGGTCGAAAACCAGTATGGAAACAAACTCACCTGCGCCGGAATATCCGAAGCCGGAAAATGCAACCCCTTATAAAGATCATGCGTCCGATTCCAATCCACCAACTCCGCCACAGTCTGCCCGTTCCAGTTCTCATCGAACTGATAAACCAGCACCCGATGAAACTGCGTCAGATCCTTAATCACGCCCACCACAATCTTCAAAAACCCGTCCAAATCATTCGCCGCCCCGAGCTGCTCGTTGATCTGCGCCATGACCGCAAACACGTCCATCATGCCCACCCCGGAACCTTGTGCAGAGCGCCGCGTCCCCCGACGTGTCGTCCGTAGGAGAGGCCCTCCGCCTCCAAGTCCAACGGGGCCCATGATTCCAGGTGTAGGAGAGGAGTACGCGCCTGAGGCAGACGCGGAGGACGACATGCGGCTCATTTTTCGGATCCGTTCGAGTGCGGGGAGCGGTTTCGCATGATTCGTCGTACTCTCCAATATCTCTGCCGCGCTAGGTCTCCAATCGTCCTGCCCGTCCAGTCCGCGGACCTCCTCCCCGTTCTGAACGGTGGTAGTGCTCCTCGATGCCTGCGACGTCATTCCAGTCGTAGTGCTCGACGAGTCGCCCGATCCTGCGCCTGCCCCGTGCCCTCCGAATACGTCCGGAGAGGACAAGGGCGGCCTGGTGTGTGGTGGTTCCGCCGTCTCCATCAACGTCATTGTCGAGGCATCGGCCTGTCCCATCGACATCGACCGGCTCATCGCAGATCTCCCCACTGACGACCTCCCGACTGAAGACCTTCCCGAAACCAGCGTCCCTGAAGACGTAGACCCACCCGTACCACCCGAGCTTCCACTCCCTGCGCTCCCAGGGGACGACATCCCCGTTGTCGTCGAGTTGTTCTCTCCCGTCGGCGAAGGCATCGGATACAACGGATTGAACGTATCTCTCTCCAACTCAAACTCCAATATGATCAACCCCCCATTATCGACGACCCTCGACGTCGATGGTCCACCCGCGCCCGCGCCCGTCTCCGAACTGGACCCAGACGCGCGCTGTTTCGGTCGATGGGCTGCACACCAACAGCTCCAATACCTCCTCCTGAACTGGTCCGCGTCCGGATCGTCTGGATGTGCGCTCCCGGGCTCGCCCCAGCCATTGATGAGAAAGACGTGCGGGCTGTCATCTTCGTCTGTCGAGTGCAGGTCGGGATCGGGCAGGAACTGGATGTTATCCCAGAGCACGTCGACTTGCGAATCTGGGAGGATTTCGGAGAAACAGGGCAGTGAGAAGAGATAGCGCGGTGTGAGGCCCAGTAATTCTGCTGCGTTTTCGGAGACCTGTCGGACGGTGAGGGTTTCTTCCTCAGGGTTCTCTTGAATGACGATAAGAACTCCGAAGCTCTGGACGGCGCCTGGTGTTCGAATGGGCTGCGAATAGGGTTGAAGGGAGTGTATATGTAAGTAGGTTATCAATGGCGAAATGAAGAGGGTTGATGAGGAACGCTTACTTCGTCTTCACACCGAGCGAGTTTACCCTCGCGCCCAGTGAGGACGTGGTGACCATCGCCATCCACGTTATGCTCGAATCGGAAGGTGACAAGCTCATCCCCACTCGTCACAGACTGTTGACTCGCGCCGCTGACATTGCTGTTCCCGGTCGATGGGTCGGTCGAAGGATTAGACATATGTGCAGATCCGTCGTGCATACTGCCATCGCTGCTGTGAATGACGGCGACGGAACCGAAGTGCTCGTTCTGGCCGGTACTGGCAGCATTCGCACCAGAGGAAACACTGTCAGAAGAGGAAGAAGCGTCGTGACTGGAGCCGGGAGGAGAACTGATGCTGTTTAGTCCTGCACTACCACTGGGTTGACCAGAGTTGGAGCCTGTAGATGAGGACGAAGGAGCGCCGAGGTGCACGATGGTAGGATCGGTCATGTGGACCGGGGAGGACGTATGGCGCTCGTAGGGAGGACGAAAATGGGATTGGGATTGTGACGATTCTGAACCACCGACGACAAAGTCACCGACATTGGAGGTGAAGGCGTCTGAGGTCATCATGGTAAAGCTGGGAAAATGGCCAGGGCTGAAGTTATCGCCCTCTGAACCGCCGTAGGGACGATCTCCCTGAGTGGGGACGGGCTCGCCGGTTGGACCAGCCGTCATGGGCATGTTTCCTCCTCCGCCAGATGATGGCTGCGGGTTGAGAGACGTAACCATGTCTTTAGAAAGCGCGTGTATAGATGAAAAGCGACGATGAGTGTTAAGGCCTTCGTCTCCAGGAAAATGCCTGAAATTCGAGCCTTGAATCGGCCTGTGGTTTCGAGCGTTTTTCTTTGACTTTTTGGGCCTACTGGAAAGAGCTGATGTAGACGAGGGAGGGGAGGTCGAGGATTCGGAAGGATTGGAGTTGCTGCCCGAAGCGAAGGAAGACGATGACGGATCTGGGCTAATGTCTGTAGGAGATTGGGAGGGGCTAAACGTTAACTCTCGGGACGCATGAGCGCGCTGGAGAGAAGTATGAGGGCGTGGGGTTGTCTGCTGGACGCCGAGATCCAGGAAGTTTCTGCGTGGGCCTGAGAGAGCAGCCGGATCGTTCAGTGTCGTTATAATAGGTGATAGGTCGTTTGAAGAAGCGGAACGAAGTCCTGCGCCGTGCGCCGAGCGTGGCGCAGCGGCGTCCTTTGCGTTGACTTGCTGGTACGCTGGCCGTATAGAACGCGATAAAAGTGAGCGAACAGGGTAGACGAACGACGAGGACGACGTCGGCGAGCTACAAAAGTCGGTGCTGAGCGAGCTCGAGGACGGGAGCGAGGAGAGTTCACTAGCAGCACTCGAGCCGGCGGGCACAGGCTCTTCCTCGGCGCTAGGCATCGTGGTCTTGGGCTCGCTGTGGCACTCCTCAGGGTTCGTATGTCGGGCCGCGGCACGAGGCTTCTGCCGACGCGCTCGTCGTCGCCGTCGTCGTCGAGGGCGGAGAAAGGAGCGGGGTAGACAGCGGCGAAAATGTCGAAGCAAGTTCGTCGCCGGTCAGAGCGACTCGCTCCGTCATTGGTCGCTCCGTCGTCGCTCCACAACATTTCACGATCCGCCAGAACGTCTCGTCAATAGGGGTTTTATGATACGGGCGCTTCGACAACCTGGGGACAGAGATTTATGAGCCCAGAGATCGAAGTGGCCCCCGGTTCCACTCTCCCACGAGAGACTTCCCGCCGCGAGCGTGTCTTGTCCGCTCTTTATTTATTGTCTTTTTTTCTTGTACAACTCTCGGGATGCTGTCTAATTGTGCTTCCAAAGCTCGACATAAAGTTGTTGAAGAGAAGATGTGCTATAGTACCTTCAGCAGCCCCGAGAGCTCGAGGCGGAAGACACCGACTGCTGCTGCCTTCGTCATATGCGGGGCCGGCGCTCGAGGTGGAGCATTCTCTGGCCAGACAGAAATGAGCTCTGGGGCCGTATCATAAAACCCCTAATTCCCATTCTCAGCCGCCACATCCCGGCGTGCATCCCGACGATATTCCAATATTAATAATCTCAATGAATATCTAGAAAATACGCGATGTCCAAAGAACAAAGCTATAGTAACTCAGAATCAACGTCCTAGTTCCCATCTGACACCGAGCAAATATGCCTCAATCATCGCCACCGCCACACCACGTCTCCGAGCCCCTGTTCCAGCGCACCAAACACAATATCTAGACTCTACCATTCAGCATTTTTCTGAATGAGTAAGATCCCTACAGCCCAAACATAACTCTCATATAATCCTGTACACCTTCAACCAACCCAATCGTATCATGCGCCCCCCACTTCGTCCTCAAAAACGCCACCTCTCCTCTCTCCTTACGCTGTTCTTCTCCCTCTCCGCCTCCCTCTCTTCCCTCGACACTCCCACCCACAAGAACCTGCACGTCCCCCAGCCCGTCCACCTCCCACGTCCTCACGACCTCCTTCCTCCTCTCCCTCCTCGCCCTATAAACCGCCGCTTCCGCTCCCGGACCCTCACCACCCTCGCCGTCGCCGCCAAGGCGCGCCTTGGCGGAGGACGTGAGCGGGAGAGGTGGCAGGAACGGTTCGATGAATGCGGAGAAGAGGGTCTCGGAGTGTGAGAAGGGGATGTCGTAGTCGTTTTCGGCGTGTGCGAGGAGGAGGGGCGTTGTTAGGTTCTATCATAGCAGACGTAGGATGCAAGTCAGTTAGTCGAGGAGTAGTGAAAACCGAAAAATAAGATCAAGGCAAGGGGGGATAAACGAAACTGTATATAGAATGCCGCACTATGTCCGCACGATACTCGACCTTGCTTGCATACCGCATCGGTTTGCATCCGAAAGAATCACTGCAACCAAACTCTATCCTACCCCCCGTACCCCGATCTCAGCGCCTGCGTCTGCGTATACAGCTCGCTCCCGTCATTGGCAGATTAGCTCGAAGCCTTCCATCCCCATGTAAATCGTCCTGAGTGCACGAGCAATTACCAACCCCCAAACCTTGTCCAACTCCAACTTAACACCTCCAAACACCCGAGCTGACATCCCTTCCTTCCTTCCGACCTTTGTAAACTTTGTATTCCTTATCCTTACGACAGATCAAAGCCCGAGCACGTCTCGTTCTCACCACTAGATTCAGACATCCGCAATCGACCGACCGAGATCAAAGTAGTATCGACCACCCAGAATCGGCCACGCTCAAGGGCAGATCACTGTGCGAGGGGAAATGTACTGGGAGGGTACCGATGCGATATGTATGTAGCATGTTGGCCCTGAACCCAGGACTGGGGACAGACGAAAGGCGACCAACGACTGGGAGCGTGCGTATACATACGTTGAGTGCCGTACGACGCTCCGTGAAAATTGCCCAGGAGGTACGCATTTGAACAAGAGCTGTGAATAGTTCGAGATTCACACACGGACGGCCTCCACGAAGTATAATCAACAACACATAGAGTTCGACGTCATGACCTTGCGGCCCGTCAACTGAGCCTTTCTGCTCGTTTGGCAGGCGAGACTTTGCTCACATTCGTGGCGAGAATTCAATTCGTACGTGCTTCGGCCAATTTGGGCCACATCGATCTACTCTGAGAACGCAATTGTGTACACGATGCAACGCATTACGGTTGTAGCCATAGCCAAGGTAACTTCCAAACCAACTGTGGCGCGCACGAGAACGAGAAAGAAGGCAAAGAGACGAACAAAGGTACGTACCGTGACCTTCGACAACGAATTGAATGGCTCCTTCAAGAACTTTTTGAAAAAGTCTATGGCGCACGCACAGAATCCACGCCACAGTACCAGTTAGACAGCTTCAACAGCACCGAAAATGAATCAACAGCACTCACCAGGTGCGAACGGAATAACTTGCAACGGAGCCATGATCGGAACCGTCCCCAACACCATATACGTCTCCAACAACGTCGCAATCGAGCTAAACGGCGCCAACAACACCATGCCTCTCAACGCCTTCCTCTCCTCCCTGTCCCTCTCGAGATTCTCCATCTCCAACTCATGAGCCAGACTGACCGCCACGCCCGTCCCGAGACTATTCCCCACAACCAACACATCTTCCCTCCGCACGCCCATCCCACCGACTACTTCGCCTCTTATCTGAGCCTGAGCCGTGGCGTCCGAAGGATCGCCACAGAGCCAATCCAACGCGGCCCTGGCATCGATCCTTAACCCCTCCTCACTCGGCGTCCCACTCGAGTCTCCGAAGCCTCTATAGTCGATGGCCAAGACGTTGACGCCCAGTCTACTCGAGTAGGCTTGGTAGTGTGATACGCGGCGGTGGAAGGCGCGCGTCGCGGCGTTGCCGTGGAGGAAGAGGATCGTGGGGCGTTGGTGGAGGGATTGTCGGATCTGGGAGGGAGTTGGGGGTTGTGTGAGGTAGGAAGTTGCCGGCGTGATGAGGTCATTTGATGATGATGAGGAGGAGGAGGAGGAAGAAGGGAGGAGAGAGCGGTAGAAGGGCTCGGAGAGGGTGAGCCAGGCGCCGATGGATACGTTGTCGGGGGTGGAGATACGGATGTTTAGGGTTTTATACGCTGCAGTGAGAGATCATGTCAGTGTATGCATTCATCCATTGATAGATTCAGACATGAATGGATGATAAGAAGTACCTAGTCACTGTTATGAGCAGCGTCAGGACAAGGTGCATAAACAGTTAGCAAACAAACGTACCTTACTATTCAATACGACAAGTTCCCTAATCTACCTGTTTCCACGACACGAAGAGACATACTCACGAGCAAGGCCATAGTTCTCCGGATGTTCGAAGTCCGCAAAAAACGGGAACTTCAAGTTGTGTAGGTAGACTACTCTGTCAAGCGACATGGTCAACCTCAATTTAATGCCATGAAAAAGAGATAACACTCACTGCCTCTGAATCGGTGGAATCATTAGCAGCACAAGTAAAGAACCATAGAGCAACCCGAGGAACCAGAACAAGGTATGCGCTCTGGCGATGAACCCATGATTGGGATGCGGTGGTGAACTTGGTTCAGGCATAGCTCGTAAGCGGTGTCCGTTGATCACCGGTAAGTAGTGACTACCAATTTTTAAAGGATATCACAGAGGCAGAAATTCCGGGATCTATGAAGGTGTTCTCGCCGCCATGCGAGACGTCGCGGTCAGGGTCAACGAACGGTGTGGCCCACGGCCAAGGGAGTTGAATTTGTAATAACTCCGCCCCGATCCGCTCGGTGTGGCGCGAGAACTCGAACAAGCTCCTGAGCCCTGCACGACCACCAGCTCTGCCTTCCTCCACTCTCTAGGCAGCTGTTGATGCCTCCCAGCCTACGACCGACGACGTCCAGATACACGCAATAATGTCTAACGAAAATACCTCTACTCCTCCCATTGCCTCGGTGTACCAGACAGACCGGGAAAAGGAGAACGGAACGAACGTGAATGATGACTCTGCTATACCCTCTTCTGCCGCTTCTGCTACTCTTCGCGCTCAGCCAGTACGACGACGACATGGTCAGGTTGGATGGTTGCTTAGCATAAGGCCATTCCAAGGCATTGTGCGTGATATTCGTGCTCGAGCACCGTGGTACTGGAGTGACTGGAAGGACGCATGGAACTATCGAGTTATCCCCGCTACTGCTCTCATCTTTTTCGCAAAGTAAGTCGTTATTCTCCCTATGGTCCCGTCCTCGGTTCTGTGTCGTGTCTTTCTCTTCATTTCCACTCAACGGTGCTGTCTTTCTCGTGGTTGGTGTTTCTTCAGCACCGAAATCACACACATCTCGACTCACGCAAACATCAGTTGTGGAAACTGCTCAGACCAGCTGACGGTCTGATCCCACGAAAGGTTTGTATTTTCGGAATCTTTGCGTGCATCTCTACTCCGCGAGCGGTCTGTATCCTGCCTGCTCGGGCATACAATAGTCACTTGCTGAGGTGGGGAACCACTATGGCCCATTGCGGAAGACAGTCATGCTTCTATATATGGCCCCCTTCATCGTACTGGTGGCTTCACGACGTCCAGTTGCGTCAAATCCATTTCAAAATATCCTATTCGTTATCATACCTCTCAGCCTTCTCTATGTCGAACTAACGCCTTCCATTTATCCAGTGTACTCCCCGGCATCGCCTTCTCACTAGATCTTATAGAAACCACAGAACAATACGGCGTGTCAGAAGTCCTCATCTCCTCCTTCATGGCTGCATTCATATTCTCCGTCTTTGGCGCACAACCGCTATGCATCGCAGGGGTGACCGGTGTGTGTTTATTATCCTTCGTTCAACCACTAACACCATGAATGTATCGCAATGCTCAAATATTCAAGGCTGACATGTATGCGAATCGAAATGACAGGCCCAATTACGGTCTTCAATCAGACTATTTTCCGAATCATGAAAAACCAGCCTGACGCACCGGATTACATACAGTTCATTGGCTGGGTGTACCTTTGGGCTGCCATTCTTCACTGGATTACTGCCGCTCTCAATTGTATGTATACCTCCTCGGCCCTCTGCCATATACATATTCTTACCACCACCTCGCCACTCCTGCCCACTCGCTATACTCTGTCCTTGCTGATAGTCTATGCTCATTGTACACAGGGTGCAACTTCCTCCGTTTCGTCACCCTTTTCTCTTGCGACACCTTTGGATTCTACGTCTCCTGGGTCTACCTCCAGTATGGCGTCCAAGTCGTTACCCGTCAATTTCACGCAGAGGCCTCTAATTCGCCAGAGAACGATTCCGGACCGCTCGTTTCGATCATTCTGGCATTATTGATGCTCGTCACTTCGTTCCTGTTCAGGATGTTGTCCGGATCGACGTTCTTTCATAGACATGTTAGGAGATTTTGCGCTGGTAAGTTGGCCTCCATCCCTCTTGACGTTGTATATATTTGCGTCAACCGGTCATTGACGACATCTACGTGAACGCGGACGTGAATACAGACTATGGAATGCCGATATCCCTCATCGCCGCCTCCGGAATGGCCTACTGGGGAAGATTCAACCAAGCCAACCCCGAGACTTTGCCCGTGAATGGAGCTTTCCAAGCCGCCGCAGGCCGAGATTGGCTGGTCAGGTTTTGGGAGATAGATGGGAAGTGGGTGGGCATTGCGTTCCCCTTTGGGATCGTCCTATGGATTCTCTTTTTCTTTGACCATAATGTCTCGGTAGGTCCCTTCTAACCTCTCGTATCTGCCTACCCCTTGGCGCAGTTAGGATGCCTCTGGCTGACTACTCTTTGCGTGGTGTGTACGGCGTGGCGCCGGTCGTTGTTGATAATGCAGTCGTTAATGGCTCAGGGCTCAGAATTCCCATTACGCAAACCTCCAGGATTTCACTACGACTTCCTCCTCCTCGGAATAACGACCTTCATCGCTGGCCTCATCGGCGTTCCTGCACCCAATGGACTCATCCCACAAGCGCCTATACATACCACTTCGCTCGTCGTAATGGGCAGACCGTACAATGACAAGAAGGACGAAGAATATCCAGAGAGCAGTATGGAGAGGAAGGATCGGACGGGTCTACGGGAGAGAAATGGCGGGGAAAACAAGAATGGAAGTGACGCGAAGGAGGGGGGGACGAGTGCGGTTGGTCCGCCTGGAAGGGAGGTTCCCGTTGCGGTGGTGGAGCAGAGGGTATCGAATCTGGCGCAGGGGTCGCTGTGCCTTGTGTTGTTGACGGGTCCGTTTTTGCATGTATTGAATTTGATTCCTAGAGGTTCGTCCTTCCATTTTACTGTTGCGTTCACCAAGCATGACTGACACTGAGTCGTATGGAATGCAGGCGTTCTCGCAGGTCTCTTGTGAGTCCTGGATCCTATGTTTGCATGCTTTCAGCGTTCAAATTTGTGCCCTCTATCCAGTTGGTATATGGGCTGCGACGCCCTCCTCGCCAACGGCATAACACGAAAACTATTCTACTTCCTCACAGACAAAGCGTACACACCAGCAGACGAGCCTCTGCGCCGAGTCCGCAAGTCACGAATCCTTCTTTTTACGGCGGTGCAGCTTGTAGGCTTTGGTGCAACGTTCGCCATCACGCAGACGATCGGTGCGTCATCCTCCCTCCGTTCCCATATCTCTATTTTGCTGCTACTCGAAGGCCAGAAAGGCCAACCATGACCACAGTGGACTGACGGTGCGATGACTATGGTATAGCTGCGATTGGGTTCCCCGTGATCATACTGCTGTTGATCCCTCTGCGAACGTTGATCGTGCCGAGACTGCCATTCACAACAGAAGAACTGGCAATCTTGGACGGGCCAACTGCGTCTCCCTTCGTACGTGGCCTTCCTCATACGCCATTCATACATATCACGGAGACTCGGCTGATTGGGTTCTCGTGCCCCTTTCTGCGCGTGTCTAGACTATGGAGTCTGTTGGAGGCAGCGCTTGAATTTGGGGAAGGATTCTGTGCTGTGCGCACAAACTATCAAAATGTCGGCCGGTCGTTCTTGAACGCGATGAATATTTGTGGAGGTCATGGTGATGTTTTTGTTTTCATGGGTGCCACATGTGGCCCAACCCATAATGCACTGGCCATGCTTTCGTGAGCCCCTAGAAAGCCTCTGAAGTTCCTAATCTAATACTTTAATTTGGAGTGGGGTGGATAACGCCCCATATAGGGCAAGTGGATCCTTCCTTTTCGAGCATGCGGCTCATTGTGTGGCGCATGCTGCCTCGCTGTGTGGCTCCCGACGCTGTACGCCGACCATAGCTTCGGTGGGGTATAAAGGTCAATGGTATCATTATTCAGCAACCAAAGGGGAGTATGTTGTCTTCCACAGGGGAGCCAAATTCCCTCGAGTATGGATGCCAAGTAGCAACCAAGTAGCTTCGGGCACGGGGTCAGACATTTTCGAACGCGATGCTAAACACCTTCGAGTACTGGGGCGAAAGTACATGGCCCAATACTTCACCGAATATTGTATAATCGCAATTTACTTTAGTACTGCGAAATTGTCTTGCGGCCCCACGGGCACCTGCTAGTTCGTATCATTAGAGAGTTTTCGCCACCCAGAATCTGGGAAAATCTATTCTGGACTGGCGAACCTAGATTCTTCCCCTCGACACTATTTCGTGTACGCAAAATTGTGAAAATATTTCAGCGTCCTCTACACTTGTCGCTGATCACGTCTGATTAGACTTGCTAGAGGCAAGGAGGACATCCTCGCCTTGTGCACGCATTCCGCGTTCCATAGAATTTGAGCGTTTTCGGCAGATTCCAGGTGGCGAAAACTCTCTATTGCCCCACGAAGGGTTCTCCTTGGGGTGTATATATACATCCAGAATGAACTCCTGTGCGCCGTTCCTTTTGCAGCCATGACGCTCACTCAAGAAGCTATCGTTCTCCGAAGCTGGAGTCAGGCTTATTTCGGTGGGTCGCTCTCGTGAGAATCCATAAATCCTTGCAGATAATGTCGAGATTGGCCAAGCTATGTAGCAATGCAACGCAGGATGCTAGGCTTATATCTTACGAAACTTGGATTGACGTATCGTCAAGTTTTGAATGAGACAGTGAACGGCAGGTGACCTCAGCACGTTTCGACTGTAACAATGTTCGAAAATAGCGAAGGTTCTTATACATCGTGGATCCTCCCCCTGCACGACCATGCATTTTGCATTGACAGAATCACAGAGACCTAGGCATCAAAGTGTTCCTAACTTACGATTACTGGGAACGATGTTGCACGACGCTAGTGCCAATAATATAAGTGTACTCGAACTATGAGTACATCGTTAGTTCTTTCATGATTTCCTCCCGTGTCTTTCTCCTGACTGAAACCTTGCACCCCAGGTTCGTCGTGTCGAGTCCAATCTGGTTTGACTGCCGCAGACCATACTCATCGTGTTTACACTCGTCAGGTACTACGATGAATTGACATCACGAAACCGTGACGCACATGGTTCATATGATGGGGACCTTGGATACTTTGCCACGCTGGTGAAGGAGAGGGAGCTTCTGTGTTTCAAGGCTATGAGAAACCAAAGCTAATCAATCACCGGTGCCAGGACTCCATCACAGCCATAGGCGATATGTTCATCTCCTGCTCTTCTCGCCAAGACTAAAACCCCTCAACTACTCCAGCAAGTCCGTTCGGGACTGTTCTGGCTCACAATGTGCTCAAGAGCTGAAGACATCTCCGTCAAACGAGTGAGCTAAACTTCATTATGATCTCTTTGAGCAGACAGCCTTTCAGAATGTGGTTCTTAGCTCGCCATTCGTGCCGTCATCGGCATTTTATAGATTTCTATGACAGACCGAGGCACAGTACACTGAGGGGTGGATCTCAGCGCTTTGTACTGTGCCGGCATCTGATGTTGATGCATGATAGAAGATTAGCTCGACCAGGATATGAGGTTCACAACATGGGAGATCAGCCGATCAATGCAATGCTACGATGCCCCCTTGAGCATTCTGAAACACTCTGTTCGTGTGGTTGACCTCTACCGCACTTCACCCTCCTCTAAGATATCTCAGCTTCTCCTCGGCGTTTCTGCGCGCTCATGAGAGGCCTATGATGGGGTTCATTGTCGTGGAGTCAAAAACTAGTAGGAGAAATACTAACGTAAAGGCAAGCGCTTTACTGGAGAATAAAATCTTCATACAGTCCGCTGAGGGTCCATCAGGCCCTCCACTTTCCCCATCATGTCGGACGCCTCAGATTTACAGCAGGTCATCTTCGCGCTCGAGATTTGGTACGAAGCAGTGCTCTTCTTTCATGCTCTACTCGCTGACGCTAAATTTGCTACCAGGCAAATCAGCGACTATACCGCTATATCGGCCAATGGTGCGACCTGTTCTTCCTTACGAGTGTCGTTTGGACTCACCGTTATCACGCAGCGCTTTGGATTCTCGATTACTTGCAGACTCTCCCGATGGAAATAGAGGCGATCTGGATGAAAAAGATGTCTGGAAGTTCGCTGCTCTTCCTCTTGAACAGATATCTTTTCATTGTATATCTTGTCTGTCAAACTATCTCCGAGACACCAGGAACGATGAGTGACGAAGCGTAAGGCCCTTGCCATATTTCTGTCGGTTCTGGATGCCGACTAATCAAGCATCACCAGCTGCTACTCGTTGAATGTCATCCTCAGCGTCACGGAGACTGCAACGATTATTGCTACTAGCTGTAGGTCGCTTCATATTCTTTCTCTGGAGCAAAGTCATTGATTTTGTCGGCTAGGCTTATTTACACTGAGAGTATATGCCATATACTCCAAGAGCTTGGTGATCTTCATCATAGGCATGGTACTTACCCTCGCACGGTTGGGTACCGATATCGCTGTGAGTTGTGACTCCATAATTTGGCCGCCACCGACAACTAAATCCTCATATCTCGGGTGTAGAGTAACATCCCGTTAAGTGGTGAATCCACCCGAGGATCGATTTATGAGTCATTTTCTCGGTGTGCAGATAGTATAGACGACAGCAAATATAATGAATATCTCATGTGAGCACTTTATGTTCTCATCAAGCTTTGACATCCCTCTCACTATCCCGTAGAGGTGCGCTCACATCTCGTAGATGTCCTCATTCCCACATCCTGAATTCTGGACCGTAGTCTCGACGTCAATATTCGTCCTTGCACTCGCCTTCGACTCCTTCATGTTTGTCATGACAATAGCCAGGACGTTCAAGCATGGTAGAGAGATGCGAAGGCTTGGACAAGTGAGCATAACGCAACTCCTCCAGCGAGACGGTGAGAGCCAATAACAACTACGGTGTCATGAACTGGACGCTTATCTCGACTCTTCTTCAAGGTATAATGTACTTCTTGTGCGTGCCGTACCAAATGCAAGGTCGGGCCGTTGACTGACCTCCGGCTCAGAGTAGCTGCCATCTTAGCCGCCATCATGGCCATAATACAAATTGTGCGCATGCTTTCCCTCCCGCTGTGAAAGTTACCGTGCTCAAGTATGATCTCTTTCTCTAGTTGAGTTATGCGCTGGGTGGAAATGTATGATCGTTTCCAACATACCAGTCGTTAGTAGTAAACTAACTTGAGCATCCTTAGTTGTCGCCTGCAACCTCCACATTCAGCTCCATACTATCTTCCTACTTCAATGTGTAGGCGACTCCCACCACGATAATCCTCATACCACAATCTAACTTCACAATCGGACCCGACAGCTTCCCCAATCTTCTCATCAACCGACTCGTCCTCAACCTTCGAATGTATCAACGACCTCGCTACGGTCTCAACACAACAACAAAACAGCACTCGAACCTCGCATTCGCAACAAATCGTATACTCGGAAACATAGGTGCCCCGCTTGATCCGGACCAATGGGATGAAGATTATGACATTGAAGGTACTTTTGACTCGGGGGATTCGGACGAAGTGGTAGACTCCCAGCACGGAGAGGAGAAAGACGGAGCGCTGAGGAGTCCTGCGACTGTGGATTCTGGAGTGGGTTACTCATCTGTCATCTGTGCTCCTTGCGTTCAGTTACGCTGACGTGTTCTGGCTTCATAGGCTTCAGAGAGCCCGGTGGACGAGGAAATGCAAATAACACCGGTACAAAGGAGCCTATCTACCGTGGCGGAGGATGCAGTGTGAAGCGACGATGGCACGATGCATTTGGCCAACAACGACTGGCGAATTTATTGTACTTGTTGACATATTATTTCATGCTGTACATGACCTTTATAGTTATAAACGAAGAGAATTGAGAGGGGGTTGGTTGTATTAAGACTCGACTTCTGCGCTTTCAGCGCAGACGCTAATCGACACATTACCTACCCCCAGCCAGTTGAGACCAAGTCAAACTGACGAGACCATTGGGGACCGTACAACTCCACCTTCCACTCTTATCCTTCTCGCCTGTTCCCGGTCTTCTCAACACAAATCCATTCTCGCTCCCTGCCAAGAATGTATTCGGATAAACCTGGACATCTTCTGTGGCGTCCAAGGACGTGTCGGCACCGGACTCGAGGTCGATGTCGTGAGAACAGGTGAGGAAGGCGAGGGTGTTGCTCATGGAATGTGGCTGGAGGAAAGAGGAGGGGACTTGGATGGGTGTGTTTTTTGACCGGTGAAAGATCTGTATCACGGTGGGAAGGGATGAATAGAGGTCGTCAGAAGGCGCAGAAACAAGTAAAGGAACAGAGGTGACCTGGACAGTACTGCCCTCCGCAGGTGCAGCATCGGAATCGAGAGATATAGTTCCGCGTGATGGATCGCCAGACATGATACTGTAAACTTCGTGCGGCTGAAGAAAGGGTCAACATCACGCATTGCATAGGGGGGAAGCGATGGCTTACCTTTTCCCCATTGAGAACGCAAAGATAAAATGTATCATCTTTTGCTACCTGTTTGTCGAGACCGCTATCGTTGATCGCAGAGAGTAGGAGGCTGGAAGGATTTTTTGAGTTGAGTTCATGGACAAGATTTCCCTCCGAGCTGTAATGAGGGTCAGTTCATGACCAACATCAAAGCATTGGATGAACAGGCAGACCGTGTCACGGTCAACGGCAGCGTTATTGGCCGTAAGCCGGAGAATATAGTATTGACGTGTGGTTTGGATGGAGAAGTCAATGCAAGACCGATAGCACCAGTTGAGTGGATGGACTTGTCGTGTAGGAGGGTATAAGGCCGGCCGGTCACAAACGGCGTAGATGCGCCTACAAGGCCTACCTATGTCGAGTGACAATTAATATATAAAACAAGAGACACTGAGGCGGTAGCGTACGTACCGTGGTAGCGTTAGGAAATGCACTGAGCGAGTTAAAGAGACCTTGATATGCGTTGTCCGTGAAGGCGAGTATAGTATGCACATTCTCCTTCCTGCCGTGTACATCCACCCGACGTTAAGTGCCATTCGAGATGCTGATGAAGTGACTCACTTTGCACGCCTCAAATCTGGCGGTAATTTATCGTCACCTGCATTTCTACTCCACATATCCTCCCAATCCACATCCTTGCCCAATCCTTTCTCGGCCCCCGGCGCCACATCCTCTTTGCCCTTTCCTTCCTCTGCATTTCCGACCTTCCGCATTGCGTGCCACCTCCCCACCTGTGTTGGCGTCCTTCCAGGTATATCACTTCTAAATGGAATGGTGGTATCTTTGTCGAAGAACGCGATTGAACATGCTATGAGGTCCTGTGTGGCAGCAGAGGGAATTGGGGCTGATATGCATCCAATGTTTTGGCATAATGAGAAAGACGTCAAAGTAGAAACAAGAGCTGAGAGGGAGGATTGAGGTGCGTTGGCAGAGATTGTGAAGAGCAGAGGGTGGGTGGATAGGGATTTGGGTAAGCGAGAAAGGTAGGACGAAATTGCAGAAGGCGAGCGAGCGAAAATAGTGCTTGCGTGTAGAGCCATGAGCGTTAAACTAGCATATATTTATTGCCTTCCAGATAATATCGTCCTATCGATTACGTGCGAGGTGATTTCCTGAAGTACCAGTAGAGCGCCAACCGAGGGATTCGTCGGATTGCACTAAGGTGATTAGGCTTCCAGGAGTACGCTGGTAGGCAGAGATCTTGTAAACGGATTATATAACTTATTGTCAGCAGCCCTTGCTGTGCACTTTCTGAGAGACGTATGAGAAAGCACTTGAGTAGGCCCTAGTAGGCCTGTGAAACAGGTTGAAGCTGAGACGGAGAAAGGTTGACACAAATTGGTAACAACTAACAAGACGTCGCGCTACGTCGCGTCATGGAAGGAGACCTTGGCTTAGGGTTAGGGTACGGCCCTTTGAAGTTGAAGTTTGTGGCGCTGTGCCTCTTGCTCCCTCCCATCCGCCCTTGTTACATCTTGAGCTTCCTGCGCACTCGTTCCTCCCTTATCTCTGCAGATATTATGGTGCAAACGTATATCATGTTTACCACGCTCTGACCAATACAATAATCAGTGCATAATCGATCCTCGACCATCACAGTAACTACGACTCTACCTTTCAAGCCAGGACTCAGGGCTAGAACAGTCTGGTCTCTTCGTAGCCAGGCTAGGACTCATGGTTCGGTTTTTGGAGGCTACCGGTCAGTTTCGTGTGGTTGTGCATGTCGCAAACCTTCGAAAGACGCGAGACTCGTGGTTGAACTTTGAGGTACGATCTCCCTGGAAGAATGCCGAGCTCAGCGTTCTAAACAACATTCCTCTATCTAAAAGTGATGTACCGTATGGCTCGTCTCTTAGTGAGACTCCTTCTGTGCCGCAGATCTCGTTGTGACAATTCTCGACAAGGTCAGTCCGAGCGTGTCACTGTCTCGGCGGCCGAGCTTCAGCCCATGGCGGGAGGGTCCACAATCATTCCCCACTAAGTCGGATTTCGTCAGAGAAGTTGTTTGAAGCATCGCAGAGCTAGACGCTCTACGGTAGGACGATACATTTTGTCTTGTTTAGACCTTTTTAAAAAGCAATGTTCGTATCTGCGAAAGTGTCTGTACTAGGTGGAGGTATGAGTCTCTGACACCCGCGGTTTGTCCCGTCTCAGATCAGAATCATGATGGATCGACCCCTCCAGGAGGTGTATCTTAGCGCCTTCCATACAATTGTCCTATGGCGGCAGCCGATGTCTACGAATAATCGGGGCGTAATTCGATTTGTTCAGAAAGCGACGTTTCCCTTGTGCGGTCATATGGCTCGTCTGGACTGAACAATCTGAACATCACGATCAAGAACTAGTAAGATGCCGCGATGCTCCATTGGGTCCTCCGAAACGTTCTTTCACGGGCCTTGCAACAATACCACGGCAAGTCCATCTACTGCACCTCACGGCGCACAGATACTCAATCCTTCTCCTTACAGACTCTGCGCGCTCAGGAAACCCCCATACTGACTTCGTTTTATGGGGGAAAAGGCGTGAACTCCATTTAAGCACTTTCAGGGTAGTATAAAAGCTTTGCGGTCTCTGCCTGGCGGTATCATGTTCCAATCCTCTCTGCCATCATGTCAAACGACTCAGATCTGCAGCAAATCATCTTTGAAGTCGAAGTTTGGTATACACTTATGAATATCCCCTAGTCCACTCTCTTCACTCGCTGATGGTCTACGTTCTGACAGGCAAATCGTCAACTGCACCGTTCTATCGGCCAATGGTACCGTCTTTTTCATCCTCAGCGTTGTCGTCTGATCGCCGCTATAATATAGTACTTTGGGTCTTCGACTATATACAGACCCTACCTACAGAAATAGAGGCAATCTGGATGAACAAGATGTGTGCCAGTTCTATGCTTTTCCTCCTCAATCGATATATTTTCATCGTGTGTCTCGTCTCTCAAACCACCTTCAACACGCCTGGGATGACGAGTGACAAGGCGTGAGGCTCTCGCCACTGTTCACCTGTCGTCTTAATTCCCAGCTAATTGAACTTGCCCAGTTGTTACTCACTGAACGACGTCTACAGTGCTGCGGACATGGCAATGATTATCTCCACTAATTGTAAGTCATCTCATGATATTTCTTGGGATCAAAGACATCGATCACGTCCGTCAGGCTTGTCTACCTTGAGAGTATATGCTATATATTCGAAAAGTCGATCAATTCTCATCGTTGGCATGATTCTTACCTTTGGACGATTGGGTTCTGGTGTCGTAGTGAGTTACACCCAAGACTTTGCTACCAGAACCCATTTAGGAGCTAAATCTTCGGGTGTGTACAGAGTGAGATATTACTACGGGGTATATCTACTCGAGGATCAGTCTACGAACCGTTTTCCCGTTGCGTGATCCACATAGGCTCCAGTTCTAGCAGATACCTAAAGTACGTGTATCATGTCCTGATCAAGATACTCTATCTTTCTTACTATCTTACGCCAGAGGTGCGCTTTTGCATTCGTGGCGTTCCTTGCATCATGATCTCAGTGATCGCTAGTACAGTATCCATATCGGTATCAAGTCTTACGCTTGCCTTCGATTCTTTCATGTTTGTCATGACAATAAGCAAGACGCTCAGGCATAGTCGAGAGATGAGGAAGCTCGGACAAGTGAGCATAACACAACTCCTGCAACGTGATGGTGAGTGTCAGTGTTTCTTCCGGCTCGGCTTGATGAATTGAACACTCATTGCGCTTCTCCTACTCAGGTATAATGTACTTCCTGTGCGTACTGAGCGGACTGCACGGTTGACGTGCGATAAGACTTATTTTGCGTCTGTGTTTAGGGTGACAGCCGTCTTATCCTCCATCGTGACCGTTATGCAGATTGTGTGTCTTCTTGTTCTTCTCTGTTCATTATATATGCTCACGCCAGAAATTCTTCAGTTGAGCTTTTTACTTGGTGGTGATGTACGTTCATCTTCGATACGCCCATCGTTCATAAACAAATTGGGATACGCACCTCTAGCTATCGCCTTCCACATCCACATTCAGCTCGATCATCACCCCCTACTATCATGTGTAAGCGGTTTCTACCACGAGAATCCGGACATCATGAATTAACTTCGGCCTCGACCTTACAGATTTCCAAACCTGCTCATCAACCGTCTCGTCCTCAACCTCCGGACGTTTCAACGACCACGCTATGGGCGTAAAACAACGACACCAAAACTCCTCGACGACCTGGCATTCGCAACAAATCCTGTTCTCGGAAATATAGGCGCACCGCTTGATCCGGACCAATGGGATGAAGAATACATCGAAGACAATGAAGATCTCGAGTCGGAGGTGTTGGGCGAAGTAACGGACCAGCAGCTCGGAGAGGAGGAGGTCCAGGATGTGGCGCTCGAGAGTCTTGCAGCGAGGGATTTCTCAGTCAGTTCTCTTTCACCTGGGGCACGCTCAATCTTAGGCTAACGTGTCTTGACTGTATCCATAGACTTCAGAGGGACTGGTAGATGAGGAGAGGCGGATGACTGCAGTGCAAGGGACCGGGCTGTCTATGGTGACGGAAGATGCGGTGTGATGCACATAAACAGAAAGAGGGGGAATCACAGATAATCTCGTGCATTCCTAGAGGCCCCGAGCGTAAAATTCAATCATCTTGGCTTTGTCAATGGTACTAGCCAAAGACAGGATCGACTTACCGATACTCACTGACAGAGGTGGCGAGAGTTGTCAAGTTGGAAGACGGTATTTATTTGGTCTTGTCCAGCCTATTGGCGATCGAGGATACTTGTTGGATTGTGCCGTGTTACCGCTTTTTATAACATTTTGTGTGCAGTCCGAGTCAACCAAGGTGTTTCGTGGAGCTGCAATGAAGCTGGTTGAAGGCAAACGGTGCCACACGGTTTTATTAGGGGCTGAAACCTTGAATCAAGGTTAGGGGATTCAGAGTGCCACTAAACGCCATTTCGGTGGCCACTTCCTTTACGCTCTCGTCCATCATGTCTCAAGCACCCTACGGCACTTGGTCCTCCCCGATCACTGCAGATGTCCTGGTTCAATCCGTATGCATACAAATTATGTTTGCTATGCTCTGACTGATACGAAGATCAGAGCATAACCCTCGCAGATATTATCGTTGACCCCGTCACTCGCGATATCTATCACATAGAGAAACGTCCATCTGAGGGTGGACGCGCAGTGATTGTCGATAGTAAGAGGGGGAAGGACGTCTTCGGGTCTGGATGGAATGCCAAGACACGCGTCCAGGAGTATGGAGGAGGTGCTGCCTGTGTGTATGGTGGCGTTGTGTTCTTCTCGCACTCGGATGGGAGAGTATACAGCTTGACCCCTGGGAACGAACCAAAGGCAGTCACGCCTGGTGGGCATCCCAATCCCTTTCGTCTTACATCTTGCTTTTGAAATACTTACGTGTCATATTCAACTGTTTGCTCAGACTCGGTACCTTTTTGGCGATTCGCGAATCTCTCCGTCCATCCTATACACCGCCATCTTCTTGTTTCCATCCTTGAAGACCACACAAACGACACCCCATCCACCGTCGAGACTTCCCTCGCTCTCATCAACACGTCTACTCAGTCGGTCACCATTATTGCCAAAGGATCCGACTTTTATGCCTCACCAGAATTTTCCCCTGACGGCGCCCATCTCGCATACCAAACTTGGAACCATCCTCACATGCCTTGGCAGAAGTCTGAAGTCCACGTTGCTGAAGTGGCCCAGGATACCCACAACCAGACTCTGTCACTGAACGAGAAAAAGAGACTGGCCTGGGACGACAGGGCCGTTAGCGTGGCGTATCCGAAGTGGCTGGACAAGGACACGCTCTTCTTCCTCAATGACGAGTCGGGATTCCAGAACCCTTGGACATATTCAGTCTCTTCAGACAGATCAGCTCCTCTCCTCGCCGCTCCTTTGAACCAGGACTTCTGTTCTCCCGCTTGGGAGCTCGGTTCTTCACCGTACGACTTCCTAGGGGCATCAGGCAAGCGAGATGTTGTCCTTTTCTCGGCGATTAAAGACGGGAGACATGTTCTATATCGTTTCGGACTGGCTAGCAAGGAGCTTGTGCCGGTAGAGAACGGTCTCGTCACGATCACTACGGTACACGCGATTGACGAGAGGACATTCACTGTGATCGGCGAATCATCCACTACACCATCTGCTGTGGTCCTCTTCACCGTTGAAGCTTCCGCATCGTCATCGTCTACCACTACGGAGAAGATAGTACTCAAATCATCCATGGCTTCGTTGGATTTCCCTGAAGGCATCATCTCAGCAGCTCAGCCGATGACTCTCGGTGACGAGAAGAATCCGCTGCACGGTGCGTTCTTTCACAGTCAGCGCCACAGCTGTGGGTGTGCACGCTAAGTGCTCTCCGTAGCTGTCTTTTACCCTCCACGAAACCCGAAGTACACAGGTAGCAACTTATCGGAGAAACCTCCGTGTATTGTCCAGCCTCACGGTGGCCCTACACATATGTCAGGGCAAGGGCTCAACTGGTCAGTCTCTGTGTTTGTCCACAATCCCTGAAATTATAATGAAAACATGGATGCAGGATGATACAGTACTTTACTAGCCGAGGTTGGGCGTGGTAAGTTATCCCTCAGACTGAACCTTTGCTGGTCTCTACCTGACTAACCTTTGTACAGGGTAGACGTCAATTTCGGAGGCTCCTCTGGCTACGGCAGACAATATATGTACGTCCTCCCCTCTCAAAGCTCTTCCCTGCACACTCACAACAATCGCAAACCAGGGATCGCCTCAACACCTTCTGGGGAATAACTGACGTGTCCGACTGCGTCCTTGTCGCTTCTTCCCTCTCCTCACCCCCACATTCGCTAATCGATCCCAATCGCACCGCCATCCGCGGCCGCTCCTCCGGCGGCTACACGGTCCTGCAAGCCCTATGCACTCATCCGGACGCATTCAAAGCAGGGTGCTCGAATTTCGGGATAAGCGATCTAGTGAAGTTGACGGAGGACACGCATAAGTTTGAGAGTAAGTATATGGAGGGGTTATTGGGTGGGACATATGAGGAGAAGAAACAGGTTTATGAGGAGAGGAGTCCGGTAAATTCAGCAGAGAGTATCAGGGCGCCTTTGCTTGTACGTTGTTCTCTCTCCAAACATTCGTTCAAAACGTTCAGTGGCTAAACTTCTGTGCGGCATACTTCATAGATCTTGCAAGGCACGGAAGATAGAGTTGTACCTCCAGAGCAAGCGGATATCATTGTGAACAAGATACGAAAGCAAGGAGGTAAGGTAGAGAAGATACTCTTCGAGGGTGAGGGCCATGGTTGGACCAGGGCAGACTCGATCAAGAGGGCGTTGGAGGCCGAGAGAGAGTTCTATGAGGAGGTTTTCGTCATTAAGGCTGGAGTGTTAGCAGAAACGAGATTGTAAGAAGAAGTCAGTCGGCGAATCTTGTATGACTTGTAAGTCTGGTGTATATTTTCTCCATACCAATGACGGACTTCTGACTGAGGCGGTGACTCTTAGGCTTGTATGTAGGTTTGTAGCCCGATCCTACTTTGGTCAGGGCGTGCTAGTAGTCACTCCAATACACATGAATAGGCCGAACGCAGACGTTGATATCGAACAAGTGGAGAATCCATAACCAAGCACGTCCCATGATTTTGACCGTACCCTCTGTAGCCGGTTTCTGTGGACAAACCGACTGACAAGATAGTCAGTAAAGCTTTCTCATATACGATGCTATAAACAGTCAGATACTCACCTAATTTTGTACTCATGCCGTAGGGACAGCAGCCGCACTCGACGAAACTGTCGTGTTGGGGTCGGGCCCAACCAGGATGAATGATCCGCCAAGAGGGTTCCCTAGCTCTAGCGCCTCCGCAAATGCACTTATATTGAAGTTGGAAATCGACGTATTCGCAGTTACCAAGGTCTGGTTGTCGAAACCTGCAGGCTGGGGGAAGAGTAGGAAGACATATCTGTATATGGTGCCACCGCCACACACACCAGCAAATCCACACCGAAATTCCGTCAGCATTCATCCCTTCCCATGAATACACCACATGGAAGTTTCACGCTCGTGTGTACATGGCGAGCGACGTACCGGTGCGGGTCCGATCCAGCAGGCGGAGTTGGCTGCAGAAAGTTCGAAATAGCAGGACTGGAGTTCGAGAGCAGCGAAAGGCCATCATCCGAGGTACTGTTCAAAAGGTCGAAGTCACCACCGAGGAAGTGACGGATCTCGGCGCTGGTGGGATCCTGCGGGGTAGGTGCATCGAGGTCGACCATGGCAACGATGAAGGGACCGACGCCGGGGTTGAGAATGTTCCCATTGGACTGGATACCGAAGACGGGTGGGATCGCCGTAGCTGGATATTTTCGACAAAAATGAAGAGTAAGTCCCATGCCAAGGACGAGAACAGATAGACTGGGATATACCATTACGAGGGAGCTGGGTGCCGGCTGTGACGTTGACGACAGATCCGTCCGCTTGAGGGAATGCGACCTCGAGAAGCACGGTGGGATCAAATACGATGTCTGCGTCGGTAGGGATCTACCACACGGACGAGGTCAAGAAACACAAATACTGTTTTATCGGTATTCAAGAGAGGTGGTGGACTTGAACGACGTACATCGGCAGCATTGAAAGACGCTACAACTTCTTGGATACTGGTGTCCTGTGCGGAAACTCGTGCAATGGAGAAAAGCAGGCTGAGGAAGGAGATGGCGAGCATCGTGGATTGTTTTTTGAGGGAAGAGTTGAGGACGTTAAACGTGTTGGTCGCAGCTGGTGTCCAGCTTTCGCGCAACGGTCAGTCGACGTTATTTATCAGTTTATTCATCCTTGGGGCTGGTATTCGCTGATACCTTTTCCTTCATCGTCTAGGGCTCCGACAATAAGTCGGGAGTTAATAACAGCTGTAAAAAAGTGCTGTTAATAACTGTTTATAACTTGTTATTAACAACCCTCCCGATACGGTGCTATATAGATCTGTAAAAAAGTGTAAGAAATCCTGACGACTGGACGAGTAGATACGCGTTCAGGGAAGACTCTTTGGAGTTCCTGACCAACTCCCGACGTCGTATTCCATCCTCTAGGGCCCCTAACCCGACCTAAACATGACTTTACCCTGACCTATTCCCACGACGTTGACTGCCAGCCACAGCTTCCGAGTCTACGGTGCGTGTTCTCGCCAACGGCCTCACATATTATGAGTGTATGTGCTGTAGAACTCGTCTAGGAGTTCAAGTAGTAACCGGAGATGCTCAAAAGACCGCTAGTGCTTTGAAAGCCCTCCAGGTCAGTCGAAACTGGCAGCTCCTGAGGGAAAATATAATATTTAAATCGATTTAAATATTCTGTTTTTAACTGTTTTTAACACCTGTAAAAAAGTCCCTCGGGGGCCGCCGAGTTACTAACACAGGGTATCATTGGCTCAGGACTTTTTGTCGGAGCCCTATCATCGTCGCTTCCAGAGACCGCTATTCCACCCGAATTCGGTATTACTGTACTTTTTCGACCAGACGTTCGTCCCCTGTCCCCTGATACCTGTGAACTGAACCTCCTAGAGGGGACAGTCCACTGTCCCGGTGGCGAGACGAACTCTGAGGGGTGGACATACGGTCAAATTCGTGAAGAAATCGCCAAAACAACTGAAATAATATTATTGAAGGGCTTTTCTACATGCTTAATGTCCTACAAAGCCGTCGAACATCCTATTCGCCGTACGCCGCCGCTTACCACGACCCATCTCATCAGCAGCGGGTACATTGACATCCTGCAGATCTACCTCATCGTGATCCGCTAAACCCGTCTGGCCCACAGAAGATGCAGGCTGCCTATCGGCGACCGCGCCGAGCATCTGTGCCATCAACTGAGCGGGCTCAATCCAAGTGTCGTCCTCGAAGTCCTCATCCTCTTCGAAAGGTCCCTCTGCCACAGCATCGGTGGGACTACCTTCGATTGGATCCGACTCGTCTACGCACACATCATCGTCATCGAGCAGTGACTGAGACACTCGTGCCCAAAGCTCGGGGTCCGTGCGAGGAAGCTCCCGCAGAACCTTAAGGGCTGCCGAGCTGGATAACGACTCGAAAGACAGGTTGAACCCCCCGCGCACTTCACATCGTTCAAAGGCCTACAAAAAGGAGAGAGTGAGCATGGCGAAAATGGAAAATGTAAGAGTAAGGTATAGAAGAACGCACCTTTCGAATCAAAGCAGGATCATTCACGTCCTTCCACGCTTTTACGACCCAGCCTACAGACCGATCACGTAAGGTGCCGATGCGTGTGTCGAGTCTCAAAGCAGAGGGATCCTCAGTGGTGTCGAGCTGACTAAGTGTTTCGTCGACCGTGTCCTGGAGCTGTGAGCGTTTGATTGATAACTTGTACGGCCGCTGAACTCCAACGTCGCATGGTTGTGCGAGACCAGTAGTACCGCCGGGAATATATCGCAGTCGCAACCAGGGCCACCTTCGACGTACAATGTGACGAAACTCCTTGCTGCGATGTACGGACCAGCAGTCGAGGATGGCCACACATTCCTGATCCTCCGCATAGCCCAGCAGCTGCTTCTGATGCATAAAGTATGGCACAATGATGGTCTCCATGTACGTCTCCATGAGGGAAAGGCTCGACCAGTAATTGTTGGGGTTCCAGCTGTAGAGGAACCCAAGGCGCGAAGCTTCGTCTCGGGCGGGGGCGCTCGGGGAGGGAAGAGACCGGTCTGAGCCGCCTTTGAAGATGAGCTGGGAGGGAAGGACATTGCCGGATGCTGAGATGCCGACGACCGATGTGAACGCTCGTTTCTCTTCCTTTCCGTTCACGCCAACCTGCTTCGAACCCTCCTCGGCAAATGTGTGTGCATTGTTGTCAGCGATGACTACCTGCGTCTGATCAAAGTTGACGATAAGAGAAGGGTGCCGGACGCCGGCGTCGCGGACCCAGAGTGCGAGACGGAGGAATAGCTCCCATATCTGCTGCTCAGCGTCGACTGGCGTCTTCTGAGCAGCACGTGTAGAGACTCGAGGAACCCAACGAAGGTGGTTGTAGACGAATTTGCGCACAAAGGTGTTGGAGCAGCGGAAAGTACTGCCATCGCGAGAGACAGTGGTGCGAAGAAGCTGTGGTGTGTGGTGAGTGATTAAGGCTAGCATGATGGCACGGCAAGTAGTGGTGTCCAAAGGGATTCCCGCCGCGCGAAGGAATTTGAGTTGCGCCACAATGATGTCCACAAGCTCGGGAAACAAGGACTGTAACGCGTATTTTTGGATGAGCGAAAGTAAGGAAAACGGAGTCCCGAGGGAATGACATACCAAAATACCACTACGTGTAGTATGTCCGAGAGGCTTGTTCCCGAGTCTGACACGAGCAAGGACCTTCTCTTTCCACCGAGCGGGAGCATTCTTGGGCCGTTCGATCCATCGTCCGATGACCTGGGCCGTGAGCCGGGAGAACTGTGCAGGATTGCGAGACCGAAGAAGGCTGACGATTTCAGTTGGAGACATCGACGGGCCAACCTCGCGTGCCGCTGTGCTGATTTGTTGGAAGATGGCCGGGTTGATCCAGTTGTAGCGCGTGGCACTCGATGGTGGGTTTTTGCGTTTCCGTCCTCGCTTATCACGACTCTGGCGAGCGAGCTCCTTGAAGAGTCGGAAAGGTCGTGTGTCGTCAGGTGTGATAGGAATTGTGGTGGGGTTGTTGCCTTCGACCTGGACAAGAGCCTGTGTGTTTCCTGGATCAGAGGCTGCAGCCTGTAGAGCCTCCTGGAAACGATGGTTAGTGACAAAACACCAAACTCGAAGTAAAACAGACAAGTACCTTCTTGGCCTTCTTGCGCTGTCGATACCTCCGCTTCTTCTCCCTCTCCCGCTGCCTACTATGTTTCTTCTTAACCAGCTTGCTAACCTTCTCCCTCCGACTTGCCATCTCCCGTTCATCCCGCTCCCGCTCCATTCTCTCTATCTTCGTAGCACAGCGTCTCGTCTCGGCCTCCTCGCGAGTGAGTTTTGGGAAGAACGACTGGAGACTGGACTGCTGAAGACGATCGTCATTGACTCTGGATGGGAGGGCTCGGATGAGGCGATTGTGGCTATCGACGGCATGAGACCAGACGGAATCCTTGGAAGTGTCGATGACATGCGGTGTGGAAGCGATAGGTGTACATGCAGCTGTTGGTAGCTGAGACACGGATGAAGGATGGCGATCAACGTCCATCTGAGCCACATCCAACTCTACGTCGCTAGAGGCCAAGGGAGTGGCGGGCGTAGTGGCTAAGATACGGAATAAGTCGTCTAGGTCATCGAGCCCGTCTGAGTCAGCATCACTGAGTTCGTCATCGTCGTAAGGCTCGTCGAAGCGGGATGTTGGGACGGGACCGGGTGTCCGAGTGAATGGAAAGTTGGCTTTCCTAACAGAGCGTTTCTGAGATGTCGATATGGGAGATGACAGGGATGGTGTCCTTATGTCTGCGGCGGCGGAACACCCTGAAGTCCTTGAAACATGTGCGGGCAGTGTGACGGCAGCTGAAAGTTCTAGGAACATAACATCAGCAGGGATATAGTAAAAGATATGTGCATAACTATACTCACGATGTTGCAGACGCTCAACGGCAGCACGATCACGTAACGTAGACAACAGTGCATCCTCCTCACCGTCATCATACAACATGTCCCATTCACTCCCCTCACACTCGTCGCTCTCGGGTTCTGAAGATGACGTCGATGCGGAGATTGGTTGGCTGGGAGGAGGAGGAGGAGGAGGAGGAGGAGGAGGAGGAATCAAATCCGAGCGTTGTGAAGGAGTAAGTGGCGTGCGAGCAGCACGACGACCATCATGACGTGCGGTGATGATGTCTGAGTTGACTCCAAAATCCTCCTATCAGTGTTAGAAGAATTAGATGTTGTTTGATGACTTTGAGGGAAATTTCACGTACCAAAGAATAAGAGCATCCCGCTCCTGTGGCAAGGAGAAGTGCAAACTCAATCCTCTCGAAGTCCTTTGTGGCAGACTCCCATAACCGTGTCTGTGGCCAGAGCTCTTTCTCGCAAACATTCAACGCAATGATCCCGCAAGAAAATCCATCATCCTGCACCGGTCGTTCCATCTGCCGCCACGAGTGAAGTAAGGGTTTTCCCGCCTTCTCTCCTAAATTCCTAACTCCCTCAAAATCTCGCCCCGGCATAGAGAACCCGAGGCCATCACCGTAGCTAATGGTGCCATCTACAAAGTCGATTGAAGCTGCCGAGAAGTGGTCGACATTGGGAATGTGGATGGGAGCGATGATCTTGGTGATGTGAGAACTACGGATGGCCTGAGCGATCGTACGGAGGTATCCGAAGTGACTGTGGTGGTCGTCGTCGGCGAAGGTCGACCAGTCGATGTCTTTGACGGTAAACGGGTATTGAAAATCGAATGTTTCGACCTGGACAGTGCGGAGGCCGGGATCTTGCGAGGCCCAGTTGCGAAACATCTCCATGCCGCTCTCAACAATTCTCCCGCTAAGCATCCCTCGTCCAAAAAGCTCAATGAGGTGTGTCGACTTCAAGGACGAGGGACCACACAGATGAACGTCCCATCCCATGACCTCGAAGAAACGTTCAATCGCGTTGGGAATGTATGAGAGATGAGCCGGAACGGGGAGAGGGAGTGCAATGTTATGAAACCAGGAGTAAGCTCGCATCCATCGGGGCTGCATGGTCGTAGCGGATAGAAGGTCCATCCAGAGGGAGATTATGCAGAAAGGAATATTGTAGTGCGAAGAAAGCCCACGAATAGATTGATAGCCATCTAGCCATTTTTGCGGGAGCATGTCCCAAATTTTGTGAAGGAGATCGGCGGGAGGCATATCAATGGCTAAGATCGGTAAGGGTTCGGCGAAGGCTGGCTCGAAGGAGAATAATTCGTCGACAAAGTCGACAGAGGGCGTGGTGGAGACCCGTGGTAAGTCCATAGCAATGAATTCGACGATGCTGAGGTCGGACGCGGGTACGAAGGAATCATAATCTCGCGGGTAGCGAACCGCTGCCTTGAACGCATCGTTTAGAAACCTCGGCCGTTTCGATGACCCGGGCCATCGTCTTCCATGACCTATCCATGCAACAAGGTTCGGATCTAAAACAAGGGCGAAGTCAGAAGAGAATGGCGTAAGTATAATCTGAATATTGGCGCCACAGACGGAATCAACCATGATTGACCAGAGAAGTACGTACCAATGGGAGTGGTGCTCATAACCTGTTCGGAAGCCGCAGATTCGATGTGTTTGCTGAGATGAACGACTACCTCGGATGGCAGGTGGTGGATAGGGATGCTGACCTTTTTCACCGAACCTTATAAGCGTCCATCGATGGTCCTCAAATGATGAAAGACGTACCATGACTGCGCCGTGGAAATTTTGTGGAAATTTTGCCCTGGAACACTTTAGCAATTGTCATGCATGAAGTGTCTGCGACGAGGCCGATTCTGTGAGGATGTCATCGTCGGAGTGCATGCTGATGTTTCACCGGTTGGATCGTCTTTCTCCGTTAGTTGGATAGGTCAGATTGAATAGCTTGAGCTGGATACACACCTCCTCAGTATATTCTATAGCAATTTTTTCGAGACTATGCGCGCGGAGTGCTCGGCGAGGAGCTGAAGATCGAGCTGTTGTCGACATGCAGGACGGCAAACTCGAGCAGTCATCGAACAGCCATAGCAGTGTTGAATAGGCTCTTTGTCAAAATGTGCTAAATATGGAGTGGGTTGCTAGGTGACTTACACAGGTTCGGCAAATTGCCCTCCACCCGGTAACGAAACATGAATGCTGAACATGCTGTCCCCGGTCCCCTCCCGAGTTTGAACCTGCACGGGTGGACATCCTGGATTAGGACAGTCATATTCCCACGCCACTGATGAACGTCTGGTCGAAAAAGTACAGTACCACCAACGCAAACAACAATGATACCACCGGACCCTTCGTCATCGCGATGATAGACCTCGACGCACCCTCCCCACAAGCACCCACCAGCGCTCAAATCCGCCACTTTCTCGGCAGCAATTTCGCTTTGAGCAATGATCCAAATTCGACTTCTGGAACCTTGTCCAGTAGCGATGCCGTCCAACTGCTGAAGAACTCGAGCGCAGCACTGTCGGAGTTCTTGCAACCTTCGCCACCTGCGGGGTCTGATCCACATCGGTATGTTTACGCCGTTATTTTCTGCTCCAAGTTTATCATAATAAGTCACAACCGCGAGTGCGTATGAGAAGCTGATGCTGATTAATTTGTTCAGATATGTGTTCCTCCTATTCTCGCAGCCGGATGGATTCGACGCTCAGACGATACTGGACTCTTCGACAATGAGAACGAGCTTCAACCTCAGCTCTTTCGCTGCTAAAGTCGGGCTGGGCGATCCCGTCGGGGGAACATTTATTCTTGTCGGGCCAGATGCTTCTAATTCGACAATACCTGCATCTAACGCGACTACCACAGATAGGACGAAGGGAAGGTCACGAAGAAGTGAGTCTCTCGTCGTTTTTGCTCGATCGTGTGCTGATGAAGCGCCCTTCAGAGTTTATGAAGAGACGCCAGGTCAAGAGACCGTTGATGGCCTTCAAGTATTGAAATATAAGTAGCGGTGTCTTGTCTTCAGTTGCGGTAATGGACCGGAGTGTACAAATGTATTGGTATGTGCATTATTACGATTATGGAACGACTCAAAGCCCCGAGCGACGTTGCCGTTATTTTGCATTATACAGGCGAATTGTCATCGATATTGCCTGGGATCTCTGCTTTTTACACTCAATGACATCATGGGAGGAGTGGGCCACACAACAATCGTTGTCCCCGCGGCGTTCTCATCAGCATTATGACCGAAACAGCTGATCGGACTGAGTTTTTCTTGTAGTTGAATCCGCACGAACGCGCCCATGCCCATGACGTCTGTGAGACTATGACAATCGAGTATATGAAGGCCCTGAACATCCTGAAAAATCCGCATACCCTCTTCAACCTTTTGACACTCTCAACATGCATATCTCTTCACTTTTCGCATTCCCTTTCTTCATGCCAGGGGCCGCATCGGCAAGTGGCGGAGATACGAGCTTGGCTGAAGTTGTGGCAACCTTCAACGCATTTAACGTATGTACATCAAATGACTGTCACTTCTCGAGGACTTAGGTCCGACTAACAATCACTCCTCATCGACAGATACCCGTAAATGCATCCATCACCTTCGACCCTACCGTCCTTTTGGAGGTGTCTTTCCCACAAGCCAGTGCAGCACCCATCAACGTAACAGCCGGTGTTCAGCTCGCTCGTAACGGTCCGTCTTGCAAGCCTCCCTTCACCGCACACATATTCATCATTGGATTCTTCATCTACAGACACCGCCATCCCGCCAGTCTTTGGCATCCAGGCAAACGGGAGCATCCTCGATCCCGGAACTGGACCCTTCGTAGTGGCCATGGTCGACCTCGATGCACCAACGCCACAAGCGCCCACAAGTGCCGAGATCCGTCATTTCTTGGGCGGAAATTTCGAGCTTTCGAATAGCAGCACCGACGGCCTTTCGTTGCTCTCGAACACCACGACTGCGATCTCTGAGTTTAGACAGCCCACGCCACCTGCTGGGTCCGACCCTCACCGGTGCGTAATAACGGCCTGTCCGCCACAGGCATGTTTTTTGACCGTGGTCCACCACAGATACGTGTTTCTGCTATTCTCTCAGCCGGAAGATTTCAACAATCAGACGTTGGTGAATTCGACGACACCGGTGAACAACTTCAATATCAGTGCGTTTGCGGAGACGTTGGAGATGGGAAACCCCCTTGGTGGCACGTTCATCCTCGTTGGGCCCGATCCCAACACGACGGCATCTTCCAATGCGGCTGCGGTCCCGGCCGCATGAATTAACTGTATGTGGGTTTACTGTAATACACTACAGGTAACTAAGAATGTTTGAGATTTCAGGAAGCCTAAGGGACGTAGCGGGAGTATTGCTGTCTCAATTTACTATTCACACCTGTTGAATCAAAATATATTCTCCAGCAAGGACGACTGCACATTTTATCGACCCTTTCTACTATTTTGGACTTCTGTGAAGGACTGCCTTTGTAGCGTGATAGGTAACAGTTTTGCATCTCTCCCAAAGAGCCCTCGTCGTTCCCTCAATCTACTCATATTTAGGTTGCGGCCTCGAACCCACCACAATTTAAGCCTCTTACACCACATTTCCGCACCCACACCACGACATCTTTCATCATCCGGACCCAACTTGTGTATACTGTATCTCTGTCTCTCACCCTCGTCCAAGACGGTTTGCCTTTGCTTGATCAATCAAATTATTCGCAACACGCGTGCTGCACCCTCGTGAAGGCGGCACTCACAGTCTCAGTGCGCACATATTCTCACATTGCATGGTAACTATATGGGCAGGAAGCTCCTCGAGCTCGCGACCAGCGCACCGCAGTTGGTCAGATTCTCGCAGAACCCGCGGACTAATACAGTATTCGCGTACACGGTATGACGTGGCTTGGGTGAGGGTTACTTTAAATCAAAGGGTATAAAGGCAAGTCGGAGAGTGTTGGTCTTATACCACACGGCCTAGTTTATAGTCGATCCATCTAACTGGGGAAATATAACCTCGAGCAATACACTCGGGTCGAAGTTCATAGAGATATTGGTTGAAATCTGCACCGTCCACTCAGTTAGATAGGTCGTACGACCAATGATCAAGACGGAAAAAACAAGCTGAACATACATCCGCATCATCGAATTTCTGTTTCACAACAGTCAAGTCGGCATCTCCAACGCTCCCATCATTAGCAGTCTGTGAGCCTAAACTCGGAATCGAAATCGCTCCCGGTGCAATTGCAAGTGCAACGGCGAATGCTGCGAGGCTCGCCTTGAAGAGCGCCAGCCAAGGGGGCGGCAGCCCCCCGAGCCAAGACCTGATGTTGGGTCCTGCCTAATCCGGTAATTATTTCCTTATATGGTAGGAGTTTGGGGGGGGGAGGGACTTAATCCGGAAGGCTTTCGACCCCACAAAAATGCTTAGAATTCCCTTCTCCAGTGAATAAAGCCTATGGGAAGATAAGGTCTTTTTCTTGGGGGCTGCCGCCCCCTTGGCGCCAGCAGCATCTCGAGCCTTTGGAGTGTCTCTATCCGCACCCTCCGTTCTATATATACGGATCCGCTCGGGTGTCTGAGCTATTATCATGACAGACAAGCCAACTGAATAACATCGCGTAATGATAGTAACACAGCGTCATGGCAGTGAGAGCCTGCGGAGAGGCATGAGACTGAAGGATAGAAGGAAGGAAGGAAAGTTTGTTCAGGATACAGAACCCAGAGCCAATGGAAGATCTCCACGGAGACGCAGTCTGGTCTGTTGAGGTGGAGAAGCACTTTTCGGAGAGAGTTCTTCGCACACGGGAAAGGCACCTCAGTCATACATGAATTCACAGCGCGCCTGGCTCGATTGTATACTTAGCCAGCACCAACTTGAATGAACTGCCAATGTTGAGACGGTACCGGTGGCCGAGGGGCGACGATGACGTGGCAAAACTTCGAAGCTGAAGATACAACAAGACTTGGATCCCGCCGCAAAGAAATGCCTTCGCCAAAACCATGGAGACGGAGCAAAGCATCGAAGAAATTTGAGAGTCGAGGAAAGGAACAAGCTGTTCTGCGGCTATGGGTGGTTGACTGTTGTCCCTCGGCAAACTCCGGGCCACGATGCGGTGTCTATGTGTTGTGGCGCGCCGTGAGCCTGGCAGGATATGACTGGAAGTACAGAGCACCTGTGATATTGATGACAAGGAGAAATACAATCTTTACAGGAAAAGCTACAGCATAGGATACAGTAGTGTGGATGTGCACAATCGATGGATAGATGAGAGAAAAGAAACAATGAATGAGGTCCCTGGTCCGTGTACCCTCGGAAGTGCACTCGGATTATGTAGCTTGTTGACCACACAGTTAAGTCCGCTCAGTAGAGGAAGAGTTTCTGCTACTTTCTGGCAGCTCCATAGAATAAGTATCGTGGCTGATAGTCTTGCACAACGCTTCGAAGAGCTTCCGACTGTCTTCTCCGCCGAAACCTCCACCCTTCATGGCATTTACGAGTGACTTGAGTTTAGGACCGGCTTTGGGTACCTGTGTTGCGGCGATGAATAGTCATTAAGATTGCTACGACTATGGGGGATATCGGGCAGCGGAAGAATGATACTCACGTTCAATAGCATACGCTCCAGAGTGGCACCGCAGTCCTGCACGTCCTTATGGAATTCACTGTAATGTGCTGAGACTCCGGGTTCAAGCTGCTCCGCCTTCGAGAAGTTGATGCGATAATAGCGCACGGGATATTTCGTACGGTCAAAATTATCGGGTGACATGCCGCCGATGTCCATCATGGTGCCGTGCAGGTCGCCGTACGAGTGTAAGATGACCCGGTTTTCATGGAGGAATGCCAGGCCCTGTAAAGTCGGTCAGCCTTTGGCACGCTAAGAGGAAGGGAGAAGGACGTACTTCTAAAGTTTGACGAATGAACTCGATAACATTGCCAACTGTCTGGAATGGTGGTTGATCAAACTCGAAGAGTCTCTCCATGCAGACGATGGTCTCGTCCCCACGCTCGGCGGCGTAAAGCACTCGTGGGGCAGGATTCCATGGGTCTTGGCGGACTTCGTCAGAGTTCAGATATGCGAGGACGTAAGCTTCCTGGCTGTCCGTGGACATTCGTTTAATGATGAGGGAGCATGCGGGCGAGAAGCAGTCCGAGTCCGATTGCACGAAGACCTGTGTGCGTTTGGGGGAAGACTGTCTAGACGGCTGGATACGGGATATGAGCAAAGGGCAAGCAAAACTAACCAGGTCTTTGTAGTTCGAATCAGCGTACGTGGATAGATATTCGTCTATCACGGCTTCGTAATCTCTATAGGGTTGAGGCAGTCAGTTTCATTTCAGGAGGAGAAGGGTAAAACCGGACGCACACGAAATATGAGGTCGAAGAGCACGAAGACGACCGTGAAGGCAATTGATAAAAGCTACTTCGACCCGCACCGTCCGAGTCGTTCAACGGTTCCACAGGCACCATTCTCTCCAGCGGATGCCCAAAACTCAAGTGGTCGACAGACTCCTCTAGCTCTGAGAGACTCTCTGTATCTGAAGAGTTATTGGAGTCATCCGGCGAGTGTATCGGAGACTCAGAGATAGTCTGGCCAGGGAGGACTCGCTCGGTCATGATGGTAGTATGGTGGCGCGTTCGTCGTGATGGTTAGGACAGGTAGATGCAAGCAATGAGCATAAGGGGATGAGGGTTTGTAAGGGGATAGCACAGAGAGCTCGAGTAATGAAAGTTCTGCAAGTCCCGCAGACTAACTCCTAACTATAGCCCGAGGTACGACATCCGTCATAGCACAGCGACAAATTCCGCTCTTCCGTGGACCATTTGCGGAGGCTGATCGGCCGTGTGACCATTTCAGTTGGAAAGCTGTGTGGCCCAAGATGCCCAGCCTTTCAGAGTTTCAGAATGCAGAGACGGATCTCGTTTGGATAACAGGACGATTGAGCGAGAATATCGCAGGGGCTTTTCCGACTTCGAAGTGGCCCAAAGGGACAATGGTCGGTGTGGAAAGCTGTAGGAAAGCGAGTTATGGGCCACTCCTTCCTTGAAAGGGTTCGGATAAAGCCACGTGGAACGTGAGAATTATCGGCCATTTCGAGAAAGCACATTTGGTCGAAATTTGTTGAAGTCGTTTTACGAGCTTCACTTTCCGCTCGACGTTCACCGGGAGATAATTCCTTTTCTCGGCCTTTCCTACGATGGCATCTTCGTCGTCTAGCTCGAGTGGTCTGACAAAGGACGGCTTCAACGACTACAATGCCGGACTCCAGGCCGCTGCTCTCAAGGCCACGAAGCACTCTGCGGGGCTACCTTCCGACGTCGCGTTTTACAAGTCTATTGACAAGGACTTCGCCAATAATCTGGATGCCTGCAGTGACAGGGCTCTTTCTTTAGTAAACAGGCTTCTGTCTTTGGCCTCTACGGCAGACAGCTCAAGAAGTGGCAAAGGAAAGGGTAAGGCGAGGTTAGAGGATCAGGATGACTTGGTGGATAGGTTCGAGTCTACCATAGTAGAGTCCATGGATCAATTGCTAGAACGAGCGGTGAGTTTTGTCGGTATTATATCATTTCGAGGAGACGTCTGACATCCTCTCAGGACATTTCTTTAGACCAATTCTCCGGACGGACCAAAGCACCTGCTATTGCCGTTAAACCCCCTCCACCCGTTCCCAAACGAACTGCTTTAGCGCCTGCACCCGTTGTTCAACACGCCGCACACCTACCAAAGCCTCAGCTCAAGTTCAAACGGAAACCCGTGAACACGAACGGAGCAGTATGGTATCCTCAGTTGCGCCACAAATACAATGCTCAGGTGCCACTTGGGTTTAACTTCAATCCCAATGATCCTGAATCTGAAAAGGCGATGTACGTAGTATTCTCGCCGAATATCATCCATTCTTTTGCTTGTGTATCTGCACTCTGCCCGCACGCGTGAGAGCCTTTGTCGCTACATGGCTAAGAGAGCTTCGGCTTTTGCGACCACGTTTGAGACACACAACGCGATTGATTCCTTTGCGACGAGCATTTAAACCTAGCACCCAGCTAGTTCCTCCACGAACCTGTCCTTTTCAATAAGATGACTGACCACATCCCCTTTAGACCGCCACATCCATACCGTCATGAGATCACTAATATCACCTACCCTTCTCGCATGTTCGAAACGCAGTCCCCAATCACCCCAAAATCTTTTGCCGAGACGCCCTTCACTTGGGTCTCCACCTCTATCGACTTCGCCACCATGCTCGACAAGCTCCGTAACGCACAAGAGATCGCTGTTGACCTTGAGTACCACAGCTATCGGACATTTGGCGGATTTGTGTGTTTGATGCAGATTAGCAGTAGGGAGGAGGATTGGATCGTTGATCCGTTTGAGTTGAGGGACGAGATGGAGGATTTGAATGAGGTGTTTACGGATCCGAAGATTGTAAAGGTGGGTATCGTTCTGTTCAGCATTGAATATACCTGCTGACCGGCATTCTTCTGCAGATCTTTCATGGTGCAGAGAGTGATGTCGCATGGTTACAACAAGACTTCAACCTCTACATCGTCAACCTCTTCGATACATTCCACGCCTCAAAAGTCCTCGACTTTCCCAGACATGGCCTCGCCTCCCTCCTCGAGATGTACTGCGACTTCACTGCCGATAAGCGGTATCAATTAGCCGACTGGCGAGTCAGGTAGGCAATTGGCCCCACGATACGCCACAATGCCTTTCGTGCTAATTTTTTGGGTCACTTGTTAGGCCTCTGCCACAGGAGATGCTCGAATACGCTCGGTCAGACACACATTTCCTTCTCTACATCTACGACAACCTCCGTAACGCCCTCCTCGACCGCTTTCTCTCTCGCTCTCAATCCCGTGCTCAGTCCCCTCAATCATCATCAACGCCACCGCCTCCTTCCACAATCAACCCTTCCTCAACAGTGACGGCACTCATCCCTCCCGGTCCTGACGGATATGTACGCGAAGTGTTGTCCCGATCAGCCGAGACCTCGTTGAGAGTGTATGAGAGGGAGTATTATGATGTGGAAGGTGGTAGTGGACCAGGCGGATGGGACACGATGGCGAAGAAGTGGAATAAGGTCGCCTTAGTGGCGGATGGGCCTGGTGGAGTGCAGAGGGAGGTGTATAGGGCTGTTCATGCGTGGAGGGACAGGACCGCGAGGGAGGAAGATGAGAGTGTGAGGTATGTTCCACCTTCCTGCCTCCTCCTTTGTTTTGGTGTAATTCGATGGAGAGCTCATGTGCGTTTGTGTTGCAGATACGTTCTGGCGAACCACTTCGTGTTCCAGCTCGCTGAACGGCCCCCGAACGATATGGCTGCGCTTTTGCATATGTTCCATTCCGTCCCACCCGTTATACGAAGACGTGCGAAGGAGCTCTTGGACTGTATCCGGGTCGCTCTGAAGCGTGGTCTGAGTGCCACCACCCCACAGACACCTGCTCCCATCGAACAAACCCCCGCACCCACGCCGCTTAATACGCCAGATGGCATGGTCGTCGATTCCACTCCCTCAACCGTCGTGCCTTCTGTGACGCCTCCGTCTTCGTCACTATGGTCAAATCCCTCGAATTCGGCAACACAATCCACCTCGGCATCTTCACTCTTTGGTTCAGGCTTGTCTAGTGCAACCACGTCCAAACCAATCCCTACATCTTCAGCAACGACCTCGTCCTACGTTGCGCCACGCAGCTCTCTCTTCGGCCACGGGGCTTCTTCATCGGCAGCTTCAGAATCGTCTCGTGCTCGTGATGTCCAGAATATGCAGTCCCGCTTCCAGGACGTTGTGAAGAAGATACACAGCACGTTGGTGGTCGCGCCGACTTTACCTCAGGTATGTTCATCTCGCTGTCTTATTCTGTCTCGTCAATTTATCCCTCCTCGTGGTCTGAATTGGCTTTGGACTCGCAGATCCCTGTCAACGTAGCCACGAACAACGCGACTAACCCGACAAAAGTAGACGACGCTATGGTCGTCGACTCCACCGTAATGGGCATAGAAGCCATGCCACCAAAACCCATCGACGGCGCCACCGAAGAAATCCCATTCATCCCGGCCTCGCAACGTCTGAAATCTACTCTCGACACCACCGAAATTGATAACGCGATCGTCGTAGTCGGTCAGCGGCAGAAGAAACGTAAACGTGACAAGGTGGCCACGACGAGTACAGCGGACTCTCAGCCGGGTACACCGAGCACGAAGAGTAGCAAGAAGGCGAAGAAGGAGAAGGAAAAGGAGCAGGCTAATGAGCAGGATGGTGAAGAAGGTGAGGAGGGCGAGGTTGTGGAGATGGAGCCATTTGACTACGAGGGCGCGAAGAATATCTTGGATGATGAGCCGGAGGCGAGAGAAGAAAGCAGGAGGGATAAGAAGAAGAAGCAGAAGAGGAACAACAAAGGTGCGCCTTCGGCCATAGAGGACTGTGTTTTTTATGTTTTGCTGATCCTGTTCGTTCCTTGCTTTCGTTCCAACAGGGAGTGGCGTGCTGGAGTATGGCAATTTCCCGGCGCCACCGAGGGATAGGAGAGAGGTTAAGAGCGGGAACCAGAGTCATACTTTCAAGTAATTCCAGCTTGACCCCTGTGGATGGGATAGGTCGTCACGAAGTTATGATATTCCCGGCCCGATTGCTGATTGGTGGCATTGGGGCTTTGTATGATTCGTTCTTAAGTCAGGATCTATGTCCTAGAACATTTTTCCAGACAGCGCTAGACGGCCGGCGTATGTTTCCTACATGCTCCTAAACAATCCTGGCTAGATGTTCCAAGGTCTAGTGGTGCCGGAGGCTGAGTGCGCTAGCTGCTGAGGCCAGCATTTGGAGCATGTTCGCTTTCTCGGCCATTCTCGCCCTCCATCATTTCTTCTCATACGGGCAGGCAGCCCGAGCTCGCACTCTTTTCTTCATCACCGTAACAGTACATTTTGCCTCCATCTGAGAACCTTACGGTGCACTCTTGCGCACATCATAGTAATATCATGTTCCACGCGCGCGACTCCATGTTCTGCTGTGCGAGGGGGAGGACATATTGTGCTTTGATGCGACGCACATGAAAGCGCCCTCATGGCTCCCTCACGAGTATAAAAGCGAGGACGGGGCTTGCTGAAATGTACCCCATATCTTGCTCAAAACGCTTGCAATCGTCTTCCCGTCGTCAAAAACTTCGTCGTATATCATCAGGTACGATTATTTAATGGGCAATTTCCCACATACCTTGTTTCTTAACTTGAACGCCTTTTCTTTTCCGACTAGGTCCATATCCTCGCCATGCAGCTCTTACTCTCTACCGCTGTCCTTCTCGCCAGTACAAGCCTCGCCTCCGCCGCCTACGTCGAACAATACGCCGAAGCGAATTGCACCGGCCACGTCAACCAAGCTTTCGACCTCATCTCCAACCACACTGAATGCAGGCATCAGACGGGCGCGTCTCTGTTCATGAGCACAGGCAGCAGTTTCCCTTGCACTTTTCTGCTGTTCAACGGTACTGGGTGTGAAGGCTTTATATCGGCGGAGAACGGGAACAGCGAGAATGCGGATCATTGTCTCAACTTCCAAAAGACTAGGGGAGGATCGGTTTTCATTGACTGTGGGGTTTCCTCATGAAGGGGGGAAATGGAGTGGGATGGAGAAATAGTGGATGTAAGTCGTCTTTCAGTAATACATCGTACTGCTTGGTTACTAACGTAGACTGTCAGGCGACTGACTTGAAGACTCAGCTTTGACCCTGCAGTGAGGGCGGTTTTTCATGGACTTTCTTTGGACATTATACGATCTATATAATGCTTTGAGTTGTAACACGCGCAACCATCATCATACCCTTTGGCCCTATACGAAAGTGTTTAGTTAACAGTGTGCGTGCTCATGATATATAGCAAGATGGAGATCTATTCGGCGAATAAACACGCCTCCGGGGAGGATGCTACATTGTGGCGTTATCGGATACAGCTTTCTACTTACGATCTCCCCCAACAAGCTCTCCTCGGGTTGGTCACAATCCTACGCTCCAAAACCTCTTAACCGACATGGACGACACATTCGAGCTCTATGATCTTCGGGTCGAAGTTATTTGCCCACCAGGAGCCAAAATCATGTGTGGCGCTAAAGAGGGTGACCACTTCACGCTCGAAGGAGAGTTGATGTGTCTGCCACCTGGGCAAGGTTTTTCCATATACTCTCTCGGTCTGTACTTCTCTTCTCTACCTTTGCCACCCATGCATTTGTAGAGCGATACTTACGGCAGAACTGGTTGATCAGGTGCAGTATTACCTTTGCTGGCGGCGAAACAGCGAGTAACGCAGCCGAACGACTGGATGACGACAGATGCAGAGGTAGCGTGTCCGGATCCGAACTGTCCGTCTAAGTTGAGAATCGTGAGGACTGGGGTGAGGACATTCAAGCACGGAGAGACGACCGTCGTTCCCCTTCCAGCGAAAGCATGATGTGTTGCGCGTATGGAGAAAACGGAATGCAGTCGAACGAAGGGAGCAGTTGGGCACCCAGTGTACCAAGATACTATATATAAGGTAGCGCAGAACAAACTCTAGGAAATGCTGACGCATTCATATTTTGACGCCGGTATGAATGCAAGCGATTCCGCCCCAAAGGTCTCTCCATGCGCCGCCGTCGCCCTCGAAATTCCCACCCGTAGCGAAGCCCGCCTCTCCAATCATCCTTGCAAAGTCCTGCTGACTGGGGAACTTCCGTATCGATTCTACCAGATACTGGTAGGACTCGCGATCACCAGCGAGGATGGTTCCCAGGAGAGGGATGACAGAGAAGGAATATTGGTCGTAGAGCCTATGTTATGACCACGCCAGTCAATAAAATGCGCTTCAAGGTAAGGTCGAAAGGGGCGACTTACTGGCCGAGAATAGGATTTGTGACTTTGTTGAACTCCAGACATGCAAACGTTCCTCCCGGCTTTAATACCCGGTGTGCCTCCTTCAACACGTCTGGTATTGACGTGACGTTCCGGATGCCAAAAGCGATGGTGTACAAGTCGTACGAGTTCGAGGGGAACCTTTCGGGCGGCAGCTCCTGTGCATTGGCCTCATGGAAAGATATCTGCGATGCTGTGATGTCACTCTGTTCAACAACGACGCGGCTAAGAGATGAGAGAATAACGCACTGTTGTAGTACATCGTCTTCTTGAACCTCCTCTCACCCTCCTTCAACATCTCAGGATTGATGTCTACAACTTCGACTCTGGTCTCTCTATCCGCATACGTCTCCCTTGCCCAGTCTAACATCCTCAGCGCAATATCCCCTGTTCCACCTGCGACGTCCATACACCTCGCGGGGCCCTTACTTCCTGGTCGAAGAAGCTTGATGAAGTCGTCCTTCCATAGCCGATGAACACCCAGAGACATAGCATCATTCATAACATCATATGAGGATGCCACAGAGGAGAACACATTCTTGACGAGGTTCTCTTTTTCTTCAGAAGCAACGGTACGGTAGCCAAAATGCGTTGTGGATGAGGAGCTTCCAGGCTGTGAGGACGTAGCAGTTGGTTGTGGCGGTGGCACTGGCGACTGGGTATGATTAAATCGAGACAGTAAAGCGGTCGATCTGGAGACACGACAAGTACGCGTGAATGTCCGGGGGATGGTTTGCATGTTTGCTGAAGAGGAGGGAGGAAAGAGAGTAAGAAGCGCGTACACGGCGCGATCCTCCAGTCTTCGAGGGATGCGCCTCGGATGATGCCGCTTAGGTTGCTTTGTGGCGCAAGTTTTGGCGCAAACAGATTGTGTGGCCCCACTTCTCCTACCATCTCCTTCGTCTATCCCAGAGGTTCCATCACCGATTCGGGGACTCAAACCTCACAACGCACTTGATTCCCGCTTGTACAAGCGTACAGTAACTGAAGGATCTAGTGTGACACTGACTACCAAACTATTTTCTACCACCTCCACGGGCCAAGTTAGTACTAGCTACTGACTGGAATCCGCTATTTTATCATGTCGGTTCAATGGCCATGCCTACAAAGCGATTTATTAAACACAGCTTATTAGGAAAGCAATATATAAAAGGAGCTTACGGAAATCGGTGTGCATTCCTCGAAAGATGTTGTCCTCTTGCCATGGTCCGTTGGTGAGTCCATCTCCCGAGTCTGGAAGTCCGTCCTATATTCCGTCACCGTCTGCACCACGACAGCTATAGGCGAGGATGATTCCAAGCCATGATGGACACTGCTGCTATGTTTGTTTGGTAGCGAGTTCTGAACAGGGAGAATTTGGGACTCGTTCTGGGGCCGACGACTCTTGCTCTGCATGTCACACATGTCGATGAAGGAGGGCCCGCCGTCGTTCACCTTTTGACGAATGTATTCTCTGCTGTTTAACCTGCGAAAGAAATCATCAACTGATTACAGTGTCAAATACGAGCGCTGGAGAGAGCATACGTGGCTAGGAACGAGTTAACGTAACCTGAAGGGAACATTCAGTTGACAAAGACCAGGCTTGAAAGGCTCGTTCGCTAGAAATGAAATGACTTACACTTCCCGAGCACCCAAAAGAGACCCATCCAAACGAAGGTGAGTGGCATCACTGCATACTACGCTCTTAGGTCAGCGGACGTTCATCAGCATCACAGTTACTCCAATAATGTTACCGTGATCACACAAGACAAAGCGATTAAACTGTACAATCCGTCATTCAGTCGCTCGCTCCAAAACAAAAGCGGAGCCGGAAATACCTCGTCAACAAGCCAGTGTTGAGGGAGTATAACATCAAAGTCTTGATCATGGAGTCGGTCCTGCGTACAATGTGTCAATGAAACAGGGTACACGGATCATTTCCACAGGCTCGAGGTGCGTACGACGGGAACCCGGTGCGGCTTTGGTAAAGGTACCAGCACATTGTAACGGCGATTAACATGTCTGCGACCGCTGCAGATCCAAGCCCCGTGCAGGCGATCCACTGCGGATGAAGTATTAGTAGTTGTGATCAATCTGCCTGGAACGGCTGAGGTACGCACCAGAAGGGTATCATAGCGCGAGAACTCCTTAATCTCGAAGCTGTAAACGATAGGATAATTCAAATGAGAAGGTCTAGATCGATACACTGGTTCTCTTACGCTTTGACGGTGAACACTAGACTTCTGTTGTCAGTAGGGAAGAATGACAGAGTACCAAGGCTGACCCACCAACTCCAAGTCCTAACACGAATGAGGAACACAAACTTGTGGTCAGATTCACCCTACCAAAAACTATGACCAGATTTTTACCGAAATGAATCGATGCAAGTATGACCTTGAAACCAGTCACAGGTTTGGTGAATTCAGGGTACACTTGACTGCCATAATGACAAGCCTCACTCACTATGCACCCTGTAACGAAGTAGTTCTTGCTCACTTGGGAAATCATGTTGTAAGCCCAAGTAGCTGGGCAAAGGCGTGGATGACCGACTTACGGCGCCAAGTCCTCCATGCGAAGAAGCTATGAATCCGTACGTCAGGTATGCCCTGGCTTGAGAGCGGTGAAAGCATACCATTCAACCAGAAAGCCAATGAACCCCTGCAAAAATCGTCAACGAGCTTAATGATAGGAAGCCAAATGTATATGGGGTCGACGAACGTTACAGTCCGTCTGTAGCTGTATGATAAAAGGGTGATCAGATGGCGTAATTGTGAAGTCGAAGTTGTGCTCCAACATTTATACTCCTGAGTGATAGAAATGAGGTCCTTAGAGGTAGCTTCAACGTTGGAGCGAATGAGGGAGTGCTTACCACTCTGTCTCTAACAGCGCCGAGGGCCGGAGATAGTTGGAAACCAGGTACCTAAAATGATTTCAGTGTCCAGGCATAGGCTGGTCTGCCATAAATTCTAACTCACCAGTAAATCGTATGGGTACAGAGAGCAAGATGTAACGTGTCTGCAACCCTATGAATGAGGTGAATACAAACATGGTCCGAATCGTCGGGAGAGCGCGCACGTACCATAGAACAAATACGAGCCACCGGATAAAGGGCCTGTCTTTTTTGCGGAAGCGACTAAAAAGAGGAGGCTATGTGAGCAGATATGTCGGGTACATACTAGTGAGATGTTTCTTACCGGTAGTACGTCACACTAGCACGTAGAATGGTCGAAACTGGTCAACCAGTTGCTCTACCTCTAAGCCAACGTCGTACTCACGTCTGGCCCAATGTAATACCATACAGTCTATATAGCGGACATTTAGAGAAAGGTTCAAAGAGTAAACGGTAAAGAGCACGTACGCCCCGCTAACCAAGAGTCCAATGAGCGTGCTTCCGAAGGTGAGTTCAAGCTGTGACGGCGATGACATGCAAGCCAAAGCACCGAGGGGTAAACATGAACTGGCCTCGTCGTTGGTAGGAGGGCCCGCATATAAAGGCCCAAATGACTAGACCAGGGGCGAGCGACGGGCTGAGCTCATCAGGCCGCCATCAGCGCTCCGCTTCGACGTTCGGTAGGATGGAAGCATATCTAACGCCACACAATGGGTCACGAACACCCTCGAACAATTTGAACCGAAGCATCCGCGTAAAGATTGCCGCACGAGATTTTCCCTTGCGATTGATATCGCCGAGTGTCGCCGTTGTGTGAGGTAATTCACAGCGGACTTCTGGTTTATTATATCAGACTTGTCTCAGTAGGGCCAAAAGCCTTTACCACAGATGCACCACGCACGGACACCAGAAGCCTTTGGTGTGAAGCTGACTTGTCAAAGCGTATCTCAATGTCTGAGCTTGTTGTAAGACCACGATAATCACATAAGAAGCACTTCAACGTAACAAGGCCCACATTTGGGGGAAAATATCAACTTCGATGAGCGGTGGTTCGAACTCAGGAGCACAGATAGAAAAAGAAGACGTGACAGCGGTTGCCAATTTCACAGCCTCGTTAAGGGGATCAGCTTTACCTTCGTACCCGGCGATATAATCTTGAGAACCAGTATCAAATATCGAGAAAGGCAGTTCCTCTTCTACGGAGATGGGGCCGTGGTACCGTGTTGCTTGATGTGGTACGAGAAGCGCCGAGAATCCTTGACATCCCTTCATAGATTGTCCAGAAACGAAGCATAGGCATAACGAACGCTGAGCAAACACGACGGACTCATATGGTATACAGTGGAAGACGACACGGTTGCAACGTACAAGGCAGCCTTCAGAAATATGCTCTCTGTCGCGTATTTGGATGAGGAATCGAGATAGAAGTGACGGAAGGCGCTCTTGAATCGACACTCCCAACTTCCGGAAGGGGACTCAACTGTGAATCGGGAAACAAAATGCTGTCAGTCTCCAGGTCATTGATAGCATAGGGAAACTTACTTGAGGGTGTTGTGTGCGGGGCGTGGTCAAAAACGTTGTTGACACGGGAGAGTTGGGTGAGCTACGATAGTCACTCTTGTATTCCGTTGTAGTCTCCACGGTAACCGCAAGCGTGGGCCGAGTGTGCTGTAATATTATATGTATGAAAGATTTGTGCGAGTGCAGAAAAAATTAGCGCACCTTCTGGCTAATGCTAGTCACGCCACCATGTGAGATCAAAGTATCCTCTTGGGTTACAGACCTCAAAGCAGATAGATGCATGACTCCATCAGAAGGTTGCGTAGACCGCTCACGTATGGACTCCCTGCCGTTCAAGCTGAAGCGTATCCTGCGTAAGTATCGTAATCATGATGATAAGAAGGTTGAGTAATTACATCGCCAGGAATGAGTTGACGTAGCCTACAGATTTCCGTGAGCATCTGGAAATCAGATTCGGGAAGAACTGAAGACACTCACACTTCCCCAGAACCCAGAAACAAGCAAGCCACACAAAATTGGTGGGCATGATAGCGAACTAGGTCATAGTTGGGTGGTCAGCGAACGGCAAAGAGAGCACGTAAAAGCCGAAAGCCATTACTGTAATGACTGCAGTCGTCGCCACCACACTGTGAAGATCAATCAGCCGTTGTCCAACCAATTCTAGATGTTTCTTCACCTCGTGACCAGACCGGTATTGATAGAATAAAGCATCAATGCCATGAGCATGCTATCGGTACTGTGGATTTATTCCGTTTCGTACTGAGATACGGTTGAGTACGAGATGATGCGCGAGGGCTCACCGTTTGAACCCTGTGCGACTATGGAAGAGATACCAACACATCGCTCCGGCGATGATGATGTCGGCAGCGGCTGCGCTCCCGAGCCCGGTGCAAGTAACCCACTAGAAGGTATTTCTTGAATAGAAGTACAGGTGAATCGAAGTCAAAGACCCACCGTGAGTTCTGAATACAGAGAGAATCTTCCGAGAGCAAACCTTTTGGAAAACAATGAGCGCCGCTCGTCAGTATCGCACTAGTACATACCCTCTGACAGTGAAAACTGAAGTACGTCCAATGGTAAGCAACAAGACAGGCCTTACACCGGAGAATGACTCACCAACACCAAGACCTAGCGTTTCAATGTAAGTCAGCGACGATTCTGAGATAGGTTTGTGTAGTTATGATACATACTGAAATGTATGGTCGCCAAAATGACCTGCCATGGAAAAATCAGGCATGCAACCCGCAATTAATGGGAAATGAACTGACTATAACTCCTGTGAGAAGCATGTTGCCGCTCACTGGTGGTAGAGAAAGGAATTTCAGTATGTGCTCGGAAACGTAGCACTGAACTAAACTAGCTCACTCATCCAGACTCTTCGAGCAAAGAACCTGAATTCATACCGCATGAGCACAAGCGGCTGCGAAGGGTGAGTCAACCTACAGTTCGACAAAGAGACCAATCAGGCCCTAGAAGTTGTCGTCGTGTTAGAAGAGCGCTCGGGAAGATAAAGGTCGAACTGACGTTGAAGTCTGTTTGGATCTAGATGGAAACACGTATTCCTGAGCAGAACGACATGGTATACCAAACGAGGCGTACATTCATGCTCCTGAGACGGAGATCAATTGCTAAGACTATTAGTGATAATTTTGGAAAACTTACCAGACCGATGCATCCAAAGCGGGCGGGTTGTTATAGTTTGTAATCAAGTACCTTCAGATAAACCATGTCAATCACCACGAATCCGGGAGCAGAGTGCTTGCTAACCAGTAGATCGTGCGTATACATAGGATGAGATGCATGGTGTCGAGGAAGCTATTAGACATGTTTCAGTTTAAGAAATCACACGATCATTGAAGTCAGAAGTACCAAGATCGTAGACTCACAACAAAGAGAAAACTAGGGCCTTCGTGGTTCGTGTGTCTGACTTGGAAGAGTGCCTATCCAACCGATGTACGATCCTAAGTAGCTTATCCCTATACAAGTCACTTGTGGAGACTAACGAGAAGTATATCCAACTGTGGTCATATGTAAGTACACTCTGTTAGTAAATCATGATCTGCATTTTTGGGTCACGGAAACGGTTGGCTCACGTTTGGAGTATAGTCGCTCCATATAACCTGTAAAGTCGTGCATAGAGCAAGAGTCGTCAGTTATCCTCACCATAAGATCGTGCAAGAGACTCACACTGATGCCACCAAAAGCCCAATCAAAGCCGCTCCAAAGGTATCATCTATATCCACCGACGCGTCCGCCATATCGAATCTCGTAAGGACTGACAAACGAAACTTGAGTCGTTGAACTTGTTGAAGGGCCGTTACCGCACGCAGTACAGAGTACAATGCTTAGAAGGACGTGCGAAAGGGGAAGACTGCCAGCACATTCAACTGAACTCTTAAAGAGTCATCGACTAAACCCCTCACCCCTCAAGCGAGGCGCACTATCTACAGTCCTGCGCTCAACCCCATTCTCAAGCTGGCTCCAACTTCTCACCATCTCCCCTTTGGTTCCTGTGCGGTGAAAACTCTGATCATATTCTGTATTTTTGTCTGTTCCCTGCTCGCCAGTTCTGTGCGGGAACAAGCTGGTCAGATATAGCTCGAACACTTGACCCAGCCCCTTCCCGTGCATACGATAGATCGTCTACTTCTGCAGTTGAAGGCCGCTGTGGGAGTCATAGAAGCAGATGACACGCACTGCGCCGAGAGTACAGGGATAGATATTGAGTGTTCTCGAGTGTTCTGTTCCGAGTGACGACCGATAGACGATTCTATGTGTGGCTCAGTCGGGCAGAGAGAGCGCGCGGTATGACTCCGTGCGACATTCCGCAGGTCTCGCACAGCACGCCTGGGTGACCACCACCCATAAAAATACCACTCGTGCGATATCATCAATTCGTGGGACGATGAATGGGCGAGTGACCCACACGATGTCGCAGTGGAGGGTTGGTAGTCGTGGGGGTCAGCTTGACGCCAAGACTGTCCCGTGTAACTCACAATGGCACAAGGAACCTTTGGACACACTAGGGTAAAACAAGAAATAGAGCCGGCGAATTTGCGGGCTGTATATGGTCTCGTTAGCTTTGGATTAAGCTCGTCGGTCATTTCAAGGAGGATGAGATGGCAACATGACCGGATGGCGACCATAAATGACCTGGAGACCGAAGTCAGTACCCAAGAAGGGAACATGTTGATAGTCAAAACACAAAGAGTAAAAATCGTTCCTTGACGGTCCCTGTGTCGAGTCTACTGATGTCCCTCAGTTCGCAGGTGAAAGGCACTCGTACCTCATCCCACAAGCACTCGCAAATGTGATATGTGTGTGTGGACGCTGTCCGCCTATTTCTTTCCCCCGACGCAAAGCAAGCGATGACGACAGGGGCTTGCAATGGGATACCAGTTACAAGCGAGAGCCTGAGCCTCTGTTATCAGATATAAGGCCATTTCGGGCTGGTGATCGCTGACCTATACGCAACGCAGCCTGACGATTCGTCGGATGTCAGGGTATCGATGGGTGAGAAGGATATGAAGAGGGATTGGACGAAGTTTTGCGAAGACCTATAGGCGGCAAGGTTTCGGAGAGGTAGTTTCCATTCATTCCGGCCATAACGGTGTTGCATCGACAACAGCGGGCTCTTGAAGTAGGAAATAGTAGAGCATCACTCGCAGATTACTCTTACGCCGCATAGACCCTACCGTTTTCGGTGACAGAAGCTGTTGACAAAGGTGGGAAGTCCTGCCAGAGAAGAACTACCCATCAACTTCGCGGACAGAACAGAACAGTTGCAGACGACAAGGATTGGACGCACCAGTCAGACGGATGACAAGAATGGAATGGGATAGACCGCACTGCTCCATCCGAAGCTTGGACCGGTGCGAAGCTATCAGTCGAGGTGTGAGTTACAGGCCCGCGGGTATGTCCAAACTTACAAGTCAACGAGGAACGATGGATGTTCGCTGCATGGACGTAAGCGCTATACGCTGGAAATGGCCATATCTGAATCACAGCAAGATAAGTCGTGCGGGGAACAGCATCGAAACGCTGGAGGATGCACGGAATAACAGCGATGGAAAATCGGCGCATAAATATGCTACAACGTGGTACGTCTTGAATTGAGGTGAGTAAGAAGTAAAAATGGTACTGAGACTACAACGACGGGTGAGCTAACGAGGAGAGTATTGGAAGAACAAGACAGGACAGAGGAACGACAAGAAGAGAAACAAGGAGGGGAGACGGATGATTCAGAGCTTAGGCGACGTAGGCGAACGTGTCCCGAGTGCCGTCTACTCGTTCGATGTACTCTTTCTCGAGCAAAGTATCGATGGCCTGAAATACAAAATACATGATCAGATCAGGCAGAGCCGTGAAGGTAAGGAGCTGGTGGGAGGGTATTCGCGTACCTTCTTGATGTCTGGGATCTTCGGTGTAAACCGCTGCGAGATTTGAGAAATGACCTCCTGGATCAGAGGCTGGTTCTTCATCGTCTTCCTCGCCTTCATGATACTGTAGGTGGCCACGCCGTTAGTGTCAGTACCTAACAACAATATTAGGGAGGAGTAAAACAAGACAAATAACGCACCGAACGATCGTGGCTTGAATCACGTATTTACGGTCCTCATCAACCGTCTTCAGGACGTCGGTCGCCTCAGCCTTTACCTCAGCCTTGATGGGCTGGTTCAGGTTGACACGGATCTTCTTTGACTTGAAGCCTGCACGATTGCCATATCAGCAAACGCTGCATTGAAACACCATGGGGGTAAGATGATAGTACGCACCGGGGTTAAGATCATACTGATCCGTCTCCTCGCTGATCAAAATCTTCGCCTTCGTCAAGATCGCCAACACCTGGTTCAACAAATCCTTGCCCATCGACGTCGCCGAATCCAACTCATCCAACGACAAAGTATCGTGCTTGTTGTACTGGAGGAGCACGGCCATCTGATAACTGCTCGTCATCAGGATATACTTCTGGTTCAGGTAGTTCGTGCGCAGCTCGTTTTTCGAGTATTGCCAGAGCCAAGTGAGTTTCCGGCCAGAGTGCTTCTGCTGGTAATACTTCTGGAATCTGTCGTAGGTCGGTTGGATTTCGGCGGGGACGAGGTAACCGTTGGTGGGAGCGGTCTGAGGCCAGAAGTTCGTGCCGAGGACCATGACACTGAAACTGATATCCATATCGTCGTGGTTCTGCTCCATACGTTCCTTGAACTGATCTGTGAGATCTTTGGACAAGCTAACGTCTGTGGCGCCGTGAGAGTTAGTGCCGTGTGGCCCAAAGGGAGAACGATAAATGTAAGGGAACGCACCGGTGAACATGCGCTGTAGCTTGTTGGTGTACTCGAAACCACAGGCTTCCTTCAACTTGGAGATCATGCTGGCCTCGGCCTCGTCTGATGTGGAGACAGCGTGGATAAGTCGCTTGGAAAGCTTGCTGGTGTAGAATTGCTGGAACACGTCTTTATCCTCCAGATATTTAAACAAGACCATCTGCAATGACAGTCAACAACATGAGCGAGAAGTGCCCCGCAGAAGATGAAATACGCACCAGACGGTTGAGTGCGCCTTCCAGATCGCCCTCCTCAGCCATCTTGTTGTTCTTTCTCAGAAGCGCGTCCGCATGCTTCGCCAGGAGCTCTGGGCTCTTCGTCGAGCTAGTACCAGTGGCGGCGTTCCGGTTCACGAACTCTCTGCAGGCCTTGTCCAAGCTAGCGACGAAGCCAGCTTCGCCCTTGAAGCTCCTGTTCACGGTCTCCGCGTTCTTCGTATGGACCTCCAGTAAGGCATCCACATACGCCTTAGGGTCAACGTCGGCTGTGGCTGCGCCACCTTCGCCCACCAACTTCGACACAGCAGCGAGACCAGCTTTCTTGACGTGCTCCTCGAACTTCTTCCTCAATGGCTCAAGACCCTCGGGAATGCGTGAAAGAAGAGCGTACATTCGCTGCAGGTCCTCGTCCTTGTCGAAGTCGAGCAGGTTCTGGAAGGACTCCCACATCAGCTCTGCGTGCTCTCGGATAAGAACATGCTCGCATTTGGTGATCAGCGATTTGCGTGTCTGAGTATGCAGATAACGCTCCACTCGATCCTCTTCCTCCCTTAGACGCTCCTCCGCCTTCTTGAGGTAATCGGATACGGAATTCTCAGCGAGGAAAGAATCTGATTCGGTCTTGTAGTATTTCTCGGTGGCATCGAGGAATGGGGTCTCGAAGTGTTCTTTGTAGACATCGAGGGAAGCCTTGTTGATATCGGCCTCGTCGATGCCGAGAGAGACAAATGAGTCGACGACTTTCTTAACCAGACCTTGGTCAATTGTGTCACCATTTCGCTGATCCTCGACGAGACGCAGAATGGCGCCTGCAAGCTTCTGTTGTTTTTGTTGGATATGTATGAAGAAATTGTTCCGCCATTGCACAAGCGCGAGCTGTAGCCACGAGTTGACCGTGATCAGGATGTGGGAAAAAGAATTATAGATTGAAAAAGAAAACAGACTGTGTAGACTGGATAGACACCCTTGCGACCCTCGTCCCGTTCCCGCTTGACCCAGTGTCGATTGAGATATGTGAAGAGACGATTGATATAGTTGGCGCCTGTGGTGTATCTGTCCCACTCCGACGCGTAATATCGCAGCAATAGTTCGTTCTGGAGTCCGTCAGAATGCTATGTGCGGACGCAGCGGTCAGATCAAGCTTCAAACGACAGTTTTAAACACGACGTACGTCTTTGAGGCCTTTCAAATGTTGAACAAAGTAACGGATGAGATTGTTGTAGAGATCGGATCCGACAAGGTTCGCGCCCGCTGAAAGCACCGAAATGATCAGGTCGCGTGAGTGGCTGATGTTTTGTGGCGGGAGAGTGTGACAGAATGAATCACGCACTTCGACCTGGAGTAGAGAGGTCTGATGCTCCAGTCGAGTTCGGCATCTTGGACGATGTGCAATAATTGTATGCGACAGTATAAAGACTCATGTATTTAGAGTACGAGACGCCGGTTTGGAGCTTGGTCATGATGTGGTCGACACCTTCCTCCAGGAAAGCCCATGTTGTAGCCAGATCAGCAGATGCTGGCGGCATTGGGTACGACTGAAGGGGTGTTGAGCCACTCGCCATCGTTTGCGGTGCGCGATATAGACGAAGGAAAGAGGAGGAGACGGTAGTGGTCGAGGGTCAAGGAGCGTGTCGCGGACGACGCCGAGTCAACGCGCTGGTGGCTCGCGTCAAATTAGGCGCGTGTCACCACGCCACACTTTTCGTTCTGCTGGGACCTTCTCTCCCCATTCAGAGTCAGTATATAGCTGCTGGTTTGTTTTTGTAGGTACTGTATCCGACTTCACCCTGCAGCGCTCATATGTCTTGATATCTGATGCGCTCAGTTCAATATTAGCGTGGCGCATTTGGGCCACTCAGGTCCTTTTCATTCGTCGTGTTCGACGTTTCGTACGTACCCTCACAATTATATGGAGCCGAGATATCGAATACTTGCTTTGTAGTATATCATGTCTGCGTTCTACAAGATTCCCCTCCTCGTGTTGACCGCAACAGCCATTCACATGGCCAGCTCACCTCCCAACCCTCCCATCGCCACAGGCCGCGATGGGAGTCAGAACAGCTCAGGGCCGTTCTCCTCGTATCGTAAGCTCAAAGACCCACAATCAATTGGTTTCGTTGGTCTCATCAGGGTGAGCACGGCCTACTTGCCACTTTGACCCTTTCCGTGAGTAACGTCTTGCCCATCTGAGTCAGACGGCAGGACATGCCTCTGTTGTCGCAGAATGCGCCGTCATCATAGCTCGCTCGGCCACGTCGACAAACAACATGTGGTTCGCTCAAACCCTTCATTACTTGACTCCAAGCCCACAATGTGCTGCCCATGTTGGTTTGACGCGTACCTTTGTTGTTGGGTGTGGCCTGGTCTTGTGTGGGGCGGGGTTGAGACTATGGTGCTACCGTTCTCTGGGGCAATTCTTCACGTTTGAACTAACAATTAGCAAGAAACACAAGTAGGCTCGTTGATCCCTGTGCTTTTACACACCCTTATCTTCGTAACAGGCTCATAACGTCGGGGCCGTACTCCATCGTCCGACATCCTTCATATCTTGGTGCATTCTTGATGCTCGCAGGTCTGTCTCTTTCTTTCGTCTCAAACTTAATTGGGCGCAACACTCCACTTATAACATCCTCTTAGGCTTTCCACTCGCGTATTTCGGAGACGGAAGCTGGTTGCGTGAGTGCGTGGTCACGAACACAATTCCTAGACGCGTCTTGGACATCGCCAGTGCCACGCTACTAGTCCTCGTTGGCTCGTTTTTCTGGAAAAGAGTTGACGCAGAAGACTCGGTTCTACATAAGAATTTCGGAGCGGAATGGGAGGACTGGGCAAAGAGGACTTGGAAGTTGTTGCCCTTTGTCCATTGAGGCGGCTGATATGACCATGGCACATCAGAACTCGTGCAGTAGGAGTCAGCATTGCACCGTCTTTAGGAATGGAGACAAACTCGGCCACTCTGGGGCCCATATCCATCCGTCTTTGAGCAAACTCAGTGCCTCGTGCCGATTTGGCGTGCATCATCATCATCGATTGTGCGTTGATCTACGTAGTGTGGAGCAACGTTGAGGATATGGTGCTGCCATATAGTAGTACACTGAGAAGGGTACTTCTACATCTTTAAATAATCGATCCGCTAAAAGTGGCAGTCCATACATCCGTTCAACAAAGTTCCCATCGCTCGGCTTGTACTGGCCTTTGCGTTCATTCATGCCATCGAGAAATTCAGGACATTTATATTGTTCGCCATCATATATCTGATAGGTCCGTCTTCCCGTCTCTTCCCATCCTCACTAACACTTCGGCCAATCACCTGGGTTTAAACATAGATACACCCATTGTTCACGTCCCCTTAACAGGTGTCTCACTGAAGATGGTCCGAAAATGGAAGCTGGCTGCGAATAGATGACACTGATACCTCCTGCAGATTTTAGGTGGAATGATGCTTGCCATTGCCGCTTCGTTCTTTTGGAAGCGAGTGGACATGAGGTACAGTGTCGTATGATGGACCCTCAGTATGGAGAGCCAAGGTTTGGGTGAAGAAAACTCGGAAGTGGGCAGGCGCCTCACTGACGGCCATGGTAGCGCACAGGATACACTTTCCAGGGAATGATGGTTGCAGAGACAAAGTCCTCTTTTCTGGGCGTGTTCGGTTCAGGGACTCCGTCGCACCCTGTACGGCACACACGAAAGGTATCCGCGGAGTATGAATAGACCAAGTTGCATGCTCCGACCCGGCTTCATACATGGGCTGTCCATCTGTCACAAGTCCCCACTATGCGACTTCCCGCTAACCTTCCTCAACATCCCTCCGATAGCTAGTCCCAGCCCAAGTCCTTTCCTCGAGTTCTGCTTATTGCCGACCACAGAATTTGTCTCCGGCACCGGTATCATAGCCATCGATGTCGGCATGGTAGACGAGAGACCCGTGGCGATTCCAGGGAACGGCGACAGCTTCGAATCCCTAGCATATCTCTCCACACTCTGCTCGTTGCTGGGCGATGTGGTTTCTCCGAGCAACGGACTCAACAAATAATTGTGACCCTTCGCAGCTGGCTCCTTCGGATTCAAGGGCTCGGGTATGGGAGGACAAGCCCGAGTGGATTTGGTGGCGAAACCCCAAGTCCGAGATGGGGCGGAATTTGGCTCGACGGTGGTGAGGGCACGTCCACGACGGCCGGGGAAGCGGAGAGGAGCGGCGGTGTTGCCTGTGAGCTCGTACGAGGGAGTTAGGAGAGCATCGGAACTTGTGCATGAGCTGATCGTTGATGCGGAGAAGGTCGAGAGTGTATTGGCGTCGGATAAGATGGATGCACGGCCTGGATGTTTGCGGTCGTATAGTGACTGGGTATAGACATCGTGCATAGCTAGGGAATGCATGGTTGATTTTACGAGCAGAAGTGGGGGGCACGTAGATCAATGAAGAAGACCTTGCCGGATACGAGGATCTTGGCGGCGAGGTGCGAGGTCTTGAAGCCTTGATGGGTCGGCTAGGTAGGGACTGTGGAAGTGCTTAGACGATGACAGCACATGGATCATAGCGTATTGCGATTTAGACTGACAGGCAATGCGAAGATCAAGTCGTCGTAAAAGGTCTCAGTCAAGCCCGGGCGATCTGAGACATCGACAACGTTCGGCGATTGGTTTCACCTCGACGTCATGGTTTCGTAAAGTCAAAGTGAAAAACACCACGGGCCTGTGAGATTTGCAGAGCGTACAACGGGGTCGCTGTTTGAGAAGATGGCAGGACCCGGAAAGGAAAAGGGATAGGCAAGGAAGATTATACTTGTCAACGGCCACGAAAAGTAGAGCATGGTGCAAGGATACTTTGGAGCTTTTGGGTTGTCGCGCGGCGAAATTACCACTTGCCCTTCCGCTTGTCCTTCTTCGCCTGTAGTGTCCCTCGCCCTTTTGCACCCCTCACAGTCTGCAACTCTCCGAACTTCTTCTTCGCGTATCTCTTGGCCTCCGCGTCATCTACTAGCTCATCCACCAGCGACCTCTTCCTCTCCGCGCGGCCTAGGTTGTCACCACTCGTGTCTTTGAATGGAGTATTTGTCTCGACGATCTTACCCATCTGTGAAATCAATAGACCGAACCGTACTCAGAATATGAAACTGGAGCTGGAGGTAAAGGGAGCTAGGCGTACAGCAAAGTATTTCGGTAACCCCTTGATGCCCTTCCCCTCTCCCTCATCTTTCTTGTAGAACCGTTTTGGATCTAGCTGATTCCGTAAACGTAGAGCCTCAACTTCTCGATAAAGACGTGGTAGCTCCGACTCGCGTGGCGCAGGTAAGTCGAACCAGCCTTTTCCAGCTGTCTGGGTCCTCAGCTGTAGAGCGCACCCACAATTAGATGTGATGGAATACTACATGATGGCCGCTCGAGCCAAACAAAAAATATGGAGACGTACTGCCTTCTGCTGCTTTTTCGTAAGTTTTGATGATGGACTCGGCGGCCGCACAGGAGGAGCGGGGAGCGAGTTCAAGGCTGATGATGATGACTCTGCCCGTTCTGCGTCGAGGTCTCGTACTCGAGCGGGTGCATCGCGGCGGGTGGCACCTGGAGTGATATATGGATCTAGCAGAACACCAGGGTCGAGTGCGGGCAGCTTTCTGGGCACACAAAAGGATACATCTTTTGAACATCCAAAGAAAGACACATATACATAAGAAATAATGCATACTGCTCTGAGTCTCCATTCCCGAGCCGAATAATTTCCTCCTCTCCATGCCGTGCTAGCGAATTAGATGCCTGGCTCTTTGAGGCGGCTGCATTGGAGATGTTTTGACGCGCTTTTTCAAGTAGAGTTTCAAGATAATCCAGGGTGATCTCTTCGTCCGATTCTGGTTCTGAGCTTGACGAGGAGGAGCCTGATTCTGAGTCCGAGTCTGAATCTGAAGATGCTGACATGGAGGTTGGTGGCATGGGGTTGGCGCGGGCCTTGCCTTTCGTAGATGTAGATGCTACAGCCATTGCGATATTGATGCGCACAAATATCTATGAGACAACGGTGAAGTGAGGACTGACTGTGGGCCACAGTTAAGCAACAAGATGAGCGAAAAGGAGGGAATTCGAAATTACACGAAAATGAACAAGGTTCCGGCATCTTCCGCCGGTGGAGGAAGTGTGGCGTTTTGTGGCACCTCTCTTCTTCCACTCGGTTGGCCTCAGTTCTCTCATGTCCTTTCTTTCTCGTCCATCCGCGTTCCATCTCCCGTGAAGCTCCCTTCCCATGTTGCATTCCAATCGGGGGCTCTATAACCACTCAACTTCCCACAAAAATAGGTTCAGTGTTAGGGATGGCTTCATTTCTCCAGTGACAAGTCTCCGACGGGGAGCAGGTCGATGGGTCTTATTCGATTGACGCCCAACTGACAGCTCGCATCAGGTTCTGAGCAAGAACGGAAGGGCAGCTGCTTGCGAGTGCCACACTTCGTCGAGGAGCTCGGGAACTCGTGTGGCAGCCAGGACTCGGATAGAGACACACAACGATCGCAGCAGGAAATTTGCTATGGGTTCGTTGACTCCGAAACAACATCACAGATAAATGTAGATAGCTAGCCCGCAGCCAGTGCGACTTGAGGATAAATTACTCGAGATTGAGGTGGTGGTATGCATGAATAATATGCCGTACAGCTCGGCCGCCATACCAATGCATTCGACGAAATTATTGGGTACAGCAGCCAAGTCGGCGTATATAATCATGACAATTATATTGGTACGATAAGGCTGAGCATGCAGCCTCCCAAGAATAATCGGGTATTGGTGTACGGTCATTAGGAGGCATACAGGTTTATCACTGCGCAAAGCTCTCGTCATATGCATATGTATGTGTGGCCCGAGCACTGGCAAATCTGCTGTCTTACCTTTGTGGAAGCAGGCAACAGGCTGTCTAGAGTGTGATCATAGCATTTGTCGGTGAGAACTTTGTCCCCAGTCTGAATATGTACCCAGTCATCTTGCAAACCGTCCAGAGAAGGCCCGTATAAAGTCTCCTGTCGGACTCACGAGGTATATAACTGAGCAGGCCCGGGAGAGCTATTTGGCCACATCGATAAATATATCGAACTGAGTGGCACTGCACTTGCACCGCAGTCTTCAGCAATGAGTATGAGCTTTATGCAGAGAATACGTAACTCCTATATTATGCAAGAGTTGCTCGAGAACTTCGAGCAAGGGCCACAAACCCCACAAATCCCAAAGAGCACGCGCGGCGGGTCCTGGTTCACAGGTCCGTGCAGAAAAGGGAACTTCCTATGCATTTTCACGGAAATAGAACAGCGTGAGACGCAATCCGTCAACTGGGCGCCAATCGAATAAGACCCATCGACTCTGCCCTCGTCTCCGACAGCTGTTCGTTCTTGACATCTTACGTCCTTGGGTCAAACTAAGGTCAAACACTTCCGAGCTTGATCCCTGCGCCAATGAATCCACACGGGAACAGATTAAAGAGGCATGTTGTGGCGCGATCACCGACGGAATTCTACAACAACGGTCGGCCCAGCAAACTCGGGCACTATATTGGACGATATAATTTCCTCCGCGGGAAGTCATCCAGGAAGGGACTTTCTGTAAGGATGATGTCTTTTCTACCCACCTCGGGACCCGATATAGTCCACTGGCTAAAGGATGACCTTGGACCGTTCGCTTTGTAGGCCTTCTTAAGGCCGAATTCTGTCATATGCACTATGGTAAGACCGAGCCGTCCAGTGATTCTATTGCATGAACTCGGACCTGTGATGCGGCCAGTCCAGTCCAAGGTATGCTTTTTCTCATCGTCAGTACAAACACACGCTCATCAGCTTCCAAATTTAACAGCTGATGGGCACCTTGAAAGGCCCATTGATGTCATTCTTCTTCACACGAACAGGTCGAGGTTATCAGCTGCTCCACAGAGTTGCTCAGTATATTTAAGGATCGTCTGCGACCGGCTTTTGGTCGACTTCCAGACCGGGTCTCGTACTACACCGTCATGTCCGCCAGTAACACAGCTCGCGACAACAAGACCCTCGACACAACAGTTATCATCATTGGTGCCGGGTACGCCTCAGGTCCCCGGAATCCTACAGCTGATATTAAGCAAGCTTTCTTATATACAGCATTGGAGGCCTATTGACAGGAATCGCGCTCAAACGACAATGGGGGTTCGAGGACTTTTTGGTCGGTATCTTTTCATGTCCTCACTACAGTCAAGACTGCCAACAAACGATGACCATCTTTGCACAGATCTTTGAGAAGGGCTCTGATATCGGAGGGACATGGAGGGTGCGCTTTCTCAGAACTCCTCTGATTGCTTGAGCTCAATAGTCCCCCTCGTTACTCTAGGACAATGTCTACCCGGTGAGGCGTCGACTAGTCAAGCGATCCAAGCAATCGCTTACTTGGTATATTTTGTTTCACAGGGGTGTTCATCAGACGTCATGATCCACTGGTATTCCCTCTCCACGGACCTCAACCCGAACTGGAATCACTCCTTCGGAACCAGAGCCGAGATTCAGAAATACCTGCTCGACGTCACCGCAAAGTACTCCCTCAGATCTCATTGCGTATTCGACACCGCCGTTTTATCGGCCGAGTGGGACTCGAAGTCCAAAATGTATCACATCACGACTGAGAACGTCAAGACTGGTGCGAGGAAGGAGATGAGAGCGAAGATCGTCATGTCAGCTCCCGGGAGTCTCTGCGAACCGAATATGCCCCGGATTCCTGGAATTGATAGCTTCAAAGGTCCTCTGTTCCATTCTGCGAGGTGGAGACACGATGTGAGCCTAGAAGGAAAGCGGGTTGCTGTCATTGGGAATGGCTGCTCAGGGTATGCCTGCTTCCCAGTGTTCTTCCGTTGCCTTGAGTCTGAGCGCTCAGTTCACACGCAGCGCTCAATTGATACCTGTGATCACCGAGGATCCTTCTGTCGACGTCGTTAATTTCTGCAGACAGCCAATGTGGTTCAAGCCTCGGGTACGTTTCCATCATTCAAACTCAGATACCGAGTGCGGTCACTAACACTTCCTCAACAAGCCTCAAAGACCATACACCAACTTTCAGAAATGGATGTTCGCGAACGTACCCTTCGTCATGCGCGGGTATCGCTGGCTTGTAGCGTTTAGCGTTCGTAGTCATTCTCTACTAAACACGTCCATAAACACAAGTGGGCTGACTAGGACCCGAATATAGTATGATATTAATTTCATAGGCTTTCGTGGCCATCACTCCTGGTTGAGCAAACGCATCACCAAGGTTACCCTTTTCTTGCATCATTTGCGTGCGTCGGAAAAGGCGTGACTAAAATATCCCTCGAATTGTTAGGCAATGTCGGCGTATATCAAACAAACGGCGCCTCCTCAGCATCACAATAAACTTGTTCCGGATTACAGTAAGCCACTTGGACTCCACACATAAACCATGCTCCTTATAAATCACGCATAACAGCTCCAGGATGCAAGCGCATAGTATACGACACGGGGTACTTAAAAGCATTATACCGTCCCAATCTCGATCTTCGATGGGATGAGATCGACCGCATTGTCGAGGATGGCATCCTAATGAAGTCAGGTACGAGCCTACTGTGATTTCGCACGCGTTACGGAAAAGACTAAAGTTACATTCTGCATAGGTGACACTATGCCTTTTGATGTGATAGTATGTGCTACGGGTTTTGTAACGGTCAGTCGCGATTTTAGAATTACTTGTACGACCCCTTTTGACTTCAATCGACGCACTATCTCTTAGGATAAATACCCAATCCACATTCGAGGAAGGACAGGAGAGACTCTCGACGAGTATTATGCGTCGAAAGGTGGCCCCACTGCGTATCTCGGAACGACGGCACCTGGTTTTCCCAACTTCTGTATGCTGTTTGGTAAGTGTGCCTTGCGGCTCCTCAAGTTCAATCCGTACCTTCCCCTGCATTGCTGACGCTGTTTATAGGACCAAGCACCGCTACTGGCCATGCCTCAGTCGTCTTCTCCGAGGAAGTGCAGGTACTATAACTATAATTGGGCGTAAACTGATGCTGATGATCTCGGGCCAGGCCAATTACTCCTTACAGCTCATGAAGCCCATCATTTTCGACGGGGTCGCCTCCTTTGAACCTACCGTATCCGCCACAGACGCCTACAACGATTACATCCAATCGCGCATCTCCAACTCAGTATGGACACAATGCACCTCTTGGTATCGCTCAGGCACCGAGGGCAAAATATATAGTACCTTCCCTGGACCACTTGCAGAGTTCTGGCTGTGGTGCAGAACACCCAAGTGGGGTGACTATAGGTTTGAGGGCGAAGGGACTAAGTGGTGGGAAAGAAGGAGGAAGACGAGCACTGTGGCGAGGGCTCTGGGTCAGCTTGTGACTATAGCGGGTGTCGCTTGGTTGACGAAAGATTTGATGCAGAATGACGGAGAGATCAAGAGCTTGTGGTATAGGTTTATGGTGCGTCCTCACATTATCGAGCACAGTGATGGTGGACTGAGTGACAGACAGATGCTGCACTTGGATGTTTGAGTTCTGTGGTACAGAGGGCTTGGTCTTTCGCCACGCGGTGTATAGGAATTGTCAAGACTGTTTCACAATATATTCACAGCTTTCGGCACAGAGGTTCCTTCACAAGTGAAGCAAATATTTCCACGCCATCAACAACATTGTCTATCATATTTCCATGCGTCGTCGGAACCGTATTCTACGAAATATCAGGAGCGGAAGGATCTTGACGTCTTTCTCTGGCACTGAAGACGCAAAATAATTCCTCTTTGGGCTCTTATTCAATGCTCAATGTCTATGAACTGCTCAAGAAAGTCTACGATGGGGGTGCGTCGTATCCGAACTATATACCTGTTTTTGTTCCGATCTCGGCCATCGAGCGTATCGCCTAGGTATCCCGCCTTTCTTCAATCCCGCATCAGCATGCCGAATACACCATTCCACATGTCAGTGACGTTCAATGCAGATATTACAGCATCTGGCCTCCAATAAGGATAGAGGAATACTGTCGATCGCGAGAGACAGTCTCATGCAAGGGGACCGATTTCGAACGGAGCACGCTATCTGTGGCAGGCGGGTATCAATCATGCCTCGAGGATGCGCCCTATACCCGCCCACCAGCCCTATCTTGTGTGCACGAATGAGTAAAACTGGGTATCGTAGGGCATAAGTATAAACTCATCAATCGCTTCAATGGTGAGCGTCTTCTAAGAACCAACCTTTCTCCCTCATGTCGACTATCCGACCAGAAGATGTTTTTGCCGCTGAAGTATGGTATGAGTCAATATCAGTTTCTGGACGTGCTCGTTAGCTTAATGTATGTCATGGTGCGTTTATGAAGGTATCTGAGGAACTACATGTGGCTTGCTGCTTCCGGTAAGTATAAGTCTGGTACTTGATCTAGTGTTTATCAGCTTCTCCGCTGACCGGAGCGCTTTTCCGCGCCGTAGTTTTTTGGCTTGTCGACTACATCGCAACCCTGCCCGACGAGATCACTAACATATGGCCACGTCGGATGTCGTACACATCCATGGTCTTCCTTTTCAACCGCTACACATTTCTTTCCTTTCTCCTCCTTTCGCTCATCATGATCCTCCCTGGCTCGGCGGACGACGAGACGTACGACAATATCAGGGCCCTCACATTTATCGCACTCAGCTGAAGAGTGATCTTTGCAGTTGTTTGGTTTTGGGTTATACTATCGTCATCCTTTTGGTTGCTGCCAACACATCTACTGGTGGTAAGCGATGCTCTGAGCAACATTCTCCGAGACTGCTCGATAGCTGATAAATATGATATCAGTGTTATCGTCTATAAGGGTATATGGCTTATACAGCAAGCATAGAGCAATCATGGCAGTGTTAGGCCTGTTCATCTTATTTAGACTGATTATTGAGACATATGTTCGTCCCTTGGCTTTTAATCCCTTCTTGTTGACGCCCTGTGTATCTTTTTCTGACTTCGTCCCTATTGGTGCATTAGGGAGAGGTCTTTTTGGAAGTCGGGGTCCCAACAACCGGGACACCCTTTACATCTTCTCGGTGTCAGCCTCGGTTTGCAAATTCGAAGTCTTTCGCAGTGTCAGTATATATCAGCTAAAGCTTCTACCAACCTCGATAAGCTAACGGGGCCTCCTTTACGCTTCAAGAGGTATGTATTTCCCTTTCAACTATCATCCAATGGTTTTTGTCTAATACACGTATCTTCGTTCATTTGTGGAAACATACAGTGACACAACTCGCCGTTCCACTCCTTTCGTTTTGCTTTGATGGGTGTATCATCGCGTTAATAGTCAAAAAGGGCTATGGACACACTCTAAATATGCGTGGATTGAATCAATTTACTGTGGTAGAACTTATGGTTCGCGATGGTGAGTCGAGTCCACTTTCTTTCTCTAGATGACGGAGTTATTCATCCCTCGTGTAGGGTTGCTCTTCTTTGTGTTGAGTCCTTTCAGTCAATTTATAATTCCCACCATGGAGCTAAATACTTGCAGTATCATTGCCTTTGTCTCAGGAGCATTGGTCGTGATAAGCATTGTAAGTGTGCTTTTTAAAAAAAAAAAGAATCACCAAACTGAACAAAAATGTCCGTCTATTTAGGTATCTTTGGTCGAAGGTGGCAGAGTAAGTATATCCCGGCCGTACATCCCAATCCTAACAACTAAATATTTGCGTTAGCTGTCGCCAAAGAGTTCAGGCTTCTTCAACGTTCTACAACCCCTCTTCTTCGCGTCAGTCGCCTCCCAACGAGAGACTGCAGTATACTGACGCAAGTTTCGATAATATCAGGGTCCCAAATCTTCTCATGAATCGCATGCTACTCAGTCTCCGCAAATGGCGTCCGCGTAGTCACTGCTCAGATTCTTCTTCCAGGACGATCGAACCAATGGAGCTCAGTGAACTCCGTTTCAAACGTATGGCGCACCGCGCCAGACCTCGTGACGCTAGCATACTCGATGAGACCGATGTAGGTGTTGCGGATGAAGAACAAAATATAGACATTGCCAAATCGCTAGACGACTCAAGCCATCATCTTCCTTCTCTTGATATCCCTCGAAAAGCTTCTGTAAGTCATTGCTCTGTGCTACGCTCCGTCTGATGTGTGCCTAGTATTGATCTATATATTCCCACCACGGGGTTCACAGACTGAAGAGACATCCACTACGGATGCCGAAGAAGACGTTTAGAAAGATTCAGTTTACCCTTTTCAGTCTGGTATCCAGCTGTTATAGCATAGGAACGGTTGTCTAGTAGCGCACGACATAAGAGTATTGGAATCTTGATCTGTTGTATAAAATAACTATTCAAGTGAATGCTCTTCAAATGATGCTGCTCGATTTTCCAGACGAATGTTTTTCTGTGACGAGGCCTTATTGACTCCAAGCATACATAGCTGACCACCGCTGACCAATAATTACATCGCGTCTCGGACAAAAACAAAGCTGAGACACACTACTCAATCCAAAAACATCCAGCGATGAGTGACCAATATATAAAACCAAGAGATGGGTAAGGTGGTAACAGCGACATCGAGTCGATACATGAGAGAAGTAGAAGGGTCACGAATCATGCATGCATGACTAGAAGATGACCGGATGAGGCCAGCCCGATTCTTTGGAGGCATCGTGACCGAACAATGCTCCAAGTATTCAAAGATAAATCAACACGAGTACTGAGCGACGGTTGAAGTGGGTGCCACGGCCTCCGAAGAGGGCACATCGACAGTCGCAGACGACGTGACACTAACGGAAATCAGGGAGGAAGTCGCGGCCACTGCAGATGAGGCAGCAGTGGAAGCAGCAGACGAAGACAGCGAGGTCGACGAAGTGTCGGTGAAGGTGCTGCCGATAGGACCCCACTTGATGTTGCTGTAAGTCACAGTTGCGGTGGCGTTGTTGGCCTCAACATCAGAGGGAAGGCCACTGGAAGTCGAGCAAGTGCCGCGAGCAACACCTGGGGTGGTGACATCTGAGGTTGTGGGATAGTCAGAATCGAGCCAGAGTAGGTTAGCCGTATGATCGTCCCAGAGACTCATGGCGAGGACCTATGCAATATTTACTTAACATCAGAAACTCAGAAGAGCAGTCAGAAATAAAATTTGGACTGACCATGCCAGACTGGAAGGCCTCGCCCATGGTTGCTAAACCACCGAGAGTACCAAAGTAATCCTCATCGTCAAAAGCGGTTCTAGCGCAGCAGGAATCAGCGAGGAGCGCGAGTTATGTGATGAAAGCTAATGACCCACTTCTGAGCCGTGCAGAAATCATCAGTGATAGAAGATCCGTTGACACCGGAGATGGCTGCATCGCTATTCTGGATGATCACACCGTTCTGAATATAGATACGTTTGATCTCGGTGAGGGTTCCATTATCGGTGCCATCGTCGGTAATGAATTGAGTGACAACGGTCATTTTCTGCGTGGTGTCAACAGTTGCACCTGTGCGTTTCCTTGTCAGGGCTTGAAGCCATACAAGACAACAGAGGATGTATATACCAGGTCCGTAGAACGAAGTATCGCCCATGCGATACGAGTTGAAGTCGCAGCCATCCTTGTCACAAACGCCGGCATAGCGATCGCCCGTGCTAGAAAAGAACCTACTAAGCCCATGCGTAAGATTTATGGAGGATTGAAACGCACTCATCATCACCACAGTCGGTGCCACTACACTCAGTCTGCTCCGTTACGGTGCAGACGTGAGGAGTGAAGGCCGCACTAATGGTGTTAGCTGATAATAATGGAAAATTGTTACCACTTTTTCTCGCGGACGGAAGCGTTGAAAAAACACACCTTCCCATATGTCCATCTCCGAGCAGCAGGTACCGTACTAAATGGACGCTGTTACTGAACGAAGCAAACAATCAAAACTAGGGAAAACGGACTGTTCCAGTACCCGCGTTAGCATCGGTAGCAGAGGCTGTCCAGTTGTTCACATTAGCCTGAATCGTAGAGAGACAACGTGAGCGAGGACCAGCGAATATGAGGAAAGGCTACGTACAACGCCATCAATGAACTTGATGTCATGAGGGCATTGGCCTTGAAAAAAATGAAACATTGAGCTACTGGTGCGGTAAGACGAGAGCTAATAAGTGGACGGTATTCACTGTCGCAGTATCCGGTGCCGTAGGCTATATGAAAGACTCAGTCAGGACCCGATCTGGCGTAAAATTAAGAGGCGAAGAAATCCGGGAAACGTACCAGCGCCTGCCTTGTTGGTATCGAACTTCGACAGTCCCCCGTCAGCATCCATCTGAACAAAATAAAGAGCACCGTTGAGGCCGCAAGGCAATGCAGAGAGGTCGACGTCGAAGGTGAACCTGACAGATACATGTTAGAATGGTATAGCGGACACAGCTGTAAGTTGAAAGTACTCTTGGTTCAACAGATTGAAGGTTTGGTAGGTAGTGTCATCCGACATGAGATAAACACGAGACCCGACATTGGTCTGAGTGGTGGTGGTGACGAAGGAGAGCGTTAAAGCGTCACCATCGGTGGTGATACCGTAGGTGCCTAACGTCTGTTGCGTTAAAAAAAAATGCCACGGGCAAGAAGTTCATCTACGTACCTTCGTAGTCGGCGCCCTCGCTTTGCGAAAGAGAATATACATATATCAGCCCGTAGAAGAGGGGTATACCAGAACATAAAGGACTTACAGGGCACAGTTAGAAGCGCAGGTCTCGCCGTCAGGGCAGCTGGGTACGACCCAACATCAGAGGTATATGTTCGCAGATATAACCTGAGGCATACATGGTGGTGTCCCACTCGTTTCCAGTATAACAATTGGTGTAGCCGGACGTCTCGTGTAGCCAGCGCCTTGAAGAGCAAACAATGAGTGGAAGAAAATGACGCCTGAAGATGTACACACCAGTTCGCATCAAGAACGATGGGGGCATCGGAGGACGTGCAGGTCCCGTCTGACGAGCACTGCTGGACAGTCATTGTAGGATGAGTCTCGGCCGTGTAGGTACCTGCGCCGTGAGGGGAGAATAATGTAAGAAAAAAAGCGCGACAACGTAGAGGCAATAATTATACGGACCGACTTGCTGGCCATTGACGGCATTGAGAATGGAAAGGAAGAGGGAGAGGGTAGAGAAGGAGCGGACTGAAAATGAAGGTGTAGTGAACATCTTAGTAGCAAACCGGTGCCGTCGCTGGAAGGGGTAAGAGAATGAGGGCAAAAGAGAAGAAATGAATGAATGTCGTCCGAGAGAGAATGAGTCGGGCTTTTATACGAGAACTGCGCAGAATATGTCCGACTCGTCTCAAGCCATCGCCATACGGTGTAACAGTGCGCAGTCTGGAGAGCGACAGAGTTTAAAAAACATAACATACGACCAAGAGATTCCAGAATAGGGGCCGAGCTGAGAGGAAACGGCGGCAGAGCACGGCCAGGCGTGATCCACGCGTCTGGAGGAGTAGGATGGTCTAGCTTGAACTAAGAACATAGGGATCTTTGCAAATCCCGAGCGCGTGTCCTTCATGACTCTCTGATGGTGCCGTCGAGGCACAAGCAGCGGCCCGATGGGCAGTCGCGAAGGCGAACAAGGTCAGCAACCGGACAAGCCAACGGATCCTCGAGAGCAAAATGAAAGGGCCGCTATAGTGGAAGACTTCTGTCTCCGAGGGTTCCCTGACAGGGTCGTAAGAGTTGCGGCCACGAGCCAGCATCGGGTCCACTATGAGCAATGCAACTCTTCAGTCGGCCTGTTGCATAAGTAAAGGTTAGAAGAGGGCCACATTAGCACGTAAGTCGAGCACATAGTCAACACCGAAGAAGGTACCGGTATAGATATCGAAGATACGAGAAAGCTCTGATGCACTCGTACACGGACACGTCATTGACCGGGCGTATTCCGACCAAATCGATAGGAATGGTAGATATGTTTCGGTTGTAATTACTTACCAAGGTCGTGATAAATTCTAGAGTCAGAAAGTCCGAACTCTGTAAAGCCTCCTTCATGTTAGGTCTGCTGAGATCGACGCAGTCGCCCTCGTTGTCCTCCACGACCGTCGTTGATGTAGACATCGAGGCTTAGTCAATGATCGTTGACTCTTGTGAAAGATGGAACACAATAATGGGTGAGTTATTAGATCCTGTGAGGCAGCAGCTATTTGCCTCATTTTGGCACTCTTGTTAGATTTCGTGGATGAACATGTTTGGATCGCTAAGGCAAGAATGGGATTGGATCGCCAACGAGTATCGATGCATCGAAGTCCGTTTGATAGTCGATGTGGTAGAGTACAAGTTGTCAGATTCAACACAACTTCAAATCAAGTTGAAAGTTGGGAAATGAGGAGAACTGATTGTGCAATGTCTAGTGGTCGGTGGTGCTGTTATGGAGGTCGATAGTAAAAGCCGCGCACGGATGGTTTAAGGGATTAGGGACGGCCGGCAGTTGCCGTCACCTGAGTTTTGCCGGGACTTACTCTCGCCACCCAACACCATCTTCCCATGAACAGATCGTTCGAGCATACCGAGAGGGATATGCTGCACAAATTGCCTGGTAAATACGTCATTTAGGAGGCTACATACATAATGCATGAAGCCGTATCAAGTGTGATACATAGAGAACATCCACTGGCAACGACATTTACTTGCAAAACACACGACATGTGGCCCACAAACTTGGGCGTTTTCCTAGGCTATACTTGGTGGAAGCCTAGATCATGAAACGAATAGTGGTATATAGTTTTTTGTTGCTAAGTGGTACAAATATACAAGTAGCTCCAAATATCCCCCAAGCTTAAACGAGAAAATCTCTCTCTCAAATTAAACCAACATCATCATCCCCGCCGCGAAGAACATCACACTCGCCCCAAACAACGCCGTTGACAGAGCCAACTGGCCCCTTCTATAACCTCCCACATTACTTGTCTGCGCCCTCGTCCCCGTGGCCAGCTCGGGGCATATATTCCCGTCCTTCTCCAGCACCGAGATCGGCATGATAATCTGCGGCATACCATAGTAGGACTCGGAATAGACAGCCCCTGCACTGTCGGCGGAGATCTTGGAACAAGTGAGGACATCGACGAGGTCTTCATTCGGCTTGAAGCCTGTGTCTTCGATCTTCCAGACCGCGGTTTCGGAGGATTGGCTGCCAATGTTGGTGAAGAGGCCGAGCATAGGGGGTTTGGAGACGGCGAAGGTGTGGTCCTCGACGCCGATGAACTTCATCTATGTATAGTTGGGAAGCGTCAGGATATAATAAGGAATAAAAGAGGCAGGAAAAGCCATTCACCGCGGTGTTGGAGAAGTCACTATCAGTGGCCCCCATAGCCTGCTTACGAGCGGCGTTCAACGTCTTGAAAAGGCCGACGAGTGGTTTTTCGGTATCGTACGCAGAGAGCCAGAGCCTGAAGGTACGAAATAAGCTTACGAACGGCGACTGAAAGATGAGGGGGGGGGCTCACGCTTCACGATTGTAGGGATCCGAACCACCCTGGTAGCCTTGCTCTTGACCTATGAACGAAGTCAGAGACCATCGGCATTGTGAATAGCATGTAGGCACTCGCCATAGTACACGATCGGCATTCCGTCGTGAACGAACGGGAAGGTCATCACATTGTGGATGAGCTAGTATTGTCAACCATTAGCACGTTTGAAGACAACAAACATGTAGAGTACGCACCGCGTCATCCTTCGTAAACGACTGAAACCTAGGCTGATCGTGATTCTCGATGAATGAGCCAGTCCCGAAAAGCCCGTTCTTGTAGTTCTGCTGGGCGGCCGTCATGGTGTTAGCTAACAAAGACATTTGGCCATTCGTGGAGGCGAAAGCCTGGATCAATGGAAACCACGAGGGATAATCGAGAATGGCGTCCATGACATCTACAAGGACAGACGGGACGACATTTAACGTATCAGAATGACCAACAACTGAAAGTAGTCTTACCGGTATAAGATGTCGCATACGATGTCTCATTGGTAAGAATCTCGCCCATCATGAATACATCTACATTGTCCCTGAAATCTTTCCAGAAATCCTTGCTGATGTGCTTGACTGTATCGAGCCTCAGGCCATCCACCTCATACTCAGCCACGAGATCCGTAACCATCTTCTTCAACGTATCAGCCACGGTCGAATTATCGGTGTTAAGGTCCGGCAATGGAAGAGATTCGTCACCGAGCCAGCACTGCTCGATGGTGGTCTGGTCGGACGAGTCGTTGACCCAACATTGTTTGTGAAAATATGACTCGTCCGAGAAGGGGTGGAAGAAGTTGGAAAAGTCGAAGTCTTTCAGGGTGGGAGCGGCCATGTGGTTGAGAACGACGTCGAACATGAGATACATCCCGCGTTTGTGAAGTGCTTTGCTCAATGCGTGTAGGTCGTCGGTAGAGCCAAAGTGGGGATTGATGTTCGTCATGTCTTTCGTCCAATATCTGTGTCACACGGGGGAAATAGGGCATAAGTCGCATGCCACAACAAGAACGATTCATAACTCGGCGTAACAAGGAGGAAACTGACCCATGAAATGCTTCACCATCGGTGGTGGATCCTTCGAGATTGGCGGCGACGGGTGAGATCCAAACCGCATCGAATCCCATGTTCTGGATATAGTCCAAGTGGTTGATGATTCCCTGCCACGACCCGCCACAATACTTGCGTTGAGACGTATCACACTGAGTCCCGTTGTCGTTTGGAAGTGCGAATCGGTCCGTCATGACCTGTATACACGACATCCCAAGACCATTGTTTCAACGTCAAGAGCGGCGGGATAGCGCGGATGAATATGCGAGGAATGAAGGACGAACCTGGTATATAGACTTCGATCGCCAATCATTGGCGGATAGGGCCAGCGTAGTAGTGGGTATCAGAGAGCATATGATTAGACTGGATAGTGTAGCGGCGCGCATGACGGTCGGTAACAATGAGATCGGACCAGTAAGAGCCTGAGAGACACCCATGACGATATAGAATAGAGAAGTGTAGTATGAGAAATGAGCTCTGGTGAACTAGCACTCAGAAGACCGGCGGGATAGTCGAATAGTAGTGGGTGAGTAGAGAAGGCAGACGGGATCCAAGGGACAAGAGAGGACGACGCTGGGTTGAAGAGTGGGAGACGATCTTGGCAAAGCTCGCCCACTATTTAAGGTGGCCATTTGAGATCTGGCGTGTCGATCTCAACCACATCGTCAGTCTCCAGTCCGGTCACCCGAGCGTGAGACTAGGCAAAACCGGAACCATCTGGGACGCCACATTCACAATTTCCAGTTCGTCTATTTGGGGTGGTGGGTACAAAGATGGTCTTCGCTAGATATACTGTGGCATTCGCGACAAACAGTTTTACGTCAGTGTGCAAGACAGAAACCCCAGTAATGGCATTGCGTACCTGCGGGAACGAAGACAGGCGACGGAGATCGTCGAAACTGATTGAAGTATCACCTGTTTGGGCAATCCAGATGCCGATCACGTTCGGCGGCGTGAAAGGAGCGTGGGTTACTGTATACTGTAAGTAGGCCATGGAGTGTCGTCAACCCACTTCAAGGAAGAGGAAAAGATAGCGACTCAGGTATATCATACATAAGAAACACAATGAGACATATCAGCGACGTAGTACAGTAGATCCAGCCTTAGCGTGTTATTGGTCTTACAAGGAGTCCAGCTGCGCTCAAAAATCAACTAGGTTTAAAGGAACACATAAGATAAACTGAGGCGACACCTCCAAGCCTCCTAAATTCAATTGGCGTGTATGGAACCAAATTCTTCATGACTCCGAAGCGAGTTTCCGCACTGGAACGAGCGGAGAAGTGCTCGAAAGAACCGGCTCAGCAGCAATTCCGGTCGGAGGCCCATATCTCAGCATCAATCCCCTGTCCGTCTGGATCGTCTCCTCCGCAGGAAACCTCGTCCCTTCGTCGGAGTCTGTCCGCGACATCTTCCATGGACTCGATGAGGTCCGACTATGACTCGACGTCGGACTCGAAGGGCTGTGACCACTCATGCCGGCCGGAGGAACCAGCGGCGTCAAGCTCTCCAGCGCTGAAGCGGCCTGGATCTGGGCCGCGATGCTGTTCTCGTCCTGTGGACGTGGTGGGAGAACGTTGATGTTGGTAGCGGGAAACTCGTGAATGAATTGTTTGGTGGCGACGGTGACTGTGACAGTAGCTTGTAAGGTGTGGGTGTTGGAGAGTGAGAAACACTTGAAATCAGGGTAGATGACGCCTTCGTCTGGCCAATGCGCACGAAGCTCGAGCGGTATCTCGGGATGTATATGTATATCTTCTGAGGAGGAAGTCGTCGGCGAATGAGCCCAATAGCTCTTGAGGACGAAGGTATTGCTTGTTGCCCGAGTTTTATCAGTTTTCGCGCCGAAGACGCTCTCGTGCGTCCCTCGAACGACGGAGAGGGTATTAAGGTGGAGCGAGGTAATACGAATAGTGATATTTGGAGTCGACTCGGTTGTCGATTCGGGATCATAATAAAGGATGAGTAGAACTGGCAGGGAATCACCGAGGACAACAACTTTTGGAAGCGATATGTGGATGTGGAAGATGGCGGTAGGGATTGAAAGACCCATGGAAGAAGAGAGGCCGTCTCGCAGGAGTTCCTTGAAAGTGCGTGAGCGATCTTCGTGCGCGAGGCGTGAGGTCGCATGCTTGAGCGTGACTTCGTTTCTGGTCATACTGTCGTCCAGTGCAGATGGATCAAACGGGGGCGAAAAAGTCAAATCCTCGGTGGCCGTAAGGGGTTTGTGCTGGCGGCCAACCGAGGCTTCGAGACTGTATTGTACATATCCGTAACTGTGTTTGATGCCCATATTATAGGTTGGCGGCAGGGGGTGAGGCCCGGTAAGGAAGTCGAAGGGTGCACTCGCGCCGGTTTCGTATTCTGTGGTCCGGTCGATCATGGTCCATTCCGGAAATACGAAGGAAAACGGCCATTCGTAAACGGTGTCCCTGCGTAGTTTGTATTGATTAGGAAAGAGAACCTGAGAGATGGAGAACAAGGGGGCTCTGTCCCGAAATATTGTTGTCAACTGGCCGGAGCGTATGCTATGCTTGGTCTTGCTCCTGCCAGCTGCAAAATAAATGACGGTGAGTCAGGAAAGGATAGGCTACAATGATATTGCGGAGATCGTACAGAATGTGATATTGACATTGACAACTTCTTCATCTTCAGGGCTATGGAGTACAACTTTGCCAGTAACAGAGTCTCCCGGATGATATATCTGCCCTGTTCGGTCTAGATAAATCCTGAACTTTTGAGACGCTTGAGCATACGACGTTTCGGGCATGGAGTTATAATGAGGCAAGTTTGGGGAGCAACCGCTGTGCAGCTTGTGTAGAATCCTCAAAACCAGGTAGAGTAGTTGTGGTCACTATGCAAAAGACGACGCGCGAATTCATCAAACGCCGAGAGACTCGGATTATTTGAATTGATGTCAAATACTGTGACCTGTTGTGACGTCACATAAACCAGGATTTGTCCAAAGTAATCCATCAGCACCATCATGCACCGCCTCTGAGACTACCTACTGGAGCAAAGCCTTAGGCCGATGCACAAGAGGAAAGACGACGGGTCGTAGGCATGCCAACATCGAGCGAGATGGGAAGCAAGTACCCAAATGCGGTATTGTTTGGTGTTGTTATGATCGGAGGTTACTGGGAACTGACGTGTTTTGGATTTGAATATACCTCCGTCAAAACGCTTGCCTCTGTACGTTCTACAAGACACACTTGGCGTAAGTGGTAAAATTCGATTTTTGCCCAAATGGTACAGTTGAGCTATTCTGATGCAGCCAATACACCCATCCCGGCATTCAGGTTGCCTTTGTAACATCCAGTGTCGACTCACTCGGACGGGATCATTCAAGGATCATTCAGCGATTATCCCGATCGCGCACTTGGATAACACTCGGGTCTTACGGGCAAGGTATCATTTCTACGTGGTACGCATTCTCGGAGCTACATCACCTTTCCTTCTGGGAATTGTTGGTTACCTGCGACGCATTTATTTGTAGACGCCGAGGGACCAGTATCATGGTTCAAGCATGCAACCGCTGTGGCAAGGAGATGGAAACTCTCAGACGTTGCAAGGCATGCGCCAGGGCATGGTACTGCAGCGAACGATGTCAGAAAGCTGACTGGGTGTGTCACATTGTTGACTGCAAGCCGCAGCGCCCAATCACCACCGCCGACTACCTCATGCGCGCCGTCGATTCCGAAATTCCTCCCGATGACGATGAAACTTGCAGGGATTATGGATTCGATAGGGTTGATACCCCGCAGGACATGACCAGCCTGTTTGAGCTGTACAGGGAATTCACAGGTGGTCTTGGGGTTAAGGCCGCGAAGAAGATGAACACCTGGAGGGTGAATGGAACCCTCATCGAGGAGATTCATAAAGCATATGGGCGATTTTCCGAGGACAATCGAGGTCCTTACTATGCTTGGTTCCTCAAAAGCCAGCACGTACTGTCTATCAACCCCCTGAACGAATCAACAATCACACAAAACATGGCCGACTGGTTGCCGAACACGTGGAGATTCATCGGGGGGTCACCAACGGCTTCGTACCAAACTATAACCGATGCTCGTTCCAATATGTCTCACGACAGACAACTTTGTTTTGGGTTCTATCTTATGACCCTTCATGGTTGGCGTCCCCCGCTGGCGAACTCCCTTCATCTTCGTATGGGCTTCCTTGCTGTCCACCATGAGGATGACGGGAGTCATCTCAGTGCACTATACCGGCAGCTGATCAACCATTGCTCCTTCGACGAGTTCTGCGCTGCCTACATATCAGGTGCACTTCCGTCCCTCTTCGCTGAACACGGCATCGTCCTCGACGACCCATTCGTCCTAGACCTACTGGCCAGTAGTGTCTCCAACAAGTCGGTATGGAGCCTGAAACTATATGTCATCCAACCCAAATCCGCCAATGCTCGACTGATACCCTCCGTCGCGGCGGACTACGGTTTCATGTACTGCCAGAATGAAAAAGACATGGAGGACCTCAAGCAGGTGTACAAACAGGTCCTCCTGCGCCCCGGAGCGGACCCGCTCGCGCTGCATCAGGCCGCGATACAGGGCAAGATATTCGAGCACGTACGGCGGTTGGTGACGCTGAAACCGAAGGAACGATTCGCCCGTCTTATGTGGAACATCTACTCTTCGAAGTGAACGTCTTCGCCTGCGTCTGCATGTATGAACGCTCTGCTGTACGTATGAACGGTCTGTCAGATTTTCGCTGTTCGCCACTCATGTACTGTATATGCTGCCGATACGTGGAACCAGTAGCTCTATCAGATGTGATGACGGCTGCGAACCGTGCTCACCTTGCCTGTACTTACTCGAGTCGTCTCAAACTGTTCCAGTCTTTGTCTCTCGTCACCCCCGTACTACTTACGTACGTCTGACCAGTCTTTAGCTTGCGTGATCGCGGCCATTCGCACTGTATGACACATATCGTCCCAAACCGTCGCAGTCTTTGTCTTTCGTCACCCCTGTAGTACTACTTACATCACCATAGCGAGCGTAACTGCATCCCAATAGTCGCCGCACTCTTACCTTCCCAAAACGTCCCACTCCTTATCTTCTCATAAGCAATTACATGAAGCATCGTGATCGACAAGTTCAAAATAACAAAGACACACCGTTCCCGGACCACGATATTTCACCTCGAACGAAACGGAAAGAGGAGACGACGGAAACAATTTAAAGATTACATTGGACTGTCAAAAAGTAGTGGGAAGCAAAATGTGACTACTACGTAACTATGAAACCAGCGAGATCGAGTTTGGAGTGGTAAGTAGATGAGATAGATAAGTACTAACATCAAATGAACAAACAGAAGTTTTGTGAATGAATCGAGTCAGTAGAAAGTGGAAAATGGACAGTGAAAACCCGCATGTACGAACGACATTGACATTGACATGAAAAATCGTGAGTGAGATCGAGACCGATTCGGAGGCAGATGAAAGCACAGAAGGACAGCAAGGAAAGAAACGCAACAGACACCGACAGTTGTTTGTACACCTCCAAAGCAGAAAGGAAAAGGAAAAGGGGAAAAAAGCTCGCCCATCACCACCGCTCATTTCACACCGCCTATGGATATGGACTGACGAACCGAGAATACCGATTCATGATCAATTCTGACGAACAAATACAAGTTCACCACAGACAGACGACAGAACACTGAAAGAAAAGAGCAAAATCTCGAGAAAAGAGAGCAAAAAAAAGAACATCCAAGAAAATCCGCAACACTTCCTCACTTCCTCACTTCCCCATTTCGCAGTCCCTCACTTCTCATCAACAGCCATAGGCGACTGTGGCCTCGAGTCCTTCTCTTTACCCCCACCCCCACCCCCACCACTCGCCACACTCGAACTCCCCCCCGAATCCTTCCTATCTCTCTGTCTCTCCCTTCCACCCACACTGCTAACACTAACACTCGACCCCGAATGTCCCCTCACCAACGGCGGCCTCTCGCCTCTTTCCCTCTCCCTCTCCCTGAGCTCCCTCTCACTTCTCTCTCTCTCCCTCTCACTCCCCGCACCTCCCCCTCCCCCTCCTGCCCTACTCGCCTTCGACCCCTTCCCCGAACCCCCCGTCGCCGTCGCCGTCGTCGGTGTCCTAGGCGGAGGCGGATCCATCCTAATCGCAGAAACCGAAAGTCTCCTTCCCGCCTCATAGCCTTGTCCTTGTCCTACTCCAGGTGCAGGTCCAGGCGACCCGTCATCCCGTTCGCGTTCGCGTTCATGCGACGGAGGCCGACGCTGGGATAGTGAAGGCGACCGATGGTGTGAATGGGGATTCGTAGGATGCGCGTACGGATGTCCCTGGTGCTGGTGCTGGTGCTGATGTTGCTGCTGGAGCGATGAAAGCTGATGTTGGTGCGACGAATGCGAATGCGAATGCGAATGCGAATGTCCCATCGTCCTCGGTGATCCCGGCGCACCCGCCCCAGTCCTCGACGCCGAAATCGGTATACTCGGATGTGCATGACTGAACGAAAGCGTCCTCGGACTCGGGATCGCACCCACACCTACAGACGACGACGACGAAGGAGGGGCCCCTGCGTGCGGGACAGGCGGGAATGTGTATGATTCTGACGGTCCTGAGGATGCTGCTGCTGCTGGTGGAGGGGGATGCGGCATAGGCGGGGTCAACGTCAACGCCCCGCCACTGCTGTTGGCGTTATTGTTGTTAGTAGTAGAGGCGTTGGAATTAGCGTTATTCCTCCTCGAGCTCGAAGCGATCGTCACCGCGCCCGCATTATTCCCCCCAGACCCAGAAGGCAACGGGATCTCGCCCGCGAGGCTGCTTCTTCTCCTCGCTGAAGCTGCTGCCGACGACGACGAAGGGACGTACGCGGGAGGATAAGGATACGAATTTGTCGGTGCTGAAGGGATAGGGATGATATGCGATTGATGTCCTCGAGGAACGTGTCCCTGTGTAGCCTCCAACTCCTCAATCCGTCTTCTCATCCCAGACACCTCACCCATCAGACCCTCCAATCTCCTCTCCACCTCCCTCTGCACTCTCTCCTCCATCTCGTCCCCCCCTCCCCCTCCTCCCGCCGGCCCACTACTCGCACCAGCACCCGAACTTGAATTCAAACCTACACTCCTCTCCAACCTCCCCAACCTCTCCTCCCACCTCTCCCTCTCCCCCCTCCCCTCCTCCCTCTCCCTCTCCAAAACCCTAATCAACCCCGTCGCCCTCCCCACCTGTCCCTCCAACCATCCCTTCAACTCCCTCGAATCCCTCAACGCATCATAAAACACCTCAAACGGCGCCAAAAACGCAGCCTTCTGGCCCTCCCTGCTGTCCCTCTCCCCCACTCTATCTCTGCTCTCTCTATCTCTGTGCGTGTCGAGCAAACCGTGCCCCTGCCCACGAAGCGACGACTGCGAAGCCGCCATAGACGACGAAGAAGCGACAGGGTTCGCCGTATGCGGCGGCGCACGCAGATTACTATGTCCATGCAACCCTCCCGACATTCCCCCCGCCGACGATCCGCTCAACGAAGAAATACCCACGCCCACGCCCACGCCCGAACCCGAATGCGCGATATGCGGATGATGCATAAACGCAGGCGTCGGCGGTCCCTTCGCCAACACGCTCGAAATCGGCACGCTCGCCGTTCCCCTCTCCCTCTCCCTCTCCCTCTCTCTTTCCCTCTCCCTATCACTAGAGCCAGCTTGCCCCGGCACGGTCAGATGCGTCTCCTGTCCAGAAACCATCGCCCCCCGCATCGAAAGACGCGTCGGAGTCGGCGGCACGATCCCCCTCCGTACCGGCGTCTGCACCTGCTCCCGCTCCCGATTTTGGTTTTGTCCCGAGCCCGACGTCGAGCCCTGTGAAGTCGAAGCCCCAATAACGGGCACAGTCGGGATCGCCATCAGACCCTCCCTCACATCCCTCGTACCCTCCCTCCCACTGTCTCTTCCACTCACGCCCTCCCTACCATACCGCCCCCCATACCCACCCCCAGCCCCAGCCGTAAACGTAAACTGCCCCTGTATCGGCGGCGCACTCTGTACCACCGGCTGCATCCTATCCCTCCCTCCATCTCTCCCCCCTCCGCTCCTCCCACCCGAGTTCGGATTGGTAGAGGTGGTGGTGGAAGCGTTCGCGGTCTCACGGGGCGATATAACGATATCCGCTGGTTTCTTTTTCGTGTGGGAGCCGGAGCCGGTGCTCGCGAGGGCTGCACGACGACGGGCGAAGGAGATGGGTGGTGTGGGGAGCGTGGTTGGGCCTACTCCTGCACCTCCCGCACCTGCTCCTGGTGCCGTTGCCGTAGCGGCCGCAGTGCTGGCGGTGTTGTTGTTCGGAGTGGAGCGGGGAGAGGAATTTGATGGTGGTGGTTGAGGGTGAGGTTGCGAGGCAGCTTGTGAAGAGGAAGGTTGGGATTGGGGCGGTGGCGGTGGCGGGTGCGATTGACCTTGACCTTGAGATTGGGCAGGCGGTTGGGACGAAGGACGATGTGAGAGGGATGGCGAAGAAGGATATTGATGAGGATGAGGATGAGGATTCGGCGGGGGCGGTAACTGTGCCGGAAGTGGATTCAGACCTCCATGATGATTGGTACGGCCATGTGTACCAGTACTAGTATGTGGCCCAGGAGAGGGTTGTCTAGGCGCGATCTTGATATGTTGTTGTTGTTGCTGTTGCTGCTGCGACGGAACCTGTATATGTGCCTGTTGACTCGGTACGATCATGGGACTCGGGCTGGGTGGTCTGCTCCTGTTCGAGGTCATGTTCGTGGAAGTGGTGTTGGTGGTGGTGTTGTTGTTGGTGGAGGTGGTGACAGCAGCTGTGGTCGTGAGGTTGGTATTTGACGGAGGCCGGTGCAAGTGAATTTCCGATGCGACGATAGAAGACGTCCTTGCTCTCGTGGCAGGACTCGCCCTGTTCGCAACCGTCGTAATCGCGCTCTGTTGTCCCTGTCCCGCAGTCACCGAAGCCCTATCCTTCTCCTTCGGGGTCGGGGGCTGAGGCTGCGACAATTTAGGCACCGACGAATTCGGAGTATTGTTAGCAGTTTTCTGATTGACGACATTGACGGCGACGAGGGGCGCCGATGGGGGTGGGGGTGGGGCAATGGCAAGTGGAGGAGGAGGGGGGGAAGAGGCGGAAGAAGAAAGGGCGGAGAGCGAGCCACGGCGCTGTTCGATGAGGGCTTTCTGGCTTTGTTTGATGGAGAGCATGGAACGTACTTGTTCGAGTGCATTCGGGTCGTCCCTCGCGAGGGTGAAGCCCATGACGACGGGTGAGATCGGAGTCGAAGCGTTCCCGTTCCCGTTTCCGTGGCCGTTGCCATTGGGGATGGAGGGCGAGACGACGCGGGAGGTGGCGAGCGGGTGGGAGCTGATGGTTACGCGGCGCTTCTTCGCGGGAGGTGCGGCGGCGTTGCTGTTCGGTGTGGCACCACCGGGCGTCGGAGTCGGAGTCGTCGCGATGGATATTGTGGGCGGATGAGCGGGAGCTGGGAGGGTGCTCGCTGGCTGGGAGTGGGACGTGTGTTGTGGCGGCGGCGGCGGCGGCGGCGGCGGCGGGTACGGCTCGCGGTCGTCCATCAATTCGTCCTCCTCTTCCTTAACACGCACTAGCCGCGGCGATCTGCTGCAAACGCACGAATGAGGACCCGAAACAGGGAAACAAAGGACGAGTAAGAGTAAGAGTAAGCGCCAGGAGACTCACCTCGAACGATCCTCGCCGCGCGGGGTGCTCGACGCAGACTGCGCCTCGGTGTACGACCGTTTCCTGCTCAGCGTGCGCGCGGTCGGGGCGTGTTGTTCGTTTGGCGAGCGAGAGCGAGAGGAGCGTCGGGTGTCGTGCTGTTGCTGCTGCTGCTCTGGCGCTGCCGTGGACGATTGCGAGGACTCGTGTGAGCCCTGGGTGTTTGTGCTTCGCTCGAAGGACGGGCGGTGGATCGGGGGTAGCGCGTTGTGGCCTGGGAGGCGGTCGAGGGAGGTGTTGCTGAAGGCCTGTGCGAACGACGGCAGGGACTGGGACGCGGCAGCGGCCGTGTTGGAGTGCCGGACGGACATGGCGCTCGTCGTCGTCGTTGGGGGCGACGGGGACGTCGAGGGGGATGGGAAGGTCGTTGGGGGCGGTCGACGTCGCGGACGGGAAGGGAAAGGGAAGGGCGGGGACCGGGGACGAGGACTTGGATGTATAAAGGCCGGATTGGGGACGTTACCGAGTGGAATCGTCGGTGGAAGGTTACCACATTTCATTTAGTTATATCTCGTCAAACGCCGTCGCTCTGCTAACTTACCCATGCACCGCCATCCCTCCTCGAAATCCATCCTCGCCGTGACACCCTACCTGAGCCTCAGCCTCGACTTCTTCTCTTCCGCCACTCCTTCCCTCTCGGCTTTCCCCCGCTTCTTTCTCACTAATCCCTCTCCTTTCTCCGTCACACTCCATCTGGCACTCGGCCTTCATTTAGGATGCCCTCTCTCATCTACCTATACTCGTCCGAGGTTTGCATCCACAACCCAATCCTCGCCGTGAATAACTCTCGTTCTATCTCGGTCCCGCGGGATCCATCATAGATCTATCCATCAGCGACGCTCGTCCTCTCCTACATAGCTCCTCCAGGCTGAGCGATCACAATTGACCGCCACAACAACGAAAGGACGAGTATAAAGCAAACACCCGTCATCAACAACAAATCAAACGATGAAAAATCCTGTCATCCCCAGATCATCTCATCCGCCATCATCATCCGCGTACACATCCTGTACAACGTCCCACATGCCTCGCACGACACACGGTCAGTTTGTTTGTTCGTTCGAAACACATTCGGCCGCGGCTCTTTCCGTCTATCTATCTTACGTTCTTGGCTATGTCTGTTTTGATCTATCTATTTTACTCCTAATAGAGGCTATAGAGATACACGACATAGCTTGCAACGTATGAACCCCTGCTCCACATCATCATCATCAACATGCACAGCCGTACCGACTTTTGCACAAGCGGACGAAACGAAACCCACACCAACAAAAAACATACGGCCTCGGACGTCCTTTACTTTTAGCTGCATAGGTCGGACAGTATCGTCGGCGCTAGGCTTCTTAAACTCCGGAGCACAGCACCGATACGTCTCTAGCCTGACAATAAAATCTGCACCAACGTCAACCACAGCTTGGGGCTGCCTGCTCACTGCCCTTACAGCAGTGAATTTTTGTTCAGCTCACTGGTCCTCTCGTCTATGCACGCGCATGCTCCTTCCGTTCCGTCTTTCCATCACAGCTGCACCTTCCATCCGAACTTGAAGCAGTCGCAACCATCGACCATCTGAATCCTTTTTCTCGCCTATGGTTCGTGGTACTCCTTGGCGACTATGGAGTACTCCTATTTACACCGCTCGTTGTTCTGAAAGCCGACCTCACGCGAACGAGCCAGACAAGCTCCACACTTCTTAAGTTAACTATAGTCTATGTCCTGCCGAGCGGCCTGACACGAAATCACCGAACCCGAACCCCTCTTCGGCTTTTCTCGTCTTGACCGTTGAGTTCTATACGACTGCGAACAGCCTGGCATATGTATGGAATTCGAAGCTGTTTCAGCTTGCACCTCTCAGATCTCAACTACACGTATTAGGGCTTATATGTTAGTAAAAACTTAGAGCTTTTTGCGATAGCTCATTGGCGGATCGGACAGATCTTCCGCCAACGAGTTCCAAGTAAACTTGAAACATATAAGGTCTATTGTATGTACAAGCCTCGCAACTTCGCACTCGCTATAGTCATGTCCACCCTCAGCTCCAACCTAATCAACTCGCCGGGCTTGCTACTTATATCCATACTCACAGCTCCCGCTCAGGCTAAATACAAGCTTATTTTCGGTACATGCACGACGGAAGACGTCTCATAACAATCTGTGAACGGACTCGGTCAATTTGACCCCATCCAATCCCTTCGCTCTCTAAAGTGTACCGCACCCATTCCATTCCACTCCTTCCTATGCATGCGCTTGAAATATTGATCCGATGCCATTCCTAGTTCTTCTTCGACTGTATGCCTCGTTTGAACTTGAACTTGAATGGAAGGCTCGCAATCTCTTGCATTGAGAAGACGGTACGCACGGATAAGTAGCAAGTAAGTACAAGTCTGGACGTTTCGAAATCCTGGTTCAGGGAAGTTCTCTCAAACCTCGATCTGATGCGAGTCTTGTACATATCTGAATCCTTGAACGTGGAACGTGGAAGGCTGTCATTCAAATTTGAGGCCGCTTGAATCGAATCAATTAGGCTGTTTCGTGTATGTATTTGTCGCCGGATAAGTCAGCTTAGCTTGGCGAGGTGATACTATCCTCGAGCTCGTTCCGGTTAAAAAGATGCTCGATGACCATCATTCAACATCCATTACAGCACTTTCTTTCTCGTTCTCTGATTCGCGTTACTGTATCCTGCAGACAGTTCGTCTTCCTCTGCATCGTCCTTCAAGTTAGCTTCTCATTCTTGACCGTGATAGTGATGACTGATCATGACAGGGAAGAGTGTCAATGCTTCCTGCCTAATTATTATTTCATCCGTACTTATTCCCTTCTCCTTCTTCTTCTCCTCTCATCACGACATCTGAACCCACTAGCCTCGAATCCTGTCACTGGCATTGATGGCCTCCTTTCCTTCCTTCTCATCCCTTCCTTCCGATTCCTCTTCTCCTTCCCTCCTCCATGTACATAGCACCACTAGCTCGTTTCATCCTCCAACTCAAAACCTCGTGATCGTACCCGTCCAACACGGATCGAGCATCCTAAACGTTGAGTGTCTAACGCCGCGAACTTTGTTCTATCCTCTTAGACTATCCTCTATCGACGTCGTATCACCAGTCACCTCTCTCCTCGTAAGGGTAGGAAGGAAGGAGAGTATCCCCATCGGATTCACCATCCCATCCGCACTCTTCCTTAGGCCTCATTCATGGTCCAGGCATACATGTACAATGATGCATGCAACGACTCGGAGGTCTCGTCTCGTACACCCGCACCGGTCCTTTCAACCCTGTGTCTCCACGGGTTCTTATACCGGCGCGATTTCAAAGACAGGTGCATACTTATACTGCAGTACGGTACAAATACATCACGACACCCATCGCTTCGACCGGCCTGTGGTTCTTCGTTCTTCTTCTCCTGGCGCCGGCATAGAGAACAGAAGAGAAAGAAGCTAACTTATAACTTGAAGTTCTCGCGTCTCCGAGTCTATCTCACTTCGGTCAGGTTCTTTCAAGTTCTGCTACCTCCTTTCGCTTTTGTTTAAATAAACATGGACTCACATACAGAAGTGCAAAGAGATACGCATGCAAGCTAGATGGTCAGCAATTTATACAGCCTAAGATAGCCTCAGTAGATAGCTTTCAGTTAACTTGAAGAGCGGGTTCGTTTGCGTCGAAGACGGTCGGGTCGGGCAGTTCGGGAAGGCTGAGCTTGGTCTGGGAGGGTTCAGGAAGGGGAGGACATTGTTCGTTTGTTCGTTTCTTTGTTCGTTCGTTCGCTCGTTCGTTCGTCCTTTTCATCGATTGTGTCAGTGCTTTGAATCACTTATCACTTATCACTGTACATAGAATAAACACAATACTCAGACCGAATTCCGCTATCGCAATCGCACTATTGCAGACTTCAATACAGTCCTTCAGCCCTCAAGCATCCTGCTTCGAATTCTAAGTCCGCGCTACCCCATCCGACTCCGAGTCCATGATCTAACTTGAAGCCGTTTCAGTATCTCATGACATCCCGCCCCGTCTCGTGTCCCATGGTCGTGCTTTTCATTATGCACATGCCGTAACACACCAAACCTTCCGACACGATCACACAAAAAAACACAAGGCAACGCACCGGGTCAAAGCTTCTAAGTTCTAATTCCTGAAAAGCTGAAACCAGCGGCCTCGTGCCCCCTTGCCTCCTGCCTCCGCGTGCCTCCCTGTGCATCCTCGTGTCATTGTTGTTAAAATTGGAATTGGAATTGGAATCGGAATTGGAATTGGACGTCGCGCTTCGGAACGGAGGTCGGAGTGACGAATGGGGAGAGAGCTCAATTGTGATTCAATTATGTGCTTAATTGAATTCGGGGACACATGACGAGAGTCGGCTCGGAGCTTTGTTCCTTGTGGGTTGTGTGTGTGGGCGTGGGCGTGTGTTACTATCTGTGTGAGAGAAAGATAAGGAAGAGAGGAAGAGAGGAGAAGGGAGAGGAAAGAGGAGAGAATCGGGTATAGCGTCGACGTCGCGGTATGTATGTAACTTTGGGTTGTCGTGGGCTCTGAGGACTGATTCTGAAACTTGTGAAACTCTAAACTGGACTGGATAATGGCACGAGGAGGCCTCGAGGATCGTCAGAGAAGAAGGCCAAGAGTCGAGAGCCGAGACTGAGGATTGTCGATAGGAAGGATTCGTGAGCAAAGATAAAATCGATAACAGGGGGCGGGGATCTAGATTTCTAGTGAGAATGAGAACAAAGTCGAGGATTTGTACCGATAGCATCAGTAGACGTCGACCTCTCGAACGGTCGAGTTGCGTGACGATGAGCGCGAAAATCACGAGAGAAATAAAACGACGCCACAGGGGCTTTGGCTCGTGTGGCACCTGGATCATCGCAGGTGGCGCACCATAATATAATTCTGGCTGAGCCTAGCGCTGACAACACAGTTCGTGCTCACAGTGGTCGATGATCAAGAAAATCAAAGGTACATAGAGGGAAATACCATACAGAACGTTATGTGTGGACATCTTGTCGCAACTGACGCCTATGCCAAGAAAGAATGTGAGCGGAATGTGTCAAATCGAAGAAAGGCAATCGCAAGACGCACCGAAGAACCGAAACACGCTCATTACAACCCGAAGAACGACCAAAAAGACAACAGAACAATTCACAACCAAGAAATGACGATCCTATTCCGAAGCCCAAGCCCCAGGCCAACCTAGCCTTCGTACACCTTTCAACACTACCCACACTTCCCTGCTCACGCCGCCTCCACCTTCTTCTTCTTCTTCCTCACCGCAAGCACGTTCACCTTCGGCTTCTCTTCTCCTGTCTCTCCACCAACACTCCCCGACTCTTGCCCACTACGCGCCGTCTTTTTGACCAGCGGCGGATTATCGACGTAGACAGTCCCATAGATATGCGCGTGATAAGTCTCGAGCGTGGTCTCTGGCTCATCGAACGGGTTGGGAGAGATATCGTCCACGGAGGGTAGGCTGGAGTTCTTGCGCGGTGGTGTACGCGGGACTTCGAGCAACGTCGGCTTCTCCTTCTCCTTCTCCTTCTCTTTCACCTCCGCGTTAGCCTCAGATGTCAAAGATCGAGTTTCCTTGGACGAAGTAGATGGAGGAGCCTGAGTCCGCGCGGACGATGGTGGTTTTCCGGATCGAGATGAAGGCGGACGGCCAGAGGATGAGGAAGGAGGTGGTAGGAGTGAGGATAGGTTCTCGCAGAGACCACGGATGGCGCCTTCGATTACTTCTGTCGCTTTCCTGGCTGCCTCGACTGTAGAGAATTCGTTCCCTGTCATGAGGCTCGTGAGGATGCGTTTGTTCATTGCGACGGGGACTTGACCAGGTTGTGGCGCGAGTGGCGAGGGTTTCGAAACCGAAGATACAGGCTTGGAGGAAGACGAATGAGAGGTGGTAGAAGGTGGTGGATGAGGCGATGGAGCAGAAAAGCCAGCGACGAAGAAACCAGTAACGGCTCCAGCAATACATTCCTGTCTGAAAGACATACGTTCCCAGAACTCTGCGGGTGTAACGGTTTTGAGCTCCCCTGGCGGGCTCTTGTCTTTCTCTTTCTCCTTCTCCTTCTCGAGGTCCTTCTCATGCTGCTTTTCCTTCTCCCTCTCCTCACTCACGGATAGAAGGCGTGGTCGCTTGCGAACCGGAGACTTGACAGTGTCTGCGTCCCCGATGACTGATATTTCGTCCATGAATCTGTTCTTTGGGTCGTCTTCGAAGGAGGGGATGTAATGTCCGAGGTTGTGAAGGCCTTCGGGGGGTGGAGGACATGGTAGTGGGATTTCGTGCTGGTCGTAGTGATGTCCGTATGTCCAGGGAACAGATGTCGAAGCAGACGAAGACTTGCCAGATGAAGAAGTAGGGAAGGAAGAAGAAACCGCACCGAGCGATTGATATGCTTCGAGCTCGTTATATCCGGACAGGACGTAGTACAACCGCACAATCCCTTTTCCTTCCTCCGCACTCGCGCCCTCTTCCTCCTTCTCCCTCTCATGCATCTTCTCCTGCACCTCACTCGCCACCTTCCCAAGAACGCGTCTCCACCACGCGCACAGTCTCACATCATTCAAAGGTTTCTTCCCCTCATAATCCGCCGAGTTTGGGAACAAATACTGTCCCTGCGCACGCGCAAAAAGGTGGACCCACAGATGTTTCGCGGTTATAGGTCTTGTCTCTGGATCCGCATACCACCTTACGAACGCGTTCACGAGCGTCGCAGTCGGCGACGGCGCTAATCCTTGGCCCGTCCCGTCCACCTTCGAGATATACAATATCGCAGCATTAGTGTTTGGTACGTGATATAAAGCAGCTTCGATTGCAGAAACAAGGATGCGAGGCGAGTCGAGCGTTGGGGATTGTTCAGAGAGCAGAACAAGGATATCTTGTGCGTAAATTCGTGGACGTGGGTGCGCGAACGGGTATAAACTCGAGTTCTTTTTGGGAGCGGTAACGAGGACGTGAAGGTGGAAGTGACGCGTCCCGGGGAGCGTGCGGAGGGCGTCGAGGAGGCTGTCTCTGAGGTTCATTGCAAACCTTTGTGTGGGGGCGCGAACGCGAGCAGGCGTGGGAAGACTGAGTTGGTCGCGTTTTGAAGTCGACCATCATCACGACTCCGACAGGCGCCTTGGGTGCGGACGTTGTGGTGTAGGTTTCAAAGGCATCGATTGTTCTCACAGAAAGCAACACGCTACAAGTACAAACATCGGACACCTAGGCAGGGCTTGCTTTGTGCTAACGCTGACGAGTACTTGCGGCCCTCTTCAGGGAAACAGCTGGTGTGGCGTTCGCCACAGCACTCTATGCCTTCTTCAAGTACTGACTGTATAGCTGTTCATACTTGTCCTTGTCCTACGAAGGGAAACATTGTTCAGAGTTTTTCCCAACAAAGAAACAATAGTAAGATGCGACACTTACACTGCAAGTCTTCACCACACTCTCCCTACTCGTCAACTTCTCCACATACTCCTTCCACCTTTGGCCCTCCCCAACATCCTCCCTCCTGTACCTCCTGTGCTCAGTCAAAATATAGTCCCCCACCACAAACGGTGCGATCGCCGTGTCGACCAAGCTCCACTCCTCACCAAGGAAATACGGTCCTTTCACCTGTTCCACTAACGGCCCCAACGCGCCGTTGACCCCCTTCAGCGCCTCTTCCTGGCCATCTTTTTCCTGTGCTTGAAGGAGGCGTAATAATGCTGGCACGACGGATTTGGTGAAGTGGTCTATCCAGAGACGTGCGTGTGCGCGGTTGAACGCGTCGGAGGGGAGGAGATTGGGCTTGTATTCTGGGAAGGCGTCTTCGAGGAATTCGCAGATGATCAGGGACTCATAGATTGGTCTGTTCTTATATTCCAATGCTGGAACTTGCCCTCGAGGGTTGATCTCTGTGACACAGATATTGACGGCTATTCTCTCAGAGGGCATATAAACAAGACGAACTAAGGAAATCTTCCTCTTTATGATAGGGGTTAACCTCCTTGTACTGGTAGGGAATACCTTTCTCCTCGAGGGCGATCCATACTCGTTGATTGTACGGACAGAACTATTGGCCATTATATCGTATCAGCAGAACTGAAATGGGGAGGACAGTGCGCACACTTTACCCATCCTGACCAGAACACAAGATCTTGCGGTTCCTGGTGTTTCTCTGCCGTCTTTGCTGCTTCGCTGGTTGCGTAAGGGAAGATATTAGCGTCCGGCATCGGTATATTGCGCAAAGAGAGGTGGTCTATGTGGGTCAAAGGAGACTCGCTCACGCTGAGCTATTTCTGCAGGTTCTTATACGCTATAGGGCGCCCGAGTCGTCATATTCCCAGCCTGTGGTGTCACACAGTTATAAATGCACCATATTACTTCATGTAAGACTTAAACAGGTAAAGGAGTTACTGCACGGATTGTCCTCCATGCAGAACGAGGTGTCGCACCGTCAGGGAAAGTACGGCCTTTTACAGCTGTGGCACCGGTAGAGTTCAGTCAGTCATACAGAGTCGGTGAAACCTGGTCCTGAATATAATTCCTTCCTTCCTTCCTTCCGACGGAAGGCAATGGCCTCCGATCCTAACACGACCAAACAATGTACAGATCAACAGCGCCACACTGCGAAGCACCTCCGAGTCAATGTTTTCGTCGTTAGTTAACGTTGCCCGTACTCTTAGCCAGACGGCGAGCCTGAAGTCCAACGGTGAGCTGTAGATCTACAGTTATAAGTGTATATGCAGGTTCAATGTTGTTCCATATCAAGTATGTCCGAGTCGCTCTTACCTTGACGTCACTTTGCCGACGACCTCCATCAATCATTCTTGTTGATACTAATATTTGATCAAACACCCCAAGCGCTAGTGTGCACCGCCTTCCGAGAGTATAAGTACCACAACCATTCTAGCGAGCGACCCGACCTCGACGACCTCGACGGACGACCTCGACGACCCCTTCCCTCACTGAGTCGTCGCATCAACTTCTCCCTAGTCTGTGCCGTTCACTATGTCTCAGAAGTTCAGAATCGTCATGGATAGACCTCCGGGGGTGTTCTATCCTGGGGATATCGTATCTGGTAAAGTTGTGCTGCATAGTCCGGAAGATGAGGAAGTCTTCAATGTAGCTATCACGTTCTGTGCGTCGGCATCCCAATTTGTGTCCATAGCAATGTTGCTGATCTTTCTCGTTCCTTTCCCCTGTTCAGGGGGCAGGAGCAAGAGCAAGATCTCTATTCGGTCTAATAATTCCACCCATTACTACCGTAATAGGTTCGACCTCTTCAGAATCACCCAACCTGTCTTCCCCAACCATTACACCCTAAAACGAAACACGGTCTACGAATGGCCCTTCTCCTTCATCTTCCCCGAATGGACAATGTTCGATCGTACTCAGGAATGCGAAAACCCTCGACATCTTCCTTACGACTTCGTCCCCGGTCCACATCCCCTTCCACCCTCGTTTCATATCGAAGTCCGAAACGGGTACGGTTACATTCAATACGGACTGGAAGCCACGACCAACCGTCCATCGTACCGACCACTCGCAGACGAGTTGTACCTTACCTTTTCTCCCCTCCGCGAAGAAGCCATCCCGGACGAATCCCTCGTCACAACCAAGATGCCCTTTCAGTATGCGTCGTCACGCTTACAACCAGGCCATGAAGATATTTCGCGCTCGTTCAAAGAATTAATGCGTGATACATTTTCTTCATCTACACCCGCTATCATATTCTACGTGCACGTCTCGCTCCCTAAAGTCATCGTCATCGGCCAACCCTTCCAACTCATCATCGTCCTGACATACGACTCTGCATCCACGGCCGTCGCACCACCACGGTTCACCGTCAAAGTCGAATCCGTGCGTCTGAAAGCTGACGTTGCGGTGCGCGCCACAAAGTCAGGTCTCCTTGGCCTCTCTGACAAAGTCCGAGACACTACCGTCCCCTTCACGCTCCAATCGAACTGGACCCACAAGAATCCAGATCCTGCACCGACGCCATATACATCCGCGCTGGGCTCGAACTCGACATTACGCGAGGTAGAGATCTTGCCTGATGTCCCTGTCGAGGTTCGGGTGAAAGTACCGAGAATGCCTCAACTCGCACCTACGTACCATTCGTTCTCGATCACGAATACGCATTATCTGCGTGCATCTATAGCGGTCACGGCTGTAGGCAAGACATTCACGCATGACTTCTATTCGAATGGTGTGACTGTTCTCCCAGCGAGACATCGTGGCCAACCACCTCCCGGAACATCGTCACCTCCAATGCCAATGCCAATGCCGGCGCCTTCCTCTTACACAGACACAGACGTCTCGAATTACGCCTCCGTACCTCCACCTGGGCCGGAACCACAAGACCACCTCGCATCACAAGCTCCACCACCAGAGTACGCCACACAGACGGACACGCACAGCATACATGCATTGACGAGCCCTGTTGGAGAGGAGATGATACCGACGGAGCAGGGCTTGATGCTGAGATATGGACCGCCCACTGGGATTGCTGCTACACCTTCGAATCCGCCTACGCTCACGAATAGGAACAGGAGCTCGAGCTCGGGAGTGAGTTCTGGTGCGTCTGTAGCGGCGGCAGCGGCAGGTACGATGGGCGATGCGTCCGGGTTGCCAGCGTATGAGGGGACCAGCAATGGTGTTGTGATGGGTCCGTCGGGATTCGTACGGCCGGGATCTATGGTAGGCGATCAAAAGGTTTGAGTGAAGGTGTTGTTGACACCTGTGGCGAGAAAGAAGGACATTCAGCTCTTTGCGCCCATTCTTCTCGTATTTATTGCCGTTGCTTCGTTCACTGTATTTCTATCATGTCTGCACCAATACCCTAATTTATCACGAATCGAGCGACTCTCTTTGAGTCCTCGTCGCTTGGCCTTTCAACCGTGACGCCTGCGCATCAATTATAGCGTATGCTAGAGCTGATTCTGTTCGAGTAACAATATGCGTGTATAAATCTTCAAAAGGTGAACATGCATGCCCGCATAATTTCGTATACACAGTCGAGAAGGGAATCTCCACCGTGTCAACAACACCGGTCATCTCTCCCCCGCCTGTATCCTCTTTTCTGCGCTCGCAGATTCTACCCGTGCAAAACAGACGACATCTGTGCTCCGACGAAGTCCGCGAGCGCAGAAGACACTAAATGAGTCTCTTCCGTGTCCGTTTCTACTTGCGTAGAGAGCGGGGACTGCCGTAGTACACTTCTCGACGACCGTCGAATGCGACAATCGAAGCTTGAAGGGCGAACGCCCTGATAAGCGACTGCTTACCATGTAGGACCAGCTGTTAAAAGCGAATGTAATATAAGCATCGTCGATCTAAAGTTAAAAACAGAGCGAGATGGCCACAAACTGGTCCACCAGTCCCAAAAGATTCACGACTGCACCCTCGCAGCGTTCCTCGCTCTCCTACGAACTTTAGGCCCCTGTCCGTATCTAGGGACTCCATGACCTGCATTTCCCTCTGGACCTTCCCTCGGGACCTTCCCTCGGGTTTTCGATATATCGGAGCAGGAAGCGAAGGATTCCACCTGCCTCTGCATGACCCTGAGGGAAATACTCCCCCGTCCTCTTGGTGTATTCGCTCAAAGCTTTCTCGGATTCGAAAAGCTTCGGCGGCTCCCCAGTGCGAGGGACGTCGATGAGATTGCATATGTTCACGTGAGTCGCCCTGATATGCTATATGACAGCACAAAAAGAGAAGGGGATATGTCAGCGCCCAGTACAATAATGAGGTTGGCTGAAGCACGATCGCTCAAACAAGCCGTTGTGGGAAAATTGACTCAACATCATGGCAGTCATTCAAGGTGGTCGGGATGGGATCTAGACGTAGAGCACGACATAGCTTTTGCCAAGATCGGAGGTCGTGCCTATCGACCCCATACGTGTCATTGAATGTCTTCGCAATAGCGCTCTGTATGCCCTCCTTAGCCTTCTGCCGTTCCTCGTCCTTAACCTTCTGCTGTTCCTCGTCCTCAATCGAAGTCGTGGGGCCACCGAAGACGAGGCCTCGATAACGACGAGTCCAGTGCATGTGTTCACAGAGCCGGTAGAACTCAGCCATGACGGGCATCGAGGGGCAGTACTCGAACTTGAAGGGGCGATATTGAGCGAAGAACGCTTCTATGTACACTTCGGGGTTAGAGTTGGGAGCGGTGATTATGTGGCGGAGGAGATAGCGGAGCAGGTCACTGAGGGACTGTGTATCGGTGCTGAACTACTGCTGGGTCGTGTTCGTGTGTTCGTCTAACTTTTGCAGATTGCTGAAGGAAAGGACGATTTCGCCTGGGCAACTGGCGTCGATGAGGTCGTAAATATTAAAGAACGTCGTCTTGACTCTCTGCGGAACAACACAGATGAGCGTGCAAACGCAACTGGAAGCAGAAAACATTCCGGCTTGGGATGCCAACTCACGTAACGGCATATGTCAAGGTCACTCAGATCAACTGGGTCGGGGTTGGCGTATAACGCCCGGTACATTCTCTCCCAGGCTGAAAAGTCGTCGATTACAGTTCCGTAAAGCATGTTGAAGGTCTTCGCTACTGCTTCTTGAAGATCCCTGACAGCCTCTGCCTCCTCGTCCGGTTTCAGGCCTAGCTTTTTGCACATCGAATAAAACTCTTCCACGACTGGCCTTGTCTGGTTGTACCGGTACTCTGGATAGAAAGAGAAGAACTGTTGGAGATGAACATATTTCGAGTTTTGAGGGGGAGGCGGCGGTGGAGGGAGGGAGGGAGGCGACGGCGGCGGCGGGAAGGGGGGTGTCACCTTCACATACCGAACATATGAGAATCATAAGTGAGAGTAGCGAAAGAGGGGGATGGCTTACTGTCTTCTTTTTCTTCCCTTTTGACGGAGCAGCTGGCAGTTGCCCTGCAGAGCTCTGGCAGGTGAGCGGGCCCAGTTGACGTTGATTTACCGGAGGGTTTACTACAAACTGAGACAGGCTTGCCGGACGAACTGGCACGGTCCCGAATTGTCGTTGTCCGATGAATATGGGACGACGCTGGTCAACCTGGCCAGATTGGCTGTGACGGACAGTAGTCGAATGGTAGGCCATGGCAGTAAGAGCTGCGATAGAAAAGGGACGGGAAGCGAACGCTGATGGTCAGAGCAGGTCTATATCGATGTTACGGTGCTCCGCACCTTGCGTGGAAATCGAAGACCAGCATCATTGCAGCACGGGTGAAGTAAACGCACTTGCACGCTCACAAGAGTTTATCGAAGGATCATCATGCGCATCAAGCTGCTCAAACTGCCAGAAGCAGTATTTTGTGGCGCTATGTGGGAGCGGGTTGAGAGGGCTCGGTCAACAGTTCCCTCTCCAGAGCCGTCGCGTGTGAAAAGATCGCATGACTCTGAATATTGTCTGAATGGCGCCGGTCAGAGAAGCGAAAGTCTAAGAGCCTCTATAGTACGATGATCGCGGTCGATCATCGAACAGCAATAACCTGCACCGACGAGAAGAGAGAAGTAAAGTGATCACATCAGTGGTAGCAGTGAACGTTGCAAATGCAACCTTGGTGCGAAGTCAACAGGCGTCAGCATAAATACATGTCCAAGATCGCAGAACGAGAGGACGCAATACCAATTTGCCTAAAGACGTCCGCGCAATAACCCGAAGATACGAGAGGAAGAATGAGCGTAGTGTACACTGACCTGACAAGAACGGTTGTAACGACTCACCTAACCTATTAGGCAGAGCACGCACTTCAGATACTCAGCGCTTGCCGCGTCGTCTCCTGCTCTGCCCAGACCTGCTACTCCCTTTCTGCGCTAAGATGTGACTAGATTCACCTTCAAGACCTTCCCTGGGGTTCATGATATGACGTAGAAGATAGCGAAGGAGACCTCTCGCGTACGCATTCTCTCGGGGGTAAATTTTCCGATCCTGTCGATTTCTGCTGTACATGGCAAGGAGTCGCTCGGACGAGAAAAGCTTCACTGGTTGTCCGGTACGTGGCGTGTCGACCAGGTCGCAAATATTCACGAAGATAGCATCCATGCGCTACGTAAATCAACAATATGAACTCATCATTATGGCGGAGAGCACGCCGCCATCCCACTGCCGAGGGACAAGAAACAGGGATGGTCAAGGGAAAACATACCTTGCGGCACGAATGTATGTCTTGAGGAAGAGGGTCGATGTATACGGCCCGGCAAAGGTTATGCCAAGAACGAAGGCATCTCACGTTCGTACCATAGATGTCATTGAACGTCTTCGCAATCGCGTCTCGGACACCCTGGAGTCCTTCCCTCTTCTCTGTGCTGCGTTTGTGCCATGCAAAGAAGTCACTCATGCGATAGAATTCTTCCATGATGGGTCGCGAGGGATTGTACTTGAATTCAGGGTAACGGGAAAAAAAATCTTCGAAGTATGTGGGTGGATCAGGCTTCTGGCACGCCCAGGAATTTAGTTGTTGTCAATAACGAAGTACTTATATCGTTCAGAGATGGAGTTCAACGTACTTTCTTCTTCTGCTCCTTCTTCTTGCTCTTCACATTCGCTTTGCTGTTGGGATTCTTTTTCTGCCCAGCGGCAGAGGTACTATAAGATCTAATTTCTATCGATCCCCGTAGGAGAATGTTCGCGACTCTGCGCGCTGTATAGAAGAGAGACATGATGCGTGTAGGATGGGAGTAGACCAGGAGATAAGTCGTGAGCAAGAAGGGCGTTTTGGAGTCAATACCACTATTTCGAGTGCCAGCATGCGCGAACACGCCGCACAAGCACATTCAGGATTATGCACAAGCAGGCTGATATCAAGATGTCGACGCTTTGGTAAGCAGGCGAGGCAGGATCGGTATAAGCCACGGTGGCGCTATATGAGCTACGGTAGGTACTTCTTGCCACTGGAGACAAGCAAGGACGTGACCATGGACCGTACAGTAAGGGATTCTAGAAGGACGGCCTTCAACTTATGTGTGTTCCGAGTCGATGGTTCAGAGACAAATCATCAGCACCCATATGAACGACAACTCACTATATTATCCAAATACTAGCTTTCCTTCGGATATCATGAAGGGGCGGCAACACGTATAATCACACGCTGTCGTCACGAGGAGATATCTCCGAGGAATTGAGCTAAGCATGGAAGAGAGAGGCAGGAGGTTGACGTTCAAGCATGAGATGGCGCTGAGCAGCAACCTCAACGGAAAATTCCGCACATGCAATGCTCGGAGTTGGAACCGGTACATCGGCGTTACTGGGCCACAATCGTGGCTTGACTCTGACACCCGTTTATACTGCAAGTTTCTCAAGCAATTTTTTGTCGATAGAACTCTGGGAAGACATCCATCAAAGTGTTACATTAATCACACAACACATAATGAAGCTCCCTGGAAAGCGAAAACTGACAAATACTAGAGTTGGGTAGTAGCGACTACTACTCAGATTCGGACGGAAACTATGTAGCCTACGAGACCTTTGATGAAAGTGGAGGTTCAAACTCCGGTTAGCGTCGTCGCTTTCCACCCCGACCTTTTGACCCTCCCTGAGCCTTGATGTAACTAGCTTGTCCTTCGAGACCCCTCCGTGGGTTCATGATGCGACGTAGCAAATAACGAAGCAGCCCCCCAGCGTGGGCATTCTCCCTCTCGTAGAACTTCCCAGTGGCCTTGGTGTAGTCGCTAAGATCTTCTTCGCACCCGAAGACTTCCGCTGGTATTCCGGTACGGGGAGCATCGACGAGGTCACAGATGTTGACGAAGGTTGCATCGATGAGCTACCATTTTGGAGGGTCAGGTTCACGATGAGATCAAGGCTAGATAGCGATACTGTGAATAGCGCGGAGAATAGCCCGAGCTCACCGTCTGACACTTCTGCACATCGTCGGGTATCGAGTTAATATGTACCGCCCGACAAAGACCCTGCCATGAGTTGAGATCGTCCAAGTCGGTACCGTAAAGTTCATTGAACGTGAGCGCTATGGCGTTTCGAACACCTTGGCGAGCTGCATTTTTCTGCTGGTCATCTTTGCGCCATTTGAAGAAGTCGCACATGCGATAGAACTCCGTCATGACGGGCTGAGAAGGGTCGAAGTCGAAGTCGGGATATTCGGCGAAGAAGTCTTCGAGGTATAGCCCACCTGGCCTGGTATCTGACTCTGAATCCTCTTCCACGATGATGTGTTCGAGAAGGAAAGAGAGAAGACTGCTGAGGGGTTGCCCGCCGAGGTCGAACCACTGCGCGGTGGAATTTGTATGTTGTAGAAGGTCGGCCTTAGTGTCGAATGATATGACTCGTTCCCCGGCTGCACCAGCGTCGACAAGGTCATAAATGTTGAAGTATGCCGTTATCACGGCCTATATCATAAGAACAGAGTTTCAGCCACGAGTAGGAAAAATTATAGGATAGGAGCAAGTTACTCACAGCGCGGCAAGTTTCCAAGTCGCTTGGGACGACATTGTCGTGTATCGTCCTATGAAGCTTCTTCCAGGCATTAAGATCGTCAACGTCGGTACCGTATATCCTGTCGAACGTCTTCACGACCGCTGCCCTGAGTTCCATCTCAGCAGCTGCCTTCTCCTCGTCACCCCACTGCAACTGGCCGCACATCGTATGGAACTGAGCCATGACGGGTTGCGAGACATCGTAGCTGAACCAAGGATGGTTTGCGAAGAAATGTCGAATGTGAACCCTCGCGGGCTGAGAAGGTGGTGGCGAAGGTTTCGCCTATCGGAAGCTCAGCGACAAGATAGCCAGACCACAAAAGTTAAACACGCACCTTCTTGTTCCTCTTTCCCTTCTTTGCTTTTGGTAGTATTGCTGGCTGCTGAATTCTTACGGCTTGGGGAAGGGAAGAGGGGAGGGGTGCAGCACGCTGCGAGCGGGAAAAGCCATGATTAGGGCGGCACACTTATTCGGTCAAACAGGGGATTTGGACGTACATGTGGTTCGTTGTTCTTGCCCTTAGTGTCAATCTTGTTCTGGACCGTCGCAGGCAACGGTGGAGTCGGGGCGATATGAGGAATTAGTGCTGTGGCACCCGAAAAGCCGTTACCCGCCACCATTCCCACGTAGTTCCTGCTCCAGGCGTAAAAGGTACACATTCGATAGAAATTCTGCATGCAGAGCTGCGAATAGTCATAGATGAACTTGGCACGCTCTGCAGATAATTCTTCCAGATATATTGCGTCTGACGTGGAGGCCTCGAAGACAGTTATGTGCTCCAGGAGAAAGCGGAGAAGATCGCTCAGAGGCTGCTTTTCGAAGTCGAACCATTGTCCAGTGGAATTTGTATGCTGCAACAGGTCGTCCTGGGTTCCGAATGATACGGTCATTTCGCAGGAGCAGGTGGCATCGATAAGGTCATAGATGTTGAAATATGTGCTGGTAACAGCCTACACCGGGGAGATTTCGACCTGTCCATCTAAGCAATACAGGAGAATAAGGACAGACAACTCACGTCGCGACAATCCTCTAAGGTTTCCGGCACAGGTCCATCATACAACGCCATGTGCAACTTCTGCCAGGCACTGAGATCGTCTACATCGATGCCGTATATCATGTCGAATGTGTTCGCAACCGCTCCGTGAAGACCGACTATAGCGTCCTCCCTCTCAGGATCGTCTGTATTCCACTGCAGCAACGCACACATCGTATAGAACTGAGCCATGATGGGTTGATTGCCGTCGTATCTGAACACGGGATATTTGGCGAAGAATTTCCGTATGTGGACCCTTCTGAATACCTCAGACTGCAAGGATTGAGACGTCTGCATCACCTAGTGAGAGTACTAGTCAGTATCAAGAGTTGAAATGATGCAAATTACGCACTTTAATATCGGTTATACGAGTGTGTTCGAGCGGGCAGCGATCGCCCAAGCGACAGTGTCCAGAAGAGAAATGTGTGCAGAGAGGCATCTGAAACTTGACAGTTCAAAAGATTCTGAAATTCCGAGCAAGAGCAGGCGACGAACAAGATGAGGGTAAGGTGTTACACGTTCAGCACTGTCCAAGTAGTGGAAGCGCGGCGTGGACATCGAAGCGTGGTCATTAGCACATTTCAGATAGCGTAATACGCCCATGGTGGGAGCCTCAGATACATAACGTCGACGCCTGCAAAGGTATTTGTGTGGCGCTGTGTGAGAACCTTGCATAAGTGGTCTGGCGGCAGCATTTTCGTGAAAACTGCTTGTGTAACGGAATCGTTCGACGTTCCCCGACAGTGGTATGATTGATAAAACATTCGATGCAAGCAATTCGTAAAGCGAAGGTGAGCAAGACAACAGACCGTCCAGGTAGCGGGAGCGAAAAGAAAACAAGGCGCGCCAGATTTTGGTAAGTGAGCGTGAACAAAGTATGACGCAAGCCTGCAGCTGCCTGCAGGCATCGCCAGAATGGCGGGCTGACAGTTTCTGCCACCCTCCGCCCGCTTTGGGCTTGCCATTTCCTTCGCTCATGGATGGCCTGGCCGAGACTTGTCACGGGCATTTTGGGTACTTTTATTGCTAACAAATCAAAATGTCGCTTTCTGCGAAAAGTGAATATTTTTAAATGGCCTGAAGTCGGTCTCGGGGCTGGGGGGGTGGAGAAACCACATCATTCATGGCTATGGAATGACGGTTATACAAAATTACGCGAGGTAGTCAAACAAGAACTCTTGGCCGAATGGTTATTTGTACGCTTGTGACTACCGTGCTGTCCATGAGGTGGTTGGCTCGAACCCTTGCCATGCTCACGCTTTTTATGTACCTTTGCCCTGAGTTTCTCTACCGAGAGCCTTCTCGTCCTTTGCGACATTGATGTCCGTGAAAAGTTTTTGAATATGTATATACGTATTACTCTGTAGTACTACAGATTAAGCTTGAGGCTTGTGTAGAGAACTTAGCCACTCACGAGTCTTTTTAAATAGCATTGCTGTGCATTATTCCCTTTCTATGAACATCCAGCCAACTGAGGTACTGGGCCACACGCCGGTCGAGCCGCAAATTCAATGCAAATCAAGCTTCCTCATGGTTGAATTTACAAATCTCACAACACATATGTATATATCTAGCAGTATTAATGATTCATTCATACTTATTGTCCTTACTTTGAGCTTGCGATTTGATACAAGCTCTCGCAAACTTAGTTTGACTCTGTGCGCCACTCACGACTTCGCGCAAACTTCGCGTCTCGTCCTGCTGACCGGCTCTGCGGCGCCATCAGCGAAGCCTGTTGCCTTTGCCTCGAGGTCGCCCTTCCTCTGGGCGAATCCCTACGTCACTCTTTGTTCACGCTGCCTAGCCCCAGATTTTGGAAGAACATGCGCCGACCCAACCGGGAATACGGCGCACGCCACAGTGGCGTAGCGGCCAGCCATGAGAAACGTCCTCAATTGATCAGTCTTTGAGCCTATGGCACTTCATTTTGATAACGCGCCCCAACAGTTCGTCTATCCAAACGTTATCGAGAAGTCAGAATGAAGTGGAAATAAAATTGGTATGAGCGTACAAAGCGGAAAAAATCCAAGAAATTAGTGATAGTTGAGTACTAGATTCACACGGAAGCACTCATGGGTTTATAACCCATACATGTTTCAGATTGAGAAGAGCAGTAACAGCAGCCATCTCATCCTCGCTCGGCTCAACTTCAAACACAGTTATCTGATCAGCGATAGCCCCTCCATACTGCTTCACAGCCTTCCCTCGCTTGGACATCCTTGGCCTCCTCGGTGAATACCTCCTCACTCGCCGCTCCTTCCACTCCGCCATTACCTCCTCCAACCGGAAATTCGCCTCCATTACCGCCTTCTCCTGTAAGGAAACGACCGACTGGAGCTCCAGAGTCCTCGCATGATGCTGGATCGCCGAAGTGCCCGTCCTACGTTTGGACTTTTCAGCCTGTAAGTCAGCTTTGGCCTTCGCTAGCACCTTATTCGCAGTGTTGAAGGCGCGGGTAGCAGCCCTTCGAGGGGCCGCAATACTGTTATAATACCAATTTTGGATTCTCTCCAAGGGCCTGCGAGAGAAGAGTTAAGTCCAAGCAGAGTGGGATAGCTAGATCAGTAAGTGGAGAGACATACTCATCGACTTGAACGGCCCATCTCGTAAATTCATCGTGGCTTGGCCTGTCCTTCCTATCCCCCATTAGTAGTTTCAGGTGGTCCTTCTTATCTTCGGCTATAGGGTATTTGCGTCCATCCCAGTCAGGGTCTCCGTACCGCGGCCGGGAGGACGAGAGCGAGGTCTCCTTGAAGATGGGGGAAAGTGAGGAAACGGAAGAAGATGCGGATCGCATAGCAGGTATGATAAAAACGAGTCCAGCGGCAGAAGAAATACCCGCAAATATATCGGCCGGCGAGAAAGAGTACAAGACCAAGTGGGAGACGACCAAGTCCACCGCAGGTGATGGGGAGATTGCGACGTTGGGGGATCCGAGCATCGTCAACGGTGGGTATTTATGTGTCTGAACAGGAGGTCAGATGCAACAGGCGAGGCAATACAGAACAAAGAGCGTAGTCCCCATTTTACGTAGAGATGAGGCTCACGAGACACGCCTCCGACCGTTTTAGGACGCGCCTTTCGATGCCACGTACGACGTCTGTGCCGGTGATGACAGGGTGCCGAGCATGCCCTTTGTTCGTAGGAACGTGTCTGATATCGGTGTGAGATAGAATAATCAGGACAAAGAACTGTCTGCCGTAAGGGCCAAAAATATACCTTTCATGGTGTAGCGTACTACAAAATACTCCAACAAGACATGTGTATACATCAGCGCATTCGACTAGAACCGAGGCACACCAAATTTAAAGGCGAAGGACTAGAAATCCTGGATCGACAACCATTTTGTTTCTCTGAGTCGTTGGTGTCAGTTCTCAACACGTCTGAGTGCCTCTTCGTTCAAGACGGTGTCCAAAGACAAACACGACCCGTTTGTGTGATAGTCATGGTCAGCATCGAGCACTGTGACCTATCCAGATCTGTTGGCACGAGCCATGAGGCGTTAGATGTGTACGCATGGAAATAAGTACGTTACTCTTCGCAACCTGACCGGCAATGAACCCGTCGGTGACGCAGTGGATCTCGCGTCCATGGTAACATTCCTGGCTCTTTGTTTAGATGGGAAGCAAATTGATGTTGTAATAAAAAAACGTAGCCTCGGGGACGAACATGCGTTTCGATCATAGATACGTGCCAGCGTTCGAAGTGACTCGAAAAGAAGCCCGACCGTTACAGTTGTACTCGCCTCCGATGATTATTTGGCCTCATCGAGCAAGTGCCTCGAGGAGGACATTGGGACTTTACGTACTCCGGAGTTCCAGGGTGTGGATGAACTTGGGCCGAATCGGGGGAGGAGCGACCCAACGCGAGGTCACGAAGAAAGGAACGAAAAATGATGTGGCCTCGAGGATCGGGTTGTTCCGGCTTGTGTCAGGGCCCGACAGCACGGCTCATATGCGTGCAGTCATACCGAAACTCGTCCAGCGGAGGCGGAAAGCGAGGACAGATATGTATTTGTGGTAAAGTGTATTCTGGGTGAGCAAGTGATGGGATAGATGTGTGCAGCATGGAGGATTGGATATATGGAAATTGAAAGGAAAACATATCGAACGAGTGGCGTGCAGATGCCGTGACACAGCACCATATAAGACAGGATGACCGGTGGGAAGAAACACACGCGTCACCAGCGACGAAAAGAGCAAAGAGAGACAATGGCCCAGCCATCCTTCTAAGCCTCCGACTCATCAGCATACTTCTTAGCAGAACACATAATTCCAGCAAGAATCGACGCGCCCATCAAATCCTCCTCCGAAAGCCCTTCGGCCTTCTCGCCGCCCTTGTTGGATTCACTCCTGTACTTATTGCGGATCTTTTGTTCCTGACCAGGTCTACATGTACACAGACCCCAGTTCCCAATTGTCAGCACTCATGTCGCGGAAGCCAAGAGTCGTGCAATAGATGACACGTACAGCCCAATTTGCTCTGCCCATATTTCGCGAATTTTCTTGCTCGGCATCTTGGAGCAGTACTCGAACCTATTACGAAGCGTGTCCACTTGGTCTTGAGTCAAGGGCATTGCAGCGTGGCTACGGATTTTGGGCTCGGGGGAGTACGTTGATGAGGTTTCATAGTCCGTGGTGGTGGGTTGGTAGGACGATTCCGAGGACGGTTCCGAAGAGGTTTCAGAGGCCCAGTCAGAAGATTGATATGGATATGACTTCGAAGACGATTCCGAGGACGAGGACACAGACGACTCCGAAGATACCGAAGACAGAGAGGACAATGGTGAGAGCGATTTGGACATCGTTGACGAGATAGACGTTGGTGAAGTGATACAAGTGGAGCGCTAGTGACGAGAGGTGGTCGGCGAGAGGCGACTGCAGAGGCTGGCTGTGGGTTTGAGAAGAGTCAAGGAGCAGGACAGACAGATTATATATATGCCAGCAGAACCTGACACGGAGAAGCAATGGAATACACGAGGCGACGAATGACCACATTGCAGACAAAGGTCCTTTGTTCGTGCCAATGCAACGTACGTAACAGTCTGGCAATATCGATCGCGCATCCGTGACCAAATCGGGCACTGGCTTTGGGACTTTCACGCCTGGATGAGCGCTTCTTACCGCGGTTGCTGAGACGACGCGGCCTGCTTTATGTGCCAACAAGTTATGGAGATGGCACTCCAGTACACGAGCACTGGCGGCAAGCAGGAGCAAGCGCACGGACCATGCGAGTTGTCTAGGCCCGGTGTCAACCTCTTCCCTTCGGTACCCATTCTGTGAGAGTGTCAAAGTAATAAGACTGCGTTACACCCTCCTTGATTACTTTAACAAGCATAAAGTGAAAAGGCATGCCGTGAATTTCCAGACGACCGATTAGACGACATACTAGAGCCCATGTGAATTCGTTTCTGCCCGTGTGGAAAACACGAATCGGCGCTTTGGGGAGATGTATGCTGACTAGCTATGTCGTGTTACTGATCCGGGCGTCGTCTAAGGCGCAAGGGACGAGTCCAATCCACTGCCGTCACGACTAGGGCAAAACTCTTGAATATTTCGACCTGAGGCGATTAATATGCCGATGGTAGGCACGTCGAGTCCGCTGAGCTAAGATTTGTGGGCGGACGAGTCCTTCAGCTCCCTTCGATTTCACGGAGAAAGACCCCCAAGATAAGCACAGACGCCTACAAAGTCGAAAACTAAGATGGAGGTGGTTACGAGGCCTCATCGCAAAAGACCGTCCTTTCCGGTTGGCAGCACTACCGATAGCCTGGCTCAACATCACGGCAAAGCCGCCACAACCTAATCACGGTCCCTTCCAAGTTCCCTCCCACCTCTGACCTCGACAAGTATTCATCTTCCTTCCCCATAAGCCCTGCATTATGAACTTCTTCGATGCAGCCTTCGAGGCTCCGGCAGCGTCGCCTACACCACCACCGCAGGCTGCCCAGCCGCAACAACAGAGCCTGAACGAAGAGGTGTCTGAAGTGATGGGGCAGCTCGGGAAGTTCTGGGGTGGATTCAGGAAACAGGTGCGTATTACTACACTTCGGCTTCTATCCTTGAATATGAAAGTATATCTGAGACGATGTCGGTTTATGGGTGTAGAGTCAGACAGCTTTGGAAGCGGCAAAGAAGGACTTGGGCGGTTATGTGGCACAAGCGCAGCAGGAGCTCACGAAGCTTACGGCGGCGGAGAACACGACTGGAGCAGCAGAATCTTCTACGACCACAAGGGATGGAGGCTCTGAATTGTCTGGGGATGCTGGCGAAGCCTCTATAGCAGGGCCTTCATCCACATCATCTTCATCGTCTTCAATGACTGCATCGACCTCCACCCTCCCCGCACACGACTCCCCTGACTCCCCGGACCCATCATCATCACAGTCACACCAACGTTCTCAATCCCAGAACTTCTTCACCCGCCTCCAATCCTCCATCCCCCCCGACTTCCTACAGAAAGTCCAACAGAACCTCCCAGAGCAACTTCGGCACGCTCCTGAACGCGTCGACCTCGCCCAGCTCCGAACTGCCCTCTCCGACGAACTGCAGCGCGTCAAGTCAAGCGCGGCGGTGACGGCTGCGACGGCCGAGAGTAGGGAGTTTTTGAGAGGTGCGACGGAGTTCTTGAAGGAGGCTGTTAAAGTCGTGCCCCCGGATGAGGCGAGTGCTTCTAGTGGTTCGGGCGTGCAAGGTATTATGTGGGACGGAATGGACGTATGGATGATACCCATGAGTTCAGGTGCAGAGACACCTACGTCCGCGGCCGAGGGACAGGATGCAGGAGGGTCGAAGGCGAGGAAGAGTGGGGAGGTGAAGGCGATAGCGACGAGGAAGGAGGCGATATTGAGGACTTTGAGGACGAATCCGGATATTTTGAAGGTCGATCCGAGGGCGGAGCCGAGGACGAAGGTTTTGTTTGAGGAGTGGGAGAGCAAGGACGTGGAGAGCTTGGAGGGTACGGTTCAGGGAGAGGCTTGGATTGAGAAGATACAGAAGGAGCTGGAGACGGATATGAATGCATTGACGGCGACGAGGGATACCTTGAGTGAGTTCCATCTTTTACGGTCCATTTGTTTGCATTATTTATGGAATTCTGACGGTTTCCACAGCATCACAGGAGGGCCCAGCATTGACTGAGAACGAGTTCTGGATGCGATATTTCTTCCGCAAATACCAAATTGAGCAGGATGAAGAGAGGCGGAAGGCACTCTTGGAAGGTAAATACTACTCTTTTATGCACCTGGTCTCTATAACTTACATTGGTTCTAGGTTCTATTGAACAAGAAGAGGACATCGGCTGGGAAGACGATGACGATGAGGCTACCTCTCCCACAGCTACCGGCCCCTCCCGCAATCAATCTCAACAAGAAGAAGCTAAATCAGAAGCCCCCTCTACGACCGCCATCACTGCAGGTGATTCCGCTGCCCCTTCTACAGAGCAGCATCTTCTCGCTCCCGCTACCGCCAGCACTCCAGGAACCGGGAGTCCAAGGGAGAGTAGCGAGGAGAGTTACGACATGTTGTCAAGCAGTCGCACAAGTAATGTTGGAGAACCTCCTGTCAAGGTTAAGGAGAGGGCGAGGAGGACGGAGGATGATGATGATGATAGTGGGAGTGACTGGGAATGATGGACGAAACTAGTGTGGCGCGCCATAGCAGAACCCTTATGAGTAGTCTGTATGAGTATGTGTTGTTGTTGTTTTGGATGACGGCGTTGGATGGAATTTTGTGTATCCGATGTGGCTTACGACCGATATATACTATCATGACCTATGTACAAGAACCGAGTCCGCAGAGTGACGCGCGAAATATTACTGCAGCTTCTGTGGCGAGTAAATATTCGGGTCCTCCACCGTGGGAATTTCAAGCTTCGCCGCCGTTCGTCGTCGACGCGCTCTGCTCTCTTCGAGCAACCCACCACGATGTCCCTCAGGCTGTCTAAACAGCTACGGCTACCTCTCCGCCCATCATCAGCGCGGACATATGCCACAGAAAACAGGCATACGCACGGCCGCAACGCGCTTCGCCCCCGAAATGCGTCTCATTGCTCCGAGAGACCACCAATGACCCACGGAGACCCCCTCACAAACAGCCCAAACGCTACTACCACCACACTCCCCGATAATGCTGTCTTCATTCACCGCCCACCCCCATCCGCACCATCGCCATTCTCATACACCACAAACCCCGTCTCACCACTCCTTCGACCACCCGCCGTATCGGCATCGACCGTAGACGTACCGCTCCCCCCACCAGTGAAGAAAGGCCAGGTGAAGGAATATCAGTACCTCTCGGACGAGGATATTGAGCAGATGAAGGAGTTGAGGGCGCAAAATCCGAATCTCTGGACGAGAGGGAAGTTGGCGGAGAAGTTCAACGTTTCACCGATTTTTGTGGGCCAGTTTGCGAGGCTTTCGAAGGGGCAGAAGAGGGTGGCGTTGGAGAAGAGGGATAAAGACCATGAGAAGATGAGGAGCAGGTGGGGTGAGAGGAAGTTGATTGCGAAGGAGATCAGGTCGAAGAGGAAGGAGTTTTGGTGATCTCACTTTGGAGGATGCGGGTTGCGGGAAGTCGGCCATAGGTTTCTTGGTTGTGGGGACTTTCGAGGTGGAGACTGGACTACTCATGCACAATAGGACGAGGGAAGGAGAGAGATGTTGTTTGCGTCGCGTGTTTGTCCAATTCATTGCCATGCTCCATCGTCGCTCAACCTTTTTTTCCCATTTTGAGTGGTGTTTCGGTCAGCCGCTCGCAAACAGGTTGTATTTCAGTACTCGACCTCGTGCCGCACTGTTTGGTACTTTCACAATATTATTCGCCGATCGGGCCATATAATTCTACTCCACAATCCCTTCGCACCATCGTACGGATGTGCATGCGTTGAGTTCGCTGGAATAGGGTCCGGCTCGAGCAGTCATGTTCTCGGCTTAATGGGTATCGGTATCGCAAAGTAGGTTGGCGAGAGTGCTGAAGAACCAGCCTTCTGCCTACTATTAGAGGTCTCGTGGCGTCGTAGTCGTCGTCATACTGGTACAATTACGGGAAGTACAACCATCTACGTGATTCTCCTCCTTCGGCTTGTGCAAAGCGACCGCCGGGGAGAGCCTGCCTTTGCATCTAAAACAAATGCTCGTCCATGAGCTGGGAGGTACGATATCTTCGCACGTGTAATTTCCAAACTGCTTCGCTGATTCTTTGCGGTTACTAGTGACATTACATGTCGGGTGCGAACATGTCGGGTGCGAGAGACACTATTATTGAAAGCATTGTGGAACAGGTCTCGTGTCATGCTCGTCACAGCAAATTCGTTGAATTAGTTAGTCGGGTCCATACGGAGTGAAGTCCACTAGGCCGAGAACGAACTAAAGCCCAGTCGTCGACTCTTTGGTCCAGTGACAATCACATAATCTCCTAATCTCTATTGGCTGGGTGAGTACCTCGTTCTGCCGGAGCTTTTCGCCGCAACATCGTCCACAAACAACATGTTGACTTTCATATTTTTCCATCAACATCGCAGTTGACAGAGGTCTTAGTTCTGAGTCGTCTCTCCATCCGAGTCTCAGCTGACTTCTCCTTGTGGAAGTGTATCGACGGATTGCCTGCATCAAGGGCCTTTACGATATGACTTTATCACCAAGTCCTGGGCGGCTGCAGTCGTGAGTGTTCTGGTTCCTCGTATGTATCTTGACGACTGTGAGTGCCTCCGTTTTGCATCACTGTGGCCGCTACTAAACTGTTTGCGGCCGTTGCATCTGCACAGCACCTCCAGGATGCAAGATAGGCTAAGGAACACCTCTCGCGCCAACTATCTCTCCCCTCTTTATAGATTTGGTCGTCACTCGAGAACAGGACACAGCTCCCAAATAGGCCGCCGTGACGCCCAGGGGCCACAATTATCTATCTCAGTCACTTTCGCTCGTGCCCCAGTTGGAATAGCACATCCCCGGAAGCACAAGGAGTGAGAATAACGAAACTGAGACGATGAATGTGACCTGACGTGCATCTCTCATGGTTCATCGTATGATTCTGACCAGGCCTGAACGTTCTCCATCCACAATTGACAACTAACACAAGCCTCAGACACGCGATGCCTCTCCGATTCACTCCGCACATTGACTCGCCCTCACAGTCAACTGACATCTATTTTCTAGCCAGACAGAGCACACGACCACTTTTACAACTCGACTCGGAGGCTTGTTTGCTTCTGGTCTACTGATTTGCCCGACCATCACCCTAATCGGGCCACGGCGTCCTTTCAGCCTTTCTCAGACTAGCCCCAAATCCGTCAGGCCCGTGTTCTTCGATCGTCCACGAACGCCTGTCCTCCTTCCTATTCTCGATGCCCAGGACATTGTGAGTTCCTGTTTTAGGATGGCTCTCCGACCTGCGCCGGGACGCGGAGGGTCCAGAAGTATCGCATGTTCTTGCGCTGACTTGGGTTGTACAGTATGTCCGCACTCTCGTCCGCGCTTGTAGCCAATAGCATTCCTCGTATGCTGACTCGACGTTGCGTTGACAGGATCGTGAATCAATTACTGTGAGCCAGAAAAACATATGATATCATCACACGTAGCGAACGGGTGCGCGGTGAGAACGAATGAGGAGCCCCCGAGGGACTCCGCTCAAGGACAGACAGGGGTCATTCATTCCGCGTCTCAATTCTCCTGCATACATATAATCGTCCAAGACTCGTGTCACCCCCACGCTCTTGAGCCTTTCCCAATTTCGCTTCCTCTTTCGAGTTCGCCACCATACCTTGTTATCTCTTGTGCTCTGAGACGTGTATCAGATCTCGCTACCGCACAACACGAACGGTACTGTGTCATCGGACTTGCGCCCTTCCATCCCCACCAATCCGCTGCCCCAAAGACTATAGCATCTTCCCCGCATACCACACCACATCCCATCCCCATATCTTCAATTAAGTCTCAATCCCAGGCGGTATCGTATCATAGTGAGTATCGTATCATTTCCCTATTTTCAATCATCCTGCACTACCTTTGCAATCCTCCCGCCCGCACGGAGGTACAGGCGCCCGAAACTTGGACCACCTTACTCACCGCTCGGTTGTTATTCTGGCCCTTACTTATAGCTTGACACATCACCAACATCAGCTGCAGCCAATCGCACCACGTTTCGCAAATCCAGCTGTGTACACGGATCAGCGCTTCTTCAAGCTTCAGTTCTTTTCGCGTCTCATCGCATCTCTTGAATCTCACCGTCCGCTGCGACCGCCAACACATATAATACCCGCACTTCACTCTGACGATGGCTTCTATCTTTGAAGCAGCCCCCGCCGATCTCCCCCTTCACCTCCGCCCCGGCGCTACATCCACTGTCACCAACACTGCGAGCAACACCACCGAGGTTCAGAAGGAGCTCAATATGCAGGCTCAGCTTAATGTCGCTTCTCGTGCTCTCCCCCGTATGTTCGCACGCATCCCGCCACCGAACTTTTCTAGCGCCACGCACAGGGCCAGATGTCTCACGCAGCTGAGAAGCAAGAGCAACGGGCTGGAGAAGTACATCTTCTTGAACGGGTTGAAAGAACGGGACCCGAACTTGTTTTACAGTATTCTGTACGATAACATGCGGGTCAGTCGTCTTCTTCACTTGAAAACGCAAGCACTGCATGGTCGCTTATATCCCCGCTGATGACTTGTACTGATCAAACATCTGACGCCCATAGGAAATCGTTCCCATCCTCTACACGCCCACCGTAAGCAACTCTCTTGTCATATCCCCATCTGTCACTTGAACCACTACTACTGTCAAGCTGGCACGATGCTATGTTCCTGCTGAATCATGTTTTGGTTGCTAACGTTTTGCATTTCCCCGTGTACTTAGGTCGGTGATGCTTGCCAAAACTATTCCCACATCTGGCGCAGGCCAGAGGGTCTCTATGTCTCCATTGGGGATAAAGGTCGAATTCGTGAGGTCCTCGCTACTTGGCCTAACCTCCGCGATGCTAGGATCGCTGTTGTCACGGATGGTATGTTCCTCCTTGGAGGCATGATGTGTTAGTTAGGATTGGTCGCTGAAATGACTGATGGAATGGATGTGTAGGCAGTCGTATCTTGGGATTGGGAGACCTCGGCGCGAATGGGCTACCAATTAGTATCGGGAAATTGTAAGCCCTTCAGGCCAACATCCAATGCTCAGTTTCTGATTATGCATACTGTATGCAGAGACTTGTACATTGCCGGTGCCGGCATTAGGCCGACGTCGACGGTGAGTTTATATTTTTCCCTCTTTTCCTGAGGACTTATCATTATTCTGAGCATTGACTGATCGTGTGCGTTGTATGTCGCAGGTCCCGATATGTCTCGACCTTGGTACTTCGACTAAAAAATACCTGGAGGACCCGCTCTATATCGGTGTCCGCCGTCCGCGTCCGGATGCCAAAGAGGTTCGTCCCCGAGTCTCCAACCTTTTCGCTATACCCTACTTGTGCCATAAGGCAACCTCCTTCGACGTGCTAACCACTTGATGGTGTAACAGATGGATGAGTTCATGACAGAGTTCATGACAGCGATGAAGGAAGTCTTCCCCAACCTGCTCGTCCAATTCGAGGATTTCTCAACCGACAATGCATTCAAGTACCTCGATAAGTTCCGGAACACGTACAAATGCTTCAACGACGATGTTCGTATATTCTCCATCCTCTGTCCACCCACCCATTCTACCCTGCTACGTCTGGTATCAACATGTTGTGGCGCGCCACACGTTTGCTGACTGGGACTCTTCGTTTAGATCCAAGGCACCGGTGCCGTCGTCCTCAGCGGTTTCTTCAACGCCGCTAGACTCGCCTCCGAAGCCTCCGGTCTCCCACTCAAGGACCACAGGATCTTGTTCTTCGGTGCAGGCTCTGCAGGCATCGGTGTGGCGAAGCAGTTGACGTCGTTCTTCAAGTTCATGGGCATGAGTGAGGAGGAGGCAAAGAAGCAGATCTGGGTGAGCATTGTCACACGTCTTAAAACTCGCATCGTGCTCTGTCCGATTGTATGCTGACGACGAAATCGTGGTCGTGTTAGACGGTGGACTCGAAAGGATTGATCACTGCGGACCGAAAGGGCTTGCAAGAACACAAAAAGTGTAAGTGCCCGATGAGATTCCCTGGTCCAGTGCGCTGTGAGCTGACTATGATATCTCGCAGACTTCGCGAGGACCAATTATGAAGGACCTCCACTCACGAACCTCATCGACATCATCAACCACGTCAAGCCGACCGCTTTGCTCGGACTGAGCACCATTCGTGTTTGTTTCTCTTACACTCTCGTGACGAGTGTTGGCGTGTACTGACCGCGGTGGTACACGCTTCAGAATGCGTTCACGAAAGAAGTTATTACATCCATGGCAGCGCTGAACGCTCGCCCTATTGTTCTCCCTCTGTCCAACCCTATTTCTATGAGCGAGGTAGATTACGAAGACGCCGTCGAATGGTCTGTCCCCACATCATTCCCATTCATTGTACTATGTCTTCTCATCCGCTTCCTCCCTTAGGACCAACGGCTCCGTGATTTTCGCCTCTGGCTCTCCCTACCGTTCCTACTTCAGCCCCTCAACCGGCAGGACCCATGAACCAGGCCAAGGCAACAACATGTACATCTTCCCAGGCATCGGCCTCGGCACTCTCCTTTCCAAGGCGTCTCGCGTAACGGACTCGATGATCGAACAAGCTTCTGTGGCCCTTGCTGGTTCGTTGGACAAGGAGGAGACGAAGTCCGGGTTGGTGTACCCCAGACTGGACAGGATTAGAGATATCAGTGCGCAAATTGCGATGTCGGTCATACGGGCGGCGCAGAACTCGGTTCGTCGTCTTTTTTCTTCTTCTTCTTCTTTGTTTTTGGAGAGCTGACGATGTGAAATAGTATGTCGACAACTCGCCCCAGTTGAGGCATGTGACGGACAATGTGCTGCTGCAGTATATCAAGGAGCAGATGTGGAGCCCCCAGCCTAGCAAGAGTGACACGAAGATGTGAAGCTTCGCTCGCTCGCTGCCTGTGTCTTGCCTTCCTCTTTGCTCTGTTACCTCGCTTTATATTTGACGTACTCTGTGAGATACACTTGTGGTGCTTCGTTCTGCGTGCTTGTTCGAACTATTTATATCTATGCTCTACCATCCTCAGACGGTCTTCAATTTATTTCTCTTTACAGGTGGAGTACTGTACAATCTACTATACGCGTTGTACTACTTCAGGATTCTCTTTTCGTCTGTACTAGTACGCTGTTGGGTTTGGGATATATGCGCAATTTTTGATTGTGTTTTGGTGGTATGCGTGGTTATAATGTGTGGCGTCGTGGCATCCGTGGTCACCTCGTCGTCATGAAATGGTATTCAGTTTCAAGCTGGCGAGCACAAAGTCATAGATACTGAATCAACTGGTTTTATAGATTCGGTTCGAATCGCTGACAGGCCACGGCCCCGAATCTTCGAGTCTCGCTCTCCACTGTTCGTGTGTTCTCTTTACTTGTACTGCTTCGGTTCGGGCTTTACCATCCTTAGACGGTCTCGTTTTTATTGGTCTCCACAAGGGAACTACTGCACCATATACCGTAGTACGCCTGCTCGCGAACCACTGCTAATTGGGATTCTACGGCAATTTCATCCGACTGAGATATAGGACAAATATAGAGACACTACAGGGATTGCAATAGCGTGCTCGATGAACTAAGTAAATGCCTCTGTATCATGCCAAGATATTCGAAGGGACCCGCATTGTATAGTACGAACTCGAAAGTACATCCACGACGGCCTCAGACTCAAGCTCGACGGCACTGCTGCTTGTGCTTCTTCCAATCCTGTCTTTGACAAGCAGGAGAACAATAACTTACTTGCTTACACTGACCACAGACCTTCAGATCCCCGCCGAGGTCACACTTGGCGCATCTCTTCTGGGACGATATCGCATCCGACGCCTCCGCGAACCTTTGGATTGATTCCATAGCCCGTCTCGTCGCATCTTCGCCATCCACCGACCCAGTTGCGTCCTTTCCCTGTTGATCCTTGAGGAACGCGGAGAACATTGCACCTGCATCCTTAGCAAATCCTGCCACGCTCTCCATGTACGGCACAGCGAAAAGGGGACTGATGGCGATACGTGTGCAGAGGGGAGCGAACTCCTTCCAACCTTTCACTTTATGCATCCCTTCTACGTCTTTGCCTTCACCACAACTGCAGATCGGACTCTCGAGAGGTAGGAGCGAAAGTGGGACCTTGCCCGTCTTGATGTATTCGCAAGTGGCACGGTGCCTCCACGTCTGGCGACAGCGTTCCGCCAACGCAGGAAGGAGCCGGCGCCACATGACGACTTCCTCTCCAGCCGTGTTGACCGAACAGATAGGACTGGAGAATATTTTTTCGAGCGCGCGAACAACGGTTGGTTTTCTTGAGAAAGGGAGGAGGTACCCATTCAGGACGAAAGTGTGCGAAGCGAGGTCGAATCGCACGTCAGAGATGAAGACGACAGCATAAGGGCCAACCGATGGGTCTCGTAATGCGAACATGGAAAAGCGTCCATTGCCCTGGATTCCAGTGTGACGAACGAAGAGACTATGGATTGACTCCTTGAGGTCCGCCAGCGCTTTCCATCCATCTTGCGTAATTTTCTGTCCTCCCCCCATAACCGAACGGTCGTAATCGCTCATCATGAGCGAAATACTGGGATTGAACCACTCGTGCCGCTTGTTGATCGTGACCGTCGGTAGTTTATCGAGGACGAGCCTGTGTATATTCCATGGAATGGGCGTAACACCTTGTAGCACGAGAGGGAAATTATTGACGAAGAAACCGCCAGGAGTACGATGACCGGCAGGAGGAACGGTGGCCTGTCAAAAGGCACCAGTTAGACGAGACTTATCTCTCAAAAGAGGTCACATACCTCAATGTAGTGAGATTTTCTGGCTATTCGCAATCTGGTCCGCGTCCCGTCAACGGGAAAAGGAAATTGGACAACACGTTCCACTTGACCGAACTTGAGCGCTATCCGACAAGGCGAGATCTGTGTGCTAGCAACCTTCACCTGCGCGGGACCCTCCAATACTGCCTGTTCTCGCGGATCGTCTATGGTTGCTTTCACGGTAAACGTGGCGATTTTCTGAGAGCTACCGTCGAGGGTAACAGTTGAGTGATTTGTTGCAGAAGGAACGGGCGGATTCATGGTGGGTGGTATGGTATAGACTGTGTCCGGCCGCCTCTGGGTGCTGAAGCGTGAACGACTCAGGAAGACGTGTTGCTCGTCACTGATAGAGGTATCGAAGATGAGGAGCTCGAAGCCCAAGGTAGCCGTGAGATGCACGGTTGCGGGCGTCGATCTGAGCCCAAATCTGATGCGAGTACTCATGGGATCTATGGTGAGAATCCAGGCTGGATGCGCGAAAGTGACTACCAGATCTGCCGCACTATTCCACCCTTCGTCGTCCGCTTGAAAAATGAGGGACGGTTCCTGACCGGCCTTGGCAGCGTTGGTAACAGAACCAAAAGCCGTCTGAATGGACATGAAGGCGTTGTGAAAGTTGGAACCTTGAGTTTCGCACTGTAGGATTGGTGTTCCTAATTCTTCTAGGGGATAGTCCTCAAGTGGTTTCAACCGATGGCGAGGTATCTGAAAAACGATAAAAACAATAGACGGTGTGTCTGTCCAGCCCGGCAACGACGCTACTCGGCCACGCAAAGGGTTGGGCTTGAGCACGTCCACGGAGTGCACGCCGTTTAGGTGGAGTTGGCAAGCCATGTCCTGAAAGTAGTTGGAACCTGTCAGGAGAGTCTTGTCCGCGTATACGAGGTCCAAGAAAGCGTTCATGATTGGGGCCCAGTTTGTAGTGGTTCTACTTTTGACGATCCTCGCGAACTCAACGAAGGTTGCTCTGGTGTTGTGAATGAGTCGGATGCGTTTTGACACAACGTTGCTGATGTCCCCCTTTCCCGAAAGGAACTGCATCAAAGGATTCATATTTTCGTCGCTGAACATGCGAAGATAGAGGTCAAAGAGTAAGCAGCCCAGCGCTTTTGGCTCGAAGGAAATGGTGGGAGATCTTGGTGGAGATGTGTTCGATTCTGAGAGCGACATGACCTTCCATGTCATTCGTTCGTGGTATTGGCCGGCATCGGCATGCATGTGCTGTGAGACTACCTCCTGCGCAGTATTGAGGGTTGTGAACTTGGACACGAAAGATGATGGAACGAGGTCGAGTAGTACAGATACTGTGGTAATATCGCCGCAGATGAGTTCACGAAAGCCGTTGATAGAGTCCCTCGAAGCTGGGAGTAGAGTTTCGGTATAGACGACGGCCGATGGGGTGCGCGAGAGGATGGGTTGTGTGATGATTAAGATGTTCTGCAGTCCGACATGATCTGTGAGATTGGACGTCTCAATAACATCGAACACTTGAGGCGCGGCGTTGTCTGCACCGGACGAGTAGTCCCCGCCATCGAGCTCGAGTAGATCAGCCTTCCAACGAGTGGCGTACACTGTGCTTTCAGCATGAGGATCAAGGTTGCGATGGTGGAGTAGCGTGCAAAAAGCGAGAGCATCGCCCGCCGCGAACCGTAAGATCAAGGTTCTTCTCTCTGCGACCTCCTTGAAGGAGAGACACCAGTCTTGGAATGTGCCTCGTACGAAGTTGAAGAGACTGGCAGCGGATTCGCCGTTGGGGCTATCCATTGATCCCTCCAAATGCGCGAAGGCCGGAGCGAGATGAAAGGAAGAGAATGCGTCGGTGCCATAGTGGACAGAGAAGCCTTCACCGGTGATGGAGTATACAAACGTCGGGTTGAGTAGAGTAGCAGACGCCAACGTTTCCTTGTCTTGTGTATTCACGCCGGAGGACCAAAATCGATTGAAATGGTCTGAGACGAGGCGTAGCGCATTTAGGCGGAGTGGGCCGGCTGAGCGAGCCGAAGAAATGTTAAGCTCATATGTGTCGGATTTAGACTTGAGCGCAGTGGAGAATGCACGTTCGACGGCGGCCTTTCTCCGAGTAGGTAAGCTCTCGAAGCCTGCGTATAAGGCCCAATGACGACGAAGTTCTGAGAGTGTTTGCTGCGTGCAAATTCTGAGAAGCGAGCCATATTTGCTCGCATGCCAGGCGCCAATGTCCGTCGAGGTTTCTGAGAGCCGACGGCACTGGTCTACTAGCAGGCGCATGGCAGAGGAGTCGATGTAAAAATCGTAGAATATGGACCATAGGGGGCCATCGAGGATGGGTTCAGTATCCATGATGAGCGTGAATAGGAGGATGTTTCTTGCTAAAGCCCCTTCGTGCTCAGTCCACTGCATTGGAATCGTGTAGTATCTCGAATCACATACCCAGGACTGCCGGCTCGACGTCGCAACAGGTTATATCTAACGTGCGTGAGACTGAGGAGTCGTGATTAGAGAGCGTATACCGGGAGAGTATAGATTGCACTTACATTTATTCTGCGCCTCTGCAGCTGAGTACAAGGTGAAGAGTATATTCCTTGGATCGCCGCATCCGAGCAGAAGGATACTGGCTGACTGCTCTGGGGCGACATCTTGAGTAAGACAAACCGGAGATGTGTTTCCGACGGGGTAGAAATAAGTGTGTCGAGGGAAGTTAAGAGGATGAGCCATTGTCGTTGATCTCGAGAAGCGGGAGTAGCGACGAATTACTGTGGCGCACCCCGTTCGAGAGCATGGCATATATACAGTCCAAATATAGATCCATGAGAAACACGGCTGTGGAAATAAGCTCTATCGATTATCTAGGTGACCGCATAGACACCATATTACGGTCATCTGGTGGACACGTTTTATGAACATGGGCTGAGATCAAGGCGTAAAGTCCCGAAAACTGAGTCGCCACACAACACGCCAAGCGCCAGAGCAGAATGCCCTTAGGCAGTTTAAGTTGATATGCAGGACGATAGACGAGGCTGATGAATGACGGGATTGATAATAACTTCTGATTGAGCACCAGCACGCTCTGACCTTCGCAATGGTTGGTCTGCGCGCCACGACACAATTTACGCGTCTATGTCATCTCCAATCACCAGCCCTTCTGTCCCCTTGATCGTCTCCCCCTCATCGTTCCTCCACTTTCCAATCAAGAATCTATGATTCACCCCTTCCAATTTCGGCACACAAGCCACACCACCACACCCTCCCGTCTTGCTCGTCGGGATCAGATAATAAACCTCTTTCACTCTTGAATGTGTGAGCGCCATAGAGCACATCAAGCAGGGTTCGTGTGAGATGAAGAGAGTGAGGCCGGTGAGCAGGTAGTGCTGGCCGTTTTTGGATGAGGCGTCGGTTTGTCCTGCGCCCGAGTGCGTGGACGAGAGTGTAGTGACGGAATGTGAGGTCTCTGGGGCTGAATCCAGAAGAGTGGCCGGAGTCGGCATTGAGAGAGGCGAGGGGGGAGGTGACGAGTGTAGGAGTGGGGTGGCTTTTGATTCCGTACGGAAGTCAGCGACTTGACGGACGACGTTGAGTACAGAGTGCCGCAGAGGATGTTGCGCTGAATTACGTGTGTCATGTGCAGTGAACGACGGTAACGGTTCTTCGCTGGAGTCCTCATAAGGTGTAGGCACATGGGCCACAATCGGCAACTAATTACGGCGTATGAGCGGAAGGGCACTCTGAACGTAGGATGAAGATCCAAGTCGTACCTCTCCTTTGACCTTAGCTTTCAGAGCTTCAGAGACGACGACTCGCATGGCCCGCCGAGCCCAGCGCAACTTTGCGCGCGGCCAGTTCTCCGGTTCGCCTTTACGCCGAGGAGTGAAGATGGTGGGCCACAGTGCAGTTTTCAGCTTCAAGGAATTGGGTGTCAGGGCGGGGGTACGCGGAACCGTTATTTGGTAAGGGGGAGGGAGAGTGAAGCCAGCGTCGGATGGAAGCATTGGAGAATCAGGGGAGGTGCTGATGAGGAGAGTGGATGTTCCCTTCTGAAGGTCTTTGCGGATGCGTTTGAGATGCGAGAGCTCGGGCGCGTCGAGTTTCGCTTCTTTAAGCCATCTAATAACACGCTGTCAGTGGTTGCAGGTGGATGAAAAGCTATCGTTAGGCTGTACCTTAACATGACAGCTAGATGCCGAGGGTCAGGTATGTCTACTACCCATACCTGCACTACTCTCGTCAGTACAATTGACATCGAATAAATTCATCCAGTCACATACTTGTGCGTATGGATTCAGGAGTTTCTTCTTCATCCTCATCTGGTGTGATCCTGACTCTAGAGAACGGAAGGTCTTCCTCGAGGATGATTTCGTCAGGATTGCCGTCCAGCATCGATTCGTCTTCGTCGAGATCTGAACCTTCAACGGCATCGCTCAAAGGACCGAGACCTCCCCAACCGTCATCTGGTTCTTGAAATAAAACTGCAGTGGAGCTGGGACCGGCATCGATCGCATCGAACCATAGTTTGTGGCCGTAAAAGATGCAGAGTTCTTCGTCAGGCTCAACTTGACGACTGGTGGTGTACTTAATGGAATCCGTCGTCGGATCGAGGGTGAAGGAGACGTTGGGTGACTGCGAATGATTAAACAAGGATCCTGCCGCCTGGGTTAGATGGACAGTTCGTTCAGAGAGTATATGCCCATACGCACCGAGACCAAGAGCTAAGGCCATCCGACCATCTCGCCACTTAAATGTATAGTGGTCTAATATGGTATGCCTTCCGTGCAAGTCATACTCTTCTGGCGAGAAAAAAAGGACCGGGCTTATTTCAATAACCGTCCATGCTGGTATGACATCCGACGCTGCCCAAAATATCAAAAAAAATCAACTGCTTGAGTATGCCATCATGGGGGAATAAATGTAGGAAAAGCACACCAAAAACACCTCTCCCTTTTCCCTCTACACTCCTGACATAGCAGCCTGTCTTATTGAGATGTTCGAGCGCATTATTTTCGGAATTTGGAGATTTTGTTTGGGAAAGCTTGCCGTCGTCGGCGATGGTGGTGGGAAGAAGGTCTGACATCAGGTGATCAAAACGCGTATTTCGACAAGTCGCGTCCGCGACGTGGCAGACACGTCTTCAACGTTATTTTTGCGAAATTCTTCAGATATTTCTTGCATCTGGACCATCACAACCATCGTTTCGTCTGGTGAAAGTTGACTATGGGCAGTCCAACTGCACCTAGACAACTGTCTTCAGTTCTGCTGCTCTCCTTGGTACCAGTCGCATCATGGTTCTTTATTCGGCCCTTTATAGAGCCTTTTCCCTCTGTACCAGCCCTCTACATTTCGATCGGCTTGTCGATATTTGCTTTACTAGCAACACTTTATCTCGTACCTGCTCTTGGGCCGACGTTCATCAATGCTAACCTGAGAGGAAGAGACTTGTTGAAGACCTATAACACCCAAATGTGCGTACGTCTGCCCTTTGTTGTGCCACACGATTTCATTGAAGTACTTTCTTAGCCCAGAGAGCTTGGGCCTCGTCTGTGCATCTGTGTACATTCTACTTCTCATTATATTTATACCCTTCGCCTTCTCGTCCATATCACTCTCGGAATCTCGCCCACAATTCACGGTCCACGAAGGCATAATCATCAACACATTTCCTCACTACCAGGTGGGTGCCACACCGATTCACTCTGCTATTTCTGTCCGACTTCTGATGTCAATCTGATTGGTAGCTCTCTGTGTATCTTTCGTCCCTACTGTCTCTCCTAATCTCGACTCTACTGGGATTCCTGGACGATGTGTTTGACATTCGGTGGCGCCACAAACTACCCATACCAATCATCGCTTCCATCCCTCTCCTCATGGTATATTACGCCGAGAAAGGTAATACCAACGTGGTTGTCCCAATACCTCTTCGTGGAATATTTGGCACACTTCTAAACCTAGGTAAGCACTAATATGTGCCCGCTAATTGAACGCATTTCTCATGATCTTGCAGGCCCTCTATATTATGCCTACATGGCCCTCCTTTCGACCTTCACTACAAACAGCATCAATATCCTTGCGGGAATCAATGGATCTGAGGTTTCGCAAGCCTTGATCATCGCACTCTCTGTCGTTCTGAATGACCTTCTGTACCTGCCTTGGCCATTTGGGTTCAGCATACCCATGCACCTTCTCGGAAGCCCGTCCGAAGTCGAGGTCGGCGGTGTATGGAGCGCGGGCATGTCCTACGGGAGCAAGGAACTCGTTGAACGCCATCTATTCAGTCTTTATTTCATGTTGCCACTGGTGGGTGTTTGCCTGGGATTCCTGTACCACAATTGGTACGTAGTCTTTCATCGTTTAGCCTCCTCTCTGTTTACACCAGTTAGCCAGTTAGTTGACATGACTGGATCTTGTAGGTACCCCGCTCGTGCATTCCCAGGAGATACACTCTGCTATGTCACCGGCATGGCGTTTTCAGTCGTTGGCATTCAGGCCCACTTCTCCAAGACACTCCTGCTGTTCTTCCTCCCACAAATTTTCAACTTCGTGCTTTCATGTCCACAGCTTTTCGGACTGGTGCCTTGTCCTCGCCATCGTGTCCCACGGTATGTCAGGTTTCCCTTCTCTCACGGTAGAAGAGCCAAGAGTTGCTCACTGGCCATATTATCCACCGTTATCTTTCTGACGGCACAACCGCTGTCATACTTGTTTTTCTTTTCCGGTACTCTTGTATTTTGGTACACGAATCATCCGATGAACCGGTACAACCAGATTCGACCCAGACACGAACGTCCTCCACCCCTCTAAGGTCCTCTTCCTTAAAGCACCTTCGAACCTCACAACATTCGTCCTCCGCACGCTCTCCGCTCTCCGCCTCACGGAACTCACGATTCATCCGAGCACGGGCCAGATCCTCGAAGCTACCAATCTCACGATCCTCAACTTCTTACTTCTACGGTTCGGGCCTATGAGCGAGAAGAGGCTCGTGCAAGTCTTAATTTGCGTCCAGGCGAGTGAACCTATCTACACACTTCGCCATTATGGACATCAGGGTGCAGTCAAGACGCTTACGCTCGGTTGTTTCAGATCGCGGGGAGTGTGGTTGCGTTTACGGTCAGATACGGATTGGCAGGCCTGGTGTACGACGGAGACAGACGGTGATGATTTTCCTCTTCACGGAACCAAGGAATACATTATACGCGCATTCTTGTACAGTCGGACAACGTCCGCGTCTTCCCGGGGGACTCTCGCTTGACGCCTTCCTTTCCTTACCCTTGTTCTGTCGGGCCTCCTTACTGATCGCCATCGGGATCGGACTCATTCGGAAGACCGCTCCAGCCTTCGCCACAGGGGCGCAAAGTGACTGGGCTCCTTTCTGACGAAACGACTCTAGTTGCTGTCACGTTCATATACGCTCAGTGCACGACAGCGTGTGCATGCTTGGTTGTGCGACTACAGATAATGAACAGACTTGGCGGAGGGCAAGTTGCGGAGCGCGATGTCCTTTCGCGCCGCTCAAACCCATGGTTTCTTGTCTCCGTCTCTTTTGGTTCTCTGGGCGGGCGCTCTCGGAACTCTCACTCTTGAGGCGCGAGCACGAACCACGGCACGCCTTTTCCGTTTATCCGCATTGCCTAATTGAGTACTTCATAGTATCATATGCATCGTTGGTTCCGTCCTACTTGGTGACGCTTTTGAGTCTGTGAGCAGTGACAGGTGGGCGTAGAAGTCATGCGACGCTCTCGAGAGCATCCTTTTCTCACTGTTTCGGGCGTTGTTTCTCGCCCCCACAGACGACGACTATGGAGCGTGTACTTCATGAAGTAGTGCGTTCACGGCTGCCTCCAACATTCTGCGGATATGGCTCTGTGGTTATCGAAGACATGCGGCTCCCCGCCCACGATCGCGGAGGAGCAAGGAGCGGGACTGGGGAAGCGTCTCCCTCGCACACGGTCGGGGACGGGGATGCGGGGCGCGTTGTGGCACCCACGGAAGTGATCTCAAGGGTAATCTCCGCACCAGCGAGCCAATTTCAAATTTTCTGACGCGGGGTAAAGGAGCGAATGTTGGTCTCGAGGAATCACATGCCATATGCGGGATGCCTCCCTCCAGCCTGGTCCCGCACCAGACCCCACAAACCGGAAACAGATGCAATTCACTGACAGGACGAGGGATTCGGTCATCTGTGGACATGGTTTTGAGTGCTTTGTATATAAGGCTGAGTCGCTCTGATCTATGGCACACCCGCTTACCCCTCCACGACTCGAATATCCTTCCTCCCGGCCATACTCCTATCTCTGGCTCAACAAACTCTCTGCACATCCCAAATCTGTATCACACACTCCTCGGGTATCTTGAAGCAAGTATCGTGAACCATGTCGCACGCTGAAAAAGTACAATTCGAAGCGGAGGTGAAGCAAGTGGAGCAATGGTGGCAGGTGCGTCCAAACTACAAATGCTATTATCACCCTGATGGCTAACGACGAACATACAGAGCCCTCGCTTCGCTAAGGTCAAGCGTCCTTATACTGCTGCCCAAGTCGTCTCAAAGCGTGGCACGATCCCGATATCCTACCCGTCCGATCTCCAAGGCAAGAAGGCCTTCAGTATTTTCTCGGAACACTTCAAGAATGGGACACCATCGCATACCTACGGAGCGTACGTTCTTTTCTCCTTTCATCGTTCGTTGAATAGAGTGTTGATACCGAGCACAATTTGCTAGGCTAGATCCGGTGCAGATTACGCAGATGGCGAAGTACCTCGAGACCGTCTATGTCTCGGGTTGGCAGTCGTCGAGTACTGCTTCGAGTTCGAATGAGCCAGGTCCCGATCTTGCTGGTAAGCACAGGAATATGTCGTCCAGCGATTCAAGAAATCTCATCATTCGTTCCTTCAGACTACCCATACAGTACCGTGCCCGGCAAAGTCGAGCACCTCTTCATGGCTCAGCTGTTCCACGACCGAAAACAACGTGAAGCCCGTTCTCGCATGTCTGACTCCGAACTTTCCTCCACACCACCCATCGACTACCTCCGTCCTATCCTCGCCGACGCCGATACTGGTCATGGAGGCATCACTGCCGTCATGAAGCTCGCCAAGATGTTCGTCGAGAAGGGTGCTGCCGGAATACACATCGAGGATCAGGCCGCAGGAACGAAGAAGTGTGGTCATATGGCTGGAAAGGTGCTCGTACCCATCCAGGAGCACATCAACCGACTCGTGGCGATCCGGCTCCAGTTCGATATTATGGGTGTCGAGAACCTCGTCATTGCGCGTACGGACTCGGAGGCGGCGACGCTAATCACGACGAACGTCGACGAGCGGGACCACGCCTTCATTCTTGGCTCTACGAACGCTAGTCTCAAGCCATTGGTGACGACGATGATCGAAGCTGAGGCACAGGGGAAGACTGGCGACACACTGCAAGCCATCGAGGACGAGTGGATCGCGGCAGCTGGTCTTCAACTTTTCACCACCGTTCTCGCTGACGCACTCAAATCCCAAACCAACGCCTCACCCGACACACTTTCCAAGTTCTCCCAGCGCATCTCCCACGCATCTTACCTTACCGCTCTCGCCATCGCTCAGAAAGAATTCGGGCTGAAGACTGTTCCGTTCTGGGACTGGGACGCGCCTAGGACTTCGGAGGGATACTACCGCTACCAGGGCGGTACCCAGTGCGCTATCAACCGCGCCATCGCCTTCGCCCCATATGCCGACCTCTTGTGGATGGAGACGAAGAGTCCGATTATGGCGCAGGCGAAAGAGTTCGCGGAGGGTGTGCATAGCGTGTACCCGCAGCAGTGGTTGGCGTACAATCTGAGTCCGAGCTTCAACTGGGACGCGGCGGGCTTGGGAACTACGGAGATGCAGGACTACGTGTGGCAGTTGGCGAAGCTTGGCTTCGTTTGGCAGTTCATCACAGTGAGTTCTTAGCACTCAATTTCTTGTGCTTCATGGCTTGTCGTGACGTGTGCTGATAATGTTGCTTGGTCGTGATAGCTCGGTGGTCTGCACTCGAACGGTTACATCTCGGACCTGTTCGCAAGACAGTACTCGAAGGAGGGTATGAAGGCCTACGTCGAGCTTGTCCAGAGGAAGGAACGAGAACTCGGCACGGATATGTTGACGCACCAGAAGGTTAGCCTGCCGTTCCCTCTTTACTTTTTCAGTTGGGCCACAGAGCTAATGATGCATAATAGTGGAGTGGAGCAGAGTATGTCGACAGCTTGCTCAAGACGGTCACGGGCGGTGTTTCGTCTACTGCGGCCATGGGTAAGGGAGTGACGGAGGAGCAGTTCTCGAAGAGTAAGATGTGAGGCGGTAGAGCCACGTCGACGTGCATGGACTTGTCTTCTATTGCGTGGCGCGCCACATGTATATGTAGAGTCGGAATTGTTCATCTTTTGTACTGTAATTTCTGCTGCATCTTTCCTTGATCATCTACACGGCACTGTGCAGATTTACGACATTATCTTTACTCGTCGGCATGCACCGTGGACTTGGACGTTGGAATCGAGGCGGAGACATGATGGGTTCTCCTAAATAGGTAAACTGCTATGCAGGACTAGATCCGTTCGGAGCGCGACTTGTTTCTTGTTTACCACCACCACCACATACGCTCTCCAATTCCGCTCTCTCGACTTGCTTTCAGTCTCTTATCACTCGTAAATCATGGATACAGAGTATCGAATTGAGGCTGTCTCCCGCTTTCTTCTCCAATCTCCGCCGGGAGAGATCAATGATGTGCTAAACGGTCAGCAACTGCGCGTACACGCTGTCTCAAGGTCTCACTCACTCGTGAACTATCCATAGACGTTCGGAATATTATCTCGGACGACGAGAGTCTTCAAGGAGGTGTCTACCCCGCCCTTCAAGAGTACAACCTCGCACAATTCATTGTGGCAGATGTGCCCGGCGTCAACCATCAAGTACGCGCATTGCTGACAGGTCTGGCATGACATGCTGAGGATGGAACTTTTCTGGTTTAGTCGATCGTCAGCACCGCTGCGAAGGTTGAAGGAGAGGAGAACAGATTCTTGGATCCACGATCGAAGACGACCTTTGTGTTTGACCATGTAGCTTTAGTGCGTCTCCCCTACTATCTCTCCTATTTACTGTACTCATCGACGTCCACCATCAGGAATCCTCAGAACCGGAGACCCATGAACCTAACCCTGAATCAGAGCCATTCCGGTAACATTCTGTCCTAGAATCCCTGGGTCCATACACTCGTGATCTAACGCGGTGTACATTTGTTCAGCGCCGCACTTGAATCTTCCACACTCACTTATCTCTTCGGTCACTTCCACGATGGCGTCGCCTCCGTCTTCTCTACCCCAGGATCATCTACGCATTTCACTATCCAAGTCGTCGCGAACAAGTACAACCCTAACAACTACTGGTCAGGTCGGTGGCGGTCAGAGTACGTTGTCGATCTGGAGGCGAAGACAATTTCGGGTCGGCTTCTGCTGAACGTCCATTATTACGAGCAGGGAAATGTACGTTCCTTCCACTCGTCCGTTCAGCTCCCTCGGTACTCAAACTGAGTTAAATATCTCCGATAGGTCCAACTCGAAACCCAACACACCGCTTCCATCTCCCTCCCACCTACAATATCCTCCTCTTCGCCTGGTCCCTCGGCTTCGAAGATCTTAGCACTCATCGAAGATGAAGAAAGCAAGTACCAGACAGCGTTGAACAATACGTATCAGGATATGGGAGAGAAGACCTTCAAGGGGCTCAGGAGAGCTCTGCCTTTGACGCGTCAGAAAATCGATTGGGATAAGGTACGTCTCGTCTCGTCTTCACTCCACCCCGTTTGTTTGCCCTGTGCTTCGACTGAGTGGACTGGGATGTGATTTAGGTGCTAGGATATAAGCTAGGCCAGGAGCTCTCGGCGAGTCGAGGTGGTGGGTTTGGGGCGACTGCCTCGTAGGCCATGGCTGTGGCCAAAGGAAGTTCAGATGCGAGAAGATATTGTGGCCCCGACAGTCATAGCGTTAACTATATTTTGAATTCATCGAAACTTATTCTAGGAAATATTTGGATGCGTGATAACGAATTTACGCTGAACGTAACCTGTACAGTGTAGGCCCACATGCACTCATTGATCCGCCACTTTGGGTCAAATCATTTTCTCACGTCCCTCACCATACTCATTCGAGTTGTTGGCTTTGTGGTTGAGAGTACCTATTATTTATGGTCCTCAGAATAAAATACACAGGGTACCCCCGAGGTGGATATGCATTATGGGAAGATCAAAAGGTGGTATGGCACCGAGCGCCACAAAAAGCCTCTCCTTGATTCAAACCCGCACCGCACGATTCTCCCTTACAACAATGAGCTAGGCTCATGTATGAGCTTGATATGTGTCCAAGTATCCTGTATCCACATTTTTTGTGAGTGATACCAAAGGCAGGGGAGCTGTACGGCCGAATTGCAGCGGATCAAGGACCGGGCCTGAACTATATAGAGATCAGTTCTCGATAAGTTCTAAATATCCTGAAGTTCATCGGTACGATAAAAACCGAGTCCATGTGAGCCTTTTTGAGAAACAAATCCATCAATGGAGAACGACGCTCTGTCGCACGCGCCGAACTCGCGATCAAAGCCTGCGATGAAGAGATCGCCTTCGCTCAGGCCTATATACAAGGCCTCAGAGCGCGCCGGAACACCCTGCTCTCCGTCGTTCAGTTCCCTTCCGAAATCCTTGGGGATATCTTCCGCTTCCTACTACCCGTGTTCAAGTTACACCTTCCTGACGTACCGTGCGAAGACGTCGACGCCAAGATTGCTGCTGGCACACGGTCTCTTATTGCGGCATCCCATGTCTGTCGACGATGGCGCAATGTAGCGCTCGAGCACTCTGCGCTATGGACCCTCCTATGGATTCAAAATCCGTCCTGCATGCGCGAGATGCTCGTCCGTTCGAAGGGTGCTCCTCTTATCATCATACAGTCACGGCAACCGTTACGCTGCATAGAATTTTTGACCTCCAGACTATTCAATGAAATCCAGCCAAAACGTCTATACTTGTCACCCGCACTCAACGCGGATATGACGACGCTCTGGGACAAGGTGCTGCTGCGGCCCGCGCCTCATCTGGAGACCTTTGAAATAGTTGGACGTTTTTACACCAGCGTAATGTCCATCCCTGGTCAATTGTTCAGCAGATGTGCACCCGCTTTGAAGCACTTGTGTTTGGCGGGGTGTTTCTCATGCGAGGCTCTGTGGTCATCAGCGATCCTTCGTCAACTTGTCAGTTTGACATTGGATGAAGGCTCGAACAGTACCGACGAGTATTCTAGAGTGCCTCTCGGAGTCGTACTCGGCGCACTTCGAGAAATGCGCCAGCTGGAGGCACTCTTTCTCACCTTCCCGTCGCTTTATCTCAAGTCATCACCGGAGAGGCCTCCATATTTTCCACACTGCGAACAGGAGCACACTCCCGCACAGCTTCCTCGACTCTCATCCCTAAGCTTGTTTGGGGGTTTGACGGACATCACTGCGCTCGCAAGACACCTGGTCGTTCCTCGTGGGGCCGCCATACGATACGCGGTGACCCTTCGTGAGGACCGAGTTCATGATGGACTCACGGAGGACATCGCACAGCTCCTACATCCTGTTATCCCTCCACTCTCACGACTGAGGACTTCTGAGCTCACGTTAATGAGCAAAAGCGACTGCACCTTGCATGTCCGGTGCTGGGACCATACTCTCCCTACGGATGCTTCTTCTCTTGAAAACTTTTGCGAGCCACGGTTTGCAGTTAGTTTCAGAATCCGTTCCCTATCTCGATACTATGGACCAGACCCGACTGTACCACGCAGAATACAAAAGCTCGTCGAAATCTTGCACATGGTCTCATTGTGCCTACCCTTCGATCAAGTACGCGACCTACGGTGGACTAGCCATCCTGACTTGCAAAAAACATATGCTTCGGACGTAGCCATCGACGCCTACGAACCTGTATACAACGAGCTGTTGAATGTTTTCCCCAATACGAAACGACTCTTCTTCGGTGACACTTCTTACTGCAAAGGAATTATACAGGTGTTGGTGTCTGATAGCACCCTTCTCCCCCATTTTTCCAATATTCATTTCAGTCCCTCACAAGAGCTCGCCCGCGAACAACAGCGGCCTTTTGCACTATCACCAGCCGCGGAGGCGATGGTACTGGAGCATCTTCGGGAGCTTGCGACCAAACTTCGCCGCTTGGCGGAAACTAGAGATATCCAGACCCTCGAATTGCGCGGAAGACTCATTCGCCGGGAAGACGTCCATTTGTTCGAGGGCATCGCGAAGGAACTTGTCTGGGAACTTTGATGGTGGCTGGATGTCGAAAAACCTTGGGTATGTTCTGAGCTGTATTCTCGTCTGGGCTCTTTCGTACTACCCTTCTTCTTGTTAACCATAATATTCCACAGAGACCACCGTTGATGACTCGTTCAACGGGTCTCGTTGTCAAAAAAGAAACGTGTATACGAATAAATGTATATGAACGCCTAGGACAGAACTACACGAATCGCAGACAGCATCTGAAATGTTTTACACAACGCATACACGGTTTTTCGTCTGCCCAGCACGCTGTGCCGGTAGTCAATTTTACCGAGCAGAATGTAGAAATAATGGTTTACTTGACCAAAGCCTGCAACCCGATGCTGGTCTAAATGTGTCCAACAAGAACTCAAGAAGTGGCGTAAACACATTCGTTCTCACGGCTTCCTTCCTAGGTTTGCACTCCCGTGGCCCCAGCCCCACCTCACGAATCATGGCAAGATTCATACCGCTCACAATCGCAAACCGACAGACGCAAGCACTCAGGCACTCGTTTTGTTCCTCAAAGAACCCGAAAGTCAGGAGTAGTAAAAGGTGAGAAAAAGTAAAAAGTAACACAGACGGCGGGCACGCAATATAAGTTGTATCGCAAGCCATTCCGAGAACTTATCAAACAGTGTCCGAACTACTTATCCTGACATCACTAGCAAAGAGGAAAAAACGAAGGAGGAAAAGGAGGAAAAGGAGAAGAAAGGAGAAATAAAACTAGAAGTACACCGAGTACAGTCCGTGGAGCGTGTGACTGACTGACGAGTTGAAGGCGAACTGACGAGTTGAAGGCGAGAAAGGGGGCAGAGGACAGAGAAAAAGCAGGCATGGGGCAACGGACGAGGGACGACGGTAGAAAAGAGGTCGATATAGGCGACAATTGAAACCTGAACCAAGACCTGGTGGATGGATGGTGGATGGTGGATGGTGGATGGTGAGTGATGGATGGTGGACGGTGGGTGTTGGCAATGTAAAAAGAAAAGGAAACGGGGAAATGGTGGTCGAAATTTCGGAGCGCACTGGCAGACTAGGAATGAGACAGGAAAAAAGGGGGATCCGGGATGATGATTCGTGGACACAAACAGAAATAAGAGAAAATCAATTGAAGTGCAATAAGGAAATGACGAAAAAGGAAAGAATAACAAGGAGAGAGCCGAGAGAGGGAAAAGAGAAAGAGAAAAATCTCGAAATGGATCCCAAAGCGATACGATGCGATGCGATGCAATACGATGAATGCTAATCCGACCCGGCTATGTAACCCAGAGATGAAGAAAGAAATCAGGGGGAAAGAGAGGGAATCGAGAGAAAAGAAAAGGAATCACTGGCAGGGGAAACGAGAGGAAAAGGAAAAGGGAAGAAAGGAAATCACAGCCACGACGTGACGCGCGGGCCCATCGTGTCGTATTTTACCGACAGGCACATTCTAACGCGCGCTCGAGACGGTAAAAGAATAGGTGAGAATGAGGCAAGGGCAGAGAGGCAGGCAGGGGAGGAAGAGAGAAACACACACAGATAGGTAGACACATAAAAAAGCAAGGAAAAAAACACAGTCCGTCGAGTCCGTCCACACCACACGAGCAACCAACCAATTCACCGCACCCCACTGATCACCTCCACCGGCGAGCTCATCGAGTTCGGCCCCGCCACCCTAATCCTCTTCATCGCCGGCCTCGTCGTCCTCGAACTCTCCATGACCTTCGCCTTCACCCTCGGCGGCAATCCCCTCATCCCTCCGAGCCCACCCGTCCCATCCTCATCCTCATCCTCATCCTCGTCTTCCTCATCATTATCTCTATTGTCTTCATCATCGTCTTCATCATCGCCCCCGTCCCGGTCCCCTTCCTGGTCCCTTCCCCTCTTCCCATTAACACTCGTCGTAACATCCTCATAAACGCCCCTGCCATACGGTCCAGCCTGCTTCTGCTTCTTCTGCTCTTCCTTCTCCTTCTCCGCCTCTTCATACGCCCCTACTCCCCCACTGCCACTGCCACTCCCCCCACTCCCCGAAGACGACATCTGTCCCGATCCCGATCCAGAACTCGACGCCGTCGTCGTGCTCCCCGTTTTCGATCCCGCACCCCCAGCCCCAGAAGAAGCGGATGCAGCAGCAGCAGCATTAGACTTCCTCCTCCCCGGCCCTCCATTCGGATCGTTCACATAATTGCACGCCAACGACCTTCTCGCGCAGCTCGAGCAGCTCGGATGAGCGCCATCACATTTCGTCTTGCGCGCTAAAGAAACAAAAAAAAAGAACGGAAACGAACGCCAGACGTCAGTCATCAGACGATCGGATCCCGTGATGGACATCATGGAGAAGAGAAGGGAAGGAGAAGGCAGAACGTCGAAGGCGGAGAAGACGGAGAAGGGTCAACTGCAGCATGGAGCGAAACAAGCAGCTGATCGGCAGCGTCAATTCGCCGATATCAAATCACGAAAGTCTATCCGTGAAGGCTCGAGTCAAGAAAAGAGCCCCATCCAATAATCCGGGTGGTTACCCCAAAAAACGAAAGAAAGAAGGAAAGACCGAATGAAGGACGACACGACACGACACGACACGACAAGAAAGAGAGAGAAGAAAAAAAGCGAAGACGAAACGAAAACTCACCTCTACAAAAATTACACGCAACAACCTTCGGCCCATAATTCGACGACGCCCTCCCTCTCCCTCCTCCCCCACTCCCACTCCCTGTCCCTGTCCCATTCCCATTCCCAGCACTGGCGCTAGCACTAGCACCCCCCGCCGCCACACCCCCCGAAATAGTCGACGACCTCTTCCTAGACGAGATCGTCGTCATCATCACCGTCGGCGGCGAGGCTGGCACATGGCCCACAGAAGCCGCAGACGGAGAAGCCGAATGTGCCAACCGCTCGTTCTCCTCCTGCCGCTCTCGTTCGTCCGCCGTCCGGATCATCGGTAGACCCATACCCATACCCATACCCATACCCCTCCCCATCGACGAACTCGGATGCGGGCCAGGGAACGCGAGAGGGGGAACGACAGGCACTCCGCTCGATACCGCGGACGCGGACATCGGGCTCGTCTTGCCCATAGCTGACATTGGGCTCGTCTTGCCGATCGCAGACATCGGACTCGTCTTCCCCGACAGAGGCAGGGGCAACGGCGCGCTCGAACCCGTGATGGCCGACGACATCGCGCTCACACCCCCCACTGCAGACGACGACGACAAACCCATCGTCCCCATCCCTGTCGCGCTCGGCACAGGTGGCAACGTGATATTCAGATTCGTTCCTATGGGCCCCATCCCCATCCTCTCCAATGACGAAGCGACGTCCATGTCCGATTTTTGTAGCGGGGAGACGTTCATGGGCGGGAGTGAGAGGATTGGCTGTTGCTGTTGTTGCTGCTGTGGTGGTGGTAGTGATTGGGGTTGGGATTGGGATGGTGGTGGCGGAAGCGAACCGCTAAACTCTCCATGGTGCGACTGCGAATGCGAATGCGAATGACGAACACCCGAAAACTCATACCCCCCTCCATTCTCCGCCTGTGACGAATGCGAAAGCGAATGGGAATGGCGTCCTCGGTACGACGGAACCTGTTGGCGTGACGACACCTCCGGGCTCAACGACGCGTCCGTGCCCGTCCCCATGCCCATGCCCATCTCCCCCGCCGAGCCCTCCATCTCGCGCTCATACTCCTGCTCATGATCACGACTATGCTCCTGCTCATCGCTACCCCCTTCTCCCTCCCCATCCCCCTCACTATCCCCGCTCTCTCTCCCATTCACGCTCAACGCACCACCAGCACCCCCTCCTCCCCCTTCACCACTCGCACCGGCACCACTAGCACCGACACCAGGAGCAGAACCGGCACCGGAACCGGAGCTCCCGTTCCCATACGCCCTCCGCGTCCGAGGTCCTCCCCGTCGTTTCTGCGCCGGCATGTAATCGCACGTATGTGAACGTTTGACGCATTGTTGGCATGCTGGGCGACCTCCGTCGCATTTCAACTTCCGGGCTATTGAACGGGTAAGGTTGGTAAGTGGGTGGTTGCGGAGGGGTTGCGGAGAGAGGGGGCAAGGGGCAAGGGAAGAAAAGAAAAGAAAAAGCGGGTTAGAGGCGAGAACCAAAAGCAAGTACAGGGATCGAACCAAAGCCAAGGCATGCCTTTCACGAAAATAAAATAAAATAAGACATGAAAACCTCGGCACTCAGCCACGGTTCCAATCGTTTCCGAGGCTGGAGACTGAGCTCAAAGAAATCGCTATCGCTATCAAACGTTCCACAAAGAAAGACATAACACGCTCAAAGAGTGTGTCTGGTCGTGCACTCGACACGCGAGCGAGACAAACAAGCCGGCGGCACGGAGATGGAAGACGGGCTTCAACGATTAATGAATCGAATCGAAAGGTGATCGGTCGATGGGGTTCGTTCATTCGTTCATTCATAACGGACAAAAACAGAAAAAGACAAAAACAGAAAAAGACAAGAAGAGGAAAGACAAGAAAGAGGAAAAGAGACAAGAAACGATCTCGAGCGACGGATCAACTCGCGAGCTTGAGCTCGATGACTCATGAAAGCTTCAACTCGATGACCCGCGAAAGCTTGAACATCCTTCAAGTTCCTTCCTTCCTTCCTCGCGGAATGTTGAACTCGATTGACGGGCATCATCGTGTATGTACAATGAAAAAGCGCATGAACACGGACTGGTATAGAGAGCCTAGGCCCTTCTTCTTCTTGTCGCAGGTTCATTCGCTCGGAGGGAAATGAAATCCGCTCGTCTCGCTCGGAAATGACCATAAGTGCGCAAGTGCATAAATGAACCGCGAATGAGCGCAACCGCATAAGAGGCCGTAAACGAGCCCAAGCAAAAACCCGGAAACATGAAACATGAAAACGCCCAGAACGCCTGATAACGACCTAGATCTCGCGCTCGTGCTTGTGCTCGTGCTCGTGCTCGTGCTCCTCGAAGGTACATACGGAGGAGACGACGCCCACTCGCCTCGCTCGGAAATGACCACAAGTGCGCAAGTGCGGAAAGGAACCGCAGAGGAGAATAGGAAACATGAAACGCTCGGATGTCCGATAACGACCTATGTAGGTCTTGGGCTTGTGCTTGTGCTCCTCGAAGGAATGAACGGAGGACACGAAAGTCCGCTCCTCTCGCTCGCTCGGAAATGAGCGCAAGTGCGTAGAGAACCACGCACGAGCGTAAAAAACCGCAACAGCATCAGAGGCCGCAAGTGAGCGCGAGCGTAATCAAAAGCCGGAAACACAAAAACGCTCAGAACGCTCGTCTTGCTCGGAAACGAGCAAATAAGCACAAGTGCTTTCGGAATCACGCACGCGCGTAAAGAACCGCAACCGCATAAGAAACCATGCACGAGCACGAGCACAAGCGCAATCAAAATCCAGAAACACGAAACGCTCAGAACGCTCGATAGTGTCCTGCTCCAAGGAGCACAAGCGATTCGTGCGGACGGGGAGATAAACCTAAAACCCAAAACCGAAGGGTGAAACGCAGACCGAATGACCCAGGCTGACCTCGGTGTGTACGAGCAAAGAAAAAGGACTGTCCAAAAGAGAGAGAGAAATAAAGAAAACGAAGAAAGAACGAAAGCCTGTGCGGTGCGTCCTCGAACAAAAAAGACACTCACATCGACAGAAATTACACGCCACGGTGATCTTTTTGCTGCGTTGCCTGTTGTTATTGCTATTGCTGCCGCTGTTATGGCTATTGCCGTTGCCGTTGTTATTGCCGTTGCCGTTGTTGCCATTATTGGTCGACTCTAAATGATAGCGAGCAAAACGAACATCAGTGGACCGTCCAACCCCAATCAAACCAACAAGAAAGAACCAAAGAAAAAAAAAACACTAACTCGCAGACCCACTCCTCCCACCCGCACCCGCACCCTCCTCATCCTCCATCCCCCCCACACCCATCCCAATGCCAATCCCTATCCCCATCCCCCCCATACTCATACCTATCCCCGCCCCCATCCCCATCCCCGATATCCCGCCCATTCCCATGCCATGGCCATGGCTATGTCGTGATGAGGGCACAGAAGGCCTCGACGCCTCAATGGCTAATATCGGACGCGGTGCGTTCGGATGTGGGTGGGGGTGGGGATGGTGGGGGAGTGCGAGCTGTGAGGACATAGGGACGGGAACCATAGCCATAGCTGACGATGACCCATTCCCATTAACAGCGGAGGATGACCCAGGAACAGAAGACGTGGGGATAGGAACACCAGAAAGTGAAAGATGTCCGTGCGGGGAGATCGACTGTGCTCGTGAATGGGAGTCGACCGTCGTCCTCAGGACTTCGTTCTTGAATTTATCGAATAGATATTCGCGCGTGTATTTCTGCAGTGTCTGTTGTCGCGTCCAATTAGGTCATTCATTTAGCGCAACGAAGAGGGAACGAAAGCGGATCAGCGGGAGTTATACGTCAAAAGGGGCGAAAAAGCGGATCAGCGGAGGACGGAGGAAAAAGGGGCGAAAAAGCGGAGGAAGAAAGAAGAAGGAAGGGAAGGAGGAAAGACGAAGGAAAAGTGCTAGAAAGCGGAGAGGGGAGGAAGGGAAGGGAAGGGAAGGGAAGGGAACGAGATGGCGGAGGGAGTGGAAGAACACATACCCCCATATGATGAAACACCGCCTGTCGAAGCGCAAGGAAATCACAATGCGTCGGATCGAGGACCTACAACAAAACAATCAAAAACAAACACATGAGCACCCTTCTCTCTCTCTCTCTCTCTCCCCCTCCTCAGTCCCCACCCGTCACTAATAATAATAAAAAACTCACATCCAAAAACCCCCACCTATACTGCCTCACAAACCGTCCCCTAACCAACTTCGTCGACCTATAATGCCCATGTCCATGTCCATGCCCATGTCCACCAATAGGCGTATACTGCCCCACGATCTCATGTCTCGACACCACCGCCCTCTGCACTCCATCCCCATGCGAATAACAATCCGGCGAAATGAGCGCGTACGGTAATCTCAAAAACGACGGGGCGACGGGGCTCGTAGGCGACGAGCTCGACGACGCCGCGGAACTTTGGCCGTTAAGCAACGACCCTACAAAGTTGTTGGAGGGGTGGGAGTGCTCGTCGTCCTTAGGTGCCGGATAATCCGCATCGAATATCCCAAACCCAATCCCCGCCTCCGCAAGATCCCGCCTAACCGCATGTTTCACCGCCGCCAATCTCTCATTCGTGAGTTCGTCGGCGCGCGCAATAACGGGAAGGACATTCACGCGTGCGCTCAGTCTTCGAATGGCGGTGATTTCGGCGGGGGGGAGTACGGGCCTGCAGAGCAAGGGGTTCGTCGTTACGGGGGGTTCGAGGATTAGAGGGGGGTCGTCTGCGGGGTGGGAGAGGGAGAGGGAGTGCGGGTGAGAGAGGGAGGGGTGGTGGGAGTGAGAGTGAGAGAAGGAGAGGCTGTTGGTGCGGGTGCGGGGGACGGGGGGAGGTGCTGGTGTGGCGGTGGCGGAGGGAGGAACGATTTGATGCGGGTCGAGAAAGTAGATGCAGCTGTAGTCATAAGTGGGTGAGTGAGAGGCTGGACTGGCTGAAAGGAACGAGAGAAGCGGGATGTGCCGGGCGCGGCGGTAGGTACGCACAGGTGGACATGGTGCTCGCCCGTCTGAGCAAAGTATTCCTATCATTCGCGTCAGCTCGTACCCACTGAACAAGCAAACCAAGTAGCAAAACAAAATACATACCTCCTCCAAGCTCTCCACAAACCGCTCATCCACAAACCTCAAAATATCCCCAATCGTCCTCTCCGCCTGTATCTCCTCCCTCGAATCGAGGCTCGGCGTATCGACGAGCGTAAGCGTGAACGGCGTCGCATGCGATGCATCGGGATGCTCGACATCGACGGACACGGAACGGAGGTGTTGTGTGTGATTCGCGGACCCCTGGACGAACTTTGCGAGGTCCGTGAGCTGGTCATGGGTGGCCGAGAGTGCAACGTCGGCGGTATCAAGTAAAAGACGAAGAAACGCGGTCTTTCCGGCGCTGTGGCCGGCGACCATGAGCGTGTAGGCGTTGGCGTCCATGGTGACGGCGGCGGCGGCGGTGATGATGATGATGAGGGAAGGGAAGGGAGGGAAGGGAGGGAACGCAGGAGGACGGTGAGTGTTCAGGGAGGGCCTGGCCATTCGACGAACAACGCTCGATCTTCCGACTCCGAATCCCCGCAACGAAACGCACAGGCGGTGAACGGACCCGGTTGGTGAAAGACCCCGCGTGCCTAGCCAGGCCTCCCTTCAGCTGCCAAATCACAACTCCCGCGCGGATCTCACCTCCCACCCCGCTCCATCGGCCCCGGATCTCAAGATCGGGTCGAGGCCCCCGCCCAAACTCACCCTCGCTTTTCATTTCCCCTTCAAAGCCCGCGCCGAGCCTCATCCCCGCCCCCGTCCGCCGGCCAATCGACTCGTGTGCGTCCTTCAAAGCGGGGCTCGTCATTGTCAACTGCGGCTACATACGGCGAGAAACTGTCCAGAAAGGCGAATAAGAATAGAAATAAGACATCTGCGTGCATGCATGGATCGAAAGGAACGAAGGCTGGGAGAAGCGAAGCGATCAACACCCCCTCCGTCTGTCCGACCGAAACGTAAACGTAAAAAGCCAAAGCGATAAGCACACCCACCCAGCCCAGGTCCGCTCCTTCCCCACCGAGCGTCCCAAACCTAAACAATCCCGTCACATCCGACGTTCCGAGCGAGCGAATCACCATCCTCCGTCCTCTCGTCACCGTCCAGACCTCCGTCATCGACTTCCCACTCTCCCGCTTCTCCGCTTCCCAGGCCACTCACTCCCCATCATCGCCCTCTTCCGCATCCTCAGCCCTCTCCTTGCCCTTACCCTGTCCCTGTCCCCTCCGTCGCCCACTCCTCCCCCGACCCTCCTCCTCGCTCTCCTCAGCTTCCTCCTCTCCCTGACTATCCTCATCACCATCATCATCGTCGTCATAATCCTCCTCCGACATCTCTCTCCCACGCCCCGATCCCCCCGGAACACTCACCCCCGAGCCAACCCTCCGTCCCCGTCCCCGTTCCTGCATCCCTCTTCCTCCTCCTCCGCGTTCCTGTTCTCGTCCCCCTCCCCGTCCCCGTCCCTGCCCCTCTCTCCCTCTTTCCGCTTCTCCATCCCCTTCCCCATATCCATACCCACGTTCGCCCTCCCCTCCGTTGTCGTGCGCATAGCCATAAGAAGGTCCGCTAGCAGCAGAAGCAGAAGCCGACCGAGGTCCAAACGCGAACGGGGGTCCTCCTCCTCCCCCTCTTCGTCCCTGTCCCTGTGTCTCCTGCGCGTACGTTCGTCCCGAATGCGGATACGGATACGGATATTGTTCATGCCCTGATCCTGATCCTGATCCGAGACTGGGCGCGCCACCGCCACCCTGAAAGTGCATCCCAACGTACTCCCCTCCCATCCGTCCCTGCACACTCCCTCCTCTCCCCTCCTCTCCCCTCCCACCCTCCCCACCGCCCTCCCCACCCCCCACCCCAGACCCAGCCCCCGAACTGACCCCCCTCCTCCTCGTCCCCTTCGGCGCTTTCCCCGGCCCCCGCCTGCGTATCACAGGCACGTACTCGCATACCTGTTCGTGACGGACGCAGGAGGTGCAGGTTGGTCTGTCGCCGCTGCAGCGTAGTTTTCGGGCTGTGTTGGGTGGGGTGGGTGGGGGTGGGTGAGTTGTTTGAAGGGTGTTCGGAAGGTGAGTGAGTGAGTGTTGAGTGAGTGAGTGAGTGGAGAGATGATGATGGTGGCGGGGAGATGATATGATATGATATGATCGTCCAAGTGTCAAAGTGACGAGATGACGAGACCGAAAATCATGATATGATATGATATGATCGAGTCGGTCCATTCGGTGATCAAAGCAAACGCGCAAACAAAGAAAGCAAAGAAAAGCGATTTCGTCAGTATCAATATATAACCATCTCAATCAATCAAAGTTCACTCTGAATCAAAGGGCAAGCGCGCCACAGGAGAAAACGCCACACATCACCCATTACCACACACGTTAGTCACAAGTCAGACGATCCGCCCTTCATCCATTCATCGGTTGCATCTTTTTACGTCCTTTACGTGTATGGCATGCCACGCGCGAATGCGAATCCTCGGAACGCCAGCGCGGGGGGATGTTACATATATGAATGGAAGGGAGGGAACGGGATATGGGAGTAGGATGAACGAATCCGGGCTGGCTGTGTGCCCACGCGCGGCATGCAAATTCAAAGCTCAAAGCCAAAAGGCAAAATGCCCGATGCGGGAGGCGAACACTCCAATGCAGAAGGCGAGGAGCTCGAAGCGGAAGGGAAGACGCAGAAATAGGAAAGAAAGAAAAGAAAAGAACTCACTTCTACAGAAATTACAAGCGACCGCCGTTTTCTTCTTCGTCGTCGGCTCAGACGTCGGTTCGTCCTCTTCTCCTCCCGCTCCTGCTCCTCCTGCTCCGGCGCTCGTCCTCCCTCTTCCTCTTCCACTTCCTCCACTATTATTATCATTACCTCCCCTGTTCGCGTTCGCACTCGCGTCCTCACTCACCCTCTTCCGTTTCGTCTTCTTCCCACCTCCTCCTCCTCCTCCTCCCCCACCTGAACCCGACCCTCTCGAAATAACAGGCTTCCTCTCCCTCTCCCCCTCACTCCCCATTTCCAAATCCGATCCCGCCGACGCACGTTGTCCATGTCCGCGCCTCTGTCCATGTGCATGATAAGACCCGGCCTGAAAACCCGTCGAAGACCCCTCCACGAACATCACATCATCATTATACCCACCCCGTCCTGCTCCTCCTCCCGCTCCTCCTCCTCCTCTGAGATAATCATCCTCCCCGGACATCATCCGTCCTCTATACTCTCTATACATCTCTCTCTCCCTCTCAGCCTGCCCAGGTCCAGGCCCGAACTGTGCAGACGAATACGGACCGAACGCGTACGGATCGCCCATTCCTCCCGATCCCGCGCGCTGTTGCTGCTGCTGCTGCTGTTGTTGCTGAAGGTGTTGTTGTTGCTGCTGCATATACGCAAAATAATGACTCCCACCCGGCCCTGGCGGTGCCGAACTGCTCAACCCCGCCGAACGCGGATCATGCATCCCATGTGCGAGGGACGAAGAAGAAGACGACGAGGAGGGGAGGGGAAGGGGAGGAGGGGGAGGAGGAGGGGGAGGGGGAAGGTCGGGATATGCGGATAGGGAGGCTTGGTAGCGTGCGTAGTCGTATGGTATTCCGCGTTGGATGGGGGGAGGTTGGAGGGAGTGAGGACGGGTGTGGGGGTATGTTGCGTAGGGAGGTACTATTCATTTTGCATTTCGTTTTTTTTGTTGTCGATCGAGAAGGAAAAGGAAAGGAAGAAGAAAAAAAATCAGTGAGTGAGTGAACGCGTTGACTGGGATAATCAAATCAAAGCACATATATCCACCCAAACGTCAAAATTGAAGAGAAGCAACTCACATTCACCGAACCCAGCCCCAGACCCAGACCCCGCCCCAACCCCGCCAGACATCCCCCACTCCCCAAAACTCCCCCTCCGATCCCCAACCCTCCCATATCTCTCCTGTTCCCTCTCCCTCAGTTCCCTCTCCCTCTCTCTCTGCTGAAGTTCCCTTTGTTGCAATTGTTCTCGTTCTCGTTGCTGTAACTGTTCTCGTTGTTGCTGCTGCTGATGATGATGACTCCACGCCTCGCCCCTACTAAAACTCTCCGCCCTCCCAATCCTCGAATCATATTCCTCCCACTGCTGCATACTCCGCCACGCCTCCTCGCTCATCATCCTTCCACTTCCTATTCCTCCACTTCCTATTCCTCCACTTCCACTTCCACTTCCTCCTATTCCACTTCCTGTTCCTATTCCTATTCCTGTTCCTCCTCCTATACCACCGAGCGAATGAGGCTCACGCCACTCGGGCACGAAACGACTGCTCGAGGCTTGCGGTTGAGGTGGCCAGGACGAAGGACCGCCGCTGCTGTGTGCGTGGGGATCGACGTCGGACCAGTAACTCGAAGCTGAATGTGGATGCGGCGGAGGTGGTGGTGGTGGAGGTGGAGGCGGCGGGGGAAGCTGCGAATGGGCGGGATGTTGGGCGGTCTGCGAGTAACGCGGCGTGGGCGGCGGGAAAGTATACGGGTAAGCGTACTGATTCGGATTCGGATTCGGATTCGTGTTTGGATTCTGGTTCGGGATGACGTCTCCTGTCCAAGGCGGATTATGTTGTTGTCTGACTGAATGCGGAGGAAGCAGGGGCGGATTCAATTGATGATGATGATGATGCGAAGAAGAGGAGGAAATGGAAGAGTGAGCAGCGTGGAGATGCGGAGGCAGATGGTGTGGCATGGCGGAAGAAGGGGGGGTTCCGGGACGGACGCGTTCGGTACTGGTGCTGGAGCTGGCGGGAAGAGGAGGCAGAGAATGAGGAAGAGGAAGAGGAGGACGTTCGTGTTCGTGCGCTTCTACTCCCGCCAAGTCTACCGCCGCTGTATCAGGCGCGTCTGCGTCTATGCGCCTTGTCGTGTCCGTCTCTCTATCCGTATCTCTCTCTTGTGAATAAATCGGGGAAGAAGTCGTCACGGGCGGGGAAACAATGGGACGGAGAGGAAAGGCGGACATGAGAGGAGAGGAAGAAAAAGAAACGGGACGGGAGCGGGAGGGGCCTGCTGCAGGGAATGTATTATAGTCTGGCGGAGGTGGGACTGGGACCACCGGTGCTGCTGCTCGAATTGAAGGGACGAGTGGCACTGGCACGCCCGCCGAGGCGGCGGGTGGCGATCGCTCGAACCGTGTGCGGTCAATTACAAGTTCGTGTCGGTGTCGGTGTCGGCGTCGATGTCCACGCTCCGCCCCGTCCTCTCTTTCGTCGTCGTCGTCGTTGTCGTTGTAGCTATCGTCGCGGTCCTCGTATCCGTCGTTCTGTTCGTTTGTTCCAATGTCGCGTTCGTGCTCGTGCTCGTGCTCGCCCTCATCCGCACTGTCGACAGCGGAAGAAAGCGGCGGATCCGTAGCGGTAGCGCTCGAGATGCTGCCTCCGGGAGATTGGGGCCGCGAACGGAGATGTCTGATGAGACTGCTGGGAAGCGATGAGCTCTGTGAACTCTGACTCTGACTCTGACTCTGAGTACTCTGCGCCGGCTGCCTTTGTTCTTCTTCAGCTGATTCGTCCCTAATAGGCCTCTTCATCTCCCGCCGCTCCATCTCGAGATTTGTCCCGTTTTGGAACGTCGATCGATTTCGAGTCGGCTTCGGCAGCGGCGTCGCGTCGCTTCGTTGGTCTCTGTGATGGCTATGCTCCAGGAAGGATGGGTGATTTTAGGTTGTTGTTGTAGAGCTAGAGAGGGGGGACATCCGTGGGCAGTAGTAATAGTGGCGGCTGAGACGGGGTCGACGTCGACGAAGAGGAAAAGGGAGGGAGAGGAGGACTCGAGGGAGGCAAGGACAGGCAGGGAAAGAAGACGAGGGCGGCGACGGAAGACGTCGACTGATCAAGTCAAATCGCTCCGTAAGGTTTGCTTCCGCCGATGACATTGGCGGACGCAAAAACCGAGGTTGGGCCCTGTCCTGCTCCGTCGCTCGCTCGCCAACCTAAAGCTAAGACTAAGATGATCCGTTACTTTCTTTTGCGATCCTCCGCTCCTTTTTACTTCCCGGTTCTACTACTTCTCTTTTGTTTCGAGATGAGACGCGAGGACGGGGGAGCGAGGCACGGGGGGCAAAAGGAACGGACGGACGGACGGACAAACGAACGAACGAACGAAACGGACAAACGAGACGGATGTATCACAGCAGAGACAAGAGACGCGAGTATTGTAGTCCTGGTAGTCAGTTGCTCGCTGACCGACGTCGCTATCCGTGTGGCACGCTAGTTGAAACGAAGACAGACAAGAACGGACGGGGACTAGAGGGGAAGGGAATAGGCGAAGACTGACTTACACTCCGCTCATATCCACATCCACATCCATATCTCAGCCTCGCTCGCTTTTTCGCGTATTCGGGATCCGAGCGCAAATGGAGGGGAAGGCAGGCAGAGTTCTTCCTTCGAACGTCGAACATGATGCACGTCCTACTGCGAATTCGATCTTACCTTCCTCGAGAATTCGTTCTTGCCCTTACAGAAGCAGAAGCCAGTGCCGTAACAGGTGAACTTGCACCGTCAGCCCGGTTCCCATCACCAACTCTATTCCTCATATATGTCCTATACCTGGGCCCTAAGCCCGCCGGTCTCTCCCTCCCTCCCTCTCTGTCCCTCGCTCCCTCCTTTATAAGTATCCCCTCCAGCCGTCGTCTACTTACACCCATACAAATGATTGTCCAAGCCACGTACTCTTCATTGCAACCCCTGAGAACATCCTCCTCGTTCAGGCCAAACCCGCCATTGGCACCATCACACTAAATATCATCGCCAGTCAGCCAGCCTACGGCTGTCTCACCTCGAGCCTCGAGGTCATGCTCAGACGCCGAGGACGAATTTTCAACCAGCTGCACATTCGGAAGCCTCTTCCTTCCACGCACGTCGCAGTCCCTGTAAGTGCTAGCCCGTGGCATGCCCATATGACCGCGGTTCGGCGAGTTAGAATGGAGACGGTTGATTGTTCCGATAAAACGAAACAAAAAACAAAGCAAAAGCTCCTGTCTGGGAGGCGGTCTGTCAGTCTGAGAGCACGTACTCCGATCAGCGTGTTTTATCGTATGGATGAGTACCATTCGTTCCAAGTCTATAAGCCCGAGAAAGACAAAACAAAAGAAATAATGCGTAGTAGCCCAGGCATGGCAATGGCACACGCAACTGCACGATCGCGACCGTCAGACGTCTGGCAAGAGCAGCAGCACCGCCCCGGAGCATTCCTCCGAGTCCGGAGAGGTAGCGCCGACGCTCTGATCTCGAATTTGCAACGGCCGAACTCAGAAAATCAAATAATTTCGCATGGTCGGCCACGTGGGCGACGAAGGTGAGACGGCCCAATCGCGTCGCCGGGAATATGTGCATGGATATGGGTGATGGATTACGGCATCCGGATTTTCTCGCGCCGTTCCGTGTTTTGGCGCGCGTCTGTCCTCTTCCGCTCAATTTTGTTGGAACTTGGACGGACTCTTGTTTGACGCCACACAGCAGCAGCATGATGCTCGCCTCCTCGACACGCCACCACCCCCTGCGTGCTGCGTCTATAACGAGACGTTCCCTGTCGACTTCGGTGTCGAGATGGGAGGAAAAGCCGGTTATGAATCGGTATTCGAGGATTATTACGCAGCCGAAGGATCAGGGCGCGAGTCAGGCGAGTACTTTACTTGCAGTCCAGTCGTTCTCGTTCCGCTACGAGAGTTGTTAATGGCCATTTGTTGGATTTGTATTGTGGCACGTAGGCCATGCTGTTCGCGACGGAAGGCGTGGATACGGTGGAGGACTTCAATAAGGCTATGGTTGGTGTTGCGAGTGTATGGTGAGTCATTTATAGCTTCGCGTTTAATGTTCAATTCTCTTTCTGACTTCAACTCAACGACTCATCAACAGGTATGAAGGAAACCCGTACGCAACTTTCTCCCTCCCACTCCTCCCCCTCCCCCTCCCTCCATCTTCCTCTTCCTCTCCCTCTCCTCCTTCCTTCCTCTCCATCTCCTCCTCACCCCCATCCCACCCCCCTCCATCCAGATGCAACCGCCACCTCCTCGCCCTCGGCCAGCGCATCAAGTCCTCCCTCACAAAATCCGACATAATAGGCTACCAATTCGGCACCGTCGGCGTCAGCGACGGTATCAGCATGGGCACCCGCGGCATGTCCTTCTCCCTCCAATCCCGAGACCTCATCGCGGATCAGGTCGAGTCGGCCGCGGGGGGACATTGGTTGGATGGGATGGTTGTGGTGCCGGGGTGTGATAAGAATATGCCGGGCGTTTTGATGGCGCGTGAGTACCTCCTCCTCCTCCTCCCTCTTGTGAATATCGCGTTCGACGTCGACGGTTAGAGGTTCGAGGCTGATTGGGTGGTTGGTAGTGGGACGGCTGAATCGCCCGGGATTGATGGTATACGGAGGAACGATCCGGCCAGGCTCGTGCGAAGGCGCACCCCAGCTCGATATCGTCTCCGCTTTCCAATCATATGGAAAATACCTCCAGGACGGACAGACAGAGAGTGCCGAACTCGAACGATCGCGCACTATCCGGAATTGTTGTCCTGGGCCTGGTGCTTGTGGTGGTGTAAGCACCCTCTTACACACTCATCCCACCCCTCTCATCCCACCTCCCCCCTCCCCTCCTTACCCCATCTCCAGAGTTGTGAGTTACTAATCATGGTACTGACGGGTTCATCAGATGTACACCGCGAACACGATTGCGAGCGCCGCTGAAGCTCTGGGCATGAGTCTCCCCGGAGACTCATCCTTCCCTGCTGAATACCCCGAAAAACTAGACGAGTGCGATTCCATTGGTCCTGTCATGCGCAACCTTCTCGAGAAAAACATCCTTCCGCGGGATATCATGACCCGTTCCGCTTTCGAAAACGCTATGGTACGTCGTCTCCCCTCACTCCACCTCTCTTCGCTGTTCAATTTCGCTCACAAGGTTTTTGGGTGATTTGCGGGGGGTTTTAGGTTCTGACGATCATCCTCGGCGGCTCGACGAATGCCGTGCTGCACCTGATCGCCGTCGCACATTCGGTCGGTATAGAATTGACTATTGATGACTTCCAGAGCGTGTCGGACAGGGTGCCGTTCATTGCGGATTTGAAGCCGAGCGGGAAATATGTGTTTGAGGACGTTTATAAGATCGGTGGTATTCCTAGTACGTTCTCCATCTTCATCGCTCTTTTTATTGCCGTTAGCCTCGTTCGGAGTTGGGGTCGAGGGAGTGTTCAGAGACTCTGACGACAGGGTTTGAATAAGTCTCGGAGAGTTGGCAGCGAAACACTCCTTCGTGGGCCAATCAGGAGCCATGCCGAATGAAGGCTCTTGTTTGGCCATCGGAGCGTTTGAACACTCTGGACCTGAACTCTGAACGAAGCTCTCCTCCGTCTATTTCATCTCACTAATAAAAAACTGCGCTTTGGATCCCGTCTGGCCCATTCTCTAACTCACCACCCCTAATCACATCACCCAACAATGCTTGTTCGGGAGAGCAGAGATCCTGCATTACCTGATGAAGAATAACCTCATCGACGGTAATGGCATGACCGTGACCGGACAAACGATGGGCGAGAACCTCGAGCGATGGGTTCATAAGCACGGCGAGCTGTCACTGACCAACCAAGAGGTGATTCGGCCTCTGGATAAACCTATTAAGGAGACTGGACACATTCGGTGCGTGTGCATGTTCAGTTTCGGTTTCGGTTTTAGTCTCGTTCAGCGTTCTGGCCAGCGAGCCGATTTCGCCCTGCTTCCATTACCACCCTTGCTTTCCGATCGAGGGTGACCGTCTAAACTGACTTGTGTTCGTGCCCATAGCATCCTGAAAGGCAACCTCTCCCCGGGCGGCGCGGTCGCGAAGATCACAGGAAAAGAGGGCCTCAGGTTCACGGGCAAGGCGCGCGCGTTCGATTCGGAGGACGACTTTGTGCATGCGGTCGAGAGCGGGTCTATCAAGAAGGGAGAGAAGACGGTCGTTGTGCTGAGGTATCTCGGCCCGAAGGGAGGTCCTGGTGCGTGTTTTATTCTGCCCTTGTTTTTTTTTCTATATGTGCTTGGTTGCTTGCTTTCCCTCGTGTTTCAGCATTATCCCCTATCACACACGCATACACTCCTGCTTTGCCTTTATGAGGCTATCACACTTCCTTCGCTTGCGTTCCCTACTACTACCCGTTATCTTTTTCTTTCTCCATTCTGCTCTTTGAATCTGGGGTGCCGAACCTGGATGTTGATCGACTAACCGAACGGACGCTGACTCGCTCTCGTCCCGCTTCATTCTTTTCCTCGCACGGTGGACCTGATTGGCTTGAACGACATACGTTCCGGACCTCGCCTCCATACATACATGCAATCTCCGTGGAATGTCCGACTTCCGCGAAATTAGGCATGCCGGAGATGCTCAAGCCCACGAGTCTGATCATGGGCGCCGGTCTCGGTCACGACGTCGCCTGTCTCACGGACGGAAGGTTTAGCGGAGGGTGAGTGCTTGCAGTCCTTGAGTTCATGTATTTCACATCTTCGTTGCGTCGCGTTGCACTTCCTTCCTTCGTTCATGGCCGGAGGAGGCCTGTTTTTGGCTTGACCTTCGCACTCTACGTTCACATATGACTCCCACACACGAGTACTTTCCCCGGTCACGCTCTTACGCTACTTTACAACATCTCCCGAGCCATGACCCCTCCATGAACCGTAAACGATAATACCCAGGCCCGCGCTTCCCTCCGTCCCACTCTATCTTCGCTATCCCTATCCACGTCCGCGCTCGCCTTCACACGCGTCTTCCTACGTACACACTCTCGCGCTGGCTGCGTCCGCTTCCGTGCCTTGCCTCTTGTTATGGTGTTCTCGGTCTCGGTCCTTTCTGCGTTCTACGTTTTCGGTCGCGTTGGCGTTCCGTTCCGCTTTGCGCTCCCTCCCTTGTTGCTGATGTTGCTGCTTCTGCGTATCGTATCTTTGTCGATGAGCTAACTAACTGACTAACGTCCAACTTCTTCCGTCACTATCATATGAACTCCCGCTCGTTCCCATCCCATCCCCATTCTAATCGTCTTCGTCTTCGTCTTTCGTCACCATCGTTCCACCGCCTATCTATCTACCCACCCACCCAATCGCCTCAATCCACGACCACGACCACGACCACAACCACGACCCCCTTTCCGTCCATCACCCATCACCAGCTCCCACGGTTTCGTAATTGGCCACGTCGTCCCGGAGGCCCAGGTCGGAGGTCCGATCGCGCTCGTCCAGGACGGGGATATCATCAACATCGACGCGGTGAAGAACACGCTGGACATGGACGTTCCCGCGGAGGAACTCGAGAGGAGACGGAAGGCCTGGAAGGCGCCCCCGCTTAAGGTTAACCAGGGCACTTTGTATAAGTATACGAAGCTCGTGACGGATGCGAGCCATGGGTGTATTACGGATGCGTGAGTGCTGAGAGTTGGAGTTGGAGGGGATTGAGCTTGATTGGGTGAGTGGGAGCGCGGGTGGACGGGTGGACGGGCGCGCGGATGCATGGATAGGCTCGGCGTAGATCTTAAGGGGTATTCTTATCATCCGTCGTGTTCAACCTTCATGCTTCATGCTCGGGGACGCACGTGGAGGAGGTCGTTCGTAGTCGCTGTAGGAGGGCGAGGGCCACAAAAAAAACTCTGTAATAGAGTTGCACGGTACTCTAGACATACAATATAGTGAAATAGTGTTAGGCTACAGTGAGGCGAGGCTGACAAACGAGACGGACGGGCCCTGATGCATGATGTGATACAAGAAAAGTGTAGGTCGGAGACGATAACTCCGTCACTTCGCTTCCAAACCTATGTATATCGTTAAAACGTGGATGCTCGACCCGCTCATGGCCGACCGTTCTTCATTTTCTTCTTCTTCTCCGCTTTGGGCATCTTATGTTTCCGCTTCTCTTTCTTCTCCGCTTTGACGGCTTTCTTTCTCTCCTGTGAACGTGAAATGAATGCACGATAAAGGGCGTACGTCAGTAAGCTTGCTTGAGAGTATGTATGTGCAGAAGATAGATAAGATTACGAACCTTCTTCTCCTCTCGATCTTCGTGTCGATGGCCTCTAGGCCTCCGTTCTTCAAACGGCTTAGTCTCGTCCCCGTCCTCGCTCCCACTGTCCTCTTCCCCCTCTTCATCTTCTTCCTCCCCACCCTCGCCTTCCGAAGATTCCTCACTCTCGTCACTCCCGCCTGGAACGTCACCTCCAAACCTTACTCTCGACGTCTTTTTCTCCCCGTCCGGTCTCGAATCCGATGACGAAACGACAGCGGGAGCCGAAGACGAGGTGTCGACGAGCCCGATACTGTCGGCGTATATGAGCTGCTTACCCTCTCCTCGCAAGACCGCATCCACGTCTCGTTCAGGGTCATAGACCTCGTTCAAGGAACGAGGGATATACGACTGCATGAAAACGGAGTCTTCGTGTGCCTTGTTCGAGCCGGACGGCGGCACGTTCGAGGTCGCGGAAGCAGCGTCAGCACCCGTAGATGTAGTCCCAGGTCCTAATTCACCCTCGCCCGCGGGTGATTCCGACAGCTCTTCATTCAACCACTTCTTCAGCACGGTTGCAGGATCCTCGTCCTGTTGCTGTTGTCCAGACCCCGACCCCAATCGTTCGCTGATGACGAACTCGAAGCATCTCCGGATCCCGAGACACCGCACGCCCATCTTGCCAAAGAAGTCCTCGACGTTCTTGATGTCACTCCGGAGGAAGTCGAAGGCGGAGGGGTGATCGTGCTCGACGCTTTGCGAGACGTCGATGATGTACAAGTGGCCTTCGTGGTAGAGGATGTTGTACTCCGAGAGGTCGGCGTGGACGAGTTTACATTGGTGAAAGAGTTTGCGGACGTTGAGGACCAGTTCTTCGTACAAAGACGTGTATTCTGACTGCTCGATATCGGCGTCTTTGAGCCGCGGTGATGCCCTATTATTATAATTAGTTCACTGGAGAGTTGACGGAGTGGCGTAAGGAGGGTACCTACCAGCCCTCTTTGTCCCCCAGGAAGGTCATGACCAGGACGTTCTCCCGAACCTCGATTGGCTCAGGACAGGGAATACCGGCGGTGATCAGGCGTTTGAGGTTCCGCATCTCTTTCTCTGCCCAAAGCCTGACCATCTTGCGAGGGTTACGACGGCTGTAACCTCGTCTGAACCGATATTCGCCCGTAACGTAGCGGTCTCGATCTTTGAAGACTAGGATGGACGTCTTGTATATCTTGAGAGCTACGTGTGCCGACTCGGGTGTCAGGGCATGGTATACATTAGCCTGCCAATGTAAGTCGTGAGTAAAGCTTGTGACGGTTAAGGGTTGGGCCACATACCTCTTTACCCGTGCTCACACATCCATTGACTTCATGGATCAACCCTCTTCCGATCATCTTGAACAGAATGATCCTCGTCCTCGGGTCCAACACCTGCTCATTCGTCGCCCTGTCCGATTTATCCTTCTGATTCGCATACGAACTCGGTCCTTTCCTATTCACACCCACACCCATCTGGTACGGCTGCTCGATCTTCGCCAGCCTCGAAGAATATTTCACAAGCGCCGCAAGCTGATCGGTAGTCTTGTCATGCTTCTGCGAAGTGACGGGGTTGGAGGAAGGCGCGATTCGTGGTCGATTGACCGCAGGAAGAGAAGCCACGGCGGAGGAATGGTTCGTGGCGGACGTAGTTCCCTGTGCGTTGCCAGAATGCACGGCCAGATGTTGTTTCAGTCGATTGTACTGCTTCGTAAAATCTATTCGTAAAAGATGGGCCTCAACCCTTTCTCAACGATGAAAGAAAATCGCCAGACTGAGACATACCTTTCTCCGCGATCTCCCAGTCCTCGTCCTCGACTCTGTTGAACTCATCCGATCCCTCCTCGTCTTCCGTGTCCTCCACTTCATCGGGACTCTCATCTGACCACTCTAGGATGGCTTCGTCGACGTAGCTGTGTCCGTCACGTAGGTTTGGCTGGACAGTAGGTTGAGATGACGGAAGACCAGAGACTTCCTCAGGAGCATCGTCAAATTGGCCGTCCTCGATAGTTAGCTCTGCAACTGGAGGCATGGGCATGACGGTATTTTGAGCCTCTCCAAGATATATCGAGCCCTTATAGTCCTAGAAGGTGTCTAATACAAATTCAGAATAGAGAAAGACGGGTAGAATGAGGTAGAATCTCGAACGCGAGGAGGTGAAAAAAGTTGAAGACAGGATGCTGGTGTGGCGTAAGTTTCTAACAGTTTCTAACGCTTTGATATCGTGGGAATCGTGGGCCACATTTGATGATTGACCATTGGTTGATCTCTGTCTGTATCAATGTTTCGTACTCGTTACATCCGTACATAAACAAAATCACACGAGAAATAGCGTCAATTTCAGCACGATTCACATAAATTTATACCAGCGTAGAAACCCGACAGAATAAATGAGGGTCCTGAGAACGCCACTTTGATGGGCCCAGGCTTGAACAGGGCACGTGGGTGTGGCGTGAAGCCGTTCGTGACGGCTTGCCGCGTCGTCGTTGTTCCCTCCTTCGTCTTGACGCTCATCACCCTGCATCTTCCTAGTCTCCTCTTTCATCCATACCCTTCCTTTTCCCTCTCTACACATCATGCTCGCAGCAGCAGTACGCGCTCCTCGTCGCCGCCTCCTTCACAGCGCCGCCACCCTTTACTACCCCTCTACAGAACATGTTTCATCCACACCTCAACCACCCCCGCCTCTTCCATCAAAGCACCCAGCGCCGAAGAAACGTAGTCATCTTACACCCTCTCCTCGCCCTGCAGTTTCACGCCGGCGTCAAGCAACACCGAATCTCCCTCCCACATTCGGTCAGAACCAGCTCCTACCCGTATCCAATTCTACGCGCGCACTGCTCGAAAGTGTAGTGGCCGACTTCGATGCCCCTATACGCTACGCATTTGCTTACGGCTCCGGAGTGTTCGAGCAGGACGGGTACACTCCGGATGAGAAGGGTCCGATGTTAGACTTCATGTTCGCCGTGACGCATCCCGACCACTTTCACTCGATCAATATGCACCAGCATCCAAGCCACTACGCTATGCACGCAAGGATGTTCGGGAGTGACTTCGTAACGAGAGTTCAGGCTGTAAAGCCCGGCGTGTGGTTCAACGCGTTCGTCAAGACGAAAGGTGTGGTGAGTCCTTGGAAATTACTTGAGTCTCGTGACTATGATGACGAACCTTATATATCGGCGATTTTGGCCCCTGATAGACCATTAAATACGGAGTCGTCAGCGTTGACGACCTCTGCTCGGACTTGCTCAACTGGAACTCCCTTTATCTTGCCGGCCGCATGCATAAACCACTCCGGATCATCAAGGATGACGCGCGCGTCCGTCTCACACAACAAGTCAATCTCACCTCCGCCGCACGTGCTGCCCTTCTCACCCTCCCATCTTCTTTCTCTGAAACCGAACTATTCGAGACGATCGCTGGAATCTCATACGGTGGCGATCCTCGTATGGTCCTTCCCGCCGAGAACCGAGGCAAAGTAGGCAACATCGTGAGTAAGCAGGCGCCGCAGTTCAAGGAGTTGTATCAGAGGCTGGTGGCAGGATTGCCTGGAGTACATTGGCCGCACGGATCGGGAAGTGGCAGGATAGAGCAGGATACGAGTGTACAGACGAGGGCGGCACATTTGAGGAAATTGCCCAAGGAGTTAAACGCGATGTTAAAGACGCATTACTCGAGGGAGCTGGGAGACGTGGACGATAGCACGTATTGGGCGAAGGTGGCAGGAGACGAGAAGCTTCCGATTGTTCTGAGGGAAGGTATGTCATCCCAATTCACATGTGCTCCTGTCCCTGTATTGACTGGAGCCTTCGTACCCGCAGAAATGAGCAACATCGTTCGTTACCCGGCTACGATACAGACATTGAAAGGCATAGTGAGCGGCGGTCTCGGGACCACACTCCGGTACACCTCAGAGAAAGTTGGAAAGTGGTGGAAGGGTTCTTCCCAGAAGCAGATCCCACCGCCTTCATCCTGATCTATCCGAGCCTTTGTCGTATTGCAGATACGAGTTGCGTTCATATTTTCTTGTACTTCGTGATGCCTTAGAGCGTCGGAGCAGTGGACTAATCTATCAGTAATTGCCTCCTTACATTCATTCGTTCATCGTCTGCGTCGACGATTTGTAGCATTATATTATAGTATTCGTTAGTTGTAGAAGTCGCCCCCAACGCATTATAAAATGCCATGCCATTGAGTTGTTTGGAGAGTGTGAGCGATGGCGACCGTCACTCAAAGATTCAACTTTCCAGGTTGAAGGAATGTTCCGAATTTGCCCGAGCGGCTGGCCCAATGGTTTCGATGGCGGCTCACACGACCCCTGAGTCGCGACTTCGTTCGAACTGTCCACCTCGAACCAAACCATGAGTGCTTGTCTTCGTTTCACTCGACGGGTTTGTACTGCAGCTTGTTGTGTTAGCGCATTCGAATCGCTGAAACTGTGATATGCTAAGGTCTGGAAGTCATTCCTGGATAATAAAGGTTTCTCTGCCCCTACCGACGATATTCATGGATATCTCATGGCTGGAGAACATCTATAGGTCATGATGCTCAATGTTTCCCGAATGTGGGTTTTAGTCAAGGAGAATTACTTGCTAAGACTCATCCGGCCAATCTTTCCAGCTAAACATTCACCGTGCTCATCCTGGCACCCTTGAGGCCTCTTTGAAGATTGAGCCCTATAATGGTACGCATTTCGTGTGTATGACACCTTACTCCCATACTTATGAGATACCGAAGTCAATAGAGTCGGGGTGCGCACTACTACTCCCTGATTTACATGGAATCACTAAAGTAGCCTCTATAACACCTCGGACAGACTGTCCACGGCGGACTCATCATGTCTCTGACGGACACCATGGGATCTCTTGCACTCGCCACGAAAGGCCAATACATGACTGGCGTTTCTACCGATCTTGCGGCTACCTTCGTGAAGCCAGCAGGTAAACCGGGAGACATCCTAAACATGGCGGCCACGGTGACTGGAATGGGTGAGTGCCACACTCTTGCACCTCCTCGTGTCAATGTCATTGACGGTCGGCTTCTTTTGGCGACAAGGTAAATCTCTGGCGTATACGCGAGTGGACTTCACGAATCCTGCCGGTGATCTGGTTGCCTTCGGTCGTGAGTGGTGTTTCGGTTTTTGAATGTCTGAACACGCTCGGCTGACGTTGCGGCCACTGAAATTATAGACCACACGAAGTACATCGGCAAATCCGTTGGTCATGCGGTTGGTGTCTTCCTATCTCATCGTTCAATGCGCGCAAAACTAATTGTCTATGTACCCAGGACAATGTCAAGTTCTCTGCAGACGGAGAGACGGTCATTGAGGGCAAGGATGTTGATTAATAGTTTCATCGTACAGAGACGGAACGCGTGGATTGTTCGGACTATTTCTGAGGCTGGAACTTGCTCGGAGTATCCTCCTAGATAGCTTCGCAATAACCTAGAAAGAATTGTTATATGCGAATAAACATGCGCGATGGTCGTGTTGTGTGGCGAGGCGCGTGTGAACCATGAAGGTTCAAAGGAAGCGCGTTGTACAGCAGACGCAGTAGCTGTACTTGGACCTGCACTTGAGCCTCAAACTCCTGCGTTTCCTCCCAATTTTACTGGTCCACATTCGTTTGCATCTAATCGAATCTAAAATCACATGGACGAAGCTGAAGATGTATTTCCTGAGAAGTCCACTAAGCGACTACGTCTACGAACTTCTTCCATCAATTCGCAGTCCTCCTTGGGTAGCCATACCACGAAATCACGGCTCAGGCCCCCTGGTCAGCGTGACTGGCCTTCATCTTCAACATTAACGTCAGTTTTCATTTCTGTTCTACGAGCCTTGCTCAACAATATCCACTCCTTCAGACCGGAAATCATTGCACCTATTCCACGTCGTCACCCGGACTTAGCGTCTCCAGCTTGGGCACGGACGCCCTCACCTAGCTCATCACGAGGAATATCTCCAGCGAACTCGACTGCAACGCGGACGGGACATCGTCGTCCGCGGCCTATGAGTTTCGGCTCTGCTATGGAACTGGAGGCTCGACATGGAATCACGCGGGAGAGCGAGAATGGGTTGGGACAAGGGCATGAGCGAGAAAGGGAGGACGTAGGTTTGGGAAAGCGCTGGGTGAGATGGATGCACTCTCTTGGAATGAGGAGATGGGTTGTGCCCAGTGCGTTACTGGCATCGGCTTGCGTGCGGTGGGCCACTGGGTTAGGCTCCTATTCAGGTGCGTGGCGTTGTTCTCGCTTTGAATATATCGAGGCTGCACTCGGGTACTGAGGTTGCGGAGGTGTGTAGGCCACGGTACACCACCCATGTATGGAGATTATGAGGCACAACGACACTGGATGGAACTCACCATCCATTTGCCTACCCAGCTCTGGTACAAATACGACCTTCAATACTGGGGCCTTGACTACCCACCATTGACCGCATACGTTTCCTGGCTCTGCGGTATCTTGTGAGAGCGTTCACTTGTACCACCCGTCAACATCTCACCATGGCTCTTACAGAGGATCCCACATCAATCCTTCTTGGTTCGCTCTCGATGAATCACGCGGTATCGAGTCTCCGAATAGCAAGATCTACATGCGTGCAACTGTATTTGCTCTAGATTATATGGTATACATCCCCGCACTCTACCTCTTCTCGCGAACCTGGCATGCTACTCGGTCCAAGAGGACACAGGTACGATGCCTTTTGAGTGCGCTTGAGTTGTCCCCTGACTTGGCGGTTGGAAGAATCTAGCCTTCCTAGTACTCCTTCTGCAGCCTGCGCTGATTCTCATCGACAACGGGCATTTTCAATACAACTCGGTCATGCTTGGTGAGTTTCTCTCTTATGGTCACATCAGCCGAAACCAATTATCGCTCTACGTCCAGGTTTCGCTATACTCGCGATAAACTGCTTCATCTCTGGATACGATCTTCTGGGAGCCGTGTTCTTCGTTCTCAGCCTGGGATTTAAACAAATGGCGTTATATTACGCACCCGCAGTAGGCTCGTATCTCATAGGAAAGTGCCTTCATCTAGGCCCAAAAGAAGGGTATCTGCCAGATTTCTTATGTGGTGTCGTTACCGTGACTAACAACGTTTTATCCCCCCTATAGCACCAAACTCTTCGTTCGCCTAGGAGTGGTCACCGTCGCATCCTTCGTCGCTCTCTTCCTACCCTTCCTTCCACCATTTTCTCCTCTCAGTGCCATCATGGATCCCATCACTCGTATCTTCCCATTCAACCGTGGCATTTTCGAGGACAAGGTCGCCAACTTCTGGTGCGCATCAAACGTCCTCATGAAGTGGAAATTCAAAGCCTCCGCCGCCACGCTCGTTCGCATATCCACCCTACTCACCGCGCTCGGATTCGCGCCAGCTGTAGTTGCGGCGATCGCTTCCTGGATCCGCCTGGGGCAAAGTCAACCACAGTTTTCGACAGTTGTCACAGACGAGGACAAGGACAAAGATGCCAAGGCTAAGATGGATACTGCTGTCGCGGTCCCGGTTACGTTGCAGCCCGTGTTGCTGCATGCGCTGTTGACTAGCGCTATGTCATTCTTCCTGTTCTCTTTTCAAGTGCACGAAAAGACGATCCTGGTCCCGTTGATGCCGTTGACTCTCTTGATGTCGACTGCGCCCCAGGATAGTACGGGGTTCAAGATTGGTGCTTTAGCTAACAATGTCGGTGTATTCAGGTGAGCATTTCATATAATGAATTGACTGCTGTGGTTTATCGTACAACATGGGCTGACGAAGGACACAGCATGTGGCCTCTGTTGAACAGAGACGGATTAGCGGTACCTTACATCGCTCTCACACTACTATGGAACCGACTCGTAGGCCACAATCCTTTCCGCATAAGGCAGTCCACCCTGTTCGACCTCTTTACGGCTGTGAGTCCCTGCTTCGTCTCCACGTCCCTCCTCCATTACTGAGAGACCAATGCTGCCTCCTTTCATAGGCGGTATACTTGGGATGCATCACTCTCCACGTCCTCGAGATACTATTCTCTCCCCCGAATCGATATCCAGACCTATATCCCGTCCTCAACGTCCTCCTCAGCACTCCCATCTTCGTCCTCACTTGGCTATGGAGCATCAAATCCCTCCTCGAATCCTACTGGGTCATCGGCCCCCTCGGTTTCGGCGAGAGCTCCGCGCACCATCCTTCCACGACCGACAGCAGAGCTCCCAGTGAGATTGAGACCCCTGTGACGGAGAAGGGCTCGTCGGTGGTCGGGAGTATTGGAAGAGAAAGAGGACTGAGGGCACGGAGTCTGGGGTATTCGACAGCGATGGCGAAGGGTGGTAGTAAGAGGCTGTCGAAGGCGGGGAGTGTGGATGAGGTACCGGAATGAACGAGGAAGTTCGAGCTAGTCAGGCGCTAGAGTAAAGTTCTTCTTTGAGTGTATTCATCGATCTTGCTCTCGGTGCTCCACTGTTGATGTTGAGCCTTCTATGAATTCGGGTTTCTGTGCTTCCGACAACATATGCATGCAGATGTCGAGCGGAAGTCGAACTGTGGGGGCTAGCCTGTATACAGAAGCCTTTGCTGTCTAATATTGGGACGAGTCGGAACGGTGAGCCCCAGCCGACGATAAGTATACGATGTACATGATATTTAGTACGGTGCATATGGAGTATTCTTCAATTTTTATCTACATTAGCACATGGATGACGATCAAATCTCACAACAGGTACTATACAGTCTCAAACCCAACAAGCTGAAAGTCCATCGAAACCCTCGTGTATACAGTAGTAACCGTAAGAAAATAATACAGCAGCGCCGACGCATGATGGGCGCGTAGTTATCCCTATCATCACCAGATGAGTCCATGATTGAAAGCATTGCGTGGTCGTAGCTCATAGGGTGTCCTATGGAGCTCTATCATGAATATAACGTAGTAGTACAATCTGAATGACGGCTGGTGGTATCTCAGTAAAAAAAAAAACAATTGCCGGAACATGCGTGTACTAGTCCTTTCACGGCCCCGGCGGTAGTGACTCGGATCATGGCGTGTGTTGCAGTGTAGCCACCCAACGGCCAAGAGAGGAAGGCGGTTAACGAGAAGTGTATTGAGTCCAGGAGGATATTTGGGCTGCGTCCCACCCAGAGCTGACGGGGTATGGATCGTGATGATCGTTAATGGTCGGATAATATCTGTCGTGGGAGGAAGGGGAGGAGGTTGCGAGAGTGTTGTTGTTGTTGTTGTTGTTGTTGTTGTTGATCTGGTTGTCTATATACGACGCTCTGTTCGTCGTCGGGGTGGCGGGAGAGGGATTCAACGGTTCAACGTTGTTCGTCAACGATAGTGTCCAGCGATGCAGTGCGTAAGGTGCGGCATCGACCCTGTGAAGCGACGACGTCGGCGACACTGTCGTACCACCGGCCACTCGATCATTTGATAGCCTAGTTAGGGAGCCTCGTCGAGTACTAGGAACAGAGTTCCCAGGAGACCCATGTTCCAGCACCTCGTCCTCGTCGCGAGCACTTTCACGACTAACGAGACACCGGTCGTTAGTGAACGCGAAGGTAATTACTTCGTCGGCGTTAGAGGGGCTCGTACTCACACGTATTGTTGACCGTCCAGCCCGATCTCAATATGAGGTGGATAGCGAAAGTTGGTCGCCCGGACCATCGAAGGCGAGACGGTGACATTGGCTAGATCCGCTCTACTCGCAGGTCTCTGCAGCCGACCGGATAGGACGTCATCCTCGATGTAGTAAGATACAACATGGTGATCCGTCCCGTCAGCTACGACGGTGATGGTCTGCAAAGAAACCGGTGGATGAATATTTGACCGTGATGGCCGCTGTAACCGCTCACCTTCTTGCACAGTCCATTTGGTCTCTCGGCACAGTGGCCCTTCCTTTCCGACCAGCTCGCCCTCACCGGTTGGGATGTCTGTGGCGCCGAGACCTCTCCACTATCCACATTACGCCCGGTCGGTTCATACTCTCGATACACCTATCGACGTTGGATCCAGTTCGGTTCGGAGGACGTAGAAGTGGTGGCAGCGGTTTGATATTAGTCATTCATGGACGCTGGTATAATACGGAGGGATGATCAACACATACAAGAAAGTTTCCCACAATGCGCGAGGGTGACCTGAATCTATATCAGTACACATGCGAGTAGGCCCTATCAGATGGAGGAAAATTGAAAGACCGACCATGTTCGCCCATCCGTCCACCGCCTCACCCCACTCTCTTCCACACTAAAGACGAAGACGGCGCCAGACTTGATCATCGACCTGCGTTCGGCGTCGCTCAGGCGTCGGACGATCCGAGGGATGAGGCCCGCCCTGTGACGGATATCCAGGCCACGATGAGATTGACGGAGTGTGTGGAGTGTCGGAGGGAATTATAGCTCACCTGGCGGCTGCTACGAGGCGCAATGCATCGACAGCGGTTTCGACCACCCCCACGAACGCCAGGGCGCCAGGCGCTAGAGAGCTCTGCGGCGCGACTTGCGCGGTGCGCATCGTAACGGACCGATGAGGAACTTGTGGACAGTTTGAATGGTCGATACGGAGCTAGAATGTGTTCGCCTTACAAGGAAAGAGGATCGAGCGAGGGTCGAATGTGAAAGCGAGCAATGGAGGTGTGAGCCGGAGAAGAGAGCGAGGAGGACGGGAGGAGAAGGAGGGGAAAGTGGATTGCGTGAAGCAGCACGGGGAGCACTCTTTATAAACATCGACGTAGTGCAGGGCGCTCCAACCTGTCCACACTTGCACCGTCCCCCACCACATATGACATCTCGCTGCGTTGCCGAGTAAAGCCAAACATAGCTCGCGGGTCTGGGGTCCACAATAATAAAAACGTCCCTGTACGGGACTCATCAAGGTAAACGTCGCCAATGGCGTGTTAGGAAGGCCGAGAAGAGGTATACCGAGACCTTTCGAGGCGCGGAGAGGCTTATGGACCACAGAGACCCTAACAGTTTTTACTCAAGGTGCCGCCGCCCAGCTTCACGGAGTTGGACGTTCGCACCCACCGCTAGAGTAGGTGATGCCTCATCCGTTGGCAGCAGCTAGTGCTGCTAGTCGGCTGAGGACCCTGAGAAAGTGCCGCTGTAGAATGCAAAGTCCACAGAGTATCAGTCCTTACACATAGCCCGAGGAAACTGCCGACGAACATGCCGCTTACCTCCTTAGAACGCAACACGAACAGACCAACTGCCACTTGCTGCCAACACCAGGGATACGCTCTTCGCTAGAGCCCGGACCGGAAAGCTTCAGCGGTGTCCTAAAGCAGAGTCTGTACATCCAAATTAAGGTTGTTATGGTTAGGCTCTCACAACCACCGATCGGGACACTCTTCGCCGCACTCAGAGACATCGGAAAGGAAGAACTTTGCGCGGTGGGACGACGGAGGGTGCCGCTGCGCCGTCTCTAACTCAAACACGAGGCCTAAGGGTTAGTGTCTCTCCCACTCAAGCACTCAACTACTCACGGAGCACGCAGGACGCAGGACGCTAAGCTATCAAAAGGTGAAGAACAGAACAACCACAGCTTTCAACTCCGAACTCACCCATCGATTCTCATCGACTCGCCCAGTGAGACCTCGAGCCCGGGGAAAACCTGCAAAACTTCCCTACCAAGTAGTAATACTGGGATCCGAGTCTCCGCCTTCCTTCAGAGGAAAGTGACGCGGCCGGCGCGAGGAGTATGTAACTTACCCAGAGCTTCCTCGGACGACCACACACACTGTCATCGCCGTGATCATCAGCAAACGCGAGGCAGCTTCGAGAACAGCAGCTCCATGCTCATATGCCTCATGCATAGGCGGATCCTCCATGTGAAGCCAGCGGCGGGCTTCAAAGCTTCAAGCTGGTGGACTTACGAATGAGGAGGCCAGTCCGGGTCATTCAAGACATATCTCGGATGGAGTAGGTGTATGTATGAATGGAAATGCGAATGAAATAGAAGAAAGGCGGATCCAGAGCGTGGCTAAGCGCTATAAGAGAATAAAGGACTGAGCGATCATCGCAACTCGATGCTCGATATTCAGAGGAACACAGTAGACATGAAGCAAGCCGATCGATGAAAAACAATGAGAACAGAGAAGCCGCAAAGAGTGTATAAGTACGTAGTCTGCAATAACCAACCGAGAACCAATTCGAGCAAACAAGAGAGATTCAGAAGAGGGGAACAGTGGACTTTAAAATTCAAGCAAAGTATCGCGAGCCCGGGATACGAGCATACAGGAATTAACAAAAAAGGTCAAACCGTGCACGATCCTGGCCCGCAGACGACACACGCGCGTGAGAAGGATAATTGGTACACGGTGAAGGGAAGCGGCGAGGATGGATGCGTCTGGACAGTGAACAACGGGTGAATGAGAAGAAAGCGGCCAAGTGCGGCGTGTGGTATCAGGGTCTCGTCAGTAGGCGAATAGCGCGGCAAGATGTCGAGCTTCAAGGGTACGCCGATCGGATTCTAAGCTCGACGCAGCTGCGACGAGACGTGGATTGGTGGGCGAAGGTAGGCCTCAGGCTAGGGGAAAATCAAACGATCGAGGGAAAGAAATAGGTATAGTTGGGGCATAGTAGATGGATAGATGAGACGTTTAAAAAAATGAATAAGCAATCAAGCAAAGCGGGGCATATACGTAAACAATTAAACAGATGAGCCAAACGAAATCCAGAATAAATCCAAGGGAAAAAGAGCCCGAAGTGAGAACGCAGTTGAGTCGACGTCGAGACGTGTGGCAGTGGCAGTGGCGACGATGGAGCACTTGTGATCGGGAGTACTGGGCCAAATTTAACGAAGACGAAGCCCCAAGAGAGAAGACCGGTGGAGTCGGTGATGGAACAGAAGCGCCGAAAGGCTATAGCCCCAGATCTGCATGCCCACAGAGAACAGAAGCCGTCCCAAAAATGGGACAGAAAAAAAAAACAAATCATCAAAAGTCAATCAATCAGCACAGATGCATCAGACGAAAGCACTCAAGCGAGCCACTCACCCTCCAACAACTTCCTCGCCTCCACCTCCCCGATATTCCTCGTTGCCCTTCTCGCCAACAACTTCTCCGTCCTATACTTCTCATAAAGCACCTCCTTCGTATGCGTCTTCAGCATCCTCAGATGGGTGCTCAACACCGCCGTCCTCAGCGCCGCGAAGTCACAATGCGCAGGCTCCAGCACATCCACGCTCCCCCACCTAAACTTCCTCACAAAAATGCCCTTCAAATCCTCAGGAGGTCCACCCGAATACGGCAAAGGCACCGCGGTCGCCTTGAGGTTCACGCTTCGCGAACTCGGACTCACTGGCGTGCTCGTACCACTCGCATTCGCATCGACAGCATTAGCACCACCCTCCGCGCCCTCCGCCTGAACCTCCGCCGCCTCTCCCTTCTTCCCTCCCTTCTCTCCCTTCGACACCCCCTTCCTCTTCCTCCACCCCTCCGGCGCAATAACCGCAAACGGCAACAACTCTCCCAAATCCGCCCTCGCCACGATATGCGCCGAAAACCTCACATTCGGCACGCTCTCCATATCCGTCGGGTCCGGCGTCGTCGGCTCGAGTTCACCGCGAATGGCCTCACGCTGGCGCGAACGCGACCGGCGAAGACTGGCATTGTTGGAATGCGAGGTCGTGGTTCCGCGCCCGGTGCGGAGCTTGATGACGGGACGGGAACGACGTTCGGGTTCGGGTGAACCTGCGTCGGCGGAGGGAGTATGCGAATTATTTTCGTCTTCGTCCTCGTCGTCTTCGTTGTCGCTATTGTCTTCGGAGGCGATGTGCCCGTTCTGGCTGAACGAGACTCGACCGTGGCCATTTCCGTTCCCATTCCCATTCGCGATCGCCTTCCCGTTAATGTCCAGAGGCGAAGCGGGCGTACTCCCCTGTGGCGTCGGCGTCGTATCATCGGCCTCGTCTCCGTTCACTCCAGCAGCCCCATTCGCATTCGTATCGCCCTTCCTCACCCTAGCCGGCCCAAAAACCCCAAAACCCAATCCACTCCTCGCCAACTCCCTCCTCACCGTCTCCTTGACCTTCTCCAACTTCTCATCCGTCAACGAATCGGCATGACCTATGATCGGCAACACGTTCGTCCGCGCGCTCAGCCTTTTGATCACCCGGATTTCGGCGGGCGACATCGTCAGGGTGGCCTCGGGGGCGTTGTCCTCTGCGTCCTCGGCGTCGGGGTCGGAGGTGGAGTGGTGGGAGGAAGAAGAGGGAAGGGTGGGTGTGTCGGGGGGAGGAGGGGCACGGGAGATCGTGGCTTCGGAGCGGGTTTTGGAGGGGAGGGAGGAGAGTTGACGGCGGGCTTGGGGGGACATGATGGTGTTCGGGTCGATTATGTATATGCATCTGGATAATTCGCGTTAAGAGAGACGGAAGAAGGGAGAACGAATCAGAAAAGGTGCGTACAGATGAACGTGTTGGTCTCCCTTGCTCTGGCGAACGACTTTGGATTCCTGTAAACGCAAGCGAAAAAGAAGTCTCGGTGAACGGTCCCCTCCCCACAATAAACCTCAATGCACTCGGAATTGACAGTCGAAATAGCAGACAGAATAAAGATGAAAAGAAGCCGACGCACCTCGCTCATCGTATCCGCATACTGTTGGTCCAGATACCTCACCACTCTCCCCAACTGCCTCTCAAGCACCAACTCCCTTCCCTCCTGAAAGTCCAGCCCAGGCGTGTCGATCACAGAAAAAAGCACCCTGTCGAACCGCGACTCGCAGATCTCGACGCACGCAGCCTGTATGGTCTCGGTGGGCTTCGCTCCGCCGCGCATGAAGCGGTCGACGGCGATGCGCTGGTCTTGTGTGGCGGTGGGAGAGATGTCTGCGGTATCGAGGAGAAGACGAAGGAGGGAGGTCTTGCCGGTTCCTTGGCCGCCTACGACCTATTGTTGCAAAAGCGATTGGCATCAAAAAAGATCAAACATGACGCGTGAATGCAAATTGAGCGCCCATGATATAGAATACATAGGGTCCGACGACATCATAACAAAGGAACATCGACGACGGTGAGAGTATAAACAAAAGAGACGCACCATGAGATTGAAGGTCGGCGCGACCTTCGTCCTCCTCTGCGTCTGCCTCGTCCGACTGCCATGACTCTGGACGGACTGCCTCCTATTATCAAAGGCGCTCGGCGGGTGGTGTTGCTTCATATACAACGATGAGATTGTCCCATTTGGTCCTTGACCGTGACCTTGAGGAACAGGAGCATTCGGGTCTGTCAAAGGAGGGGCACCGCCAGGCCAGGGTTTATGAAAGGGTATCGGCGTACGGTTACTCGGAGAGATCTGGAAAGAAGTCTTGGTCGCACCATGTGTGGGCGACTGGGCCTGTTGCTGTTGTTGGTACTGAAGCTGGTCATTCTCGGACGCTTGATTGCGGATGGCGCGTACGTCGACGAGGTCTTCGGGCCAGGCGACACCTTGTGAAGAAAGCTCGGGGAGAGAAGGAGAGGTCCGGAGCGGCTCTGCGTCTTCTTGCTGTCTGGGCTTTTTGCGGAACGTACGAAACATAGCTGCTGCTTGTTTAGGTGTTGAAGTAGTTGTGGTGGTAGTGGTTGTAGTGTGGTCGAGGTAGGCTGTGGGAGTAGCTGCGTAGACGGGAACAAAGAAGAGAAGGCGGAATGTAAAGGTCGGATACGAGCCTGGCGTGTCAGAGGAAGGAACAAAAGAGTGGACAGGAAGCGGCAGGGAGAAAGACAAAGGAGTCGACGAGAATGGAAAGAAGATAGTGTACTGGTAGCGGTGTGGCAGACGGTGCCAGTGCTGGACGGTGTTCGAAGCCAAGATTGAATGCTGCTGTGACCGTCGCTCGGTCCTTCCCCCTTCCGGCCAAGTCCTTCTTCCCACCCGAATTTCAATCACCAGTCCCGGCCCCGGCGCCGTCGCGCGGGTGCCTTTCGAGACAGCCGCACAGGGCCACAATAAGCCTGTAAGCCTTTGTACGACAGGAAAGAGGGAGTACGAGATACAGGTCGATGCTATAAGTACATGGTGCTACAGCCAAGAATTGAGTTCTCAATCTCTCGATGGTGGTAGTACATTAGGAGGATCCCAGACATCCTCGAAGTTGTCAACCAATTATGATGAATATGGAACAATATGACATCTGGCGAGCCGGCACGTTAGTCTCATCAATAAGCAAGGGAAAAGATGCTGTCGTAGGCGACATACCCAAGCATTCCTCGCCCTCCCCATCCCTGCCTCGGGGTAAACTTTAGCGGCTTGTTTCCTTCTTCTCCTCTTCGCACCAAGACAGAAATTTCCTTCTGGGAATGCAGTGGAACGCCATGAGAAACCTCCCGAAACCAGAAGGTGTGTAAAAGCACATACGTTCTCATTAGCAGCAACCAAACTCGCCAAAGGCTGCAAAGCCGACCCCGTGAACATGCCTCGATGAAGGTGTCCAAACTTCACCACCAGATCGTCTCGGAGCAATCCCTATCGTTCAGTCGGTATACATAAACCTCTAATGCATTACGAGCAACAGAGTGGGGAGACGTACCGCATCCGCTGCAGGACTCCCTGGAGCCACACCATTCACCTTCGCGAACGGTAACAGCTCCTCATCCGATGGTAACATCGTTTCGTCCTTCGATGCGGGAGCGGCATCAGGTTTCGATGATGATGCAGGCTCTGAGGCTTGACCATCCACAGTCGGACTATACACTCCTTCCAACGCTTTCCCAATATCACCCATCAAAGAATCCAAGTCATTCCGCAACTCAATAATCCGCACACGGGCCTGTCGCACTACGCACCGTTTCAGCATTCCTAGATTCATCCGTATGGTAGTAAGGTTATAAAGATGCACCGACCATTCCAGACGTCGATATCAGCACGAGGAAACCCCTCCGCGTCGACGAGAGGCGCACGCATGTCCGTGATTCCATTCGTCTGTAATATCGAAAGCTGCGCGTCGATCTCGGCTTCGATGTTTTCCTTTCGTGCTATGAGCGTCCGTACTCGTTCTGCAGGGCTCGTTGGCGACGGTAGAGTGTATCCCATGTCTTGCAATAAAACGTGGAGGCCGAGTTTAAAGAATAAAGTTAGAGGTTCAGCTTATGTGAAGGATCGGAAGCTTGAGTGTGGCGAGCGTGATAGGGGGAAACAAGTGACGCGTCGCGCCGAATTCGCAATTCCGAGTCGACGCGCTTTGAATGGGTTGTTTGGTTGTGTTAGGATCAGAGGTCAATGGCTTGTGTCCCGAGATCTCTACAACAGCACATTGATCGTGGATAGTCTAACTCTTGGCTCAGAATGGATTATTTTCGATCATATATGACGGTGTACATTGAGCCGAGCAATATCTTCAACATATACTCATGAGACAAGGAATCTATGTCTATGCCGACGGTGATCACTGATGCCGCCTGGCTCAGAACTTGACTGGAATTGTGAATACAGATATAGTTTTCCAAGCAAGAATATCACAGGTAATCAGACAAGGTCATATCATCAACAACAACGCAACACATATGACAGTACTGGGAAACACAGAATACGACGGGTCATGCAGCGATCACCGACGTGTATATTGATAAGGTTAGCTTTACGCATAGTCGTACGGGCCGCCTTTCTCGAGAGCCTAGAAAACAAGTTTGTATCCTGTCAGTATTTCCTAAGTGATATTTGCAGCAAATTACAACCCACCCTCTTATAGGCATCCCTATTGCATGATTCACAAGTTAACGCAAAAGTGAGACACATCCTTGAATAAGGGCAGACGAATTTTGCTTACCTAGCATGTATACGCTGAATATAAGCCTTCGTCTTAGGACCCAGAATCTCAGGGGCGCGAGATGTGAAGCCCTCCAACGGGAAAAGCATCATGTAATCTGCGGAGGTCGGCTCCGGGCCACCTACCCAGAAATCACCGTGTGTCTTCTCCAAGTGCGTCTCGATCTTTAAACCAAAGAAATGTCAATGTCAATGCAGTCCGAAGGGGAGCGGCTTTCTCTGTGGCAGGCGGCACTCACAAGTTCGGAATGCTTCTTGAGTTGCGGGTCCACGAACCGGGAGCTGATGCCGGAGAAGACGGGTCGCATGAGAGGACGCATGAGTAAGGGGAGGCGGTTGGGGATGAGTTGGAAGATGTATTTCATCACAGCCAGTGGCATGAGCGAGCCCTCGGCATAATGAGTGACTAGTCCGATAAATCGATCAGCAATGACGGTGGAAAACAAAACAAGATAATTCCTACAGTAGAGGTTGTCCACTTCGCCAGCAGGAATCGGTTTTCCCTTCCCGTTTCCGTACTTCAAAATAACGTACTCTGTGGACGAAAAGGTTGAGCGGGCATATGATAATTATTCACGAAGAGGAAACCTACCCACGATGGCCCCACTCTCGGCCAGAGTTAGCGGGCCATCAGTAATCACAGGTGACTTTCCGAGAGGATGGACCTCGAGGAGTTCCTTGGGTGCCGTCATCTCGGGCGTACGGTGGTAGTGTTTGATCTCATAAGGAACTTGCAGCTCCTCCTAATAATATATAAACGAAAATGTGTTGGACAAGGTGTGCTTGAACCGTGAGAATCTGGGAAACTGACCAAGAGCCAGAGAACACGCTGAGACCTATTTTTGGTCAACGAAATCGGGTCAGTCTCGGATCATTTTGGACAGTTCACAGCTTGAGTTCGAGGCTCACCTCGAATTGTTCAAATGGTGGACTACCAACCCAGAAGAAGGTGTCGCCGTGCTGGCAGCTAGCGCGGTAAATGCAACAACAACAGAGCACCATCAGCTCACTACTTATTCATGAGCCAACATTCCGCCGTTTCGCCACCCACCTTCAGGTGCAGCGACGACGTCCTGCGTGGCGTTTGTCTCGTTCTCAGACATAGCTTTGTAAGTGGTTTGACCGAGGGAGGAGCTCTGCCTAGGATGGAAGATGGTGGTGGTACGAGAGAAAGAGCGACAGGATAGAAATGGACCACGGCGGAACACAAGCATGGGCACAGAGAAATAGGAACCACATTCTGCAAACCCGCGCACACAGGAGGCCTCTTGCCCACCGGCATACAAATACCCTTACCGGTGACGTGGTTATGCCCGAGAACGCCTTCCGGGAATTCCCGCGCAGCCACTTGGAAGCTTTGACTCGCTTCGATCGGTCTGTGACCAAAACCGTGCCACAACAGAGTAAATGTTCTAAGCTAAAGTTATTATCCGTTCTGCCCTAAACCTGGATACTTCGAGTCAATATCATGAGTGTCATTGAGCTTCTCTTTTCACGCTCTCTGCTATGGAGACCTCTCAAACAGAAGAGCCGCTCTTAGACACTCGCCGCGAACTCTCTTAGATTCAGCGCCAACTCGAGCGTACTCCTCGCACTCTATCCTTAGATCCAAGCTCTTGGTTAAACGACTTACGCGTCTGAAAGAGGAGACGCCATCATGACATACCTAATGTGCCATGATACACATTGGACGTTGAGATGATACTCTACCGGAGATACATGCTAATATACATGAAAAGACGACACGCAGCTTCATCATCCAAACAGGCAGGCCCACACGGCATTGATATTCTCTGGAACAAGGAGCATTCTGTGCACATAAGACAGATCTGACTAGCAAAATCAGCTAACAAGATACGCAAATAAATAAATAAACGTAGGACGAAAGCTTACCCAATATCGTCATTCAACCGAAGGTCTGATCATCATGTCATGATGATATGCCGCACGACACCCACAAAAGGGTTCACTTGGACCTCACTAAGCTTGTATCCACGAAACTCCAACGTCTCGAGATCGCGAGCCTGCGCCACACGAAGAAGTACCTCAACAAGAGCCTGCACTTCCTCTTCCACGTTGAGGTCCCCTTCCGAGTCGAAGGGCGAGGCCGACTGCCAAGCAGGGTCATCGTATATTTGACGTTTGTCAACAAAACATATTTTCTTCACTCGTGGAAGAATGGTGCGGTCAATGGCCACCGCGTCCAACTCGTGTTGATGGCCAATAAGACTATCGAAATGCAGGCTCTCCACCATCTCGAACCTTCCGAGCACTCGGCGGTAATCGTCAATTCCAAGTTGGACCGGAGGCCCGACGAAGTCGAGCCAACTGTATGCCCATCGGAGTTGGTGCAGACGACTGAGGTCAAGGCTCGCAGTTATCGCATCAAATGCCTGCATGAATTCAGCTGGCGTAGTTGAAATAATTTGTTGGCCGGGCTGAGGAATTAAACGCAATTGCAGGGCCAATCGTATTTGCTCGTCCGCATCGTGGTTCCAGCATCTTATCTGAAGAAGATGGCTGGCGGTAGAGAATAATAGAAGCTCGACAGTGCCGATCGGTCCAAGTGGTTCAGCAGGGCTGACGACAGCGGACATCATGCTGGGCCAATGGGCGGGGCGGTCCTTGTGCGCATCTACACGATAACGCATCGAACAAGTGGGGGGTATCGTCAAGTGATTTGTGAGCCGCGCGGCATCGGTTTCATTCCCCATTAAACGCAAGGTTGAGAGTCGAGGGAGGTGTACCCGAGCGCCATCGACTACACCGGACTGCGAAAAATATAATGGTTGGGCGATGTTGGCACTGAGACAGGGAAACTCGATGGATAGAGTTTCCAATTTATGCATATTCCGCAATGCATCGAGAACATCGCACAGGCTTACTTCTTTTTGTGAGCCCAGCACCATCATTACAGTCGCACTGGGCTGCGTGTATAGTGTGAGACTAGTAAGCCCGCTAAGGACAGGCGATGTCCATAGGGCTTCATGGGTAAAAGAGCCCCTGATGACCAAGGTCGTCAATGCTGGGGCGCATCTTCCAAGGAGATCCCGAGGAATAGACATTGCGCCACGATCGCCGTCCGATATCATAGCATGTAACACCAGAGTTTCGAGACGAGGAGCGGCTCGTGTGATGAACTCTTCGAAGTTCGACGTACCACCGGTCTGGGGAGCCTCTACACATAGATATTTCGGCTGTTTGCTGCGAAATAGGTCGGCAGAGATGGACTCGAGATAGTCTACATGTACAGAGCGAGGATTTTCTATGAATCCTCGTGACACTCGGAATGGATGGTGGGCCCATCGAGAATCCTGTATGATAGTGAGAGGCGCATCGTTGGAACGTCTGATCATCTCGCGCATCCATGGCCCATTACCCATCCAGAGAACCGCCCACAGAGCGGAGACTCCTACTGAAACGGCGCGCCAGCACTGACAAACATGGGAAGCGGCGATGATGGATCGTGTTGCTGAAGCTATTTCGTTGGCGGTGTCGTCGTAAGCTGGATCGTGTTGGTTCTCCACTTTGATTACAGGAAGAAGTTGAGAAAAGATAGACCCAATGATCTCTGACGGAAGTAGGTTGACGGGAAGCAAGGCATTGCGACGAGCGCTGATGGCCTGGATGTACGCTTGGGCCATGGCAATCTCGTCATCACAAGCTTTAATTATGAGCTCTGACTGGTTACCAGCGCCCTCGAAGAGCGGGCAAATTCTTGAGATTCTCGCTTCCTGCCAAAAATCCTCACTGAGAACACGGGCATGTCGTAAGACGCAACGGACATTGAGAAACGAGTGAACGCCTTACCGTGAAAAGGTGGAGGTCATCGTGTTATAGCACTTGATGATGTTGCGCTACGTGATCTACGAGCAATAGAGATAAAGCCAGTGGATGATGAGTGTTCTTGGGGACCGGAAGGTGGAAGTCAAGAGCAAGATAGATCTACATCCATCGTCGCCCCGTTTGGGTTTGACCTCATTGACACGCCACTTCTATTTGCCCCTGCTTCCAGCGCCACACTGCTTTGTCTCATCCACTACCATGACACTGGCTACTCCTTCATCACAACCGGTACAAAGCAATTCAGCAACTGCCAACTTCACATCTCCAGCCTATAAGAGAGCTCGCCGTCAGTTCCTTAAATCCACAAGGAACCGCCCGAAAGACATTGAAGATCAATGGACTCCCTTCCGCGCCGCAGAGAAAAAGTACAAAGCTAAATTTCCGCCGCCCGATCTCTCAGGAGTACTGGATTTGGCACTCTTGGATGAGAAAATGGAGGATGAGATCAGAAAGGGTCACTGGAAAGGCGGGCTTGAAGGCACGAATGTTGGATACAGGGAGGTCAGTTTCGCTGGAGCGGGGAGCGGGAGGAAGGCGTATATTTTGTCAAGGATTCCAGGTGGGTGATGCAGTGCACTCATGGGTAGAGAATACTGACTAACGTATGCTAGGGCCCTGAATTAATACAGGTCTTGTCATTCTTCCGTCTTTCATCTCGCATGACGAGCAGAGGACTCTCGTTCAGTGGTCTCTTCGCGATCATGCTCGACAACCAAATGAGACCAACCTCGACACGCATTATATCCTTCCTCGAAAAGGTCTCTGGAACGCTTATATTCGTGATCTTCATAATGCTGGGCCCGAGCAAATTATTCAACCCCGGGCATCCTCTGATTCCTCGACTTCGTTGCAAGCCACACCATCCGCTGCTCCGACAATTTCTTCGCCACCGGGTCCTCGCACCTTGATATCCAACACTCCCGCCTCTCCCTCAACATTTCAATCTCTCACCTCCGCTGAAAAGTTTCCTTACGCTCCCTCCCCCACGGTCCCTCCTTTGTCAACATCCTCGTTACTCCCGAAACTTCGATGGGCAAATATCGGATGGTTCTACCATTGGGGAACGAAGCAATACGACTTTAGCAAAGGAAAACAAGAGGTCGGAAATACTGTGAGGGACCTCTGTAAGCATGCCGTGGAAGGTGTTAAATGGGAAGAGGTCTTTGCCGGAGACGTATCCGGTGTGGCCAGTGGTGAGGGCTGGGGCGACGGTGAACAGGATTGGCATACGTGGACGGATAGTTACGGTACGCCGGATATTTTCTCTTGAGTCCTATGCCGAACACGCTGAATTAATGCACAACACAGAGCCAGACGCAGGTATCGTGAACTTTTACCAGACAAAGGACACTTTGATGGGCCACGTCGATCGGTCAGAAGTTTGCGCCACATCGCCTCTAGTCTCGATATCGTATGTGTACTTTGGATTGTCTGGGTTTCGCGGGTGAACCTAATATTGACGATCATCCGCATAAAATGTAGACTAGGGAACGCTGCCGTGTTCCTTATAGGAGGTCTTACCCGCGACGTAGAGCCCGTACCCGTCCTTCTCAGATCAGGCGATGTCCTCATCATGTCAGGCCCAGCATGTCGGAGAGCATATCATGGTCCGATTCTCTCAAGCCTGACTGCTCAAATGTAGACTGACTTTGTCGGTTACGGTTCCATTTTACAGGCGTCCCACGGATACTGGAAAACTCCCTCCCAGAACATCTTGCTTACGACCCTTCATCTTCTTCACCAGCGCTGAACTGGAACGAAGACGGTGATGGGGACTGGGCACCATATGCGGAGTATATGAAGACGACCCGAATAAACGTGAACGTGAGGCAGGTGTTCCCGAAGGGGTTCGACCCCGCTTTAGATCTTACTCGAGCTCAATTAGACGAGATAAAAGGCTAGGATGTAGGTGTATGGGTAAGATCAGATCTATGTACATTGTATCTTTTGATGTATTTGGCTGCAAGTCATCTGGTGAAAGCGAGGATTTTGTATTCTACGTGTATTGAGCAGGGATCCATCAAACGAAACGAGACTATGACAGTGATACCTTACACATCTAGTGATACACAGGTTGAACAGAAGTGAGAGAATGATGAGACAGCAGATGATGGTATAGCTGCAGGATACAGACCACCGGGCAATAACATCACTGAAGCAAGATATAACAGCGACCTTAACAGCCGACTTCCAATGAGACGATAGCATCATAAGTGTGAAAAAAAGTCCGATGCAGTCTAATGAATATTGTCCGACGATCCCCACACCACAGTCTAAGTCCGCTCTCCTGGCCAGATCACCTTGGCCGTCCCGAAGATACTTCTCAAGCTGAACGGAGAAATCAAGAAAGGGCTGGAAGGCACGATATCCTGATCACAAACGACATTGAGTCCCTCCTTGACCGACGTCCGCTCACTCGCGGGTGTGAATAAGCTCCCGAGTCCGTGTGAACAACCAGGGTCCTCCACACCAGGTGAACTGTCCCCGACAATCGAGGATCCAGGAAACAAGATAGAGTGCGCGGGGGTATGCGATAACAAGTGAAGCGTCGAACTGTCGAGAGAGAGGAGCGAGGCGAAGAAAGACAGAAGCGGAATATATATTCGCGGGTGTGGCGTAGGACCGAGTGGCGTCGGGCCATGAGTGGTCACCGTCGACGTTGTTCTCGAGCGAACATAGGATATCCTTCGCGAGTCCAGCCTTCCCTCCACAGCTTGCTGTGACTGCAATGATTGCTGAAGTTGCAGTTGAGCTCTGCGCCTCGCTTCTGCATCCCCTAAGGAATCCACTCTCCTGCGCAACGCAGCAGCCATATCCCACCTGCTCGCCCTCACTATCTGCTCCTCCAGCATAGAAGCCTCTGCCTCATCCATAGGCGACCAATCCCAATCACTTCTGTCCAACAATCCTTGCCCGTGAGAGTCAGGTACAGGCGACCCGCCATCGCTAGGCCTCAGGCTCAATGGCGTGCCTACATCTTCCCACTCTCCCGCACTGGTCGTACCAGTAGCACCAGAACTCTCTGTCAGGCTTCGTTCTCTAGACACTGAGAGACTCAGAGGAGGTGAATATATGGCGGCTGATGCTGATGCGCGTGAGGACGACGGTGCGGGACTGGGTGGTGCAGATGGCGGATTGGGGAAGAGATACATGGATTGCTCGAATGCAGCTGCTAAAGCATCGTCTTCAAGTTCCACAGAAGCGTCAGAGGCTGACCGCGAAGGGTTGGACGTGATAGACGAAAAATTCGCATTTGGCCGTCTCGTGTAGTATTCCATGATTTCCCTGGTGATGAGAAATGAGAGAGCTGAGCAGCCTCGAGTTGGTGGTCAAGAATGACGGAGAGAACACCGTGTTCGCCACAACTTGTCATCCCGGCCAGCTCCGAGATTGGTTCCCACGCTGCTCACAAAGAACATGATCATCCGTATTCAGCTTGTAGCTACGTATCGACATCCATCGCGGTACGATACCATACGGGAACTTCTCTATCCAGGAACTTTCAATGTGGGCATCAGAACTACTTGATCATGCACGCAGCCTACAATGAAGTCAGGAGTCTGCTTCTGGCCAAAAAAACTGCTCTTTCGAGGCTTCGTTTGTTTTGCTCTGACCTCTGTATGGTAGCTTCTGGAATCCGGTGAGGTTCTGCATGCTCGACGAATGGAACCCTCACTCATCAATTTGGCTTATGAATGCATACTCTAGACTAGCCTATCTGTTTGATGCCTTCTCGCTTGTTGACCCTCCAAAAGATGCCTCACAGTTGCTCACGCATCTTCGTAAGGTTGGGCTCTTTTCACCGCCCTGATAATTACACCCTTGCTGATGAAGTATGGCCGCGTAGAAGATTCCAATGTTTATGCATGTGATCCATGTATACGATCCGCATTCAGAGCAATCGTTCTTCGTGAATACGGTCTTGCTGCAGGCTCTACGCTACGAACTGGCCTCTCTAAATGCCTACTCTTTTATTGACCTTGCAGATTCACCCACGCTAGTAAGCTACTCTTTGCTAATTGATGGGATGCATGAAATGGTTAATAACCTCATTTAAAGGTTTCTACACCTCCATTGCACGTCACACGTCTCCTCACTGCGTTGTATGAATCGATCGAGAACAACCCAGATGCAACGACCATCCAGCTTGCAACAAACGATGAAGGAGAATCCTTGGTCCCTTTTGCAGCTGTTCTGCTCGAATATCCTGTCGCCTATGTTCCTCCCCCATCTCTGACCGGATTCTTGAGCGGGGTGCCTCTAGACGTCTACGAATGCACCATCAATCCTACTTCCACTGCCGGCGATGACAGCTCATGGATCCCGAACGGTCATACTCTCCTCAAATTCTCCTGTCCGCGTTCGATCTCGGACCAATATCTGCACCTCAGGCCAGACGCCCTCAAACATCGGATCGAAAATCACTTCGCCTCTCGCGTAGCTGAAGCTTGCCTAGATGCCACGGTCATGGTGTCTCACCACACCGAAGTGCACGATCGCGTCGCGTTGTGACCTCCTACCCGCTATTCACTTCGTCGTTGCCATTAACTAGGAGCAACTTCACTACATCACATCCACAACCATAAAATATCTCCGCCCTACTCGATGTCAATATTGGTGATCTTGATATCTTCGTACGGCTTGTCGGTCTTGTTTGTCTTCGCATTCTCAATGGCATGTACCGTCTCCAGCCCGCTCAACACCCTCCCAAAGATGGTATGTTTCCTGTCCAGCCACGGGGTAGCCGTTGTCGTAATGAAGAACTGACTGCCGTTCGTTCCGGGTCCCGCGTTCGCCATGCTAACGGTATAAGGCCTAACCATGCACCATTAGCCCTCTATCCCACTTCAATATGCAGTCAAAGAAAATACACACCGATCATGCTTCAAGTCATCGTCAAACTCGTCCTCGAACTCTCTTCCCCAGATACTCACTCCTCCTGTCCCATCACCTAACGGGTCTCCCGTCTGGATCATAAACTTCGGAATGACCCTATGGAAGATGACGCCCTCGAAGTACCCTGATTTCGCATGCCCGATGAAGTTTTCGACGGCTTTAGGAGCCTGGGAGGGGAAGAGGCGCATATGAATGTCTCCAAGGGTAGTGTGGATGGTGGCGGAGGTGGCGAGAGTAGTGCTGAGCGGTTTGGCGAGGGCATGGTTTGAGGAGGCGATAGTTTGGACTTCGCGAGTGGGACGTTCGTTGAAAATGTCACGGTCGCCGGATTTATTGTCTCTGATGGATATAGCAAATGACGGGGTCAGCATTACTTCATGGTCTGGCGTGGGCCGGATGGGATGGAAGACTCACTCTGGTTCGTCCCGAGTGAACATGTAGAAACGCTGGCGCTTGTAAGCGGTACAGAAAAGGGTAGGATCGCGACCCTGTTTCTCTTGTAAGATGGGGTTGGCAGACGCAGCCATCGCAGCCGTCGTGAATCCCTTCTTCGCTGGTGCACCTTGATACAAACTCAGGTTCAAGAACCGCACGGTCTCGTCCTTTCCCATGAGCCTCACTACCCGGTTCGTCACGGTATTCACCACTGTTGCCCAACAAATAGAAAATGGTCAGAGCAATCCATATGTAGCCCTACGTCCAGACGCACCTTTGATGCCAAGTAAAGTCGGATAAAGCACAAGGGCGCCACTCTCATCCCACACAGCATTAATCCAACTCCCAGGTATCTTCCCTCCCTCTGCCGGTGGCAGCTCGAGTTCTCTCTCCATCGCCAATCTTCGCCCGAACTCCATATCCTCAACCTTGTACACCGCCGTCCCGGCCTGCTGCATTTCCTGGATCGCAGCGAGTGACTCGTCGTACTTTCGCGTCATTTTGCCCGTGAGGAAGGAGAAGATGCGGATTTGACGGTCTGGGAGGGAAAAGGTGACGAAGGAGGAAGAGTCGGGTGAGAGGGTTATGCATGTGGGTGTTGATTTGCTCTGTGACATATTTCAGATCTTGAAAGTTGGAGATAGAATATATTGTGATATAGGAGGTGCGAGCTGTTACCTTTTTGAACTCGTAGAGGTCCGTTTTAGATTTGAATGACCACAGATGCGGCACGTTCTTCGGTAGGTCAAATGGTTCTGATGGTTGCCAGTACTCGATAAAGCCAGCCTCGTCGGCTGAAACGACACAATCATACCTGTCACTATACTGAAGTCTCGCTCAGTATTGATGTTCGGCGCTATAATAACACTTATACGCACGGTCATAAGGTGCACAGGGGACCTGTGAAGTTTCGTGATAGTCTCCAAAGGCTTTCCATCTCCACGACCATCATAGAGATGAATGGTCCCATTGGTCGAATCAGAGCTGAAATATTCGCGTGACATGTTAGCGACGTCATGGAAGGGAGTATGAGAGGGACGCACACTGCAAGAAGACCCTGCGCCTGACCTCGCCTATGGACCCAACAACACGCACTTGGGATATACCCAAGCTTGATCATGTTGATCATATCTACGCGCGTCCAGTAATGCATGAGTGGTTCTGAAGCTCGAAAGGAAGTGAGCGACTGAGACGGACCGAAGTTAATGACATCAAACACCTTCGCATGTCCGTCATCCGAGATACTCGCAAACAGTTGTCCGTCGGCACTTGCAGAGACCCCAACGATAGGGGAGACATGTGCACGGTAATGCTTGACGAACTCGATACCCTTGTCTTGTTTCTTCCACAGCTTGAGGTGCCCATCCACGGATGTGGTGATCAGAAAGTCTGTCCTATAGAGGTCCGTTCATATGTAATCACATATAATGAAAAGCAGATATGAACACACTTTGTGGTTACACAGAAGTTGATGGTGTCTCGGTGCATGAAACTCTTGTAATACCGGTCAGCACTGGGTAGATGGTCTAGGTATAGCCGTTCGTGTGGCAAGACTATGAGGAACGACACAATACTTCAGTATAACTATCAACGAGCCATATCCGTCGACAGGACGCACCTTTCCGCTTCTTCTTCACCCCTCCAGCAGCAGCTCCAGTGTCCGGCATAGGCATGGGACCCACATCGTCGTCGTCGCTGTCCTCGTCGACTGCCGCGCCATTGTCGGAAGGTTTTGCCGGTGGTTCCATGGTGCTATCCCCGTCTGCCTCTCCATCTCGAGCGCGTTTCCCGAGGGCAGAGGATTGTGTTTCTGGTTCTTGGTCGGACATCAAGGTTTCGAAGGAAAAAGAGCTGGACTGAACGGAGCGCTTGCAAGTTGAAGCTGAACGGTAGCCCCGGCCCGTTTTCCCGGGATCTTACCTTTGAACAGGACGCGCGTCGCGTCGCGTCTTTCGCCACCTCACACTCCTTCAACTACGAAACAGATCATGTCGCTTATCGACGAAAACACTATTTTAGCTTTCAAAGCTGGCCGGTGCTTCCGCCGCGAAGGTACCAACACCGTCGAGGCTAACCCGGCAAAAGGTGCCATCGTTCTTGATCGCGGAGAGGACGAGCTATTGCACTTTTATTGGAAGAATAGGGACACTGGAATCACCGATGAGGTTCACTTTTTTTTTCTTTTTAATGCGGTTGTGTTTCTGGAATGAGTTTAATGCGCAAGGAATGCTGACGGAATTATTTGTTGCGGTACAGGATTTGATACTCTTCCCGTCGGATGCGACATTCGTGAAAGTGTCGCAAGCAGGAGACGGCGGAAGGGTATATGTATTGAAGTTCTCGAGCTCGAACCAGAGGCATTTCGTACGCCGTTCTATCTTCTCTTGTTCTATACTTCTCACTCACGTCAAACTCTATAGTTCTGGATGCAGGTACGCCAGTTCTTGCATATACACTGCCGGTGGACCGGACATGATTTGTCTCCCGTTGTGTAGGATGCTTCTGCGGAGAAGGACGAAGAGTTTGTCTACCACTTGAACAACCTCCTCCGTCTTCCGGGATACATCCCTGTCTGGAACACCGCTACCCCAAGTGGTAGCTCCAGCGGTCAGCCCGAAGCTTCCACTTCGACCTCTCCTAGGTAAGACCATCCACACAACCACTTTATTTATTCACGGAATGCCAGCTGATACATCTTGGTACTAACAGTGCGGGTGGTGTCGGGCAACCTACTTCTGACCAACTCGCCCAGCTCCGCTCTCTTGTCTCTCAAATGTCCACAGGTGCCGGAGCATCCACTGAACCAGGTTCGCTATACCCTTCCCAATGTACTTTTTATAGACCATAGTCTCACCTCACCTGTGTTCCCAGAACTCTCCTTAACCGACGTCCTAACCCCCGCTAACCTCGCTCCTCTATTCACCTCCCACCCAACTCTAATCCCAACTCTCTTTCCCCACCTCCCCGCGGACCTACCCACCCCACCCTCCCCCGAGGTCCTCCGCGACATCACATCAAGTCCGCAATTCAGACAAGCTGTAGTCAGCCTGGATAGGGCACTGAGGACGGGTTTGTTGGGCGGTCTGGTGAGACAATTGGGTTTGCCGGAGGAAGCGGGGTTGGGCGTCGAGGCATTTTTGAGGGCCGTTGCGGAGCAGGGACGAGAGGGGGGCGGAGAGGGTGAAAGTATGGATACGGATTGAGAGTCTAGTGGCTACATATAACGTATTGGCGTGGGTTGAGCGTTGAGCGTCTGCACGTTGATTTCGATATTGATGTACGATGTAACCGTGGCTGCGGCGTACTGTAAGTCGGATTTCAAAAACTTGTAGTCCAAGCTACTCTGTGTTTCGAATTCTCCGTCATCTTGAATAAACTTCCCAGATATGGAGGCGATGCACAATCTGATGCATGCATTCCGTCATGACCCGTGAAACAAATAAAAGAAAACCCAGGCGAGACACGATAAGGGCCACTGACATGTGTGTAGGCGCTAAGTAAGATACAAACAGACAGAGGAGACGATGTAAAGGATTGTTAGATGGTGTTATGAAAGGTACGAGGGAATCGGCGTGAGAGTATATCGAGCGAGTGGAAGGGTAAGATGACAGAGGTGCAACGCGTTGGAGGGAGAGGTAGAGGCGAGGGGCGAGGAATATGTGGAGAACATGGGAGAATGAGATCAATGGCTGCGGCCAGCAAGCCACTGCATCACAATATCTCTGTGGGTAGGGAAGGGAGAGGTTGTAAGGATAACAAAGAGAAGTAGAAGTACTCAATGCGAGAGGGGCGTACAGATTGTGTTGGCTCTTCATAGAACACTTGAAGAGACTGTGAATTTTGTGAGAATGTGGCGCTGAAAATGAAGGACTTACGGAATAACACTGTATCGTTCAAAATACCACAGTCAGAGAGGAGTAAGGCAAAGAGGAATAAGGGAGAGCTCACGGAGACAGGTCGTCCTTGGATCTTACTCAGTTCCCTACATGCGGAAGATTATCACCAGTTCACCGGCGTTTTATGGTAATAAAGAATGCACGTACAGCGATCGAATCAGCTCATTCACAGGAGCATGTCCATCGATGTCATTCTTATTTCCGAGCTAGAGCGAATGATGAAATGAGCGCCATTCTGTGACCGACTGGAATGATGGAGGTAAACAGGTGATAATGTCTTACGACGAGTAATGGTACACCGGAGAGAGCTGGTTGATTCAATAGCGAGTGAAGTTCAAAACGGGCAGACTCGAACTTCTCTTGCTGTTATGAATGTGTAAGTGGTCAGGGGGTGTGATAGTACGGGACGTAAATGGTGGGACGAACGTCTGTTGAGTCAACGACAAAACTGTTCGATCGATAATATGAGAAATGCAATAGGCCTGGGTATAAAACATTGAAGGACGCACACTACAGCATCAACACCATGACAATACCGCTCCCACATCGAGCGGAACTTTGGTTGCCCTACGTGGATGCGCCACCCAACATTCAAAGGTAAATATTGCATCCGAGACCTTCTACCAAAGAGAGAGCACGCACCAGCAACGTCCCAAATCTTGAAAGTCACGTTTCCTTTCCTCACCTTCCTCAGGTTGAAGGCTACTGTCGGCACGACGTCCTCGCTCCACTGAGGCACATTTCGCGCCACACAAGCAAGTCAACCTAGGTTCGCGCTTTGAAACGGCTTATACGTATACCCACCTGACCTGAGCTAATGACATTTACAAACGAAGTCTTCCCAGATGCCTAAACAGACACGAAGCCAGTCAGAGCATGCAGCTTGAGGATGAGGAGTCTGCGTACCTGAAGACCAACAACGGATATTTCCGCTTTCTTGGAGAAGAACAGCCTATTCACGCTCAATCAAAGGCTGCAACCGCTTGACATAAGAGCTAAAGCGTACCCGCTGAACCATTGAAACAGATTTGTGAAGAAGCCAGACATAGCGGAGAAGGCGATGAGGTAAAAGGATGGCGGGGAGCAGTCGCCATCATCATCGCTGCTGTGGCAGTGTGCTGAAGGCTTGCTGACATAAGCCAACCATCAATCGAGATCCTCTCGTTGGATTTTCGCGTCCAAGTCGCGTCTTGCCTGTGCTCGTCGACTTTGACGGTGAGCAAACTCTGTCTACGCTGCGCTCAGATGAAAGCTCTGCAACGCTCCTGCTCTCGACGACTCTTCACATCACATTTCAACCACTCGCCTAGTCTCGGCTCCAGCTCTGCGTTGTTCCACTCGTCTTCACCACTCTCCAAGCGCAAGAAATCTGCTCCTGTACCCGAAACAGACACTGCACCTAGCAGTAACAATGGGACGACTACACCTGCGGCAGCCGCTAGCGAGCGCCTTCGCAACATCATGGTCGAGGGCAGCCTTTCGGACGAAGATCCCAGTGTCCTCTCCCAGTCAGAGCTCGCCTTTGGGGGAAGTTATGATCGTTCCGGTCATGTACTCGACATGCTCAAGGATGGCAAAATGAAACAGACACCCAAAGACAAACAGAAGGCCAAAGACAAGAAAGGCCCGCCCAAACCTCAAGAGCCCCAAACACTCACAAAACATCAAAGGAAGAAGCTGAGGAGGAAGCTCAAGAAAAACTTGTTATCCCAGCAGTTAGGAGACCATATGATAGATCGACAGAAGAGCGCATCGAGTCAGTCGATAACGCGGAAGGAGTTAATGGGTACTGAGTCTGGGTCGAGGGATTCTTCAGTCGCATCGGTCGAGACTGGAAGAATTCGTGATAACCTGAGCAAAGACCGGGCTCCTCACCTTCCACGCACTCTGCTCTACACGCGACGCGTCGAAGGCATCGTTCCGCCTATGGATACCTCGATCTTACAAGGTAAGCCTATGTCAACTCTTGCGCATCATGCACAGAGTTGCGTCTGCATAATTGCGCCACACCTGCTTTGATAGTCATATGTTGATTTTTTCACGCTTCACAGACACTCTCCCTCCAAGCGAGCACAACCCCATTGCACAACTCAGCCATAACCTTGATCGTGTACTCTTCAAGTGCGTCTTGATTCATCCCGAATTTTGGTATACGGCCGTCCCTCGTCTCACACCAGATATACAGCCCCGGCGTACATCTACTTCGAGACTTCCGTACGCAGGTGTATAACTTCTCATCCTACCTTGAGAAGCTTCCACCACCGCAGGATTTCGCATTCGAGCGTTTGGCTGGTTTTATTCCCAGTTCGCGTGATGAGGTTAGTTTCTTCCCTTCTCATTACCACAAACTTTAAACTGGCAATAATCCGGTACTGAGATCCGTTTCTATCTCCTTCTTCTCACAACATGAATTCTGAACAGGATTTACGCACAATTGCCACTCGAGAAGGAAGGACGTTCGCTGGATCAACGTCTTCTCTGTCTGGTCTTCTCAGTCATATATATTTCCTTATTTCGTCGGATAAGGATGTGAACACAACGAGTCTGAGCAGGCATTTCCAGTACGAGGTAATATCAAGTTAATTCCTTCGTCACTTGCTTGACGTCACACATATGCATGCTTATCTTCCATCTCTTGTGTAGCCAACTACCTTTACGCCGGGTCAGCGTATGCCTGCTGGTGTTGTGCTCAACTACTTTGACGGTGTCTACACAATCGACTCTGATAAGTTGAATGACATCTCAGAGAAGAATGTGTTGACGTGGATGGTCAGTGCGCCTTTTATTCGCGGTCTATGAACCGGAACTCACACCGTGACGTACTAATCCCCCCGCTACATCGGTATACAGGGCACACTGATGGAGAACTTCTTCACGAAGACCCCGGAGGAGTTCGAACGTTTCACGCGCAAGTCAGAAAACCCCTTCGTCCCCGAAGGTGAAGGTGGCAAGCCTAAGCGCGAAGCATACCGTTACGCTATGGTGCGCACTCTTTCAACCATCCCCACTAACCTCCTCATCGAGTACTTACGCCTATGAATAACCTCAACGCGATGCGATGCGGAAACAGTCAGATAAATTCGTCATGCGCTCGCAACTCGATTGTGTAGATCCTCGGCTTCCCGGCACGGGCGTCTTCGACCTCAAGACTCGCGCAGTGTATCCCATTCGTCACGATAACATAAATTACGACGCGTATGTTGGATATACACTGAAGGCGATCCAGGGTCCGTTGGACAGTTTCGAAAAGGAGTACTATGACATGATCAGGTCGGCGTTCCTCAAATATCAGTAAGTTGCTTTTACTTCTCTTTCATTCCTCCTGCCCTTGATTTTACTCGGGGCCTCGATACTGATTATATGGTGATCGTTTCGCTATAGGTTCCAATGTCGGATAGGTAACATGGACGGCGTCTTCGTCGCGTATCACAACATAGAGCAGGTCTTCGGTTTCCAGTACATACCGCTTTCGGAAATGGACGATAGGTTGTTCGGGGCCGAAGGGAGAGGTGACAGGGTGTTCGAGAAGTGCGTGAAGCTGCTAGAGGTCCTCGTCACAGAGGCGGCGGAACACTTCCCGAGGCAGGTACGCTACACAGTTTCACGGTCTTCATGGCTGGCTGAGGGTGGCAGTATGCATACTGATGCTGTCACGCCGATCATAGTCAATACGGATGCTAGCCGAGAAGCAGGACAAGAAGGACGTGATGAACATTTTCCTCCAGCCTGCTCTTTGGGACAAGGAAACACAGGGGGACATTCCCACCGTTCAACTTGACGTCTCCGTAAGCAACTATAGCGGAGACAACGAAGTCCGCGGTTCATCGGCGGTGTCCAAGACCGAAGATCCTTGTAAGCCCTTCCCTTCTTTTTCTGACTCATCACCCCTCTATTTGAACTCAATTACGCGTGCAACTCAACAGGGACAATCCTCTGGGCCATCTCCACTGCGGCCCTCCCACCACGCGAAATCGAGCAGAACATGAGCATGGCCCGGATGCGCCAGTTCAGATACATGCTCCTCCCCACTGGCGCTACTCTAGCGGACGCAGAAGAGCGTTGGCATAAGTTCTTGAACTTTGGGGGTGCAGAACCGCCGGATTTGGCTAGTGCGGTGCCGTTTGTGCCGGAGAATTGGATGGAGGCGACGAAGAGCATTCAGCAGTTGAGGGAGATGGCGAGGGAGGCATTGCTGGCGAAGGAGAGGAAGGAGGTGGGGATTGTGGAAGGGGCTCAGGGACAGGGGGTAGAACAGGGGGAGGGCAGGACGGAGTTTAAGAGGTTGGGTGACGAGTCGGAGGAGATGAAGAGGTTGAATAAGGCCTGGCAACGGAGACAGAAATTGTTGGCGCTCGGGAAAACGCTCTCGTCGGACCGTCAGCTGGGACAAACTCAAGAGCCGGTGAATTCGAACGCGGATGGCACGAAGGAGCAGGCTGAGAAGAGGGGGGTCATCGGGCCGGCCATGCTGTATGAAGATGGAAAAGAGTCGAATCGGGCGGGTTTTATGGAGTTCGTGGCGCAGTTAAAGCAGAAGGGGCTTGACAGTTTGGCGGAGGCGGAGGAATCTGTGAAAGAGGGAGGTGCTGCTGAGGATATCCTTGATACACCGGCTACTTCGACCACGGATGCAGAGCTCGCGCCTCTCGCGGAAACCTCGGTGAAATACTTCGAAGAGAAATCCTCCCATCCAGAGACTTCGTCGCTTCAAGACAAAGCTTCCTCCTCGTCAGACCAACAAACGTCTTCTTCCTCCGACACATCTTCGACGGTGGATCGTTCGACGCCTAGTACCGAGGCCACACACTCTAACGTGGTTTCTAGTAACAATGTCTCGGCACCTTCGGAAGATCAACCATTGTCCGCTGCCGCGACGGAGAAGGAACCATCGGAGGTTATCGAGGAGGTTGATGGTGAGGATGTGCCGCTCAGCGATTCGAAGGTCACGGATGGAGAGCCTCTTCAGTCTCCAGTTGTCGAGAAGGCTGATGATCAGGAGCCGCCTCGAGCAGAGAGCCCTCAAGTAGCTACCGCCTCTCCGATATCACCTGCATCCTCGTCGCCTTCACCGACCCCAGAGCCTAAGGAAGGATCGTCATGATCCTGCTTCCCCATACGCTTTCTCTTGCATTGTTTGTTACATGCTCATTTTTACCACACATACAATCACCACTCATACTAGCATACATAGTCGTCAGAGATCTGTTACAATATATTCAGTCTTAAATTCAGGTCATCTGTGTGCCACTGTGGCGCAGTGTGGTACAAAAACACCACTCACCAATTTGCAATTTTCTTCGACTCTCCGCCAAATACTTGCTGCTCAAGTACATGTCGTTGGCCTCACGCGCTGGGCGGTCTGCCTGTCTTCGCTCTCCAAGCGCACACCGACGACCTCTGCTAGGCTGGAGCGCAGCCGTCGCCGTCGCCGCTTTCGCCACGTACCATGGCTCCCATGCTCCATCGCTGACTGCAGGTCCCAAGGCGCACTGGACATCGATTGCTGGATATAGCCGTGCTGTCACGCCTGCTCTACTGACACGCGCCTTCTCGTCCTCTTGCTCGCTTCTCTCTTCCTTACCTTCAAGTACCTTCACTTTCAACCCAAGAAGCGATTCAAGTATGGCCGATCTGACGTTGACCCCGCCGCAGTCTGCGCCGAAGTGGAACCATTCGGCGGAGGACATTTTGAAGTTGACGAAGGAGGCGATCCAGAAGGATAGAGAGTTTATGGATAGGATCGGGAAGTTGCCCAAGGATCAGTGCAACTTTGAGACAGTGAGCCATCGTCGTCTGTACTCTTTCTATGCTCGTACTCATGAACATCGCGCGATCGTTTTCTAGGTATTCGTGAGTGTTTTATTGCCCAATAGGGGCGCTAACTCCCTACGATCATACATGTCTAACACATACGCAGCTCGCCCTCGCCAACGAAGAAGCCGAGTTCGATAACATTGCCGAACCGCTCGCGTTCTACCAAAATGTCTCACCCTCGAAGGAACTCCGCGACGCCTCCAACGAAGCTGAAGTGCTCACACGCGACTATGGCGTCGAGGCATCTATGCGTCTCGATGTATTTGCCGCCAAGCAAGCTGCGGAGGCGAACATCAAAGCTTCAGGGAAGAAACTGAACGATGAGGAGCAGAGGCTAGTGGAGAAGATGTTATTGGAAGGCAGGAGGGCTGGGTTGGCATTGCCGGAGAAGGAGAGGACAGAGTTGATGGGTTTGAAGAAAGAGTTGTCGCAGGTTTGCTTGGAGTTCAGCGTGAGTGAGCGTTCCGTGTCGTCGTGGTGATGCGTGTGCTACGTAGATTTTGGTGTAAATTCTGACTTCTGTGCAATAGAAAAACTTCAACGAGGAGAATGTGTGTATCATCTTCACACATGTATATGTGGGCAAGTGTGACTGAACAGAATTCATCAGGGTATCGTCAGCTTCACCCTCGAGGAGCTCAAGGGCGTCCCCAACGATGTCGTCTCCGGCTACACAAAACGCACCGAAAACGGCAAAGAACTCTACGACGTCACTCACAAGACCCCTGACATCTTCCCTGTCGTATGTCCTTCCCGATTTGCTTCCTCCCATCATTTGAAACTCGCGGTGTTCTAATTTCTTGATGAGATAGTTCAAGTACGCTGAGAACGCCGATACGCGTCGACGAGCGCACGAGAGCTACGAGGCCAGGCTTTCGATCAATGTTCCTTTGCTATCAAAGGCCTTGGAACTCCGTCGCAACATCGCCGCCTTGCTTGGGTACAAAACATGGGCTGACTACGTCACGGAGGTCAAGATGATCAAGAATGCTCAAGGTGTCGAAGAGGTCTGTCTTCTTGCCCGTGTCTAGCTACCACTCATTCACCTACCTTCATCGATGTTAGTTCCTCGACGATCTCGAACAGCGTCTTCGTCCTGTTGGCCTTCGCGAACGCGAAGTCCTCCTCGCACTCAAAAAAGAAGAGCTCACGTCCAAGGGTCTGCCCTTTGACGGTGAATTCAACATCTGGGACTACCGTTACTACGACCGCAAGTTTATCGAAGAGTCCCTTTCTCTGGACGACTCGCTCGTGAAGGAGTATTTCCCTGTATCTGTTGTCGTGCCGGTGATCTTGGAGATCTATCAGAGCTTGCTGAGCGTGAGGTTCAAGGAGGTCAAGAAGGAGGAAGCGAGCACCTGGTTTGAGGAAGTGCAGATGTTTGAGGTTTGGCAGGAGGGTGCAAAGGACGAGACTGGGTTCGTGGGGTACTGTTACTTGGATCTGTTCCCCCGTGGTACGTCCTTAGCCTTCCTCTACCGCCTCTTCCTCTTCACCATGGTCGTCGTTTTGTTCTTGGACCTGATATATCCGACCCTTTGTGTAGCCTCAAAATACTCCCATGCAGCAGTCTGGCCTCTTCTCCCCGGCTACCAACTCTCCTCAGGCAAGCGACAGTACCCGATCGCAGCCATGGTGGCCAACCTCGCGAAACCGACGCCGGATCGCCCGGCGCTGATGAGGCACGATGATGTCGTGACATTCTTCCATGAGATGGGACATGTGTTCCACGGGCTTTTGAGCAAGACCCAATTTGCGAGGTTCCATGGGACGAGGTACGTTCTCCTCTCCTTTACCGTCTGTTTCCTGTTCTGCCTGCGCATATTCAATCGTCACTGAATCTCGGTCGATTCTAGTGTGGCGCGCGATTTCGTCGAGGCGCCTTCGCAGATGTTGGAGAACTGGTGCTGGGAGCCGAAAGTGCTGGAGAAGATGTCAAGCCATTACGAGACGAGCAAACCACTCTCGGCGGATCTGATTGAAAAGATTGTGAAGAGGTGCGTGTTGATCTACCGCCACTCACAGCGTATTGCCCTCGATATCCCCTTGAACCCGTTATTTCTTCCGCGCTCCATACTATTTTGAAAATGCACATGTTTTTTTCCCCCATCCCATCCTCTCCTTCATCACCGTCATCTCCGCCCATCGCTTCCCACGATTGAGACACGATTATGCCTCACTTTACCCGCCTATTCACTCATTCCTCGTCTTTTGTCCACTTACGGTCCATTTGTGGCGCCGACAACCCATACGGATAAATGACTAACACCCACACTTTCACGCACGTCCTGCGGGGTTTTAGCCGCTACGTGAACGTAGGCCTGTTCTACCTCCGCCAACTTTTCTTCGCCAAGTTCGACCTCAAGGTCCACGTCGACAACAGTCAGTCTCTCCTTTCCTCGGCCCATCTTCCCCTACTTCTTCCTCCGTGTTTCTGGCCTGGTGTTGATCTAATTCCTCATTCGTGAATGTTTGGCTTGTCTAGAAGCGGAAGATTACACAGCGCTGTGGAATAATCTCCGTGAGCATATTTCGCTCGTGAAGGGCGGTAAGCCAGGGCCTGGACAGGGAAGCTTTGGACATATCGTCGGCGGATATGACGCTGGGTATTACGGGTGCGTTCCTTTTCTTTAAGCTCTAGCACGGAAGGCAAAACTTAACACTGGGTTGGACGGGTATATAGATACACCTATTCCCTCGTCTTCGCCGCGGATATGTATGCGACGGTATTCAAGAAGGATCCGTTGGATCCTGCGCTTGGGATGAAGTACAGGGAGTGTATCTTGAAGCCGGGAGGAAGCAGGGAAGAAACGGAATCACTCAAAGTTCGTCTTCTACTCATCGTACACTTCTGGGCTGTTCCGATGCTAAACATAGGCTGTATCGTATCGTCGGGTCGTTCTAATTCTAATTTATGTAGGCGTTCCTTGGGAGGCCACCAAACTCGGAGGCGTTCATGAAGGAGATGTTCGGGACGGAGGCTTCGACTGCTGCTAGCCTGTGAAGTGTGAACGAACCTTTCCATTCCATTCAGCTTGCAAGTTGGCGGTTAGCATCCGAAAAATTCCTCCCGTCACCGACATGGTAGTTCAAAGTTAGTATCCGCATCCGCGAATTCTCCCGTTTCTGAATCTCCCCACCGGCGAATCGTGGTTGGCGGGTGGGACCGTGCGTTCGGTTTGTGTGCGTTGGTGAGAGTTTCGGCGGTTCGTTCTATTATCAGCATCAGGATGGGGTGGGTATGGTAGGTAAATTACAAACGGGTGGATGCGTGGTGACGGGGCTCTAGTGACGAACGACGCAGTGGACGGTGTGCATAGCAATTTCTGTATAAATAGCAAGCATCCACATATCGCATCTTCTTTCATGTTTCACTTCCTTGTGATATCGAACGTTCGTGGAGAGGTTGCGTTGCGGGGGGCTAGGTAAGTATTCGTCAATTGTCGGTGTGTAGCCTGTAGGCGGGAAACCCCTCTCGTCCTCGGCCACACGTCGAAGTTCTCATCAAAATGGGGATCATGTTTATCCTGAAGGAGAAAAAGATGCCCATGAGCGTGTACAAGCCAACATCGGCAGAGTCGGTTTGTGCCTCGATACGCAACAGGGTCAGTACTATAGAACCAGACGAGGATTGGTGAGGGAAAGGCTGATATGCGTTGGCCCTTGAGTGCGGTGCGGACCCGATGATGGACCAGGTTGAACCGTGCAAAGGCGGGGAAACGCTGCGGCGCGGCCCGGAGGACGGTGATGACGGCAAGAATTTGGCCCCGCGAGGGCTTGGCGTGGGGATGTGCCGGATCGTCGCGCGAATTGCCGCGAGGGCTGCGGGCGCCCTAATCTGGTATCATCTGAATCGCTCGTCGTGTGCCGACTTTCGACTCAGGGTAAACGCTACGGAAATCAGAGGGAAGAACGTACGCGAAGTCGTTTACGGAAACAAGACGAAGAGTTAGGCACGATATAGAGATGCAGAACGGGTACGAAAGGGCTGGGAATGCAGAGGGGAGGGCGTCGGATTCGGTGAGTTATATCCTTTCTGGTCGTGTTTCGTTTCGTTTGTTTCGTCCCCAGTTTGTGGGAGGCCGAGGCTGCGAATAGGGCGGGGCAGCCTGGACAGGGAGTCCATTTTGTGATGGAAGGAGGACAAGTGGTTGGCTCAATCTGGACGGCGAATGGCGGGAGCCAATTAAGGGGCTCGTCGGTTGTCATGAAGGGAACGGGCGAGGGAACGGTTTCAGCGCCCAAACGAGAATCATGATTATAATATGCCAAGCCTGGAGCTGACGTCTCTCTTTTCATTTCCTGTTCCAGTCTTTGCTTGGTGTCTACCCAAAGGCACAGGTGAGCCATTGACCCAGTCCTTCTTTTCCTCCTCCCATCATCCTCTCCCATCTCCCCTTCCCTTTTCCCATATCCATGCACGATTACCACCGACCTATGACCGACCGACCAAAGGAAAGACCAACGGTCCCGCGCAGGCTCAGTTGGAAGCCCTTCCACAACAAGGGCAAGGACCCATCCGCCAGTGGCCTTGTCACACCTAAAGAGGGTGAAGAGCTCCACTCGTATGCCGCCTCGACTTCGCGGAATTCTGCCACCAGCCTTGCTTCTCCTACCCCCTTCACCCCCATCGCTGGTGCACCTCTCTCCCGCGCCAGTTCCCGCGTTTCCGAAGGCTCCACTCCACCGTCCTCCCGACCGACTACTCCCCTCGCTCGCTGGTCCAGTCCCCACATACTGACTAAAGAGCAGATTGAACAACAGCAGGCTAACCAGAATGCTCTTGAACGTACCTCATCCAAGACAGACCCCAAATCCGCCTCATTTGCCGACGTGAACAGTGGTACTCGCGCCTCGGGCTCCTTTGGCCGCATGTCGTTCTCCTCCATGATGGGTGGTCTTTCCTCCCTCTCACTCTCCCGCACCAGCACCAACGACGATAGAGATCGTGGGAGACGCAAGAGTAAAGAAGAAGAGAGGCAGCGCGCTCGTTCCTCGTCCACATCACATGCCGCAGCCGGAGACGCTCCAGCCGAGCCAACCACCTCCTTACGTTCCCGCAGTACCTCTCCCTTTCGACTCCGTCGTAACCGCACACGAGACCCCTCGCCCACCGTCGGCGCGCTCTCCCAATCCGACGCCGAATCCGACTCTGAACCCTCGCGCGTTCGTCCCCGGAATGCGTACACTTCCGACGACGAGGGAGAGTCGCAGTTTGACTCGGACGAGTCGGAGGACGATTGGAGTGATGATCAGTTTGACCCGGTCACTGAGCGGAACACTGAACGTAATGCGCTCGTGGTGCCCGCCGACATGCCTGACGCTGATGGATTGGATGCTCCTGATCCTCTTGGCGAGGGCGTCAATGTGCTGATTCCTCCCGAGCCATATTTCCCATCGACACTCAATCACACCAGCGGGAGGAACCCGAGGAGACGTAAGTCTGTGAGACAAGAGCCGTTGCCGCTCGCGACGTCGAGACCGGTGTTCAAGAGGGATAGGTGCACTATCACGGTCACGAACGGCGATCCAGTGGGACAGCTTGCAGCATCAAGCAGGAGGAGCAGGAAATATATTATTGGAAGTGATATGAGTGATGAGAGTCGATATGCGGTTGAATGGGGCATCGGAACCGTGCTGCGCGATGGTGACGAATTGTACGTCCCTCGTCTTTCTCTTGTCCATCATAGCCTTTGCTGATGTGGCGTATGTCTTCTTATCCAGGTTGATCGTCACTGTTGTTGAGAACGAGGCCAAGGTCGACCCACCCGTTCCAAATAACGCCGACCGTACAACTAAGCTGAGATCTCAGCAAGAAGTAGGTTGTTTTGATCATGAAACCATCTTCCTCTTATCCAACTGACGTCATTGCCACTTTTCGTCTATCAGCGACAAGGCATGGCGTATATACTGTGTCGCCAGGCTACCAGTCTCTTGCAGCGCACTAAGCTCCATGTCACGGTGCAATGTGAAGCATGGCATGCGAAGAATGCGAGACATATGCTCTTGGGTGCGTCTTTTCTGGTCATAGACTCATTATGAAATGTGTTACTGAGATGTTTTTTGCGATTAGATATCGTTGATCACGTCGATCCCGTCATGCTCATCGTAGGCTCTCGAGGTTTAGGCCAGATCAAGGGGTGCGCGTCTCCGACTCCCGAGTCGCCTTAGCATAAAACTAATCTTTTGCACACCTCACTCCCAGTATCCTCCTAGGTTCAACCTCTCACTACCTCATCCAGGTATGTCCGCCCCGCATACTGCTCGTCAAAGTTGTCTAACAATACTTTGGTGTGCTCCCAGAAATGCTCCGTGCCCGTCATGGTCGCTCGTCGCCGCCTGAAACGTCCTCCCCGCCGCTCCGCCCACCTCGCCAAACACCGCGCTCGCGTCTCGCTCGCAGAAGCCGCCGGCGTGGAACGTGTTACTCCCCGTGTCGACGAGGAGGTTGCGCATATGCGGGATGAGATCCAGAGGGAGGATGAGGACGAGAGGCAGCATGGGAATCATACGATGATGGATGCGGATGTGAGGGATGGAGAGGGAGTGGATGTGGAGGGCGATGGGGACGATGATGAGGAGGGCGTGGATGGAGAGGTTGTGGCGAAGAAGGTAGCCGGCGAGTAAGCGGGATTCATGGATTATCGTCTGGAGGTCGTCGTTTGGTGTGAAGTCATGAAGAGCCGCAATGCGGTCTATGTAATATTGGATCTCTATCTCGTTATAATCGGTGGACTAGGTCTCGGCTGGCTATTTTCTAGGACAGGGTTTTTCGATACTCGCTGTCGTAGTCTTGTGGTCAGTTACGACGCTGCGTAACCTTGTGTCGGCTGTGTTGTTCCTAGGCACCTATACTCTTTACTTACGTCCCCTCCATGCCTTACTGTAACTTAATAAAATTATAGACTTCTCCGCCTGTTGATATCTGTGTGCTATGCTACCCGGGCCCCTGTCAGCGTTACCCTCAAACGCGACATGTCACGAATGTCACAATGTCACTTTATGTGACGCTACGCGACTCATCGCGGTCGCGCGTTCTTTTGAGTCCGACCGCGTTGACTCGGGTAGCGAGACCCAAACTATCACCTCGTCAGTTTGCCGCTACCTTCTCTCCTGCCTTCGTCGCCCCACGAACATCACTAGGCAAAAAGCTTTCCTCAAAAAACGGTCGTCACTGTCCGCCATGTCGAGTCTGAATAAACTCGCCATCCGCGGCATCCGTTCCTTCGATGACAAACAAATAGCGGTCATCGAATTCTTCTCCCCCGTCACCGTCATCGTCGGCCACAACGGCTCCGGCAAAACCACGATCATCGAATGTCTGAAGTACGCCACCACGGGCGACCAGCCGCCGAATACGCGCGGGGGCGCGTTCATCCACGATCCGAAGATGGCGAATGAGAAGGAGGTGAAGGCGCAGGTGAAGTTGAGGTTTCATGCGGCGAATGGGACGAGGATGTTGGCGGTGAGGAATTTGAGCGTGACCTTGAAGAAGAATGGGACGATGAGTATGAAGACGCTTGAGGGGATATTGGGGATTGCGGACCAGGTCGATAAGGGGGGCAAGGTGCGTTTTTCGCCTCTCTTTAAATTTTTGAATGCGAAAGGAACGTGGTCTAACTCAACGTCTTGGAATGTGTTTGGGGTCTGGTTTTTGTGCATGCAGAGAGGTCTCATCTCTACGAAGTGTGCGGAGATGGATACGGAGATTCCGCACCTCCTGGGAGTGTCCAAGTCTGTACTGGAGAATGTCATCTTTTGTCACCAAGAGGACTCGTATTGGCCTCTGGCCGAGCCTGCTGCTCTCAAGAAGAAATTCGACGATATCTTTGAGGCAACGAAGTTCGTTTTCGTATCCGCATCACGCGCGCCACACTACGTCAACCGCTAACCCGTCCATTCAATTTACTTTACAGGTACACCAAAGCCCTCGACAACATCAAGGCTCTGCGCAAGGACCGCGTTGCCGACCTCAAGGCGGACAAGGAGCGGCTTCAGTCGCTGAAGAAAGAGAAGGAACACTCGGACAAAGTCAAGGGACGGCTCGAGGACCTCCAGTCTGACATCGCGGCAAAGCAAGTCGAGCATGAGAAGTTCAGGCAATATCGCGAGGAGCTGGTCATAGCGAACACGCGCTTCATCGAGCTGTCGCAGAAGTTCAGGCAGATGTATGCGGATGTGGAGATGTATGAGGAGCAGAAGAAGAGTCGGTTGAGGGATTTGGAGGAGGCGAAGATGAATACGCCGGAGATTGAAGGTACGCGTGATTTCACTATGCGGAGAAGTCTCCGTGCTCAGAAGGAGGTTCTCTGGATGGTTGGCTGACGTCTGCGGAATCGGTATGACAGGTACTATGGAGGAACTGGACGCACAGTGCGACAGCTTCGACGATAATATTCGGAAGAGGAAGCAGGCCCGTCAAGAGGAGAAGAACAGGCTGCAAGATCTCCAGGACGAGATGGCTGCCGCTCGTAAAGTTCACGTGGAACTCATCAACGAGCAAGGGCGGCTTACGGCTGAAGCTAAGGTTTGCCATTCCCCCATTCATTTCCCTGTGTTGTTGGCTAATATGCGACGATAGGCTCAAGAAGACCGTCTGGCAGCCCGGGAACGGCTCATCCACGACATGGCCAGCATGTATGATATCAAGGGTTTCGACGTGACGCCGCTGGACAAGGACAAGGTGGCCGACTTTACCGCACGTATGGAGGCTTTACAGCGTGAGCAGCTTCGGGAGCAGAAAGACTTGCAGGTCAGGCCCTGGATCTATTTGTTTTTGATGTGTGTTGTCGATGCTATCTCGTTTCTTCCTCGCAGATTGAGAACAAGACAAAATCGGACGAGTACCACAAGAAGGCTCGCGAGCTATCTAACATTCTCGAAGGCTACAAGCATAAGCGCCAGTCAAATCGTGACCGCGTCGTAAGTGAGATCTTCCTTCCTATGATTCGCTCGCTGATATGCTACTGAAAAACATTCACATTAGACGAGACTCCAATCCGAAGTCACCAAACTCGAAGATTCCGTCGAGGCCTCTCAGATGCTTGAGTCGGAGATCCAGAATCTTCTTGCTGAGATGGAGGAGAAGAACTCGAGGAAGGAGAAGACGGAAAAGGAGATCGCTGACGCAAAGTATGCGATTCGCATTGCGGAGTGGCAGACCAAGATCAAGGCGAATGAGGAACTGCGTGAGAAATTGTACGAGGAGCAGAAGGCGTTGAGCTTGCAGTCTGAGTCGAGGGCATCTGTGGATATCAAGAGGAAGGACGTGAAAGCTAAGACGCAAGAGATCAGGATCGTGTACGTTTGCATTATTATCATCTCTAACTTGATTATTCTGTGGGTATTGATTGAATCTTGGTGCCATTCCAGTCTGCAGACCCACAATTCAAAGTTCAAGGGCTTCACCGGCAAGGATGCAACACCCGAGACGATGGAGCGAGAGCTTGCAAATGCCTCACAGTGTGTCATCTCCTCTGTTTCTCGACGTTTACGCGACATAACCCTAATTTGCATGTAGAGACAAAGAGCAGCAGATCGTCGACCTTGAGAGGCAACTGGGCAATGCTAGGCGGAAGCTCAGCGACACGGAGCTCTCACAGTCCAATCTTCAAGCTCAAGTCAAGAAGAAGGAGATCGAGCTTAAGGGTTTGTCGTCCATTTATATGATCTTGCGCTAATGCGCTGATAGCCCACTTGTGCAGGCCTTGAGAAACAGCTAAGAGACAACAACATCGAGAGTGGCTCGTCGGTCGATGCTGCTTTGAGGACTGCCACCAACGAGCTCAGCGTGCTGAAGGAGTATGTCTCGAGAGTCCGCAACCTCTGCTCTGGCGCGCGACGCTGACCGTTCTATAGGAGCCTTGGAATCTCTCGAGGCGGTCGCCAATTGTACCAATTCTTCCTGGACAAAGGCAAGGAGAAGCAGAAGTGTAGACTCTGTGATCGCCGCATGCATCCTGGAGAACTCGCTGTTTACGAGGCCACTGTAAGCATATTATTATTTTACGTGTTTTGCTTCGTCCTTTGCTCTTGCGGTACTAAAAATGTCCGTGGTTGTGTCCAGTTGACAACCCTGATGAAGTCAACGAGTGCAGAAAAGATTGCGGAAAAAGAGGAAGATGTCAGAGACGCGGAGGCCGAGGTGGAGTCATTGCAAAATCTAATCCCTGTCGAGCGACAAAGGGACCGTCTGAAGGACGATGAGATTCCATCGTTGCGGAAGCAGATCCAAGCATATGACGCCCTCGTCCCGTCGCTTTCGGAGGCTGCAGACAAGGTTCGTCTACACCATCCTAGCGCTTCGAAATCTGCCCATTTCAACGACGGCGAATTCTACAGGCAACCGAGGCAGTGAATACTGCGAAGAAGGAGCAGAAGGATATCACCGCTCTGCGGCAAGTTGCCAACAGTGTCCATCGACTCCACGAAGATGTCAAACGTCTCGAGGGAGAGATCAAGAACCTTGAGAGTGATTTGGCAGTCGCAGGTGGTTCTACCAAGTCTTCAACGGAAGTTCAGGAAGAGATCGAAGCGAATAAGGCGGAATAGTATGTTTTCGTCCATCTTGGCAGGGCTTCGTGGTGTTGACTTTCCATCACTAGCACCTCTATGGCCAGGGACCTCAAGAACCTCGAAGGCGAACATCAACGAAAGCAGACTCTAGCTCAGAGATACCTGAGCGAATGGCAAGATTTGCGGTATGCGGAGAGCCAGAAGCAGGGACAGCTGAAAGATAAGTTGGCATGGGAACAGAGCATCAAGGACAAGCGCAAGGAAATCGAGGTATTGACAGCAGAGATGAAGGTAAGTCGGATGATTTCCGAATGCACAACAATTCCTGACGTCTTTCATATCCTTGTAGGAACTCGATGTGAAGATCTCCGAGAGCACTGCGCCAATCCAGATTCTTGAGCAGCAGTTCAAGGAGGTTGAGCGTGACCTCCAGGGACGGCTGAGCAAGTTGATGAACGAAGCACAGGAAGTCAATCGCAGCGTTGACAGGCTTCTCGAGACCTCCAAAGCCATCGAAAAGTAAGACTGCCTAGACTCGTACTCCCTTGCCTCAAGACACTTCGCTCATCCCATGATACAGGTATGTTCGCAATAAGCAAGCTCGCCGACTGCAAGAATGCGAAGACAAGGTTACGTCCCAGGAAGCCGAGATCACGCAGCTCTCCAAGAACGAGGAACGCATTCGCGAGGCCATCGTGCTGATCGAGAAGGAACTCAATGAAGCTGGTACACGACTACTCCATCTGCGCGAAAACAAACGGATTCGCAGGCTCAAGAGTGAGATCGCGGAGGCGCAGAAGAACATCGATGCTATTGATATGGACGAAGCGGCTAGGGCTAAGCGGAACTTTGAGGAGAAGTACAGTATCGAGAAGAAGAAGGAAGAGGACGCAGGAGACAAGGTTTGTCGTCCTATTTGACAATGCCCAACGTGTAGCCAGTCGCTAATCACGTTCCGACAGGTTGCTGCTATTGGTGGACAATTGGAGGCTTCTAAGGACCAGGTCAAGCAACTCGAATCGGACCTCAAAGAGTTCAAAGGTATCAACCAGAAGTACACGGATCAGCTCATCAAAGTCAAGGTAAGTTTTATTTTGGATATAGATACTCGGCCTACATGATAACACCTGGATTGCAGCTGGCAGACATGGCGAACGCGGACTTGGAGAAATACGCTAAGGCCTTGGACAAGTGAGTGTTGTTTGAACATTCAGGTTTTCTGCACGAAGTTGAGTTGTGTTCAGCGCCATTATGAAGTATCACTCGATGAAGATGGAGGAAGTGAACGACATCATGCGGCATTTGTGGAACAAGACGTATCAGGGCACAGGTGGGTTCACATCTGAGCGTCATCTTGTCGTCGTACTCACAATGCTCGCAGACATCGATGGCATCAAGATTCGCTCAGACAGCGAGGGTGGTGCGACCAAGAGATCGTATAATTATCGCGTTCGTTCTCCTTTCACACATGATCGTAACTTCCAAATCTTATGCCAAAGTCTTCTAGGTTGTCATGACGAAGGACCAGGTCGAGATGGACATGCGAGGTCGCTGTTCAGCGGGCCAGAAAATGCTGGCATCCATCATCATTCGACTCGCTCTCTCGGACTCGTTTGGACAAAATTGTGGTATCCTGGCCTTGGACGAACCGACGAATGCCCTCGATACAGAGAACATCGACGCCCTCGCCGCGAGTTTGATAGAGTGCGTACATCTATAATCTGCTCACTTCCTTGATTTTGACAAAATGAATTATATTTGTAGCATCATCAACGAGCGCAAGGGTCATGCGAACTTCCAGCTCATCATCATCACCCACGACGAGAACTTCCTCCGAAAGTTAGGTCAGAGCGATGTCATGGAGTACTACTGGTAGGCAGCCGCAACGTCACTGCTCACTTCAAATGTAGACTAACATGTTTTCTTCTAGGCGTGTCTCAAGGGATGCCAGACAGAAGTCCGTCATCGAGAGGCAACGCTTCATCTAGTTTCTCACCGGTTTTCATGCTGTTGCTTTTGCTCTCGTGTTTGGTCGCTATGCTTCATTTACACTGTATTTCTATTCATGGTACCCTCATGAACGTTGCTATCTATCCTTTCTCAATATATGTGTTTTGGGTCGTTATGCAAGCAGTAGTCAGTAGTCACTGCACGTACTTACGCCACATCCTTGTGGCCCACGAAGCCGGGGCAGCCGGGCCGAGAAGCTGTCGTCCGTGGAAGTGTCGTCACCACCACATCCCTAGGCCTGCTGGCTTATCCTTTGTTCTTCATTTTTCGTGCACGATTTAAATGTCTTCCTATCTCACTTTCGAAGAAGAGAATGCTGCCTGGGCCACTCCTGAACCAGGTGGCACCGGCGATATCATTAAAGACGCTATGATGAAGGAGAAACTCATAAAGTGCGTCCATTGCGCTCTTTGGGTCATTACCTCTACTGACGGTCGTTGCATGATACTGCTGAACAGGGACATAACTGCCGCGCAGGATGATCTTCGTGGTACGAATTTAACCAATTTCATCTGAACTCCATCTCTGGACCCGCATGCTGAGTTGTGTATTCCCTGCAGTCCTCCTCGACAAGGTCAAATCTGTAGAAAGCGATGTCGACAAGCTTACTTCGGGCAATGCTACATTGCAGATGTACATTGATAACTTAACAATGCAAATGGCCAAGCGTCGATGAGATCGAGTCGTTGCTCGTATGGCTGCACCGTGACGTGGTAGACACACTCCCGCACGAATACGCGTACTCTAGACGCTTTGACAAGCGCTAGGAGAAGGATGTGAGATCTGCGAAGATTGTGGTTCATTACGAGTGTCGTAAGTGGCCCGGGAGGCTGTTCTGACTTTGCTGGAGCGCGAGGCATGGTCTGGTAGGATACGCTAGGATACCATTTTTTGCTTATGGAAGGGGGGGATACTGCTCAGACAGGTATTTCCGATTCTGAAAAGCGGCTTTCCCAGTCGCTCACGCAAACGGTTTGTTCTCCCTTGGTGAATCACAGCTCTATATTATACTACTGTTCACATGTCTCGTTAGTGGCTGCAAGCCACTTGACTCGAACTTATGCTATATGAGACTGCGCTAAGGTGCGATGTCATCTTCCTTCTAGTGAACGCCGTATTATGTCATTTCAAGGTTCATATCTCACGTCTCACCGCAGTCACGCCTCGCGCTTCCAGTCATATAGGCAGTTTTCCATCCTCGTAGGTGATCTTGCAGGCGTTGGTCATCTTCGACTGTGAACCACGCCGCAGCGTGAAGTCAAAGACGAGTCAACGTGCAAATAGGAGATAACATGTTTACGTCGATCTGGGTCCTTTAGTGTCGAGTGGAGACAAGACAATAATCGCTCAGTGTGAAATGGACAGTAGGAAGGAATGTATAAAGAGTCATCTCACCTGCTCATCCGCTCATTCATACTTCGGCCCTCCTTACCACTGGCACGTCTGCGCTTCTCGTCGTCTCACTTGCGCACAATGTACGAAACCAGCCGCCTCCGCCTCCGTGCACATACACCCGACGATATACCACGCCTACTCTCTCTTTATCATGATCCAGAAACTAATCGTCTCATGTCCAACGCTTACAACTTCCCCATGACTCGCAAGACGCTCGAAGACGTTATTTTCGCTGTCGACGCGGGTAACAAGCTCGCAGTCATCATCGAGCACAAAGAATCCGGTGCCTTCATGGGTTCACTCACGATGACCATCCAAAACTCAAAGAACCGAGATGGAGTGGTTGGTATCGCTCTGGGAAAGGACTGGAGGAGTAATGGGTACGGAACGGAGGTGTTGACGTGGTTGCTCGGTTTTGCGTTCAAAGAGTTAGGGCTGCATAGGGTTTCATTGCAAGTCTTTGCGATAAATGAGGCGGCCTATACCGTCTACGAAAAAATGTGAGTACCTCGCGTGTGTCTATGGTATTGGATAATAATATCAGCTTTTCGTATCTGCAGTGGGTTCATAGAAGAAGGTAGAATGCGAAAGTGTAACTGGGTAGGTGGCAAGTGGGACGATATTATCCTCATGAGTATTTTGGATGACGAGTGGGACATAGGGTCTGGGAGGCGAAAGGATGATACCTGAATCAATGTACGGGAAAAGAGGATGTAAATTAAATGTGTACAGTGTCGCCGTGTCAAGAACAAAAGACGTGCCGAAAACAAACACGAGTGGCGAGGTCACGGGACCGCGTTCTGACTCCTGAGTGGCAACCGTGGCGCAAATCGACTCCGCTTCCCCGCTCTCGTCTTCTTCAGAGTCGTGGCACGACCTGGAGCTCAGCTACTTGATATTCGCCTGAAAGCCGCATCAGATAAATACCATTGACTCTACACGTCGTCGAGCAGCCCTTTCACCACGCCGACGGGTCATCAAAACACTCAGACTTCTAGTTTATCGATCCTCTCCATGCTGGATGGAAAAACACTGTCAGCGTTCTTTGTTCTTGCTGTTGCACTTGCTGTAGCAATCGTGAAGAATTTGGACACAACTATACCCGATCTTTCCTCTTTAAATATCAAACGAGATATCAAAGTCTTCGTGGAGGACACCTCGCGGCTGCCTCCTTTGACATATCGCACAGACTCGGCGTCAGTAGCTTTCGACGCATCCTACTCTCATCTGGCAAGTCGATCGTGGACAGATGCATCCAAGGAACCTCCCGATACCACAGCTGTTGTTCTGAACTGGTCGAGGTTTCCCAATGTTCAACGCATAGCTTCGCTCCTTTGCTCCCCTGACTTAGATCACGTCATAAAAGAAGTCTTCATATGGAACAATAATCCAACGCCGATCTTCTACAGTGTATGCTACTTTACAATTATGACCTCTGATTCTAGGGATGGTTTATCTAACATGGTAATTTCTCCAGGACTTCCACAACACGACGTGCTCCGAAACCAAACTACGAATATACAACTCTCCCGAGAACACTTACTTCTACGGCCGTTTTCTGGGCTGTGAGCAGGCAAACACCACTTTTTGTTTTACCCAGGTTCGTGTTGCGTTTATTTTCCCCTTCAATTGAGTTCACGCAGGTAATTTCACACAGGACGACGATTACCTCGTCCTCCCTGAAATCATACAAACAATGCATAGGACTCTTTCGAGCAGTCCGCGGAAGCCTCATTACTCGATTCACCTGCTCCCTCCTCACGAGCATCTCACCACAGCCCTCCGCACCATAGACCACACTTCCAACGACATGCATACGACATTTGCCTGGCTCGGCCACGGTGCGATGATGCACCGCTCCAGAGTTGTCGAATTTCTTGAGAGGATGGAATTTCTGAATGCGACGAAGGAGGAGAAACAGATGGCGGATAACTACTTCAGTGTTCTCCAAGGAAGTGGAAAGCCGCCTCAAACGTGGGTGGATCAAGGGATCGAATTAGGCGGCGGACAGGCGTTCACAGTGGGAACGGAGGGGGACGAAAGGAATAGGCGTCATATTGTAGGTTCTCTCTCCCTCTCGCCAGCTTTTGATTTTTTCACATCATGCGGTTACAGCGCAGAGCGGGTCAATATCTCGATTTGATCGAGGACTGCGACATGCGAAGTATCAGAGATCCTACCATAAAATGTCCCTCTTATCCCATGGGAGCCTCACCAGCCTCAGGCTACCCCGACGACCCGATAGGAGATGCCGCCTTTACAGATGCGGGAGGTTGGCTTTGTTATCCTCATGCCACAAATATCGTCAATGGTGGCCCCTGTTACGGCAGACCTTGCCTCTTCGAAACGACAATTTCGACCCTGCCTGGTTATCCCGTCGTAGAGCACACAGCGAAAAACGCCGAAGGCATGTTGGAACTAGAGGAAAATAATAGAAAGAGACTGGGAGCGCAAGGGGAGGAGAGGTATTTGAACTATTCTGCAAAGTATGCCGTCGATGGGAGGCCGGAGACAAGGTTCAGGAGCTTTGGTCGTTCGTATTCTTCTATCATTATTCACTGCATTGAGCAGGGTAGTCGCTGACGTTAACATTACCCACACAGATGCGAAGAAATTCGATGCAGTCATTCTAGACCTACTCGTCGATGTCTCGAAATCATGGGACTTGTCCGAAACAGAGATGGTCTGGCTCGTAGATGACGCCACGGAAGCCATCCTCCGCTCATGCATATTTGAATCATCGTCGGATGAAGATGGTTATACATGGGTACGAGTGGCTGCTATTGACTTTTTTGGTATGTTATTGAGTTGTTTTGTTCACTCCCCAGATGCAATCACCAACAGAAGTAATGTGTTTCGACGTCGATCCATCAAATTTACACCCGTCAGCTGAAACTGTGTCAGACGAGATGAAGGAAAGGGAACATACACGATTGAAGGAGTGCAGCGTAAAAATGTCGAATAATGCTTCTCCGGAGCAACATGCGCGGCGTTTTAGAGTAAGACTCATGGAGGACTTGGTTGAGGAATGGTCCATATATGAGGTGTGGGTGAGGGGGAAGCTGAGACAAGAGGCCGACTCCGCAGTATAGTGCTCGTAGTCGATACAGAAATTCATCACTGTCAGAAAGGAACCCGATTATGCTGGCTTCACAATACCATCATTCCAAAGGCGGTTCTCAGAAAATATTCAACTTGAAGACAGACCTAAAGACAATCCCTGCCGCCTGCGCCACCGACGCGACTTGAACATCGCGATCACGTGTAGGACGCTGTGATCATTAGATTGACGGCCGTTCAACGGTCAACCAGTATCCCCCTTCTTCCTCAACCTTTTCGTCGACATCTTCCTATAGCGTCCTACTCACACCACACGCGCGCGCGACCCCCTCACATCTCTGGTTTACGCACTTGAGACTCTGTCTCGTGCTCACACTTACTTCGGCCTACGTAACAGCGTGGCTCATCGCAACATCCGAATTCGACCTACCACAACTCTTCAGTCTGAAGCATCTTTCATACCGACATACACTGGACCACTCATACCTCAACATCCAATCAACACGACGCTATATTCATATCTATCATCTATACATCCGACATGCCTGCACCTATTCCCGATATCGTCGGCAACTGGTTCCTCGTCAAGCCATTGGGTTCTGGTGTTTCTGGTGCGTAGAAGACTATGCAATCTCCCTATGCTCCTACTTAATGTGAGCCTACTGCCATCAGGAGCCACATTTGAAGCTGTACACATCCATAACAACCAGCGCGTCGCTCTCAAAGTCCAAGACGTCGGTAAAGGACCTCTCCCAGGATACATCACGTTCATAGCGTGCTGAAATATCTTTCGGTCTTGTGTGCTTGATCCATGATAACAGACATCGAATATCCGACGAATGCTCGCGAGCGTGACATCTACTCTAGGATACAGGGCGGCAAGGGAATGCCGACACTGTGGGCTCATGGTATCGAGGGAAAGAACGATTACTTGGCTTTGGACCTCCTTGGGAGCAGCTTGGATGGGATCTACAAGAAACAAGGGCGGATTCTGGATCTGAGGACGACCGTATGCCTTGCCATCCAATTGGTGAGTCCTGATCATTTGTATTCTTCTGCCATCTTCCACCTTTCGCCTTCCGACATACACGTTCGACAACGGAGTGACGTAACCTCTAACATAATCACCGTTGCTCTGCGTATCACTCGGTTCAAGATCGACCGGTTAGAGTGGATGCATTCAAGAGGTGTTCTTCATCGCGATATCCAACTGGGTAATATTTGTCTGGGTCGCGAGCCCAATGAACAAACGTTCTACATGATCGACTTTGGCTTCTCCAAGCTCTACATTGACCCGAAAACGAAGAGGCATGTACCGGATACACCGCCGGTTTGCTTCATCGGTATGTTGATCTTATTCTAGGATAGATTCAATGTTATTTATGCGTGACGAATACAGGCAATTACTGGTTCAGCAGCGCAAACGTTCATAGTCGAGGCAAGGGTGAGTCAAGTTTTGTCACCACCACCTCTTACCGGAACTGATTGATTTATGTCGGACGTCTAGCCTCTTCCCGTCGAGACGATCTCGAAGCCGCCGCTCTTCTCCTCATACATCTTCTTACTCCCAATGGACTGCCCTGGACCCGCAATGGCCTCCCAAAAACCGAAAAAGCTCACGATCATATCAAGCGACAAAAGCGCACTACCAAACCAGACGATCTCTGCAGAGGTCTGCCCGAGCAATTTGAGGGGTTTTTGAGGTACTGCAGACGGTTGACATTCACCGAACAGCCAAACTATGGGCTGTGGAAGAAAAACTTTAGGGAGTTGGCGAGGGAGAGGGGCTTCACGGACATAGAGAATTATGTGGACCCGTTGCTAGCTCTGTCCGGTGCTCAACCCAAGTGGCAAGCTGTGAGTTTCTATCTTTCATCTTTCAACGCACTTATGGTTGCATGAGTACTAATATTTCGGGTTCGGCAGCCCGATTATGCGCAATTACTCCAGCGTGCACCAGCCCCGAACCTCGTACCTGCTCAATTCCCACCAGCACCTGCACCTGTACCTACCGGACCACCAGCATCGGACGATCGCATGCAGAACATACTCCACGATCTCGCTCATCTCAATCTCAATACCCCCCGACCCCCTCTCGGCGACAGGAAGAATGTTCAGCAGAGTCCCTCCAAAACCCAGCGACCGCTTCCGGCTGCCATCCCCTACAAAAAACCTACACCACCTACTTATGGCCAACAACCCGTCATCATTCTCGACAGCGATGATTCCGATGATCGGAGTGACAGTCGTGGTGGTCTGAGAGTGATGCGCGGGAGGTTGGGCAAGGCCAGCCAATTGAACCAGTTGGTGCGGGAGGCCAACGACGTGTCGGATAACAAGACACTTGCCAAGCTGGTTGCTGATTTCGTGAGGGTGTTACAAGACACGTCTTCGCGCACACTCACGAAAGAAGCGTTCTCCTTCCTCGACGCGCTACACAAGCAACTGTCCGACCCATCAACGTTCGTCGGCCCACTACGGCAGACGAAACAGCGGCGGACACGGTCGAAAGGGTCAACCGTCACAAATGCGAGCGATGCCACTGGTGCTGGTGGGGTGAGTGGTACGGGTACGGGGATGGTAGGGTCGACTTTGAGGGAGCAGAGGAGCAAGCTTTGGCTATTGCGGACCGGTGTGAAGGGGGCGGGAAGCAATGCTGCGCTGGGGAAGATGGTGGCGGAATTCGGGACAATAGTGGACCAGAACGCAAACAAGACCTTGACAAAGGATGGATATGCATTTTTGGAAGGGATGGCAGAGAGGTTGGGCACGATTGCGAGCTGATTGATGACCTTTCCCGCCCATTACCCTTGTCGCCTTAGCTTTGCCTACTACGAGGGTCCACCTCGACAGTCTTGTCATATTGTCTGCTTTCCCCTGTTCCACGCTCACTATCGGGAACCCGACGATGACTCTAGCTATATTATGTGTCGCAACTTTGCTGTCGATGGAGAAGCTAACTTCTCTTTACTGACTATTGACCTGTACTCCTATATCTTGATTTGTTTGTCTTGCTTTCTCCATATTATCATCAAATTGTTTTGCAATTTTTGTCGATTTGTTCTAATCATTTATCACGATGTCTCTTCCTAGCCCTTTGCGTCTTGTCATATTTTCTGAGGATAGTACTCCAGATAGGTCGAACTCGCTCACGAATCCTGCAGAGGAAGAGGAGAGGGGACAACAGTGTGGCATGGTTTCGCCACTCATGAAACCGGGCCGCCGGGCCGCACAATGGACAGTCTGGGTACGATCCCCGAGTCGGCGACTCACTGGTCTACGGCTTGGTTGAACGAACCGCCACTGTACTCACACTTTGCTCGACTAACTCAACTACTTCTGGTGCTAGTTCAACCTCTGTTTTCTTCTTGGGAGTGGTGCTCACTAAGTATCTTGCGGCATGATATTCCACTATATACATCCGTGCAAAAAATCACCTTCCCCCACTGGTGCAGACAGTCTTTGTCAGGTTCAATTCTGTTTTGTCCATGAGCGACATGGACATTGTCTACGCCTGTACCTCCTCTAATGGGCACTATGGACGTTGATTCAGACGTAGAGACTATGCTTGCTCTGCTACGGCTGTCCCGGTTTCTATCATACGCTTTAGTTGTGTGCAAGGGGACTACATGCAGTCACGCTCCGGGATGGACCAAACGGTGGTGTCTTTGGGGGTCGGCATACATAGGTGCTGGCCGACACACTGTCGGATACTATGTCCACACAATACGATGAAAATGGTCTACGTTCTCAACTGCCACTTGACTAGGTACGGGTGACTTCAATGGACCACAAATACCGCAAAGTACCTTTTAATCTATCAGATATCTTATAAAGCGACGGTCTTGAACTCGCTGTCTCCCACAGTCCAAGCATCTTCCTTAACATTCACAGCTAGCCGTGATCTATCTCTCTTGCTTTTCTCGATATGTCGACACCATCTGCCATCCCACAAGGCTCCACTGTTCTCGTAACAGGTGTGAACAGCTACATGGGCTCTCACGTCGCAGATCAGCTCCTTCTCGCAGGATACAAAGTACGCGGTACTGCTCGTGATGCGTCCAAGGCGAATCGGATGCAAGAGCTATTCAAGAAGAAGTATGGAACGGGGAAGTTCGAGGGTGTCGTCGTCCAAGACATGAGTGTCGAGGGCGCGTACGATGAAGTCATCAAAGGTGTGACCCCCTCTTTTGATACGTATTTTTTGCGCAATAACACTCCTCTGGCTATTTTATCTGCCAGGTGTCAGCGCCGTTGCACATATCGCAGCCAACCTCTCCATGGCTTCTGACCCAAATGTTGTCATTCCCGAGACGGTAAACGGAGCCCTCAATGCACTTCGTGCTGCAGCCAAACAACCCACCGTCAAACGAGTCGTAATCACCTCTTCCGCCGCAGCCGTTTTCATCCCCAAACCCGACCGCCCCATCGAGCTTACCCCCGAAATGTTCAACGACGAGGCGGTCAAGATGGCTTGGGATAGTGTCGGGCAGACGCCTGCGCCACAAAGTCCTGAAGCTTACATGCTCGGAGTCCTTGTGTATGCGGCATCGAAAACAGAGGCGGAGAAGGCGTGTTGGAAGTTTGTGGAGGAGAAGAAGCCGGGCTTTGAGTTCAGTACGGTGGTGCCTACCATCACTTTCGGTCCGTTGTTGGATAAAGAGAATGTATCCTCGTCGGCGAAGTGGGTCGATTGGATCCTCAAGGGCGCCCCCGAAGTTGGGCATTTGCTTGCCGTCTTGGGCTCTCGTGAGTCCTAATCTCCAAATCTATCCCAACATCTCGACAATACAACTCCATCCCTTTATCACGTATGCCTACTTACTGTTATCTTCTTTGGTGCAGAGTACTTCGTCGACGTCCGAGACTCTGCTCGTCTGCATCTCGCCGCTCTGACCAATCCCACCGTCAAATCCGAGCGCATCTTCGCATTCGCATCGATTTTCACCTGGACCGACATGTTCACCGTCCTTCGCAAAGCCTTCCCGGATCGCAAGGTGCACGATGATATCCCGAACGAGCCGAAAGATCTCACCACGATCAAGACGTGGGAGAGGAGTGTCGAGTTGTTGAAGGCGCTAGGCCAGGACGGGTTCGTTAGCTTGGAAGACTCCTTGAAGGCGAATGCGGAGGCGTTCATCTAGATACAATCATTACTTCGTTACTGAATACTGGCTTTAGGGGTTAGACTGTTGTACTTAAGTGCCTCAAACTCCCACAGAATTTTCTGCGCTGAATTGAGTGATCTGAGCGCTCTCTATTTCAACTTTGCGTTTCAAGCGTACTGAGAAACCTGTCCGCTTCATACTCCGACTCACCGACGTCGTTCTCGGCTATTGCAGAAGAACAGTATCGCGTCAATCCTAGCTCCACTGAGCAGGCCTAGATGTTCTCAGCTTCGATGTTGATTGGTAAGTCTAATGTCCATTGTTCAAGTTAGTCACTTCCTCCTCTGATGGATCGCTGACAAATGACATCCCTGGACTTGAACACTATCATTTCTATGAGTAAGCAGTATCGGTACAGGGGTATTGGCCCACATTCTACACCAAACAAGCACCCCTTCCTTCCTTCCGTCCCCGGGGCTGCGTGATGGACCAAGCGATTGATCATTATTCTCAACGAGCAATCCATATACTTACAGGATGACAAAGCTAGATGAGCCAGTGTGTTCCATAACAACGCACACACACACACACAATCGCAACTGACTTCGTCAATGGACCACTGGTGCACTTCTGGGTCCGTGACGAAGGGTATATAACAATGGCCACAGACCCCCTGCCTCCCACAATCCCACAATCCCATACTCATCTTTCTCCTTCACAACTACACCACTGACCTACATATCTTGCTTTCCTCGACATGTCGCCACCCTCCGTCATCCCACAAGGCTCGACCGTTCTCGTCACAGGCGTGAACGGCTATATCGGCTCCCACGTCGCAGATCAGCTCCTTCTCGCGGGATACAAAGTACGCGGTGCTGCTCGTGACGCCACCAAAGCGAAATGGGTCCAGGAGCTGTTCGACAAGAAGTATGGACCCGGCAAGTACGAAAGTGTCATCGTTCCGAACATGGCTGCCGAGGGCGCGTACGATGAAGCTGCGAAGGGTACGGTCTGTGTCTAATCGCTCCACGAATCTGGCTGCTGATGTTTCCACTTGTTAGGTGTCGCTGGTATTGCGCACGTCGCGTCCAACCTATCCTTCTCCACTGACGCCAAAACCGTCATCTCCGAAACCATCAAGGGAGCCCTCAATGTCCTCCACGCCGCCGCCAAACAACCGACCGTCAAACGGGTCGTACTCACTTCCTCCACCTCCGCCGTTTTCCACACGAAACCAAGCACTCCGTTCGAGGTCACGACTGAATGGTGGAACGACGAGGCGGTCAAGCAGGCCTGGGACAGCGTCGATAATCCGCCAGCGCCAGGTAGCCCGGAGGCCGCCCTACTTCCGGTCGTTGTATATGCTGCGTCGAAGACGGAGGAGGAGAAGGCGTGCTGGAAGTTCGTGGAGGATGAGAAACCGGGCTTTGAGTTCAATACGGTGTTGCCGAACACGAATCTTGGGCCTCCGTTGAGCAAGGACCAGGCGGCTTCGACGGGGGCATGGGTAGGCCAGGCCCTCAGAGGTGAGCCTGAGATCCTGCACTGGGCAGCCGCTATAGGTCCTCGTGAGTCTTCACATTCCAACCTATCTCGGCTCAAACCTGGGTCATATTACCACGTATACGTACTTACCATTGCTTCATCGATGCAGAGCACTACGTCGACGTCCGAGACACAGGTCGTCTGCACGTCGCTGCATTAACCAACCCGAGCGTCAAATCCGAGCGCATTTTCGCTGCGGCAGCGCCTTTCACCTGGGCCGCTATATTCGCAGTCCTTCGGAAAGCCTACCCAGATGCGAAGGTGCCCGATGACATTCCGAACGAAGTGGAAGATACCGCTAGGTTTAAGACGTGGGGGAGGAGCGTAGAGTTGTTGAAGGCGTTGGGGCAGGACGGGTATGTCAGCTTGGAGGAGAGCGTGAAGGACAATGCTAAGGTCTACGCTTAAAGAAATGATAGTGAGGGCTCTGGGTTTGAACGGCTGCTGCCTTGTACTTTTATTGGAGAATCGTGTACTCACATTATCTTTCCGTCGACTTCTTTCGCCCTCCGTTATCACCACCGTTTGATCTTGGATGTTCTGCTCCTTGGGTCAAAAGGTCTCTCAATCCGTGTGAAAAGTGAAGAAATCACTTCCCTGGTTTTGTAGCAAAACTCCGTAGGAAACTCCGAGCACCACGGTTGAGAGTCGGACGCCCGTACTAACTAAATCATGTGATTCGGCCAAGAAACGAACTTCGTCTCGAAACATATCACCCAACGCAATTGCCTGACAGCTCCCCATGTACTTACGCGTACAGCGGCAGACCGGCGATTTCGACCATATTTATGGACAAGTACTGTGGCGCCCTAAGGTCAGAGTTCCATATGTTCACGAAAACATTTCTGTGCACGAGCCTGAGCTTCCGTGCAACAGTAACAAGTGGACTGATATTGGTGCAAATAAATCACCACGGCTCGCTTATCCTGTGGGCCAGAATGCATTCAGAGACACGACCGCGCCAGGTCCGGGCGGGTCGATGAGACGTGGTGGCTCGATAGAACGCACCTTGGCGGTGCTCGTTTTGATTAGAAAAAAATTGTGGCGCTGAGCTTCAGAGGCAAATTCGAAGCAGTCAGTTTTAAAGCCATTCTCAGTTGTAGCTCACGATGTCAGATCTATCTTGCTCACTGCACTGTGCACTGACTATCCATCAAGAAACTGAGAGCCCAGGGAAAAGATAGGAAAAGATGGGGAGAAGGACGGTTACGGCAGTCGCTACGGCTGTGGGGTACGGATACAATCGTTTTTGGCGCCAAGTGGCTGGAGCGCCTAGCACCCCATAAAATCGAGCAGCCGCGGTTCGCTGGCCCTCTAGACGAACGTCCGCGTTCGCCCACTCGTTTCCCCAACTCCCATTTCATCTCCCGCCACCGTGCTCGCCGTCATCCACAGCGTCCACGCGCTCTTCTCACATTTTCTTAAGAAATGAAGACCACCCACTCGGACGGTGTGACCACCGTCGACCAGCAGCCGTGTGTTATCCCAAACTTCACCGTCAAGGACTTGCTCTCGTCCATTCCGTGCGTTCCTTTCATCGTTTTTACGCGTTTTTGTCTTTCCTGATGTGCTATCTACCATGTAGTGCTCATTGTTTCAAGCGGTCGGCACTGCGCTCGTCAACATACATGTATGTTCTCCCCAATGTTTGTATCCCCAACGCGTCGTTAACGTGGCTGTTCAGTGTTTGGGACCTGTTCCTCATCGCCTGCTTCTGGAAAGGCACCACCTACCTTGACGCTCGCATTAGCCCCGAGTACATCTCCTTGCCTTCACCTCAATTGTACACTCTCGCCAAATTCGCTCTGTGGACTTTCTACACCTTCCCCACTGGTCTCGTAGCCACCGGTCTATGGGTCATTGCTCACGAATGCGGTCACCAAGCATTCTCTGAATCCAAGGCAATCAACAATGCCGTCGGCTGGGTTCTCCACTCTGGGTAAGTCGCTCTTCTAGTTGTGAACGCGTTTCTATATGTTTATTCACATTTTTTGTCATGGTACAAAGGCTCGGTGTCCCGTACCATTCATGGCGCATCTCCCATGCGAAGCACCATGCCTCTACCGGACATATGACTCAGGACCAGGTCTTTGTCCCTAAGACTCGCTCGCAGTTGGGTCTGCCCGCTCTCAACCCCGCCGGCGAGGACCTCCAGGGAAGCAGCGTGACCGACGAGGTCATGAAGGAGCTGTACGAGGCTATTGGTGATTCTCCTATTGGTGCGATGTGGGGGTCTTTCACCTACCTGGTTTGTTGCTCCACCTCTCGATTTCGTAACTGCCTGACTGATATGTTACTGCCCCTAGTTCTTCGGATGGTGGATGTACATCATCAGGAATGCGTCTGGCCAAAAGCGGTACCCTGCTGGAACGAGCCGTAGGTCTGCCACTTTCTTCAGAAAGAGAATGTGCTCATTTGTAGTACTCCACAGACTTCAACCCCAACGCCGTCATCTTCCGTCCTGACCAATATGGTCAGATCGTGGTGTCTGTTGCTGGCATTGCACTCTGGATGGCCGCTATTGGTTTCTCCATCAACAAGTGGGGCTTCTTCGAGGTCTTCCGCACCTACCTCGTCCCTTACTTCTGGCACGTGCTTTTCCCCTTCCCTCTGTTTGCTTATTGTGAGACTAATATTGGGCACGTTTGACAGGGTAAACCACTGGCTCGTCCTTATCACGTTCCTCCAGCACACCGACCCCCTTCTTCCCCACTACCGTGCACCTGAATTTACCTTCCCTCGTGGTGCCCTTGCGACTCTCGACCGTCAACTTCTTGGCGATTGTGGAGCTATCATGGGCTGGATCGGTGCTCATGTCACGCACGGTATCTCCGAGACTCACGTTGCTCACCACGTCGCAAGCAAGATCCCTCATTACAACGCGTTAGTGTTCAACGTTGATGACACGTGAAAGCTTTAGACTGACTTTTGTTTCTAAACAGCTGGGAGGCTACATACGCTCTCCGCAAGCGCCTTGAGCAATCTGGCGTCAGGCTTCAGGGTGCACCAGGCAGCTGGGCTGAGGTCTACCGTGTCTTCAGGCAGTGCAAGGTTAGTTTCTGTCAGCCCTATTCCTATCACATCCGAATGATCTAACGGAACTGCGTCTTTACAGTTCGTCGAGGACGATGGCAACATTGTCTTCTACAAGAACGCCCAGGGTCTCGCCGCCACCCGCCCCGTCTACCCCGACGCCAGCGCGTCCGACTCCGGTATCGAGTTCAACGACAAGTAAACTAGAACGCATTGCAACTTCCTCTCGCTTTCGATCCCTTAACACGGTCATTCAGTCTGGCGCTAGATGTGGACGTACTCTTGTCCTCTCTTTCCCTTGCATTGCAATTTGTCGCATCCGTTCTTGTCATTGTGTCTCGCATATCGTTTTCATTCGTTCTGTTCGTTCATTTCTACGGGCGGATTCTGTCGTGCTCCTTTTCAGTGCGGCGGTAGATCATCTGTTCGTTGCCACTCGTCCGAAATATTAGAGTTTCGCCTTAGAAAACCCTACGTACGAGTTTCTTATTTGTTTATACTTTACTCTTTCCTTCTAGACGACCTAGTCTTTCACGACCTTTGCCCCTTTACTTACTTGGTGTTCTGCTTGATATTCCCTCGCCTCTGGTGGTGAGTATGTTGGGTGGATATCAGGTCGGGAGGGGTGGGGGGAATGGAGGCTACTTGCTTTAGTACTGTATAGAGGAAGTGACGAAAGAAAGAAAATAATGATCTTCATGTTTTGGACATCTCCTTCGCTGTTCGTGGCGCTTGTGTCCCCATACGGAACACGAACGAGCGGCGAACTCGGAAGTCCGAGTCTTCGCGCGAGACTCGAGTCACTTGCAAATTGATGGGTCCCCGTTTGGGAAGTGGGCCACACCGCGCGAGAGAAAAACACATCAGCGACGCCACACTTTGCTGAACTCTTCCACCCAACTTCCACCACTCAAACACTCAATACTCTGAGTCTGAGGCCGCAACCAAGAAAACATCCATGTCCTTCGTCGACGCTACCTCCTCGTCCCCCACACCTACACCTATCACATCCACATTCGACGACTCGGAACTCTTTCCCCCGCTCACCCACTCCGACATCTTAGCCTTCCAATTCTCGTCCTGGTACCCCGCCTTCTCCTCTATATCCATCAAATCGACTGTCATAAGGCCTTTGGGAGAGGAGTTTAGGAGGTATTTGGATAAGGATGGGATAGTGCTGCCGAAAGGGAGTGAAGATTTGTTCGTGCGTCCTTCTTCAGACTTGTGGCGGGCTTGCCGAATGGCGACATGCAATGATTCCTATCTAACCCTACTGTTGTCGTATTTTACAGGCCCGCAGAAAGCACGATTGAGGACGAAAGCGATGGGGAGGACGAGAATGAGGAGGAAGACGAGGACGCGGAAGAATTCGCTTTTCCAGAGCTGGACAGGAGGATTCGGGAGGTCGTGAGGGAATATGGCGCTGTGTTTCCTAAACTCAATTTCTCGTCGCCCAGGGTACGTCTCGCTCCTCATTTCCCTGCACTTGCGTAACTCTGACATTATCGTTTCTTTTTTTCTAAATATTGGTGACCCATGCCTGTGTGGCGCTGGTATGTCTGTTATTGTGGTGGCGAACAGGACGCATCATGGCTCCTCCCATCCTCCTCTCCACTCAAATGCACGTCTCCCGCGGACGTGTACATGCTCCTCAAATCTTCGGACTTTGTGACGCACGATATAAGCGAGGAGAATGTGTTCGCTGGATGCATTACAAACCCAGCAGCAGCCGATGAAGTCAAGTATGAACTCGAGTTGGTCCTGAGGAAGTGGTACGCTGTGGATCGGAGCCGTGAGTTGCGGTGTTTTGTGCGTGGAGGTGTTTTGTTAGGTCAGTATCTATCGTTGTTTTTGATTCATGTTTTGGTGCATGAAGGCTAGGAGGACTGATTAATCCTGACCCATTTCTCTGCAGGTATCTCGCAAAGAGACACAAACCACTACGACTTCTTGAATGACCCTGCTACACAACGCAAGATCGTATCGTCGGTGGCAGACTACTGGGAGAAGAACGTCAAGGCGAAATGGACCGGCGTGAATTCCTGTGCGTCCTACTTCATATCTGTGATCTCCGGCTTGTCACTCGTGGTCGACGTGCTAAAACGCTATTTTGACTGGCACAATAAAATAGATGTATTCGACGTCCTCCTGACGCGCGACCTCTCTCGATTTCACATCCTCGACTTCAACCCTTACGCACCCCGCACAGACACTCTCCTCTTCACATACGAGGACCTGCACCTCCTTTCCCTTTCCACCGACCCAACGCCAGAGCCTGAACTTCGCGTCATAGATTCCAAATCCCACCCAGCCGCGACCCGGAACGCACCGGCGCATCAACATAATATGGTGCCCTTTGAGGCGCTGAGTTTGAGTAGTGGGCGGGGAGTCGAGGATTTTCAGAAAGTTTGGGAGGAAGAGGTTAAGAAGGGTATGCAGGGTGGTCAGGACGGCGAGGACGACGGGGATAAATAAGGTTAAGAGTTGTGGTTCGTGGTTCGTGGACCGTGGTTGAAAGTGATGCACGAGTGTATTAGCGTCGAGACAATCAAACCTGTCCGATTAGAATGGTTCGCCTCGCTATCCCCGCTACAGTACACTTAAGGGTGCAGATTGGTGGACGTCATAGCCGCCGCTCTATTCTACCTGTCCTCGAAGTTCTTCCCTGTTGATATTGACCACGAGAGCACCCTGTAGCGTTGGACATGCAATGTCCGACATTATCACGTTTTATGATGTACCGGGAAGCTCTGCGAAGGATATTGCTTGGAGTTCAAGTGCCTGGAAGGTTAGGTATGTTCGTCTAGTCGTCCATCACTTTAAATGCGCTCAAACATACCCTAACGTAGATTCGTCTTGAATATCAAGAGGCTACCCTACAAGACAATTTGGGTCGAGTTCCCCGACATCGCCTCAGTCGCCAAGCAAATCGGCGCGCCGCATACATCCATATCTCCCTCCGGTCCACAGTACACCATTCCTTTCCTTCAAGATCCCGATACCGTATACTCAGATACTCCTGTCATTATCCCGAAAGGTACTGCGGCTCTGCAGAATGCTTTCTCGGACATGTTCTTCGAGGAAATCGGATATCCGATATACCAGTATAATAGCCTACGGTTCATGCAGCAACTCTCGAACCGCAGCCAAGCCTACTGGAGGAAGGAGAGAGAACCATATTTCGGGATGAGGACCGAGGAGATTGCGCCGGGGGTTTCGGAGAAGAGGACTGGGTTGTGGTTGGTGGGCTGAAGACGATTGACGGGTTTTTGGGTGTGGCGGAGGGAGAGTTTATTATGGGCGAGGATCCGACTTTTGCGGATGTGACGGCGGCTGAGACTTTGACTTGGCTGAAACGAATCTCAGGGGGGGGGGTCTCCGGAATGGCAGGAGATCCTTTGGACTGACGGGGGTAGATGGAGGCCCATGAAGGCATTTGAGAAGTGGGAGTCTGTTGACGAGGAAGGGTTGAAGGGTGTAGGCGCTTGAGTTAGATTCGGCCTTCGATGTCAGTGAATGTGTGGTATGTCAGTCACCGACCGAACCGGTGAGAATGATATACGAGACACAAAATAACAAGAGACGGATTCGGCTGTTGTGATGGAAGAAAGGACGGGATATGAAGCTAACAGACAGGATGTCCGTTTCTCGGGGCGGAGAGCGATAGTTGCATAGTAATTTTGTGACGAGGCAGCCAAACTGTTCCGATGAGGGATGGTCGGACCCGCTGTCATCATTGCTGTCTTCTCCCTCTCCACCCTCACCCCTGTGGTCGTCCTCTCTTCCGTGCTAAGCAGTAGCGTTTTCTTCAACGTCAATATCTCCTTCATCTCCGTCTGCGAGGATACATTTCAGCTGTCGTTCGTAAAACAGATATCACGCGATACAAATATGTACGCACCATCGTAAAGTCTGTCGAACACATGATAAAAATCATCGCTAGGTTCCTCATCGAGATCTTCCGGAAGGCGCAGCATCTCTACGCAAGCACGAGCACGAGGAACCCAATCGAGGTCTGCAAAAAAGCAGTCGGAAAACTGGAGACAGGGCAGCTTGAACCCTTTCCGCGCGCGACGTTCTAAAGCTATGCACACCAATGTAACGAACCGAGGACCAAAGCTCGGCATGAAGTCGTAGTTCGCAATTTTGAGGTGCATTAACTCTGGGAAAATTGGCATCGCAGAGGCTGCCGTGGAGGATATGGTCGAAGGTCCTGTCGTCGTGGATGCATGAAACTGCGGCCCAGGGATGGTTCGCTTTAAGGCGAGGGGGAGGCCGATACCGCCTATCTGCGAAACCTCAAGTCGATCCAGGTCTTTCATAGGGGAAAACCAGTCAAAGAACTGCTCGGGTCCAATCTCCTGCTCCGGAAGGTCGATTTCGAGGCTACGGACTTCGCTGACTGGCATTTCCGCAACGAAAGTACCGATTATCTGTGTTTCATTCCAGTGAGGATTGAAGTCGTCGGTCATATCGAATGCGAGCTCGAATGTGGCCGATTCGTTCTGTCCTGGTTCCTGGCTGATCAGTGTCTTTGTAAGTTCCGCACGTATCTCCAGTGTCTCATCGTAGAGGTCAAGATGCATGCTGTGACCCTGGATTCGTAGTCGACTGATGGGAGGCATTGTCTCGAGCGACGCATCAACATGCTTTCGGACCTCGAGTATGACATCGCGATACGGGCTCTCGGTGTGTGGCATGCGTGGCTGTCGGCAACGGATGGAAAGATAGATGTGGGGAAGAAATTTCGCTATGCTTTGAACGAAGCACAGGCATTGAGAATAGTCGCCCTCGATGTTGAGCCAGTAGAGTGCAGGAAGAGAGACGGTGCGATATGGCGCATTGTGTTTTTCGCGCGTTGAATGGAGTTTAGGGTAGATTGGGAGGTAATCAATAAGACTGAGTGACGTGAGCGCCGGCAGCTCATCCAACAGATCATATAATCCGTCAACGGTCGGTAAAACTTCAGGAGGAAGTAGCCTATAACATAGAATCAGTGATGATCATTCAGCATACAGAGTCTTCTGAAGAGCTCATTTAAAACGCACCTTCTACCTCTCAGGTCAAGTATACACAAGTTGCGAAGCCATGGCGAACTGAACGATAAGCGACAGGGTCCATCAACGGTCAACCATTTTAGTTGCGGCGCTTGTCCGTTGAAGAGCGAATCGGGGAGATGAATAAGTAGGTGAGACGATGGCACTTCCTCCAGGCCAGTACAACCAATGTATAGCATCCCAAGTCTGGGCGCGGGCTTCCGGTGCAAATTTTCGAATATTTTTCGCAACTCGCCGTAATGACCGTGGAGTTCGAGTGCGTCTATTTGGCTGATATGATCAGGAATGTACTCGACTTCTCCTGCGGACGTAGGATGTAGGGACCAGGGACGCTGTCGGATAGAGACGGTAGCGAACTTCGCCCGTTCCATCATCAGCATGGTCCAATGTCTTCCGAGCCCATAGCAGATCTCTCCCCATAGGAAAGGATGGTCAAGGGCGACAGCTCTCCAGTGGCGGCAAACATGGGTGACCCTCATCCATCCGAGTCTCCAGCTGGATAAAGGTATGTCTTTCCGAAAAGAGTCGGGTCTGCTGGGCCGTTCCATCATGGAGAGGCATGCGAAGATCTCAGCGAGGAGCTCGGCAGGAAGAATGTTGCATATGAGGAGCTGAACGTCTGTGCGAGTGCATTAGGGTGAGTCTATATACGAGCAAGAGATTGGCCGAGCTGGTGAGGATACAGTATCTTCACCTTGGGGTTGGTTAGTCTCTATTGTTCGCCCAGTGCAAGGCGCATGTTCATTCAATAGCGAAAGATCCATGATGGGTCCTAAGGATGTATCTCCGTGAGTTAAGTATATCAGAGAACTCAGGTGAAAATCTGAAAATGCGATTCTGCGCCTGGTGGTATATGAGAGGAATGATGGCTTGGAGAAACCGAGAGTTGGAGAAGTGGAAAATCCAGACGCCACACAGGTACAACTGAAAAGTGCCACACTCGCTGATTGCCGAGGATCTTCGCCTCGTCTTTAATAATTGTAATATTGGTTGAGAGGCTACCGGCGAGGGTTGCTATCAAGTCCCTGTGATCCTCCAGGCAGATAATATCCCGAGAATGCTCACGTTGGATGACAAGCAACGAGTGTCAAGTGTTACTGTGTCCCACTGCTTGAAACGGCCGGTCTCTACTCGGATTCCCATACCGCCTTAAGTAGTAGCTCAATGGAGTCCAAGCTCTGCCAGTGGAACTTCTCGACGCCCGTCGTCTTTCCCTCAAATCATCGTAAACATCACATGTCTCGAGTTTATAGAAAGTACTGCTGACTGGATGTCACGGCTGCCCCTCGGTAGACAGGTAAGTGTTTTAAGTTACTTCGTACATGTTCCCGTGAGGCCGAACGGTCCTGTCAATGATTTCCCTCTTCTCTGTCTACACCTCCCACCTGCACTCCTGACATTAGCTAGCAGTTGGGAACTGACGTGAACATATCCTTTGATAAAAGAATGATTGTCATATAGACGTTTGCGGTGTAACTGATATCTTCATGCACAGTGTCGAGGTCGTACAGCTCAGGCGACGCGTAGTAATAGGGGCAGTCAGTTAGCTCCTCAAGGCAGAACACACCAGTATTTCAATACTGTAAGCCACGTCTCTCGGGTCTGTGTCGGCACCATTACTTTATACAAATCATCACCGATACATTTCTCATGACCACTTCGGGGAGGGAAAGCTGATACACAAATCACAGGCTACCTTAGCGCCGCGTGAGCTCTCGCTGCTCCTTGGCGAATACCCATATAGATGCGGAGTCAGCGGCATCCTGCTGGGGCTTGGAGAACGGAAGACGGGGCGCCTTCCAAGTCTTATATATTGGCCGATGGATTTCGACTTCTACCTACCCACAGAGGTTATACCTGTTCCTCTTCACAACATTTACCAAGAGAACGTCGTGACGTTTTTTTTAGCTTGTATCATGTCGAATCTTATCACACTCTACGATATACCAGGAAAAGCAGCGAAAGACTTTGCGTGGAGTCCTAACACCTGGAAGGCTAGGTATGTTCGTTTAACCGCTTGGTACTTGATATGCGCCCGATGTTTTCTCTTTATAGGCTCGTCTTGAACATCAAGGGCTTGCCTTACAAGACAGCCTGGGTCGAATACCCCGACATCGCTCCAGTCGCCAAGAAAATCGGCGCCTCCCACACTTCCGTATCTGCCTCCGGTCCTCATTACACTGCTCCCTTCATCGAAGATCCCTCCCACAAGGCAGTCGTAGCCGACTCATTCAAGATCGCACAGTACCTCGATGAAACTTACCCGGACACTCCCGCCGTCGTCCCGAAAGGCACCGCCGCCCTGCAGAACACTTTCTCAGACATGTTTTTCGAGAAAGTGGGCTACCCGATCTACAGCTACATCAACTACCAGACGATGAAGCAGCTCCCGCAGCGTAGTGAAGTCTACTGGAGGAAGACGAGGGAGGCTAGTTTCGGAGTGGCGATAGAGGAGATCGCGCCTGAGGGTTCGGAGAAGAGGGCGGAGATATGGAAGAAGGTTATCGCTGGGCTGAAGACGATTGACGCGTCTTTGAGTGTTCAAGAGGAGGAGTTCATTGCTGGCGGGAAGCCGACTTTTGCGGACGTGACAGTGGTTGCCGTCTTGACTTGGCCGAAGAGGATCTTAGGGGAGGGATCTCCTGAATGGCAGGAGATTTTGCAGACGGACGGGGGCCGATGGGGAAGGCTTATGAAGGCATTCGAAAAGTGGGAGACTGTGGACGAGGAAGGCTTGAAGGGAATTGGCGCTTGAATCAGACTCGCCCCTCGAGATCATTGTACGATATATCGGAGTCGATTGTATGTCATCTGGAAGTTCAGATATATGTGTATATGTTTGGACTCAATAAGCCAAGTCGGCCACTAGGGAATTCTTCCTGTACAAACGTCGTACATACCATTTCAGGACGATGGGGAAGAAGGTCAATCACACAAGCTGTGGGCATTATGGATCCCTATCTTTCTACATACGCGCCACCGCCACATTAACAATTCACACGACAATTCCCAATCTCTTCTCTCTCTCCAGGATGTCATTGATCGTATCATCTAACGTCTCCTTCCATCCTTTGTATTCGCCCTCCTTCATCCCAAGCACACTCTCCGCACTACTTCCATCAAACGAGACGCAAGTCTCGGTCTGGTACCCCTCTGGGATCTCATACAATCTATGTTCCAGCTCCGGCCGCGTCTTCTCCAGGTACTCTGTGGCGTCCTTCCAGTGTATGAATCCGTCTTTCAGGACAATACGCTTGCACTCTCCAGCCGGAAAGGGAGGAACGGAGAGGAGCAAGACGTGTGCGCATGCAACGTCGGATATATGGACGAATGTTGGGGTGAGCATGGATTGCGGCGGTGGTAGGGGAGGCCGGGGGGAAGATTTAGGCTTGATGAGTTCGTACACGAAGCTGTTGGTACCGTCGGCGGGAACATCTATGATCTGACCACGACCGGCAGGACCGTATATATAACTTGGATGGACTGCAATCGCACCATACGTTGCTGTCAATAGGCAGGCACCCAAAGGAATAGAGACGTAGAAAGACCGCGACGAACTAGTAGCGATGTCCATGTCGGGATGTTTTGTCTCAAAGTCGCGGATCGCCTTTTCTGACAACGTCTTTGACACGGCGTAGATAGTCAAAGGATGAACGCCAGGTTTCAGAGCGTCTTCACGCGTCGCAGAACTCCAGTCTATAGGATAATGAAGAAAGAAATCAGTCGATGCAAGAGCCCTGCCAGTTACAGAATATCCAAGGTTATTGACCTTTCTCTCCGAATACTCTGTCAGTCCACAGGTAGTCCAGATCGAATAAAGAGGAGACGCTAGATGTGACGATGACTTTATTCACCCCTGCCTCCGCGATAGCGTCCATTACTCGGATAGTCCCAGAAACAGCGCTCTATATCGATAATGAGTAGTTTGAGACTCGAAGAGTGTCACTACGGCAAGAGACGAACCGTCAGGATAACCTCCACACTCGTGGCCCCGGGCAGGGGAGACGCGACATGGATTACGGCATCGACTCCTGTGAAGAGAATCATGAGCACAATGTCGGCATATCAAGGGCTACACGTTGTGGTTTGATACTAGCCTTGCAAAGCTCCAGACAAGTCCGACGTGGCGAAGTCGTCAACGACGACCAGCTCAAATTGATCTCCGTACGACTTATAAGCATCCCGAACCCGAGAAGCTTTTCCAGCTCGAGAGGTCCTGAACGGGCAAGCGAGAACGATATGTCAGCGTACGAGAACGCCGCGCATTGTTGAGAGAGGAATGTGTCACTTTACCCCCGGACTTTGTGCCCAGCATCCAAAAGATGGTCTACAACATGAGATCCCACAAAACCTGATGCACCAGTAACCTATGACATGTAGAGCAACGACAAGTCAAAGGTAACAATTGATTTTGGCGGCAAACAAACATACTTACAAGTACGAACATATTCGACCAAGGCGAAGTATAGATGAACAGTGGGGTGATTCTTGAGGGAAGTTCGAAAGCTGAGCATGACTCTTGGACTTTATATAATGGTCCAATACGCTTGGATCTGCGTTCACAACTGCGAAACGGCAAGATAACCAACCAGCCAGCCTGCATCGGTGTTACCGGTTGGGATAAGGGGTCGGGCAGATGCGCTTTCGAAACACAACCATCGGCGGTGGCGGATGAAGGCGATTACTAAAACAAGGGGGTCGACGCTTTTTCAGTAACCGTTCAAGGGCGTCCAAAGCCTCGAGGGAATGTCTTCCAGTCAGGTTCTAGAGCCCACGCTGCAGGACCACGATGGAAGCCAGATTGTTCAGATACATACATAAGTTCTGTGATTCCATTGCAAAATGGTCAGATACAAGGAAAAGACACTGGAGACATTCGATGAAGAACGATTCGGATACACTCACCTAACAAACCGCTGACGAGCCCGTGCGCAAGAGAGGTCACCCAATATCAGTATAAAAATATTTGTGAATGTGTCGGGCAACGGAGGCAAGGTCAAATGGACATGTGCCGACAGTCGGAGCGAAGCTCCCGTATCTGATGCCGCGCACATACAACCAACACGTTGAAGCGAATGTGCCTTTCGTTGAGGGCGCAGGACCTTGAGAAACGGACATCGACTTCGGTGATGTAAGATTGGTATCTTCAATGTCCGATATTTGCATAGATATACAGTGAAAGCGAGCAGAAAAAACAAATACTAAGCATACAGACCGTAAGGCCCCGTCCGTTCTGAATCCAGAAGCAAAAGTCGTGCAGTGTCTCCTCCAAATATCATTGTGATCACGTCCAAGCTCCAACACCCACCAGCACCTACCTTGCAACTCTCAATCTGAATCATCGCCGAATCCCACTATTTGGATCGCAGGCCTCAAGCTGATCACCGGGGCGTCATCCTTCCCTTTCGGTCTCTGTACCTGAGCCTTGGGCATCTCATCCTCTTCGTCACTCTCAGACTCATTGTGTCTAGGTGGCGGGAACAGGACGCTGACCACCCGACTGTTCGGTGCTCGCTTTGGACTCTTCGAAGGAACGGCCTTAAGTGTCCTGGAGTATTCCACTAGCTGCTGTACGACTTGTGGATCTAGTGGGACGTCAAAGAGGTCGATGATGAAGCGGCGAACGGGGAGACGATAACGGGAGGTGGAGATCATGTCGAGGGCACGATAGAACATGGAAACGGAAGTGAACAGCGGGCGGTATTCAGGTCGTGTTTTCAGCCTGTACGGAAAGTTCACCATCAATGCTCAACCGGATTGCCGAGAAAAACATGGGATGGTCTTACTTAGCCAGCGTCCGTGAAGCGGTATTTGCTATAACGGTATTCGACAAGTTCGAAATGGCAGTCAGGACCTCTTGCTCGGCCTCTGATGTCGGTGGCGTAAGTGGATGGTATTCATCACCTGACGATGCAGGTCCCCAGGGCGGTATCTGTGCAGGCCGTTCAGCAGGTAGCAACTCACCAGTAGACATTGACGTACTGAGATAAATTTATCGATGTTCACTGGTATACAAAGACCAGTAGGAAGGCCAAGACATGAAAGCGTTGCCTCCCAACGATAATCATCCAGGATCTCTGCACCCTGTGGCGTTGACGATATCAAACCAAGAACGAAGAAGCATGTTCTGGAGGACAATGTCGAATAAGCTTGAAGGAAGACCGTCTAAGAAGATAAATATAACTTGCCCTCGGACGGACATCACGAGCGATTGCTCCGCGATGTCCAAGATCGTAGGGATGATCTCCTCTTCCTCCAAGAATGGCAATCCTCGCTCAGTCGACCCAATATTGCCCTAAAATGGTATTCATCAGATACATCGATGAAGGATGCAGTCCAGAGAGACTAAAACTTACCACCGTCCACATGATACTCTTCAACTTCAGTATCACCTCCGGGTCCTCATTCTCTAGACCGTGTTGCCTTATGAAATGCGCGAAGTCCGCAAAGTGACCCTTCTCCTGCAAGACTTGGCAGCCAAGCTCGGTCTTGGCCATCTCGCCATAGAAATGAGGTGGAACGACGCCATCAAAGGCACTACATGAGACATTCGGTGTATCAGGAAGAGCATTACAAGGAGGAGAAGGCGAGGTAAGGCGTACAACAGGTCTTCGTCGTCCGTGGGTATGAAATTGAATGACCTAGCGAGGAAGACCTCGATTTGGACGACGTAGTGGATGTTGCGTTCCTGCGATCCTGGCGCTTCAGTAACGACTTCGTTCGCAAAAAAGAGCGAAACGAAGCTTACATGAAACCACATATCCATCTCTCTGTCGATATACCCAGCATCGAAAAGATACCGGAAACCCATAGGCGTCGACATGAACCTATATACAAGACCACATCAGCAATCGACTCGTCTTAACCGTGTTTGACGGAACAGCAGATACGCTTACTTTAGAAGAAGCCCGTGTCCAATCTCACCCAGGTGGTCCAGCGTGGGCTGCATTACGACGACCAGCTGCAGGATGTCCATGGACTCGCACGCCTCTTCCAAGAAATGAGCCGCCGTCTCGCAGACCTCCATAGCGGGGTCGTATAATTGAGTCAGTAAAAGTCGGAGTGTCCAGGCGTTAGCGGTCGGGCTGTTGCGAATCATAACGCCGAGGTGGTTGGTGGCGTATAGTCGGATGTGCTATGGGCCATCTAGTTAGCAAGGGGACGCAATGGATTCAGTGGCGGGGTCGACAGACCTTGTAGCTGGATGTCAGAGCCTTGGACAGGACGATTCGAGGATGCCCATCACTGAAAGTAGTCTTTAGCCAGGACAGGGAAACATGAAGCGAGGACGACACATACATGCTATAGTCGATATTTTCGATAATTCCCTTGATAAGGTCCTCTCGACTTCGTAGTTCGCTCAAGTGATAGAACGCAGTGAAGACCTTGAACTTTTCCATTAGCCTATAGTATGCCACAAGTCAGCACCGGTGCGTGGACTATGAGACCAGGAAACGACTGACTCGATCCCCTCCTTATGTTTGCTGAGCGTCCCAAGCATCTCAAGATACCCGTATGTCAAGGTATCCGCTACCCGTTTCTTCGAGAAGATAGGGTCTGACTCTGGTGTGCCATTGAACTGTTTGTGCATTGAGGTTAGTGCCATATTTGAGAGAACCATGACCAGAGAAGAAAAGGACTCACAGGATCAAGCTGCGCGAACCCTCTCACGATTTGTTTCAGGAAATCGTCTTCCGAGGACAGATAACGGAGTCCATCCGCACTCGCCATGAGCGTAGTCAACAGCGCACAGCCCAGCCGTACCCATCGTTGATTTGCCTAGAAAACCGAGCCCGAAGCCATCAACATCCCATCCACTTGGCTCTTCCAAATGCAGCGCGTCGAAGCAAAGGATAAGCTCACCTTATTCCTCTCCATATCAGAGAACCGATGGTTGAACGGATGATAAAACGACATCAGCCGTCTTATGAACCGCGACACCTTCACCGCTTCCTCCATCCTCTTCGGATTGAGAAGAGGGCCCTCGATGAGTTCTTGCAGCATCTCGAAATTCCATTTGTTGTGATCTTTCGTGAGCATGACCTGTGACGGTGTATGAGAACCGGGAACAGACTTGCGAGCCATATATATATACGCACTTGACTTTCAACCAACGACGCAGAAAACGTCTTGTCATCCATCTGTAGCCCCACTCTAATCCTAACCTGCTCCACCTGTCGATTCCGCCTCAACACGTCCTCCACGGAATTCGCCCTACAGAACCGTCACCGCACCATATCCCACACAAATGGCCCATCGCCCAGGTATCACATTAGGGCCGTGTCCCACCATAAAGGCAAAAACGAATGACATGTGTGCTCACCTCGGTCGCCCTACCACCGACCCCGCATTAGGTTGCAACCTCGCACGATTCCTGTTGAAACTGTCAATGGACGACAAGGCTGAGGTCCCCACTATACGGTGTTCACCGTGATCGTAGTCGGAGGCGAGATTGAAGACTTCTGGAATGAGCTATACATCAGCGTTACACTGGATTCCCCACGTATTTGAACGGACTGGTCACATACCTGGACTTTTGCGGCTATTGATAGAGGCAAGACTTTATTCGCGAGTTGGAGGACTTCAGCCATGAGTAACGTTGCTTTCCTCGACAAGTTGGAACCCGTTGTCGTTTCTTGAAACATCGACGTCAAGGCCTATACCGAACAGAGCAGACAAAAACATCAGTAAACCTTAAAATGCAAAGCTTTCCTGGAAAGATAAGGGCACAGAGCTAGGATTCTCACGTCCAACAAACCAGCCTGCGTGAACACTAATATCAACAGCGCGATATATTGGTCTGTGAGCTTCAGTGGCTCTGAGGTTTGTTGTGCAGGGTCAGGAGCTTTCACATGTTCGTGGCTGTTTCGCGATTTGCGGTACACTGTCAGACAGTTGATAAGGTCGACGTGATGCAAAACAAAAAATAAGGGTAAAAGGCTCACTTGTTAACCGCTTCCCGTTGATGAATGTTTGATACCATTCCGGCGTCTTGATATTTAAGAGATCGAAGAACATATCCAGGACAACTTCCTTCACGACGTGTGTCATTTAGTACTTTCACATCCGTATGGACGAGTGCGAGGCTGTAGATAGAGGTAAGACGTACTCGGGACTCCAGTGAAGGTATTCGAAGGGTGTCGATCAGAGCTCGTATAGCCCGCATGTTGTCCATGCAGAAGTACATCAGTCCTATGAACGATAGAGGTTTAAGCACAAGGTACAACTTGTGAGGACGTTCGAGTTTGATATACTCACCGCTCCAATTCCGCAACATGCTGGTTACCATCCGAGAGACACTCTTCATCCTCTCTAGATGGTCCGAATCCTTCCCGTACGCGTCCGTGATACCAGAGAATGCAATCTGTGATATATTCCAGACCATGTCAGTCCTCGTCCAACTCGAATCGGATAGCTAGTCCTCTACACTTGCCTCAAGATCGATCCCAGCATGTAGATATGCCCTCGTGCGTGGTGAATCCGCGATGTACAGGAATACAGGGGTTAGAAGTGGTGCAAGTTCAAGCGGTCCCTCAGCGAGCACGTTCAATAGCACTCGTATACCACCCGTCTTCGCCACCAGCTCGATATCAATCAAAACTACACACGTACAACAAATATCAGCTTTCCATTCGTCACTCGGCACTCAAGCCAGAGCGAGTAGGCTCAGGAAGAGCAAGACAGAGAAGAGCTTACGGATTTCCGCAAGAGTCTGCACGCATATTGACTTGAAAGGATCGTCAGGCTGTTCCGCGACAGCGTTGAAAGCACGCATAACAGGTTCTGAGAGGGGTACGTTCCCTGAACACGGGGCGGTGTGTGGCCCACTTCGTTGGGATCCGATCTCGACAACGGCACGAATGAATTTTATGACCTGTTCCTTTTCGACCGTGTGCTTGTTGTCCAGGGTTAACGATCTGGCGATTCATATTAAATGGATGAACCGGCACTTTGAAACGTGAATACGAGGCTTACTTAACGATATACCAGTCGAGTGGCTGTTCTCGGAGTCGTTTCACGGAATCCATGTCCACGATCGTATGCCTCAAAAGCCGGTACGCCATCGCGCGACAAAGTTCAGAGCACCGATCCGAAAATGCTGGTAGAACACTATAGTAAAGTCAAAAGAGACACGTTCGCTCATGAAGAGGATAAACATACGCTTGTACGACCTGGGCGACATTTAACTCGTACCGCACACGAAGATTCCGTTGTAGGATAGTGATCAAATTCTTCATGGCGCCTATCCTGATCTTGTCCGCGTCATCACTAGTGTTAGCAGCAGTGGCATGGGAGGACGAAGTGGGTGATGTGGTTGGAGAGATGACGGATCGTCCGGCGGATGACAGGGTTTTGACGTAGACGGACGCTTGTTGAATGGCAGTCTGGAAGTCGTCTGCAACAATGTCTATTGGTGAATTGAGGAGACCAGGAGGATATGTCACTACGCACCTCTATCGTCGGCAGTCCTCCGTACTTGCCACGCCACCAAGTTTCAGGTCAACACATGCACGACAATCGACTGACAGGGCCATACTTACGCTGCTCGACCTTCTGTGAGATCATCTGCATCCTGCTCTGTGCCGTTCTCAGTTCCGCTTCAACGCTCGACCTGAACCCTTCCTGTAGTGCCACACCCGACTCAGTCAAGCCCAGGCATAATAGTGAAGTCACTCACCGTCAACTTGTCGTTCGAGCGGTCGTTGAGCACGGCTTCAGCACCCTCTTTTGTCCGTTTTGCTGTCCCCATCATGGTATTCAGAATAGACAGCTACACACATCACCGCAAGTCAAATCAGCCTTATACTCGGACGAAGACAGCTCCAGCAGCATTGGCTCGATCAGGGGCCAAGAACGCTAACGCACCTGAGTCGCGACGTCCTTGCCCTCGAGCTCTGAGAAGTCGAACATCTTGTTCATGTCGCCGGCGCCTGCGTTCACAAGGGTGCTCGTGGAACCGTTGACGGTGCTGAGGTTGGCATTGGAGTCAAACGAGTCGTAGCTGTACACCGAGCGCTCTGTCATGAGTGACCCTGACATCGGATCTGATCTCGTATTCTGTTCGGAATAACGATGAGTATCGGCACTAAGCTGTATGGTTTCGTCGAATACCCTAGTTGTGGGTATGCGGAAGAGACAGAGACGCGTGAGCTCAGACGCCCGAGTCGAACGGAACAGGCCCAAGCTCCTGATACGCGCCGATCCTTAAAGACGTACATAAGAGCACTGGTGATCGAGCACACTTACACTGATGTCCATCTTGCGGTACTTACTGCTTGTAATTTCATGGTCCGTTTGACCGTTCGCAACATGCAAGGAATGGAAGACGAAAACAAAACATATTATTTATCAACAACATGCACATGGAGGAAATATCGATGCGTGGATGGTTCAATAACTGATGGAAGATCGGTAGGTACATGCAACATTTTGAGGAAGCAGATATCGATGGTGGTATAGACGAGGAAAGAAAGATGTTATGCAAAGGTCAATCGTCGTCGCGGCCTATCAAAATCCATCCTCTACTACTTGTACACTTGATCGTCCAGGTCATGCAAGTCGTCCAGGAACTCTGAAGCAACCCGACCAAGGTGGCATAATCTGCAAGAGAACAAGGCACGGATTGATCCCAGATGGAGGCTCGCTACACTTGTCGAATGTGTTGTCTAAGAGTGAGTCCATTCACAAACCTCGAGTCAGGAGCACCGGCCACTAGAGACAGGATCACGTCCGAGTGGAAAAGAGGAACAAAAATGCATTCAGGATTGAGTGAAGCCTTCTGAAGTCGCCAAGGTCGATGCGTGATGCCGAAAGTCGATGCCGAAAGTCAAGGATGGCCAGGCATTGTTTAAGAGTGCTAAAATTCTACGAAAATACTAGAGCGTCAAGCATCATCAAAGCTGGGGAGATCTCATAGAGAAGATTTGCCATGTCAAGCGACTCGGCGAGTAAGGAAGAAACCAGTTGCAAAGAGGTCGCGGATGCGTGTCGGCAATTGCCGGATCAGCTACACAGTTGCTCCAGATTAGGTTCAAGCCACCCGGCCGGCACGCTCAACACTTTGACTGTACGCCGCCACCGGTATCGACAAGCCTCAAGACTTTCAAGATGGGTGCGTCCATGCCATTTCATGCCTTCATTATGTCCCACTCACCTTTCCATGTCCAGTTCGCTACGCCGCCGCCGCTCTTGCCTCCAACCCCGAAAAAAGTGCGTTCAAAACCATGCAGAAACTATGTCAGATGGAAATAGGACGAATAGATGACTGACTGACGGTGTGGTGCTGGTTGAATAGCCTCCCGCGCTCGCGGCGAGTACCTGCGCACCCACTTTAAAAACATGCGGGAGGTTGCGGCTGCTCTGACTGGTGCGTCTTGTTCAAGTTGTGCTGTAGCGAATACGAGGACTGACTTGTGTTTCCGTATGGGCCATTGAACGAACGCAGGTCTTAAGTTGGCCAAGGCCTACTCCTACCTGTCCAACGTTACCGAACACAAGCAGGTCATTCCCTTCAGGCGGTTCAACGGTGGTGTCGGTCGTGCTAGCCAGGCCAAACAGTTTAAGACTACTCAGGGTGCGTCCGTTCAGTGTCTGTAGACTCAGCACAGGCGTGCTTAAGCGGTTGCTTTGCTGTATCGTTAGGTCGCTGGCCTGAGAAGTCCGTCCGATTCATCACCCGTCTTTTGAAGAACGCAGAGTCGAATGCGGACGCCAAGAGCATCGATGTTGAGGAGCTCCTTATCAAGAACATTGTTGTGCAACAGGCTCCCGTACGTCCCTTCTTTAAATCTGTCCCTTCATCTTCTGCCCTCTCCCATGTCAATTTGCCCACCTCCATATTTGATCTTCGCAGAAAACCCGCCGCCGTACATACCGTGCCCACGGTCGTATCAACCCCTACCAGGGCCACCCTTGCCACGTCGAAGTCATCCTCAGCTCAGGAGAGGAGCAGGTCGAGCGCCCGAAGGACAAGGATGCCGTTCCATCGCTCACCGGCCTTAACAGGCGACAGGTCGCCAGGAGGCGTATCGAGGCCGCTCGCGTTTAAACACCTTCCTTCTCTTGGGTGTTTTCTCGATATCGGTCTCGGGGTGCGGGTCGAGGAGGGTCGAGGAGGTTTGATAGCATGCCATCATTGTTTGAATTCGCTCTCATTTCTGTATGCTTATGCCATGCCTGAAAACTTCACTCGCCATGGGTGGTTCTTTATGCGCTTTCTATTGACACGGTATGGGGTTCATGCATGTATTGTTGATGAGCCCAGTGTTGCGCTATTGAACAACGCCCGTCTACGACTTTATGACAGGCTTGTCTTGAGGTCGCTCACTGATCAAGCGCACTTCGTGTTCTTCAGGTGGCGTCGCTTAGCGTGATTGCTGTGGCCCGTGCGCTTTCACCGACCTCGCCATTGACACCGTCTGGCATCTGCTTGTACACACCTTGGTTACATCGGCCCATGCATTGGGCGACTCGTGGCGTTCTTGGGTCTCGCAGATATCTACTTTCTGTCTCATCTCACGGGCCGCTTGATCTCTTGCCAGAGTGCCGCCAGCGATATCCACATTCTGCAAATCAATACCACATAACGCTCGCGATCCATCCCCAGTACATAAATCGTACGACTTCTAGTCAATGAGTCGTCGCTCCGTTCTAGACAGGTGTACTTAATTGGTCAAGATCGGCAGAGTTTTCAAGTAGCCAACGAAGCCACAAAGAGATAAAAATATGAATTTTCTGACAAAAAAGAATACTCGACAAAGACCTCGCAAACATGATGAACAAGCCCTTGACTGCCTACTTATCCATCAACGACCAATCCTCCCATTCAAACTGACCTGCAATAATTAATGACTCTTTCCGACGCCTGGTTGTACCAGAGATGAAGCGGAAAGGCGAGGAGTCTACTGAGGAGGCTCGGGTTGAGGAGAAGAAGCGGTGGGTGGGAAACCCAAGGCGACGAGGGTCTGCGACATGTTCTGCTTGCCGAAGAACTGTCTCGCGTCGATCATACTGTGACAGAAACGAAGAGGAGGGATCAGTTTGTGTGATGGACAGGATTTTCGGACCACGGATAAACGTACAGATCGTGAACGAGCCCCAGGCTGTTGGGCAAAGTCTCGTTGAGCTGCAGGGTCGTGGCAGAGATGGAATCGTCGAGCGCAGCGGTGTAGGCCGAGAAGTTGGACACGATGTCGCTGGTGATGACGGAGAGCGTAGAGGCCGTGTTACTGTGTGGTGGAGCAGTATATGAGCTCATATAGAACATAAAATAACAGTTTCGGAACTTACGAGAGAACACCGGCGAAGTTAACGCTGATATCGTCGTTGGTGGGCGACGTGGTGTTGTCACCGGCGCTGGGAGCAGTTGCATTCAGTGCGCTTGTGGTGTTGTCGAAGGCGGTGATCAGGTCGTCGAGGGAGCCACCGGTAAGCTCAGTGTTAGCGGTGTGGTTGCCGATCTGGACCACTAGTGTAGATTGATATAAAGTGGGTGGTCAGTTCATGTTTTGATTCGAAGGCTGGGGTAGATGATTCTACATACAGATCCCTGGAAGGATAGAGTGGGTCGTCACTGAGAGAGCATCGACGATGTCGTTGATTTGGACATTGGTGTTGTTCTGGGCGAAGGCTACAGAGGTGAGGGCGAGACCAGCGACAAGATAACGGAGCATAGTGAGATTATGGGAGGCTGTCTACCTGGATGAAGCGGGTCGAGAGGAGCCACATAGGGCATGGAATAATCGGGCTTATATGCCTCTCCTAAGCAAATGGTCTGAGAACGATAGGTGGAGGACGCTCATACAACACCGCATCGTGAATTTGAGTGCCATGACATTTGAATGCATTATTGAGCCCTTCCGTGGTAAGGAATAGGTGTACCTATGCGCTAGTGTGGTAGCGTTTGGCCAACTATGAGAAGCAACTGCGTTTCTGAGATCACCGAGGACCGTCTGTGAGTTTTCGCAATGCCGAGAATTGAGTTGGCTCCATAAGCGTGGAGTTGCACAAATGAAGACAAACGAGGGTTACTGGGAGAAAATGGGAGATATAAGGCAAGCATCCATTGCGAGCTGATGGGAACCAAGAAACGTAGGGTATGCGTTCATTCAAAACCGTGCGAATGACGAGCTGTAACGCTGTAATTCCTCCTCAAGCATGAGAGTTTGCCAGCGGAGTGCCTCTGTAAAGCCAGGTGTACAAAGAAGCTCGCGAAATATCCCTGGGCCTCAGAGAGTATACGAGCGTTGTGTTACACAGAAAAGCTCGAGTTCAAACGTATACTGGTCTATACTGGTTCGAAATGTTCGAATTTGTTGCCGTTTCAAAGCGTTTCTGGCGGTCGATGACCACGTGGTTCAGTTTTCCCGCCGGCGAAAGACGCAGATCCTCGGATTATAGCCACACGCAAGGTGCCACATCTCTCAATACAAGCTTTTTTTTTTGACGCTTCCCCCCATCAACTTTGCCTGAGATATATCCCACAAAAACAGACCTGACCTTGCACACAGGCAACAAAAGTACTCAATAGACCGCGGATATCCCAGGAAATGACGCTCTCTTCGCCAGCGGAACACCAGGACAGCTCGCAGACGGAACCGAACGCAAATTCAGTGGTCGACTCGTCTTTCACAGAGGGCCACAACCCAACTTCGCCAGGTCTTCATATTCCAGAGCCCCGCGATGGATTCTTCGGTTACAGTGATGAAAAGGGGTTGAGACACGTACGCCTACCCTCAAAGTCGCCACGACACTAACATTGCTAATTGAATGCCCACTGCTCCTCCTTCGCCTTTTGTTTTTTATTATCATGAAAGATTGAGGAGAAGTATTGGGCTCACAGGAGGCCATCTCAAACCCTCTCTGAAGCGGGCAGACCCATCTCCGTTTCACCTACCATCGGTCCGGATGCGCACGCTGAGATAGCCTCTTCGGTTGGAGGCTTGTCCCTGTCGGCTGCTCATGATGGTATGGAAGAGGACGAAGTCCGCCTTGTTGACGCAGAAGTGGATCATGACGAGAAGGCGCAAGGGTATCCCGCACCACGTATGTCCCATCCCCAGCGATACGTTTTCATGACACTGATGCTTCTTGTGTGCCACCCTACTCATTTCGCCACATAGCACTGGCTATGCCACCCGAAATGACGCCCGAATTTGACCACCTTTTCGAGCTATTCAGAAAGTGTTTGCACTTGCGAGACAAATATATGGCTGCGTCACGCCAACGATTGGGCGACAATCCGCGTGATCATGATGGTGTCTTCAAAGGAATAGTGGACGAGTGTGCGGACGTCCAAGGCGTACGCCCGGACTCCGACTATTCGAAAATCGGCCAGCCGCTGGGGAAGGAGGACCAGTTTCAGCCTTGGAAAATCTATCCCAAGCCTCCTCCGCCACATTGGCATTGGAGCGCCACCGAGGAAGCTCCCTCGATGGCGGGTCACGAAGAGAACGACGATCACAATAAACCCTTCGAGTTTGATGCCTGTGAAATACATGGCGAGCATCCCTGGAATTTCGAGATTGACGAGAAGGGAGTTTATCAGGTATATGAATCGGCACCAGGTCAGTGACCGGCCACTCTGCTCTACGAGATGCACTGATTGCTCATTGGTATGAAGTGGAGGACAAGAGGCCAATCTTTGAAGTCCCCACCATACGAGAGTACTTCATGGACCTCGAATTCGTCCTTAGCCTGATTTCAGATGGTCCAGCCAAGAGCTTCGCCTATAGACGACTACAGTACCTCTCCGGTAAATTCACGATGCATAGCCTGCTCAACGAGTTTCAAGAAATGACGGACATGAAGGTTCGTCTCGATTTTCTATCCTCCCACAATCCCTCCGCTCACCTTCTCTCAGAAAGTACCCCATCGGTGTGTAATGATTCTGCCTGCCGTTACCTCAGCTAACAAGCGTTCACAGAGATTTCTACAACGTTCGAAAGGTCGACACACACGTTCATCATTCCAGTAGCATGAACCAGAAACATCTTCTCCGTTTCATCAAACACAAAATGAAGCATAGTCCTAAGGTGCGTATTATTATGCTGCTCTTGCGACAAGCCTCCCGAAAGTAACAATCGTGAACAGGACCTTGTAATCCACCGTGATGGGCACGAACTCACTCTGGAGCAAGTCTTCGAATCTTTGAAGCTCACCGCCTACGACCTCTCGATCGATACTCTCGACATGCACGCCCACCAAGACTCGTTCCATCGGTTCGACAAGTTCAATCTGAAGTACAATCCCATCGGAGAGTCGCGCCTGAGAGAGATTTTCCTCAAGACGGATAACTATATTGATGGAAGATACTTGGCCGAAATTACCAAGGGTACGTCCCTTTCGCATTTGCCTTCAAACTGGTCACTCAACGATTTCGGGCGATAGAGGTCATGACCGATCTCGAGCAAAGCAAATATCAGGTACGTTCACCCTATTTTTGCATCTATGTTGATACTGATCATCGGAGTAGAATTGCGAATGGCGCATCAGCATCTACGGCCGTAACGAGGGCGAATGGGACAAATTAGCGAAGTGGATCATTCACAACAAACTGTTCTCCCACAACGTTCGCTGGCTCATCCAAGTACCTCGTCTTTATGACGTATACAAACATAACGGCTCCATCTCTACGTTCGAAGATATTGTCCGCAGTGAGTGCTATGACCCGTCCTCATCATACTACCCAACTTCGTTGACGAATGATAGCCAGACGTTTTCAAGCCCCTCTTCGAGGTTACAAAGGATCCTAATTCTCATCCAGAACTGCATGTCTTCCTGCAGCGAGTTATCGGGTTTGATACGGTGGATGACGAGTCGAAGACCGAGAGGCGTTTCCACAGGAAGTTCCCCTACCCGAAACTTTGGAATTTCGAACAGTCACCTCCCTATTCGTACTGGTATGTTTCGTTGATCATACTGTCGCTTTTTATTACTTACGGAATTGCTCGTCGCAGGGTGTATTATATGTACGCCAATATGGCAAGTTTGAATAACTGGAGGAGAGCCCGTGGATTCAGTCAGTCAAATTTTCATACCGTCTTTTGGTCGTATGGTTCTCATGGCTTCGACATAGACACACTTGTCTTCCGCCCACACTCCGGGGAAGCAGGCGATACCGACCATCTCACCGCCGCTTTCCTCACCTCTCACTCCATCTCGCACGGTATCCTTCTCCGCAAAGTTCCTGCGCTTCAGTACCTGTTCTACCTGAAGCAGATCGGCATCGCTATGAGCCCGCTCAGCAATAACGCGCTCTTCTTGACGTACGAGAGGAACCCATTGCCTGATTTCTTCAAGGTTGGTCTGAACATCAGTCTGAGCACGGACGATCCGTTGCAGTTCCACTTCACAAAGGTCGGTGGTCCTCCATCATTGATTCGGCCGCTATGCTTATGATACCTCCAGGAGCCTTTGCTGGAAGAATACAGCGTAGCAGCTCACGTACGTTTACCGTTACAAGACTATTCCTCTCCGCCACTAATGCCGAGCGTCCTATATATAGATTCTCAAGCTTCCTCAAAGTGCCCTCTGCGAGCTCGCCCGTAATTCTGTCATCCAGAGCGGGTTTGAGATGGAAATCAAGAGGCACTGGCTCGGTCAGAAATGGTATCTTCCTGGTGCCGCAGGCAACGAGATCAACAAGGTATGTAACGAAATCTCGAGCCCTACCGTGGTCCGTTCCGTCACTGACAGCTTCTATTCCATCGTCGGCGATGGTGGCGTTGTCGCGATGGATGTCATTTGTAGACGAATGTTCCGAATAGTCGGTTGAAGTTCAGGCACGATACGCTGATGGAGGAGCTCGTGCTTATAGGGGCCAATAAGCCAGGGAAGTCTCATTGAGAGATCCTGTGTGTCGTGGCGAGAGTCCTCGCTCTGGAAGGCCTTTCAGCTTTTTCCATGTCCTTGATCGCAATTAGACTTTCTCCACTCATATCTTGTCTGCTCGGCGTGCAGGCTGCTCCTGTGTCGGACCCAAGCGTCGGAATGTCTCAGAACGACGAGAGTCTCGGCACTCTGGGTGCACCATCCGCCGATCGGCAAGTCCGTATACAGACTGCCGTCGGGGGTGGAGGCGGCGACTGCAGCCCCTGGTGGTATGATCAGATCGGCACGCACAGTTTATTCGGTGCGCGACGCTCTCCGGATGTAAACCGGATGAGACAGATGGCCCTGTCCGTGAAGAACGTGCTGGATTGTTTGATTTGCAATGATTTTTGTTATTCGTCCTGCGCTGATGACAGGTTGAAGTCCCTCCGTTGTCTAGCTTGTAAGCGGTAGGATGGATGGTGAACTCGATTACGGGGTGGCCGATCCACTGTCTCGTCTTACTAGTCTCTGCATCGCATCAACAATATGAAAGTGAGTCTGACTTACATCGACCGTAACTGTCACCGAGGTTCCGGAGGTTGAAGGTAGCGACCTGGTAGCAACTGGGCGTCTGAGCGGACACCGAAGGCATTTTAATCATATGGCAGCCAGATTTCACGGCACGATAAAATTGTCGCAGCGGACACTGGAGTGTCAAGATGTCACCGACTCCTGTCACCCAGGGGCTATACTGACACTTCCGCGCTTTATATGAGGCGCAGAACACTCCCGGCATGCCATTTCCCCCTTCGACATTGAACTCGTTTGTTCGCCACAAGTGCTGGTCCACCACTCAGTGGTGATGGACACAAGGGAGACGAATGACGTGTAAGTGCTCGTACACTTCCTATCGGTCTCTCGTTAAACTCGAGTAAAGTCTAACGTCCCGCAACACTACAGCCTTATTCAACGTTACATATTAATTCTATCGATGGGTGAGTTTTGTTCTCCGTCACAATGACTTCTATACTAACATCCGCATCGTATCAGCGGTGTTATATTATGATTATTGCTTGACTTTGACGACCGAGATCAACAGCGTATGGAGTAAGCCCTTCTCCAAGGCATCAGCGTTGTTCTATGCCAATCGGTTCGTATTTTCTGCATTGTCAATATCTCAATTCCTACTTACCCTGATTTTCAGGTATATCCCATTGCTAGGCGATGTAGTTGTTCTGTATTATAGGTATCTCACTCATTTAGTCCAATCCGTGGCACTCGTTGACCTCAGTGCTGTGGTATCGTCAGTTTCGCATCTTTCGCATCAGAAAAAGTGCGTACCCAAATTATTGATATCGTTGATTCAGCAATTTACGCCTCCGTCGTCGCGTCCATTCAGGCGTACGTGCTTTGTGGCTCAAGACAAGCGTCACTGGTTGACAAGCTGTTTTCTTTCCCCCAACAGTTGTTCTCGATTTGGAGCCTTCCGTGATGCCTTAATCGTGGTCAATCAAGTCGTTGTGTGCCGTACGTCTCGGCATCTGTCCTTCCCTCCCCCCTTCCCTTCTCCTCATAGTATCCTATCTTCGACACAGTTGTTGTGATCTTGCGTACATGTGCATTGTATGGCAACTCCCGCAGAATTCGGTGGTTCTTCGTGGTGCTTTCTATTGCTATCGTCGCCGTCGTTGGCGTAGGTCTTTTCTAATTTTTATGCTGCCTTTGAAAAGGGGCTGATTATCAGTAGTGGTCCGTAGCATACGGAGGTTCTACTATCATCGACGTTCCCACCTGTGCCTTGTCAATAACGAAGAAATCGTAAGTCTCTTACTCTTCTCTATAAGCTGCAAACTTTGTACTAATCTAGCATTTCTCGTTGCATTTCCATAGAGCCACCGGTGTGTAACTGGACCTTGTTTAGACTGCACCGTTCCGCCCAGACTAATGTATTCCACAGCTCTTGCCGTTGCATGGGAAGCCCAAGCAGCCCTTGACCTGATCATTTTCGTTTTGACGGCATGGAAATCGTTTCAAATGTTACGTGGGAGGAGACAGGACGATTGGCATTTTGGTAATATTACAGATGTCATTGTTCGTGATGGTGCGTACACACTATCTCGTGCTCAGGCAGTTGACTCATGCTCCGAGCAGGTGCAATATACTTCGGGTATGGCGTTGAATCTTCAGCACCCCTCACATCTTGACGCATCTTATAGGTCTATCATGTTGATCAATATCGCAAATCTCTTCACTTACTACGTGAGTCTCCGGCCTTTTCACTCCTTGCATATACCATTCGCTCATGCAATGCTCCCAGTTCGCCTCGGTAGGAAAATAGTTGCTCCTGCATCGTTCCGAATCTCACAGCATGACACAGGACATTCTCAGAGGCATGTTATCGAGCTTCGCAAGCTGGTAATTCTTCGTCAAATTTGATTCTACAAACTTTTAACGTCTACCCAACATCAGCCTCTCCATCACTCTCGTTTCTCGACTTCTACTCAACCTCAAGACCTATCACGCTGTAACTGGAGACACGTTGTACTCTGAAGACGCCGAATCTCATCCAAGCAGCCCTTTTCCAAGGATAGGCAGACGTGTAAGGGGCGGGCCAGCTCTAACTGTAACTTTTACCGAGGAAGTGACGACAGACGTATCTTTCTCCACTCGCGGGGCACAGATCGTCGCAGAAGAGTATGAGATGGAACGTGTTTCGCCCTCACATCGACTGGCGTTTCCACCTGGCACATGTATAGATCTCTCAGAACCATAACACCAGGGTCACATTAGCTGGATGTCCCATGTAGCATCATGTTCATGTGGACCTTTTCTCGGGATTAGAGATCATTTTACTATACTTATGTTGTTGTACTGTATTACTAGACGAAATCACCCCGCATCTGAAGTGCATTGGTCTGTTATCAGAGTTATTCCATAGGTTTGATGCAACTTCCATGCCAAATTGTGAGTATCGAGGAAAGACACGTCGACAATATCGCGACGTCGCTGTCAATTTGGGCCAGAGTCATACCACACTTGGCGGCGAATTGGGCGCTCGGGTTTCTCCGGGATGGCAAGGTAGACATTTCGCGTCGCGTCGATTTCGAGGACGCAACTTGTCCCAGTTTTACTTCTCAGAGCAGTTCGTGTCAAATGGACGGTACGCCTCCACTCAAGAGGAAAAGGACGGAGGAAGGTCTCCTCACTCCGGACCCCTCGCCACTGCGCCCTTCTCAGACGTATACACCTCCACCGCCTGCCACCAGATCAACGAAATTTTATTTCGACGACGGCGACTGTGTTCTCAGAGTAGAAGGGGTCTTATTCAAGGTGTTAATTCTTGTTGTATCAAGCTTCGTATACGTGCTGACAAAAATGGTGCTCGGCGTGGCAAGGTCCACCGCTTTCTTCTGACCCGCGACTCGGTCGTATTTCGTGATATGTTCAGTGGGGTCAGATTCCAGGACAAGGTCCCACCGAATATGAACGTCAATGTCTGTGACGAAGGCATTGATGACCAGCGCCCTATAATTCTTCCCGGAGACAACTCGAAGGCCTTCGAGGAGCTCTTATCCGTGATATACGCTCTGTAAGCCGCACGCATGACTGACTCTCCATCTTTCTTGTTGTTTTCGTACTCAATAGACATGTCTGCACAGACCAGAAGAGATTACCAAATTCACCATTCAGCGACGCGCCCACGGCGAAATTCTCAGCGTACTGGAGCTCACTCACAAATATCAATTTGTGGCTTTGGAGCTTTGGGCACTCGGAGTGGCGCTTACCCAGTTCACCCGCTTTTGGTTGTTTGGAATTGGCAACATATCTGGAGAGAACCTTCGTCGATTTCTTGCCGTTGCTGTCCGCAGTCGAGACAACGCACTTCTGGTCAAGGTCGTTGCCCACTGGACCGAGGCGCTCGGGCGGTTTGAGGATTATGCCTTCCTTGCTATGGATGCAGGGGATGTTCTCGATGTTCCTACCTTAAAAGGTGAGCTTTATCTATAACGCCTTCTGCGAGAATACCCTAAGACCCTGATCACAGGCCCCGCATACTACAAAATCTTGCAAGCCTATTGGCGCACAATACCTACGGAGAAGCGATTGACAAAAGCCCAACGCATACGTCTTTCTGTAGGATTTACGTCTCTCGCCGCCCTATGGGACCAGCTGAGGACTGCACCGCCGCTTTGCTGTCACCCTCCAGACGCAGTCGACATTCATCCGGGTTGTAACGAACGCTGGAATGCCAAGTGGCTCCTATCGCGAGAAGAGCGAGCTGCAATGCCAGAGAGCGTCTCGGATGTTATAGGAAACATCGAATTCATGTTGAAGAGGATGCATAACGTTTCCTACCAGTTTTCGGACGGCACATGCTACGAAGCCGTGCGCACCGCTCTCAAAAAGTTGAGGAATGACACGATAGGAAAGCTATCCGATCATTTCAAGGATCCTATAGATTAGCTGGTAGGTCTTCTTCGTGGCTGAGCTCTCTCCTTTGCAGCCAAGTTGACCGACTTTCTTCACAGTAGGTCTGAAGCGCGAACGGTTTTTATTTTGTTTTTATTTCTGCACCACATCGAAGCTGTATTCTGCTAGCCGACTGTATTCTAGCACTCCGTAACGAACGCATTGCGCTTGCGATGACCATCGTGACTCCGGACGTTTTTTTGCGGTTGATCAGTTCTTCGACTTTGTGCCATTCTTATGAGTCTACTAGAATTATTACCGTATCCCCCGACCATGTCCAGACTACTCAACATTCAGCCACACTACATCACGAAGTCACAGAGAGTCAACCACTCGCCCGAAATATCTGCCTCGGCATACCGTAGGGCTTCAAGTAACTCCGGGGTAGGTTTTAGCAGAGAGGCCGTAGGAGTCTGAGTTCGTGCCGCTCTATTGCCTCGTCTAAGCGTCACAAATAACAGCGGCTCACTGGCCAAAGATATGAATTTACTTGGATAACAATACTAGTTATATGGGTATTTCTCACTCTTGAGTCTGGATATCGGGTGCGTCAACCGATAAAGGGCCCCAGTGAGAACACCGCGGACTCGAAGCTGAAAACGTCTACACCCGCTCACGTGGACACCGTGTAGCAGTGGGTTTCTGATCGACAGGTCTACCCCTTCTCGAACACTTTGCCGCTTCCAGCACCACCCTCGATATAAAAGACGAGCTGAAGCGAATCATGCCAGCTCGAGTTTCTCCTCCACTCCTTGGGTCAAGAGTCCTCCAGCCGTCGCGATTCCTCGTCGACAGTCCATCCCAAGCCAGCTCGTTCTCAATAACATCGGATAAATCCAACAAATAAACAGGCGATAGGCAATCATGTTATCTCTCCTCACGACACTGTTCTTCTCAGCCCTCTATGCCGTTGCGTTTGCTGCCCCGTCGCTTGTTAAACGTATTGTTGTGGACCCTCCGATTACGAGCCCTGATGCAAGCACTGTTTGGACTGTTGGAAGTTCGGTGACAGTGACCTGGTCAGTCTTTCCTTAGTTATCCGCTGAGGCGAGTGTGCTGACCATTTACGCTTTTGGTGCTGTACGCAGGAATACGTCCGTCATTCCCCCGGAGGCTCAGAACAGCACTGGGACGCTCGTACTCGGTTTCCAGACCTCGGATAGCGAGAATCTTCAGCTCGGTGAGTCATCTCACCTACTCATATTCTCTTCGTGCTTGTGGGTCGAGTCTGGCCATCCACCGTGTATCCCTTGATCGAAGCAACACAATGCGGTCTCCTGCAAGCCGATACACCCATATAGCTGTACGTTATCCAGATGCTGACCTTCTTTTGCCATCACCCAGATGACCCGTTGGCAAAGGGTTTCCTGCTCACCGATGGATCTGTCCAAATCACCGTCCCAGACGTGACAGAGAAGTCAAACTATATCGTCGTCCGTGCGTAATCTCTCACATTGTCAATACTTACCTTACCTTACCTTACCTTACCTTACCTTACCATGCACGTTGCTCAATCGCACACTCTTATAGTCTTCGGCGACTCCGGTAACGCAAGCCCAGAGTTCACCATCACCGGTGGCTCCCCTTCTTCGTCCTCCGCCTCCGACTCGACCTCCTCGTCTTCCGCTTCTTCGTCTATTTCTGGAGCCTCCACATCGACCGAGACCGTGGTTGCGACGACTGCCACGACTGAGACCGTTCCAACTACTACATCCACGGGTACCGCCGTCGTGGTGACCGCTACCTCCGAATCTTCTCTCTCCACCGTACTCTCCGCGTCTTCAACTGCAAGCGGAAGCGAGGCGTCCAGTTCATCAGCGGCGTCGATCACGACTGTCCTCTCCACTTCGACTGCGGAAGCCAGCTCGACAGCTTCTGCCGGAACGGCCGTGGCTGATTCGACGAATGATGGTCTGAGTGCGAGAGCTCATGGCCTCGGGATGCCGTTGGTGGTGAGTGGGGTGGCGGTGATCGTTGCTTTTGTTCTTTGAGACCGAGATCGATGGGCTAAGGATCTCATTCAGCAGTGATCAGTGGGGAAGGAAGGGTGACGACGTCGGCATCATTTCACGCTACGCAGCTATGAAAGGTGGCGAGCCATGACGCTACATAACGATCCGACTTTTACGGTATCACACACAGTGACATGCCATGATTCCATGAACATACTGACTTCTGGCTTCTATATTACGATGTTGATTGCGACTTTACCTTTGATGAGACGCAGACCCCTTAATCCTGTTCGCACTGACAATTTGCCGTCCTCTTCCCTCCCTGCGTTGCTTTTCTGTTTGTCCGTTACGTGTGGGACTTGGAGCTGTTTGTGGAGACTGCGTATCTTGATACCTTTTCGTCTTGACTATGACTTGGCCGTACCGCTTTCTGTTGGCGATGTGTGTGGCGATGTTTTCCCTGTGCTCCAGCTTATTCGGACTCGGATTGCTATGACGGGACTTTGTGGTCAATTCTTCTCGTGTACATCCTCATACCTTTCGACCGCTTTTTCTTACCTGCGATGCGAACCATGACAGATAGTTTTGCTCGAGTCTGCGCCTTGTGTTGCGTTAAACTAGCTTCGCATGTAAGAAAAAATCGAGAAGATGTTGGTGGTGCACCGGAAAGAGCAGAGCGGCAGGACCGGCCCGCTCTGAGAAGAAGCTCAACCATGCCAAACAACGCGAACGCGTAAACAAACGCGTTGAAGTGCATGCTGCACTTTCCTTTTCGGGACGCGCGAGACGACACGCGAGCAAGCGCTCAGCCGTCGCTCTCGCCATCTCCCTCTCCCTCCATCCCCCTCCGCGTCCCGCACACCCCATATCACCCCCAACTCTGCTATTTTCTTTTTTTTCTCTAACTAAGTGCGGGACCTCATAACGACTTGTCTTATCATCACTCTAGTTCGCTTTTCTTTGCTTTCGTCGCTCTGCACATCGCGTCTCCATCGTCATGACTCTCCCGACACCCCCAGGAACGTCCCATCGAGGCAAGGAATGCATGTATACTCCTACCAAACCGCGCGTAGTCTGGTCAAAGACCAACAAAACACACAGCATCGTGTCATCGACTCCTCCACGTCTCTCCGTCACTGCCAGCGCGTCGAAAGGCACACCGAAGAAGTCCATCCTAAAACGACCTACGACGCCCATCCTACCTCTCCTCTTCGACGAGCCTCGAGAGTCTACACCAGAGCCTCAGGATCCTGCCAGCGACAGCAGGTATCTCGCATCGCCCGTATCGACCATCGTACAGCCCGACTCAACATTACGTGAGCTGATCGAGGCATATTCCGTATTGACTGCCCGGCTCCGGTCAGCCCTTCTCGAGGGTGAGGGCGAGGGCGCGAAGCAGGCGGATTGCTCCTGGCCATTATTCCTGCCGCTGCGACGTAACAAGAGCGCGTTTCTCGTCGCAGTGGAACGCGATCTTGGCAGAGCTCTTCAGGATCCTTTCGCGAATGGGGTCGTCGCAGACGAAACCGAAGAAGAGTGTGTGGAGGAGAAGTCGGGCCTGCCTTCACCCGTGCAGAGTCCTAAGAAGAAGCGGGGTATGAGTGCGGAACGGGTGAAGTACGCGAGGGATCTGTGCACCACTACGCATTCGGTGCTCAAGTTTTTGGCACTGATCTTCACGATGCCGTCGATATACCAGTTGTTCAGCGGTATGCATTTGAAATTGCGCAACTTTACTTTTTCCACTAACTGTGTCGCGTAGACAAGGAGCTGAAAGGAATGATGATTGGTGTCCTTGCTATTCCCCTCGCTACCGTGATCCCAACTCCCAACGCCCGGAAAACGTGCGCGTTGGCGATCTGGCTCATCCAGACACAGCGACTACCCGCAGAGGTCCTGTCCCGATTGAGAGACAGAATCGGATACGCTCTACGCCGTGCGATCGAGGGCGAGCTAGGCAAGGAAGGAAAGAAGGGCTCAGTCAGTGATGGTCTCAAGGTGCGCTTTTCGTTCTTTCGTGTTTAGTATGCCGCTTACAGGTGCTTTACAGGCAATTCACGACTTGGCCATGTATGAGCCGAGTATCTTCGTGCCTGTTTTCTCTGTTTTCATCGACTCAATCCTTGCTGGCTTGCTTGCCCCGACAAGTCCTATCCGCATGCAAGCCTGTCATGCCCTCGGTGGCCTCGCTTATGCTTCGACTCGCATCCCCGTCACCAGTCAGCACACGTACATGTCGGACGCCGTGTACGAACTCCTTCGTCCATCTCCTCAACCTGACGCCAATAAGACTCCCACACCACCGGGCTCACCTAGTAAAGACCCTCCGATTATCCGTACACTACGAACAACCCTTGGCTCCGATGACCCTCGTGTTGTGGCCCACGGACCCGTCTGGGCTCTAAGCGTAATAGCACACTTCATCATCCTCCTCGGGCCCGCATTGCGCATGAACAAGTCTCTCCAGGGCATCATCTCAGCTCTCCTCTCGGTCGCGATCAGACACCCCCGCAGCTCTGTCAAGTCCCTCGTTTGCGTCGTGTGGCGCACCATCGTCTGGTCGTTCTTCCGCCCGGCACCCGTTTCAATGGGGGCAGATGGTGACCTGGAAGCCGGAATGATGGCGAAGGATTATGATGGTACTGACGACGAGTTGGACCTGTGTGGACTTTTGGATGCTCTCTCTCCCAGAGAGAAGAAGGTGAGGGAGTCGTATTGGAATGCTGTGAAGGCTATCGTGGAATGGGGCTCGGGTGTAGCCACTATTGGCTCATTGCTCCATCTCCGGTCGGACGAAGAGGAGGACATGAAGAAGGTGATGAATGTGCTCAAAGCATTGGCGAAGAAGAGTGGTTATTCCGCACACGACGCGATCGACCTCATGCGCTTCTTGCTCTCCGGCTTCCACAAGCAAAAGGAATCAGACCCGGAGGGTTGGCAGTGGAGCAAGCTGCTTCCTGAGGGCCTGTTCAGTGCGAACCCTGGGCTGCTGACGGCAGATTTCGAGACCCTCGAGGAGACGGTGAGGCCGATCGTGGAAGGGTTCGAGTTGGCTCCAGAACATGTCAGGCCTTTGACGGCGACGGAGTTGAGCTTTGGAGGAGTTTGGGAGGATATGGTCGAGGTCTGGCTGGAGATGATTGAGCAAGTTCGGCTGGAGGAGCAAATTAGGCTCAACGTAAGTGTTTTCTTGTCGTCTTTCGTCATCGAGGTGTCGACTTACCTGGATGTATGCGTTACAGTCTGACCTTCGTGAGGTCTGGAGGGGCCTTCTGAAGTCAAGAGTACGTATAGCGACAGGTACGTAGTCGATTTTCCCTCTCGAAGAATTGGCCACTCATGTCCCCTTCCTTTGATAGATGAAGGAAACGACAGCGAACTGGCACAGTTGGCCGAACGCGTCGCTGCCATCCTTATCCAGCTTCTCAGTGATGACCGATTCGAATACAAGGTGGCGCCGAACGCACACAACGCCACACTCTCCGGTCGTCTCCGTTCTGTAGCCGCCAGCCGTCTTTCAGTCGTTCGCGATCTCTTCGTGGTCGCCGCCCACATCATTCCTCAGTCCGAGCTGCCTATCACCACCCGGGCCCTTGTTGCGCATCTAATTGCTCACGAGAGCGAGCTTGTATGGGAGGATAATCACCCGAACGATGCGAGGACACAATGGACCCGGTTCTGCGTGGAATTGTTGTCGTGCTGTGAAGCAGAGGTGTTCGATGAGTTCTGGAGCGTGCGGACCGCGAGCAGGAAAGGGTGTGGGGTGGCATGGGAGTGGGACTCGGGGACGAGGGCGTTGGTGTGGAGGAAGTTTGTGAATAGGTGGATGCAAGTGTCATTGGATTATGAGAGCGCGCTGTGTTTGCTGGGAGTACCGCTCAAGTGCGTATTGATCACTCGTCATCTCCTGGATTTGTCATTGATTTATGGATTCATTTTAGTGACGTGTGCGCGTGGGAAATGAGCGTCAAGGATGTCGAGCAATGGGAGGCTGGTCTGAAACACTGCATCGACCTTGCCCTCGACCGAGAAGAGAAGGAGCCTTACATCCTTCTCGATCGTCTCGCATGGATCATCGGCAGTATTCACGTCCCCACCACTCCCACATCCACCCGAATCGCCGATATACTCCTCACCAACTTCGAAATCAACGAGAGCACGACCGAGTTGCCTATGAAACTATTCGAACTCGTGAGCGACACGCTGTCGAGCACATACCCTCCTGAGCCAAGGAACAAGACCGTGTCATTCTGGCTGATCAGGACAGTTACCCGTATAGCGGATAAGTGCCCGCCCGCGTTGTTGGGGGATGTTTTGAATGCGCTTCAGGAGGGTGTTGCGATGTGGGTGGCGGATGACTATAGGGCTCTTTCGTTGGATGAATACGCGATGGATGTGAGCATTTCTGCACTGGCCTGATTGTGTTTTTCTGTCGCTGATCCTGATTCTCAACAGGTTCTTCCGATGTACCAGACTATGGTGGCCGGCCTTCAGCTGTCACCGCCATCCGTCGACACGCTCGAGTCCCTCACACAACTACTTGAATCACCCTGCCTGGGCCGGAACGACAAGCCTGAAGGCCTTGTCCAATGCTTCCAGGATCTCTGGATCGCGAAATACGCAGACACCGCTCCTCCTGAGAGTTGGAAGGGCGACTTCCTGGCATGCATCCAGCCACCAACCGTCGATATCGCGGAGGACCTAGAAGACGTATTCAACGTCCACGCCACCCCGCGGAAGATCACCTTCGCACTCCTGCCAACGACTCCCAAGTCCAGTATCTCTCGGGCATCATCGCCTCCATGTCGTCCCTCAAGGTCGTTTACCGCTTCCAGCTCCGCAAGCGTTCTGTTCTCTCCGACTTCACCTCTCGCGTTCGCCACCGGCCGTTGCGTCACACCGCCTACCACGCCTCCGCGTCACCGTTCCTCTACCGTCTCTCCACGGAAAGAGAACAAGAGCAAGAACAAAGAAAATATTTCGCCTTCTGGCAGGCCAGTCCCGGTCACGCCTGTTGCTGCAGGCCGCGTGGCAGTCATGCCAAAATCGCCTGGTGGTTCTGCTCTTGGCAAACGTCCTCGCAATAGTTTAGATGCCGACGAGTCACCCTCGAAGAGGGTCAGGGATTCAGCATTCTCTCGTCCGCCTTTGACTCCTTCGGGACCAGTTCGCCAGGCTGTGATCGACCCAGATGACAGCGACGAAGAATGCAATGCCGTCGAGAACACTCTGCTGGCACCTGCTAGCCCAAACACGCCACGGTTCCAAGCAGAACCGAAGTCCATACCCGCCCCTAGGTTTTACGATACCACACCGACGGCGAAGCGCATCCACAACCACCCACCGACCTCGTCTTCTCCAACACCGACTGCTTCGAAGAAACGGACGCGAACGGTCATGGAGGCGATCGAGCTTCCGTCGCTCATGCAGATACGCAGCTCCTTCCGCGGCCGTACGACCAGCCTGAACACGGCACAGATGACGATTGGGTCCCATGGACTTCGTCGTGTTAAGAGCTTTGGTGTGCCGGCTGAGACTACAGCAGAGCCATTGATGTTGTCGGCGAGTACGGGGTTCGTTCAGCACAAGCGCATGAAGACGGACGAGAGCTTTACTCTTCCGTCTTCGCCACTACGTGCTCTTGAAAATGCGGAAGCTGCGGGTAGCGGTATGTTTAACGTCCTCCTGTCTTTCTTTCTTCGTGAGCTCATCGTGATTCGTCTCCTGTTTAGATGACTCCATGATGAATGTCGCTATCCGTCCCACACTCTCCAATACTCGGACATCTCTCGATGATCTGTCTTCCGATGACGACCCTCACTACGGCCAAGTCACGCCACACCATCTTGTCTCTCCCGCGATGCGTCGTCAGAACCACTTGAAATTCGATTTCATTACCTCGGACCCACCAAGCGATGATTCGAACGCCTCGCTGGAGAGCCCGACGAGGGATCATGTAGCGAAGAGGAGGGAGAGGTTGATGGCGATGTCGTCGTCCTCACCGCCAGCAGTCGTGGAAGATGCAAGGAGAAGGGTTGGCTTGCCTCCGAGCAGGTTGACCAAAATGTTGATGAGTTCTTCGGACGCGGCGGATCAGGATGCATAAGATGTTAGTGAACAGTTTTCTGGTCCTGTTTCTCCTCTGTTACTCTGCGTCTGATTTGTTTATACGGTATTTGTTTTCTCCCTTTTGTTCCCGGTTTGAAGTTGTGGATTTCGCCTTTCGCTGTGCATCTCATCACATTTGTACTAAAGTTCAATATCCCGGCCGCATACATACACACATCGTCGTCATCCTCACATCGATCTATCTTGTTGTCTTCGTCGCAACTTAGACATTTCTGCGTTCATGTATTACTTACCAGGCTCACGCAAGGACCTACCTTGGCGCATGCCACTACATCGATACTCTCCCCGAATCGCAATCAAACAACAGTCCTATCTTAGCTGAGGAAAGCGTGAGATATGGCGAAAAAGAATGCTGAAGAGGAAATCTGGCGGTAGCAATGTGGCCTTATTGCTGGCGCGAATAGTCAGATTGGCCGCCAAGCTCCGGGTCCGGCTGTGTCCTTTGTCACCAGCCGCATTCGAGCCGCCTTGACTCAACTTTGAGTCTCGCAACCACGATGGACTCGACCTCTTTCTCAGATGCTCGCCTTAGTACTTACACCTTCTGCACGAGAACAGACTGCACGCATGGCTCACGAGGATTTCATTTTGCGGGAAGGGTTCGACTTCCAAAATTTTAGCCGTGGGCGCGACTCGGAGAGACCATCATCGAATTAAAACTCGCGACACATCACCCTATGCACATCGTCTCGAAGTACATTGCCTATGCTCGGACGACTGGCCTCCAGTTTTTCTTCCTGCGAAAACAAAACAATTAGATTGTATTGCGGCGGATTCTGAACCTACCTTGATCCCTTATGAATAAGGCGTCTTTTACTTCTGAAAGAGCCTTAGGAGCGTATTCATGTGTGAGCACTGTACCACCTTTCCTTGTAATGATCCGCTGATTCATGTCCATTTATGCACCATATGGAAAGTGCGCTGTATCTCTATATTGCGGCTCATCTGTTTGATTTCAAAGATCCTCGGTGGTTGCACTGGGCTATCAACCCGATGATCTCTAAACCTCTCCGACCTTGACTCTACCCTACGAGGGCTCTGGAAAAAGATCACACAGTGTCGAACTCAGCTTACGGTCTAGAATTTGGGCTATTCCCCGCTAGCAAATACGGTCCAGGCACGTTCGTTCAATCGCGTGATTGCCTCGTACATACGCGTACGTCCAGTAAAAAAGTTACATTGCATTCAGACTGAATCATTGACCCCTTCGTTCATAGTTGCACGAACTGTGAACACTTGTTCTTTAATGTCGTCGATAATTGTTGCTTTGTTTATGAGGTGCTGCTATTGTCGCAGATACCACGGTATAGCACCTCTGGGTTCAACCAGCTCTGGGTCCCGTGCTACTCTAGCGGTGCGGCCCTCCGTCGTGATTACAAGCCTGCACGTCTTACTGTTTCTGCCGTTTACGTTCGCGGGAGGAAGTGCACTTACCATGACATAAATTATGCATCTTTAGAGTCACTTCGAGGTCGGCGGCGGCAGCCATCTGCCCTCATAAAGCGGGATACCGTGGTGGACATCCTTGAATCCACCTTCATCCTTCATTCGCGCACTTGGTCCTTTAAAGCCCTCATTCTATGGCAACTCTGCAAGAGGTCGTGGCAGAGACGGCAGAGACTAAGGAGTACTCGGTGCCGGCGTCGTTCGAGAATCACACTCAGAACATCGAACTCGATACACTACCCTCATTGCCTCCTACAGCCTCACCATCCGACCTGGAGCAAACCTTTCACGAGAATACTGACACAACTGTTACCAGGAATGAGATATCTCATGCACCAGTTGACGGAGGACTTGAGGCGTGGTCTTTCGTAGGCCAGGAACCCTCTATTGGCAGTGATGGTGGCTGACTGTGCGATGCTCTCTTAAGTTGGCTGCTGCGTTCGCCGTAGACGCTATTGTCTGGAGTTTCCCTTTCGCCTTCGGGGTTTTCCTCTCCGTATACCTCAAGGATCCGAGGTGGATTTCCCAGAAGCACGCGTATACTCTGTTGCCCTTGACGGGGACGTTGTCCACCGGACTCATCTACTGCTCAGGTACGTTGCTCAGGCGTAATAAATTTTCATACAGAGCAATACACTTCTCACTATATTGACTCCTTTCAGGTGCATTCATCAATCCTCTTCTGGGACGATATCCCCAGTATCGCAGGATGGCGATTTGGTGTGGCGCTGTGATATGTGGCTCTAGCTTGCTTGCGGCTAGCTTTGCGTCAGATGTGATTTACCTTGTTGTGACTCAAGGCTGTCTTTATGGAATTGGGGGTGGTGAGTGAATTCTTGATTGAAATTTCACTGTCAATTGATCATAACTTCCGGTATTCCAGGGCTCACTTATTATCCGACTCTTTCTTTCATGCAAGAATGGTTTGTCAGGCGACGAGGTCTCGCGAACGGAGTCATGTTTACCGGTTTGTCTCCTTTTGTAACCAACGACGGCCAGTCACTGACTGGCCCTTCTATTCCCTAAATCTTAAATACTAGGCACCTCCATAGTCGGCCTCTTTCTTCCCCTCGTCCTCCCTCGTATCATCAGTTCTCACGGAACCTCTTTAACGCTTCGCTATTTTGCCATATCAATATTCGTCGCCCTTGCCGTCGTCGTACCATTCATCAAGCCACGCCTTCCGGTGCAGACAGTGCATGGTCCTAGAACGCGCTCCTCGGAGAAGCCTTGGCTCAAAAATTGGACGTGGTGGTTTGTACTTCTCATGAACACGGTGCAAGGTTTTGCGCATTTTGTCCCGGTCGTTTGGTTGCCTAGTACGTCAGAGCCGTTTCAACCGTTTAGGGTACGTATCATTGGTTCTCATACATTTCTCATGGTAGCGTATACTTCTGCCCTGAACGCCTCTGCATCAACCGCCTCTCTTTCCCTCGCACTTCTCAACGGTGCGTTGACCGTCATCTCATTCTACCATCATTCTTAGACTAACATTTTCGCCCATCAATTGAATAGCTGCAACTGCTATAGGTCAATTCTCCATGGGACTTTTGTCCGACCATTTCTCTCCTTGGCCTCTTGCTGCAATCACCCTATCCTGCTGCTCTTTGGCGACATTTATTCTGTGGGGAGTTGCAGGATACGCCGTCGCAGGGATACTCGTGTATGGTACATGCTTCGGGATCCTAGTAGGCGGTTTCAGTTCGCTCTATACCGGCTTCGTCAAACCTATTGCTAGTGAGTCGTGTCTTACTTATGCTATATTTATACTGATAACTACTCGTCGTAGAGGACGACACCTTGCTTTCCGTTCAACTGTTCGGCTTGCTTCTGTTTAGCAGGGGGCTCGGAAACGTACTTTCGACCCCGATATCAACAGCTTTGTCGGCGTCCACGCACATTATCGCACACCAAAGAACTGGATTCGATGTCGATGGCGGGAGGTACGAGAAGATGATCATATACGTGGGCTCATGTCTTGCTGGTGCGGCTGTTGTGGCGCTTGGAGGATGGATGAGAGAGAGAATAGGTCGATGATGAGTCGAAGATGCTTATTAGTTAGACGGCGTTCCAGCGGAACGCGTGGCTTCACATCTCCCTGTTGAAATTTCGATGCCGATCGCTTCAAACACGCCAACAAGCTGAGAGTGGCGAGCCGTGTGGCACGACTCAAATTGGTGCGCGGTCTCCTGGCTCCAGGGCCCGGTTTTATTAGGGCCTGCTTCTTTGTTTGCCACCGGCTGCCTCAAAAGTTGACTCATACTTACTGTATGGTGAGTATCACGAACACGATGGAGCCTACACTGGGTTTCCTCCTCGCTTTGCGCTTCCCTTTGTACGACAACAATGTCTACAAGCACCAGTGACTCTTGCGGCCAATGGTCGACCGCACTCAACGACGGCAATGACACCATCGAGCTCGCGACACAAATTCCTCTACCTCCCTCGTCTTCTACTCTTGGAGGAGCTTCCTCTCTTTCTACGTTTGCGAGCGTAGAAACCGAGTCGCAGCCCGGCACAGATCTGGATGCCAGAAGTATGAGAAACGAAGTCAATCTTGCTCCTGTCGATGGAGGCCTTGGAGCATGGTCTTTCGTGCGTTAACGCTGTCGCACTTTTTATGCAATAACCCGATGGCTCATATATGCTTGTGCTTCTTACCGTTGTTTCCAGTTAGTGGGTGCTTTCGTCATCGAGCTCATCATCTGGAGCTTTCCGTTTGCTTTTGGTTTCTTCTTGTCGGCCTATCTTGAAGACTCCCACTGGAAATCTCAGAAGTATGCGGAGACTCTGCTTCCTCTCGTCGGGACACTGTCCACAGGCTTGATCTATTGCTCAGGTTGTGTCAGGCCTTAGTATCTGTTTCATTGATATTTTGATTGACTGTGTGCGATTATGATTGGGTTTAGGTGCATTTTTGAATCCGTTATTGAGCCGTTATCCCCACTACCGCAGGATTACGATGTGGCTTGGAGGCGCTTTATGTGGTCTGAGTTTACTTGCTGCCAGCTATGCAACGAAGGCAAGGCTTCTCATGTTTGCGTCGGTGTAAAGTCGGACCCTCCTCACTTTAGTCTCTGATAGATTTTTCAGCTTGTTATAACACAAGGATGCTTATTTGGCCTAGGCGGAGGTTCGCTCCTTACCTGGAGCCTATGCACTACCGTAAATTTCTGACATTGATCTTCCCACCACAGCGCTCGCATATTACCCTGCTCTCTCGTACCTCCAGGAATGGTTCGTCCGACGCCGCGGTCTCGCTATTGGAATTATCTTTGCTGGTGTGTCTTTTACGGTGCCGCTAACAATGCTACCTGTCCCTAGTCCTACTCACGATGTTTTCTACAGCTACTTCCGCAGGAGGTCTGGTCCTACCTCTAGTGCTCCCTTACGCCATTCGCACCCATGGAACATCTACAACTCTTCGATATATCTCCATTATCACACTCGTTTCACTAGCTCTTGCCCTTCCCCTCATTCGACCGAGGCTTCCTGAGAATAGGGTACACGGCCCTGGCAGGAGATCCAATGGTAACAGACCTTGGCTTAGGGACTGGAGTTGGTGGATTCTCCTGTTGGCAAATACATTGCAAGGCTTTGCGCACTTCCTTCCGATTATATGGTTGCCTAGTCAGTGATTTACTACGGCTATTCTTGTGTACCATCGCTGAATGGCTGATACGACCATGGCTCTAGCATTTGCATCGGCTCTGAACGCTTCATCGTCAACGTCGTCGATATCCCTTGCTCTACTCAATGGCAAGTCACCTTCACCGTCGCCTTATTGATCCTATGACCGACCGTCATATCTTATTGATAGGTGCAACTGTCTTCAGTCAACTGGGTCTTGGTCTCCTGTCCGACTACGTCTCCCCATGGCTGCTCGCATCTCTCACACTGTCCGCCGCCTCTCTCGCCACATTCATGTTCTGGGGTGTGGCGGGACATGCAGTTGCCGGCCTGTTCGTTTTTGGTGCGACCTACGGCCTATTAGCAGGTGGGTTCAGCTCGCTGTACACTGCGTTCGTGAGACCTATTGCAAGTGAGAATATCTTTTCATGCGTTTCTGGGACTCGGAGAATGTTAACCGGGTTTCGTATATGACAGAGGACGACGTGTCACTTTCGGTCAATCTCTTTGGCATCCTGCTCTTCAGCAGAGGCCTCGGAAACGTGCTTTCCTCCCCTATCTCTACGGCTTTGTCGGCTTCGACACATTTTGTCGCTCACGAGAAGACGGGGTTCGACGTAGATAATGGGAGGTACGGCAGGTTGATCATATATGTAGGAACTTGTCTTGCAGGGGCAGCGATGGTGATGTTGGCAGGATGGATGAAGGAAGTCACCCTGACGAATACGAGAAGCAGACAGGTCTAGGTAAGTATACAATTCGTCTTCGGAGATTTCTGTTATACTTACAGGTCTTCTTCAAAGTCTCAGCTCTTGCCAGCTACCATGCTAGGAGATAAAGGGAGGCGTGAATCCACGGTTCAGCCGTTGGTCATATTGTCCGGCGTAGCACGTTTCGAAAATCTGTGTATGATGCGGTAATTGACATTCATGCTGGTATCATACACACAAGCGAGCAATCCGTCCTATTGAAAACAACAATGCAGGCAAAAAATCAAGCCCCGGTCATCACCAATATCCCAGCGAGAGACCATCAACGACACATATGTAAGCAGAACTCATCGCTTGAGCTTCCACATGCCTCCAGAGGCTGTAACAAGCCCCTCCCTGGCTGCAGCATCCATGAACGCAGCGATCTGGTCCGGAGTTCTATCATATCCAGGCGCGAGCTTCAACATCGTATGGATCCTATCAATCGACGCGGACCCGTAGTTGGTGAGAATACCCTTGATAAACTGTTTGCAATGATACGTGGTTAGTTAGATGTTGTGGCTACATTAAGGAAGGAAAAGAGACAATAAATTGAATAAAAGACGAACCTGCCAATACACCTTCATCTGCTCTGCCTGCTGCTGCTGAACGGTGACCACAGGAGGTTGCTCCTCTACGACAGGTCTCGAGCCTGGAGGCTTATTGGCTTCGCCACTGCTGTCTGCTGTCTCGAGTAATATAAACTTCTCGCCTTCGTGTTCTTTCAAGACGCCCCGATCGACCCATGCCAAAAGACCTTTCAACGCGGCCGTTCGATCTGTAGAACCTACGCGCGCCACCAGCTCGTCCACGGTCCAAGTACCTAGCATCAATGAAGACATTAGTCGGATGCATGGACATGAGTATAGGTTGCCATTATCAGAACGCACTTTTCGCGGAAAAGAGTTCAATGAAAGCGGCTTCTAGGGGAGGTACATTCGCCGAGATGGTCCGATCTTCTAGCTCGATCTCTAGCTGTATCGTGCCTAAGTGGGGCAGCCAGCGAAGCCTCTTATCCGGTTTAAACCTTGCGTATTCCTGCGCATATCCTGCTTGAATGCTGGAAAATGCTTTCGATCAGGAATACTGCCTTGCAGTGGTAAAGTGCAGAGGAAACCCTACTCTTTGAATTGTCCAGGCATCTCGAACAAGCTGGCTTGCAATGGTGGCCAGAAGTGGCGTGAGATAATGGTTGGATGCATGATGGACTATGTTGAAGATAAATATCAGATTGTGCGCGGTGCAGGATGATCAGGCTAAACACCTCCTTCTGTGACTGAACATGCTGATCTATCCTGCGAGAGTCCGTCATATCCTTCAACATGACCTCGCACACCTGCAGCGGAGCTTCACCAAAGCGAATCTTGAGGATTTCGATATTCCGACGCTATATTACATGATGCCATCATAAGTAAAGTGCTGATGGGCGAGAGACAAATCCTTCACCTCTTTCTCGAAGTTGCCGTCTGTGATAGCCAAAAGGCGTTGAGCGAGCAGAACCTGTAGCTCCTTGACGAACAGATCTTTCGAGTCGTAGATACTGACAAGTGTGCTGATCACGTCACTGGGCTTGTTCGTGCGGAAATCTATACCACGATCCAATCAGTCGATCCCTTGGCCCATAATAAGAGACCCAAAAAAGAGGAAATCTACCTGGTCCTGCATCAATAGGTTCTGGTTCCCAGTTGGGATCCATATAGTCATCGACCTGGACGCTCTGTAGAGGTTGTATTGGCTCGTTGTCATCGATGAGACTCTCGCCACTCTCGCCATCTCCGACGAGGCTCGCCACAATCGCCCTGATGGTGTCAGGTCGATCACTTTCCACGGAGGATGGTCAGCGTGGTCTTGCAATGGTTTGTTCGTGAAACTGAATACATACCGAAGGTAACGTCGTATAGGATCTGCTACTTTGAACAGTAGTACGCCAGGTGGATCGACTATACGCAAACATCGGATAATGGACACGTATTGGGTCAGAATATCGCGTGTATCTGCACCGGGATGTAACAGCCGTCGTTTGTTTCTGAAAGTAAATAGGGAGAATAAGTAACACAGTAACCGGAATGTGAGGGTGAAAGCACGTACGCCCGCCGTAGCGAGTTGACCAGATGTGAGCGCTGGTCGACTCGCTGGAGGCACTCCTGCGAAAATCCTTTGATGAGCCCCATGTTTATTTCGGCTAAGGAACGACGTATACCTTGAGATCCTGTAGTGCACTTGTGGATTCTGGGTAGTCGACAATGATGTCGAACATTTCCTTAGTCCTTTCACATAGTCAGCATGCCAGTTTCGATGAAAACAAAAATCGTTGATACCTAAGATCGCAAAGCGTCTTGCAAACATGGAAATCGAATCTGGAGCCCACACCCTGCAACATGGACTTCGCCTCCTCAGCTTCCAACCCATAGATTAATCACTGTGGCAGCAGAGCAAACTTGAGAAGACCCTTACCGCTTTTAGCACCTCGTGCGTAAGGTAGTAACATCCACGGCACAACTTTCTCCGCCATCCACCCCCTCAGTTTCGACAGCATAGGCTCGTCCCACTTGCCTGCACACGTGTCTGAGACATGCTTCTCTATATGTTCATAGCAGACGCTCGCAACGAGTGACTCATAACGATCAACGAGCCCAAGCAGCTCGAACGAATACCACAGCTTATCGTGGTGCACAGATGGTGGAATGTTCGGTGAATCCGGATCGGTTAGTGCAGTCAATGTTGCGGCGATAAGCCGCTTGAACCCGCCTGCGAATGTTGGTGGTAGGATCGAGGATATGTGTGTTTGGAAACTAACGGTGTAAGCGGAGGTGATGGTCTGGCCAAGTCTATTTAAACAGAGCATTAGAAGTGTCGGAATTGACAGAGGCGGAGAAACTCACTCGCTACCGGGGGCCCATGCTCTGAACCACTCTGCAACTCGAAGAACAAGTCGCCCAATGATGTCAGGATCTCCTGTGGCCTGGTTCGACACATACCGCCATCAGTCAGATCCACCTTCCGTACATACAAGCACTCATAGCCTTGCCTCATACTGTGCCATTCGCTCTACAACATCTTGCGTTACGAGGTGCTGTCGTTGTCGCATGTTCTCTGCCACATTGCTTGAGTTAGTGACATGGCGTAAAGAGCCTGGAAGGACACACCGATGAAGCTCTCGAGAAGGGTGGGAAGCATTCGACATTTCGCGAGCACATCAAAGGCGGTCCTGACACGTCTCGAATCTTCCCATTTGTTTCAAACAGCGGTAGCAGCCAAAGAGAAGTACAACGCACTGAAGTCCTTTGGAGGGTCTCCCAAGTTTCGAGGGTAGAGAAAGTCGCTAGCTATAGTCCATGCCTTCGTACCGACACATGATTTGTCGTAGCTCTCAAATATAAGGGCCCGGGGCGTACCTCACTGAATGTCATAAGCCCAGTTATGCCAGGTGCGCCACGATTGAGGCGATTGAAGGCCTCTTGCCATTTAGCAGTGACCTGGGTACGAACGGCGTCCGAAGCCATGCCAAATTTCTGTCGGTCTCGATCTCGAGAACCTCTATCCAAATAAGAAGAAGCCCAAAAATACAAAAGAGAAATCCCAGCAGGACCAGAGCGTAGTGGTGGAACGAAAGTAGACGAAGACACGCGCCCACTGACAAGGAGGACGCGTAGAACGGTGCACGTGATGGACGCGACAGCTATGTATGACAGTGTGGCGTAGTGTGGCGACACAAGCGAGTAGCGAAATCCAGAACTTAGTTTGCTAATTCACTGTCAATGACTTGGTTATGGCGTCGACAAGTTCCTCCAAGGGTGTGCGATGTACCCTGATGATACCAAGCTAAGACACCCATGATTCAAGAAGGTCTTCAAGAGCGAGGTCACGACTGTGCATAAAGATAGACGCAAACTTGTAACCAGCGGGTCTACTGTACACTTTCATTCGTATATAAATATAGACGAAACAAGGAATAGCAATAATCAGAGCTATGATATGCGTCAGTGATCCTAATCAGCTTTGACGTGCCTAATAACGCTCACCTTCGTTTCAGGCGCGTCGGCATCACTGTGTATACCATGCTCTTTCGACTCCTCAGGCTCAACAGACGGTGAATCGACGTCTACCGCCTTTTCCTCCAGCGTAGAGACTCCCTCGGGTCCTTTTGTAGCGGCCTCATCTACAACTTCACCTTCAGCCCTGCCCGATATCTGCAACGCTCTTACGACATCCTCCGTCAGTCGCTCAACTTCGTCTTGCACCTTGACTTCCGGCTCCTGTTGTGTTGGCTCAGGCTCGGACTTCACGTCTACTCCTGTCTCTGTTTCCACAGATGAAGCCGTACCCTCCCATATCCTCATCAAATCTTCCTCCCATCCGAGCTCTTTGCATAGCTCTTTCACCATATCGTCGCACTTTCCGAGAAGAACGATATCGTTCGGCCGTCCGTCATACGCGAAGCTGCCGACGTTTTCAAGATTGATGAGAACTCTTGGACATGTCGAGTCCACCATTGTAGCAAGATTCGCGAACGGATGAACGGTAAGGGATGTACCCATTACGATAAGCAGGTCGGCCATGCGCAGCTTGGGCACTGATCTGTTGAATGACTCTGGGAGCTGCCACAACAGTATCCGTCAGGTCATGTATAGACGAAAGGCCTCGAAGAGTACTCACTGATTCTCCGAAAAACACGATATCGGGCTTGACCAGGCCGTCACACTTCTTACAGTGTGGAATATTGCCCTCTTGCACGAACCGCCTGATTTTGTCGTCAGGATATGATTTACCACAGTCGATGCAGTGTTGACTGGCGAAACTCCCATGGGCTTCGATGATTTTCTCGACTGGGACGCCGGCTCGCCTCTCGAGCGTGTCGATATTCTGAGTGAAGCACATCTTCAAGAGATTCTTGTCGGCAAGCAACTTGATGAAAGCATGGGAGATAGTAGGTCGATATTTTCCTGGATAGAGCTCCTTGGCAAGAGCGTAGACTGTATGACAAAGCGTTAGATTAAAACAAAACAAACAGTCTGGATGGCGGGTGAAAGTCCGTACATGGCTGTGGATTTCGTCGGAAGAAGTTTATTTCGAAGACGGCTTCGGGGTACGGAAGGTTGAGTCGAGCGAGGTTGGCCTAAAAGTATTTCGTTCATCCTGCTGTAGCAGTAATCAAATGGTCAATACTCACATACAAGCCTAAAAAGAGCCCATGGACATTGAGTGAGCGCTATCGATAGATCCAACAGCAAGCTTTCGCTTACCAGTATCGGGGGATCTGAAGTCAGGTATCCCGGCTGACGTGCTGATTCCTGGGTAAAGTAGATTGTCAGACGGCACTGTGAGACTTTAGATATAGTGTCATACCTGCACCTAGCTATGGCCACAGAATATTATGCATCAGACGATTAATAGTCACAGTGGAAAGAGATCACGAGGGATATTCACCATGAGAAATACATTCCGACAAGCGTCTGACTTGATATACTTGGCCAAGGATGAGATATCCTTCTTGTCGAACACTGAACTTTCCTCCTCATCAGAATCGGCTCCTTGCCCTTGACTGAACAATGATTGCAAGAGATCCATGCCACAATCCCTGCGTCATATTCGTGAGTACTATACAGTGGATCTATATCAAGTTGGTGAACTTAAAAAGGTATACTTACTTCGAATTCAAAATGACGAAAGTGTTAGAATGGGATTGTGCTAATAACTGTCCGTAAGCGCTGGGATCTTAGACGTTCGAACTGCGAACTCAAAGGCTTGAAGGGAGCAGGGTAGGTGATGGAGGCAATGACGGAGGTCCGAAAGCCCGTTAGCGCCACAGTTGCTGAACTGATGGCGATTTCCGGATGTTTTCCCGCCACTTACCGGTAGTGCGGCGCTCTCCCTGATCGTCCATATACTCCCAAAATAGCCCGGAAACTCCATCATCCTCTTTCACCACGATCCACCTTACAGACCGGCAAATACTTCCAGGCTCGAAACCTGAAGTCACAATGTTTGAACGCTACAGATCATTAACGGATGTTTTATATCAAGAACAATTCCAAAGCGAGTGGTAACATTTGCACGTAACAAAATGTTGTATGTCCATGCCGCGAGGCAAAACGAGTAACAAAAAGCGCGAACGCAAGTAAGAAGAAAAGTGATGCCAGTGTCCGAGAGGTGCTAGTAAGAGCAACAATGTCCGAAAGAATCACGAAAGCGGTTTCGTAACGCGCAAAAGTAAAGTGTTCGAGAGAACGAGACGAGAAACGAGTGGTTCGTGAAATTCGGAGATGAGCCTCTCATGAGAAGACCGGAACGACGGAGGTAGCAGATCATGCGTCAGAAGGAGCGGTAATAGAGAACTCGGGCGAGGCGTTACCCGAGTCACCGAAGACTGCGGAAGGTTTATATCAGCGTTCAATGATCAAGTTCAACGGGATTTTTAGTAGACGAAATATGAAGGGCTGAAACGACAAAGAAAGAGACGGTACTCACGGACAGCGAAGTAGTTGTCCTTGGGGGTAACATCGGGAACCGTGAAGGTGACAGTGCCCGCGTTGATGGGGAAGTTGAGTGCGAGCGGGTTGCCTACGAGACGATAATATGATCAGTCCTGGAGTAATGATACACATCATGAAGTAACGTACTGATGTTCAAGTTCTCGCTGTTGTTCTCGTTGTACCCGAGCAGGATCATACCGGTCGAGTCCTCTTTCTCCGCTGGGATGTCAGAGGTGTCCCAGGTGACGGTGGCGTTCTCGCCAGAGACCCAAGTGTCACCAGCGACGGGTGAGGTGACTGTGGGGCTCCAAACGATGAGGGACACGGGGTTAACGCGAGCCTTGATGGGCGTCGCGCTGACCATCGCAGCGGATGCGACAGCGACGGCGAGGGTGGAAAGGATGGAGGTGAAGGACTTCATGACGAAAATTGTGATGAATTTGGGGTATGTGGGGTGGAAAGAGCGTAAAAGAGCTATGTAGCGAGGGAGGGTAGGGAAACGAGATGGGGGGGAAAGGGAAATGGGAGGGCTGTTGGCAAGAGGGTTAGGCTGTTTAAATACGAAACGGGTCGCGCTTCCGACGCTAGCGACGGGTGATCGTATGAGGTGAAGTTGACAGGTGAATCCGAGCGAATCTGCTTCGAATCCTGTCTCGGGTGAACAGAGGATACTCGATGCTCGGACAAAGTAGTGACAGACGATACGACCTGTACCCTCAAATCTAGTCCCTGAAAAAATATACACCACCCTCAGCGTTTGCCTTGCAAAGGCGGCGTGTTCGCTGTGCTTATTTACCTCGCCACAAAGAAGCTATTAATGTGAGAATTGTGGAGACGAAGTCGCGAAGGGGACAAGGCGCGGCGTCATAGAAAATGCCCCACGGCGTCTGCACACGGCAGTCACGGAACGGACGTAAAACCACACTCATACGCGAATTCGAAATGGCGATCGCTTCGAACAATACGCAAATAGACGCAAATTCCACGCGAGCGGCCCGCGTCGATGTGGCGCCTCGGACCAAGTTCAAAGCGACGTGGCGATGTGAGTCGCACGACCCCTCGAGGTAAGTGCTCCGTCCTCGACACCGAGAAACCTCAATGATGAACTAAATTTAACCGACTATTCGCAGCGGTGCGTCGAAGGGTGATAGATGCTAGCCACAAGAGATGGTTCATAATAATATTCAATGCAGGGTATTGTGCCAAGTTTCCCATAAAACCCGCAGTCAAGGAATAAAACTCTACTATGTACAGAAAATCGTACCGATGTAGATACCTTCGTATGGCCCAAGGTGATCGATAATATTGCCTACGAAGATGTTCGGAACTTGCAGATCGGTGCACTGAGAATCGGTGCCATCATCGTCGCCTGCAGCCGACGTGAGTACATGGACCGTCGCTATGAGAATAAACTTAAGGTTACATACCTGCACAAGATACAGCGTCTCCTGCAGAAACGATATGCACTTCGGTCGCTGGGTGCTCGAACCCGAGGAATCGACCGGGAAGTGTAGGGATCAGGTCCAGCTCGTTGTTCACTCGAGTAAAGTCTGAGACCTTCGAGTCGAAGAAGGTAACGAAAGCTGGGTTACCGACCCGAGGGGTCCTATGATCGAAGAGATGTTCAAGTTGTCAGGACGAGTCATGGAATGCAGTATAATCTGTACGGGGAGGACAGATGGAACTTACCCGTAAGTGACACCCTTGATGGTCGTCCCGGTCGGGAGATTTAGTGACAAGAACAACGCATCAAGTTCCGCCAATGCGCCACCGAGTGAATGTCCGACCTTTTGAAAGGGTCGTTATCAGTGTTGGATGAAGGTGAATGAATTGTAGACATCAAACTTACAAGAGTGACCTTCGTCGCCGAGTGTTCCGACATCAAACTCTTCACCTCAGTCAAGATCGTAGCTGCCGTCTTGGCATGCTCAGCTGCAAACCCATTGTGGACTTCGACATCGCTCGAAACGCCAGGGAAGAGCGTAGAATCGAGGGTGTCGAGGGAAAAGTTAACGTCCGTGAGATCAGACTCACTGTTACGATGACAACCCGGCCGAAATGACATTATTACACGGTAAGACACCCAGAGAATGATGAGTGAAAGCATAAAACTTACAATTGAGTGGGATCTGTTCCTTGGTGGGCAACGACTACAGTGCTCTCGGATGGCCAATACCCAACAAAGTCTTCATATTTGAAGAACAGATGTCATCGCTAGTCAGACACACGTCTCGCTAAAAATGAATACCGCCAAGAAATGTAATACTCACAGAACTGCACGGCATCACCGTCTCCTCCAGTCAGTGTGGGCTCAAATCCCGGGAGTGCTGTGCATGCCTCTTCGCGATGCGGATCACAAATCAAATCACGAATCATGTATCATCATACATCAGAGTCAGCCACAACGAACCGAACAAGCGCGGCGCCACAAAGTACAATGGGCACGTACCTCCGCAGGTCCATCCGGTAATGACGCTCGGGTCACAATAGGCCGCTCTTGCGAACTGGGTGAAAGGCGTGAAGGCAGACAGTTGGCTGGACGTCAAAGTCGTGACACTGCGTGAGGAGATATCAACGCGAGCAATGTCGGTAGCTCCATTGCGAGTGCGAGGAGGAAGGGCCGCCGTGGACACTGCGGTGATCAACAACGCAACAAGAGAGGAAGAGGAGGAGCGAAAGAACATGGCTGAGGATTCAGAGCTGACCAAAGGGGCGAGACCGCAAGAAAGTGAAGAGGGAGTCGGACCACGGTGGAGGGGCAGCAGCTGGCATCCGCACTGCTACTCATCCAGGGGTGTGTGGGGTTTTAAGGAGATTCGTCTACAGCGGAGGAATGTTGCCTATGGGCGCGCATATGGCAGCGATTGGTTCGCCAACAGGGCTTAGGTACATCTTGGGTCACGCTAGCAGCGAAGGGACATGGTCGTTTAGATCAAAGTTGCTGTACATCCTCGATATTCGAGGGCGACGAACCGTAAATAACATATGATACCGAGCTCAGCTGAGAGTTTTCCCAGGTCCAAGCGAATGAGAGCTGGTGGATGCCTAACAGGTGACCACCAGCGGTGGTAACATGGCTAAGCATGGTTGCCTCAGATCAAGAGTGGGCTCGAGGTGCATTCCGAGTCTTCGCACTGGTCGTGGAAAGTAGAATCGAGGCACGTCGAAAGACTGACATGACTGGTCCATTCCGCACACTGTTATACCAAAGGTGGGGGCGCGTTCGCTACCACGCGGCTTCCTTCCTGGCTATAATGGGGTGGTATGTTGCCCGATTAAATCTGCGAGCACGAGGAACGTTAATGGATGCAAGTAATGTGATCAAGAATAGTTTTGAACTTGGCAATGATTCCTGGACAGTGAGGGTTTGAACCCTTTTGAAACCCCCTGAAAGCCCCCTGAAAGCATCCCGGAACCGCTGCTGCGCGAGGATAAAATCGACAGCTCCCAAAGCACGGGCACGCCTGAACATGACAGAAACCCCCAAAAAATCCCTTCGTGACCACTGAGAGTACTCGAAGGGCCTAGACGGAGGAAATAGCATAAGCTTACTATGGAATCCAGAAGTTCCTGCTGAAATTGAAGAAGCTCGGTGGGTGCGCCGGAGGTACTTTTGCTTGCCCGGCAGCAAGAGGCCCGCGGAGAACTATCGTGGCCGCTTCTGCAATAACAGCCAGTGGGCAACATCTGAGACAACCGGTGATTGGGCAGGATCGCTAGCTATAGTCGAGCGTACTTACGTCCTCTGTTGTGGTAGCGAATCAACGCAGGCCTGACCAGGAACAACGCAGGCCTGACCAGGAACAAGGAAGTCGGAGTCAGGACTCGGAGGACGAGGCACGTGCGTTTTGACTCGTTTCGATCTGAATATCATCTGATCAGCCTTATCTTACATCTAATCTAATCTCCCGGTAGTAAGAAGTGACACCCGACCTGATCATGAAATAAGTTGGATCCGGTGAAATGAACCGCCTGAGACGCAGCTAAGCACAATGCATTGGAGTCAAGGAGATATCGGTGAGATACATTCCAAGCCAGAGTGTATAACACAGCGAGTGCGAGCGATAGAGATGCGCGAGTGTAAACGAGTGTAAGGTAGTGCTAGTAGTACAGCAATAGGAACGGATCTCTATGGGTCGCGATGCAATGTCCTCGAGACAGAAATATACAGAAGTCCAACCGGAGACAATTAAGAACATAGTCAGGGTCCTTTTGGGTCGTAAATTGTGTCGTAATATGTCGTTGCGTTGCCTACTTCGTCTCATCGTACTCCATGGCGTCGGCGGGTTTCGTGGTGCTGTTGTGCACGATCGTGAATTCTGGGCTGGCGTTACCGGAATCGCCAACCACTATAAAACAAGGAAGTGCTGTCAGTCAGACATAGTCAATATGACCTAAGATAGACGCATTACTCACGGACAATAATGTAGGACTCAAGCGGGGGAACATCCGGAACGACAATCGTGTGCGATCCATCCCGCAAGTCGAAGCCGGTCGCGAGGGGGTATTCTAATGAAGGCATCAGTATGAGGTGGCGCATCACTCAGAGATAGCAGGAGTACATACTCGTATCAAGATTCTCATTGCTACCAGAGCTATTCATATGTCCCAGCAGCAAAGTACCTTCATAACTTGTAACTTGATCCGGCTCAGCCGAAGTATCCCTAATCCCCCAATAGTTGTCAGTGAAATGAGATCGAAGCCAAGGATGAAGAGAGCTAGCTGGACAGAGAACTAACCAAGTCACAGTGAACGATTGACCGACTTGCAAAATATCACCGGCGGTGGGACTCGTGATTGGCGGAGACCAAACCTCTCGCTTGAACATACTCATGTCTCGAGGTGTGGTGACTGGGGCGGCGGAGATAAGATTTGGAACGGTGGATGCCATCAAGGCACCAGCGACAAATAGCGAAGCCACAGCGGATCCAAAGGAAGTGTAGAATTTGGTCATCGTCGGAGTGTAGGCGAAAGCAAGGCTCGATGGAGTTTTATAGACGTTAAAATAGGTGACCAGCACGAGGTGTAAAAGAGGAGATGGTGGAAACAAGGAGAGGGAGAGTAGTGAATGTCCAGATAGGTTGAGGGAGCGAACGGCTTTATAGGTTGAAGGGTGACGGACAGATTAGGACCTAGACTGACAGACACCGACTGAGGCAGAGCAGGACGTCCGGGCGATGTGTCACTGTCGCAGAAAAGCGCTGTCCTTCGTGTCGATCAAAGATGAGGTCACTGAGTTTCAGCCGTGCTTGAGATGCTGGAGAAGACGAGCGTAGCAGAAGTACAGGAAGTCTAAGACAATGTGAGGTATTCCCGAGTTGAGACAAGGTGAGCCCAAGCTGATAGGCCAGTTATCGAGACTATTACTGGGCGCTGTGGTCCTGCACAACCTTGAGGGAGATTTTTCGGGAAAGACGTCAACGAGTTGAAAAAAATAGGACCGGAGACGGAGGGGGTAGGCTGGCGGGAGGGAAGCACTGTGCAAGCGGCCACTGGCTTGACGAGGACAAGACGAGGACGACGAGGGACGACGATGATGCGCGCCAAACTAAAGCGCGGTGTGACCATCACGTCTAACACGTTCTGTCACGCGTCAGGAATTTAATCTCCGCTTGATTAAATTCGCGTGTCTTCGTTGAACGATCTGATTTCCGAAGTATTCTCGTGTCTGTGAAGTTGAACCCATGCAGGCGACACATTTTCCCACTTACCTCCGCCCTCGCCTCCCATCTCGACGCATCTTCCGTGGATAAGCTGGATAGCGTGTCCACTGTCTATCCACGTTCTTCGTCTCCCTATTCTTCTTCTGCGAGTCTCAGTCTTGTTATGCGCTAAGACACACGACGACCACCATCTCACAACTTCCTTCTGTAAATATGGATTCCGCACCTCTCCCTACACGACTTTTCAAATCAAGTACACCGTCGTTTCATCCGCTGAACAACGACAGATATCGCCAACTCTTCCTTGATCCTCTCCACACGCTCCTTTCGTCTGACAACCATCAGTCTTCTAACGCCACAATTTGTCTGCATGACATCTCAGAGGCGTATCACACCCTCATGAGACGAATCCAACAACATTGCTCCTCCCTCGGTTCGTCTTCGGACCACTTGCCAGCGCTGGAGGCTTTCACGCAGGAGAAGGCCAATCTCGCCTACATCATCCGAAGGGATATCCTTCGAGCGCTCGAGCCTCCCAATCTGGACTCCTCATCACAGCCCCATTCTCCGAAAGATCATGCAGACAGTCTATTCGACATTCATGAAAGATTACGTAGGGCTCACACCGACGAAGTGACTGCGTGTCACGGTGCGTTGAAGCTTGTCATGGAGGTTTTTCGATCTCCCGCTATTAATACAACGTTGAACAGTGAGACCATATATCCTTTGGGTCATTCCCTCCGCTCACGCTTTGTGATCATAGACGATGAACTAATAGGCTGTCTTGGCGACACCCTTCGCCTACTCGAGGACTCGAACTTACCCTCGTTCAAGGGTCCTATGACCCATGCTCTTTGTTGGGCGATAATGAGCACCCAGAAGCTTCCTCACACTGTATTATCTACTTTTGAAACCCGTATAATTCGGATTCTCAAATTGTATCTTCCTAAGCTCCCTCCAGAGCTTGTGGATGATGAAGAGACCATCATCGATGGCCTCCAGGTCTGTAAACCTTTCGCTTTCCCCGTAACAATACCGCTCACAGGGATATCTAACAGACTATCGCTCATCTTCTGCGGTACCATTCCAAGACTTTCCTCGCTTCGACTGTCGAGCTTCTTCCCCGATTACTCCCTTACCTCTCATCTCCGTCGTGCCGACTGCGACACCACACGGCGCACATCGTGGCCTCCTTTGCTCATATTATTCTGTCAGCGCCTTCGCTATCAGGCTCAGACTACACGCCTCCATGCTCTCATCAAATTCGCACCCGGATATCAGCGCTCACAAAGCAATATTTCGATAGACAATCACAGCGACCCGACGCATCATTCCCAAAAAACCTGAAACACGTCTTCCAATCTGTGCTTGCTCTCGAGGCTCAGGCTACATCTCCCCAAGGCAATAGCGCTTCCTGGATCTTTTCCGTCACCTCAAGCCTAATCATCATGTTCGGCGACGCCATGTTTTCGTCCAGACGATCCCTCACACTAGTTTCATCCTTCCTCGAGGCGATCGCCCAGCAGAGTGCTGTTCTGGCTCGCGTGGTATGGAAATGTTTAGTTCACAACTTCCGCACGGCGGTGCAAAAGGCGAGGGGCTCTGGCGAAGAGATACCCCATCAAGTGAAGTACGCACTCGAAGTGCTGACGAATGCGGGTATCCAGGATGGCGTGGGGGTACCTGTCGTTGGTGTGCTGTTAGGGTGCGATGCCTTCGACTTCTCCGGCCATACGTCCAACCCATACTCTCATTGGGCATTGTCAAGTACCCTGAACTGTTTGAAGATTATGCTTGGTCATCCCGATGCTCATGACGATGGAGTCAATTTGTTTCATAGGCTTCTCAGTGTCATCGAAAGGGAACCCACAACCAGGTCAAGTGGCAAGAGTCCGCCGCTTCGCGAGGTCGTGCCTCCGAGCTTGTTCGATGGCTCGGTGTTGGACGGCAGTGATGCGGACACCGTAGCCTCACTCTCGAAGGGTATATCTGTGGTAGAGGGAGGCTCGAGGGACTATGGAGTTGAGGACGTCAGATATTTGAGCGAGGGCGAAGTGGAACAGTTCTGGGAAGGATTCGTAGATTGTTGGAAAATGGTTGTAGATGCTTGTTTCCAAAGGAAAATGTCGGGGACGTTAGAGCACCACCATTTGCCCGTGAGTGTCATCAGCCTTCGTCTTTTCATTTCTGCTGAATGTTCTGACTCGTCTTCGTTGTTGTTGCAATTGCAGCAAAATGTAGTTCTGTCTTGGCAGTCTTTGCTCTTCGTGCGGTCCCATACCCTGAGCAAAAGCCAACAACATCTCGCATTTACCCCGGATCTTGCCCCTTGGGCGTCCGACACCATCACCTCCTTCCTCGCAAAACCGACGAACCTGGACGCTGGGGGAGGAACCGCTCATAGGATGCTAGCAGCTAGACTGGGCTTGATCTACGCTCAACAGCTTTGGACGGTGATGGCTAACTCTTTCGCAAAGCCTTCTCTAGCACCTGCCGCGATTCCAATCATGGAAGTGTTGATGGAGCAGGACTTTGCGTTTGACGGAAAGGTGCTGGAAGAGTTTTACATCCTGTGCAAGGATATCGTCACGGATTGTGCCGAGGGCATCTGGCCGACAGTTATGGCTCGCTTGAATGAAACCGACACAGTCGAAAGCGGGGGTTTGACGGTCGAACGGATTGCGAAGCGCAGACGTGTCTGGGTTGTCATTGCGAAACTCGCCAAGGACCTTGAAAAGCGATTATCGTGGAAGGACACCGTGGAGTTGCTGTACACTCCTCTTGGGTGAGCCGCGTTCGTTCTAACTGAGCCGTTTCGCGTGAATGCTGATTCATAGATTTCGTACTTCTTTTATAGCATCTGGGGCCTGTCTGGCCAGGATAACGAGGAGAAAGTGTGGGATTCAGTTCTGGGATGGACGATGGGCCAAGCGATACTTAAAGCCTCCATCGATTCTTCCAAATTTTTGGACGACCTTGCAGAAAGACTCCAGCGCGATGGTCGGGCGTGAGTACCTTTATTTCTTGTACCACATCGTTTACGAATGACGCGTGTGCTATCGCAGTAGCAAACTCCCATCGACAGAACTTAGGCATATGCTTCACCGTCTCAGTTTATCGGCTCGAACTGCCGCTATCCCATCATCTTTCTTATCGCTCGTTACAACCTTCCTATGCGACTCTTTCTCTCTGTCCGAAGACTCCTTCCATAACGTCGCTGGCATCCTGAAGCAAATGAAGCGGCTTATCCTCACGGCTGCAAACGAGCTCCTAGTCCCACTTGTCGTCGAGGTTCAGGGCGCACTTTCACTTTGGATTGGCAATGAACGTCATCCAATCTCACCTGACGATTATAATCAGATCGTGAGCCTTCTCTGTTCTGTTACATCTTGATTTCCCCGTTTGTTCAAGTATTGATACACCATCCAACAGCTGGCTCCCATATATACAGTCCTCCTCGACCGTCTCTCGGGTCTTTCTGAGCCCCCCGCCTCTCTACTTTCGATAATCAATTCCCTCACCCCGATTCTGACATCAACGTTCAACATGTCTGTACCATCGCCTTGCATATGTCCTGAGGGATTCGCGGACTTCTTCGGTAACATGTTTCATCGGATAGGAGAACCGCTGGACAAGTGGTCCCCCGGATTGCGGAGGTATGCGAGCGTATGCACGCAAGCTTGGCATGGGGAATGGGTAGACGGTATGGACGTTTTGGAGACACAGTCACAGTTCACAGCTATGGGGCATAGTCAGGACGTCGATGAATTTTCGGATAAAGAAGGCGACCAATTTACGCATCAGGAGCCCGGACTGCATATGGACCCCCCCTCGCCGACTAGCTCGCTTTATTCTCGATCCGATGAAGTGATTCCCGACTCCGAAGAGGACTTCAGACAAGTTCAGGATGCTCCGTACTCCCCTGACAATCGCTGGGCCATAGGCATCAACCCAAGTCAACTCTCGCAATCACAACCCTACTACCAGAACAGTGACTCAGAGGGCTCCCTCGGCATCGACGGAAATGCATTTTACTTTGACTCTGTTGGCCCCGAGTTCGTTCAAGGCGCAAGTGGAGATGGGAGGTCTCAGCCTTCTCCGCGTGCCGAATCACCGGAATTACTTGATACGTTTACGTCTCGTGCTGGCGGAAGCTCTATTTTGTCCCCACCTTTGTTGCCTGCTGTAGCCGCCGCCGCGGCGCCACCCAAACTCGATGAAAGGAAGAAACGGCGTTCCCACGATGACCCCACGTCCCCTCGTAAACGCCCGAAGCTCGTGGATTCCAATCGGTCTGCGCCGGTTCAAAGGGTGACCTCTCCTGCTCGTCTTAGAACTGCTCGTGCATCTTCGACTATGGATCCCACCCCTCATAGCCTCGACGACGCCAAAATCTCGGGGGCTACGGAGCACGATGAGGAACAGTCGCATACCAGTGAGCATACGAACGCTGGGCGGATGGGACGAACAGGGAGCGAAGGTCTTTCTGATGCCGGTGGAGATGACAGCCAACTTCCTGCTCGTCCTGACAAAGGAAAGGGAAGGCAGATGGACGTAGAGGAGGAGGACGAAGTAGACGATGACCGGGAGACGAGGGTGGAAACGCCTGAGATTGTTAGGATAACGAATGAGTTGCCTCGTCAAGCGACCCGTGGTTCGTTCCTTTCATCCTTTTTCTCGATCTTCTTGGTTGTTTAATGTTGTGATGTGATTCTACAGATACCCCATCATTGCTAGTGCCCGAGACTCGGAGGAATATGTCTGTGCAAGTTTCGACGCCCCAACTCCGCCGCGTTTTCAATCGAAGGGACACGGAGCAATACGCTAGACTTCGCAGTTCTAAAGAAGCCCTCTACGAGCCACAACCTACACAGACACACCTCAATCTTGTCCATTCATCGACTGCTCCAGCATCTTTACCTACTCCGAGCTCGTCACCCTTTCATGCGCCACCCAATTCATCGCCGGCAGACGGAGCGGGAGGATTTAAGGCCACACCGCCAAGGCCCGAACCCCCACGCAGAGCAGACACTACGCCCGAGACAATTCGGTCATTGAGGGAGGTGCATCATAAACTGGTGAAAGAAGGTCGTGGTGTGACTTTGAGTGAGGAGGACAAAGCCTTTGTCATAGACTGGTCGCTTGGGCTTTTAAAAGAGGTTACCAAGAAACCTGGTCCCTAAGCAAGATAATTATGCCAATTGTTCCTCATATTTGTTCAACATCCTACGATACCCTACGTCAATTTGTTCCCAGATATAACAACCAAGATAGGATCGTACCGTCGCTGTCTATGCTCGCATCATAAACAAACTACAGTATTATATTTGCAACATGCTGCGAGCACAGATGTGGCCTTTGGCCCGCCACCAACCCGCCACTGACATCGTTTTCGCCTGTTGTGCGTCGGAAAAAGCCAGGCTAGGTTCAAGCTCCGATCCCCCGTCTGGCAGCGAGCCCGTCTCTCTTCCGTGTTCGGTAATCTTGTACTCTAACAGTAGTCTGAAGATCTACGGAAACAACGACACTGGACTGAAGAGGTCAAAAATAACTACTCTGGAACTAGCTAAATCTATCCTTTTGACTTATCCGTCTATGTCGCCTCTGGCAGCTGCTCTGATGAGATCACAACTTGACAATGATGACGGCGGCAGAAGATGCAGAAGTTGTATTTTTGTGTCGTGGGTCCCGAGAACCGACTCATACATCTAAGGCAGAATACATCTCAGGCGCTCGAGTGGCTACTTGGCTGTGAAAGGGCTCCGACTCTGATGATGAGGGTTTGATATGCAGGTGTTTGCACCCCATAACGAGCGCTTGCAATTTATTCATGACAATTCCACACGATCTCCCTCTCTTTATGACCCCAACATCCTGGTGAATCACTTGTACCCATCCCACTTTCTACAGGTGACGGTACTCCGAGACAAGCATACTCCCACTACTTAGCCTCGATGTCCACAAAGGCACTCAGTCCTGCGCTTCTATCCGAGGAACACAAGGACACGAGCTTAGTCACACAACAAACTCCAGTGTCAGCACTTTACGTGTCTCTAAGTATCTTGAAAGACGTACTCGAGTCTACGGAAACTTTACCATGTGTGAAGTATGTCGCTTCAGTGGGGGTGAAGATCATCGAGGTCGCTGAGGTACGCTCGTCCTCATTCCTTGAATTTGTGGACCCGTCCTGATATCCTGATGTATTTGTTGTTCTGATACTGTTAGGAAGTCCAAAGCAACAAGACGGATCTCCAGGACCTGGCTTTACGCGCTAAGGATATGATCGTCACAATCGCAGATGCATGTCGTGGCGTCGACCAAGACGATGCTGAAGCACAGCTCGAAAGAGACCTTAGACAGCTCACAGCGTGCGTGTCATCGTCGTCACCTCCCTAGCGTATCATCGTGTATCTATTCTGAGGCTCATACTATTTCCAGCACAATGGAAGAGGTACTGGATTTCACACGAATACAACTAACTCGCAAAGGTTACAAGCGAGTTCTGTATAAAAGTGAAGACGCGGAGAAAATCAAGCTGCTAGAGAATAAACTGAACCAAGCTTTCAAAAGGTTCGACGTGAGTGTGTATCTTATTTTTTATCCTGCGTATTGGTCAACTCTGATTCCCTACTTCATCCCAGATCCAATCAATCGTCAGCATACGCTTGTCTCAGCGTCTAATGACCCAGCGCCTCGAAGAGATCCAGGGACACTCGGACACACTCCCCATGAATTGTCCACTTTCGATTCCTGAGGGTATCTACATTATTCGCAATTCCTCCACAAGCAATGTCCTCGAGCTAGGAAACGGCATACGAGACAAAGTCTGGGCTCCTGTCTATACCTCGACCCAGCAAGAACTTTCACTCGGGGAGGTCGACCTTTCGCAGCTGTGGTCCGTCACTGCAGTGCCAAACCGTGAGATGCAGTACCGGATATGCAATCTAGCTGCTGGGACAAACTTGGAAATACTCTATGCACGACGTGAATCAGGCGCGCGTGTGGGTTGTTTTCGTCACTTGGAAGGCTTCCACCAGGTCTGGAATTTTTTCGGTTCCAAGAGGAGCAATACGTATGTTTTCCACCTGCGATAGAAGCACCCGCATACTCTTTCTGAGACCACGTTTCGTCGTTTCGATTTTAGGACCGATTTGTGCACAATTAGAAGTTGTGGACCAGAGACTGTGTTGGATGCCAAGTGCCCCGTTGCCCCTCACTGCGAATTGGCTCACTGCGTGACATTCGATCCTCAAACATCCACCCAAGAATGGTCGCTCATACACATTCCTCTCCCACCAACCATTCTATCGCCGGCGGCCGCATTATTCTCGACGACTATGTTTTCGCCCTCACTCCCCTCCCTGTATCATCGTCCCTTCTATCTTCAATCTGTTTCTTCCTCTCTCTTTGCCACTCGCACTGGCGCACCCCGTGGCCAAAATGTCGCCCTTCAACCCGACCCGACTTCCGCCTCCCTCTGGTATTTCCTCTACATCTTCGACCCCACCTCCGCATCCTCTTCCTTCGGCGCCTACTTCGCCATCGTCTCCACCTCCCCCGATGTCATGCACAGAGCGACCCTAGATCACTGGATAGGGGATCACATCTGTACGACGGGATATTGGCCGCAGAATGAATATCACAAATGGATGGCCGTCCCGCGAGGTGATGGGATGTTTTCGTTCCGGAATATGGCGACCGGGAAGTTGTTGGCTCAGGCGCGAGGCGGGAGCAAGGTAGTGAACACTATACGCGCAGATGAAGGCGACGATCCTGCATGCATGTGGAGGGTCGTGCACCCAGACATGGTATCATCGGATGGCAGACGACCTTGCTGCCCGGTCGTATACGACTCGACACTATCGTTCCCACACCCTTCTCTTCTCCTCAGAACTCCCTCTCATTCGGATCCTTCGGCCTCCAAGTCATCCGTATTGACCGCAACCACGACGTCCGCAACACTGCCCAAGGTGGACTCCAACCAGCCCCGCCTACGTGTCGAGGTCGCTTCGAAGCCGCTACAGACGAGATTGACGACAACTTTGAAGACAAGGCATGAGGTGCTGGAGGAGTTGGTCGATGTTGGGTATAGCGCATTCGTCGTGATTCCGGATTTCGTGTATGCGACGAAGAAGACGAAGGATGGCCCGTCTAGGTCCATAGCTGTGAGATTAATGGATGAGGGAAGGATGTTGAATCCGAGGCAGTATCGGGAGTCTGGCAAGCCAGGAGATATATGCACTGATACGTGAGACGCTTTTGTATCGCAATCGGTGTGGAAGGTGATCTCCGAGGGCTCTGAGCGTGGTCGAATGGTGATCATAAAACTGGTGCTCATGGATCACTTACTGTCTCCTATGATCGTGCGCTTTCTTATGCTTACCTCCTTGCTTTCTTGTTGATTTGTTTATTTTACATTAATCACACAATAATTATCACTAGTACTGGGTCTTGAGGCGTTTCCCAGAACAACGCTACGAGCAACTAACCAATTCTACAAGATCATCTATCCGAAATTCACTCAAACACATCGCAGCTCATATCTTCGTTCCCCTCTCTTGTGAAGGTGATAATATGATCTGTCCACAGAAAAGGGGGGGCAAAGAGGTTGCAACGTTTGAGCCGTCGCCTTCGCGTACATGGGGAAAAGAGAGAGGCGGTCGAAAGGATCGAACAAGAAGGCTCACCGTTGATGAGACGTGTCGTGAACCCCACTTCACAGTACGAGCTGAAGAAGACAAGCAAGTTCAGCACAAGGCAGATGGCACGTACACGGTGACTTTACTTACAAGTAAACTGAAAAAGAAACGCAATCAGCGATCAGTCCTGACCTCCAGGGCCAACTATGAACGGAGGACAAAAATACACAACAACGTACAAATCCATTTCCTCCAAAACACCCTCAGCTCCTTCTCACCCGCCTTGCCATCAAAAATGCCGGGATACTCCTTCTTTAAAGCCTCCTCGATCACATCAAAGTACGCCACAAATCGTCTTCGCCATTCTCTGAGCGTGCGGGCGTAATGTGGCCCGATATTGGAGACAGACTCTACGACGAAGCGGCCGGAAGTGGCGGTCTGCATGGAGGAGAGGAGGAGGGAAAGGGAGGGGAGGAGGCCACCCGGGAAGACTGTAGAGGGGGGGAATATCAGGATAGATTGAAGAGAGATGAAAGGAGCACACTAACTCCATTTGCGGATAAAATCGACCTCTTTTTTGTACTTCTCGAACCCTGGAAGATCAGCGATAAGTAGATCAGCAATACTGAGGTGGGCCACATTTTGCGCCACACGAAGTAGGAAGCGAGACTCACGTCCTTCTGTAATCGTAATCCCCTGAACGACCCCCGCTCCTCCCTTCCTCTTCACAACCCTATCAATACACGCCCAATAACTCTCCATATTCTCCTCTCCAACCGCCTCGACCATCTCCACGCTCACCACCCTATCGAACGTATCATCCCATTCCTGCGGCATATTTCTATAATCAACCAGGTGTACTCTGACTCTATCCTGCAGTCCCCTCTTCTTGACTAGCCCTCGAACGTAGTTATATTGATGTGTGGAGAGCGTGATAGAGTCGACTTGGGTATCTGGAATGGAGGTAACGATATGCAGTGCCAGCGAACCCCATCCCGATCCAATTTCGAGAACACGGTGGCCCGGGAAAATACGTGCTTTCTTCGTTATGTGCTGTAATTTGATTAATTGGGCGGTATGGAGCGGGTCGGCGTCTGGGTCTGAGGGAGTTGATGTGGAGGGTGGGGTCGAGATGGGAGTGGAAGTCGTGAGAGGGGTACTGCTGGAAGAAGGGCTGGATGTAGATGCGCTAGAGGGTGTGTCGTGGATGGTGGCATTGGTGCGTGAAAAGTTGGTGGATAGAAGACGGGTGGAGAGTTGATCTTTTGAGGTGAGTGTACGATCGGAGGAGACTACGTCGCCGTCAAGATCCGGGAAGATGGCGCAAGAATAGGTCATGTCTCTGGACAAGAAAGCTGGAAGATGACGTTCATGTTCAGTTTCATGCTCCGTCTTATTCGAGCGCGAATTACCTTGAAACATCTCATTGGACAGGTCATAATGTGCGGAGATGTTGGATCGGGAATTGCTGAGGGTATTCAGGAACCGGTAAGAAGTGAGTCTCTGCGGCAGACCGAGCAGCCAGGAGAACCTCGAGTTGAGGCCTTCCAAGTTCTCTTTGTTACGAATAAATATCTGGATTCGAAATGGGATTGCATCAGTACTATTTTGCGTGATTATTTAGGGATACCCACGAGGAACAACGGAATCAAATCGTCGCACTCGACCTCTCCATACATATAGGCCTCGGAAAAGCCAAGGTCACTCATTAGGCATAGCCTTATCCAAAATGTATCGCTGATGACCTTCAGCTCAGCATTTGGTGCCGATGGGTCACTAAGCTCTCGAGCAGAACCAAAGTTATAAGTATGGTCCGAGGTGATTATGCGCAAGGTCCCGTAGGTGATTTTCTGTAACACACTATAAATCGAACGCGTTTAGACGTGTCATCCGCTCCCTCAACGACTATAAAACCACTTACGAAACAACAGCAGTCTGCGCCAGCCTCGAGACAGGCGAATAGCTCGTCGCCAGTGCACGTTCTGTGATATTACCGACGACATTATCGACCAAGCCGGTGAGTGAGAAGGGGTGTTTTGCGGGGGTGTCGAGGAGCTGATTGCTCATGGTAGGCGATGAGGATATGGGAAGTGGCGATGGCGTATGATATGGGGGCATCGGTATCCATTTATGTGGTATTTTGAGCTTGGGATGGTCGTCATCTCGTCGTCTTCGTCGTCCGCGATCGCCGATCTGGGCAACTTCGATGCTGGTTGGCGGGGTCGCTTCATCACGCGTCGCATCGAGACGAGCCTTGGCTTAGCCTCTTACGGTAGCCCCTCTCCAGTCGGGTGTGCAGGACGACAAATTGTAATCCAATCGTAGTTCTGGGAACACGACGAGCCTCGTCGGGTCTGGCAGTTGACGTTTCCCACCGACAGTGGGTGATGCTGAAGCAACCGACACAGCCACACCGTGACGGCGGCCTGAATGACGAAAATCATGGGAATCGGGAGCGACAGCTGGTCCATCTGTGAATTGTATTGTTCGAACGAAAACCGATGGTACTACAACACTCGGTGCCACTTCAAGTGGCAGTCGCGACTTACTGTATAAGTACTCCCAAGGCATCGCGCGTGCCAGACAAGTCTCAACGATAAGTATTGTGTGCCTTGTATCTAAGCCCGTCTGAAATATTCAGTTTGACGAAAATAGCATGGGTTGATGACCCACCAACCTCAACGTCCCACATTGCAAGTCCACGCCGGTAAATAACGCTCATACACAAAGTCCCCCTTCGACCCCGGACTGGCGATACCCTAGCCTGAGGTGTGAGGTTGTAGATATCTCATTTTAGTTGGGCGGCGGTTTGATGAAAATAGAGTCAGAGATCATAAAAACCGGTATGCACAAGAAGACCAACGAGCTCGTCTCCGCATCTGCGAGGGAGAAAGACGACCTCAGAAGTGCGGGGCATGTCGGAGCCTGTCGGAGCTTGGAACTTGCCGACGCCACAGCGGGCAAACAACTTCAAGTTGAAAGCAAGTACTGACGATTCGTCCCTAAGGCCTACCGAGTCACGGTGTCTAGTATGTACATATATGATTAATAGATACAGAAAAACAACTTGGAATTTTAGCTGCTTGGCAGGTCCCTAGCATTGAGAAAATCCGTCCAACGTACACCCACATACAAATCCAGCCTGAGTCCAGGAACTGCTGACATGCTCTACTCACAAATACCGTCTCTGCTTGTCGGGTGAAAGCCCGGGTGTGGCCTCCTTCTCTTCGAGCTCATCAATCTCACCGCTATACATCGTGATCGTCCCTCCTTTATCTTCGCCGCTATGATGAGCTGCGGAACAACGACAAACCCAGTATATCCGGCCTCCAATAGATCGGAGAGAACCTCATGCGAGTTCTCCAGAGTTGTCGTGAGACTCAGTCGCAGGGACTCCGAAGCGAGTTCGACACAGAGGCGGGGTTGGTCAGGGTTGGGCGACGAGAACATGGCTACTGTGGTCGACGAGGTCGATAGATCCGAGAGAGATGAGGATGGCGAGGACGAAGGGGGTGAAGAAAGGATCGAAGGAGGTGGGAATGACAATGCCGAGTCGTATACGACTGGGCAGTAAGATCGCCCTCCGGTGGTCGATAAATGGTGTACAAGCCTCCAAAGGCACACTGGGTTATCCGCTTCATCTTCACTGACCGTACTCAGCGCCTCTCCCTGCCCCGACGTTCCAGCTAGGAAGGTTCCTGTTGCTCTATTCTGAAGCATAAACTTCCCATCGCCTCTCGGAATAATCACCCACTGATGATGGACATTATCTGGCCGATAACCACTTGCGCGGATCTGACATCCACCCCAGTGGTCCAGTGTCGATTCCTGTATGCCACTGGACGAAGTGCACACGATGGAGAAGTGGATACCATCGGTGGAGGAGCTGGACGGGTCAACTTCTATCAACGAGAAGTACCACAGCGACGAGGCCGATGGATTGAGTTCGAGGTGAACGTTGGTGCCTTGGGAAGCGCTTGTACATGTTGCGAACAAAGACGTAGAGACAGACTGGAGATAAAATGGGCGGTGGAATGAAGATGGGTCTGAGGCGGTGTTTAGAGAAGGCGTCGGGAGGAGGGAGGGTTGAAGGGGCGTATATACAAGGGACCATTCCTGCGTTTTAATGCCAGCATCGAGGGTATTGCAGTGTAGGCGTCCACAATTGAACGGAGACGGACACTGGGTATCCAACACCGTCTCTTGGGAACAATTTCGAATAGTACAGAAGTTGACCCTAAGCATAAAGATTCGAGTATGAGCCTAATAGCACAATTGTTTCGATGCTGCAAGATGTGAACATACGTATCATCTCTCGACGAATAAAACTGCCACGTCTGATTCACACTTCCTTGAAAAGGATAACACCCTACGTGCGCACCCGACTCTCTAGATTCCCATTTTACATCAAGACAGGTCCCAGCCGCAAGATTGCGAATCACGTATTTCGCTTTGCCGTTTGGTAGCGCAGTGATGGACCATAACTGGGAAAGGTCGACCTCGCCACCACCGCCAGACTGGGGTGCAGTATATACATGGACCCACTCCGTGCTCTGTATACCGGCATCTAGTTGCAAGACCTTCCTTGAGACAGAGCTCCGGATGATATAGATACCCTCGGTGATGTGCCGTGGACGATCTACGGAAGTGGATAAGGGCTTCGCGGCGTGAAGTGCTTCGATACGTTGGACCATGGTCCGTTGAGATAATCGTATACTGACGCTCGTTGAGATCTATAGCAGCCAAGGTCATATAAATCAGTGGAGTGGTAACGAAGTCACCGAAATAGACAGCACCGACCTCGAATATATGAAAAGCCTGTATCAACTTGTTATTCAACGTCCTAATATTTTCCGCATCTTCGCTCCTGTATAGAATACGTTTATAAGTTTTTCGAGTCGATTGTAGATCCGCGAACTCCAGGACTTCTTCCATAGTGCTGAAATCCCCATCGCGTTCATGGTAAGTTATAACGGCATCACATCAGTGAGTGTCACGTACAATTTTAGTTGACGGAGGTCGCTTTCCAGATGCGTTCCGATAGTGACTTCGTCGACGCCACGGCAGGCATTCGCAATAGCGATGACCATGTCCTGAGCGCGCTGGGCCAAGTCCTGGAATGCCGTCTTATTACTTTGAATCTCCTGGAGAAATCGACCGCGTTACAACGGATAAGTAGTATAAATTGAAGCATCGTGATACTGTCTTGAGTATGACTTTCACAGATATGAGCACAGACATACCAAGGAGACCTCAAGAATCTTGATTCCCACAGAGGCAATATACTTGACACCAGGCAAAGTATCACTAGACTCCAGAACATCCTTCAGCAGAGTCAAGGAAAGCGCCGCTGTAGTCGAATGAATCGGGCGTGCGAGAACGGGTATCTCTGGTTCATTGGCCCTGGACTTGGACTTGGACTTGGATGCGCGTTTGGTAGACATCGACGTCACGGTCGAAGATGTGTTCTCACGAAGCACTGCCAACAAGGACGCATCTGTACCAGGAAACCGTGACGCGACTGCTTCCGGGCTGAAAGGTTCTGATCCGGCAAAGTCCGATGTCGATGACTCGGACACACTGCCAAGGGCCGGCTAATAGGCTTGCTTGGTCTCCTCTCTTGCTTCCACAGTTCCACCTGCTCGTCCCCACCGCTTTCATCTATAGGTCATGTCTCTACTGCTTTGCTGCCAAATACGAAGGTGACTTCTATGGACTCGGATGCGCCAGCCATACTTAATCATAACCGACGATACAACTGGCGTCCTTGGGACCATATTTTACTTGCTCTGAATGAGTGCTCCTCGGAAGGTAGAACTCTCGGTTGTGGCATCAACTATCAACTAAGTACACTCGGAAGCTCACCGAATGCGCTGAATGCGCGCGGCCGTGCCCTCTCACCATGACTTGCGCTTGGCTGACCTTGGACGACGCAGGTCACTCATAAATCTAAAGTGTACTGTCGCCCATGCCAAAGGACGATGGCCATATTCCCACCAAGAATGTACGCTCCAACAACAACTTGAAAGGGATGCTTCCTAGATAAGTTGACCGCCAAAAAAAACTCCACTGCAGCATCGTCGGGCCAGCGCCTCAAGGCCACAGCTAGCCCAGAGATCTTCGTCTAACCCTGTTTTTGCACTCACTGGCACCCATTCAGACACCCATGGCGACTCGGATGCGGCGCGGGCGAGAATGAGTACTTAGATTCGTATAATACCTTGCGTCTCCCCCCGGACGCCGTGATGCCAATGAGAATGAGTACGGTGGCACATAGCTTTACATTAAATTCTGAACGCGGTTTTGGGATACTTACTTACACTCACTGGCAGCAGCGCCAATCTGCCAAAACTCCATCTTGGGAAATGTGTACTCGGCCGTAATGGGATAAAGATCGACGACTGAATACTTATGCGCACAATTGAATGTGATCTGCATGATGATGATGATGATCCCGAATCGGGCTCAGGCTGTAAGTGCTTACCGCTTTCGACCTTCGACCTTCCTGTTGCCGTCAATTTTCAAACGTTGGACCCCAGGCCAGGGAGACTGCTATGACAAGTTCATCTCTACTGTACATCGTCCTCACGATGTATACTAACTAATCACTTACTAAAGCGAATGGAGTTTAATTAGTGCCGCAGGACGCGAACTTGAAGGAGATTCTCGACATCCTTTGGCCTTTGTTAGGAGATTATAATAGGCATAGAGCCTGTCAATGGACAATACAATGCTGCGATGTTGTATTTCGTTATAACCAATGAATGGTTCGCGGTCCTCATACTTGTACTATTCTACCGAACATCCGCCTCCAAATGCCCATCCATCATGCTAACAAACGAGCAACATGGCCGCTGGCTTCGCTACGTATGTACCATCCTTTTGACATTGCGCTTCTCACTCTTTCAGGCACTTCTCGCTCTTTCAGGCACTTACTCATGATCACTGCGGCATAATCATGACCATCGACGACTCTGGTGAAGCGCTCGTGGCCGTGATCGTGATCGTTGGAAGCAAGTTGAAAGGTAGGACGTGTTTCTAAATTCTCAAGGAAATCCACGAGAACGCATGCGCAGAACAAGCCACGCATTCGTGGAACACGTTGCAGCGCCACGTCTTCCGAGCTGACAATACGAAAGGAAAGGCACGACAAAAGAGTTCGAGTTCGAATCCACGGCTCCGACAGTCCGAGTCTTTACACAAACCCCTTTTAAATTTCTTTCGGTGCCGCTCACAGAACTGAGAACACTCAACCGCAACCAGTGCTGCAGATCAGGCTCCCATCATCGACGTTTCGCCGTCGGTGCCGCATAATGCGTGGCCAATGACGATGCGGCCGTGTGTGATGGATGAGCAGACGCGTGCGCCGTGTGGGTCCGCGGAGCCGACTCGGAAGCTAGAGATTGAGAGCGGTCCCGAAGAGGAAGGGAGGTACATAAAAGGACGCGAGAAAAATCACACCTGCAACGTTCCTTGCAATTGTAGGACTTAAGAAACCGAGCATGTTCACCAAGAGGCGATGAGAAGTTTTTGGGATGCAATTTGGGTGAGGAAGCATACGGTAAGAGAGGGGGTGCTGAGTCAGAGTATGTATGGTACAGATGCGAGGAGCGCACGAGAGATGATGAATGGAGGTATGACGTGTGCGTGCATGCGTGCGTGCGGGCATGTTAAGGCGAATAAAGGTCGTCTCGAGGTGCATGTAACATGGGGAATACGAGGATGGTTTGGAATTAGAAGCCTGGTGGGACGAGGCCCTGAGAGCGGTTTTGCTCTGACGAGCCGGGGGGTGGTGGGTACATCGAGCCGCCACCGAGGAGCTGATGGTGTTGAAAATTTGAGAAGGTCAGTGAAATGTGGTGTAAAAAAATGCAAAAAATAAGAGGGTATTGAGAACGCACCTGCTGCTGGCCCTGCTGCTGCGCAAACATCTCCTTCTCCTGCGCGACTACCTTCGCCTCGTCCTCAAGACTGAGCGCGAGGGGCAGACCGACGAGGAGCGCGCTGGTGGTGACGATCCAGATGAGGTTCCCCGCGAGCTTTCCGCCGCGCTTCAAGAAGCGCGCCGTTGAGGATATTTTTGAGACGACGTTGTGGCGGGTGGTGGGGGGTACGATGTCTACGAGGGCGGTGAGACGGTCGAGGATGGACTCGTCGTGGGGGACGTCTGAGTCGACGGTGGAGATGGAGACGGAGGAGGAGGAGCGGGAGGAGGCGTCGGAGCCATAGGGAGAGTTGTTGTTGTACTGGTTGTCCTTGTCCTCGACGATCTCGACTTTGACCATGGCTGCGTTGGGTGTGGTGGTCGACGGCAAAGATGGTGGTGAGTTGGCGAAGGGTGGGAGCGGGCGGGCCGGGAGGGACCGGGGGTATAGGATCGCACTGGCGGGACCGAAGGGCGCGTTGTGAGTTACGATCGCATCTTTCTCTGCAGCCAGCCACAGCGCCGCGAATAACGATCGCTCACTCAGCTCCCTTACCGGCCCAGTCCCGCCTCTGCCTTGTGCATGTCCGGAACGTCCCCAAACGACGCCTCGTCATCGAGCGCAGCGCACCCAGGTATTTCTCGCCGCCGTTCTCGTCGTCCTGAGCGATCATGACCTGTCCCGAACAGGCTTCGGGCCCCAGACGCCAATAATGCAGGACGCAGAAAGAGAGGACGTCAGTATGGCGCTGCCGCCGCCGAGGAAGCAGAACATCGCCTGTGATGCGTGCAGGTCTGCCTCTTATCGTCTTCATAGATCGTCTCCTGTGCTCATCTCGCCCGCCGCCGTCGCACAGGCAGCGCAAGGTGAAGTGCCATCAGGTTCCCGGCCAGTCGAAGGTGCGTTTCCCAGTGTGACTATCCGCGATCTGCTTCGGTCTTCATATTGTGCATGATCATGCCCCCAGTGCCAGGTATGTTCTCTCATCTCTTCTTCGGTCCCGCACAGCACCCTCACTTCCGCCGGCCCATCACTCTCTAGCATTGTATCGCCAAAAACTATGCGTGCACGTACGTCCTCTTTGCTCTGCTGGCCCCGTTCCCACCCACCCCCGTCCTCCCTCCTTCTTCCCACGCGTTCTTCCATGCGCACACACCCACAGTCTCACCGTGCTCTTGTAGACATCATGCGCAGGAGGCGACCAGCGCAAAGAAACGTGTCTCGACCGTCAGCCGCAGACCACGGACATACAGTTCCCAGTCTGGCAACACACAAAGGTTTGCATTTCTGGTCAACATCCTCCATTCCACCCCTATACTCACACGTCCCAACTGGTCTCGCCCCCTCGGCAGGTGCGCACTGAATTCATACAGGTATACCGTTCAAGGCACTCATCTGTTCCCCCGACTGCTGCGGTTCGCTCTCCGACGTCTTTCCTCCTCCAATTCTGCCTCCGTCGCCCTACTGCAATCTACCTCCGCACATCAGTTCCAGTCCAACCTCCCTGAAACCGTACGTCCGCTTCGCTCGCATGATCCTCTCTGTCCATCTGTCCCCTCTTCCCTCCCTTCGCCCCTCCGAGTCAATCCGGCCATCTCCTCCCAATCCCACGACCTCATCTCCGCTCACTCTTCCTCTTCCACGTCTTAACCTGTTCTGACCCGGTCTAACATCCCACCCCCAAAAATAATCGACTCTTTCCTGACTCCTCTTCCATCTTTTCATAACGCTTTATATCCGACCCACCTTCACATGCTCCGTCGCTTCTCCCGTTCATCTCGACTTTCCGCATGACCGCACCCTCTGATTCTAATCATGATGCTGATCCTGATGATGCTGATCCTGTGGCACGAAACAGGCCAAGTACGACTCCGACCCTCTCTGTGCCACCCGCGACGCCACCACGGTATCAGACCCCGTTCGCACAACCGCCTATAACGCGAAATACGACGTTCACTGAACTTTTAGCTTATCTGCTCTCGCCGCCCGAGGATGCGACGTACGTTCCTTCATCTTGTTCATCATCATCTGTGGCGTAGTGGCGCAATGGAAGGAACACTGACGCTTACATCGTTTTCGTGTTTCGTGTTTCGATTCGCGTCCTGGCTTCCTCGACCATGCCTCATCCGTACGACGTACGACGTACGACGAATGCCCTCACCCTGATCCTGATTCCTGATGAACGAACATACAGACAGAACGGGTATAGTTCGAATCCGTATAAGGACTGGGGCGAACTTGCGTACAAACTCGACGACGAGACGTTTCGAATCGAGTGAGTCCTGGTCTTTTCGTCTTTTCATCTCATCTCGCTTTCTTTCATCTCGCTTTCTTTCGCCTTTCGCGTTTCTGGTCCACCCTGCCCTTCTTCGCCTTGCCATCTATGAGCAGCTTGCGCTTCATCTCGGCGTAGGAGCGGAGCACAATGTTCTGTTTCTCAACAGTCGGAACTTGTTCCGCTCCTTTGAGCTTCGAGTCGTGCGTACGTACGTAGCTCTGGTTCTGGAGGGACGCCCGACCCTTATACCGTCGTCTCGGCGCTGGGTCACCCATGGGCAGCGGAGTTCTGTTGTCTCTGTTCTCTGTTCTCTGTTCTCTGTTCTCTGTTCTCTCTGCTCTTTGCTCTCTATTCTCTATTCTCTATTCTCTCTGTTCTCTCTGTTCTCTGTTCTCGCTATTCTCTCTATTCTCTCTGTCCTCTATTCTCTATATTGTCTATTCCTGGCGCGGTGCTTTCTGTTTTGAGCTTTGTCTTTTGAGTTTGCTGTTATGAAGCCGGCATGGCATGGCATGTTCGGGTGACGCGAATCCCCACCCCAGTGGGGTGGGGATTCTCACTCTGGCGTCTATGTCCCACGCGAGCTTCTTTGGGTCAGAAATGGGATAGGCCTTTGCCTTTGTGTATTTGGTTTGTGACTCCGAGGCGTTTGTGCTCGGGGTTTGCCCTGAGTCTTTTTGGTAGTAGTATTACCTTGTTGATATCGAGCTTCTGTGGCGTTGGGCCACTCTGGAGTCTCCTGTTCCTCGTTTCGTTTCGCTTTGCGTCATTGCTGTACTGAACTGTACTGAACAAACCATCCTCTCCGTCCCGTTGCAGATTCGCGCTCGACCTCGTCGAAGTCTACTTCCAAATCGTCCACACCCGCCTCCCCTTCCTCAACCCAACCCAATTCCGCGCCCGCCTCAACGTCACACTCCCCGTGACCTCCTCTTCCCCCACCGCGCTCTCCCCACATCCGAGCCACTCCCCCTCGCACCTCCACGACCCACACACACACGCTCAATCGCCCACCACGTCGTCCATCCGTCCGCATCACCCGCACCCGCAGCCTCCGCCCGCGCATCCCGCACAACAAGTCGTCCACTCACACACGGAAAGTCGGATATATACCACCCATAAACCCTCCACATCCTCCTCCACCTCATCTACTCCCAACTCTAACGGCGGCGGCAGCGGCACGCCCACCATCTCCACCTCCAACCACAACAACAACAACAACAACCACAACCACAACAACAACGCCAACACCACCAACGGCCGTTCCTCCTCCAGCTCCCCCACCGCCACCAACATCTCCACCCCCGATCCCGATCCTCTCCACCCCGCACTAACGGCGACCGTGATCGCATGGGGCGCGAAGTTCAGCGAACATCCGTTGTTGGTTGCGGGGCGGAGCGCGAGCCCGGGGATGAGGCAGAGTCATCTTGCGAAGACTTTGATACATAGGGCGAGGGAGGTCGCGGAGGCGTTGAAGGTGCATAGGGTGCCGAAGGCGGAACATGTGGTTATTAGTTTGTTGATTGAGCCGTTGCAGAGCCGTGAGTTTTTTGTGTTTTTTTCTCTCGTGGATGATATCGTGTGGACGACTAATGGTGTCCTGTTTTGGGTGCTTTATAGAATTGATAGAAGATGTGAACGGCAAGTGTTCTGCACGTTTTTCTTTGTCGATGAAGTGGCTGACGGTATTCTTGTTGTGGCGTCATACAGGTTTCCGCGGTTTTTGGCTCACATCGGCCGTGAGACAGTTGTTCGACCTTCAAGTACGTTCACCGCTCACGTTTCATATTATTTGTCTACACACACTAACACACAGACTCTCTCGTCCCCCCGCCCGTCCCCCCGCCCGCCCGTCCCCCCGCCCGTCCGCCCACCCACCCCACCCCCCACCGCCCCTCACAGCTAAATCACAAATCCGTCATCTCCTCCATCCCGGATCCCGAAGCCCGCGGGACGATGATCTTCGCATGGTGGTACGCCTGCCTCGCGGACGCCTATTCCGCGGCGTACTACAAGCGGAGACCGATGATGGAGGACTCGGACTACGATATCGATTTTTATACGGCCGATCCGGTGGTGTTGGAGCAGTATCAGGCGTTGGGGGGTCAGGTGGAGGGAAAGGTGGACCCGAGGGAGCATCTTGAGGTGAGATTGATCTCACTTTGAACTGCGGAGAATACAATACTCACGGGCGTTTGATAATTCACTTAGTTTCTGGGATACTACGGCGCCGCACACGCACTCGCGCGGATATCCCGAAACATGTCAAGACTGCTCTTCACGCCCAGCACCGACGCCGCCGGCGTGTCCGTCGACGCCCTGCGGGACATCATGGACCGTCTGAACGACTGGCGCGAGTCTTATCTCCCCCGTGTCGGCGTGCCCACCAACTTTGCGGCGGAGTGGGACTTCGTGTCGGCGGTGTCGGCGTGTGCGAGCGACGCGACGTTCCATATTATGTGGATCATACTGTTTACGGCCCTTGATGAGTATGGGGTGAAGGAGATTAATGAGGCGGTTAGGAGTGGGAGTATGAATGGTATGAATGGGGGGAGTCCGACGTTGCAGGGGGTTTGGAATCAGGTGGAGGATATGAAGAGGAAGGTGTTGGATGAGGCGTTGCATGGGGCGTTGAGGATCGCGGGTTTGGTGAGTTGCGGGCCTTTGACCGTGTTTTTTTTGCGTCGTTTTGACTTTTCGAACCTGTGAACTGATTGTTATTCACTCTCAGGCCGGTGTGTTGACTAAAAACGGGTATCTGCGACTGGACCCAGCCGTCATGCACGTCTCCTGCAACCAAGCCGGCGTCTTCCTCGCTCGCTTCGGTCGTCCAGAGGTCTCGAACTGCATCGAAGGCCTGGAGCAGTACTCTTACTCGTATGAAGAGGCAGCCGAACAGGCAGAGGATCTAAGGCGGATATTCGCGCTCGCGCGGGCTGGGAAGGGCGATTTTAATAATATGGCCTCGGTCATCCCAAGACCGCACGCGCTCACGCATTCGCACTCTCAACTTCAGCTCCAACAACAACAGCAACAACAGCAGCAGCAACAGATGCGGGGTGTGGTGCAGGGTACGATTGGGGGGTTGAATGGAGCGGGGATGGGAGGTCCCGGGCATGGGGCGATGGGGAATGGGATGGCGGGACATACGCATGGGCATACGCATGGGGCGGGGATTGGGATTGGGTTGGGTGTGGGTCCGATGGGAGGGGTGGTTAATGGCGGTATGGGCGTGGGCGTTGGCGTGCAGGACAGTGGGATGTATGTCGATGTGGGTCCTTATTGATTGAGCGTTGAGCGTGACGTGGCTTGGTCTGGTCTTGGTACGGTTTGATATTATGCTGGATGGATGGATGATGTTTTTGTTGGTTGGTCGCGATGCGGGGGCTGGACGCGTTGTAAGGATATATGCGCCATAGTGGGTGGACAGCACGGTCTGTTTTTTCTTTCTCTCTTTCTTTCTTTTTTTTTTTTTTTGCAGCTTGTCTCGACTCTCTCTCGAATATTTTTCCCCTTTGACCTCGATTGCTTATACCGTTCGAGTTTCCTTCTCCTCACTTTTTCTCCGACGTGTCTTGTATCTTTCTCCCTTCGTTCTTCTCGCTTCTCGTGCAAGTATCCCATTCCATTTTTTATCCGTTGCTTTATTGGTAGTGTACGCGCCTAGTCTTCATCAATCCCCCTTCTCTCTTCTTCCTCGCTCCTCTGATTCGCTCCTCTCGTATCTCCCTCTCAGCTCAGCTCACACATAATTTCGAACCATCTCCGTCGGAAAATATAGTGCTCGTCGGCCTCGTCTCCTTCCTCCGCACCCCCCTTCCCTCTTTCCCTCTTACTCCCTCCGTTCTCCCTTCCTTCCCTCCTTCCCTCCGTCTGCCTTGCTCTTGCCTTGATCATCTGCATCTGCAGCTTGCTTCACCCCTTCGCCCTGTCGTTTTGTACATACCTAGGCTTATCCCTCCGGCCTCACTTCCTCGTCTTTTGAATCCTTGCGTCGTTTCTGACTCGGGATTCAGATGTGTTCCTGTCTCTGGATTGGATGCATGATAGTAGTGATATAGGATGGGGTGTATATAGTCGTCAGTTGTCAGTTGTCCTGTGGAACACGGAGGGTATTAGTACGAGGATTCAGTGCGTTTTGAGTAATTCGATGATAAGTCATCTGCTTGGAGTTTTTGGATTTTTGGATTTTAGGATGAAGGTGGGGTAGTGTTGCCACAATGGCCACCCGGCCGTGGAAACATTCGTTCAAAATTGCAATTTATCGTCTTGACTTTGCGATCTAACAGGATCTAACTTACCTCCATGATGTTGCGTATAAGTAAAGCTTAGAACCTCTATTTCGTCTATGGGTACAAACTATCATCGCCTCTGAGGTCATCTTCGTAGATTAAGGATCTATATCGTGGTTCAAGGGGGCTTGGTAACACTGACCCAGGTTCAAACGACCGAGGACGACTTCTGATGCAGCTACTCAACTACAACGACTTCAGAGATAATTAGTTTTCAAGCATGCAGGCTATGTCACGGTCTATGCGCATGCTTACCATAGTCCATTGTGACGACAATGTCGAAGGCCCGGACGTTCTGCGGAAGAGACACACAACAGCCTGGCAGTCACTGGCATGACGTTCCTGGTGCTAAGATGTGTTTGATTTTGGGTCGGTCACGAAGGTGAGTTGTTCTCTAGAGTATTATACCGACAAATTGTGCTCACTGATTGTTTCTTCTCCAGCTGCGATGCATGCTCGGCCACATGCGCTCATATCTCAGCTAACAACTGCCTCATACCCGATGGTATACTCATAACTCGCGTTCAAAGGTACAGTTATTAACGACTATATCATGCCTCAAAGACGTTGGAAGTAGTATTATTGCGCTCACTTTCATTCACTCGCAAACTTCGTTATGCAGATGTTTATAGGTTTCCGGATATTCGATCACGAAACACATATAATACGAATCATACGGCATCAACTACCGCGGCCTCACCTTCAGCCTTTCTCCTCTTATACCTCTCCATGATCCCCGTAACGTGCAACGGAATCCCAGTCCCCTCTGACTTGCCGCCCCTCGACTTCAAAGCCAATAACTCCAGATGGAGTTTCTCGTCTCGCTTAGACGAATGTTGCTTCGCTGTGCTGGTTGCTGTTGTGGGTGCTTTCCCCCGTAGGCGGGAGCCCCATGGTGTGGTCGATGTTGCTTTGGCGGGCGTACTGTCAAACTTGGGTACGGGAATGTTGCTAGAAATGCTGATGCGCTTGAGTCTGGGAAGATTGGACGAAGCGGGCGATACTGGTGCGATGTTGGTGTTAACTTCCCCGAGAGGCTGACGAGCCTTGACGGACTTGAGAGCGACGCGCGGCATTTGGTTCGACTTCGACGGTGATTTGAGGCTCTTGGCCTGGTTGGTGACAGAAGTCGACCTCGGGATATTCTCCTTCTCCTTCCTCGACTTGAGCGCCTTTCCCAGCTCCGACTCCTTTCCAGCGGCGACAACCTGATTCTCCTTTTGCTTCGAGCTCGACGTCATCCTCCTCCCCTTAACCCGTGGTCCAAAGTCCACAGGCTTCTGCTCCTCCGTCGTGGTGGTAGGAGCCTTCTTCATCGATATCCTCCTGGCAGCCTTCAACCCGGCCCTGAAGCTCGGTTTCTCCCTCTCATCTCCCTTCTCATCTCCTTCCTTCTTCCCATCCTCAATCTTGTCCATCTTCAACATAGTCTTGGACTCCTTCTCCCTCAATTTCCTCTTCAACTCCCCCATCATGCCCAATGCTGCGTCCGAAACACCTTCCAGTCCCTTCATCAGAAGGGTATCTCCAGCGCCCTCGAACCGCCCTGTCTTTTTGAGGGCTTTGTTGCCGTCACGAATTTGCAACATAATATCCTGGGCACCCGCGGGTATCTTGCGTATAGCGGAGAACGGGGCACCAGGTGCGGGAGGCGGAGGCGGTGGTGGGGGAGCAAGTGCAGCAGGAGGGGGTGGAGGAGGGGGTGGTGGTGGTGGTGGTGGTGGTGGGGCAGGGACTGTCGATGTAGGTGATACCTCGGCCGTGAGATGACACGAGCAGGTGGCGCAGACTTCAGGTGATGTGTTGCTGTTGGTAGTGTTGGTATTGGTGCGTATGTTGCAGTTAGTGTTGATGCTGGTGTTGGTGCTGATGACTATGTTATCCTCCATGCTGCGTAGGGATCCCTCGATGATGACGAAAGACTGTTCGACATTGTCGAGCACGGCAAGGGAACGGTCCAAAACGACGATAGTCTCCTCGATGGTGGCGATATTGCTGTCGGTCCTAACATCAGCCGCGTTGACTTGCTTCATCAAGTTCAAGATAGAGAGGAACTCGATCTGGTCCTCATAGCGTGCGGCGAGGTCGCATGTGGCAAGAAGAAACAGCACCATGGACACCAAGTTGGCTGTCTGGCTACTGATCGGCTCCATGTGAGGTGCGGGCTTGCTGTAGACGATGACGGCGGTGGATGAGGTCGACATTGCTTTGTATTTCTGTAGTTATTCGAACTCGAGTATGAGATAGATAGAGAGTAAAATCTCGAGTTGTGTTGCGAGTTGCGAGTTGCGAGTTGAGTTGAGTGTCCGGGTGGGTTGGATGGAGCGTTTTGGAAAGCCTTGACGAGATTCATATCTGCGATATTGTGATTCAGACCAGCGGGTTCGGATGGTGAAGGCGTTGGTTTTGGCAGCTGTGATAGGTGAGGTATGACGTTCTACCATGCCAGACTGGAGGGACTGGCAGTCGAAATCGAGGCAGGATGGGCATGTCGGTGAAACTTCCGTAAAACTGGGCTAAGGCGAGGCTGTTGGTGAGGCCGATGGCTCCTTGAGATAGTGCTATTATATATTCTACATTTTTTGAGTCCGAAGATCATCATATACTTATATCATATCGCCACAACCCAGGCTGATGGGTGTGGCGCTTTGTCAACCGTGCGAAACCCCGCCGTTCAACGTTCAGCCTCGTTCAGCCCGAGTGGGAACGTGTAGCGAAGTTGCAAGCCACCAACACTGTCCCTGCCGAACTTCTTCACACAACTTCAGTCTCGAACAAAGCGTGTTTGCGTTCCATCAGTGTCATCAGTGTTTTCTTTTTCTGGCAAAAACACTCTGGTAACGTTGCAATATTCTACCTATTTCGACCGGCCGAATTCATTGACTTTGGGTGACCGTCACGACCAGGGTCGATGTCCTCGTCTGCCTTGACCTACCAAAATATCTCACTCCCATCCACCTGCGATACGAGAATCATCGATTGCCGCCGTCTCATAGTCTGGCCGGAAACTATAGCTCTACAGCGTAGTCAGCTCAACCACGCGCGTTCACCGACTTGTGGCGCCCTCCCCTCCGAGCTTCTTGCCGAGATATTTTCTTTCGTCGCTGCCAATCCTTCCGAACGTCCCAGGCGCCTGTCTTCGTCGTATTCAGTTCGAAAAGGATATCATCGACTGGGCTGGATCAGGGTCACTCATGTCTGTCGTCATTGGCGTATCACCGCAGCGAATCATCCTTTCCCTTGGGCAAACATCATCTACGAACTCGGTCCTCGCTGGACTAAACTTTCTATGGAACGTGCGAAGCTCGCTCCGGTCTCTCTTTGTCAGCCTCGATCGATCGATTCCGCCATCCAGGCAGAAGAACAAGACTATATACCGCAGAACATTGACCATATCATCACGCTCAAGCTGCGTGGTGATGGAGAGGATTTAGCACATATACTTGACGCTTTGATAGGGAGGCTGGCGCCACGGCTCCAAATTCTTGTCCTTCATCGGCATCTATCCTGGTACGATGAGGAAGATGACGAGCTGCCGGACACTCTTCCGCACAACTTATTCGACGGAGAAGTGCCGAAATTGCGGTATCTTCATCTTGAATATATCTCCCCGGACTGGTCATCTTTCTTCCATGCTCCGAACCTTACAATACTCAAAATTCATCTCGACAGGTTTGCTATTTTTCTTCTGATTCTTGACTCGCCACTTTCCCTTCCGAATATTGATGCATTTTCTTTCAAGTTGTCAGGAATCGCAACCCCTCCCAACCCCAGACCAACTCTTAGATGTGTTAGAGAGCATGCCCAAACTCTCCACTCTCGAGATCCACCGTGCAGTTCCAGACCACCCGGCCCACCCTACCCTTCGTCGACGCCTGGTCAAACTCTCGGTGCAGCGCATTCTGTCATTCCATGGGGATTACATCCACTGCCCATCTCTGCTTCAAAATCTATCGCTGCCGCTCAATGCACTCATATGCCTGCGTTTACTGCCTCGGCCGACATCCCAGACTCCATACGCCGATGTGTTCCGGGAAGTGGCGTCGTACTTCCAAAATTCCTTCGCACACATGGGGCCTATTCGGCGGCTTAGCATTACGGGCTCAGGCGATGGCGGAGATGTCACCCGCCTCGAATTCCTCGCTCAAATACCGTCAAAAAAATACCACCCTACCCGCGAACCTCGAACGCGTTTCAAGCTGGTGTTTATTCGTGACGAGATCTATTCATGGGAGGCCTTGGACATGATTTACGACTATTGTCTCACGATGCCCCTCCAAGCCGTACGGAAGCTGGAGTTCCTCGTACCGGAGCTCGAATTGATTATTCCAGACTACATCAATATGTTTTCACCGATGAGAGATCTGGTATTCCTCAGTATCTCTGGCCCATCAGCCATCGATCTTCCGCACGTCCTGAAAACGGACATTGCAAGCCAGCGGAGTGCCACGCCAGATCCCGACAGCATTGACCCTTGGGGCGCGATGTCTATGGAGGGACCTAGGGAGTGGATGTTCCCCAAGCTTATTTCCCTGACATTCTCCTCCTACAATTTTCAGGATGGAGATGGCCCGAGCTTCGTTGGTGGTCTTCAACGGGCTTTGGAACATAGGCGCTCGACCCTAGGACACAAGCCTTTGAAGCGGCTTACTTTCGACAACTGCTTCTTCGCGGACGATGAGTGGGTTCCGAAGGTTAGCGAGTGTGTAGAAAAGCTATCGTATCCCGAGAATTTCCTTGATTCTGAGTACGGGGACGAATTCACGGTGCTTGAGGATTATCAAGGTGAGCGACTCAAATGACCTTGGTCGAACAAGACAGCCGATCTGACGCTTCAACCAGAATCAGAGTAGGCTTTGGGTTACTGCGGGAGACTTGGAGGGTAGTACCAGACACCACTCGTTATTAGTACAGCAATCAGCGAACACGACTCGTCTCTTCAATCCCGCCGCCAACCTCGTCTAGGATGGATGTTCGTGGTCTATTTGAATGCGATATTCTTGCTATCTTGTTTTTCGCTTCTGCTTTCTTACAGAGCGTGAAGACTTGAGCGCTGAGCCTTAGTCCGGCCCAACTCGGTTCACACCTGAATTTAATCATCCCAAGCCGCAGGCATATATTTATCGTCGAGAAGGGTATAAACGTAGCACTAAGAAAACAAAGAAAGCAGAAAACAAAAAGGACACTCAGACCGGATCAAACCAAATCAAAGCCAAAGGTGTGTCGAAGAAACGGAATACAAGAACATATCACCACAAAATACACCAATACCTGAAAACAAACGTAACTCTCAAACCCGAAGCAAAAACTCTCCCGTACTACGACATAGCAAAGCTGCTATTCGTAGCGATTAGGCGGTGGCAGCAGCAGAGCACTGAGTCTCCTGCGTATCGCAGTCGGCAACGGTCACGCCAGAAGCGGCACCACTGTTGGCGGCATCAGCGCAGGCGTTGTGTTGGATAGAGCAGGAGCGAGTCAGAGCGGCGCCGACGTTGAGGAAGTCGTCGGATCCGGAGACGACAAAGCCACGGCCACCGGCGGTGACGGCGGGAGGGAGAGATCCACCGACTGGGAGTGCGAGGTCAGTAAAAGACTGCCTGGGAAGAAGACTACGACATACCATTGCCGGTGAAAGTTTGGAGGTTCTCGCCAGCGGCAGCAGAAGCGGTTGAAGCACTAACCAGACATGGAAAGTATCAGTCTCGAGGAGAACCTGTAGATATAAACGGTACATACGCGGCAGACGTGGTAGCAGCAGCAGAGGCAGAAGCAGCGGCGCTGGTGGCAGCTGCCGAGGCAGTCGCGGCCGCGCTCGAAACCGTAGTGGTTTGAGTAACAGTCGCGGCATCGCTACAAGCTGTGAGAACCATCGAGTCAGCCGGAGGCCTCAGGTTTAACGAAATAGTATATGATTATTTACCAGAAGTGGCCGCAGAGGAGGCAGAGGCAGTCGCAGCTGCTGAAGTCGCTGCTGATGCCGCGGCAGATGTTGCGGCAGCAGTAGATGCAGCAGAAACACCAGATACAGCGGCAGCAATCTCATCTACACCATATCGAGGCAAATCAGGACCCGCACTAGCGATTGAAGACAAGGGAACCAGCAACATACCGGCGGTGACATCGTCTACCAAGAGGTTCTGAGAGAAGATACATCCTTCGGTGTCGTTAGCGTCGTCACAAGTGTTGCCAGCGGCAGTGGGGTCGCCGATGGTTCCGGGAGCGAAGGTACCAGACTCGAGAGCAAGGGTGGGGTCACCGCCAACGGCCGCAATTTGCTGGGCAAGAGCAAGAGTGACGGCTTTGTTGTTAGCAGTTGCACCGTCTGCGGCAGGGTCCTGGAATTAACATCGTGAACAATGAGTACGGGCATGCAGCATAGAGCAGGGCATCAAGCCTAACCTGGTGTTGAGAGAGGGCTGCAATCTCGGGGTTGACGGCGGTAACGGACGTGCAGTTGGCCGAGAGCTGACCGACTATGAAGACGCAGATAATCAGTCAACCACTTGTCTTGAAAGATTGGCTTGAACACGTACCTGCACCGGAGTTACGTTCGAGGGCACGGTAAATAAGAGCATTCACCATGCCATCAACATCATTCGCAGCCTTAGCGTTCGTGAAGGCCTGGTCGGCAGTTGCTTGCTGGAGACAGTCGGGGTCCTATTCCACGTATGAGATAAAGCCCATCAGGAGCGTTCGATGGCTGGGAACTAGACGAAGAAGCCTACCGTCGTTTGTCCAAGTCCAGCAGCCGCAGCCGCATCTCCAAGGAGCGCAAAGACCGGGTCAACAATCCCTTGTGGGTTGTTAGTGTTCAAGCTAGTGCGAACAGCCGTGAGAATCTTTTCGTGGGAGTGTTCTTGACAACGGAACAACGTGTAAGTTCATTGCTACGCAAAGAGCCCGACGAAGTATACACACCTTGAGGGACCTCGCGCCTGAGAATCGGAGCTGCTGAAGCTGAGATAGACAGGGAAACGAGGGCGATGACAATGTTCTTGTACGACAACATGTTGAAAATGGTTGGTTGGAAAGAGTGAGAGTGAAAATGAGTGAGAGGGCTGCTTGAAAAGACCACCGGGGACTGTAGATTGCAGGGTAGGGTCAGCGTTTTGAAAAAACAGAGACGAGGAATACTAGCATAGACTCACCAAAAAGACTGAAATAAAGTAGAAAAAAGGGCGAAAAGCAAGAGCCTGTCTTGACCGGGGACGAGAAATAAACGCACAGCGACGGGAAGTGGGGAACCATGCTTGGCGAGAAACTCGTCTTATATACCGAGGCCCGAGGTCGGTGGTCGGCTGTGATAACGAGTGCCTGCCGCGTCTCCCAGTCCGAGAGAACGGTGTGGACAATTGCCGTCGCCAGGGACACAAGTTAGTCCGAATTGTCATAGAACCCACGGATCAGACTGACCACAAGGACCACCGTCTTCGATGCTCATTTGGACTGAATAGTAGAAAGCGGCACGGCATCAAGCTAACACTAATTGCTCAAAATGAATATTGCGAAGTGTTAGCCAACGCGCACGACAGCCGGTCGACCTGAACAGGTCTTTCGAGGAACACAGATGAGAAAAGAAGACCGGATTGGTTCACGCGGGGTATATCCGGAGCATGACATGGACAGCGACCAAGAAGTTGCTTCCGCCAGTGGAAACGCGCTACAGCCTATGACACGCATCTAGTTAAGTGCGTCCGCGTCGTCACGGTGAGGGAATCCTGGAGGCTCATCACCGTAGAGACGGGATCGATGACGAGTACCATCAGACGACATTCATGGGACCTCAAGGCCTCGACGATGGACACCCAATCCCATGGCACGTTCAAACATTCCAGACCGTTTGCTCCTTGCCCTGTGCGTCCGTGTTTGTACTGAAAATAGACAAAACAACGGATAGCGGCTGTTCTGGAGGAACGAAGGACATGGTGGGATTAATGCGACAACAGTGTGAAAACAGGCTCTAACAATGTGTAGATTTTCGGAAATGTGACCGACGAGAAGCTGCAGCACTACCGTAGTAAGGTGTGGCGCTCGGGTTGCACGATTTGAGTCAGAGGCATTTGCCCCGCCTTCCGTGCATACCGTTGTGCTTCATTGAAGGGCTTGATATTCAAAACTTGGGGTGAAGCACGAAGAGGACAGTGCAACAGGTCCTAGAACAAAGAATTTTGAGCATAACTTCATCGTACTTCTAGGCTAATATTTTGTTCTCATGTAGCCTGCGTTGAACAAGCGCTACTGTATTTCGCGCTGAGAAAAAGTGGAGGCAGATATGTCAGAAGCCAGTGATGAGCGCAAGATCAAGGTCTGTGGGTGCATCGGGGTCACAGACACTCGAGTTAGATACGAACACTCGTCGAGTCCTTCTTCTGTATCGAGTGAACATCTTGTTCTGAGAAGAATGATAAAAGTTAGTACACAACCACACTTCTACACGTGCGGAGTACTCACGTATACCCCATACGAAGGACCTTAGGTCAAGGAACTCTGTTCATCAAGATTTTGAGTAATGTTTAAAAGCACAAAAACGTGGATTAGGTTACGCACCAATATGAAGCCCGTCGTATATCTTCTTGACCTCAGCACGAAGCCGCTGCAGATCGTCTTTGCTGGACGAGGACTCCGATAGGGCCTTCAAGTCCTTCTCCACAGCCTCTATCCGCCTCACATGTGCGGAGACCTTGTACGGGCCACTCGGTCACCTTTTGTGGTAACTATCAACAAAACATGGGCACACACCTTCTCAGTGCTACGTTGAAGTTCCTCCACGCTCGCCTGCAGGGCAGCAGATGCCTGCTTGTACTCGTCCAGGAGCTGGTAAGCGGCGTAAGATGAAGCTAAGGAAAATCCAAATAGAAAGCCAATGACCCTACTCATATCGCACAGGATCACCCCAAGTCAGTCAATACAGGTTGCTAAGTAAACATGAATGGGCCACGCACCCGCCGCGAATTCCCCCGACTGGTTTCTTTTGTACCGGAGGAGCACCCAGATTGGGCGTGACCTCTGCCCGCAACACCCTACTAGTGTGCAGCGAGCGTAATGAAGGTCTTGTACATTGACGAGCAACAGAAGACAGACGCGCAGAGCTGGAAGCCATGGTGGCTGATGTCCAAGACGCGCTCGACGTCGGTGACTATGATGATCGGCTGGCGGGCCGAATGCGGAATGTTGTTCTCACGCGACGCGTTGTAAGTAGTTTGAAATTCCGAAGACGCGGTCTTTCGACGCGCTTTACCTTGACCTGCCATTCCAACATATCGTGACTTCGACTCTCACTTCTCTAGAGCAAAGATAGAATCATCGGCTACTTTACTCTCGGACCCTCTCACGATTTCTGCATATTCCTTCCTGCAGCACTGAGTAGAAGTCTCTGGGCCTTGTCTGTGTCACACGAAACCTTGGTCCTGATGTCTCCCAAAAGGCCGAATGAACACTCTTCTGAGGATCGTCCGTTTCGTGAGAGAAAGAAACAAAAGCTCAATGCTGCTCGTACCATAGACGTGCAAGGCTCTTCGGGCCCATTGAATGCGAATCCGACTGCTGGCCCAGGTCCATCGCGCTCGAAAGCGGTTCGATTTGACAGTAGGCCCTCGCTGAAAAATCTCCCGGTTCATAACTGATGATATTGGTTTATAGGTAGTAAGGGTCTCCCATCGTCACTAGAGGTAGAGAAGTTCACCGAGGTGGGTGATTCGTCAAATTGATCATGGTTTTAGTTAAATTTACCGCGCTGCATATTTAGGCCCGTGCATTCGAGATCGGTGCTATGCAACGAGCTATGAAGAACGCAAGGTATGACATTTCTTTGTCTCACATCTTCTAATTAATGAACCTTTGGATGTCACTTAGTTCTGCGTCAACTCATCGCGCTTGGCAGGAGCTTCCTCGTAAACTTCGACGCAGGGCTGCCAGTCACGACGTTCGTCGTGTCCCTGCTCGACTAAGGGGCAAAGCTCGTGCAGAGGTCAGCGAACGTCTCCTTAGTCATATCCTGTATGATACGGGTGGTAACTTCTACCGCCACTTTAGATGGACCCGATGCGCCGCAAGATATTAGGAAGAAAGCTTCCCAAGCTTGGGAAGGCGCGACAAGAAAGTCGTGCAGATATCTTTGAACGACGTCAAAGTGCGTGGTTCTGTGTATGTCGGACTCAATGGCTTCAAAACATACTGACAAGATCATATTCTAGAGGATAAGAAATGGTTGGAATCGCACCTGTGGCACGCTAAACGAATGCACATGGAGAATATGTGGGGTTATCGATTGGTAAGTCGCACCATCGTCGCCGTCACTCATTAACTCAAGTTGATAGACTATCTTTCCAGGCCATCCAACCGACCGAAAAGTCGTTTCGCCCCTCTCACCGTGCCTCTGTCCATGACTCCATCCTGCACGACGCTTCTTACAACGCCCTCATCGAACTCAAAGGAGCTCAAGTTGTCCTCAAGTCTTTGCTGGAGGCCGTTTGTGACCTCCGAGGCCAAGGTCCAGGAGCGAGGAGGTACATCACAGGCGCTCGCACCTGCGATATAAAGATGTACAGGCCTAGACAATATCCTTTCGGTTTCATAGGCCCCGTGGTTGTTATGTGGCGACCGAGGGAACGAGGCGCTGCACAGAACGAGGAAGGAGCTGACGAGGGCGAGCATCATGCGCCAACTGAGAAATCCCTGGAGGCAACCCAGAAGAAGCCGAGACGCAAACGCGGGAAGAAGAAACAAGATGGTCAGTTATCTGTTTCACAACGAAATATCGTAGCGCGAAACCTAACTTCATCCGACACAGTGCCTGAGTCTGCACCACAACCTGTCACGCCGCTCGCAGAGGAAGACACAGAAAGGACCGTATGGGTCCGGTGCCACCCATCTATCTTCACGGACGTCCATGTCGCACTCAAGCTGGCCTTATCGTTGACCTTGCAAGACCTCAAGTCAAACGCGAAGTCTTCAAACAAACATTACGAGGTTGAAGTCACTGATTTGTGTGACTCGGTCAACGTATTCGAAATTATGGGGCCGAAGTCTAGTCAGATTATCAGAGGAGCATTCCGTCCTGTTATGGACGGGGAGAGAGCCGAGCTGAAGGAGGTCAGTAACTGCTCTTGCTCTTCCATGTAAAAAAGAAACTCAATGGTCATTCACAGTTTTGGAAAGCACTCAAGGACCTACAATCACCAGGCTCCGTCCCTAAGAACATGACAATCGGGTTCGAAATCCATGACCCACGCCTCAAGTGCGATCCCTCCTCTCAATTGTCTTCCTTGGACACTAATCACCCAATTCCATCCTTAGCTTTCCACCAAAAAACGCAAAAGTGCATGTCTCCTCCTCTCGACTACCCAGCATCCCCGCCCCATGGACCTGCTTCCCTACCGCTTCCCTCTCCACCTCTGAATTGTGGAACCTGGACAAACGCAAGAACCTTCAAATCCCACGGTTCAAGAAGAAAGAGCTCGATGCGAGACGATCGCAGAACGCCGTCCCGGGCACGCCACTCAACCCTACCTCGTCGGACAGCAAGATACCTATCATCGTGATCCAACGGTCACTTTCGTCGTCGAACTCTCCGTCATCGCTCTCCAACGCCTTAAGTGCCACATCTTTCGCATCGTCATCCTCTCACCCTGCTCTGCATGGCTGGACAATCATGTTTCCGCGCGGTTGGTCCATCCCATTCCTGACATCTCTCGTCTACACAGGCACTCGTGTCTCGGGCCAACGCGAAATCCAACATCAGCACTTCGAGTCGTCTGTTCCGTTCTTCCCTAGGGACTTTCCGTTTTCTGGCGAAGCGTACGAGGAGTTTAGGAAGAAGAGGGCGACGGAAGAGAAGGAGAGGTGGGAGAGAAAGCCAAAGGCCAAGAGGGCGAGCTGGGAGAAGCTGGGAACTAGGAGTGCCTGGAGAGAGGACTGGGAGGTGGTTCTTGGGCTTGAGGAACCCAAGAGTGGATCGCAGGACGAGGATGAGGATAAAGGTGAAGATGGTGATGAGATGGATGTCGACAAGCCGGGATTAATGCCGACTCAGCGGGAGGCGCCCAATGCTCAATCCAAACCGCAGGCTCAAAACAGTAACGTCCGACCCTGGCTCCTGCAAGGCTCTGAAGTTCCAGCTATTCTCACCACCGCCTTTCAATCCCTCAATCCCTCTTTTTCTCTGCTTACCTCAATCAAACAACTCCGCAGCAAACGTGGCATGGACCCTATTCCACCGTCCTCTGTCTCCGTTATTCCCGCCAGATCAACCACATCTATCTCAGAAGGTGCACTGGCTGACGACTTGATGAGCGGCGCTCTCGTGCAAATCCGCCTGAATATGTTGGGCCGTGGGTGTCCGGAGGATCTTGCAATAATCTATGACGTGGATGAAAAAGAGGCGAGGAAATGGGTTATTGCGTCTAGGAAGGCGAAAAGGGGCCAGGATTGGGATATGGATGGTGAACAAAACACAACGCAGGTTCGCAACTCCTTCGTCTTCGTTCATCATTTCACCTCACTTGCAAGTGGTCTCGACGTGGTAAGCTGACGTTCCTCGGTATGACTCAATGCAGTTGTCTGAGGGGATACCATCTCAAGGAGATATAATCGGCTACGTCACAAGCGGAAACTACTCACTCTCTCGTGGAGAGGCGTTCGCCATCGGATGCATACCCCTAGTAAAGCTGCTCGAGCTCAAACAGAGAGCACAGAAGTAGGTCTCCCTCACCACTTTCATCGTGGTATTTGTGCTGATATGGCCTGTCTTCTGCTTATGTAGGTTAAAGCTAGAGGGAATGATGGTCAAAGTGCGAGATCGGGGTGAGACCATCTGTAGAGCTGCATGGGTCGAAGTATTGGGGGTGTAGTCTTTGTTACGGTAAGGCAGAAATAAGTACTACCATCTATTGCCGCACATCACGAACAACGCACGGTAGAGTGGCTCTGAATGTGAGACCATATATAGGTGATAGAGAAGCCATAAATCATCGCAAACTACCCAATCGACAAACAAAGTCCATCCTCCAAGAGATTCCAATCAAACAGGGTAAATTAAGCATAACTCTAGAGGCTTCGCCACCTCCGTTCCTCGACTACCACTCCGACACTGAACCCCGTCTCACTCTTCCCGACTCGACCTGATCGACTGCATACTTGATGATCTGTGCGGTCTCCCACAACGGTCGATACCTAAACGAGTCATATAATGCACATACCAGAGTTCCGCGTCAGTACACAACGAACTGAGCGAAGAGCAGAAGCAAAGAAAGAAGGAGATATACCCACCCAATCATCTTCCTAGCCTTACTATCATCAATAACCACATCCCTCATATACTCCAACGTAGTAGGCTGGAGGAATACCGTCTCCTTCAACCATTTTGGTGCGGTGCTCGGCCTCGAGCCTGGTCCGGAGAAGAACCCTAGCAGTCCCAGGATGCGGTAGAAAGGGAAGAGGAAGTAAAAGCGGAGGTAGAGGAAAACCTCGATGAGATGGGCGAGGACGAAGATAAGCAGTGGGGAAGTGTGTTTGAACGTCAATGGGCGGGGACAATAGTGCTGTGGCGTGACAGGTCGTGTGGCGTGAGTAAGATCGAATGAGAAGGCATGGATGGGGAGCGAGGATGGATGTACCTTCACGGCATTCCTTGTGTCCCCCATCGTCCATGCCGATCCATTTCCAGTGATCAAGAACGTCTCGCCACCCGCTTCCTCTGGGCGGTTCCTCAATGCATCCTCCAGCGCAAGATGCGCAGCTGCCGCATCCCACACACAAACATTCGTATGTGCCCAATTCTTATCGAAGATGGTGACGGGGTCGGTCGACAACACGCTAGTGACCAAACGGTCGTTCGGGCCTATGATTGTTCTAGCGGCGCCGTCATCCGTCCAGGATCAAAAACGCAAAGGGTAGGAAAGTCGAGGCCAAATCAGCGGTGTGGCCCCGCTGAGGATATCGAATGTACGACAGTTAAGCTGGACTCACTGCCCCGGCCTCAGAATTCCTGTTCTCAGCATGCCACCATCAGGCTCATTGGCGCCCTTGACGAACTTCTCCGCCTCACGCTTACTTCTCGCATAGCAGCTCACAGACCCATATTCTTTCACCTCATCTTCCGTCCATTCCCTATCTTCGTCGCTTACTATCACCGTGTTGCTAGGCCATACCTCGAAATCTTTGCCTAGTTTGAGGAAACGCGGGCGGGGAATGGAGAGGTCGGAGGTAGAGGTATAAACGAGGATGGTCTCCGCTGCGTCAGAGCGAGAGGAATTGAGGGAGGCGAGCTCAGAGGCGATGGTGATGACATTGTAGGTTCCTCGGACGTTGACATCGGCTGAAAGGGGATATGCGTAGGATGCACGTTCCCAGAATCTGATGATGGCTGCTGTATGAAATATTACGCTCGGTAATACTTCGGTTTTGTTGTCATCCTTGAAGGGAGTGAGCAATCCACTTCGCACGGAAGAAAGTTGTGTGATGTCGGTTTTGACGAATGAGACGGAGGGATGGTTAGCAAGAGCTGGATCCGTGGGTGGGTGAAGGTCGAGAATACGAATGTGGGGCTCTTTACGCAGGAGTAATAGACGGACAATATGGCTGTAGACGTGGGCCACAGATATAGGTGCACGAAATCAGCATCCAGTCATAAAATCATGCACATACGCATTCGACAAGTTCGCTGATATCAGGCGTCGCTTTGGAAAAGTCAGACTCACGTTCCAACGAATCCACTCCCACCAATCACAATATATCCCTTCCCAGTTGTCTGCCTCGCGCTCTCCTGCAGGCCCTTCAACAGACCCTCCGTACCTCTACCGTCTGCATCAATAAACTCATCATACCGTACCGCATCCAGCACGTCCGGGCTCAAGCTCTCCTGCACCACAACTTGACCATTTAATCGAGAGGGATGTGGCCCTTCGAGTCGTCGGTTCAGGTCAAGTAGAAGACCAAGCATTTGACCTCCAGGCGAGGCTCCAAAGCCAATTATTCCGCTGAGTACCAAAGACTGTAGAGGTGGAGGAAGGCGGAGAACGTGTTTGCGTAGTGTTTCTACCGAGAACAGAGACTCTTTAGAGTTGGGAACTGCGCCCATCGTGGGTACAGAGTAGTAGGGTATCTGGGTAGTTTCTCAGAGGGGTGTATAGAGTCGGTCTCGTGAACGAATAATAATAGCTTAGAGTGTTAGGAGAGAAGTTGGGGGGAAGCCGAAGGCGGACGCGTTGCGCGAGGTTGCGCGTTTCCAACTTTGCCGCTGGTGTGGCGAGCGACTGTGGCCCGCATGAAAATGATCCAACCACAACAATTATAACCCATGCGTTACAGATGTACACAGTGTACTTATCAAGGACAAAAAAGACTAAATCAGAGGAGGCTTTGGTATTGACCCTAGCATGAGGGCAAAGGCAAAAAGGGTATGTACTTCAAGAGTCTGACCTTGAACATCTCCTGGAGTTAACATACTAGGCAGTGTTCCAGAAAAGTCCCAGCCTGAAAAGAGACTAGTTTCGTCATTTGTGATGAGGGGTGCTTGGCCGGGAACTTGCAAGGGAGCACCCTCAGTGCGTTCGCTGAATTGTTTCGGGGGAGGGGGTCGAATTGGGAGCGGACAGTTGATATAAATACACATTAGACATGTATACGCGTAGAACATCGAAGATGAAGGAGAAGGGTATAGTATCAAGTGTCCGGCTGAGCTACCCTGTGACTGAAGATACCGAAGTGAAGGATGAATAGAGATGGGATGGCCGAAAAGGTGTGAGATGGATAGACGAGATAAATAGGCAGAAATCGTTCAAACGTCGTTCGTTGCTAGTCCATGAAGTCCGACTATGACTTTCTGTCCACGGTCTTCCACCACTGTTACATATTGAGAGCGCGTCAGTATTGTCATACATCCAAAGACCAGCGGAAACAATAAAACGCACATCAATCGTCCTCTTGATACCCTCCTCCAACCCCACCTGCGGCTCATACCCCAACAACCTCCTCGCCTTCTCGATATTATAATACCTAATCGCACACGTATACGTAACCTTAAACCTCGTAAACGTCGGCTCCTTCCCGACCAACCACCCCCACCATTCAGAAAGCGTCGCCACGACCAGCCCCACCGTCTTCGGCAACACGATGTTTCCTCGGCTTGGATACTCGCCAGGCGCCATGAGCCTCCAAAGTGCTCGCGGGAAGTCCCAGAACGGTAGAGGCTCGCCGTTGGTGATGAAGAATACCTGGCCTGCAACTTGGAGTGGGTAGGTTTCTGCGCGCTCGATTGAGCTTTTTGAAAGGGGGTCGAAACGGGAACGAACGACGGGTCGTTCTTCGATTCGGTGGGGATCGTTGAAGGCTGCGAGGAGGGCTTCTGCTTCTGGTGGTGGTTCGACGTAAGGGCCTAGAGGACGTGCGTCGGAGGTGGGGATTCGGTGTTTGCCTGTTGTTACGTCGATGGGAGGGAGCGCGTAGTTGAGGAGGGCGTCCTCTTTTTCGGGGTTTAGGACGCTGCTGCTGCTGCTGCTGTCGTCGTCCGGAACGGAACTGGGAATGAGTTTTTCTGCGGCGAGAATGTGCGCGTATGCGACGTTGCCGACGTAGGTCCAGTCGAATAGATTGGTGTTGTCGCCTATTTGGAAGTATGCTTTCCCTTCTTTGAGGACTTGAGCGAATCCGGGGATCGCTGTTCGGTCTCCGGGTCTATACCGACCAGAAAAGGAAAACAAATTCGAAAAAGGACGCGGTGAAGGATGCAAAAGGATGGTACGAACCCAAATATGCCAGCAGGTCGAAGCGCGACGGTGTAAAGACCGCCCTTGCCATTTGCGGCGAGCACGAGCTCCTCTGCTTTTGCCTTCGACTCGTTGTACGCGTCCAATGGCCTTTCCGGAGGTGGTAACCGTTCGTCAACGTCAATGAGATCTTGCCCGTTGAAAACGACGCTCGCGGAGCTGGTGTAGACGAGCTTTTTCAGGCCGTTCGCGACAGCGGCAGCAATGATAGCTTTCGTCCCTTCGACGTTGACTTTCCAGAACAGAGCCGCGTCTCCAATAATCGAGTGTGGGGATGCTGTGTGAATTATACAGGTCGCGCCACTCTGTACATTGTATAACAAAGGATGAGTATTGTAGAATTGGAAGAGGAAAGGGAGACTACGCACCTTCTGGATGGCCTGCGAGACCTGTGCCTCGTCTGAGATGTCGCCAGAGTAGAATGGGACATCATGGTGCCTCTGCACGAGATCCAATACAGCAACTGGGTCTCCGCGTTCTAGTAACTGCTCGACGATATGTCTTCCCAAGAAACCACTTCCGCCAATAACCAGGTAGACTTCTCGTTCTGGAGACATCGCGTGCGTTCAATAATTCGTGGGCGACTGAGAAGGGTAGCTAAGGACTGAGCAAACAAGTAGAAGGCAGAAAAAGCAGAGATAAATCAGAGGTTCGTGGCCTAGGGATCTGGGGGATTGTTACAGAGCGGGGAGAGCTTCGAGGTGAAGAGAAGATTGAGTTGTTTACCGCTCGCCACGAAGTTATCAGGCACCTGTGGCGCGCCACAACAACATCGGTTCTGATTCGTCGCACGAGCTGCATCGTACGACTTGCTCAATAGCCGGTTTTTATCTGTTTTATTTTCTCGGTCCCATGATGAGGAACTCGTCAAACAGGATTGCACCCGTGGCCATAATTGAGCATATTCTACTTCGTGTTCTGAGTTGGCCAAAGTAACCCACTACAAGGCCCAATAGATCTCAGTGAGCATTAGATACGTAAGTACTGTATACACTAGTATGCACCGGAGTAAGTGTGATGGAAGGGTATAAGAGGTCCGGTCCAATCCTCCTGCAATTGTCAAATGAAAGGTAAAGAAGGGATGCAGGTCCGGAAGGGAAAAATAATGTAGTCTTTGGAAGGGCAGATGTCATGACTGAAGCGTCGCGGAGAAAAAGTCGTAGGACCGTAATTCGTCGCGCCTGACCCGAAATTATGATGGCTTCTTGGCCTCCACGGTCTTCCACCACTATTCAGAAGGAACATGCCAAATTTCATCAGTCACTCGTTCAGTCATGGTACAGCATCGAAAAAATAAAGAAGAAGGAACATACCTCGACAGTTCTCCTAATTCCCTCCTCCAAACCGACCTGCGGCTCATATCCCAAGAGTCTCCTTGCCTTCTCAATATTATAATACCTCATCGCGCACGTATACGTAACCCTATACCTCGTGAACGTGGGCTTCTGTCCCGTAATCCACGCCCACCACTCCGCCAACACCGCCAAAAATAGCCCCAGTAATCTCGGCAGCACGATATTGCTCCTCTTAGGATATTCTCCTGGAGCCATCTGCCTCCACAATGCCCTCGGGAAATTCCAGAACGGTAGTGGTTCGCCGTTGGTGATGAAGAAGGCTTGCCCGGCGACTTGGACGGGAGAGCCCTCGGCGCGCTCGAGGGAGGGTTTCGAGAGGGGGTCGAATTTCGAGCGGACGATGGGTCGGTATTCGACGTGATTGGGATCGTTGAAGGCGGCGAGGAGGGCATCGGCGTTTGGTGGTGGGTCGACGTAGGGGCCGAGAGGGCGAGCGTCGGACGTTGGGATGCGATGTCTGCCTGTGGTGGAGTCGATGGGGGGAAGGGGGGTGTTGAGGATGGCGTCCATTTTTTCTTCATTGGTCTCGCCGTTTAGTTCGGGATGAGGAATAAGTTTTTGGGCGGCAAGGACGTGGGCGTAGGCGACGTTGCGGACGTAAGTCCAATCAAAGAGGTTGCTGTTGTCGCCGACTTGGAAGTATGCCTTGCCGTCCTTGAGGATCTGGGCAAATTGAGGTATCGCCGTGACGTCTCCGGGTCTGTACCGACCAATATTCAGCGAACCGAGAATAGAGCGCAATTAGACAGAACTCACCCGAAGATACCAGCAGGACGAAGCGCAACGGTGTGCAACCCACCCTTGCCGTTAGCAGCAAGAATGATCTCCTCTGCCTTTGCTTTCGAGGCGTTGTAGGCGTCCAAGGCATCCTCGGGTGGGAGTAACCGTTCATCAACGTCGATGAGATCCCCACCATTGAAAACGACACCAGCTGAGCTGGTGTATATGAGCTTCTTGATACCGTTCGCGACACAGGCAGCGATGACAGATTTTGACCCATCCACGTTGACCTTCCAGAAGAGAGCTGCGCCGTCGTAAATCGCGTTCGGGGACGCAGTGTGGATTATGCAGGTGGCACCACTCTAGAGACGAACAACGTACGGTAAGCACTCGAGTATGTGCATAAGAAGAGATATTGTACGCACCTTCTGAATAGCCTCTGAGACCTGTGCCTCATCCGTAATGTCCCCAGAATAAAATGGCACATCGTGATGTTTTTGGACGATATCGAAAACAGCGACGGGATCACCCTGTTCCAGGATGTATTCGACTATATGTCTTCCCAAGAACCCACTGCCGCCGATGACAAGATAGCTTTCTCGTTCTGAAGACATGATATGAGTCTTAAGCAAGAAAGAGTAGTCCAAAGAAAAGAAAACCAGAGGACGAGCAGCTAAAAGCAAGGCAGCTGAGAACGTTGGCAAACGTACGACCACAATATTTTTGCCGCGGACGCGAAAGCTATTTCCGGCCGAGCCGGACACGCACACGTGACCATCGCGTTTGCCTCGCGCCGCGCTTTCGGCGCCGCAATCCGTTCTTTCCAACAACGGTCATCATCGTCGCCACCTTCCTCGACGTACGCATCTTTGCCTATCGCGTCGTCATCGTGCTCGTCAGTCAACGGCAGCCATATACTCTGTCGCGTATATACTCGGTTACATATTAAAGATGCAAGCTCTGCACGCCAAACGAAAGTTCAGGTTAGAGGAGAAACAACAACTGCTCGCCAACCTCGATTTCGAAGGTACCCTTCCTTCCCCTCTTATCGTCACCCATCTCATCTCAAGCATTCTTTCAATCCCACAATTCTTATTTCTTTGACCGACGATACAGTGGAACACAAAATTCGTCAACTCGAATCCCTCCTTTCCGATGCGCTCTCCGAGTTCCGCGGTCGCCACGAACTCCAAATCTCCCGCATCCCTCACATCGTCCGCGGGATATCCATGGCGGACTTTCATGACAAATACCACAACGACATTACGACTGCTTCTCGGGGCTTGCAGGAGCAGAAGTTGGGCGGGACGGAGGGCGCGGCGGGAACCATTGACAGGGCGGCGATGAAGAGGAAGTGGATCGCGGTTCAGGATGATGGGGAAGGGTCGGAGAAGGGGATGGGTAAGGATGACGGAGGAAACATGAACAAGGCGACGAAGAACCGTGAGTATTCTTTGAATACCTACTTGATCGGGGTGGTGCTGACTACATACTTTGTTTAGCGCGTACGATGGCGAATGTCACGACGCCACAGAAGAAGCCGCCTTTCGCTGTCGGGAAGAATCCGAGAACACCGGGGACAGTACGTCCAATTTCTCCTGTTGCTCTTCCAAAATAATAAAACCGTCTTACACTCTTTCCACCAGGGCCGAATCAACTCCCGCGCCCCTTCGCCCAGTCCCCGCAAATTCCAGTCCACTACCACCATTCCCCACTCGCATTCCCGCCCTCCATCCCGTGCAACCTCACCAACTAAGCCACGCGCCCATCGACCACCGTCCAGTGCCACTTTCAACCCCACTATACCCAAGACCCCCGCCTACCCAGGAGCCTCAAATCAAGCTCCTCGCGTTCCTCGCAAAGACGAGTTTATGATGAGCGTGAACGGCTCACCGTTGACGAACCCTTTCGATTTGGGATTGAGTTGGTTGGCAGAGACACCTGGGAAGGATGGGGATCGTGATGACTATAGTGATGGTGAGGTGGATGGTAATCGGAGTGGAAGAGGCGGAGAATCGGAGAGTTCGAAAAGCGGGAATGGCAAGAGAGCAGAACGCGTCCGAACAAATAGTATCCTCGTTCGGCGCGATGATACCTCCTTTAACTCGTCTATCGCCTCGTCCTCCAACCATCCCCCACCATCACACCCACATCACTCCGGCCACACCCGTTCCAACTCCCACACCCACATATCCCACTCTACCTCCACTCGGCCCCCATCCTCTCTCGCCACCCATTCACAACCTCATCCGCGTCCTCATTCTGCCATGGCTGGGCCGGTGCGCACGACAGGGTTTAGCGCGAGGGTAGCAGTGCCCACGAAAGACGGACATACGCTTGAGTTTGATCCACTGCAGACGTCGCCGAGTGCGCTGGATATGTTGGAGGGTATTACGGATAGCGCGAAGAAACAGGCGAAGGAGGATATGGTGAAGTTAGTGCAGACGGCCGTGGCGAGGTGGAACATCACTTGATCTTCCACTGTTTCTAATTTATGGTTCATGTTCTGCTTTTCCGTCCCTGATTTCCTTCCTTTACCCGGCTTTTTTGACCTTTCTACTCTCGTTCATCTTTTCTTTCTTATCCCTCATCTTTGAGACTCGTCCTGCGCCCATGTACAGTTGATACATCAACAACTCAAACAAGCGATGGCTGGGCTGTTTCATGCATGCATGACGCCGCAATCTTCTACAAACATCCTTTTTTCTCTGTCTCCATCAATGTTTCCGAGTCATGAGGAGTGCACATCATCAACCTGCCTGAAGTCGATCCAGGCTTGAAACGTCTAGTACATCTCCAAATGCGCCTATTTTGAGCACAGAGTTGAGCGCTTCGCCCAATCTGCGCCGCCAACACGATGGCCAGTTGACTGGAAGCCCATTGGTCATGATCTACTTCGCCACCGACTACTATAAGACATTGAACGCCCCTACCTGGCGCTTTTCTCCCCCTGTCTCTTGTTCGTTCTTCGTCTGGTCTAATAGCTCATAATAATCGCCATATGTCGGTACAACGAGATGTTCACTTGGTCATTGGTGGAGGTGGTTTCGTAGGGCGACATATTGTCGAGCAACTGGTGCAACGCGGTGAATCGGTCGCGGTCTTCAGTCGCGTCCAGAGGCATTACGATGTCCCGTTTTATTCTGGAGACATAAACGACGAGTCGCAGATCTCACAAGCTATCCAAAAGGTGCGTACCATTCTTCTCTTATAATGTCCATAATTTTACATTGTATGTTCTCAGAGTGGCGCCACATGTGTATTCCACACCGCCTCTCCACACGCTGGCAGCAGTGATGCAGCAACTTGCTGGAGAGTCAACGTCGAGGGCACAAAAGCCATCATTTCTGCCTGTGTCGCGAACGGCATCAAAAAGCTCGTCTACACGAGCTCGTCTACCGTCGTGTTCAATGGCCAGGATCTCATCGACGTCGACGAACGGTGTCCTCCGCCGGAGGTGGCTATGGATCACTACAACGAGACGAAGCTGAGGGCGGAAGAACTCGTGCTCGCTGCAAATGGAAAGGATGGCCTTTACACCGTCTCACTACGACCTGCTGGGATTTTCGGGTGAGTGCCGTTCTCTGGCACACTGTATTCTTCACCTTGCAAACCGTTTCGCCGTACTTTGCCGTTCCGTCCGTCCAGACCTGGGGACAATCAACTCATACCTGGATATGCCGAAGCGTTCAAAGAAGGGAAGGCACACTACCAAATTGGTGACAACACCAACCTATTCGACTTCACCTACGTCGGCAACGTCGCCTACGCACACATCCTCGCCGCTCAAAAGCTCATCCCTCCTCCCGTCGCACTGGACGAAGATAAAGTTGACGAGATTATCAACCGTTCCCTCCCCTCTATCGACGCCACAACAGGCAAACACCGAATCCCGTCCTCAGACGCCCGTCCTCTCGGCCCCTACGTCGACCCACCACCAAACGCAGACGCCCTCCTCGCCGCCTTCAACGACCCCTCCTACGTCGAATCCCGACCCGTCGCTCGTACCCGATACGACCAGTTCTCAAAACAAGCCCTCGAACGCTCCGAGCTCCCGCCACTGCAAGTTGCCGGCCAGGCGTTCTTCATCACTAACGGCGAGCCTGTCTACTTCTGGGACTTCTCGAGGGCGCTGTGGAGGGAGATGGCGTTAGGGAAGTATCCGACGAAGGGATTTACGGTGTTGCCGAGGACGGTGGGATTGACATTTGCGACGATGGTGGAGTGGTGGGGATGGTTGACGGGTACGGAACCGGTGTTTACGAGGTATAGGGTCACGTATTCGTGTGCGAATATGTATTATAATATTGAGAAGGCGAGGAGGCTGTTGGGGTATGAGCCACAAGTGGGTTTGGAGGAGGGCATCAAGCTGAGTATGGAGGTGCGCTGTTTTCTCTTGCTATAGCTCCGTCGTGCCTTTGGACGTTTCACTGACGCGCTTTTGGCTCGGTCGTGAAACAGTGGTGGAGGACCGTGGAGGCCAAGAATAAGTCCTAGTTGTGACCCTGGCTCGGATAAGTACGACGAACGGCGCCTTCCCAGTCTCTTCCTCTGCGTCTTGCATTGCACCATCCGTTCGACAACTTCTCCTCTCCTTCCGCCTATTATCTCACCCCACTTCTTGCTTTTTTTCTCTACCTTGCGGCAGAATGGACGATGAGTCCGACGGACTGGACGCTTGGAATACCCCTCTTCTGCTTCTCGTCCGCTTTCCAATATTATCTTGCTCTTTTCGGTGGACTAGCTTACTTGATGATCACTACTATATATCGTTCGGGACTACTGCTGTATCACAGACAAAAAAGCATTACTTGTCGCGGTCACGTGGCTATTTCTTCCGCGCGATGGTGGCGACGCGAACATTACCATGGCGCCACGCAGCAATATCGCGTCGCCATTTTTTGTCGAGCTTTACAGGAATTTTCTTCGAGCTCTCCAAAGAAAAATGAGCGCCGGTTTGGAATCAAAAACCTGCGTCTTGCTTTCACATGAATTACAGCCACATTGGGTTTCTTTTTTATATCGCAGGTAACCAGGGTAACCCAAGCTTGCTCGCGCGCGAGTGTCCGAAGCCGGGCTCGAACCCCACAAGGGGCGAAGACACCAGCTTAACCGTTAGACCACTGCCGCATTGATAGACCTGAACGTAACAGTGGTATATGCAGCTCACTCGTCCCGAATATAACTCATTTCTCGCATGACTCCCTCACCTTTCATGAAAATTTGGGTCCCGCTACGTGGGGCTACAAAGCATTATATATTAGAACGACTCCGACATCCAGCGAACAATACGCAAAATAAAGGTATCCATCAAATACGGCAGTCTTCATCCAATCATTTGCGATCCCTAAGCATCCGTCAACAGACGAGACGACTCCGGAAATTGCAAAAGAAAGAAATGAAGATCCCCCGACGACACAAGCCAGTAGTGCAGCGGCAAGGTCATCGCGTCTCCCGGGTTGCAAGCAGAGCCCAGGGAACAAGGGCGGCAAAAATTAGATAACCAATAATGGGGGCGGTGCCCCCATAATAGTGGTTAAACTATTAAGAACAGATACTACACTTGATCTAAGCCAAAAGGCCAGAGTGGTGAGGAAATAGGGAAGTCGGGCGGAAGGTATTTATGCAGGAAAGAGTGCGCACGGACCAGGCGTCAGAGAGGATGTGGCGTCGTGTGTGGCGGAGTCACACGGACCACTTGTGGATCACTGGCAGTTTTGTAACTCGCCCGCGAGCACGCAAGGAAGGTTCTGCGAGTGTCATGAGCATTTCGTTATTCAGGACGACAAAAGGGCTCATAGCACGCATAACATGGAGCGTAATGCAGTCCACCTCCGAGTCCATTCCATCGCGGAATCTTTTCGTCAATCCATCAACTAAACCACGTCGTGTAGTTGCTCCCCAGTCCTTGTAGCGTGTTGGCGATTTGTCGTGCGACAATCCGGTCGGACTGCTCAGATGGGTGGAGCTCGTCGAACCTAATAAGCATACAGGTGCATCAGCAAAGAATATAACCAAACACTGCGGGGACTGAGGAATGACAAAGCTCACCAAACGTAACTGTCTCTGTCTGTCCCATTGACGAGAATACAATCATCCGTATCCGACGTACTTTCACCCTCGGTAAACACGCACGAGTGGACACATCCCGTTGTGTTGAAAGGCGCAGTACCGTTCAGGAACGATGCTGGGTTGGCGACGATGTCCTCGAACAGTGAGTGGGAGTCGAAAAGACCTATTACGGAGAGTTAGACCTGTATCGCTAGCAGAGTTCTCTTCAAGCCACCAGTGAAGGTGCGTTCTTTTATAGGTCGGGTGGCCGTGGCACTAACTCACCGATGTGGGCATCTGGAAGAGATGCGGCCAGGAGCCTGAGCATCAATTCACCAATCTCATTCCCAGAGACACCCAGTTCTCGAACAAATAGATTCCACTCGGTTGTGTTGCGCGGTTGTGTCCAAAACCGATTCGGGTAAGAGTCGACTTGGTAGAGAACGAGGAGCTCAAATGGGACCATCTGTAGACGTGTCATTCATCAGTCCGTTGACGTTCGATTTGATGTCTAAGTTCATATATGTGAGGGAAAGCCTACATTTTGGAAGAGGAAGTTCCTCGCTCCGCTATCGTACAGTGTCTGGAGGACGTTGACTGCGCATGCGGTCGTGTCGACGATGGTAACGCCGTTGGTTTGGCCTCCAGTGAGGCTGTGAAGTGAGGTGCAGTGAGTTTTAACGCCCACATGATAGTGAAGTATAGCCCATACAGAGTGTTTGGCCCGACGTCATTGGTACCTAAACACAAGGTAAAGTCAGGACACTCTCACGAACGAAAGTCGAAAATCAATGCAGACTTACCAATCCACAACGTGAACAACGTATCATTCGCACTCCCGGTAATATTCCCAACATCGACCGAGTCGAGATATGCCGGAAGCTCATCCTGAACCACAGCTGGGAATGCCGATCTAGGAGTGAGGCTCTGGTTGCACACCGCACCACTTTTTGCGAACGGGAACAATGTGAGGTTGGCGTAGCCAGCGAGGTATACCGGCCAAGCCGTGCCTCCGTCCCCGACGCTCACAATATCCGAGTAGGAATCTCCAAATGTGACAATGTTCTTGATAAAGTTGGCTGGTGGCCCTAGAGCACTGATGCCTGGAACGATGAGAGAGGCGAGGCTAAGGGCGGTGAGGAGCATCCTCGTCGTGATATGAGTTTACAATCGTAATCGAGGGGAGCAAGATTCTTGATCAAAGAAACTGACACTGATGAGCATTGTGCAGCGAAGATACGGGCGTATATAAGGGCGCGAGCGACGACCAAGTCCAACTTTGTGAGCCGCAGGGCCGCTCATGCAAAGACATACGGCAATCCGTCAACGTCACGTTCAGGAGGTCGACAGATTCTCGGAGAAATAGAGCGGTCATGAGGCTGAGAAAACATGAATATCGACAAGGATGTTGAGAGGGAGAAGTGTCACAAGTATGCGAATGATTATAGGATTTTGGGACGTCGACTGGAATACATGCGGAAGTCCAGCATGCATGAGAAAGGTCATCGTCCCAGGTTTAAGCGGGGGACCGGTTCCAGAGCCGCACAGTCGATGAAAGGGTTTCGAAAGTCATCTGTTCGATCAGTTGTGCGCTGGACACATATCCTTCTGATGATAGAGGGTGGTTTTATATAGATCTACGTACGTGAATTTTGGGACAAAATAGTGCTCGAAGCCCACAACCCAGGTTATAACAGGAGGGAACTCCGTTGGTCGTCCCATGACACCGTCAATGGGTCGTTCAACTGAGCCACGTGGTATACTTGCTCCCCAAGCCCTGCAACGAATTCGCGATCTGGCGAGCCACTATCCTATCCGACTGCTCAGACGGATGCAGCTCGTTCCACCTGCCAGGCCATCGCCCCATGCGTCAACAACGAACTGCGCAGTACTAAAGTACTAAACTACTTACCAAACGTAGCTATCTCTATCCGTCCCGTTGATGAAAGTGCAGACGCCCGGGTCCGATATACTCTCGTTCAACTCGAACACACAGGACTGAACGCATCCCGTCACATTGTATGGAGCAGTTCCGTTCAAGAAAGAGCCGGGATCATCGACGATATTCTGGAATAGTGTGTGCGAGTCGAAGAGACCTGTGACCAGACCATTGATGTATTATGCTTGGTGAGGTACGTAGATCCAATGGTGCACATCCAGATAAATGAAACCAAACACTCACCGACATGGGCGCCAGGAAGAGTCGGCACCAGGAATCTGAGCAGTAGTTCTGCGATCTTATTCCCGGCAACAGCTAGCTCGCGAATAGAGAGGTTCCAATCGGTGGTATTACGTGGCGCGGTCCAAAACTTGTTCGGGTAAGAGTCGACCTGGTATATCGGGAGCAGTTCGTATGGTATCATCTTTCATACACAAGTTCGTCAGTTGGATTGGAGTGACGGGGATTGGTGGGAGTCAAAAAACCACATTTTGGAAGAGGAAGTTTCTGGCGCCGCTGTCGTATAGAGTCTGCAGGACGCCAACAGCACAAGCCGTGGTATCAACAATTGTGGCGTTGTTGATTTGACCTCCGGTCAGACTGTCAGGACGCAGGATCAGTAATCGGACGCAAATGTGGAAGACGGAAGCGCTGACAGGGTGTTTGGTCCAACATCATTCGTGCCTGCCAACAAAAGCAAAGGCGTCAGTCCTCTTACAGCGGCCCAAGAACAGGATACCACCAACCAATCCAGATCGTATACAAAGTATCATCCGCCGTGCCCGTAATGTTTCCCACCTCAAATGCATCGAAATACGCCGGCAATTCATCCTGCACCACCGCCGGATAGATCCTCGGAGTAAGGCTCTGGTTGCAAGTGGCACCACTCTGAGCGAACCCGAATACGGTCAGGTTTGCATAGCCGGCTAGAAGGATGGGCCACGCGGTGCGAGTGGGATCTCCGGTGTCAAGGAGAGTGTAGGAGTCTCCGAATGTGACGATGTTGCGGATGGAATTTGGGGGTGGGCCGAGTGCTGTGGCGCGAGAGGCGAGGAGCAGGAGGGAGCTGAGGATAGTGAACAGCATAGCCTGGCGCTGTCAGCGTGGGTGAATATGTGGCAAGAAGGGCAAGCACAAGGCGAGCAAACCAAGAGGGACCTGCAAGAACAACGTATTGCATTTATACAAACGCGAACAACCGTCGCGAAATGACGATCGGTAGTCCGTTAGTGTCACGTTGCACAAGATCAGCTATTCGGCGAAAGGGGGAGTGGCATGGGGTCAAGGCTCGAGGATATCAACGTCTTCGCCAGATATGCAGGGACGAATAATAGATAGAAGCCGGCCGTATGTCGGCCCGGGATGCGCTGGGTGAAAGGGTACGCTGCCCCTCGAAGTCACCTGCACTGTCAGTTGGGTAGCAGGTACACCCATTTACACTGGAAAAACGGTACAACATCTGAAGATTGTTTGTGAGGATATATACAACTAGACGGCTCGGCGACCGGAAAGCAAAAAGGTACCGCGTGAGTAATACTCAAGACGAGTCAACGCGATGTTGATATAAATAAGCTACAACGAAAATGTTCAACGATATAGTTCCGAGGTGAGAATATGGATGTACTCACAATAACTCCACGACACATCCATTCTTGACTGGCTCAACACGATCAGACCGAACAAAATCGTCGCAAACATGGACCCACATCACAGGTCTTCCGTACTATCGGCCAACAACGCTCTCAATGCACGCTCGGGCTGGTCCCAATGAACCTGCAAAACATTACCAACGTAAGCTATGGAAGAGCCTCGCTGAGAGTGAGTATTGACCCACAAAATGATTCGCCCCTTTCAGCCTGACAAGAACCACATTCCTAGTCTCCTTTCCTGCTTTCCGAGCTTCTTGCAGTTCTGCCTGGAGCGCCCAAGTTCCCCAAGGCACCTCCCAGACCGACCGATCGCACCAGATGTAACGTAGCTCTATACCCTTCCAATCGCCCCGTACTGCCTCCTCCTCCCCCTCCTCCTCCCCAGCTTCCGCTTCGGCAACACCAGGATTAGCAAAGAATAGCGTAGCACGCCTCATTGTGTCGTACAACCCATGTTGAATGCCTGTCACTACGAGGAGATCGTCCGATCCACCAGGGATGGCAGGGGGTGCGTGTAATTTGGCCTGAATATCTTCGGGAGACATGGTGAGAATCGTCGGGGTTGGTTCTGCGAGTGCGATGCGATGTTCGAGCTCAGAGGCAGAATCTCCATGGGCGTAGTAGCCTGACACCCAGGCGGGGAAGATTTTGGCACCTTCTCCCGGTGCGAGCGAGGGGTGACTTAAGGGGTTGTAAAACTCTTCTGGAGGGTCGTAGCCTATGGCGTGGTATGGTGGGTCTGTCGAAGAGAACATTTTCGAAACACAATTGAACCTTTAGACTGAGTAAATAAGAGTTGTATAAGACAGAACCAACGAACCGTATAGGATTACACGTCGAATATACTTGTCAAGTTCGACGTCGTTTACGGGGAACGTGGCTGCGTGGGTTAGCAGTGCTAACATCCATGCAGAACCGAACGACCACCCAGCAAGCACAAGACTGTCCACAGCGATATCTTCATCTGTGACGAATTTGGAGAGGAAGTTGTACAACTCTCGAGCGCGCGCCTTTATGTATTCTTTCAAGTCAGCCGCCGCCTCCGGGGTGCTTCCTCGTGCGGAGATGAGAAGCCGATGTTCTTCTTCAGTATAAGGCGCAGAGTCGGGATAATCACGACGATTGACCAAGACGATGCGGGCGTTAGATTCAGCGGCCAAGGGAAGGAGCCGGGAGAATACACCTAGAGTCGAAGAAAATGAGTACTAATGATTCGGACTGTGAGTCAACCTGGTCAGTTTCCTTACCCCTGTGCCATGTAAACCCATGGATGATGACCAGCGTTGTGTAGCTCTGACCATCTTGGACAGGGGCTCCTGTGTCTTGGATGCTGAAGAGCCCCACCTTCCTCGTAGTATAGACAGGTTCCGTCATAAGAAATCTAGAGACGCTGGTCTGATAACGATGTAACTGTGAGATGGTGGGCGTTGTAGAAGCCTCTTCGACAAGAACCTGGTTCTGATGAGATAAATAAACCTCTATCGAAGGGTCAGCTGTCTGACTAAACAGCAGGGTGGAGGTTCGGGTATCGTGGATCGGTCGGGGATGGCGAATGTCTGAGCGCAAGCTGAGTTTGGTTAATGTGATGATACTTGCAACTCAACCCTTTAAAAATGTTTATCTTTCCCAGAAGAAGCCTGAAACAGAGGGAACATGGGAAACTGGGCGACTCGGAGCAGGCTAAGCCTCGCATCCTAGCAGGATACCTTGACGGCTGGTGGTGCAATTCCACGTACTTTAACTTCAGCCTCAGCTTTAGAGGCTGGGTGTATACGGCCGAGAACAAGGGCTGGCAAACATTGGATACGGTGTTGATTGTGGTTGGGTTGGGTATGTAAGTCAAATAAACCCTAACCTGAATGCAGGGGTCCATGAAAGGGGTCGTACCGTGTTTGCCACACTCATTACGGCCAGTACTGGCGAGGACGGGCGACCGTCAACCGCCCTTTATTGTCTACCACCATCTGCATACGTGACCGTCTACGTATCTTATGAGCAGATCATGCCGCATCCTAACCGCGCGCAATATACCATTATTCAGTCGGCACCACCCAAGGATGACCCCTTCGCAGGTATAATACCTGTCAAGCATGTTAGGCACAGAACTGACCGACCGAAACTGTATGTACAGGAGCAGGCCAACAATGGGACTCGGATGTTGACCTACGCACTCATAAGTCCATGCGGACGAGCCAGTGGTCACAAGTTGGGCGCGTCAGACGCGTCTTGCTAGGTGTGGCCCAATACACCCTTCTAGCCAAATGTTGGAGCGGTGTTTAACCCTAGTACTCTAGTGCTACCTCTTCTTGGACTTCTCGTGCTACTGTTTGGACCATGGAGGACAGGAACTCCCATATATCCTCATATATCGCAGATACAAGGCCTTGCCTTTCAGTCACCGCTCCGCAACCAGGCCTTGAAGGACATCAGGGGTATCGTCACTGCTAAGGTACGTTGTGGCACATCTCTATCAACATATTCTAATGGACAGGCAACGCTTATAGGGCTCAACGAGCTTCTGGCTTACGGATCCAGAACTCTCTCCTGATCCTAGATATTCCTCTGGAGTGAAGATCTACACCAAGTCCACCCGCGTCCTGAATTCTATTTCAGTAGGAGACCACATCTCCCTTGCAGCCCGTGTCACCGAATATCGCTCCTACCGCTCTCTGAACGACCTACTTGGCACCCAACTTACTGCTCCTTCGTCGATTAACGTCTACTCAAAGAATAATACTATTACGCCCATCATCCTCGGTCGTGATCGCTCACCGCCCACGCAAGCACTCAGCGCTCTCGATACAGGCGCCGACGGCTGGCTGAGCGTACCCGGGAACGATACCTTGCTCGAGAAGGTGAATGGGACGTTGAAGCCGGAGGATTATGGTTTGGACTTTTGGGAGAGCCTGGAGGGTGCACTTGTGACGATCCCGGGTCCTGTGGCATTAGACTTCAATGACAGGTTTGGGAGCTTTTGGGTCAGAGGAGCTTGGAACGTCACAGGTCTGAATGAGAGGGGCGGGTTGACGGTCACAATAGGTTCGTTCGATCACTGCCCAAACGAACATGTCATCTGAAAGCACTGTACAGGACCGGATGGGATTCCTGACGCTAACCCTGAGGCCATCATGATCGGAAAGCCTCTGGACCGCTCAAAGAACCCGGTCGTAGCTTTGGGCACTCAACTTGCTGACATTACGGGTGTAGTCGAATATGCGTATGTTTCCCTTGAATTTTATTTTTGTATGTGTACCATTTCTTACTTACGCGTGTTGCCTAGGTTCGGCATGTTTTATGTTATGCCCATCACGACGCCCGTCATTATCGAGCACCCTGACTTCGAAGTCCCACCATCGGCCCTCGCGGTCGACCCCGAGGATACATGTACCCTTCTTATGGGCGATTATAATGTACGCTTCTCTCCGCTCGTCGGCTGCAATTACTCACTAACTTTCCAAACAGATCGAGAATATGGCACCAACTTCCTCTCACCTACCCCTCGTCGCATCCCACATCGTCAACCACCTCAACACCCCGGACCTCATGTTCCTCCAAGAAGTCCAAGACAACTCTGGGCGCAGGAACGATGGCACAGTTAGTGCCAACGTCACCCTCTCCACCCTTGCGGACGCTATTTTCGACGAAGCTAGCAAGCAAGCTGTCTCACCGGACGATGTTGTGAAATATCGTTGGTTGGATATCGATCCGGAGGATGGCATGGATGGAGGTATTCCTGGCGGTAACATCAGGGTGGCTTACTTGTAGGCCGTATGATTATCTATCATTTTGGGTGGGTTTACTGAGGACACTCATAGGTACAACTCAAACAAGTTCAACCTGGTAACTGGTGCACCGGCAGGCGGTGCCTGGAACGCCACCCGACCTTACCTCGACTCAAATGGTCAAGTTGCTTTGACGTGCGTACCATTCCACTGGAGTCATCAACTTTCCGTACCGTCTCACGCTGAATGTTACTGACTTATCATTTCGCAGACTCAACCCTGGCCGCATCGACCCCGAGAACGACGCTTGGGACGAAGCTCGCAAGCCACTCGTCACACACTGGGAAACTCCCTCCGGAGACCGCTTCTTCACGATCAACCACCATGGGAGCTCAAAGAGGGGTAGTACGTCGATTCATGGGGATGCCAGGCCACCTGTCAATGCGGGGGCGGATAAGAGGAGAGGACAGGTCGCATCAGTTGCCGTACGTCTCTTCTATTCTCCCTCTCGTATTCATTGTCCTTGTTTCATGCGGAAAGACTAAATCGTTGTCTTGGGCCGTCATAGAACTTCATCGAATCTGTCCTTGCCCTTGATCCCAACGCCTCGATCATCCTCGCGGGCGATTTCAACGACTTCCCACAAACCCGCTCCGTCTTCGCTCCTCTCACTACTCTTACCCTCCCTTCCACCTCCGCTGCCTCGGAATCATCATCAGCATCAACAATATCGGCGATGATAGAAGCCGATGTCGCAGCTTCCATCCCGCCTACCGAACGATATACATACATGTTCGACCAGAACTGCGAACAACTGGATCATATCTTCGTCAGTAATGCCGTTGCGAGCAGGGAAGGAGGCGTGGATCTGGTGCATGTGCATGTGAATAATTGGGCGGAGAGTGTGAGGGTGAGGGCGAGTGATCATGATCCGAGTGTGGTCAAGGTTAGGGTGTGTTGAAGAGGAGGGCGTGGTTTGGATTGATTTACGACGAATAATACATGATGAATCTGACGAAGTACTGTATATATTGTACACTAGCTTACTACAGCTTGGATAGCTTATGAGGATCACATAATTCATGGTTTTTCTACAGTAGGGCCGATGGCAAGTGACCGTCGGTGGCGCGCCACACTAGTTCGACGCACGGAGTTTAAACGTGGAGCCAACTCAGCGGTTCAGAGAAGCCAAGTTCAACTCGTCCCAAGGCCGATACTCGAGAGTCAGCATCTTACCGCCATCCCGAGCCCTCATAGCAGGTCGAGCGATACCCTCAAGTCTCATACCACATCTCGCGAACATACACTTACAAAATCTTTCAGCTCGTCGACTCCTTGATTTCTGTGATCATTACACATCTTGTCTCGACCGACAGCCATCTGAGCGATACCCCACGAGCTGGTCAACATGTCTTTCAACGCCCGCCGCAAAGAAAACCCGCCGTACGCGCCGCTGCAGCAGAAGCGCAAGCCATTCTCCGATATAACCAACGATATCTTGGATCCTCGAAGATCTCTACGAGACGAACTCTCAGGCTCGAATCTTTCAACCGATTCCACCGATACCGCTGCTCCTCCTTCTCCTCAGGCTCCCACTCGGCGACACTCTCCTCGTATCTTCTCCGCACCTGTCACTGCTCCTACGTTTGGTCTGGGACTTGGGAGGCCTCCTCTTCGACAGACTATATCAATGCGTGGTGCATCTGTTCCTGTTGCTGGTGCCTCGAGATTGACCCCATTTCGGGACCCCACGCCAGACTTGACCGTCGATAGCTCCATCTCCCACGAACCGCTCGTTACCTCGCCAGCTACGGTTGACTGGGAACAGAAAACCACTCCGAAGAACACGGAAGCCAAACAAGGACTTCGTAAACTACTCTCTGACGATAAGGACGACGTTCACACCGCCGCTCCTGCTGCAGCATTAGGACTTGACCGCCCGCATGCCTATCCACCTATCTTGTCTTCGAAGCCTCAATCTCCTGCTGTCCAGCATTCTAGCTCAGCACCTACTTCTTTGACGACGAACCTGTTGAGATCGAAGACGCATAAGGTTACCCAGGGTCAGGTCGTCGTCCTCCCTTCGAAATCTCTCTTGGTGGATTTTCGTGAGGGCGAGAGACGGAAGGGACGTCAAGGCAACGAAGTGTTAGTAATCAGTCCCGATGGCGAACAGGTACAACTACACAACCCTTCAGAATCCTGCTCGACCTGGTCTAACCGCGCAATTCCATAGATACAAGTGTTCAGCGCTCCACATTTGAGCACGCCATGTTGTTTAGCAGAAGCGAGCGCGACATACAGCCTCGAAGATCTTCCCGAGCCGTATCTCAAAGTGTACCAGCAAGCTGCTCGAGTGATAGAGCATGTCAAGAAGAAGGTTCCCGAGGTAAGCTGCTTTTCGGACTTTGGTGTTACTCGAGCTGAGCGATGGTCATTCCTCTAGTTGATACTTTATCGAAGTAACTGCACGTGCACTCTCATGGCCAACTCTCCGAACGCGGATATGACCATCGCACTTGATACCCCCTCAACTGCTTCTACAGTGTCGCCTGCATCGTCTCATAATGCATCCTCTGCAACTATGCTGGTGCGTTTGTCTCGGAAACAGCGCACGGTCGAACTTTCTACGTCTGTCTCAGGGTCTACGAAGTCTGGCTCTGCTACTGGGGAGTGGAACAAGAAGGTGCTCTTTTGGAATCAAGACGGTGGTGCATCTGGTGGTCTCGTCAAGAAGGACTGGACCTCTCTGGGCTCGAGGGAGCAGGAAGCAATCCGTGTTCTTCAGGATTTTTTGCTGGTAGTGAAGGCTGTCGAAGCTGGAGAACGGACACCTGCTTCACTTTCTTCTCCGGGACTTTCAGACAAGCAGGCTACAGAAGGTCTCTATCGCATAGACAACGACATGCCTGCTGTTCCTAATCCCGCTTCCTTCTCTCGCACCGAACCCGCGCCACCCATAGTCGAACGGCCACTCTCCTCTCAACGAAAGAGAACGCTCCGCTTCAGTCCCTCCGTCCAAGAACTCTCAACCGCAGCAGCAACCGGGGCGTCCTCTTTCCTCTCCACCTCCAAGCACCTCTCCGAGCTCACCATCGGCCCGCGCCCCAAACTCTCCAAATCCTCTCCGCGATTCAATATTCCAGATGACACCATGCGTAAGGCCAGCAGTACCGTTTTCGATCCCATTCCGGACAGTCACGATGAAGACTACGATCCCGATTCAACGCCAAAGACGAAAGGCTACCGACGGAGGTCTCCGTCTTTCGGATTGGGCTCGAGCTATCCGAAAAAGGCGAAGAGTGCCGTCTCGATGCTCGTCGATAATGAGATTGAGTGGCCCTCCATGCGAAGTCCGCCAGGACCGTTGCAGACGAGGTTCATACCGGACGTAGGGTGGTGTGTAAGATACGCACCAATCCGGAGTGGAAACGCTGGGGACGCAAATGTAAGCGGGATGAGTGCGGGAGGCGGAGGGAGGTACAGGATTATGTTTTTGGACGGGGTGGAGTTGGAGGTTGACGTGGACAAGGAGAGGATAGAGTTCGTGGGGCAGGATGGGCAGGTTTCTTCGTGAGTCGTTCTTGTGGTTGTTTTTTTTGGTCCGGTTTATTGTGCTGACGAGCTGGATGATAGGTATTCGATACGCGAGGGTCATTTGAAGCGAGCGGTTGGGGAACGGATGAAGGTGTTTGAGGACTTTGTGTCCCTTTTCGACGATCAGGATTATGACGAGGAGCAGGGGTAAGGCGTCTCAGGCGAGCAGATTGTGCGTATTCGCAGATTACCTCGACGGTGTTATCGGTAGCTATCGGAATAATATTATTTGTCGCTATCGAAGTTGAATGGTTTGAGTTGGCTCCTTTGCGCTCTCGTCTTGTCGAGTCGAACCGTAACTTTCCATCTTGTGTGGAGTCTCGAGCTCTAATACGATGGCTTGCCTTTAAGACCTATACAGACTACACGCTACTACACGGCCTTGAGAGCAAGGATCACCGTGACTGGTACTAATGGAAGACAAGATGACCTCTGCGTCATCGGACTTCGTCCCTTATCCTGAAATGTTATCTGGTTCTCATCGAACCTCACGTTGGTCCGAAACTTCGATGATTCATCAACTTGTCTCTGTATATAAAGCTATGAAAACACTGATACTTATTGCCTGTGCCTCTTCGACTTTCCTTCATCGCTGAACTTAGCCCAAGATGATCATCTCTTCGTGCGACCATACGGGAATCACTGTGACTGATCTCGAGAAATCGGTCGCATTCTGGGGTCGGTATTCATCTTTCCCCGTCCTGCACTCCGAACGTACTTATATGCTAACATCGACTCCATTTCTCACACGCCACGCCACACGCATGCTACCACAGTCAACGTCATGGGCTGCCAGGTCTGCGAGGAAATGAAACCACCGCGCCAGGCAGTCGAAGAAATAACTGGTATCAATAGCGATCTGCTCATCAAGAAGGTGCAGGCTCCTGGAGGCCATATTATCGAGTGCGTACCGACCTAGCCACTGTTTGCCGGTGCGACTTGCAACCTCACTGATCCTGATACTTCTTGTTCGATAGGTTTCTTCAGTACATTGGTACCGACAGCACCCACATAAAGCCCACACCGTCCGATGTTGGGAGCGTCCACTTGGCCTTCACGGTTGACAACCTCGACGAAACAGTCGAAGCAGTCTTGAAGGCGGGCTGCGAGTTGGTTGGGACGATGAAGCCGAAAGAGGTCGGTACGAGTAGGCTTGTGTACGTGAAGGACTTTGACGGAGTGTAAGTCTTTCTGGTACTGCAATTTATTTGGCGAGTCACTGATCGCATTCAATCACCGGGGCACGTTGTTAGATACTTGGAGTTTATGGAAGTTCCGTCGCGCTTTAAGTAGGAAGGTGTTTGGGCGTTATGGTGTAATTCCAATGAAGCCAAAATGTCGGACTTGGTGGCTGCTGATAAGCGTGTGTAGTTCGGATTGTGCAGAGGAGCAGAGGTATGCTATTAAAGGTAAAGTAAAGTAAGTAAGGAGCGAAACATTAGTTGCGAGTATCGATGGTTAGCGCGTCACATGAAAGTAATGGGACAGAAATCCTCTACAAAGTCCTGCAATCAGTTACACTCATAGTAACCAGGGCAAAGGACGACGCACCTGGATATATTGCCACATAATCCTCACTACAGTCTAGATTGTGCAATTCGTCCTCTCTCGGAAGTAGCAACGTCTCAGTGCACCCTTTGAACTCCTGCAAAGTTGGAACCCCACCGACAGCGAAATAGCAATCTTTGAACGACAGCATATGCAGAATACGAGCGGGATCCAGCTTTGTTCGATATCCGAGAGCGTTGAGGAGAAGGCGGAGATAGGCTGTACCTTCTGCGACTTGGAAGTCGAAATCGAACAGAGTGAGGTCTTTCAGTCTCGGCAAGAACGAGGGACCGCTGAAAGACGGATTCAACACGTTCGGGAGCCCGAAGGCCACCGCCCCTGCGATCCTCAAAGACCTCAATGTTTTTGACATGCCGTGCAATATATCCATCAACTCCGGCGGCGACAGATACAACTCTTCGACGACCTGCATATCCAACACCTCCACCCCGTCCAAGGGCATGAGATGGAGGAAGTCCTTCACGATGGGAGCGATGTCCCAAAACACCGGATCGTCCATATCGTCCTCTAAATCGAACTCGAGATTGAATGATGTGCGGTAGGACCTCTCGCGGGCGGAGTTGATATGACGTCGAGGAAGCTCGACAAGGAGTTGGATATGCGGCTCGTGGGAGGAGTCGGGAGCGATGCGAGGTGCGCGAATATATGCACGAGATATGGGTAGAAGCTTGTCCTTCACCATCGTCTTCACGCGGTTGGCAATTTCCTGTATGATTTTGACGTGCGGACGCTCCGCTGGTGTGAGCGATGGCTGCAAACGCATGGAGACGTCGATATAGGGCGGAAACGACAAGCTTTGAAGGAGAGAAAGACAGTCGGAGTGGTCTCCGTCCAGAGAGAGGGATTCCAGCTCCGGGAGATTCACAGTGCGAGATCTGGAGGTTAGAGTGCGCCCCGAAAACTGAGGTAGGGCGGAAAAAGAGGGGACTGAATGTTCGAGGGAGAGGCCCTGCAGTTGAGGGAGACGTTCGAGTACATCAAAGAGTTCATCGACACTGGGAGGAGGTACAGGTGATCCCCTGTGCGATGAAAGAGGTCAGATGAATATATAGATGAGGACAAGAAAGTCTGAACAGACTTCTCTTGACGAATATCCATAGATGTGAGGTGATTGAGTAGAGGCGAGGTCCACGAAAGACGGCAATTGGTAAGAGAAACTTCCCGCAGAAGTGGCGCCTCTCCGCCAAGGAAGAGACTGTCTTGGATTTGGAGCATCAGAGACGCCAGACTATATTTGCGATGTACACTGTGGATGCAAAGCGTCCTTAACCTCGGCGCAGCTTTACCCTGCACTCCATCGAATATTTTGCGCAAGTCGACGGGATGACCATAGAGGTCCAATTCCTCGATCTGGCCAATCCTCGAGGGAATGTAGTCTTCCTCTCCAAGGGCAACGGTGTGCTTGGTGCTCCGCCTCTGCCTTAGGATAATGGGGGCAGCTTTCACTCGTTCCATCATCAACTTCGTCCATTCAGGCCCGATCTGGTAGCTGATGTGGCCCCAAAGAGAGGGGTAGTCGAGCGCAACGTTGCGCCAGTGGCGACACACATGCGTAACCTTGATCCAGCCGAGAATTTCTCGAGTGGCACTGAGCATGTGCGACTCGATTATGTGACGCTCTCCAGGCGTTTCGGAGATGGAAAGGTAGGCGAAGACTTCGGCAAGGAGCTCGGAGGGAAAGGCGTTACAGATTGGAGAGAGCGAATTGTGGTGAGTGCGTTGGGAGAGATCCCATGATTTGAATTTCTGCTTGCGCATGAATGAGTCGCACTCTTAAGAAATAAAAATATGACTAACTTCTGGCTCTTCCCAATCAACGTCCATGTCTACACGAATCCTGGGGGTGATACCAAACGGTCGTATGGCAGGCTAGGCGGTTATGTGCTTGGAAGTTGAAGACAACTCAAGACGAGCATTCGACCTGGATTCAATCCTTTGCCCAGACAAAAAGAGAAGTAAAGACAAAGAGCGTAGAGGGTTTGTTTTGTTTGAGTCGAGGACGTGGTCGACTTGGAACAAACTTGGACTCGGAGGCGGTCAACCGAACAAGTGACAAGCGACGCGGCCGTCGCCGGCCGGGGCTGTGAGGCTGCGGCGCCACAACACCATTGCTTCATCGTTCGGTATTGAAGGTTCTTCGGTGAGCTGAAGATAAATAGCACAAGGGGTACCAAATTCATAGATATTCTCGTCATGTAGTCGATGTCTGGTGTACAGTTTTTCTTAATTTTGTGGCGGTGACAAGCAAGGCGGCGTGTATGGAAAGGTGCCACAACTTGGATCCTATTCCCGGCATCCCCCCCATGGTGCAATTACGTAATTCATGAACTCGTGAGCGCGAAGCCGTTGGTCAGTGGTCACTGTCAATCACAACGCTCACCCCCATGTCTCTGCTACGGGCTTGTACACAGGCCGTATCTAGGCCATCTATCTCTAGGCCACTTGCTGCTCCTCTTCGTCATGTTTCCTCTGAAGTGAAAGCTCCCGAACAGAGCCGCCCCAAGACGGGCGAGCCTGTCGAGATCACCCCCATGCCGGAGAAGGATGTTGTCGCTGCAGACGCTATCAGCGGTGCACCCGGTGCGTCGCGTATTTCTCATATATATCAGCTCGTCATGCTGATTCTTTTGAATGTCATTTTTGTACGTGAGTTTAGCTCAACTCCGCCACCGCCAGGTCCGGATATACCAACCCGCGAGGAACACGATGCAGAGCGGCTCGGGAAAGACTGAGAAATGGCGCATCGACTTTGATATCCTACCGGGAGGTGGACGATGGGAGAACCCCTTGATGGGGTGGGCCAGCTCGTGCGTCTCATCCTGCTTCGTATACTTTCCGAGCCTGGTGTGGCGTGGTGTAGTGTTTTGTGGAGACGAACGCTAATGGAACTGGTTGGTTGCATGGTGTATGAAATGTAGCGCGGACTATGTCCAAGCACTGCGCATGTCCTTCCGATCAAAGGAGGATGCTGTTCACTTTGCGGAGAAGCAAGGTGCGTGTGCTTTGTGTTCATAGAGTTGTAAGGCGTGTGGTGCTGATGTTCTATATCGTGCTTGTTCAGGCTGGGACTACTATGTGTATGTGCTTGTCCTTTGTGGCTCATAGCTTCCCTGACATGTCCACTTACTTTCCCTATGCAGGCAACCTCCCGTTATCCAGCGTATTCCTCCGAAGAACTATGCGGAGAATTACGTGTACAAGCCGAACAAGCTTCGTATCGCTCGTACGAAGTAGAGCGCACTGTACATTGCTGGATTCGCAATTAATATCACGAGTCCTCCGTTCTTTCCCTCCCATTCGACTGTGCATGGCCGTTTGCACAAGACCGACTGATATATGAGGATTTGGAGGATGTGCGACCTAGGTGTCGCCTATATACTGATTTCTCCGGGGATCCACGCTTTGACTGAACTTACAACGCGTCCGAGGTTCCTTGTGCGAGCTGGTGTGACTTTGACGAAAGAGAGGGTCAGCTGCCCTTCGAAGACGAATTATGGACTATTTACAGGCCTTCTCACCCGGTCCTGTCGGCCTTAGGTCTCAGGCAACAAAGATAAAGAGAAATACCCCATACTATTTATCGTTCTGTAATTTTACAGCCAACATTTTCTGCGAATTGACCTCGTGCTCGATATCAAAGTTGCAAGATGGGGACAATACGTTGCAAATAAGGTGTGCGGTTGTCTGCGGTTGTTTGAGTGCGTCACTCCGCTATAAATAGCACGCGTAATGAACGGAGAGTGAACCGATACCGCATTGTGGTCTTATGCGCTCCCCGTCCCACGCCGAACGGTCTCCTCTTCCTTCACCACATCTCGCTCGATATCATAAGTCTTTGAACGCGCCGTAGCGTACCCTAGCGGTCCTTTGGAATGGCCACGATCCAAAGCAGACTGTTCTCGAAGAATTACAGGTGCGCGTGCGCTACTCTATTTCGGAAGAAATGTCGAGGTCTGACTGGTGTGGTGTGATACTTTTGGTGGTTGGGACATAAAGTGGCCTTATCAACCAGTCTGTGATTGCGCTTGGGCTGGGTGTGATATGTATCACGGCACATGAGATTATGAAGAGGAAGAGGCGGGGGAAAAGGAGGGGGAACGGACTGGGAAGTGTGGAAACATGGGAGTTCGGATAGTGAGTACTCGTAATATTTCAACCATAAATTCTTATTCTAGCTACCTTGCTGGATTCATGCTGGATGTTCGAACTTGGTGCTGGCTTGCGTGCTAATGACCGCTCGTTAGTCTATACCAAGGTCGATCGTGGGCCAAGTGAGCAAGTCGAAATTGTTCTCCGTTAAGCATTCGCTTATACCCCGTCCAGGAATCCTTCACCGTCGCATCCTAAAGGGTGGCCGCTTTCATGGGTCCCTCAGGTCATCAACTTTCCCGAGGACAAGTTTCATGAACTGAGAGGATTAGACGCCACACTCTACGTCCGATTTCTGCGCGGTTGCGGTACGTACTCCGCTCCCTATGTTTCACTGCCACTAAATCTCTCATTCCCATCCAGCTTGGTTCACCCTCCTACACACCCTGACGACGACCCCCATTCTACTCCCTATCCATGTCCACTTCTCCGACAGCACGACTTCCCGGCTTTCTATGACCCGCGCATCTATATCATCTCTGGTCGCCACATCCGAAGGGTTGGAACTCCTTTGGATACACATCATCCTCCTCTTCTGGATCTCCACTACCTGGATATGCACCATCGCATGGGTCTGCCGCGGCGTCTTCATCTACCGGCGAAACTATCTAGAAGCCCTCTCGCAACGCCTTTCCAACGCCCACGCCACCACCGACGCCACCTCCACCTTAGCCCCAACGACCGGAAAATCAGCCACACTAGTTGGAATGCCAGAGCAGTACCACCCGCATCCCCACCCCCAATTCCCATTTCATTCCCTCCCAGCCAACTCAGGTCAGCCCGAAGGCGAAGACGCGGACACGCGTGGATTAAGACTGCGTACGGTCATGGTGACGAATATCCCGCACCATTTACGTTCGGAGAAAGACCTGGCGGATTATTTCACGTATTATTTGTCGAGGGATGTGGACAAACCTGCGATTCCGTTCGCTAAAAACGGGACGGTTCAGCCGGGCCTGATCAACAAATTCGCGGCATTCCTGTTTAATCGCGTCAAGAGGCTGCCTATACTCCCGCACGCTAACGTTCGTACGGATGGGGAATGTGCGGAGGAAGGAGACCAAGCGGATGGAGAGAATGATCGGGCACCGGTGGTCGTTGATAGGGTCGTCATCGCGAGGAAGATGACGGAGTTGTCTTCGTTGCTGGAGCGGAGAGAGGACGTACTGAAGCGTTTGGAAACGGCGCATATCAAGCTGGCGAGGAAGGTTCTTACCGCTGTCAAGCACGCTATGGACCGCCAAGAACGAGAACGTGCTGGGTCCTCCCGTCCTGTGATGAAACGGTTCACTTCCAAGATCGCGCTAGATATCCTGTCTAAGCCCGCTCCCAAGATTACGGAGGAACAGGAAGCAGGAGGTGCAGAGAATATAGGCGAGACGGTCGAAGGCGTAGAGGAGAAAGACGCGAGTGTCGATATGGAGCTCCTCATACGTGAACTTCGGCCATTCGTGGAAGAGTTTGGCGTCCTGCCTCTTTCAGAGACCAAGGTCCCCGCCCGAGTCATTCATAGTATCACGGCCTCCTTCCGTCGCGCGATGGGCACTACATCCAACGACGACTCCGATACCCGACCATTCCAGCACCTCCCCGAATCCATATCCTCGCCACGCAAAACAATTTGGGATGTCCTCTACTCCCTTCCGCGTCAATCTCTCGACCCGTACCAACCTCTTGTCCGCCTCCAAGCCCTCTTCCGTAACCGCACCGTTCCCTCCATCGACTACTACACCGCCAAGCTCGGGTTATTGACGCAGTTAATTACGGAGGCGAGGAGCAAGAAGGTCACGGATTATGAGCCTGTGAGCACGGCGTTTGTGACGTTTGGGGATCCGAAGACGGCGAGGAGGGCATGTAAGTATTTGGCGGTGCATCCGAGCAATCCGTTGGCTTGTTTGGTGAGCCCAGCGCCTGGGTATGAGGACCTGGATTGGACGAGGATTATGAAGTCGTCGTATAGGGCTGAGGTATGTGATTGGAGTTTTATTATGTGTGGCGGGTGGCGTTTTATAGGTCATGTCTGATTTTCCTCCCTCTTCTGTTAAATAGATATTGAAGGATTGGGTGGTGAATTCGGCTGTTTGGTAAGTACTTCGGGGATCATATATATTGATATTGTTTGCTGACTCCGTGTATAGGGTCTTCACGATATTCTGGGTGTTTCCAGTTTCCTCCTTCGTAGCATTGGTCTCGATAGGCAACATCAGTTCACTCTGGCCGGCACTGGTGAGATCTTGTATCTCTCGCTTATTCCGACTGAACAACTGATGACCCTCTTTTGCTCCAACAGTACAACTACCTCCAAGCCCACCCCTGGGAGGAAGAACTTATCCAGTCCCTCCTTCCCACCGTCCTCGTCGCTCTCCTCTCTCTTCTCATCCCTCTCATCCTCCTCCTCATCTCCAAAAAAGCACACACTATCATCACCCTCTCCGCGATCCATGACCAGATCATGACCCGGTACTACAAGTTCCTGATCGTTAACGTGCTCGTGTTCTTCTGTGTCGGGACTGCGACGCTGCAGAGCTTGCTGCTTAGCTTTTCGGATCTGACGAAGGCGGAGAGCGATACGAACGTGTTGCAGATTATAAGTGATAGTTTTCCGAGTGCGGGGCCGTTTTATGTAGGGTGGAGTGAGTCGTTTTGTCCTGCCAGGCCCCTTTTTGTGTGGTTTTGAGTGTTTGGGCTGACGTATGATTTGGCAGTGATTTTTACGACGGGTATACATGGGGCCATTGAGCTTGTGATGTGTGAGTACTCTTTTAGTCCACTGTTATATCCTTGCATGCTGACATTATTTCGTTTGATGTAGTCGGAGTAAGGTCACTGTCTCTAGTACACCTTCATATCGACTAATGCCATATCGGAACACTAGCTTCCTCTCTTCGTATATCCATCCACGAAACGAGCCGTCACGCCTCGTCGTCGCGCTGTTGGTATCAGACCACGGACGTTCAACTACTATTGTACGTCTTCATTTTCTCCCGTCATATTTCTCACTTACCCTATCAACAATTTTTGTTCATGGTACACTGCTCGTGTGATTTGCAGACTGGTTACCCAATCACCTGCTGGTCATACATATCTTCGTGGTCTTTTCGGTGTTGAACCCGTTGGTCATCCCGTTCGCGTGGGTTTACTTCACAATCGATAGTAGTGAGTCTCAATGTCGTCGAGTCTATCGCTTTCTTTCGATGCTAATAGCGATACGTGTAGCTGTTGTTCGGAATCAAGTAGGCTCATTTATGCACATGCTGATGAGAGATGAGGTGCTGACGAAGGCCGTGGTAGTTACTACATGTGTATGCGAAGATTTATGAGGGTAACGGACAACAATTGATGATTCGTATAATTCGGTACTCTCTAGATGGTATGTCACTTCTGTGATTAAGGGTGTCTCGCTATATTGTTCAGCTGACGATTGGCTCTTCATCATCAGGCCTCCTTCTCTCTCAGGTGAGCCAGTCTCTGCATCCACGCTCGTTTGATATTGCACCCTGCTCATGCATATCGATAGTTCGTCTTCCTTGCGTACATGGCAGTCCTGAAGAATCGCACCAATGTCGGTCTCTCGGCCGTGCTTGTCATCATGACAGTGTTCGCCAAGATGATGTGCGTCAGGTCTTATTTAGTTCTCAGAGGGAAATATTCTGACACATCCACCAGCATCACCCGTATCTGTCGAGCCAAGTACGAGCGCGACGATATCATGGAGGCCAACATCATCTGCGGCACCAACCGCGACCCCAACGACGTCGACCTCTCGACTTCACACATGTCCGCCGAAGCTCATGCCGAACTCGATTCCGAACCCGGTTCTCCCCAATCTCCCGACTCCCCCGAGTCTGTTCATAAATCTACCAATAAGGCCTGGTCAACATGGCGCCTCTCAGGCAAATTCGATTTCTCTTACGCCAACTTCCCTCACCGGCAACATCACGGAATCAGGAGACAGCCGAATCCGTTTGCGGAGAGTACAGCTTCGTTCTCGAGATTGAGAAGTGATGATGGGCACGGCGATTATTCCAGTGGGAAGGGTCTATCGCGTCAGGCGGACCATGAGCGAATGCAGATGCAGAATTTTGGCGTGTTGGAGCAGGATCTGGCGGATTATAGGGCCGATCCTGTGTCCACTGCAGCTTCAAATCCGACAGAGCTTGTGTCACGCCACCCACCACATCCGGCGTGGGATGACGAGTCGGATATGAACCATCCTTACGACAATCCGTACTACACGCGACCTGTCAATAATGCGCTCTGGTTGCCTCGGGATCCCTGTGGTCTTTTAGACTTAGATGATACGGTCGACGTCAAGATGTCGTTGACGACGCTGTCCTCCGCAGGTCAACTGGGCGTTTGGGTCGTCCCGGGTGGTCCACAGTTGATGGAGACGGCGAACAACGCCAATGTAGATCCTAGCATCCTCAGTTCTCCCCGATCGGCATATAGATCCTCGCCGGAACCTCTGGAGCCGATCACGTTCGCAGAGCCAGGTAGCCACTTCACCAATAATTCCCCATACTTCACGCGCCACCTCGATGGAAGCGAAGAAATCAACCTCCCGCCAGCCATCGCATCCCGTGTTAGTGCTATCGACAAAGAAGACGATGTAGACTACGCTGGTCCCGCCAACAGAACCCGTCGACCCTCTCTTCTTGGGTATGGTCGCAAGCGGAGCAGCGACAAGAGTATTAAGACCGCCAGGTCTTCAACGAAGGAAGGCTCATTTATTCATCGGCGGCAGACATTCAATATTGAACAGCCCTCTGCGATAACGCAGAGGACGAGGCTGACTTCCTTGGCCTCTACGACGTTTTCGATGGACCCGCCGTCGAGTATCGCAGGAAGGATACAGAGGTCGGGAAGTATAGATGAAGAGATGGGTGTGACGAGTCCGAGTTCCTTGTTTGTAGCAGGTGCGTCGGGGTCTGGGGCAGGGACAAGTGCAGGAGCGGGGGTAGGGTCGTTCGGGCAGATTAGGAATCAGAGCCATCCGATGATGCATGCCAACCCTTCGAACCTCACCATTCCGGGCCCGCTCCTCACTCAGCCTTCCAATGGCACAGACCACACTTCATCCGGTATCAGCATCATGGTGCCACCTAATATCGGTCGCCTCACAGGCGTCTCGGGCTCCAGTTCGAGGTTGGCGGGCCTTTCGGCAGGCGGTGATGGCAATACTCATGATAGAGCGTTGACTGCGGTGACGATGCAGGAGGTGGTGCAGGAGGAGGCGATGGTGGAGGAGCAGGAGGCCGCGGATGAGAGGGCGAGGAAGGATCGGGAGGAGGCCGAGAAGGAGAGTAGGCAGCATAGATCCTGGTTGACGAGGTGGTTGTTCTCCAATTTGGAGGATGTAACGCATAAGAGGTCATAAGTTTTTTATCAGCTGAGGTTGTGGCTTTCTATGGTTTGTTGGGGTTCGTTGAGGTTCTGTGTATACCCTTGGTCTTCTGGATTCGATGCATGACGCGCGCACACACACGTAAATACCTTTATACTTATATCCCTTTGGTTTCGGTCCTGAGATGACCTGTGCATGACGGTGATGACGGCGACGATATCTGTACACTAGCTCGATGTATATCAGTACTCTACGATTTACCTACTTTTTGCACGTAGTTCCCCTGCGTTTAATTACGCGCATTCGTCTTCTTGTTCCTAGTTTCGGTTGTCGGAGGAGAGGGGGGAGGTCCTCAGTTGTGGCAGGGGGTGGGTGTACTACTGGATAGGCGGCTGGTGCAGCATAATACTTATCAAACGCTCGCTCGCCTCAGGACCTTCTTCCTCCGCGTCAAAGGCTGCAGCGACTGCTCGTGCCGGAGCTAAGACATTAGTACCTGTCGCCATCGCCAGCAGGTCTACTTCGGGTTCAAGTGGTTCGAGCAGTTCGGGTATGACGAACCCATTCTCTAAGACGGACAGGTATGTGCTTTCATTTACATTTATGCTATGTGATCTCTCATGACGCTGCTAGGTCTCCTGTTCCACCTCTATCTACGTCTACGTCGACCTCGACCATCACTTCTTCACCTGTCAATGAATCTACCATGAATCCTCCCGATCGTTGTGCACCCAAACCACCCCATAAACCTGTCATGGATTTCGCATCGTCGTTCGCGCCTCCGCCATTATTCGCTTCTGCGTGATCGACACAATACTGTATTTCTATCTACACTGTATTTTTCTTCCACATTGTATTCGCGCGTTCCCATCCTCTCAAACCGGGTTCAATATCTCACTATAATAATTTACTTATTCTATTACAATATATTCGCTACATAATTCATATTTTCTCTCGGGGTGCTGTTACCGTCACCTCATATTGGTACTTCAGGAGAGCAAGGGAAGAACGCGAGTCTCGGAGGAAGGCGATGCAGGAACGGGCGAAGAAGGGTTTGTTGAGCGAGGAGGAAAAGGTTCTGTTGGCAGAGTTGGAGGCTGAGAGGGCTGGACGGAGGGGCGCAGCGGGTGGAGGTGCGGCTGGGAAGGGAGAGGGTGATAAGGAGTGCTTGGTTATGTAGGATGTGATTTGGGATTGGACATTTTCCGTCGATCTATCTTCTGGAATATACAGTCTATTTGTTTTGTGCGAGTGGTACAACAGTGTGGCGTTTCGGAACGGATCGGGAAAACCCGGAATCGATACTTGATAGGTGCCACACAGGCCAAGGTCCTCGTCATTTCCTGTCATGTTCTCAAAAATTCCATTGCATGCAATAAAGATATTCTTCGACGTGGAACTATATTCCGATAGCGGCCATGGCACTCATAGTCGCAGCGGAGGTTTGAGACGAAATGTTTGTGGCGGAGGCGGAGAAAGTATTGGTCGGTTTGGACGAGGAGGGGTTGCTGAGGGCGGCGCAGTTGTGGGTATTAGGGAAGCGATGCTGTGGGCAGAATTGGTGCTTGCATTTCTGTGCAGATAGTTTAGTGACAGTACGAAAGATATAAAGTGCAAGATAACGCACATCACAAGAAATGGGTGAAATGAGGACTTTGCGGCACTTCGTGTTCGCGCAAGTCGGCTTCGACTTGGCTTTCGGTTTGCCGGTCATGATGGTGCAGTCTGTGGTGAAATGTCTCTCCATACGGATATTGGGATCTTCTCCTGGAGGGATAGAGATGACATCGTTACAGAGCGGGCCTGTCATTGTTTCGCCACGATTCAGTACACCGTCTCCGAGACACGAGAAAGAGTTACACGCACAAGATGGTGCAACACGATTGAACTTCGTCTCATCGTATTTCTCGCAGCTGTGGGCATTTGGCAGGTAGTGTTCCGCACAAAATGGAAGAGAACAGTGCTGGCATTTGAAGGGTAGGAAATCGACAAGGCCACAAGTCTTTGACGAGCACTGGTGGCCGATGGAAAGCAGTTGTTCGTCTCGTTCTTGAGCTGGGGTTGATCCAGACATGATTCATGTAGAGTGTAGAGGGTAAAGAGGGTATTATAGAGCAGCGTAGGATGAGAAGGGTATATAAAGCAGAGGACGCGTAAGCGTTATGGATGAGTGTGCGTGAACGTTCTCCGTTCTTCCGACGCGCTTGGGTATGGCGCTGAGTCAGCCAATTGCGGGGAAATGAAGCGGGCGCCACACCGCCACACACGCGCCTTTGTTTGCAGACAACACTGACGGTTCGATCCCAGTCCGAGTCATGCAAACCTCTTCTTTCTCTCGACCGCCATGTCTGACAACAAACCTACTGTGATTGTCACATTTGTAAGTGAAATGGCTATATTGTCGTTGTTGGGCTATAGCTTGGTGAATAGATTCGTCATGGGGAGAGCATGGACAACCTGGTAAGTGCATCGAGTTCAAGTTCACCGTTTCTTTACCCGTCGATGTCTGACTCTGTACTGTCTTAGCGCGCGGTGTGGGCTGGATGGTCAGATGCACCTCTTTCCAATCATGGTGAATAATCTTTTTCTCCCACAGAGAATGGCATACTAAGCCTATAACGCTCGTTCAGGAATGAACGTAGGTATCGTTCACCCTTTGCCCCACACGCCGCTTGAAACTTAATCCCCTGTGGCCTGCCACAGCAAGCTAGAGCCATGGGCGAATACTTCACCCAGACCAACACGAAGTTCACCGCGATTCATGCTTCTACTCTCAAACGGGCGTTCAGCACTGCCCAGGCCTTGTATGACGCGCAACCCGAACCGAAGCCCACATTCAGCAAATCTCTACTACTAAGAGAACAGCATTTTGGTATCGCGGAGGGTAGACCGTGGACGTTCACTGGCGAAGAGTATGCTCACTACTATTTCATGTAGAGCAAGTGGTTAGAACGCGTTTTTCTTTATGTAGGGACCTTACTCTCGAACAGCAGTTCGCTCGCGGTATATTCCCCGTCCTGAAGGGAAACGCTGCGAAATTCCCTGAGGGAGAATCTCTCGATGACCTCGGTTTGTTTGTCTCTCTCTTCTTGTTCTTGACCTTCTCACCACTAATCGTGATGCTGTGATCTATATAGCTGACCGTGCCGAAAAGGCTATCAACGAGCTCGTCCTCCCGCACATCCGCACCGCTGCCCTCGAAGGCCACAAGAACGTCCACATCGCCCTTGTCAGCCATGGTCTCTGTATCAGCAAGCTCATTGAGAGGCTATTGGTGAAGGATAGTGAAGACCCTCAATCCGGTGATTTTAGAGGATTATTGAACACTGCATGGACAAGACTTGAGGTAGAGGTCAGGGTACGTATGACCATATATTCTGTCTTGCTTGTTATGCAATGGCTGACGCTGTGACGATCACAGGGCCAGAAAGAGGGAGAGAAGATGCAGCTTGCAGAGGGAGAAGTACCACCGCTCGCAGTCAGGTGTACTCTTGTCAATCAACACTCCCACATCAACGCTGTCGTACGTCTCAGCTCACCATCTGAATCCTCTCACATGCGCAAACTACTGACTTCACATTGCATTGAAATTCTAGAAACGTCAACAAGGTGGGATCGGCAGCTCTGCCTACGACCCGAAGCAGAAGAAGATTCAAGATTTCTTCGGGGGTAAGACTTCGAGTAGTAACACCGAGGCGGAGGAGACGGTGGCGCTGCCTGTTTCGGAGAGTAATGCGCATGATGAGGTTGGGGAGGGTAAGCCGACCACGTCGCAGTTGTAATTTAGACGTAGGTGTAGTACGTTGGTCTCGTAGATGTCTGGCTGTGTATGATGCTCGAGGACTGTTGTATAGAGCAGTAGAATGTAGAAAATCACTTCGACCGCCCTTACACTCCTGCAGCAGCCTGAGTAGGAAACCGATTCGTAGAGCTCGCAATGGATTATGTGGACGCAGTTAGAGTTACTCAGGTGCCGCGCAACAGGGCGTTTAACTTACTTACATTGGTCGAAAAACCGACCGAAATCGCCCGATTTTATTGTTCCGCTCCATCAATTGTCCTAATGCGGGCCCCGAGGAGTACTCATATTTTATCATCTGCGAGTACTTAAGTTCCTTATGATTTTGGACGGGAGACTGACTTCAGTCAATCAAGGTGTGGAGGAGTACCGATCGTGGGCCTGTTGACAATCCTCGATCCCTCCCGAACAATATCATGAATGGCTGACGATATACGCACAGATTCCTCAGTAGACTACCGTAAACTACGTACAAAACGTGAATGTCCGAGCCATGGCGTCTAGCGTCCACACAACTTCATCGCCAACGCCGAAACACACCATAACGAGCCCAAAAAGATAAATAAAAGAAGGAAGAACACCAAGAAGAGTCCAAAAAGTACATAAAGATATAAAAACAACACAACATTACGGCAGCCTCAGTCCCTCACTCAAACTCGATCCATGCCTCCCGTATGACCCGGACCAGCTGAGCCCCCGGAAGTACCGGGACCCAGTTCAGGCCTCGGTGTGTGGATGTAACTCGGCGGATCTTCGAATGGGTTCGGGAGAGGCTCAGTGTCCGTTGGGCTCCTCATCGTATCGATCATATCCACCCTCGCTCGCAACCTATACATCTCCTCCACCAAACTCGAATACTCTCCCTCTTTCCCCTTTGGTGCAGACCCAGCCGCAGCGTCGGTAATTCCTCCTGGTGCCCCCGACCCTGAGTCGACACTGATTTGTTTTGCGTCTGACTCCAAGTCTGGAGTTATCCGAGGGGGTGGGATGCGTCGAGAACTTCCGAGTACGTTCCCTATGGGTGGACTGGAAGGACGCTTTGGTAGTACTGCAGGCTTGTAGCGTACCGGGGGGACTGGCGGCGGTGCTGGCGACGAAGCCGACACGTTTGAAGGAGATCGTCCAAGGCTGGGAAGTACAGCCGAACTCTCCACAACCGGTGAAAGTGGCTCTCCCGAAGGCGCACTGGCCACCCACGCCGCCGTCCTCTCCAACTTCTGTCCCTCTGGAACCTCCGTCTTCGTCTCTGCCACGTCCACACCCGACTCTTCATCCACACCATACTTCCCGCGATACGAAGGCGGCTGCTGTGCGACCAGCACCGGAACACCGATTTGACCTCCCGAGATCCTAAACGGATCGACCATGGCCGCTCCGAGTCTTTCACGCTTGAGTTGTTCGCGTTCGTGGCGAAGTTTCTGGCGCCATCGGCGGAGGAAATACCAGAAGACGCCGAGAAGGAGGAGGAGAGCTGCGATACCGCCACCTATGGCTCCTCCGATGGCTGCTGAGGATGCGCCGCGGTCTTTGGAGGAGTGACCGCCGCCGTGGCTGTGACCACCACCACCACCATGGTGCCCGCCATCCCCGCCTTGAGACTGGTCGGGGCTTTCATCTGCCATGGCGGAGCCACCGTGTGTGGTTCCCCTGGTAGAAGTTACTATGAAGAGAATCATTCAGCTTTTTGTCTATACGAATGTCGGACGTAGAATGTACCAATGGAGCTTGAAGTGGTAGTCTCTGAATCAGAAGAGGATACGGAAGTGGCATCTAGAGTGGCAACTGGAAGCTCTGTTGAAGAAGATGACGAAGACAGAGCAGAAGATGAGGTGGAGTGACCAGAAGATGAGGTGGAGTGACCAGAAGATGAGGTAGTATGGGTCGATGATGAAGCTGGATGTGTTGACGATGAGACGACGTGGACGGTCGCAGAGGCAGTATGGGTTGCTGATGAAGTTGGATGTGTTGATGATGAGACGACTTGTACGGTTGCAGAGGCAGAATGAGCGGAAGATGTGGCGTGCGTAGAAGAAGTTAGGTGTTGAGAACTTGATGAGCCGTTGTGGGTGGAGGACGACGCGGCGTGAGTGGAAGATGAGGCATGATTAGAAGAGGCTGCGGCTGCTGCAATTGTTGTGAGCTTTGAACCAACGGTTACGTGGATCGCAAGTCCTTGTTACACGGAATATGAAAATAGGTCAGTTAGCATGAGAAGGAGAAGCAAAAATAACCCTGTGTATAGGTCTAAGTCGGTGAAGGGTGACCAACATGCTTCGCCCACCAGGGAAAGCTCGACGAAATACTTCAAGTGGCAAAACTCACCTGATGGACAGAGACCGTCGACATATTGCTGTGCAGCCCCGAAATCTGACGCATCACATATATCCGTCAGACATGCTTCGACGCCAGCAGCAAACGTCGTTGATCCGCATATGCAAGAGGCGTCGCTTCTGCATAATGTCCAATGACCGTGAGCGGATGGTGGGAAGCGGAAGTTTATGGAACTCACAAGGAGCAGGAAACTGATAATGCCGCAGCTTTTGCACAACTAGGCAGACAAGCAGGAATCTTGGTCGAACTGAGAACAAGTCGTGAACCCGCGGTTAAAAGAACGAAGACCTTGCTCGCAAAGCCTTTGCAGACCATTGCTGCACGTCCAGCAACGCTGACCGCCCGCGGCGAAAGAGAAGAAAAGAGCGAGTAATGCTACCGGAGCCCGAAGGAAAGAACAAAATAGTAAACGAGAGTAGAGTAGAGAGAGAAAGAGTCCACGACAAGTTCAGATAATGGCAAGGCTAGGCAAAATCATGATAGGTGGTGCTCAACGTGCAACCCGAACCCACTGTGTTGGTCCGTGCACGGCGCGAGTCTCACGAACTAGCAACACGCTATACTTGAACAGTTCGAGCGGGTGTGAGGCAATGCAATGGCGTGAGCGCCAATCTCGGCCAACAAAGATTAGCCCAAAGAAGATCGTAGTCTAGGTTACTACAGCTCTCAATGAAGAGTCCGCGACTTAGTCGTAAAACGTATGTTCTGAAGGCTTCGTGTACGCCGGTGATGTAATCATGCCCTCTACATTCTCGAAGAGCTCGATATATGGCTAAAGTGGGCCACTGCTCTCTCAGCAATGCCCTCAAGGTGTAAGTGACCATTAAGTAGGCATCTCCAAGCTATGATTTTGAGGAGACTATCCGAGATATTGGACAAGACAGCTCTGGGCCAACGTCACAGTGGGCACATACAAAACGTAGCCTTAGTGGGTAGTAACATCAGCTTTGATAGCTGGAACAACCACGCTAGCCTGGCGCGCGAGGCCCTTCGCGACTCTATCGAATGTCTTTGTGGCACTGTAAATCTGTACTGCCGGATAGTAAGCCTGCACCTTGCGATACAGACTAGACGGATCTCTTCGCACTGCGCCGAAACGACCATCAGCGAAGCCCAACAACGCGGAGCAAACTTTCCTGAAAGCCCATACAGCCTCTCAGAGACCAAGATCAGGATAGCACAGTATTTCCACCGGAGGCCGTCTCTGAGCGCTATAAGGACGCGTTCACGATAGAAATGCGAGGATAATGCGGAGAGCTCAAGAGGTCGCGGTAGAGAGGAAGTTTAGAATCTCCGATAGCTGGGCTCTAGCGGAGTCTCAATTTACCTGGTTTTCGGCAACTTTCTCACCCTTCCCCGTCATGCATAAGGATCACTGCCAACGGTCCTGACGGCCGCCGAGGTTAGCGTTCCTAGCTTATATCTCACTCAGAGTCGAAGATTCGAGGAAGTATGATTATCGGAAGAAGAAGAGCCTGAGCAAAGCACACGAAGCGTATCATACCGTCTATAGGACCACAGTGCCCACAGTCTAAGCAGTACCGAGACGGATCTCCCGATAGCCTGAATATTCCAGTAAGCTCTCTTAACCCGCGGAGTAATCTTTCTTGTGGCACCATGATTCGCCGGAGCACGTTCGCGTCCCATATTGTGACGCATAGAGAAGATCTTTTATCTAACTTTACGAAGCATCCCATTGGTGATTGAGAGATGTGATCTGACATGCGAAGCTACAAAACTCACGCATGCAGAGACCCGAGAGGAGTGATCTTTCGTCCTCAGAGCACCTTCAAAGGTAACAGAGCCGTTGTCAAATTATTCCATGGCGTCAGTCCCGTCAATCCCGACGCTATTCGAACATCAGTGAGCAGTGGTCCGCGATACATCCGACGACAATAATTCGTTGGCATCTCACCATGCTACCCTACTAGACTTGGTATCTATAGATTTGAGGTTGCTTGTTATGCCTTATACGTCTACGAACATGGTGAGCTGAATATCATATGTAGTAGAAGCGACTATTGACCATAGTACGAGCAGCGATCACTTTGTCGGACGAGGTGAGGCGTCAGTCCTGGTGGCTCGCAAGGTTCATTGATGACTGGCTTCCAGGTGTCGAAGATCTGGTCCCGGAAACTGACACTCGTCAACGCATCCTTCTTGATTCTACGCTATGTGGTTCACCTCCAGTTCATTGTACTACAAGTATGTGAGTACAAAATATCACAAATATCTAAGGCGTGGTGGGTCTTACGATGAGTCGCTCGTGGTCACAGCATTCTTCGAGACCACTTGGCCAATATCGGTGCGATGCTTTCTTCTACAATTTATGCATATTGTAGCTCAAACTTCTTTCCTAGGTGTAAATTGTCGGTTATACGCTCAAGCTCGTCCTAGAACTCATATCCTATATCCAGGTGCACTCACTTCGTCAAATTCGCCGGTGCAGCCAACTTGTGCACGAACACTGGTCAGTTCATCTGCGGACCAAAATTTCGTTTTCTGATAATGAATCATTGTAGTCGCTGAGCGTCAGTCTGTCAAATCAGCCGTTATTTTCTCTGCATCACTGACCGAGGGGTATTAGTGGTCATGATCTTACGTGTTTATGCCATATACCATAGAAGAATGGCCGTGCTAGCTTTCTTGCTCTGCATACTCATCGGTCAGATTGTGTCCACGGCATGGGGCCTTCATTTTGGAATTCGTAAGCACGATTCGTATACAACCTCGAGAATCTATTTGCTCATTCCTTCGGTCGTCATAGCCGTACAATTTCCCCCAGGATCAGGACTTCCTGGTATGAACCTCAAACTTCACCCCTAGACCCGCTCACAAAACTCTCCTCAGGCTGCGTTCTTACAGGTAGCAATAACTTCTTCGGTATGTGAAATTGTCTCCGCTTGCTTTGTGTTCTACGGACTAATCAGGTAAGTGTATCTTAGCTGCCCTTTGGGCTGCCCCGCTAGTAACGGATTCATGTATATTCATCCTCACCCTATATCGGACTATCAAATTGATACACAACCGCAATGGCCGTACAAGGTCAGAAGCTTTCATCGTGTTTCTTCCCAGCGCGAACCTATGAACTTCTTCCTTGTAGCATCTTAGATATCATCATCCGAGATGGGGTTATGTACTTCGCAGTCATCTTCAGCTCGAATCTCTTGAATACCTTGATCTTCTTCGTGAGCTCCAGCCTATATTTTCCTCACGTAGGTGACGCTCAATCAGCGGCACCCGTTCAGTTAGCGGCTCCAGATCTCAAGGCCACTGCTGCACCGTAAGCAACATTCTTGGGCAGACGGTCTGACACTGACAAGCCCACGCACCCATCACAGGTTTGGACAAATCATGACCGTCATCATGATTACACGCCTTCAGCTTAACCTCAAGAACGCGCATCAGAAACAGCTATCAGCGCACGCCGACATGGAGGCACAGCACCCTCTCGGAGGGGCTAGTTCTATGCACTTTGCCCACATCCATCGTGCGCGTCCCATCACGGAGGCCGTCGCGGAATCGACTTTCTTCTCTGTCGGCAATCTCGGGGAGGACATACATGATTCGGTTTCCGAGGATATGAGGCACAAGAAAAGGGGTGAGAGGGAGCGCGAGAGAGCCATAGAACTGACGGTGTTGGGTCGTGATGTATAAGAAGACGGGGACGGTGTGATGTGATTCTATTTGTATATATATATATTTCGTTACTGAGTACTCGACATGCACGGCCCCCACGACCCAACCACTACGATTTCATGTTTCCAAACGAATGAAAGCGGTTAGGATACGTTCGGGCCCTAGGATACACTAGAAAAAAGAGACGTAGGTTACGTACAGGTACTGTTTGAGGGAGACGAGCAATAACGAAAAGGAAAGACTCAAGACCCCTTCGCCGCGCGCAGGGCAGCTTCCTGTATCAAGCTGTTTTGCTCCTCATCATAGTCCCCGAGCAGGTCAGAGACGTCTGTTAAAGATGACATCCGGGAGCACGCCTGAGACCATATCTCTGGACGCCACAGGAAATGCATTACTTCGCCCGAGAGTCTCTGCACTCGGTCAACAATTGGCAGTTTCGTCAGGAGTGAAACGAGGGCGAGCTCTACATAGGTTCTAGATGGTTGGTGGACAGTCGGATCTGTTATTTCTACAGACATTGAGAAGGATCTGTCCTCGTTGTAGATGGCGAGTTCAGTATTGAAATAATAGGTGGTTGGAGAGTCCGCTATGTCCAACAAAGGCCAAGGTTTCGACAGCACTGGAATGTGTGAGTGCCGTGAAGATAAAGTGTATAAGGCTCTGTCCAAATCCGAAATGAACGGAATTTCGCATCGTATCATGAGGTCGAGGAAGGCCACGGAAGGGATTGACCAACTATCTAAAACCGTGTTCAATGCATGTACAGAAACGCAGAGCTTGAGACTCTGGAGGTGTAGGAGAGTTAGATGTGGAAGTCTCCACGGAGATTCGCTTGCGACATCAGGTATCGTACTGGGATATATGACAAGCTTTTCCAAGGATGGCATGGTCGACAACGCAACGTGTAATTCGCGGAGTGAGGCGGACTCTTCAGAGCAAAGGCTGACGTTAAGAGATATCAGATTTTCAAATATTCGCGTCGCCGGATCGAGTGCGAAGAACTCGAAGCCGTCGAGTTTAAGCTCCTGCAGGCGCGAAGTGGCCTGGTGAAAAGGCGGAAGAGATGCCGGTTGTAGAGGGCGGATTTTGAGAGAGAGGCGAATGAGGGATGGTGCGGCCTCTGAAAAGATCGAAAGTATTTCCATTGGCGGTATTCCATTACGGTCACCGTCGCTGGCTATGCTCAAGTTGGCGATGCGGTGGAGATTCTGACGCATAAAGGTCATCTTCTGGGAAGCGCGGGTATCGGTAAGAAAAGAAACTTTCAAAGAGATCGGCATGAGGGCTGCGCGTAAAGTGAGCCTTTCTATCCACTCGAACGGCATGTCCTTTGGTAAATCCCACGTCGAACTTGCCCATATCGTTGGACTAGCCAAGGCAAGTTCTCGCCAGTGGCGACAGACGTACGTGGTTTTGATCCACGGTAGACTGATGCAGCGCCCAGTACAGTAGCATTCGCTTCTTTGGTCACGGCGGCAGCGAAGACGAGCAAAAACGGAGAAAGCAGAAGTTCGCTCGGAAGACGAGCGATATGCGAGGGGTGATGGCCCTCTGGCAAGGTGATTAGGTCGCTGATGCTAAAGACCACGCATCCAAAGAAATCAGATTTTTGGGGGAGGGAGTTTGCACTGTGGTAGTAGAGAGAGCGCACATTATCTGACTTTCGGCGTCCATCCTCCAAAGTCTACGAGCTAATCGATGAGTTGCAAGTCTTCTGCTTTGGGATGAGACGAGCACTTGCCAGTGGGAGTTCGATCGCGATGTCCAAGCGATGTCGTTCTGTTTGGTTCCAGGAAACAAAAAGTAGATGTTGAGTTATCTTGATAGGGATATAGAGTACGCGAAAGACTCACAAGTGCCGATGCGACAGCGATCTACAGCGATAACTTTCGCAGAAAACACAGTTTTAAGTACGACTCGGAGGCTCGGAGCTGTCGCTGGATGGATCGGAGATTCAACTCCATACCACGTGACACAGCAATGTCATTGTGGCCCCGTCATGTCGACAAGCACTAGCGAATGCCAAAGCACATCTTGTGAACAGTCCGACATCGTAATGGTTTCAGTTACGCAGGATACAATTATATACCAGTGAACCAAAAAAAAATACGAGTGACTGAAACACGAGAAAAAGTCTGTGGCGCGCCCGTAAGGTCGGGCTTAAGTATACGACTCGAACGGTTGGTACTACGAGTAAAGCAGAGTGAGCCCGTTGTTATATAGGTAGGTAATGTGGAAAACTGAGAGGGCATTGTCAAGCAGCAGGAGAGCAGTATGGTCGGAGAGTGAGGGTTGGGTATATACATGGTCTACTATTGTCCGTACGGTGAGAACCACGGTTTACAGATCTCGAGCAGCAGCAAAGGATTTATGTAAAGTGAGTGAGTAGCGAGAGGAAGGTAGTGAATGAGAGTGTATACATGGTGACAACAGAGTGCGAGAAATATCTACGGCGTGGGTGATGGCAGTATGATATAACGAAGACAGGCACAAACAGACAGCGAGGGAAGGGAAGCTTTACAGGACAGGTGAAGCACAAAGGGTTCCAGGTGAGACAGAGACATAGACAACAGGAAGAACGACAAGGACAGTATATGCAGGAGATAAAGAGGCAGAGAGAAAAGAAAGTAGTCCGTATTTAGTAGGAGAAAACCATCAACCACGGGTTGAGCACGATCTAGAAAGAAGCAAGTGGGCAAACGGTCAGCACGGAACTTGAAGCGTCGAGACCACACAGAGTAAGAACGTACCGGGAAGAGAATATGACAAGAGACCACAATCGCGAGCGGGAAGACAACAGCCCACGAAGACCCGTCGATCCTCCACGTCAGCGGTACGAGGCTTGTCGAAAGGATGATCATCCCTGCGACGAGAATGATAGAGATCGAGAGCTGTACCCAGAACCTCTTCAAGATCTTCGGGATCTCCTTGAAGAAATTCGACCGCTCGACTTCTTTCTTCGTCGCGCCCCATGTGATGTTGTATGAGAACATATGGGCAAGGATGGCCTGCGAGAGCGGGATGGATAGACCTCCGAAGAAGAAGAAGCTGTGGGACAACCACGTATCGTCAACATCCGTCGATGGCAGCGAGAAAGTAGGAAAACTCACAAGAACGGCACCCATTTGATATTCTCAAGGAAACCCCAAATAAGATCCCTCTCGCCCAAACGGTACTGAAGGATCGTGTACCCGACGTTACCCGAACCGAAGAAAACGACTGTCGTGGCCAGCCAAATCTCGAAGGAGTGGATATAGTAGTCATCGACAGGCAATTCCCACCCGAGGAGGAAGTAGTTCATCGTGGTGATGGTGATGGCGCAGGCGATACCATAATATGAGAACATGTACGCCAACATGGAGATCTTGTAGTGGAAAGGCGCGTTGGACCAGATGAACCTGTGGATTTGTTTGGCGATCGGGCCACGGGTGAACCAGCGAACGAAGGGGTTGAACAACAATCTAATTTGCGGAGAGAATGCGATTAGCATCCTGGAGGTGAATGAAGAAACAGCAATCGAGTCACTTACTCTGAACAACCATACGAGTACTTCTGCCAACGGTTGAGTTCGTCATCAATGGTCAGCGACACACCCTCCTTGAAGCCACCAAGCGAATAAGTCGCCCAACGGATCGTGTACCCGCGAAGTTGCAACCTCATCGCCATGTCGAAATCCTCAGATACGTGCGCCTCGGACCAGATCTTCTCTTGCTTGTCAGCCGGGTCGATGAAGGAAGCGTCCTGGACGGCTTGCCAGCGGAGGAAAGCATTGTGACCAACGAAGGGAGCGACTTCACCGTTGCAGCAAGCGAAGGAGATACACTTGTTGATACGCCTGGTGAAGTATGCAATACCGTTCTCGAAGTAGTTGTGCGAGACCTGCATGACATCTGCCGAAAATAATCAGTGATATGGACTCAATAATGAGGAAGACTTAACATACCGGACTCATGCTGAATGACCCCAACCATTGGACACTCCGCCATCTCCCTCGCCGCATCCCTGAAGCAATCCTCCGGCACGATCGTATCCGAATCCACGATCAAAATGATCTCTCCCATCCTACACGCTTTACCGCCCTTAGCCCACGGCTTATGTCTTCTCCCGCTCTCCTCATAAACCTGCTCCACAGCCATCTGCAAAGCCTTCTCCTCGATATCCATCTGCATTTCCTCGCCATGATGATCACCAGAGCCTGCGTAAGAGTATCCTCCTTCGGCAGAAGAGTTGTTTTGCGTCTCGAGACGTTCTTTCTCCCGGAGTGCGATGAGATGACGCTCGGCCTTACGGGAGAGCGAAAGTCCATAATTCATGTTGGACGCTTTCTTGAATCGCCCGGCACGGAGGAAGGGAGCGCCGCCGTCTTCGGTGCCAGAACCGTGACCTGGACGGGCGACCCAGCCAATGCCGTGCGTATCATAGAACGCCAGACGCGCCGCACGTTCCTTCTCGGAAAGAAGCTAGGGTGCAAAAAAGCGGACTAGAAGTCAGTATCGGGTATTCCTGTCTGCTAAAGGAAGGGAAGGATGTTCAAAACGTCAACGCACCTGCATGCCGTCGTCGTTGACGAAGATGGTCGAGGTTCCACCTTGCCTGGCGTATGTTTGCATGGCCTTCTTGAGCGAAGCAATGGAGGGAGCAAGCACAGCCTCGAGAGACTCCTTGTAGACGGGCATCTGGATGGTGATGTGAGGGAGGTTGTTGTCGACTTCCTTGTTTGGCCGCGGTTTGACAGCGGAATAGTACTTCGTGTTCTCATGGTATTGAGCCTTCAAACACGAAATAATCAGAGAGGAACTTTCTAGCGGCAGTAAATGACGGAAAACATACCACCGGGCCGACCACCATGGCGATGTTTTGAACGATCTGCAGCGTGAAGAACTAGCGGGGATGCGACTGTAAGCCGATCGACAGAGGAAATGAAAATGTGCCTAAACTCACGAGCGATACACAGAACAGAAGCGGCATTACCGCTGCTAGTGCGAACCGAATATAGCCGTTATCTTGCCTAAACTCCACCAACAAATTCTTGATTCCATCTCCAATACACACTTTCGGAAACGATCCAAATCAGCTTCCCTTGCCTCCGATTCAAATTTGGGAATAAGCCTACCAGCTGAGAGACCCATACACAATCCGTTATAAACCGGCGCATAGAGCATTGCCGGTCTCTTCTCGGGACCAAGAGACTCGATATCGACGCCATCAATCTCCGTCACCTCCATCGTGTACTTCCTACCATACCACGTCCTCTTCGTCACCGTCCTCTTCGTCACCACGCCTGCACCGTACCCCTGTTTTTCAATATCGCGGCCAGAGTTCCGTCCACCGAAATTAGAGCTAGCGGAAGTGATGCCGACGAGAGACTGGGTAGCCGACGCTGAGTCTCCGGCGAAAGAGTTATGGTGAGACGCGGATGACACCTGAGAGCCTACTCCAGGACGACCGCGCCAAAGGAGTTTGATGAGGCGCTCTTCGAAGTCGCTGCATGTCGGAATGATGGCCTCCAGAGAGTCAGACCAGACGACCAAGACGCGTTCGTCGCGCTACCAGAAGATTTGTATTTTGTGTGAGTTTACTGCCACGGATCGAGAATATATTGCTGAGCTGTGCACTTACGATGAACGCGGCGTGTTGCTCCCGGTCAGCATGTGGAAGCATCATCATCGTCTCAACAATCTGAATGCGTGTGTTCGAATCCACGTAGACACTCTTGTCGTCGTGTCCACTGATGGTAAAAAAATAAGGTCCATCAGATCAGTATAGCGCTCCATATGCTTCGAATCACGGGGACTAGAACGTGAAGAGAATGGTAGGTCAAAGGGGTAAAATTGTCTCGAGATCCACGCATGGACACCCCCTGCTCGACTACGCAACTGTCCCCATCACACATGCCCGTACAGAAACAACGGTAGCACGCGCCCATTCTCAGGCGGCGCACCCATTCCGCGACCCCACGGTGCACCCGAAGCGCCGTGTCGTTATGACGGGAAGCGTTTAAGGCCGCAGAGCACTTTGTGCCAGCACATCCAAGATAGCGTTGCTGATGAAATGGAAGCCGAGAAATAGGAGTTAAAGGAGGAAAAAAAAGGGAGGGAGCGAGTTTCCTTTCCCAGTGGCGTGGGAAAGCTGTGGTTTTAGGTGGTAGGCATTCGATCAAGTCGTTCAAAGCGACGACAAGAGCATGTACCTCAGCACACAAGAGCATGTCGTCTTTGCGCCCATAGAAGCCATGAAGGGTCCCAGAAGGAAAGGAGAGGTGATGACAATGTAAAGGGGAGCACTTACGCCTCACCAACAGCAGCATGCGCGACAGCACTTCGCACCTTGACAGCGACGACAAGGTTCATTGCCCTAACGGCGACTTCGAACGGCTCGAGTCTTATGTCTTCATAAGGGAAGATCCTGTACTCTGCCGGTTCCATCGAGTCGTCTTTGATGGCGACGCCAGCTGCAATACCGTCATTGGCATCGGGACGGAACCAGGCATCACCCTGGGTCTGCTTGAAGATGTAGTGAAGGAGGGCATCATATCTGTCGTAATCCATCGCTCGTTGTTCGTGTGTGGAGGACGGGAACGATACGAGGAAGACGTCCGGAAAAGAGCGTTATTTGTCGAGGGCGAGTCTTCGGAGTAAGGTCAGAGAGAAAAGGTTGCCTCTAGATGTGTCGCTCGTCAACGACGAGGGCGAAGGAGAGGGGAGGAGGAGGGGAGATGGAGGTTAAGAGGCAAGGAGTGAAGAGCGACTAGAAATCAGGCCGGATGGCGACTGCTCCCCATCAGGGTAAGGAAGCGGGCGCGTGCTCAATTAAAAAAAACATGCGGGTGGGAACTTCGCTGACGTCGAGATCTCGCCTAATGGCTTGGCGTCATTTCCGACAAACAGACTCCGTTGATATCTGTCCTAGGCGAGCATGCCACGCTGTCCGGCTGCACACATCCTGATATGCTTAGAATCTCTCAGAACGGGCAATGATACTCCTGTTATCGACGAAGGGAAACTAATCAGCGAACTGTTGAAGAGACTTGTTCGAGAAGAGGATGCTTACCACAAACCATGAACAGAGTATTAGGCTGGCGCGCATGAGACATGATGCTGCAGGCGTTCAGTCGGATAAAAAAAGATTGGTAGGGTCTCTTGTACGACACATCAAAGTTGAATTGCAGGGTGAATTGAACTAACCCCACCGCCGGCACATGCAAATTTCGACGTTCCAAGCGTCTCAGCTGAAGAAAGATGGGGCGAACAGCTGGACGGCGAAGCTTGTCCGTCCAGTGATCGTTGGTTATTGAACCTTGTGCATGAGCAGATGGAGTCCTTCCTGTTGTCTTCTCTGGACCTCCTGAGGCCGTCTTCTTTGCTCCAATTGCGGGGCAAGCAAGTAAGCACTGCTCACATAAAGTTCCCGAAGCTGAGCTAAAGCGGGATAAACGAAGAAGAAGGCTCGGATGGGCAGGTGAGTGGGCGTAAGGATGACAAGATATCGGGTGACATGGAACAGCGAACGGTGCCACGGACCGCATTGGGCCGGGAAAAGGCCGGAGTCTCGCATTTGGCAAATTTCGAACCCTGCAGAACGGCTCTGTGAACCTTCAAGCTGCAGAGCTGCAGCTTACGACACTGGCCGGTACTTGGTTAGTATCCATATATCGAACAACCAATCCATTGATGCTGATGCCGATTATAGAGAGTCCATGCTCTGGTATTGCTGTCATCGTTCGAATGCAAGCGCATATGGCAAAGCCTGCATCGTCGTTGAAGTTGCCTGCGGATTATGTCGCAACTTTGTTGAACTGCCAAACTCTTCAGGGACTTGCCAAAAATTTCACGGAAACGGCTACCGGCCTTAAATTGAGGAAGGAAGGTGAATGGAACAGCATAGCCTATACAGATATGACCGTATGGAGTCGACTTCCGTCATCCTCCATGGTATTTCTATACTCACAGTTGATGGCACGACAAAGCATTCAATGTGTCCGGGTTTACATGCGCTATCCTGGGGATGGGTAACCACAAAATTAGAACATATATAATCTTAGTCAAACTCAAGGACATGCAGGCACAATGATAGATAAACCACACATCACACTCCTGTGGCGTAGCCTGCGCAGCTAGAAAGTCAGAGGCCCCCTTTCGCCGCTCGAAGAGCTCCTTTCTGCATCGACCCGGGATCTTACGAGGCATTGCCCATAGCAACAACCATTCCTACACTCCATGCCAGAGCCGTCTATTATGGACGACAATCTGACGCACGTCCCCGACTATACATTTCGATGCCCTAGGGTTTTGTGACCCAGCGGTCCGCTAAGCATCTGGACTTAGTTGAGTATACGGAGGAACGCTGGCCCTACCCCTCGAGGATTATTGCAAGATAACAATTGAAGGTATGGTGCAGACTTCACAAGGATGGGAAGGATTCATATGAGATTGGGATTGAATTGGGTATATGGCGTTACTCATAGGGCTGAGTCCAGGCAGAGACAACAAACAGGGTGACCGGTAGTGAAAACAAACAATCGCGAACTCTCGATGACCCCAAAAAAACCCAATAACCTTCAACGCCTCCGGATATTTTGTCGCGAGCTGGTGTGGTACCGGCCGATAGTTACTGGTCTCTCAAGGAGGCCTCTGGCTATGTTGGCTAGTCCACACCGAGCTCGGGCGCGTGAGTAGATGACTATACTCTTCGAGAAAGTACAAGGAAGGAGGAAAGGTGCTGTGGACGTTGGTGGGGTCGCGCAACCCGTCACCAACGGTGTCGATAGGTGCCTCTCCGAAGTCTCCTCCTGCCCCTAATCCTCCATCCTAACTGCGCCATCCCTATTCCTTCCCACTAAAACACTCTCCTCTCGCGTCCGTTTCGTAGTGTTTGTACCGGCGCGGTTGTTGAGTCCCAGTGATGCTTCTCCATTCCCACCGCCCTACTCCCCAACCGAACACCATGACATCTCCCCGTACCCCGAATCACCATCCCAAGTGAACCATCCCTGCTTCTTCCTACTTGCTTCCTACCCGAACACTCCCTTCTCGCATCGGTTTCCTGGCGGTCGTAAGGGATGGTTATTGAATGTGTTCGCAAGGTCGTGCTTGTAGAATGAAGATGTTGTCGGTGGGACGAGGATTGTCGATAGGCGAATATGTGTGTCGTAACATTGTTGGGTCGTTGAGTTCGAGGTCGAGACGGATCGTATAGTGGTGAATGGGTAGGCGGGATGAGAATATAGAGGAACGGATATGTGTGGCGAGATGTTGCCGAGTCGCTAAAGTCGAAGTCGAAGTAGAAGTCGAGGTCGTACGTATCGTAGCCACTGGGTATCTGTATCACTAAGTCTGAGGAATTAGCATCATTTTCTTGGAGTGGCACCCCACACCCCCTGGGGCCACTCCGAGTCTCCGAGTCCCAAGTCCAAGTCTGAAACCAGCCGCGAAACATGAAAACAGTGAACCATCTCCGAGACATCTCAGAACCACACACCCACACCCCCACCAAATCAATAGTCAACACCCGCAACAGCTCCGACGACCTCCGGTATAATCGCTCGAAGACCCGGACGGCACTCTGGCGCGACCCGAACCATATCTCCAATAATCAGCTTAACACACTTCACCTCCAGATAATAGCCTGACACAGGCTCTATCACATAGGTATCGGCATCGGGCTCCTCATCAACAAGCCCCTCGACAACACCATCGTCCTCGTACTCGTAGTCGTCATCATCGTACTCATCCTCCTCCTCATCGCAGGCCCCGCCGAACCAAGCACCCACACCAAGCGAATCCGATTCACCCTCAAACGATTCGACGGACTGAGCATACATACCGGTACCCTCGAGCTCTTCACCATCGAGCTCGTCTAATTCCTTATGATACTCCTTTCCACATGCCACACCACCAAATTCGAATACCGACGCCTCATAGTTGTTGTCGTACGGGACCGAGTCGAAGTCGTAGGAACTCTGAGGAGACTGAGACTGGCGAGGGGTGACGGGGAACTCTCTCGTCGACGGCTCGCTCGCGCTGTCAGTCTGGGAAGAAACCTCGGAAAGTTCGTTGGAGTATTCGGACTCGGAAGAGGAGGTTTGAGAGGTTTGAGAGGAGTGAGGGATAGCGAAGGCGGCGGTAGCGATGATGGTGGAGGCGAGGGCGGGGAGTTTGTCGGTTTTGGGAAGTGGCGCAGCGGTCGTGGGCACCGAGACGTCGACGTCCTGGATAGCGTGAACTTTTTCTGTGTACATAGATAAACAAGTCAGCGTCCATAGCAGCAAAAGAGGGAAATGAAAGACATGAAAAACGTACGGAACAGTCCACGGAATCGGAGCCTCAGCTTGCCAGCGATAACACCGGTAGGGGTAACAATAGCTTTGGAGAACATGTTTATGGTTTGTGCGTAAGGGCAGGGGGGTTATGCGCTTATAATTCGCTGGGGAGGTACTATGGATAAGGTATGTGCGTGGTTCGGTGGAGAGAAGTGCTCAGCATTGGGTCAAGGTTTTATAGATATGAGGTTCGGGTGCGGGATGTGTCGGAGGAAAGGTGAACCATGCCGGTGAATGAGCGCTTGAATCACGTCGGTGAAGTTCGTGAGCGGGAAAGATGGGTCTCAGACGGTGTGGGTATTGCGGTAAATGGTGGACCAGTTTCAGAAGATCGAGGCCGTCCAAGATTCTGAATCGATCTGTCTCGGGCAGGCGATATCTACGTTTTACATGAATCGACCACATATGCTTCGTCCCAGGTCCTGCTACAAAGAACCCCAACATAGTCAGTGACGTTGTTGTGTTGGAGTTCGGAGTTCGAACGTACAACGCAGTTTCGGTAATTCCCGGCAGGTCTTTTGTGCGCGTTGGACGCGCCTCTCGCTTTCCCTCATTCACTCGTCTATCGGTGTCTGAGGGTAAGCAACATCTATCTACTTTACTGTCTACTGTACTTATTCTTCCTGTAGTGTGTTCTACCCTACAGGTAACTTCAATCTATTCACTCGTCTATCGGTGTCTGAGGTGTGTTCTACCCTACAGGTTCTAACAGGTTATGGGCTTTTGACCTCGAGCTACTCGCCCGAGACGTCACCCTGTAGCACACCACACCCATATCACCCTCGAACGATCTACTCTCTTGGTTCTCCGTCTTCTCTGGCCCTCTGAGGCTGTTGTTTCTGTCACTGCTATCGTCAGTGCGCTTCGGCTTTGAGCCACTCCACCCCCTTTGTTCTCCGTATCATGACGAACCCTGGTGG